AGAACACTGTCCCAAGTCTAGAGGAACACCACCTTCAGCACAGCAACTCGAGGAACGCTCCGTGTACCCCAAATCGTCTCGAGATGCGAGCTGATTCCCTGGCTTAGGCTCAAGACGTATGCCAACTTCCCAGAAGCACCTCAGGAGGAGGCTTCTCTCAGCAATAGGTATGTGGGAGGGACCCCGAGTTTGCTGCCTCAAGGGGAATATACAGCGAGAAGCCCTAACTTGAAAGGAGACCGGATTTCCTTGCAGTGGCTTGAATACAGGCTCGTCTTTCATCTCACAACATGAAGGGATGTCTGAATCCCCTGTGGAGACCTTAGAGAAAGCCCTAGGTCCCTGCCTCATTTTGACGGAATGCCTCACATCCCGCTGACACCTCGAGAGGCACGCGGAGTTCATTGCTTCAAAAGGTGACGATGCCTGACTCCTCTTGAATACTGATAGGAATCCCAAAATCCCTGTGGCTACTGGAAACGGTCCTTGGGTGCCCTGCCTCACCCCGAGAAGCGTCCCTTTGGCCCTGCCAAGCCTCGAAGAGATTCCTGAGGTGTCCCTCGTTACTAGACAGGAGTCCTGACGTCACTGAAGAAACTCGTGTTTTGAAGGGCCATCCCCGCCGTAAGTCGAGAACATACCCCAGGTACCCGCCTCAACTCGAGAAAAACTATGAGACTTCCCCCTAGAGGCGAGATGAGGCCCCATTCCCCTGCAGTGCATGCAGAGCTATTCCGTGATCCCATTCAAACAAGGCAGGAGCTTCGACTTGCTTAATGGATCTCGAGACAGTCCCCAAGAACACTGTCACCAGTCTAGACGGACCCTGAGGTCACCCCAGCAACGCAAAGCAGCTCCATGTGCCCCAAATCAACTCGAGATGAGGCCCGATTCCCCTGCATTGACTCCAGAGCCATTCCCCGTTCCCCATTCAACACGACCGGTGGCTCGACTTCCTTCAGGCAACTCCAGAGATGCCCCGAGAACACTGTCCCAAGTCTAGAGGAACACCAACTTCAGCACAGCAACTCGAGGAATGCTCCGTGTACCCCAAATCGTCTCGAGATGCGAGCTGATTCCCTGGCTTAGGCTCAAGACGTATGCCAACTTCCCAGAAGCACCTCAGGAGGAGGCTTCTCTCAGCAATAGGTATGTGGGAGGGACCCCGAGTTTGCTGCCTCAAGGGGAATATACAGCGAGAAGCCCTAACTTGAAAGGAGGCCGGATTTCCTTGCAGTGGCTTGAATACAGGCTCGTCTTTCATCTCACAACATGAAGGGATGTCTGAATCCCCTGTGGAGACCTTAGAGAAAGCCCTAGGTCCCTGCCTCATTTTGACGGAATGCCTCACATCCCGCTGACACCTCGAGAGGCACGCGGAGTTCATTGCTTCAAAAGGTGACGATGCCTGACTCCTCTTGAATACTGATAGGAATCCCAAAATCCCTGTGGCTACTGGAAAGGGTCCTTGGGTGCCCTGCCTCACCTCGAGAAGCGTCCCTTTGGCGCTGCCAACCCTCGAAGAGATTCCTGAGGTGTCCCTCGTTACTAGACAGGAGTCCTGACGTCACTGAAGAAACTCGTGTTTTGAAGGGCCATCCCCGCCGTAAGTCGAGAACATACCCCAAGTCCCCGCCGCAACTCGAGAAAAACCATGAGACTTCCCCCTAGAGGCGAGATGAGGCCCCATTCCCCTGCAGTGCATGCAGAGCTATTCCGTGATCCCATTCAAACAAGGCAGGAGCTTCGACTTGCTTAATGGATCTCGAGACAGTCCCCAAGAACACTGTCACCAGTCTAGACGGACCCTGAGGTCACCCCAGCAACGCAAAGCAGCTCCATGTGCCCCAAATCAACTCGAGATGAGGCCCGATTCCCCTGCATTGACTCCAGATCCATTCCCCGTTCCCCATTCAACACGACCGGTGGCTCGACTTCCTTCAGGCAACTCCAGAGATGCCCCGAGAACACTGTCCCAAGTCTAGAGGAACACCAACTTCAGCACAGCAAGTCGAGGAATGCTCCGTGTACCCCAAATCGTCTCGAGATGCGAGCTGATTCCCTGGCTTAGGCTCAAGACGTATGCCAACTTCCCAGAAGCACCTCAGGAGGAGGCTTCTCTCAGCAATAGGTATGTGGGAGGGACCCCGAGTTTGCTGCCTCAAGGGGAATATACAGCGAGAAGCCCTAACTTGAAAGGAGGCCGGATTTCCTTGCAGTGGCTTGAATACAGGCTCGTCTTTCATCTCACAACATGAAGGGATGTCTGAATCCCCTGTGGAGACCTTAGCGAAAGCCCTAGGTCCCTGCCTCATTTTGACGGAATGCCTCACATCCCGCTGACACCTCGAGAGGCACGCGGAGTTCATTGCTTCAAAAGGTGACGATGCCTGACTCCTCTTGAATACTGATAGGAATCCCAAAATCCCTGTGGCTACTGGAAAGGGTCCTTGGGTGCCCTGCCTCACCCCGAGAAGCGTCCCTTTGGCCCTGCCAAGCCTCGAAGAGATTCCTGAGGTGTCCCTCGTTACTAGACAGGAGTCCTGACGTCACTGAAGAAACTCGTGTTTTGAAGGGCCATCCCCGCCGTAAGTCGAGAACATACCCCAGGTCCCCGCCGCAACTCGAGAAAAACCATGAGACTTCCCCCTAGAGGCGAGATGAGGCCCCATTCCCCTGCAGTGCATGCAGAGCTATTCCGTGATCCCATTCAAACAAGTCAGGAGCTTCGACTTGCTTAATGGATCTCGAGACAGTCCCCAAGAACACTGTCACCAGTCTAGACGGACCCTGAGGTCACCCCAGCAACGCAAAGCAGCTCCATGTGCCCCAAATCAACTCGAGATGAGGCCCGATTCCCCTGCATTGACTCCAGAGCCATTCCCCGTTCCCCATTCAACACGACCGGTGGCTCGACTTCCTTCAGGCAACTCCAGAGATGCCCCGAGAACACTGTCCCAAGTCTAGAGGAACACCAACTTCAGCACAGCAAGTCGAGGAATGCTCCGTGTACCCCAAATCGTCTCGAGATGCGAGCTGATTCCCTGGCTTAGGCTCAAGACGTATGCCAACTTCCCAGAAGCACCTCAGGAGGAGGCTTCTCTCAGCAATAGGTATGTGGGAGGGACCCCGAGTTTGCTGCCTCAAGGGGAATATACAGCGAGAAGCCCTAACTTGAAAGGAGGCCGGATTTCCTTGCAGTGGCTTGAATACAGGCTCGTCTTTCATCTCACAACATGAAGGGATGTCTGAATCCCCTGTGGAGACCTTAGAGAAAGCCCTAGGTCCCTGCCTCATTTTGACGGAATGCCTCACATCCCGCTGACACCTCGAGAGGCACGCGGAGTTCATTGCTTCAAAAGGTGACGATGCCTGACTCCTCTTGAATACTGATAGGAATCCCAAAATCCCTGTGGCTACTGGAAAGGGTCCTTGGGTGCCCTGCCTCACCTCGAGAAGCGTCCCTTTGGCCCTGCCAAGCCTCGAAGAGATTCCTGAGGTGTCCCTCGTTACTAGACAGGAGTCCTGACGTCACTGAAGAAACTCGTGTTTTGAAGGGCCATCCCCGCCGTAAGTCGAGAACATACCCCAGGTCCCCGCCGCAACTCGAGAAAAACCATGAGACTTCCCCCTAGAGGCGAGATGAGGCCCCATTCCCCTGCAGTGCATGCAGAGCTATTCCGTGATCCCATTCAAACAAGGCAGGAGCTTCGACTTGCTTAATGGATCTCGAGACAGTCCCCAAGAACACTGTCACCAGTCTAGACGGACCCTGAGGTCACCCCAGCAACGCAAAGCAGCTCCATGTGCCCCAAATCAACTCGAGATGAGGCCCGATTCCCCTGCATTGACTCCAGAGCCATTCCCCGTTCCCCATTCAACACGACCGGTGGCTCGACTTCCTTCAGGCAACTCCAGAGATGCCCCGAGAACACTGTCCCAAGTCTAGAGGAACACCAACTTCAGCACAGCAAGTCGAGGAATGCTCCGTGTACCCCAAATCGTCTCGAGATGCGAGCTGATTCCCTGGCTTAGGCTCAAGACGTATGCCAACTTCCCAGAAGCACCTCAGGAGAAGGCTTCTCTCAGCAATAGGTATGTGGGAGGGACCCCGAGTTTGCTGCCTCAAGGGGAATATACAGCGAGAAGCCCTAACTTGAAAGGAGGCCGGATTTCCTTGCAGTGGCTTGAATACAGGCTCGTCTTTCATCTCACAACATGAAGGGATGTCTGAATCCCCTGTGGAGACCTTAGCGAAAGCCCTAGGTCCCTGCCTCATTTTGACGAAATGCCTCACATCCCGCTGACACCTCGAGAGGCACGCGGAGTTCATTGCTTCAAAAGGTGACGATGCCTGACTCCTCTTGAATACTGATAGGAATCCCAAAATCCCTGTGGCTACTGGAAAGGGTCCTTGGGTGCCCTGCCTCACCTCGAGAAGCGTCCCTTTGGCCCTGCCAAGCCTCGAAGAGATTCCTGAGGTGTCCCTCGTTACTAGACAGGAGTCCTGACGTCACTGAAGAAACTCGTGTTTTGAAGGGCCATCCCCGCCGTAAGTCGAGAACATACCCCAGGTCCCCGCCGCAACTCGAGAAAAACCATGAGACTTCCCCCTAGAGGCGAGATGAGGCCCCATTCCCCTGCAGTGCATGCAGAGCTATTCCGTGATCCCATTCAAACAAGGCAGGAGCTTCGACTTGCTTAATGGATCTCGAGACAGTCCCCAAGAACACTGTCACCAGTCTAGACGGACCCTGAGGTCACCCCAGCAACGCAAAGCAGCTCCATGTGCCCCAAATCAACTCGAGATGAGGCCCGATTCCCCTGCATTGACTCCAGAGCCATTCCCCGTTCCCCATTCAACACGACCGGTGGCTCGACTTCCTTCAGGCAACTCCAGAGATGCCCCGAGAACACTGTCCCAAGTCTAGAGGAACACCAACTTCAGCACAGCAACTCGAGGAATGCTCCGTGTACCCCAAATCGTCTCGAGATGCGAGCTGATTCCCTGGCTTAGGCTCAAGACGTATGCCAACTTCCCAGAAGCACCTCAGGAGGAGGCTTCTCTCAGCAATAGGTATGTGGGAGGGACCCCGAGTTTGCTGCCTCAAGGGGAATATACAGCGAGAAGCCCTAACTTGAAAGGAGGCCGGATTTCCTTGCAGTGGCTTGAATACAGGCTCGTCTTTCATCTCACAACATGAAGGGATGTCTGAATCCCCTGTGGAGACCTTAGAGAAAGCCCTAGGTCCCTGCCTCATTTTGACGGAATGCCTCACATCCCGCTGACACCTCGAGAGGCACGCGGAGTTCATTGCTTCAAAAGGTGACGATGCCTGATTCCTCTTGAATACTGATAGGAATCCCAAAATCCCTGTGGCTACTGGAAAGGGTCCTTGGGTGCCCTGCCTCACCTCGAGAAGCGTCCCTTTGGCCCTGCCAAGCCTCGAAGAGATTCCTGAGGTGTCCCTCGTTACTAGACAGGAGTCCTGACGTCACTGAAGAAACTCGTGTTTTGAAGGGCCATCCCCGCCGTAAGTCGAGAACATACCCCAGGTCCCCGCCGCAACTCGAGAAAAACCATGAGACTTCCCCCTAGAGGCGAGATGAGGCCCCATTCCCCTGTAGTGCATGCAGAGCTATTCCGTGATCCCATTCAAACAAGTCAGGAGCTTCGACTTGCTTAATGGATCTCGAGACAGTCCCCAAGAACACTGTCACCAGTCTAGACGGACCCTGAGGTCACCCCAGCAACGCAAAGCAGCTCCATGTGCCCCAAATCAACTCGAGATGAGGCCCGATTCCCCTGCATTGACTCCAGAGCCATTCCCCGTTCCCCATTCAACACGACCGGTGGCTCGACTTCCTTCAGGCAACTCCAGAGATGCCCCGAGAACACTGTCCCAAGTCTAGAGGAACACCACCTTCAGCACAGCAACTCGAGGAATGCTCCGTGTACCCCAAATCGTCTCGAGATGCGAGCTGATTCCCTGGCTTAGGCTCAAGACGTATGCCAACTTCCCAGAAGCACCTCAGGAGGAGGCTTCTCTCAGCAATAGGTATGTGGGAGGGACCCCGAGTTTGCTGCCTCAAGGGGAATATACAGCGAGAAGCCCTAACTTGAAAGGAGGCCGGATTTCCTTGCAGTGGCTTGAATACAGGCTCGTCTTTCATCTCACAACATGAAGGGATGTCTGAATCCCCTGTGGAGACCTTAGAGAAAGCCCTAGGTCCCTGCCTCATTTTGACGGAATGCCTCACATCCCGCTGACACCTCGAGAGGCACGCGGAGTTCATTGCTTCAAAAGGTGACGATGCCTGATTCCTCTTGAATACTGATAGGAATCCCAAAATCCCTGTGGCTACTGGAAAGGGTCCTTGGGTGCCCTGCCTCACCTCGAGAAGCGTCCCTTTGGCCCTGCCAAGCCTCGAAGAGATTCCTGAGGTGTCCCTCGTTACTAGACAGGAGTCCTGACGTCACTGAAGAAACTCGTGTTTTGAAGGGCCATCCCCGCCGTAAGTCGAGAACATACCCCAGGTCCCCGCCGCAACTCGAGAAAAACCATGAGACTTCCCCCTAGAGGCGAGATGAGGTCCCATTCCAATGCAGTGCATGCAGAGCTATTCCGTGATCCCATTCAAACAAGTCAGGAGCTTCGACTTGCTTAATGGATCTCGAGACAGTCCCCAAGAACACTGTCACCAGTCTAGACGGACCCTGAGGTCACCCCAGCAACGCAAAGCTGCTCCATGTGCCCCAAATCAACTCGAGATGAGGCCCGATTCCCCTGCATTGACTCCAGAGCCATTCCCCGTTCCCCATTCAACACGACCGGTGGCTCGACTTCCTTCAGGCAACTCCAGAGATGCCCCGAGAACACTGTCCCAAGTCTAGAGGAACCCCAACTTCAGCACAGCAACTCGAGGAATGCTCCGTGTACCCCAAATCGTCTCGAGATGCGAGCTGATTCCCTGGCTTAGGCTCAAGACGTATGCCAACTTCCCAGAAGCACCTCAGGAGGAGGCTTCTCTCAGCAATAGGTATGTGGGAGGGACCCCGAGTTTGCTGCCTCAAGGGGAATATACAGCGAGAAGCCCTAACTTGAAAGGAGGCCGGATTTCCTTGCAGTGGCTTGAATACAGGCTCGTCTTTCATCTCACAACATGAAGGGATGTCTGAATCCCCTGTGGAGACCTTAGAGAAAGCCCTAGGTCCCTGCCTCATTTTGACGGAATGCCTCACATCCCGCTGACACCTCGAGAGGCACGCGGAGTTCATTGCTTCAAAAGGTGACGATGCCTGACTCCTCTTGAATACTGATAGGAATCCCAAAATCCCTGTGGCTACTGGAAAGGGTCCTTGGGTGCCCTGCCTCACCTCGAGAAGCGTCCCTTTGGCCCTGCCAAGCCTCGAAGAGATTCCTGAGGTGTCCCTCGTTACTAGACAGGAGTCCTGACGTCACTGAAGAAACTCGTGTTTTGAAGGGCCATCCCCGCCGTAAGTCGAGAACATACCCCAGGTCCCCGCCGCAACTCGAGAAAAACCATGAGACTTCCCCCTAGAGGCGAGATGAGGCCCCATTCCCCTGCAGTGCATGCAGAGCTATTCCGTGATCCCATTCAAACAAGGCAGGAGCTTCGACTTGCTTAATGGATCTCGAGACAGTCCCCAAGAACACTGTCACCAGTCTAGACGGACCCTGAGGTCACCCCAGCAACGCAAAGCAGCTCCATGTGCCCCAAATCAACTCGAGATGAGGCCCGATTCCCCTGCATTGACTCCAGAGCCATTCCCCGTTCCCCATTCAACACGACCGGTGGCTCGACTTCCTTCAGGCAACTCCAGAGATGCCCCGAGAACACTGTCCCAAGTCTAGAGGAACACCAACTTCAGCACAGCAACTCGAGGAATGCTCCGTGTACCGCAAATCGTCTCGAGATGCGAGCTGATTCCCTGGCTTAGGCTCAAGACGTATGCCAACTTCCCAGAAGCACCTCAGGAGGAGGCTTCTCTCAGCAATAGGTATGTGGGAGGGACCCCGAGTTTGCTGCCTAAAGGGGAATATACAGCGAGAAGCCCTAACTTGAAAGGAGGCCGGATTTCCTTGCAGTGGCTTGAATACAGGCTCGTCTTTCATCTCACAACATGAAGGGATGTCTGAATCCCCTGTGGAGACCTTAGAGAAAGCCCTAGGTCCCTGCCTCATTTTGACGGATTGCCTCACATCCCGCTGACACCTCGAGAGGCACGCGGAGTTCATTGCTTCAAAAGGTGACGATGCCTGACTCCTCTTGAATACTGATAGGAATCCCAAAATCCCTGTGGCTACTGGAAAGGGTCCTTGGGTGCCCTGCCTCACCTCGAGAAGCATCCCTTTTGCCCTGCCAAGCCTCGAAGAGATTCCTGAGGTGTCCCTCGTTACTAGACAGGAGTCCTGACGTCACTGAAGAAACTCGTGTTTTGAAGGGCCATCCCCGCCGTAAGTCGAGAACATACCCCAGGTCCCCGCCGCAACTCGAGAAAAACCATGAGACTTCCCCCTAGAGGCGAGATGAGGCCCCATTCCCCTGCAGTGCATGCAGAGCTATTCCGTGATCCCATTCAAACAAGGCAGGAGCTTCGACTTGCTTAATGGATCTCGAGACAGTCCCCAAGAACACTGTCACCAGTCTAGACGGACCCTGAGGTCACCCCAGCAACGCAAAGCAGCTCCATGTGCCCCAAATCAACGCGAGATGAGGCCCGATTCCCCTGCATTGACTCCAGAGCCATTCCCCGTTCCCCATTCAACACGACCGGTGGCTCGACTTCCTTCAGGCAACTCCAGAGATGCCCCGAGAACACTGTCCCAAGTCTAGAGGAACACCAACTTCAGCACAGCAACTCGAGGAATGCTCCGTGTACCCCAAATCGTCTCGAGATGCGAGCTGATTCCCTGGCTTAGGATCAAGACGTATGCCAACTTCCCAGAAGCACCTCAGGAGGAGGCTTCTCTCAGCAATAGGTATGTGGGAGGGACCCCGAGTTTGCTGCCTCAAGGGGAATATACAGCGAGAAGCCCTAACTTGAAAGGAGGCCGGATTTCCTTGCAGTGGCTTGAATACAGGCTCGTCTTTCATCTCACAACATGAAGGGATGTCTGAATCCCCTGTGGAGACCTTAGAGAAAGCCCTAGGTCCCTGCCTCATTTTGACGGAATGCCTCACATCCCGCTGACACCTCGAGAGGCACGCGGAGTTCATTGCTTCAAAAGGTGACGATGCCTGACTCCTCTTGAATACTGATAGGAATCCCAAAATCCCTGTGGCTACTGGAAAGGGTCCTTGGGTGCCCTGCCTCACCTCGAGAAGCGTCCCTTTGGCCCTGCCAAGCCTCGAAGAGATTCCTGAGGTGTCCCTCGTTACTAGACAGGAGTCCTGACGTCACTGAAGAAACTCGTGTTTTGAAGGGCCATCCCCGCCGTAAGTCGAGAACATACCCCAGGTCCCCGCCGCAACTCGAGAAAAACCATGAGACTTCCCCCTAGAGGCGAGATGAGGCCCCATTCCCCTGCAGTGCATGCAGAGCTATTCCGTGATCCCATTCAAACAAGGCAGGAGCTTCGACTTGCTTAATGGATCTCGAGACAGTCCCCAAGAACACTGTCACCAGTCTAGACGGACCCTGAGGTCACCCCAGCAACGCAAAGCAGCTCCATGTGCCCCAAATCAACTCGAGATGAGGCCCGATTCCCCTGCATTGACTCCAGAGCCATTCCCCGTTCCCCATTCAACACGACCGGTGGCTCGACTTCCTTCAGGCAACTCCAGAGATGCCCCGAGAACACTGTCCCAAGTCTAGAGGAACACCAACTTCAGCACAGCAACTCGAGGAATGCTCCGTGTACCCCAAATCGTCTCGAGATGCGAGCTGATTCCCTGGCTTAGGATCAAGACGTATGCCAACTTCCCAGAAGCACCTCAGGAGGAGGCTTCTCTCAGCAATAGGTATGTGGGAGGGACCCCGAGTTTGCTGCCTAAAGGGGAATATACAGCGAGAAGCCCTAACTTGAAAGGAGGCCGGATTTCCTTGCAGTGGCTTGAATACAGGCTCGTCTTTCATCTCACAACATGAAGGGATGTCTGAATCCCCTGTGGAGACCTTAGAGAAAGCCCTAGGTCCCTGCCTCATTTTGACGGAATGCCTCACATCCCGCTGACACCTCGAGAGGCACGCGGAGTTCATTGCTTCAAAAGGTGACGATGCCTGACTCCTCTTGAATACTGATAGGAATCCCAAAATCCCTGTGGCTACTGGAAAGGGTCCTTGGGTGCCCTGCCTCACCTCGAGAAGCGTCCCTTTGGCCCTGCCAAGCCTCGAAGAGATTCCTGAGGTGTCCCTCGTTACTAGACAGGAGTCCTGACGTCACTGAAGAAACTCGTGTTTTGAAGGGCCATCCCCGCCGTAAGTCGAGAACATACCCCAGGTCCCCGCCGCAACTCGAGAAAAACCATGAGACTTCCCCCTAGAGGCGAGATGAGGCCCCATTCCCCTGCAGTGCATGCAGAGCTATTCCGTGATCCCATTCAAACAAGGCAGGAGCTTCGACTTGCTTAATGGATCTCGAGACAGTCCCCAAGAACACTGTCACCAGTCTAGACGGACCCTGAGGTCACCCCAGCAACGCAAAGCAGCTCCATGTGCCCCAAATCAACTCGAGATGAGGCCCGATTCCCCTGCATTGACTCCAGAGCCATTCCCCGTTCCCCATTCAACACGACCGGTGGCTCGACTTCCTTCAGGCAACTCCAGAGATGCCCCGAGAACACTGTCCCAAGTCTAGAGGAACACCAACTTCAGCACAGCAACTCGAGGAATGCTCCGTGTACCCCAAATCGTCTCGAGATGCGAGCTGATTCCCTGGCTTAGGCTGAAGACGTATGCCAACTTCCCAGAAGCACCTCAGGAGGAGGCTTCTCTCAGCAATAGGTATGTGGGAGGGACCCCGAGTTTGCTGCCTCAAGGGGAATATACAGCGAGAAGCCCTAACTTGAAAGGAGGCCGGATTTCCTTGCAGTGGCTTGAATACAGGCTCGTCTTTCATCTCACAACATGAAGGGATGTCTGAATCCCCTGTGGAGACCTTAGAGAAAGCCCTAGGTCCCTGCCTCATTTTGACGGAATGCCTCACATCCCGCTGACACCTCGAGAGGCACGCGGAGTTCATTGCTTCAAAAGGTGACGATGCCTGACTCCTCTTGAATACTGATAGGAATCCCAAAATCCCTGTGGCTACTGGAAAGGGTCCTTGGGTGCCCTGCCTCACCCCGAGAAGCGTCCCTTTGGCCCTGCCAAGCCTCGAAGAGATTCCTGAGGTGTCCCTCGTTACTAGACAGGAGTCCTGACGTCACTGAAGAAACTCGTGTTTTGAAGGGCCATCCCCGCCGTAAGTCGAGAACATACCCCAGGTCCCCGCCGCAACTCGAGAAAAACCATGAGACTTCCCCCTAGAGGCGAGATGAGGCCCCATTCCCCTGCAGTGCATGCAGAGCTATTCCGTGATCCCATTCAAACAAGGCAGGAGCTTCGACTTGCTTAATGGATCTCGAGACAGTCCCCAAGAACACTGTCACCAGTCTAGACGGACCCTGAGGTCACCCCAGCAACGCAAAGCAGCTCCATGTGCCCCAAATCAACTCGAGATGAGGCCCGATTCCCCTGCATTGACTCCAGAGCCATTCCCCGTTCCCCATTCAACACGACCGGTGGCTCGACTTCCTTCAGGCAACTCCAGAGATGCCCCGAGATCACTGTCCCAAGTCTAGAGGAACACTAACTTCAGCACAGCAACTCGAGGAATGCTCCGTGTACCCCAAATCGTCTCGAGATGCGAGCTGATTCCCTGGCTTAGGCTCAAGACGTATGCCAACTTCCCAGAAGCACCTCAGGAGGAGGCTTCTCTCAGCAATAGGTATGTGGGAGGGACCCCGAGTTTGCTGCCTCAAGGGGAATATACAGCGAGAAGCCCTAACTTGAAAGGAGGCCGGATTTCCTTGCAGTGGCTTGAATACAGGCTCGTCTTCCATCTCACAACATGAAGGGATGTCTGAATCCCCTGTGGAGACCTTAGAGAAAGCCCTAGGTCCCTGCCTAATTTTGACGGAATGCCTCACATCCCGCTGACACCTCGAGAGGCACGCGGAGTTCATTGCTTCAAAAGGTGACGATGCCTGACTCCTCTTGAATACTGATAGGAATCCCAAAATCCCTGTGGCTACTGGAAAGGGTCCTTGGGTGCCCTGCCTCACCCCGAGAAGCGTCCCTTTGGCCCTGCCAAGCCTCGAAGAGATTCCTGAGGTGTCCCTCGTTACTAGACAGGAGTCCTGACGTCACTGAAGAAACTCGTGTTTTGAAGGGCCATCCCCGCCGTAAGTCGAGAACATACCCCAGGTCCCCGCCGCAACTCGAGAAAAACCATGAGACTTCCCCCTAGAGGCGAGATGAGGCCCCATTCCCCTGCAGTGCATGCAGAGCTATTCCGTGATCCCATTCAAACAAGGCAGGAGCTTCGACTTGCTTAATGGATCTCGAGACAGTCCCCAAGAACACTGTCACCAGTCTAGACGGACCCTGAGGTCACCCCAGCAACGCAAAGCAGCTCCATGTGCCCCAAATCAACTCGAGATGAGGCCCGATTCCCCTGCATTGACTCCAGAGCCATTCCCCGTTCCCCATTCAACACGACCGGTGGCTCGACTTCCTTCAGGCAACTCCAGAGATGCCCCGAGAACACTGTCCCAAGTCTAGAGGAACACCAACTTCAGCACAGCAACTCGAGGAATGCTCCGTGTACCCCAAATCGTCTCGAGATGCGAGCTGATTCCCTGGCTTAGGCTCAAGACGTATGCCAACTTCCCAGAAGCACCTCAGGAGGAGGCTTCTCTCAGCAATAGGTATGTGGGAGGGACCCCGAGTTTGCTGCCTCAAGGGGAATATACAGCGAGAAGCCCTAACTTGAAAGGAGGCCGGATTTCCTTGCAGTGGCTTGAATACAGGCTCGTCTTTCATCTCACAACATGAAGGGATGTCTGAATCCCCTGTGGAGACCTTAGAGAAAGCCCTAGGTCCCTGCCTCATTTTGACGGAATGCCTCACATCCCGCTGACACCTCGAGAGGCACGCGGAGTTCATTGCTTCAAAAGGTGACGATGCCTGACTCCTCTTGAATACTGATAGGAATCCCAAAATCCCTGTGGCTACTGGAAAGGGTCCTTGGGTGCCCTGCCTCACCTCGAGAAGCGTCCCTTTTGCCCTGCCAAGCCTCGAAGAGATTCCTGAGGTGTCCCTCGTTACTAGACAGGAGTCCTGACGTCACTGAAGAAACTCGTGTTTTGAAGGGCCATCCCCGCCGTAAGTCGAGAACATACCCCAGGTCCCCGCCGCAACTCAAGAAAAACCATGAGACTTCCCCCTAGAGGCGAGATGAGGCCCCATTCCCCTGCAGGGCATGCAGAGCTATTCCGTGATCCCATTCAAACAAGGCAGGAGCTTCGACTTGCTTAATGGATCTCGAGACAGTCCCCAAGAACACTGTCACCAGTCTAGACGGACCCTGAGGTCACCCCAGCAACGCAAAGCAGCTCCATGTGCCCCAAATCAACGCGAGATGAGGCCCGATTCCCCTGCATTGACTCCAGAGCCATTCCCCGTTCCCCATTCAACACGACCGGTGGCTCGACTTCCTTCAGGCAACTCCAGAGATGCCCCGAGAACACTGTCCCAAGTCTAGAGGAACACCAACTTCAGCACAGCAACTCGAGGAATGCTCCGTGTACCCCAAATCGTCTCGAGATGCGAGCTGATTCCCTGGCTTAGGCTCAAGACGTATGCCAACTTCCCAGAAGCACCTCAGGAGGAGGCTTCTCTCAGCAATAGGTATGTGGGAGGGACCCCGAGTTTGCTGCCTCAAGGGGAATATACAGCGAGAAGCCCTAACTTGAAAGGAGGCCGGATTTCCTTGCAGTGGCTTGAATACAGGCTCGTCTTTCATCTCACAACATGAAGGGATGTCTGAATCCCCTGTGGAGACCTTAGAGAAAGCCCTAGGTCCCTGCCTCATTTTGACGGAATGCCTCACATCCCGCTGACACCTCGAGAGGCACGCGGAGTTCATTGCTTCAAAAGGTGACGATGCCTGACTCCTCTTGAATACTGATAGGAATCCCAAAATCCCTGTGGCTACTGGAAAGGGTCCTTGGGTGCCCTGCCTCACCTCGAGAAGCGTCCCTTTGGCCCTGCCAAGCCTCGAAGAGATTCCTGAGGTGTCCCTCGTTACTAGACAGGAGTCCTGACGTCACTGAAGAAACTCGTGTTTTGAAGGGCCATCCCCGCCGTAAGTCGAGAACATACCCCAGGTCCCCGCCGCAACTCGAGAAAAACCATGAGACTTCCCCCTAGAGGCGAGATGAGGCCCCATTCCCCTGCAGTGCATGCAGAGCTATTCCGTGATCCCATTCAAACAAGTCAGGAGCTTCGACTTGCTTAATGGATCTCGAGACAGTCCCCAAGAACACTGTCACCAGTCTAGACGGACCCTGAGGTCACCCCAGCAACGCAAAGCAGCTCCATGTGCCCCAAATCAACTCGAAATGAGGCCCGATTCCCCTGCATTGACTCCAGAGCCATTCCCCGTTCCCCATTCAACACGACCGGTGGCTCGACTTCCTTCAGGCAACTCCAGAGATGCCCCGAGAACACTGTCCCAAGTCAGGAGGAACAACAACTTCAGCACAGCAACTCAAGGAATGCTCCGTGTACCCCAAATCGTCTCGAGATGCGAGCTGATTCTCAAGACGTATGCCAACTTCCCAGAAGCACCTCAGGAGGAGGCTTCTCTCAGCAATAGGTATGTGGGAGGGACCCCGAGTTTGCTGCCTCAAGGGGAATATACAGCGAGAAGCCCTAACTTGAAAGGAGGCCGGATTTCCTTGCAGTGGCTTGAATACAGGCTCGTCTTTCATCTCACAACATGATGGGATGTCTGAATCCCCTGTGGAGACCTTAGAGAAAGCCCTAGGTCCCTGCCTCATTTTGACGGAATGCCTCACATCCCGCTGACACCTCGAGAGTCACGCGGAGTTCATTGCTTCAAAAGGTGACGATGCCTGACTCCTCTTCAATACTGATAGGAATCCCAAAATCCCTGTGGCTACTGGAAAGGGTCCTTGGGTGCCCTGCCTCACCTCGAGAAGCGTCCCTTTGGCCCTGCCAAGCCTCGAAGAGATTCCTGAGGTGTCCCTCGTTACTAGACAGGAGTCCTGACGTCACTGAAGAAACTCGTGTTTTGAAGGGCCATCCCCGCCGTAAGTCGAGAACATACCCCAGGTCCCCGCCGCAACTCGAGAAAAACCATGAGACTTCCCCCTAGAGGCGAGATGAGGCCCCATTCCCCTGCAGTGCATGCAGAGCTATTCCGTGATCCCATTCAAACAAGTCAGGAGCTTCGACTTGCTTAATGGATCTCGAGACAGTCCCCAAGAACACTGTCACCAGTCTAGACGGACCCTGAGGTCACCCCAGCAACGCAAAGCAGATCCATGTGCCCCAAATCAACTCGAGATGAGGCCCGATTCCCCTGCATTGACTCCAGAGCCATTCCCCGTTCCCCATTCAACACGACCGGTGGCTCGACTTCCTTCAGGCAACTCCAGAGATGCCCCGAGAACACTGTCCCAAGTTTAGAGGAACACCAACTTCAGCACAGCAACTCGAGGAATGCTCCGTGTACCCCAAATCGTCTCGAGATGCGAGCTGATTCCCTGGCTTAGGCTCAAGACGTATGCCAACTTCCCAGAAGCACCTCAGGAGGAGGCTTCTCTCAGCAATAGGTATGTGGGAGGGACCCCGAGTTTGCTGCCTCAAGGGGAATATACAGCGAGAAGTCCTAACTTGAAAGGAGGCTGGATTTCCTTGCAGTGGCTTGAATACAGGCTCGTCTTTCATCTCACAACATGAAGGGATGTCTGAATCCCCTGTGGAGACCTTAGAGAAAGCCCTAGGTCCCTGCCTCATTTTGACGGAATGCCTCACATCCCGCTGACACCTTGAGAGGCACGCGGAGTTCATTGCTTCAAAAGGTGACGATGCCTGACTCCTCTTCAATACTGATAGGAATCCCAAAATCCCTGTGGCTACTGGAAAGGGTCCTTGGGTGCCCTGCCTCACCTCGAGAAGCGTCCCTTTGGCCCTGCCAAGCCTCGAAGAGATTCCTGAGGTGTCCCTCGTTACTAGACAGGAGTCCTGACGTCACTGAAGAAACTCGTGTTTTGAAGGGCCATCCCCGCCGTAAGTCGAGAACATACCCCAGGTCCCCGCCGCAACTCGAGAAAAACCATGAGACTTCCCCCTAGAGGCGAGATGAGGCCCCATTCCCCTGCAGTGCATGCAGAGCTATTCCGTGATCCCATTCAAACAAGTCAGGAGCTTCGACTTGCTTAATGGATCTCGAGACAGTCCCCAAGAACACTGTCACCAGTCTAGACGGACCCTGAGGTCACCCCAGCAACGCAAAGCAGCTCCATGTGCCCCAAATCAACTCGAGATGAGGCCCGATTCCCCTGCATTGACTCCAGAGCCATTCCCCGTTCCCCATTCAACACGACCGGTGGCTCGACTTCCTTCAGGCAACTCCAGAGATGCCCCGAGAACACTGTCCCAAGTCTAGAGGAACACCAACTTCAGCACAGCAACTCGAGGAATGCTCCGTGTACCCCAAATCGTCTCGAGATGCGAGCTGATTCCCTGGCTTAGGCTCAAGACGTATGCCAACTTCCCAGAAGCACCTCAGGAGGAGGCTTCTCTCAGCAATAGGTATGTGGGAGGGACCCCGAGTTTGCTGCCTCAAGGGGAATATACAGCGAGAAGCCCTAACTTGAAAGGAGGCCGGATTTCCTTGCAGTGGCTTGAATACAGGCTCGTCTTTCATCTCACAACATGAAGGGATGTCTGAATCCCCTGTGGAGACCTTAGAGAAAGCCCTAGGTCCCTGCCTCATTTTGACGGAATGCCTCACATCCCGCTGACACCTCGAGAGGCACGCGGAGTTCATTGCTTCAAAAGGTGACGATGCCTGACTCCTCTTGAATACTGATAGGAATCCCAAAATCCCTGTGGCTACTGGAAAGGGTCCTTGGGTGCCCTGCCTCACCTCGAGAAGCGTCCCTTTGGCCCTGCCAAGCCTCGAAGAGATTCCTGAGGTGTCCCTCGTTACTAGACAGGAGTCCTGACGTCACTGAAGAAACTCGTGTTTTGAAGGGCCATCCCCGCCGTAAGTCGAGAACATATCCCAGGTCCCCGCCGCAACTCGAGAAAAACCATGAGACTTCCCCCTAGAGGCGAGATGAGGCCCCATTCCCCTGCAGTGCATGCAGAGCTATTCCGTGATCCCATTCAAACAAGTCAGGAGCTTCGACTTGCTTAATGGATCTCGAGACAGTCCCCAAGAACACTGTCACCAGTCTAGACGGACCCTGAGGTCACCCCAGCAACGCAAAGCAGCTCCATGTGCCCCAAATCAACTCGAGATGAGGCCCGATTCCCCTGCATTGACTCCAGAGCCATTCCCCGTTCCCCATTCAACACGACCGGTGGCTCGACTTCCTTCAGGCAACTCCAGAGATGCCCCGAGAACACTGTCCCAAGTCTAGAGGAACACCAACTTCAGCACAGCAACTCGAGGAATGCTCCGTGTACCCCAAATCGTCTCGAGATGCGAGCTGATTCCCTGGCTTAGGCTCAAGACGTATGCCAACTTCCCAGAAGCACCTCAGGAGGAGGCTTCTCTCAGCAATAGGTATGTGGGAGGGACCCCGAGTTTGCTGCCTCAAGGGGAATATACAGCGAGAAGCCCTAACTTGAAAGGAGGCCGGATTTCCTTGCAGTGGCTTGAATACAGGCTCGTCTTTCATCTCACAACATGAAGGGATGTCTGAATCCCCTGTGGAGACCTTAGAGAAAGCCCTAGGTCCCTGCCTCATTTTGACGGAATGCCTCACATCCCGCTGACACCTCGAGAGGCACGCGGAGTTCATTGCTTCAAAAGGTGACGATGCCTGACTCCTCTTGAATACTGATAGGAATCCCAAAATCCCTGTGGCTACTGGAAAGGGTCCTTGGGTGCCCTGCCTCACCTCGAGAAGCGTCCCTTTGGCCCTGCCAAGCCTCGAAGAGATTCCTGAGGTGTCCCTCGTTACTAGACAGGAGTCCTGACGTCACTGAAGAAACTCGTGTTTTGAAGGGCCATCCCCGCCGTAAGTCGAGAACATACCCCAGGTCCCCGCCGCAACTCGAGAAAAACTATGAGACTTCCCCCTAGAGGCGAGATGAGGCCCCATTCCCCTGCAGTGCATGCAGAGCTATTCCGTGATCCCATTCAAACAAGGCAGGAGCTTCGACTTGCTTAATGGATCTCGAGACAGTCCCCAAGAACACTGTCACCAGTCTAGACGGACCCTGAGGTCACCCCAGCAACGCAAAGCAGCTCCATGTGCCCCAAATCAACTCGAGATGAGGCCCGATTCCCCTGCATTGACTCCAGAGCCATTCCCCGTTCCCCATTCAACACGACCGGTGGCTCGACTTCCTTCAGGCAACTCCAGAGATGCCCCGAGAACACTGTCCCAAGTCTAGAGGAACACCAACTTCAGCACAGCAACTCGAGGAATGCTCCGTGTACCCCAAATCGTCTCGAGATGCGAGCTGATTCCCTGGCTTAGGCTCAAGACGTATGCCAACTTCCCAGAAGCACCTCAGGAGGAGGCTTCTCTCAGCAGTAGGTATGTGGGAGGGACCCCGAGTTTGCTGCCTCAAGGGGAATATACAGCGAGAAGCCCTAACTTGAAAGGAGGCCGGATTTCCTTGCAGTGGCTTGAATACAGGCTCGTCTTTCATCTCACAACATGAAGGGATGTCTGAATCCCCTGTGGAGACCTTAGAGAAAGCCCTAGGTCCCTGCCTCATTTTGACGGAATGCCTCACATCCCGCTGACACCTCGAGAGGCACGCGGAGTTCATTGCTTCAAAAGGTGACGATGCCTGACTCCTCTTGAATACTGATAGGAATCCCAAAATCCCTGTGGCTACTGGAAAGGGTCCTTGGGTGCCCTGCCTCACCTCGAGAAGCGTCCCTTTGGCCCTGCCAAGCCTCGAAGAGATTCCTGAGGTGTCCCTCGTTACTAGACAGGAGTCCTGACGTCACTGAAGAAACTCGTGTTTTGAAGGGCCATCCCCGCCGTAAGTCGAGAACATACCCCAGGTCCCCGCCGCAACTCGAGAAAAACCATGAGACTTCCCCCTAGAGGCGAGATGAGGCCCCATTCCCCTGCAGTGCATGCAGAGCTATTCCGTGATCCCATTCAAACAAGTCAGGAGCTTCGACTTGCTTAATGGATCTCGAGACAGTCCCCAAGAACACTGTCACCAGTCTAGACGGACCCTGAGGTCACCCCAGCAACGCAAAGCAGCTCCATGTGCCCCAAATCAACTCGAGATGAGGCCCGATTCCCCTGCATTGACTCCAGAGCCATTCCCCGTTCCCCATTCAACACGACCGGTGGCTCGACTTCCTTCAGGCAACTCCAGAGATGCCCCGAGAACACTGTCCCAAGTCTAAAGGAACACCAACTTCAGCACAGCAACTCGAGGAATGCTCCGTGTACCCCAAATCGTCTCGAGATGCGAGCTGATTCCCTGGCTTAGGCTCAAGACGTATGCCAACTTCCCAGAAGCACCTCAGGAGGAGGCTTCTCTCAGCAATAGGTATGTGGGAGGGACCCCGAGTTTGCTGCCTCAAGGGGAATATACAGCGAGAAGCCCTAACTTGAAAGGAGGCCGGATTTCCTTGCAGTGGCTTGAATACAGGCTCGTCTTTCATCTCACAACATGAAGGGATGTCTGAATCCCCTGTGGAGACCTTAGAGAAAGCCCTAGGTCCCTGCCTCATTTTGACGGAATGCCTCACATCCCGCTGACACCTCGAGAGGCACGCGGAGTTCATTGCTTCAAAAGGTGACGATGCCTGACTCCTCTTGAATACTGATAGGAATCCCAAAATCCCTGTGGCTACTGGAAAGGGTCCTTGGGTGCCCTGCCTCACCTCGAGAAGCGTCCCTTTTGCCCTGCCAAGCCTCGAAGAGATTCCTGAGGTGTCCCTCGTTACTAGACAGGAGTCCTGACGTCACTGAAGAAACTCGTGTTTTGAAGGGCCATCCCCGCCGTAAGTCGAGAACATACCCCAGGTCCCCGCCGCAACTCGAGAAAAACCATGAGACTTCCCCCTAGAGGCGAGATGAGGCCCCATTCCCCTGCAGTGCATGCAGAGCTATTCCATGATCCCATTCAAACAAGGCAGGAGCTTCGACTTGCTTAATGGATCTCGAGACAGTCCCCAAGAACACTGTCACCAGTCTAGACGGACCCTGAGGTCACCCCAGCAACGCAAAGCAGCTCCATGTGCCCCAAATCAACGCGAGATGAGGCCCGATTCCCCTGCATTGACTCCAGAGCCATTCCCCGTTCCCCATTCAACACGACCGGTGGCTCGACTTCCTTCAGGCAACTCCAGAGATGCCCCGAGAACACTGTCCCAAGTCTAGAGGAACACCAACTTCAGCACAGCAACTCGAGGAATGCTCCGTGTACCCCAAATCGTCTCGAGATGCGAGCTGATTCCCTGGCTTAGGCTCAAGACGTATGCCAACTTCCCAGAAGCACCTCAGGAGGAGGCTTCTCTCAGCAATAGGTATGTGGGAGGGACCCCGAGTTTGCTGCCTCAAGGGGAATATACAGCGAGAAGCCCTGACTTGAAAGGAGGCCGGATTTCCTTGCAGTGGCTTGAATACAGGCTCGTCTTTCATCTCACAACATGAAGGGATGTCTGAATCCCCTGTGGAGACCTTAGAGAAAGCCCTAGGTCCCTGCCTCATTTTGACGGAATGCCTCACATCCCGCTGACACCTCGAGAGGCACGCGGAGTTCATTGCTTCAAAAGGTGACGATGCCTGACTCCTCTTGAATACTGATAGGAATCCCAAAATCCCTGTGGCTACTGGAAAGGGTCCTTGGGTGCCCTGCCTCACCTCGAGAAGCGTCCCTTTTGCCCTGCCAAGCCTCGAAGAGATTCCTGAGGTGTCCCTCGTTACTAGACAGGAGTCCTGACGTCACTGAAGAAACTCGTGTTTTGAAGGGCCATCCCCGCAGTAAGTCGAGAACATACCCCAGGTCCCCGCCGCAACTCGAGAAAAACCATGAGACTTCCCCCTAGAGGCGAGATGAGGCCCCATTCCCCTGCAGTGCATGCAGAGCTATTCCGTGATCCCATTCAAACAAGGCAGGAGCTTCGACTTGCTTAATGGATCTCGAGACAGTCCCCAAGAACACTGTCACCAGTCTAGACGGACCCTGAGGTCACCCCAGCAACGCAAAGCAGCTCCATGTGCCCCAAATCAACGCGAGATGAGGCCCGATTCCCCTGCATTGACTCCAGAGCCATTCCCCGTTCCCCATTCAACACGACCGGTGGCTCGACTTCCTTCAGGCAACTCCAGAGATGCCCCGAGAACACTGTCCCAAGTCTAGAGGAACACCAACTTCAGCACAGCAACTCGAGGAATGCTCCGTGTACCCCAAATCGTCTCGAGATGCGAGCTGATTCCCTGGCTTAGGCTCAAGACGTATGCCAACTTCCCAGAAGCACCTCAGGAGGAGGCTTCTCTCAGCAATAGGTATGTGGGAGGGACCCCGAGTTTGCTGCCTCAAGGGGAATATACAGCGAGAAGCCCTAACTTGAAAGGAGGCCGGATTTCCTTGCAGTGGCTTGAATACAGGCTCGTCTTTCATCTCACAACATGAAGGGATGTCTGAATCCCCTGTGGAGACCTTAGAGAAAGCCCTAGGTCCCTGCCTCATTTTGACGGAATGCCTCACATCCCGCTGACACCTCGAGAGGCACGCGGAGTTCATTGCTTCAAAAGGTGACGATGCCTGACTCCTCTTGAATACTGATAGGAATCCCAAAATCCCTGTGGCTACTGGAAAGGGTCCTTGGGTGCCCTGCCTCACCTCGAGAAGCGTCCCTTTGGCCCTGCCAAGCCTCGAAGAGATTCCTGAGGTGTCCCTCGTTACTAGACAGGAGTCCTGACGTCACTGAAGAAACTCGTGTTTTGAAGGGCCATCCCCGCCGTAAGTCGAGAACATACCCCAGGTCCCCGCCGCAACTCGAGAAAAACCATGAGACTTCCCCCTAGAGGCGAGATGAGGCCCCATTCCCCTGCAGTGCATGCAGAGCTATTCCGTGATCCCATTCAAACAAGGCAGGAGCTTCGACTTGCTTAATGGATCTCGAGACAGTCCCCAAGAACACTGTCACCAGTCTAGACGGACCCTGAGGTCACCCCAGCAACGCAAAGCAGCTCCATGTGCCCCAAATCAACGCGAGATGAGGCCCGATTCCCCTGCATTGACTCCAGAGCCATTCCCCGTTCCCCATTCAACACGACCGGTGGCTCGACTTCCTTCAGGCAACTCCAGAGATGCCCCGAGAACACTGTCCCAAGTCTAGAGGAACACCAACTTCAGCACAGCAACTCGAGGAATGCTCCGTGTACCCCAAATCGTCTCGAGATGCGAGCTGATTCCCTGGCTTAGGCTCAAGACGTATGCCAACTTCCCAGAAGCACCTCAGGAGGAGGCTTCTCTCAGCAATAGGTATGTGGGAGGGACCCCGAGTTTGCTGCCTCAAGGGGAATATACAGCGAGAAGCCCTAACTTGAAAGGAGGCCGGATTTCCTTGCAGTGGCTTGAATACAGGCTCGTCTTTCATCTCACAACATGAAGGGATGTCTGAATCCCCTGTGGAGACCTTAGAGAAAGCCCTAGGTCCCTGCCTCATTTTGACGGAATGCCTCACATCCCGCTGACACCTCGAGAGGCACGCGGAGTTCATTGCTTCAAAAGGTGACGATGCCTGACTCCTCTTGAATACTGATAGGAATCCCAAAATCCCTGTGGCTACTGGAAAGGGTCCTTGGGTGCCCTGCCTCACCTCGAGAAGCGTCCCTTTGGCCCTGCCAAGCCTCGAAGAGATTCCTGAGGTGTCCCTCGTTACTAGACAGGAGTCCTGACGTCACTGAAGAAACTCGTGTTTTGAAGGGCCATCCCCGCCGTAAGTCGAGAACATACCCCAGGTCCCCGCCGCAACTCGAGAAAAACCATGAGACTTCCCCCTAGAGGCGAGATGAGGCCCCATTCCCCTGCAGTGCATGCAGAGCTATTCCGTGATCCCATTCAAACAAGGCAGGAGCTTCGACTTGCTTAATGGATCTCGAGACAGTCCCCAAGAACACTGTCACCAGTCTAGACGGACCCTGAGGTCACCCCAGCAACGCAAAGCAGCTCCATGTGCCCCAAATCAACGCGAGATGAGGCCCGATTCCCCTGCATTGACTCCAGAGCCATTCCCCGTTCCCCATTCAACACGACCGGTGGCTCGACTTCCTTCAGGCAACTCCAGAGATGCCCCGAGAACACTGTCCCAAGTCTAGAGGAACACCAACTTCAGCACAGCAACTCGAGGAATGCTCCGTGTACCCCAAATCGTCTCGAGATGCGAGCTGATTCCCTGGCTTAGGCTCAAGACGTATGCCAACTTCCCAGAAGCACCTCAGGAGGAGGCTTCTCTCAGCAATAGGTATGTGGGAGGGACCCCGAGTTTGCTGCCTCAAGGGGAATATACAGCGAGAAGCCCTAACTTGAAAGGAGGCCGGATTTCCTTGCAGTGGCTTGAATACAGGCTCGTCTTTCATCTCACAACATGAAGGGATGTCTGAATCCCCTGTGGAGACCTTAGAGAAAGCCCTAGGTCCCTGCCTCATTTTGACGGAATGCCTCACATCCCGCTGACACCTCGAGAGGCACGCGGAGTTCATTGCTTCAAAAGGTGACGATGCCTGACTCCTCTTGCATACTGATAGGAATCCCAAAATCCCTGTGGCTACTGGAAAGGGTCCTTGGGTGCCCTGCCTCACCTCGAGAAGCGTCCCTTTGGCCCTGCCAAGCCTCGAAGAGATTCCTGAGGTGTCCCTCGTTACTAGACAGGAGTCCTGACGTCACTGAAGAAACTCGTGTTTTGAAGGGCCATCCCCGCCGTAAGTCGAGAACATACCCCAGGTCCCCGCCGCAACTCGAGAAAAACCATGAGACTTCCCCCTAGAGGCGAGATGAGGCCCCATTCCCCTGCAGTGCATGCAGAGCTATTCCGTGATCCCATTCAAACAAGGCAGGAGCTTCGACTTGCTTAATGGATCTCGAGACAGTCCCCAAGAACACTGTCACCAGTCTAGACGGACCCTGAGGTCACCCCAGCAACGCAAAGCAGCTCCATGTGCCCCAAATCAACGCGAGATGAGGCCCGATTCCCCTGCATTGACTCCAGAGCCATTCCCCGTTCCCCATTCAACACGACCGGTGGCTCGACTTCCTTCAGGCAACTCCAGAGATGCCCCGAGAACACTGTCCCAAGTCTAGAGGAACACCAACTTCAGCACAGCAAATCGAGGAATGCTCCGTGTACCCCAAATCGTCTCGAGATGCGAGCTGATTCCCTGGCTTAGGCTCAAGACGTATGCCAACTTCCCAGAAGCACCTCAGGAGGAGGCTTCTCTCAGCAATAGGTATGTGGGAGGGACCCCGAGTTTGCTGCCTCAAGGGGAATATACAGCGAGAAGCCCTAACTTGAAAGGAGGCCGGATTTCCTTGCAGTGGCTTGAATACAGGCTCGTCTTTCATCTCACAACATGAAGGGATGTCTGAATCCCCTGTGGAGACCTTAGAGAAAGCCCTAGGTCCCTGCCTCATTTTGACGGAATGCCTCACATCCCGCTGACACCTCGAGAGGCACGCGGAGTTCATTGCTTCAAAAGGTGACGATGCCTGACTCCTCTTGAATACTGATAGGAATCCCAAAATCCCTGTGGCTACTGGAAAGGGTCCTTGGGTGCCCTGCCTCACCTCGAGAAGCGTCCCTTTGGCCCTGCCAAGCCTCGAAGAGATTCCTGAGGTGTCCCTCGTTACTAGACAGGAGTCCTGACGTCACTGAAGAAACTCGTGTTTTGAAGGGCCATCCCCGCCGTAAGTCGAGAACATACCCCAGGTCCCCGCCGCAACTCGAGAAAAACCATGAGACTTCCCCCTAGAGGCGAGATGAGGCCCCATTCCCCTGCAGTGCATGCAGAGCTATTCCGTGATCCCATTCAAACAAGGCAGGAGCTTCGACTTGCTTAATGGATCTCGAGACAGTCCCCAAGAACACTGTCACCAGTCTAGACGGACCCTGAGGTCACCCCAGCAACGCAAAGCAGCTCCATGTGCCCCAAATCAACGCGAGATGAGGCCCGATTCCCCTGCATTGACTCCAGAGCCATTCCCCGTTCCCCATTCAACACGACCGGTGGCTCGACTTCCTTCAGGCAACTCCAGAGATGCCCCGAGAACACTGTCCCAAGTCTAGAGGAACACCAACTTCAGCACAGCAACTCGAGGAATGCTCCGTGTACCCCAAATCGTCTCGAGATGCGAGCTGATTCCCTGGCTTAGGCTCAAGACGTATGCCAACTTCCCAGAAGCACCTCAGGAGGAGGCTTCTCTCAGCAATAGGTATGTGGGAGGGACCCCGAGTTTGCTGCCTCAAGGGGAATATACAGCGAGAAGCCCTAACTTGAAAGGAGGCCGGATTTCCTTGCAGTGGCTTGAATACAGGCTCGTCTTTCATCTCACAACATGAAGGGATGTCTGAATCCCCTGTGGAGACCTTAGAGAAAGCCCTAGGTCCCTGCCTCATTTTGACGGAATGCCTCACATCCCGCTGACACCTCGAGAGGCACGCGGAGTTCATTGCTTCAAAAGGTGACGATGCCTGACTCCTCTTGAATACTGATAGGAATCCCAAAATCCCTGTGGCTACTGGAAAGGGTCCTTGGGTGCCCTGCCTCACCTCGAGAAGCGTCCCTTTGGCCCTGCCAAGCCTCGAAGAGATTCCTGAGGTGTCCCTCGTTACTAGACAGGAGTCCTGACGTCACTGAAGAAACTCGTGTTTTGAAGGGTCATCCCCGCCGTAAGTCGAGAACATACCCCAGGTCCCCGCCGCAACTCGAGAAAAACCATGAGACTTCCCCCTAGAGGCGAGATGAGGCCCCATTCCCCTGCAGTGCATGCAGAGCTATTCCGTGATCCCATTCAAACAAGTCAGGAGCTTCGACTTGCTTAATGGATCTCGAGACAGTCCCCAAGAACACTGTCACCAGTCTAGACGGACCCTGAGGTCACCCCAGCAACGCAAAGCAGCTCCATGTGCCCCAAATCAACTCGAGATGAGGCCCGATTCCCCTGCATTGACTCCAGAGCCATTCCCCGTTCCCCATTCAACACGACCGGTGGCTCGACTTCCTTCAGGCAACTCCAGAGATGCCCCGAGAACACTGTCCCAAGTCTAGAGGAACACCACCTTCAGCACAGCAACTCGAGGAATGCTCCGTGTACCCCAAATCGTCTCGAGATGCGAGCTGATTCCCTGGCTTAGGCTCAAGACGTATGCCAACTTCCCAGAAGCACCTCAGGAGGAGGCTTCTCTCAGCAATAGGTATGTGGGAGGGACCCCGAGTTTGCTGCCTCAAGGGGAATATACAGCGAGAAGCCCTAACTTGAAAGGAGGCCGGATTTCCTTGCAGTGGCTTGAATACAGGCTCGTCTTTCATCTCACAACATGAAGGGATGTCTGAATCCCCTGTGGAGACCTTAGAGAAAGCCCTAGGTCCCTGCATCATTTTGACGGAATGCCTCACATCCCGCTGACACCTCGAGAGGCACGCGGAGTTCATTGCTTCAAAAGGTGACGATGCCTGACTCCTCTTGAATACTGATAGGAATCCCAAAATCCCTGTGGCTACTGGAAAGGGTCCTTGGGTGCCCTGCCTCACCTCGAGAAGCGTCCCTTTGGCCCTGCCAAGCCTCGAAGAGATTCCTGAGGTGTCCCTCGTTACTAGACAGGAGTCCTGACGTCACTGAAGAAACTCGTGTTTTGAAGGGCCATCCCCGCCGTAAGTCGAGAACATACCCCAGGTCCCCGCCGCAACTCGAGAAAAACCATGAGACTTCCCCCTAGAGGCGAGATGAGGCCCCATTCCCCTGCAGTGCATGCAGAGCTATTCCGTGATCCCATTCAAACAAGGCAGGAGCTTCGACTTGCTTAATGGATCTCGAGACAGTCCCCAAGAACACTGTCACCAGTCTAGACGGACCCTGAGGTCACCCCAGCAACGCAAAGCAGCTCCATGTGCCCCAAATCAACTCGAGATGAGGCCCGATTCCCCTGCATTGACTCCAGAGCCATTCCCCGTTCCCCATTCAACACGACCGGTGGCTCGACTTCCTTCAGGCAACTCCAGAGATGCCCCGAGAACACTGTCCCAAGTCTAGAGGAACACCACCTTCAGCACAGCAACTCGAGGAATGCTCCGTGTACCCCAAATCGTCTCGAGATGCGAGCTGATTCCCTGGCTTAGGCTCAAGACGTATGCCAACTTCCCAGAAGCACCTCAGGAGGAGGCTTCTCTCAGCAATAGGTATGTGGGAGGGACCCCGAGTTTGCTGCCTCAAGGGGAATATACAGCGAGAAGCCCTAACTTGAAAGGAGGCCGGATTTCCTTGCAGTGGCTTGAATACAGGCTCGTCTTTCATCTCACAACATGAAGGGATGTCTGAATCCCCTGTGGAGACCTTAGAGAAAGCCCTAGGTCCCTGCCTCATTTTGACGGAATGCCTCACATCCCGCTGACACCTCGAGAGGCACGCGGAGTTCATTGCTTCAAAAGGTGACGATGCCTGACTCCTCTTGAATACTGATAGGAATCCCAAAATCCCTGTGGCTACTGGAAAGGGTCCTTGGGTGCCCTGCCTCACCTCGAGAAGCGTCCCTTTTGCCCTGCCAAGCCTCGAAGAGATTCCTGAGGTGTCCCTCGTTACTAGACAGGAGTCCTGACGTCACTGAAGAAACTCGTGTTTTGAAGGGCCATCCCCGCCGTAAGTCGAGAACATACCCCAGGTCCCCGCCGCAACTCGAGAAAAACCATGAGACTTCCCCCTAGAGGCGAGATGAGGCCCCATTCCCCTGCAGTGCATGCAGAGCTATTCCGTGATCCCATTCAAACAAGGCAGGAGCTTCGACTTGCTTAATGGATCTCGAGACAGTCCCCAAGAACACTGTCACCAGTCTAGACGGACCCTGAGGTCACCCCAGCAACGCAAAGCAGCTCCATGTGCCCCAAATCAACTCGAGATGAGGCCCGATTCCCCTGCATTGACTCCAGAGCCATTCCCCGTTCCCCATTCAACACGACCGGTGGCTCGACTTCCTTCAGGCAACTCCAGAGATGCCCCGAGAACACTGTCCCAAGTCTAGAGGAACACCACCTTCAGCACAGCAACTCGAGGAATGCTCCGTGTACCCCAAATCGTCTCGAGATGCGAGCTGATTCCCTGGCTTAGGCTCAAGACGTATGCCAACTTCCCAGAAGCACCTCAGGAGGAGGCTTCTCTCAGCAATAGGTATGTGGGAGGGACCCCGAGTTTGCTGCCTCAAGGGGAATATACAGCGAGAAGCCCTAACTTGAAAGGAGGCCGGATTTCCTTGCAGTGGCTTGAATACAGGCTCGTCTTTCATCTCACAACATGAAGGGATGTCTGAATCCCCTGTGGAGACCTTAGAGAAAGCCCTAGGTCCCTGCCTCATTTTGACGGAATGCCTCACATCCCGCTGACACCTCGAGAGGCACGCGGAGTTCATTGCTTCAAAAGGTGACGATGCCTGACTCCTCTTGAATACTGATAGGAATCCCAAAATCCCTGTGGCTACTGGAAAGGGTCCTTGGGTGCCCTGCCTCACCTCGAGAAGCGTCCCTTTTGCCCTGCCAAGCCTCGAAGAGATTCCTGAGGTGTCCCTCGTTACTAGACAGGAGTCCTGACGTCACTGAAGAAACTCGTGTTTTGAAGGGCCATCCCCGCCGTAAGTCGAGAACATACCCCAGGTCCCCGCCGCAACTCGAGAAAAACCATGAGACTTCCCCCTAGAGGCGAGATGAGGCCCCATTCCCCTGCAGTGCATGCAGAGCTATTCCGTGATCCCATTCAAACAAGGCAGGAGCTTCGACTTGCTTAATGGATCTCGAGACAGTCCCCAAGAACACTGTCACCAGTCTAGACGGACCCTGAGGTCACCCCAGCAACGCAAAGCAGCTCCATGTGCCCCAAATCAACGCGAGATGAGGCCCGATTCCCCTGCATTGACTCCAGAGCCATTCCCCGTTCCCCATTCAACACGACCGGTGGCTCGACTTCCTTCAGGCAACTCCAGAGATGCCCCGAGAACACTGTCCCAAGTCTAGAGGAACACCACCTTCAGCACAGCAACTCGAGGAATGCTCCGTGTACCCCAAATCGTCTCGAGATGCGAGCTGATTCCCTGGCTTAGGCTCAAGACGTATGCCAACTTCCCAGAAGCACCTCAGGAGGAGGCTTCTCTCAGCAATAGGTATGTGGGAGGGACCCCGAGTTTGCTGCCTCAAGGGGAATATACAGCGAGAAGCCCTAACTTGAAAGGAGGCCGGATTTCCTTGCAGTGGCTTGAATACAGGCTCGTCTTTCATCTCACAACATGAAGGGATGTCTGAATCCCCTGTGGAGACCTTAGAGAAAGCCCTAGGTCCCTGCCTCATTTTGACGGAATGCCTCACATCCCGCTGACACCTCGAGAGGCACGCGGAGTTCATTGCTTCAAAAGGTGACGATGCCTGACTCCTCTTGAATACTGATAGGAATCCCAAAATCCCTGTGGCTACTGGAAAGGGTCCTTGGGTGCCCTGCCTCACCTCGAGAAGCGTCCCTTTTGCCCTGCCAAGCCTCGAAGAGATTCCTGAGGTGTCCCTCGTTACTAGACAGGAGTCCTGACGTCACTGAAGAAACTCGTGTTTTGAAGGGCCATCCCCGCAGTAAGTCGAGAACATACCCCAGGTCCCCGCAGCAACTCGAGAAAAACCATGAGACTTCCCCCTAGAGGCGAGATGAGGCCCCATTCCCCTGCAGTGCATGCAGAGCTATTCCGTGATCCCATTCAAACAAGGCAGGAGCTTCGACTTGCTTAATGGATCTCGAGACAGTCCCCAAGAACACTGTCACCAGTCTAGACGGACCCTGAGGTCACCCCAGCAACGCAAAGCAGCTCCATGTGCCCCAAATCAACGCGAGATGAGGCCCGATTCCCCTGCATTGACTCCAGAGCCATTCCCCGTTCCCCATTCAACACGACCGGTGGCTCGACTTCCTTCAGGCAACTCCAGAGATGCCCCGAGAACACTGTCCCAAGTCTAGAGGAACACCAACTTCAGCACAGCAACTCGAGGAATGCTCCGTGTACCCCAAATCGTCTCGAGATGCGAGCTGATTCCCTGGCTTAGGCTCAAGACGTATGCCAACTTCCCAGAAGCACCTCAGGAGGAGGCTTCTCTCAGCAATAGGTATGTGGGAGGGACCCCGAGTTTGCTGCCTCAAGGGGAATATACAGCGAGAAGCCCTAACTTGAAAGGAGGCCGGATTTCCTTGCAGTGGCTTGAATACAGGCTCGTCTTTCATCTCACAACATGAAGGGATGTCTGAATCCCCTGTGGAGACCTTAGAGAAAGCCCTAGGTCCCTGCCTCATTTTGACGGAATGCCTCACATCCCGCTGACACCTCGAGAGGCACGCGGAGTTCATTGCTTCAAAAGGTGACGATGCCTGACTCCTCTTGAATACTGATAGGAATCCCAAAATCCCTGTGGCTACTGGAAAGGGTCCTTGGGTGCCCTGCCTCACCTCGAGAAGCGTCCCTTTGGCCCTGCCAAGCCTCGAAGAGATTCCTGAGGTGTCCCTCGTTACTAGACAGGAGTCCTGACGTCACTGAAGAAACTCGTGTTTTGAAGGGCCATCCCCGCCGTAAGTCGAGAACATACCCCAGGTCCCCGCCGCAACTCGAGAAAAACCATGAGACTTCCCCCTAGAGGCGAGATGAGGCCCCATTCCCCTGCAGTGCATGCAGAGCTATTCCGTGATCCCATTCAAACAAGTCAGGAGCTTCGACTTGCTTAATGGATCTCGAGACAGTCCCCAAGAACACTGTCACCAGTCTAGACGGACCCTGAGGTCACCCCAGCAACGCAAAGCAGCTCCATGTGCCCCAAATCAACTCGAGATGAGGCCCGATTCCCCTGCATTGACTCTTGAGCCATTCCCCGTTCCCCATTCAACACGACCGGTGGCTCGACTTCCTTCAGGCAACTCCAGAGATGCCCCGAGAACACTGTCCCAAGTCTAGAGGAACACCACCTTCAGCACAGCAACTCGAGGAATGCTCCGTGTACCCCAAATCGTCTCGAGATGCGAGCTGATTCCCTGGCTTAGGCTCAAGACGTATGCCAACTTCCCAGAAGCACCTCAGGAGGAGGCTTCTCTCAGCAATAGGTATGTGGGAGGGACCCCGAGTTTGCTGCCTCAAGGGGAATATACAGCGAGAAGCCCTAACTTGAAAGGAGGCCGGATTTCCTTGCAGTGGCTTGAATACAGGCTCGTCTTTCATCTCACAACATGAAGGGATGTCTGAATCCCCTGTGGAGACCTTAGAGAAAGCCCTAGGTCCCTGCCTCATTTTGACGGAATGCCTCACATCCCGCTGACACCTCGAGAGGCACGCGGAGTTCATTGCTTCAAAAGGTGACGATGCCTGACTCCTCTTGAATACTGATAGGAATCCCAAAATCCCTGTGGCTACTGGAAAGGGTCCTTGGGTGCCCTGCCTCACCTCGAGAAGCGTCCCTTTGGCCCTGCCAAGCCTCGAAGAGATTCCTGAGGTGTCCCTCGTTACTAGACAGGAGTCCTGACGTCACTGAAGAAACTCGTGTTTTGAAGGGCCATTCCCGCCGTAAGTCGAGAACATACCCCAGGTCCCCGCCGCAACTCGAGAAAAACCATGAGACTTCCCCCTAGAGGCGAGATGAGGCCCCATTCCCCTGCAGTGCATGCAGAGCTATTCCGTGATCCCATTCAAACAAGGCAGGAGCTTCGACTTGCTTAATGGATCTCGAGACAGTCCCCAAGAACACTGTCACCAGTCTAGACGGACCCTGAGGTCACCCCAGCAACGCAAAGCAGCTCCATGTGCCCCAAATCAACGCGAGATGAGGCCCGATTCCCCTGCATTGACTCCAGAGCCATTCCCCGTTCCCCATTCAACACGACCGGTGGCTCGACTTCCTTCAGGCAACTCCAGAGATGCCCCGAGAACACTGTCCCAAGTCTAGAGGAACACCAACTTCAGCACAGCAACTCGAGGAATGCTCCGTGTACCCCAAATCGTCTCGAGATGCGAGCTGATTCCCTGGCTTAGGCTCAAGACGTATGCCAACTTCCCAGAAGCACCTCAGGAGGAGGCTTCTCTCAGCAATAGGTATGTGGGAGGGACCCCGAGTTTGCTGCCTCAAGGGGAATATACAGCGAGAAGCCCTAACTTGAAAGGAGGCCGGATTTCCTTGCAGTGGCTTGAATACAGGCTCGTCTTTCATCTCACAACATGAAGGGATGTCTGAATCCCCTGTGGAGACCTTAGAGAAAGCCCTAGGTCCCTGCCTCATTTTGACGGAATGCCTCACATCCCGCTGACACCTCGAGAGGCACGCGGAGTTCATTGCTTCAAAAGGTGACGATGCCTGACTCCTCTTGAATACTGATAGGAATCCCAAAATCCCTGTGGCTACTGGAAAGTGTCCTTGGGTGCCCTGCCTCACCTCGAGAAGCGTCCCTTTTGCCCTGCCAAGCCTCGAAGAGATTCCTGAGGTGTCCCTCGTTACTAGACAGGAGTCCTGACGTCACTGAAGAAACTCGTGTTTTGAAGGGCCATCCCCGCAGTAAGTCGAGAACATACCCCAGGTCCCCGCCGCAACTCGAGAAAAACCATGAGACTTCCCCCTAGAGGCGAGATGAGGCCCCATTCCCCTGCAGTGCATGCAGAGCTATTCCGTGATCCCATTCAAACAAGGCAGGAGCTTCGACTTGCTTAATGGATCTCGAGACAGTCCCCAAGAACACTGTCACCAGTCTAGACGGACCCTGAGGTCACCCCAGCAACGCAAAGCAGCTCCATGTGCCCCAAATCAACGCGAGATGAGGCCCGATTCCCCTGCATTGACTCCAGAGCCATTCCCCGTTCCCCATTCAACACGACCGGTGGCTCGACTTCCTTCAGGCAACTCCAGAGATGCCCCGAGAACACTGTCCCAAGTCTAGAGGAACACCAACTTCAGCACAGCAACTCGAGGAATGCTCCGTGTACCCCAAATCGTCTCGAGATGCGAGCTGATTCCCTGGCTTAGGCTCAAGACGTATGCCAACTTCCCAGAAGCACCTCAGGAGGAGGCTTCTCTCAGCAATAGGTATGTGGGAGGGACCCCGAGTTTGCTGCCTCAAGGGGAATATACAGCGAGAAGCCCTAACTTGAAAGGAGGCCGGATTTCCTTGCAGTGGCTTGAATACAGGCTCGTCTTTCATCTCACAACATGAAGGGATGTCTGAATCCCCTGTGGAGACCTTAGAGAAAGCCCTAGGTCCCTGCCTCATTTTGACGGAATGCCTCACATCCCGCTGACACCTCGAGAGGCACGCGGAGTTCATTGCTTCAAAATGTGACGATGCCTGACTCCTCTTGAATACTGATAGGAATCCCAAAATCCCTGTGGCTACTGGAAAGGGTCCTTGGGTGCCCTGCCTCACCTCGAGAAGCGTCCCTTTGGCCCTGCCAAGCCTCGAAGAGATTCCTGAGGTGTCCCTCGTTACTAGACAGGAGTCCTGACGTCACTGAAGAAACTCGTGTTTTGAAGGGCCATCCCCGCCGTAAGTCGAGAACATACCCCAGGTCCCCGCCGCAACTCGAGAAAAACCATGAGACTTCCCCCTAGAGGCGAGATGAGGCCCCATTCCCCTGCAGTGCATGCAGAGCTATTCCGTGATCCCATTCAAACAAGTCAGGAGCTTCGACTTGCTTAATGGATCTCGAGACAGTCCCCAAGAACACTGTCACCAGTCTAGACGGACCCTGAGGTCACCCCAGCAACGCAAAGCAGCTCCATGTGCCCCAAATCAACTCGAGATGAGGCCCGATTCCCCTGCATTGACTCTTGAGCCATTCCCCGTTCCCCATTCAACACGACCGGTGGCTCGACTTCCTTCAGGCAACTCCAGAGATGCCCCGAGAACACTGTCCCAAGTCTAGAGGAACACCAACTTCAGCACAGCAACTCGAGGAATGCTCCGTGTACCCCAAATCGTCTCGAGATGCGAGCTGATTCCCTGGCTTAGGCTCAAGACGTATGCCAACTTCCCAGAAGCACCTCAGGAGGAGGCTTCTCTCAGCAATAGGTATGTGGGAGGGACCCCGAGTTTGCTGCCTCAAGGGGAATATACAGCGAGAAGCCCTAACTTGAAAGGAGGCCGGATTTCCTTGCAGTGGCTTGAATACAGGCTCGTCTTTCATCTCACAACATGAAGGGATGTCTGAATCCCCTGTGGAGACCTTAGAGAAAGCCCTAGGTCCCTGCCTCATTTTGACGGAATGCCTCACATCCCGCTGACACCTCGAGAGGCACGCGGAGTTCATTGCTTCAAAAGGTGACGATGCCTGACTCCTCTTGAATACTGATAGGAATCCCAAAATCCCTGTGGCTACTGGAAAGGGTCCTTGGGTGCCCTGCCTCACCTCGAGAAGCGTCCCTTTTGCCCTGCCAAGCCTCGAAGAGATTCCTGAGGTGTCCCTCGTTACTAGACAGGAGTCCTGACGTCACTGAAGAAACTCGTGTTTTGAAGGGCCATCCCCGCAGTAAGTCGAGAACATACCCCAGGTCCCCGCAGCAACTCGAGAAAAACCATGAGACTTCCCCCTAGAGGCGAGATGAGGCCCCATTCCCCTGCAGTGCATGCAGAGCTATTCCGTGATCCCATTCAAACAAGGCAGGAGCTTCGACTTGCTTAATGGATCTCGAGACAGTCCCCAAGAACACTGTCACCAGTCTAGACGGACCCTGAGGTCACCCCAGCAACGCAAAGCAGCTCCATGTGCCCCAAATCAACGCGAGATGAGGCCCGATTCCCCTGCATTGACTCCAGAGCCATTCCCCGTTCCCCATTCAACACGACCGGTGGCTCGACTTCCTTCAGGCAACTCCAGAGATGCCCCGAGAACACTGTCCCAAGTCTAGAGGAACACCAACTTCAGCACAGCAACTCGAGGAATGCTCCGTGTACCCCAAATCGTCTCGAGATGCGAGCTGATTCCCTGGCTTAGGCTCAAGACGTATGCCAACTTCCCAGAAGCACCTCAGGAGGAGGCTTCTCTCAGCAATAGGTATGTGGGAGGGACCCCGAGTTTGCTGCCTCAAGGGGAATATACAGCGAGAAGCCCTAACTTGAAAGGAGGCCGGATTTCCTTGCAGTGGCTTGAATACAGGCTCGTCTTTCATCTCACAACATGAAGGGATGTCTGAATCCCCTGTGGAGACCTTAGAGAAAGCCCTAGGTCCCTGCCTCATTTTGACGGAATGCCTCACATCCCGCTGACACCTCGAGAGGCACGCGGAGTTCATTGCTTCAAAAGGTGACGATGCCTGACTCCTCTTGAATACTGATAGGAATCCCAAAATCCCTGTGGCTACTGGAAAGGGTCCTTGGGTGCCCTGCCTCACCTCGAGAAGCGTCCCTTTGGCCCTGCCAAGCCTCGAAGAGATTCCTGAGGTGTCCCTCGTTACTAGACAGGAGTCCTGACGTCACTGAAGAAACTCGTGTTTTGAAGGGCCATCCCCGCCGTAAGTCGAGAACATACCCCAGGTCCCCGCCGCAACTCGAGAAAAACCATGAGACTTCCCCCTAGAGGCGAGATGAGGCCCCATTCCCCTGCAGTGCATGCAGAGCTATTCCGTGATCCCATTCAAACAAGTCAGGAGCTTCGACTTGCTTAATGGATCTCGAGACAGTCCCCAAGAACACTGTCACCAGTCTAGACGGACCCTGAGGTCACCCCAGCAACGCAAAGCAGCTCCATGTGCCCCAAATCAACTCGAGATGAGGCCCGATTCCCCTGCATTGACTCTTGAGCCATTCCCCGTTCCCCATTCAACACGACCGGTGGCTCGACTTCCTTCAGGCAACTCCAGAGATGCCCCGAGAACACTGTCCCAAGTCTAGAGGAACACCACCTTCAGCACAGCAACTCGAGGAATGCTCCGTGTACCCCAAATCGTCTCGAGATGCGAGCTGATTCCCTGGCTTAGGCTCAAGACGTATGCCAACTTCCCAGAAGCACCTCAGGAGGAGGCTTCTCTCAGCAATAGGTATGTGGGAGGGACCCCGAGTTTGCTGCCTCAAGGGGAATATACAGCGAGAAGCCCTAACTTGAAAGGAGGCCGGATTTCCTTGCAGTGGCTTGAATACAGGCTCGTCTTTCATCTCACAACATGAAGGGATGTCTGAATCCCCTGTGGAGACCTTAGAGAAAGCCCTAGGTCCCTGCCTCATTTTGACGGAATGCCTCACATCCCGCTGACACCTCGAGAGGCACGCGGAGTTCATTGCTTCAAAAGGTGACGATGCCTGACTCCTCTTGAATACTGATAGGAATCCCAAAATCCCTGTGGCTACTGGAAAGGGTCCTTGGGTGCCCTGCCTCACCTCGAGAAGCGTCCCTTTGGCCCTGCCAAGCCTCGAAGAGATTCCTGAGGTGTCCCTCGTTACTAGACAGGAGTCCTGACGTCACTGAAGAAACTCGTGTTTTGAAGGGCCATTCCCGCCGTAAGTCGAGAACATACCCCAGGTCCCCGCCGCAACTCGAGAAAAACCATGAGACTTCCCCCTAGAGGCGAGATGAGGCCCCATTCCCCTGCAGTGCATGCAGAGCTATTCCGTGATCCCATTCAAACAAGGCAGGAGCTTCGACTTGCTTAATGGATCTCGAGACAGTCCCCAAGAACACTGTCACCAGTCTAGACGGACCCTGAGGTCACCCCAGCAACGCAAAGCAGCTCCATGTGCCCCAAATCAACGCGAGATGAGGCCCGATTCCCCTGCATTGACTCCAGAGCCATTCCCCGTTCCCCATTCAACACGACCGGTGGCTCGACTTCCTTCAGGCAACTCCAGAGATGCCCCGAGAACACTGTCCCAAGTCTAGAGGAACACCAACTTCAGCACAGCAACTCGAGGAATGCTCCGTGTACCCCAAATCGTCTCGAGATGCGAGCTGATTCCCTGGCTTAGGCTCAAGACGTATGCCAACTTCCCAGAAGCACCTCAGGAGGAGGCTTCTCTCAGCAATAGGTATGTGGGAGGGACCCCGAGTTTGCTGCCTCAAGGGGAATATACAGCGAGAAGCCCTAACTTGAAAGGAGGCCGGATTTCCTTGCAGTGGCTTGAATACAGGCTCGTCTTTCATCTCACAACATGAAGGGATGTCTGAATCCCCTGTGGAGACCTTAGAGAAAGCCCTAGGTCCCTGCCTCATTTTGACGGAATGCCTCACATCCCGCTGACACCTCGAGAGGCACGCGGAGTTCATTGCTTCAAAAGGTGACGATGCCTGACTCCTCTTGAATACTGATAGGAATCCCAAAATCCCTGTGGCTACTGGAAAGTGTCCTTGGGTGCCCTGCCTCACCTCGAGAAGCGTCCCTTTTGCCCTGCCAAGCCTCGAAGAGATTCCTGAGGTGTCCCTCGTTACTAGACAGGAGTCCTGACGTCACTGAAGAAACTCGTGTTTTGAAGGGCCATCCCCGCAGTAAGTCGAGAACATACCCCAGGTCCCCGCCGCAACTCGAGAAAAACCATGAGACTTCCCCCTAGAGGCGAGATGAGGCCCCATTCCCCTGCAGTGCATGCAGAGCTATTCCGTGATCCCATTCAAACAAGGCAGGAGCTTCGACTTGCTTAATGGATCTCGAGACAGTCCCCAAGAACACTGTCACCAGTCTAGACGGACCCTGAGGTCACCCCAGCAACGCAAAGCAGCTCCATGTGCCCCAAATCAACGCGAGATGAGGCCCGATTCCCCTGCATTGACTCCAGAGCCATTCCCCGTTCCCCATTCAACACGACCGGTGGCTCGACTTCCTTCAGGCAACTCCAGAGATGCCCCGAGAACACTGTCCCAAGTCTAGAGGAACACCAACTTCAGCACAGCAACTCGAGGAATGCTCCGTGTACCCCAAATCGTCTCGAGATGCGAGCTGATTCCCTGGCTTAGGCTCAAGACGTATGCCAACTTCCCAGAAGCACCTCAGGAGGAGGCTTCTCTCAGCAATAGGTATGTGGGAGGGACCCCGAGTTTGCTGCCTCAAGGGGAATATACAGCGAGAAGCCCTAACTTGAAAGGAGGCCGGATTTCCTTGCAGTGGCTTGAATACAGGCTCGTCTTTCATCTCACAACATGAAGGGATGTCTGAATCCCCTGTGGAGACCTTAGAGAAAGCCCTAGGTCCCTGCCTCATTTTGACGGAATGCCTCACATCCCGCTGACACCTCGAGAGGCACGCGGAGTTCATTGCTTCAAAATGTGACGATGCCTGACTCCTCTTGAATACTGATAGGAATCCCAAAATCCCTGTGGCTACTGGAAAGGGTCCTTGGGTGCCCTGCCTCACCTCGAGAAGCGTCCCTTTGGCCCTGCCAAGCCTCGAAGAGATTCCTGAGGTGTCCCTCGTTACTAGACAGGAGTCCTGACGTCACTGAAGAAACTCGTGTTTTGAAGGGCCATCCCCGCCGTAAGTCGAGAACATACCCCAGGTCCCCGCCGCAACTCGAGAAAAACCATGAGACTTCCCCCTAGAGGCGAGATGAGGCCCCATTCCCCTGCAGTGCATGCAGAGCTATTCCGTGATCCCATTCAAACAAGTCAGGAGCTTCGACTTGCTTAATGGATCTCGAGACAGTCCCCAAGAACACTGTCACCAGTCTAGACGGACCCTGAGGTCACCCCAGCAACGCAAAGCAGCTCCATGTGCCCCAAATCAACTCGAGATGAGGCCCGATTCCCCTGCATTGACTCTTGAGCCATTCCCCGTTCCCCATTCAACACGACCGGTGGCTCGACTTCCTTCAGGCAACTCCAGAGATGCCCCGAGAACACTGTCCCAAGTCTAGAGGAACACCAACTTCAGCACAGCAACTCGAGGAATGCTCCGTGTACCCCAAATCGTCTCGAGATGCGAGCTGATTCCCTGGCTTAGGCTCAAGACGTATGCCAACTTCCCAGAAGCACCTCAGGAGGAGGCTTCTCTCAGCAATAGGTATGTGGGAGGGACCCCGAGTTTGCTGCCTCAAGGGGAATATACAGCGAGAAGCCCTAACTTGAAAGGAGGCCGGATTTCCTTGCAGTGGCTTGAATACAGGCTCGTCTTTCATCTCACAACATGAAGGGATGTCTGAATCCCCTGTGGAGACCTTAGAGAAAGCCCTAGGTCCCTGCCTCATTTTGACGGAATGCCTCACATCCCGCTGACACCTCGAGAGGCACGCGGAGTTCATTGCTTCAAAAGGTGACGATGCCTGACTCCTCTTGAATACTGATAGGAATCCCAAAATCCCTGTGGCTACTGGAAAGGGTCCTTGGGTGCCCTGCCTCACCTCGAGAAGCGTCCCTTTGGCCCTGCCAAGCCTCGAAGAGATTCCTGAGGTGTCCCTCGTTACTAGACAGGAGTCCTGACGTCACTGAAGAAACTCGTGTTTTGAAGGGCCATCCCCGCCGTAAGTCGAGAACATACCCCAGGTCCCCGCCGCAACTCGAGAAAAACCATGAGACTTCCCCCTAGAGGCGAGATGAGGCCCCATTCCCCTGCAGTGCATGCAGAGCTATTCCGTGATCCCATTCAAACAAGTCAGGAGCTTCGACTTGCTTAATGGATCTCGAGACAGTCCCCAAGAACACTGTCACCAGTCTAGACGGACCCTGAGGTCACCCCAGCAACGCAAAGCAGCTCCATGTGCCCCAAATCAACTCGAGATGAGGCCCGATTCCCCTGCATTGACTCCAGAGCCATTCCCCGTTCCCCATTCAACACGACCGGTGGCTCGACTTCCTTCAGGCAACTCCAGAGATGCCCCGAGAACACTGTCCCAAGTCTAGAGGAACACCACCTTCAGCACAGCAACTCGAGGAATGCTCCGTGTACCCCAAATCGTCTCGAGATGCGAGCTGATTCCCTGGCTTAGGCTCAAGACGTATGCCAACTTCCCAGAAGCACCTCAGGAGGAGGCTTCTCTCAGCAATAGGTATGTGGGAGGGACCCCGAGTTTGCTGCCTCAAGGGGAATATACAGCGAGAAGCCCTAACTTGAAAGGAGGCCGGATTTCCTTGCAGTGGCTTGAATACAGGCTCGTCTTTCATCTCACAACATGAAGGGATGTCTGAATCCCCTGTGGAGACCTTAGAGAAAGCCCTAGGTCCCTGCCTCATTTTGACGGAATGCCTCACATCCCGCTGACTCCTCGAGAGGCACGCGGAGTTCATTGCTTCAAAAGGTGACGATGCCTGACTCCTCTTGAATACTGATAGGAATCCCAAAATCCCTGTGGCTACTGGAAAGGGTCCTTGGGTGCCCTGCCTCACCTCGAGAAGCGTCCCTTTGGCCCTGCCAAGCCTCGAAGAGATTCCTGAGGTGTCCCTCGTTACTAGACAGGAGTCCTGACGTCACTGAAGAAACTCGTGTTTTGAAGGGTCATCCCCGCCGTAAGTCGAGAACATACCCCAGGTCCCCGCCGCAACTCGAGAAAAACCATGAGACTTCCCCCTAGAGGCGAGATGAGGCCCCATTAACCTGCAGTGCATGCAGAGCTATTCCGTGATCCCATTCAAACAAGTCAGGAGCTTCGACTTGCTTAATGGATCTCGAGACAGTCCCCAAGAACACTGTCACCAGTCTAGACGGACCCTGAGGTCACCCCAGCAACGCAAAGCAGCTCCATGTGCCCCAAATCAACTCGAGATGAGGCCCGATTCCCCTGCATTGACTCCAGAGCCATTCCCCGTTCCCCATTCAACACGACCGGTGGCTCGACTTCCTTCAGGCAACTCCAGAGATGCCCCGAGAACACTGTCCCAAGTCTAGAGGAACACCACCTTCAGCACAGCAACTCGAGGAATGCTCCGTGTACCCCAAATCGTCTCGAGATGCGAGCTGATTCCCTGGCTTAGGCTCAAGACGTATGCCAACTTCCCAGAAGCACCTCAGGAGGAGGCTTCTCTCAGCAATAGGTATGTGGGAGGGACCCCGAGTTTGCTGCCTCAAGGGGAATATACAGCGAGAAGCCCTAACTTGAAAGGAGGCCGGATTTCCTTGCAGTGGCTTGAATACAGGCTCGTCTTTCATCTCACAACATGAAGGGATGTCTGAATCCCCTGTGGAGACCTTAGAGAAAGCCCTAGGTCCCTGCATCATTTTGACGGAATGCCTCACATCCCGCTGACACCTCGAGAGGCACGCGGAGTTCATTGCTTCAAAAGGTGACGATGCCTGACTCCTCTTGAATACTGATAGGAATCCCAAAATCCCTGTGGCTACTGGAAAGGGTCCTTGGGTGCCCTGCCTCACCTCGAGAAGCGTCCCTTTGGCCCTGCCAAGCCTCGAAGAGATTCCTGAGGTGTCCCTCGTTACTAGACAGGAGTCCTGACGTCACTGAAGAAACTCGTGTTTTGAAGGGCCATCCCCGCCGTAAGTCGAGAACATACCCCAGGTCCCCGCCGCAACTCGAGAAAAACCATGAGACTTCCCCCTAGAGGCGAGATGAGGCCCCATTCCCCTGCAGTGCATGCAGAGCTATTCCGTGATCCCATTCAAACAAGGCAGGAGCTTCGACTTGCTTAATGGATCTCGAGACAGTCCCCAAGAACACTGTCACCAGTCTAGACGGACCCTGAGGTCACCCCAGCAACGCAAAGCAGCTCCATGTGCCCCAAATCAACTCGAGATGAGGCCGATTCCCCTGCATTGACTCCAGAGCCATTCCCCGTTCCCCATTCAACACGACCGGTGGCTCGACTTCCTTCAGGCAACTCCAGAGATGCCCCGAGAACACTGTCCCAAGTCTAGAGGAACACCACCTTCATCACAGCAACTCGAGGAATGCTCCGTGTACCCCAAATCGTCTCGAGATGCGAGCTGATTCCCTGGCTTAGGCTCAAGACGTATGCCAACTTCCCAGAAGCACCTCAGGAGGAGGCTTCTCTCAGCAATAGGTATGTGGGAGGGACCCCGAGTTTGCTGCCTCAAGGGGAATATACAGCGAGAAGCCCTAACTTGAAAGGAGGCCGGATTTCCTTGCAGTGGCTTGAATACAGGCTCGTCTTTCATCTCACAACATGAAGGGATGTCTGAATCCCCTGTGGAGACCTTAGAGAAAGCCCTAGGTCCCTGCCTCATTTTGACGGAATGCCTCACATTCCGCTGACACCTCGAGAGGCACGCGGAGTTCATTGCTTCAAAAGGTGACGATGCCTGACTCCTCTTGAATACTGATAGGAATCCCAAAATCCCTGTGGCTACTGGAAAGGGTCCTTGGGTGCCCTGCCTCACCTCGAGAAGCGTCCCTTTGGCCCTGCCAAGCCTCGAAGAGATTCCTGAGGTGTCCCTCGTTACTAGACAGGAGTCCTGACGTCACTGAAGAAACTCGTGTTTTGAAGGGCCATCCCCGCCGTAAGTCGAGAACATACCCCAGGTCCCCGCCGCAACTCGAGAAAAACCATGAGACTTCCCCCTAGAGGCGAGATGAGGCCCCATTCCCCTGCAGTGCATGCAGAGCTATTCCGTGATCCCATTCAAACAAGTCAGGAGCTTCGACTTGCTTAATGGATCTCGAGACAGTCCCCAAGAACACTGTCACCAGTCTAGACGGACCCTGAGGTCACCCCAGCAACGCAAAGCAGCTCCATGTGCCCCAAATCAACTCGAGATGAGGCCCGATTCCCCTGCATTGACTCCAGAGCCATTCCCCGTTCCCCATTCAACACGACCGGTGGCTCGACTTCCTTCAGGCAACTCCAGAGATGCCCCGAGAACACTGTCCCAAGTCTAGAGGAACACCAACTTCAGCACAGCAACTCGAGGAATGCTCCGTGTACCCCAAATCGTCTCGAGATGCGAGCTGATTCCCTGGCTTAGGCTCAAGACGTATGCCAACTTCCCAGAAGCACCTCAGGAGGAGGCTTCTCTCAGCAATAGGTATGTGGGAGGGACCCCGAGTTTGCTGCCTCAAGGGGAATATACAGCGAGAAGCCCTAACTTGAAAGGAGGCCGGATTTCCTTGCAGTGGCTTGAATACAGGCTCGTCTTTCATCTCACAACATGAAGGGATGTCTGAATCCCCTGTGGAGACCTTAGAGAAAGGCCTAGGTCCCTGCCTCATTTTGACGGAATGCCTCACATCCCACTGACACCTCGAGAGGCACGCGGAGTTCGTTGCTTCAAAAGGTGACGATGCCTGACTCCTCTTGAATACTGATAGGAATCCCAAAATCCCTGTGGCTACTGGAAAGGGTCCTTGGGTGCCCTGCCTCACCTCGAGAAGCGTCCCTTTGGCCCTGCCAAGCCTCGAAGAGATTCCTGAGGTGTCCCTCGTTACTAGACAGGAGTCCTGACGTCACTGAAGAAACTCGTGTTTTGAAGGGCCATCCCCGCCGTAAGTCGAGAACATACCCCAGGTCCCCGCCGCAACTCGAGAAAAACCATGAGACTTCCCCCTAGAGGCGAGATGAGGCCCCATTCCCCTGCAGTGCATGCAGAGCTATTCCGTGATCCCATTCAAACAAGTCAGGAGCTTCGACTTGCTTAATAGATCTCGAGACAGTCCCCAAGAACACTGTCACCAGTCTAGACGGACCCTGAGGTCACCCCAGCAACGCAAAGCAGCTCCATGTGCCCCAAATCAACTCGAGATGAGGCCCGATTCCCCTGCATTGACTCCAGAGCCATTCCCCGTTCCCCATTCAACACGACCGGTGGCTCGACTTCCTTCAGGCAACTCCAGAGATGCCCCGAGAACACTGTCCCAAGTCTAGAGGAACCCCAACTTCAGCACAGCAACTCGAGGAATGCTCCGTGTACCCCAAATCGTCTCGAGATGCGAGCTGATTCCCTGGCTTAGGCTCAAGACGTATGCCAACTTCCCAGAAGCACCTCAGGAGGAGGCTTCTCTCAGCAATAGGTATGTGGGAGGGACCCCGAGTTTGCTGCCTCAAGGGGAATATACAGCGAGAAGCCCTAACTTGAAAGGAGGCCGGATTTCCTTGCAGTGGCTTGAATACAGGCTCGTCTTTCATCTCACAACATGAAGGGATGTCTGAATCCCCTGTGGAGACCTTAGAGAAAGCCCTAGGTCCCTGCCTCATTTTGACGGAATGCCTCACATCCCGCTGACACCTCGAGAGGCACGCGGAGTTCATTGCTTCAAAAGGTGACGATGCCTGACTCCTCTTGAATACTGATAGGAATCCCAAAATCCCTGTGGCTACTGGAAAGGGTCCTTGGGTGCCCTGCCTCACCTCGAGAAGCGTCCCTTTGGCCCTGCCAAGCCTCGAAGAGATTCCTGAGGTGTCCCTCGTTACTAGACAGGAGTCCTGACGTCACTGAAGAAACTCGTGTTTTGAAGGGCCATCCCCGCCGTAAGTCGAGAACATACCCCAGGTCCCCGCCGCAACTCGAGAAAAACCATGAGACTTCCCCCTAGAGGCGAGATGAGGCCCCATTCCCCTGCAGTGCATGCAGAGCTATTCCGTGATCCCATTCAAACAAGTCAGGAGCTTCGACTTGCTTAATGGATCTCGAGACAGTCCCCAAGAACACTGTCACCAGTCTAGACGGACCCTGAGGTCACCCCAGCAACGCAAAGCAGCTCCATGTGCCCCAAATCAACTCGAGATGAGGCCCGATTCCCCTGCATTGACTCCAGAGCCATTCCCCGTTCCCCATTCAACACGACCGGTGGCTCGACTTCCTTCAGGCAACTCCAGAGATGCCCCGAGAACACTGTCCCAAGTCTAGAGGAACACCACCTTCAGCACAGCAACTCGAGGAATGCTCCGTGTACCCCAAATCGTCTCGAGATGCGAGCTGATTCCCTGGCTTAGGCTCAAGACGTATGCCAACTTCCCAGAAGCACCTCAGGAGGAGGCTTCTCTCAGCAATAGGTATGTGGGAGGGACCCCGAGTTTGCTGCCTCAAGGGGAATATACAGCGAGAAGCCCTAACTTGAAAGGAGGCCGGATTTCCTTGCAGTGGCTTGAATACAGGCTCGTCTTTCATCTCACAACATGAAGGGATGTCTGAATCCCCTGTGGAGACCTTAGAGAAAGCCCTAGGTCCCTGCCTCATTTTGACGGAATGCCTCACATCCCGCTGACTCCTCGAGAGGCACGCGGAGTTCATTGCTTCAAAAGGTGACGATGCCTGACTCCTCTTGAATACTGATAGGAATCCCAAAATCCCTGTGGCTACTGGAAAGGGTCCTTGAGTGCCCTGCCTCACCTCGAGAAGCGTCCCTTTGGCCCTGCCAAGCCTCGAAGAGATTCCTGAGGTGTCCCTCGTTACTAGACAGGAGTCCTGACGTCACTGAAGAAACTCGTGTTTTGAAGGGTCATCCCCGCCGTAAGTCGAGAACATACCCCAGGTCCCCGCCGCAACTCGAGAAAAACCATGAGACTTCCCCCTAGAGGCGAGATGAGGCCCCATTAACCTGCAGTGCATGCAGAGCTATTCCGTGATCCCATTCAAACAAGTCAGGAGCTTCGACTTGCTTAATGGATCTCGAGACAGTCCCCAAGAACACTGTCACCAGTCTAGACGGACCCTGAGGTCACCCCAGCAACGCAAAGCAGCTCCATGTGCCCCAAATCAACTCGAGATGAGGCCCGATTCCCCTGCATTGACTCCAGAGCCATTCCCCGTTCCCCATTCAACACGACCGGTGGCTCGACTTCCTTCAGGCAACTCCAGAGATGCCCCGAGAACACTGTCCCAAGTCTAGAGGAACACCACCTTCAGCACAGCAACTCGAGGAATGCTCCGTGTACCCCAAATCGTCTCGAGATGCGAGCTGATTCCCTGGCTTAGGCTCAAGACGTATGCCAACTTCCCAGAAGCACCTCAGGAGGAGGCTTCTCTCAGCAATAGGTATGTGGGAGGGACCCCGAGTTTGCTGCCTCAAGGGGAATATACAGCGAGAAGCCCTAACTTGAAAGGAGGCCGGATTTCCTTGCAGTGGCTTGAATACAGGCTCGTCTTTCATCTCACAACATGAAGGGATGTCTGAATCCCCTGTGGAGACCTTAGAGAAAGCCCTAGGTCCCTGCATCATTTTGACGGAATGCCTCACATCCCGCTGACACCTCGAGAGGCACGCGGAGTTCATTGCTTCAAAAGGTGACGATGCCTGACTCCTCTTGAATACTGATAGGAATCCCAAAATCCCTGTGGCTACTGGAAAGGGTCCTTGGGTGCCCTGCCTCACCTCGAGAAGCGTCCCTTTGGCCCTGCCAAGCCTCGAAGAGATTCCTGAGGTGTCCCTCGTTACTAGACAGGAGTCCTGACGTCACTGAAGAAACTCGTGTTTTGAAGGGCCATCCCCGCCGTAAGTCGAGAACATACCCCAGGTCCCCGCCGCAACTCGAGAAAAACCATGAGACTTCCCCCTAGAGGCGAGATGAGGCCCCATTCCCCTGCAGTGCATGCAGAGCTATTCCGTGATCCCATTCAAACAAGGCAGGAGCTTCGACTTGCTTAATGGATCTCGAGACAGTCCCCAAGAACACTGTCACCAGTCTAGACGGACCCTGAGGTCACCCCAGCAACGCAAAGCAGCTCCATGTGCCCCAAATCAACTCGAGATGAGGCCCGATTCCCCTGCATTGACTCCAGAGCCATTCCCCGTTCCCCATTCAACACGACCGGTGGCTCGACTTCCTTCAGGCAACTCCAGAGATGCCCCGAGAACACTGTCCCAAGTCTAGAGGAACACCACCTTCAGCACAGCAACTCGAGGAATGCTCCGTGTACCCCAAATCGTCTCGAGATGCGAGCTGATTCCCTGGCTTAGGCTCAAGACGTATGCCAACTTCCCAGAAGCACCTCAGGAGGAGGCTTCTCTCAGCAATAGGTATGTGGGAGGGACCCCGAGTTTGCTGCCTCAAGGGGAATATACAGCGAGAAGCCCTAACTTGAAAGGAGGCCGGATTTCCTTGCAGTGGCTTGAATACAGGCTCGTCTTTCATCTCACAACATGAAGGGATGTCTGAATCCCCTGTGGAGACCTTAGAGAAAGCCCTAGGTCCCTGCCTCATTTTGACGGAATGCCTCACATTCCGCTGACACCTCGAGAGGCACGCGGAGTTCATTGCTTCAAAAGGTGACGATGCCTGACTCCTCTTGAATACTGATAGGAATCCCAAAATCCCTGTGGCTACTGGAAAGGGTCCTTGGGTGCCCTGCCTCACCTCGAGAAGCGTCCCTTTGGCCCTGCCAAGCCTCGAAGAGATTCCTGAGGTGTCCCTCGTTACTAGACAGGAGTCCTGACGTCACTGAAGAAACTCGTGTTTTGAAGGGCCATCCCCGCCGTAAGTCGAGAACATACCCCAGGTCCCCGCCGCAACTCGAGAAAAACCATGAGACTTCCCCCTAGAGGCGAGATGAGGCCCCATTCCCCTGCAGTGCATGCAGAGCTATTCCGTGATCCCATTCAAACAAGTCAGGAGCTTCGACTTGCTTAATGGATCTCGAGACAGTCCCCAAGAACACTGTCACCAGTCTAGACGGACCCTGAGGTCACCCCAGCAACGCAAAGCAGCTCCATGTGCCCCAAATCAACTCGAGATGAGGCCCGATTCCCCTGCATTGACTCCAGAGCCATTCCCCGTTCCCCATTCAACACGACCGGTGGCTCGACTTCCTTCAGGCAACTCCAGAGATGCCCCGAGAACACTGTCCCAAGTCTAGAGGAACACCAACTTCAGCACAGCAACTCGAGGAATGCTCCGTGTACCCCAAATCGTCTCGAGATGCGAGCTGATTCCCTGGCTTAGGCTCAAGACGTATGCCAACTTCCCAGAAGCACCTCAGGAGGAGGCTTCTCTCAGCAATAGGTATGTGGGAGGGACCCCGAGTTTGCTGCCTCAAGGGGAATATACAGCGAGAAGCCCTAACTTGAAAGGAGGCCGGATTTCCTTGCAGTGGCTTGAATACAGGCTCGTCTTTCATCTCACAACATGAAGGGATGTCTGAATCCCCTGTGGAGACCTTAGAGAAAGGCCTAGGTCCCTGCCTCATTTTGACGGAATGCCTCACATCCCGCTGACACCTCGAGAGGCACGCGGAGTTCGTTGCTTCAAAAGGTGACGATGCCTGACTCCTCTTGAATACTGATAGGAATCCCAAAATCCCTGTGGCTACTGGAAAGGGTCCTTGGGTGCCCTGCCTCACCTCGAGAAGCGTCCCTTTGGCCCTGCCAAGCCTCGAAGAGATTCCTGAGGTGTCCCTCGTTACTAGACAGGAGTCCTGACGTCACTGAAGAAACTCGTGTTTTGAAGGGCCATCCCCGCCGTAAGTCGAGAACATACCCCAGGTCCCCGCCGCAACTCGAGAAAAACCATGAGACTTCCCCCTAGAGGCGAGATGAGGCCCCATTCCCCTGCAGTGCATGCAGAGCTATTCCGTGATCCCATTCAAACAAGTCAGGAGCTTCGACTTGCTTAATGGATCTCGAGACAGTCCCCAAGAACACTGTCACCAGTCTAGACGGACCCTGAGGTCACCCCAGCAACGCAAAGCAGCTCCATGTGCCCCAAATCAACTCGAGATGAGGCCCGATTCCCCTGCATTGACTCCAGAGCCATTCCCCGTTCCCCATTCAACACGACCGGTGGCTCGACTTCCTTCAGGCAACTCCAGAGATGCCCCGAGAACACTGTCCCAAGTCTAGAGGAACACCACCTTCAGCACAGCAACTCGAGGAATGCTCCGTGTACCCCAAATCGTCTCGAGATGCGAGCTGATTCCCTGGCTTAGGCTCAAGACGTATGCCAACTTCCCAGAAGCACCTCAGGAGGAGGCTTCTCTCAGCAATAGGTATGTGGGAGGGACCCCGAGTTTGCTGCCTCAAGGGGAATATACAGCGAGAAGCCCTAACTTGAAAGGAGGCCGGATTTCCTTGCAGTGGCTTGAATACAGGCTCGTCTTTCATCTCACAACATGAAGGGATGTCTGAATCCCCTGTGGAGACCTTAGAGAAAGCCCTAGGTCCCTGCCTCATTTTGACGGAATGCCTCACATCCCGCTGACACCTCGAGAGGCACGCGGAGTTCGTTGCGTCAAAAGGTGACGATGCCTGACTCCTCTTGAATACTGATAGGAATCCCAAAATCCCTGTGGCTACTGGAAAGGGTCCTTGGGTGCCCTGCCTCACCTCGAGAAGCGTCCCTTTGGCCCTGCCAAGCCTCGAAGAGATTCCTGAGGTGTCCCTCGTTACTAGACAGGAGTCCTGACGTCACTGAAGAAACTTGTGTTTTGAAGGGCCATCCCCGCCGTAAGTCGAGAACATACCCCAGGTCCCCGCCGCAACTCGAGAAAAACCATGAGACTTCCCCCTAGAGGCGAGATGAGGCCCCATTCCCCTGCAGTGCATGCAGAGCTATTCCGTGATCCCATTCAAACAAGTCAGGAGCTTCGACTTGCTTAATGGATCTCGAGACAGTCCCCAAGAACACTGTCACCAGTCTAGACGGACCCTGAGGTCACCCCAGCAACGCAAAGCAGCTCCATGTGCCCCAAATCAACTCGAGATGAGGCCCGATTCCCCTGCATTGACTCCAGAGCCATTCCCCGTTCCCCATTCAACACGACCGGTGGCTCGACTTCCTTCAGGCAACTCCAGAGATGCCCCGAGAACACTGTCCCAAGTCTAGAGGAACACCAACTTCAGCACAGCAACTCGAGGAATGCTCCGTGTACCCCAAATCGTCTCGAGATGCGAGCTGATTCCCTGGCTTAGGCTCAAGACGTATGCCAACTTCCCAGAAGCACCTCAGGAGGAGGCTTCTCTCAGCAATAGGTATGTGGGAGGGACCCCGAGTTTGCTGCCTCAAGGGGAATATACAGCGAGAAGCCCTAACTTGAAAGGAGGCCGGATTTCCTTGCAGTGGCTTGAATACAGGCTCGTCTTTCATCTCACAACATGAAGGGATGTCTGAATCCCCTGTGGAGACCTTAGAGAAAGCCCTAGGTCCCTGCCTCATTTTGACGGAATGCCTCACATCCCGCTGACACCTCGAGAGGCACGCGGAGTTCATTGCTTCAAAAGGTGACGAGGCCTGACTCCTCTTGAATACTGATAGGAAACCCAAAATCCCTGTGGCTACTGGAAAGGGTCCTTGGGTGCCCTGCCTCACCTCGAGAAGCGTCCCTTTGGCCCTGCCAAGCCTCGAAGAGATTCCTGAGGTGTCCCTCGTTACTAGACAGGAGTCCTGACGTCACTGAAGAAACTCGTGTTTTGAAGGGCCATCCCCGCCGTAAGTCGAGAACATACCCCAGGTCCCCGCCGCAACTCGAGAAAAACCATGAGACTTCCCCCTAGAGGCGAGATGAGGCCCCATTCCCCCGCAGTGCATGCAGAGCTATTCCGTGATCCCATTCAAACAAGTCAGGAGCTTCGACTTGCTTAATGGATCTCGAGACAGTCCCCAAGAACACTGTCACCAGTCTAGACGGACCCTGAGGTCACCCCAGCAACGCAAAGCAGCTCCATGTGCCCCAAATCAACTCGAGATGAGGCCCGATTCCCCTGCATTGACTCCAGAGCCATTCCCCGTTCCCCTTTCAACACGACCGGTGGCTCGACTTCCTTCAGGCAACTCCAGAGATGCCCCGAGAACACTGTCCCAAGTCTAGAGGAACACCAACTTCAGCACAGCAACTCGAGGAATGCTCCGTGTACCCCAAATCGTCTCGAGATGCGAGCTGATTCCCTGGCTTAGGCTCAAGACGTATGCCAACTTCCCAGAAGCACCTCAGGAGGAGGCTTCTCTCAGCAATAGGTATGTGGGAGGGACCCCGAGTTTGCTGCCTCAAGGGGAATATACAGCGAGAAGCCCTAACTTGAAAGGAGGCCGGATTTCCTTGCAGTGGCTTGAATACAGGCTCGTCTTTCATCTCACAACATGAAGGGATGTCTGAATCCCCTGTGGAAACCTTAGAGAAAGCCCTAGGTCCCTGCCTCATTTTGACGGAATGCCTCACATCCCGCTGACACCTCGAGAGGCACGCGGAGTTCGTTGCGTCAAAAGGTGACGATGCCTGACTCCTCTTGAATACTGATAGGAATCCCAAAATCCCTGTGGCTACTGGAAAGGGTCCTTGGGTGCCCTGCCTCACCTCGAGAAGCGTCCCTTTGGCCCTGCCAAGCCTCGAAGAGATTCCTGAGGTGTCCCTCGTTACTAGACAGGAGTCCTGACGTCACTGAAGAAACTCGTGTTTTGAAGGGCCATCCCCGCCGTAAGTCGAGAACATACCCCAGGTCCCCGCCGCAACTCGAGAAAAACCATGAGACTTCCCCCTAGAGGCGAGATGAGGCCCCATTCCCCTGCAGTGCATGCAGAGCTATTCCGTGATCCCATTCAAACAAGGCAGGAGCTTCGACTTGCTTAATGGATCTCGAGACAGTCCCCAAGAACACTGTCACCAGTCTAGACGGACCCTGAGGTCAACCCAGCAACGCAAAGCAGCTCCATGTGCCCCAAATCAACTCGAGATGAGGCCCGATTCCCCTGCATTGACTCCAGAGCCATTCCCCGTTCCCCATTCAACACGACCGGTGGCTCGACTTCCTTCAGGCAACTCCAGAGATGCCCCGAGAACACTGTCCCAAGTCTAGAGGAACACCAACTTCAGCACAGCAACTCGAGGAATGCTCCGTGTACCCCAAATCGTCTCGAGATGCGAGCTGATTCCCTGGCTTAGGCTCAAGACGTATGCCAACTTCCCAGAAGCACCTCAGGAGGAGGCTTCTCTCAGCAATAGGTATGTGGGAGGGACCCCGAGTTTGCTGCCTCAAGGGGAATATACAGCGAGAAGCCCTAACTTGAAAGGAGGCCGGATTTCCTTGCAGTGGCTTGAATACAGGCTCGTCTTTCATCTCACAACATGAAGGGATGTCTGAATCCCCTGTGGAGACCTTAGAGAAAGCCCTAGGTCCCTGCCTCATTTTGACGGAATGCCTCACATCCCGCTGACACCTCGAGAGGCACGCGGAGTTCGTTGCTTCAAAAGGTGACGATGCCTGACTCCTCTTGAATACTGATAGGAATCCCAAAATCCCTGTGGCTACTGGAAAGGGCCCTTGGGTGCCCTGCCTCACCTCGAGAAGCGTCCCTTTGGCCCTGCCAAGCCTCGAAGAGATTCCTGAGGTGTCCCTCGTTACTAGACAGGAGTCCTGACGTCACTGAAGAAACTCGTGTTTTGAAGGGCCATCCCCGCCGTAAGTCGAGAACATACCCCAGGTCCCCGCCGCAACTCGAGAAAAACCATGAGACTTCCCCCTAGAGGCGAGATGAGGCCCCATTCCCCTGCAGTGCATGCAGAGCTATTCCGTGATCCCATTCAAACAAGTCAGGAGCTTCGACTTGCTTAATGGATCTCGAGACAGTCCCCAAGAACACTGTCACCAGTCTAGACGGACCCTGAGGTCACCCCAGCAACGCAAAGCAGCTCCATGTGCCCCAAATCAACTCGAGATGAGGCCCGATTCCCCTGCATTGACTCCAGAGCCATTCCCCGTTCCCCATTCAACACGACCGGTGGCTCGACTTCCTTCAGGCAACTCCAGAGATGCCCCGAGAACACTGTCCCAAGTCTAGAGGAACACCAACTTCAGCACAGCAACACGAGGAATGCTCCGTCTACCCCAAATCGTCTCGAGATGCGAGCTGATTCCCTGGCTTAGGCTCAAGACGTATGCCAACTTCCCAGAAGCACCTCAGGAGGAGGCTTCTCTCAGCAATAGGTATGTGGGAGGGACCCCGAGTTTGCTGCCTCAAGGGGAATATACAGCGAGAAGCCCTAACTTGAAAGGAGGCCGGATTTCCTTGCAGTGGCTTGAATACAGGCTCGTCTTTCATCTCACAACATGAAGGGATGTCTGAATCCCCTGTGGAGACCTTAGAGAAAGCCCTAGGTCCCTGCCTCATTTTGACGGAATGCCTCACATCCCGCTGACACCTCGAGAGGCACGCGGAGTTCGTTGCGTCAAAAGGTGACGATGCCTGACTCCTCTTGAATACAGATAGGAATCCCAAAATCCCTGTGGCTACTGGAAAGGGTCCTTGGGTGCCCTGCCTCACCTCGAGAAGCGTCCCTTTGGCCCTGCCAAGCCTCGAAGAGATTCCTGAGGTGTCCCTCGTTACTAGACAGGAGTCCTGACGTCACTGAAGAAACTCGTGTTTTGAAGGGCCATCCCCGCCGTAAGTCGAGAACATACCCCAGGTCCCCGCCGCAACTCGAGAATAACCATGAGACTTCCCCCTAGAGGCGAGATGAGGCCCCATTCCCCTGCAGTGCATGCAGAGCTATTCCGTGATCCCATTCAAACAAGGCAGGAGCTTCGACTTGCTTAATGGATCTCGAGACAGTCCCCAAGAACACTGTCACCAGTCTAGACGGACCCTGAGGTCACCCCAGCAACGCAAAGCAGCTCCATGTGCCCCAAATCAACTCGAGATGAGGCCCGATTCCCCTGCATTGACTCCAGAGCCATTCCCCGTTCCCCATTCAACACGACCGGTGGCTCGACTTCCTTCAGGCAACTCCAGAGATGCCCCGAGAACACTGTCCCAAGTCTAGAGGAACACCACCTTCAGCACAGCAACTCGAGGAATGCTCCGTGTACCCCAAATCGTCTCGAGATGCGAGCTGATTCCCTGGCTTAGGCTCAAGACGTATGCCAACTTCCCAGAAGCACCTCAGGAGGAGGCTTCTCTCAGCAATAGGTATGTGGGAGGGACCCCGAGTTTGCTGCCTCAAGGGGAATATACAGCGAGAAGCCCTAACTTGAAAGGAGGCCGGATTTCCTTGCAGTGGCTTGAATACAGGCTCGTCTTTCATCTCACAACATGAAGGGATGTCTGAATCCCCTGTGGAGACCTTAGAGAAAGCCCTAGGTCCCTGCCTCATTTTGACGGAATGCCTCACATCCCGCTGACACCTCGAGAGGCACGCGGAGTTCATTGCTTCAAAAGGTGACGATGCCTGACTCCTCTTGAATACTGATAGGAATCCCAAAATCCCTGTGGCTACTGGAAAGGGTCCTTGGGTGCCCTGCCTCACCTCGAGAAGCGTCCCTTTGGCCCTGCCAAGCCTCGAAGAGATTCCTGAGGTGTCCCTCGTTACTAGACAGGAGTCCTGACGTCACTGAAGAAACTCGTGTTTTGAAGGGCCATCCCCGCCGTAAGTCGAGAACATACCCCAGGTCCCCGCCGCAACTCGAGAAAAACCATGAGACTTCCCCCTAGAGGCGAGATGAGGCCCCATTCCCCTGCAGTGCATGCAGAGCTATTCCGTGATCCCATTCAAACAAGGCAGGAGCTTCGACTTGCTTAATGGATCTCGAGACAGTCCCCAAGAACACTGTCACCAGTCTAGACGGACCCTGAGGTCACCCCAGCAACGCAAAGCAGCTCCATGTGCCCCAAATCAACTCGAGATGAGGCCCGATTCCCCTGCATTGACTCCAGAGCCATTCCCCGTTCCCCATTCAACACGACCGGTGGCTCGACTTCCTTCAGGCAACTCCAGAGATGCCCCGAGAACACTGTCCCAAGTCTAGAGGAACACCAACTTCAGCACAGCAACTCGAGGAATGCTCCGTGTACCCCAAATCGTCTCGAGATGCGAGCTGATTCCCTGGCTTAGGCTCAAGACGTATGCCAACTTCCCAGAAGCACCTCAGGAGGAGGCTTCTCTCAGCAATAGGTATGTGGGAGGGACCCCGAGTTTGCTGCCTCAAGGGGAATATACAGCGAGAAGCCCTAACTTGAAAGGAGGCCGGATTTCCTTGCAGTGGCTTGAATACAGGCTCGTCTTTCATCTCACAACATGAAGGGATGTCTGAATCCCCTGTGGAGACCTTAGAGAAAGCCCTAGGTCCCTGCCTCATTTTGACGGAATGCCTCACATCCCGCTGACACCTCGAGAGGCACGCGGAGTTCGTTGCGTCAAAAGGTGAGGATGCCTGACTCCTCTTGAGTACTGATAGGAATCCCAAAATCCCTGTGGCTACTGGAAAGGGTCCTTGGGTGCCCTGCCTCACCTCGAGAAGCGTCCCTTTGGCCCTGCCAAGCCTCGAAGAGATTCCTGAGGTGTCCCTCGTTACTAGACAGGAGTCCTGACGTCACTGAAGAAACTCGTGTTTTGAAGGGCCATCCCCGCCGTAAGTCGAGAACATACCCCAGGTCCCCGCCGCAACTCGAGAAAAACCATGAGACTTCCCCCTAGAGGCAGGATGAGGCCCCATTCCCCTGCACTGCCTGCAGAGCTATTCCGTGATCCCATTCAAACAAGTCAGGAGCTTCGACTTGCTTAATGGATCTCGAGACAGTCCCCAAGAACACTGTCACCAGTCTAGACGGACCCTGAGGTCACCCCAGCAACGCAAAGCAGCTCCATGTGCCCCAAATCAACTCGAGATGAGGCCCGATTCCCCTGCATTGACTCCAGAGCCATTCCCCGTTCCCCATTCAACACGACCGGTGGCTCGACTTCCTTCAGGCAACTCCAGAGATGCCCCGAGAACACTGTCCCAAGTCTAGAGGAACACCACCTTCAGCACAGCAACTCGAGGAATGCTCCGTGTACCCCAAATCGTCTCGAGATGCGAGCTGATTCCCTGGCTTAGGCTCAAGACGTATGCCAACTTCCCAGAAGCACCTCAGGAGGAGGCTTCTCTCAGCAATAGGTATGTGGGAGGGACCCCGAGTTTGCTGCCTCAAGGGGAATATACAGCGAGAAGCCCTAACTTGAAAGGAGGCCGGATTTCCTTGCAGTGGCTTGAATACAGGCTCGTCTTTCATCTCACAACATGAAGGGATGTCTGAATCCCCTGTGGAGACCTTAGAGAAAGCCCTAGGTCCCTGCCTCATTTTGACGGAATGCCTCACATCCCGCTGACACCTCGAGAGGCACGCGGAGTTCATTGCTTCAAAAGGTGACGATGCCTGACTCCTCTTGAATACTGATAGGAATCCCAAAATCCCTGGGGCTACTGGAAAGGGTCCTTGGGTGCCCTGCCTCACCTCGAGAAGCGTCCCTTTGGCACTGCCAAGCCTCGAAGAGATTCCTGAGGTGTCCCTCGTTACTAGACAGGAGTCCTGACGTCACTGAAGAAACTCGTGTTTTGAAGGGCCATGTCCGCCGTAAGTCGAGAACATACCCCAGGTCCCCGCCGCAACTCGAGAAAAACCATGAGACTTCCCCCTAGAGGCGAGATGAGGCCCCATTCCCCTGCAGTGCCTGCAGAGCTATTCCGTGATCCCATTCAAACAAGTCAGGAGCTTCGACTTGCTTAATGGATCTCGAGACAGTCCCCAAGAACACTGTCACCAGTCTAGACGGACCCTGAGGTCACCCCAGCAACGCAAAGCAGCTCCATGTGCCCCAAATCAACTCGAGATGAGGCCCGATTCCCCTGCATTGACTCCAGAGCCATTCCCCGTTCCCCATTCAACACGACCGGTGGCTCGACTTCCTTCAGGCAACTCCAGAGATGCCCCGAGAACACTGTCCCAAGTCTAGAGGAACACCACCTTCAGCACAGCAACTCGAGGAATGCTCCGTGTACCCCAAATCGTCTCGAGATGCGAGCTGATTCCCTGGCTTAGGCTCAAGACGTATGCCAACTTCCCAGAAGCACCTCAGGAGGAGGCTTCTCTCAGCAATAGGTATGTGGGAGGGACCCCGAGTTTGCTGCCTCAAGGGGAATATACAGCGAGAAGCCCTAACTTGAAAGGAGGCCGGATTTCCTTGCAGTGGCTTGAATACAGGCTCGTCTTTCATCTCACAACATGAAGGGATGTCTGAATCCCCTGTGGAGACCTTAGAGAAAGCCCTAGGTCCCTGCCTCATTTTGACGGAATGCCTCACATCCCGCTGACACCTCGAGAGGCACGCGGAGTTCATTGCTTCAAAAGGTGACGATGCCTGACTCCTCTTGAATACTGATAGGAATCCCAAAATCCCTGTGGCTACTGGAAAGGGTCCTTGGGTGCCCTGCCTCACCTCGAGAAGCGTCCCTTTGGCCCTGCCAAGCCTCGAAGAGATTCCTGAGGTGTCCCTCGTTACTAGACAGGAGTCCTGACGTCACTGAAGAAACTCGTGTTTTGAAGGGCCATCCCCGCCGTAAGTTGAGAACATACCCCAGGTCCCCGCCGCAACTCGAGAAAAACCATGAGACTTCCCCCTAGAGGCAGGATGAGGCCCTATTCCCCTGAACTGCCTGCAGAGCTATTCCGTGATCCCATTCAAACAAGTCAGGAGCTTCGACTTGCTTAATGGATCTCGAGACAGTCCCCAAGAACACTGTCACCCGTCTAGACGGACCCTGAGGTCACCCCAGCAACGCAAAGCAGCTCCATGTGCCCCAAATCAACTCGAGATGAGGCCCGATTCCCCTGCATTGACTCCAGAGCCATTCCCCGTTCCCCATTCAACACGACCGGTGGCTCGACTTCTTTCAGGCAACTCCAGAGATGCCCCGAGAACACTGTCCCAAGTCTAGAGGAACACCACCTTCAGCACAGCAACTCGAGGAATGCTCCGTGTACCCCAAATCGTCTCGAGATGCGAGCTGATTCCCTGGCTTAGGCTCAAGACGTATGCCAACTTCCCAGAAGCACCTCAGGAGGAGGCTTCTCTCAGCAATAGGTATGTGGGAGGGACCCCGAGTTTGCTGCCTCAAGGGGAATATACAGCGAGAAGCCCTAACTTGAAAGGAGGCCGGATTTCCTTGCAGTGGCTTGAATACAGGCTCGTCTTTCATCTCACAACATGAAGGGATGTCTGAATCCCCTGTGGAGACCTTAGAGAAAGCCCTAGGTCCCTGCCTCATTTTGACGGAATGCCTCACATCCCGCTGACACCTCGAGAGGCACGCGGAGTTCATTGCTTCAAAAGGTGACGATGCCTGACTCCTCTTGAATACTGATAGGAATCCCAAAATCCCTGTGGCTACTGGAAAGGGTCCTTGGGTGCCCTGCCTCACCTCGAGAAGCGTCCCTTTGGCCCTGCCAAGCCTCGAAGAGATTCCTGAGGTGTCCCTCGTTACTAGACAGGAGTCCTGACGTCACTGAAGAAACTCGTGTTTTGAAGGGCCATCCCCGCCGTAAGTCGAGAACATACCCCAGGTCCCCGCCGCAACTCGAGAAAAACCATGAGACTTCCCCCTAGAGGCAGGATGAGGCCCCATTCCCCTGCACTACCTGCAGAGCTATTCCGTGATCCCATTCAAACAAGTCAGGAGCTTCGACTTGCTTAATGGATCTCGAGACAGTCCCCAAGAACACTGTCACCAGTCTAGACGGACCCTGAGGTCACCCCAGCAACGCAAAGCAGCTCCATGTGCCCCAAATCAACTCGAGATGAGGCCCGATTCCCCTGCATTGACTCCAGAGCCATTCCCCGTTCCCCATTCAACACGACCGGTGGCTCGACTTCCTTCAGGCAACTCCAGAGATGCCCCGAGAACACTGTCCCAAGTCTAGAGGAACACCACCTTCAGCACAGCAACTCGAGGAATGCTCCGTGTACCCCAAATCGTCTCAAGATGCGAGCTGATTCCCTGGCTTAGGCTCAAGACGTATGCCAACTTCCCAGAAGCACCTCAGGAGGAGGCTTCTCTCAGCAATAGGTATGTGGGAGGGACCCCGAGTTTGCTGCCTCAAGGGGAATATACAGCGAGAAGCCCTGACTTGAAAGGAGGCCGGATTTCCTTGCAGTGGCTTGAATACAGGCTCGTCTTTCATCTCACAACATGAAGGGATGTCTGAATCCCCTGTGGAGACCTTAGAGAAAGCCCTAGGTCCCTGCCTCATTTTGACGGAATGCCTCACATCCCGCTGACACCTCGAGAGGCACGCGGAGTTCATTGCTTCAAAAGGTGACGATGCCTGACTCCTCTTGAATACTGATAGGAATCCCAAAATCCCTGTGGCTACTGGAAAGGGTCCTTGGGTGCCCTGCCTCACCTCGAGAAGCGTCCCTTTGGCCCTGCCAAGCCTCGAAGAGATTCCTGAGGTGTCCCTCGTTACTAGACAGGAGTCCTGACGTCACTGAAGAAACTCGTGTTTTGAAGGGCCATCCCCGCCGTAAGTCGAGAACATACCCCAGGTCCCCGCCGCAACTCGAGAAAAACCATGAGACTTCCCCCTAGAGGCGAGATGAGGCCCCATTCCCCTGCAGTGCCTGCAGAGCTATTCCGTGATCCCATTCAAACAAGTCAGGAGCTTCGACTTGCTTAATGGATCTCGAGACAGTCCCCAAGAACACTGTCACCAGTCTAGACGGACCCTGAGGTCACCCCAGCAACGCAAAGCAGCTCCATGTGCCCCAAATCAACTCGAGATGAGGCCCGATTCCCCTGCATTGACTCCAGAGCCATTCCCCGTTCCCCATTCAACACGACCGGTGGCTCGACTTCCTTCAGGCAACTCCAGAGATGCCCCGAGAACACTGTCCCAAGTCTAGAGGAACACCACCTTCAGCACAGCAACTCGAGGAATGCTCCGTGTACCCCAAATCGTCTCGAGATGCGAGCTGATTCCCTGGCTTAGGCTCAAGACGTATGCCAACTTCCAAAAGCACCTCAGGAGGAGGCTTCTCTCAGCAATAGGTATGTGGGAGGGACCCCGAGTTTGCTGCCTCAAGGGGAATATACAGCGAGAAGCCCTGACTTGAAAGGAGGCCGGATTTCCTTGCAGTGGCTTGAATACAGGCTCGTCTTTCATCTCACAACATGAAGGGATGTCTGAATCCCCTGTGGAGACCTTAGAGAAAGCCCTAGGTCCCTGCCTCATTTTGACGGAATGCCTCACATCCCGCTGACACCTCGAGAGGCACGCGGAGTTCATTGCTTCAAAAGGTGACGATGCCTGACTCCTCTTGAATACTGATAGGAATCCCAAAATCCCTGTGGCTACTGGAAAGGGTCCTTGGGTGCCCTGCCTCACCTCGAGAAGCGTCCCTTTTGCCCTGCCAAGCCTCGAAGAGATTCCTGAGGTGTCCCTCGTTACTAGACAGGAGTCCTGACATCACTGAAGAAACTCGTGTTTTGAAGGGCCATCCCCGCAGTAAGTCGAGAACATACCCCAGGTCCCCGCAGCAACTCGAGAAAAACCATGAGACTTCCCCCTAGAGGCAGGATGAGGCCCCATTCCCCTGCACTACCTGCAGAGCTATTCCGTGATCCCATTCAAACAAGTCAGGAGCTTCGACTTGCTTAATGGATCTCGAGACAGTCCCCAAGAACACTGTCACCAGTCTAGACGGACCCTGAGGTCACCCCAGCAACGCAAAGCAGCTCCATGTGCCCCAAATCAACTCGAGATGAGGCCCGATTCCCCTGCATTGACTCCAGAGCCATTCCCCGTTCCCCATTCAACACGACCGGTGGCTCGACTTCCTTCAGGCAACTCCAGAGATGCCCCGAGAACACTGTCCCAAGTCTAGAGGAACACCACCTTCAGCACAGCAACTCGAGGAATGCTCCGTGTACCCCAAATCGTCTCGAGATGCGAGCTGATTCCCTGGCTTAGGCTCAAGACGTATGCCAACTTCCCAGAAGCACCTCAGGAGGAGGCTTCTCTCAGCAATAGGTATGTGGGAGGGACCCCGAGTTTGCTGCCTCAAGGGGAATATACAGCGAGAAGCCCTGACTTGAAAGGAGGCCGGATTTCCTTGCAGTGGCTTGAATACAGGCTCGTCTTTCATCTCACAACATGAAGGGATGTCTGAATCCCCTGTGGAGACCTTAGAGAAAGCCCTAGGTCCCTGCCTCATTTTGACGGAATGCCTCACATCCCGCTGACACCTCGAGAGGCACGCGGAGTTCATTGCTTCAAAAGGTGACGATGCCTGACTCCTCTTGAATACTGATAGGAATCCCAAAATCCCTGTGGCTACTGGAAAGGGTCCTTGGGTGCCCTGCCTCACCTCGAGAAGCGTCCCTTTGGCCCTGCCAAGCCTCGAAGAGATTCCTGAGGTGTCCCTCGTTACTAGACAGGAGTCCTGACGTCACTGAAGAAACTCGTGTTTTGAAGGGCCATCCCCGCCGTAAGTCGAGAACATACCCCAGGTCCCCGCCGCAACTCGAGAAAAACCATGAGACTTCCCCCTAGAGGCGAGATGAGGCCCCATTCCCCTGCAGTGCATGCAGAGCTATTCCGTGATCCCATTCAAACAAGTCAGGAGCTTCGACTTGCTTAATGGATCTCGAGACAGTCCCCAAGAACACTGTCACCAGTCTAGACGGACCCTGAGGTCACCCCAGCAACGCAAAGCAGCTCCATGTGCCCCAAATCAACTCGAGATGAGGCCCGATTCCCCTGCATTGACTCCAGAGCCATTCCCCGTTCCCCATTCAACACGACCGGTGGCTCGACTTCCTTCAGGCAACTCCAGAGATGCCCCGAGAACACTGTCCCAAGTCTAGAGGAACACCACCTTCAGCACAGCAACTCGAGGAATGCTCCGTGTACCCCAAATCGTCTCGAGATGCGAGCTGATTCCCTGGCTTAGGCTCAAGACGTATGCCAACTTCCCAGAAGCACCTCAGGAGGAGGCTTCTCTCAGCAATAGGTATGTGGGAGGGACCCCGAGTTTGCTGCCTCAAGGGGAATATACAGCGAGAAGCCCTGACTTGAAAGGAGGCCGGATTTCCTTGCAGTGGCTTGAATACAGGCTCGTCTTTCATCTCACAACATGAAGGGATGTCTGAATCCCCTGTGGAGACCTTAGAGAAAGCCCTAGGTCCCTGCCTCATTTTGACGGAATGCCTCACATCCCGCTGACACCTCGAGAGGCACGCGGAGTTCATTGCTTCAAAAGGTGACGATGCCTGACTCCTCTTGAATACTGATAGGAATCCCAAAATCCCTGTGGCTACTGGAAAGGGTCCTTGGGTGCCCTGCCTCACCTCGAGAAGCGTCCCTTTGGCCCTGCCAAGCCTCGAAGAGATTCCTGAGGTGTCCCTCATTACTAGACAGGAGTCCTGACGTCACTGAAGAAACTCGTGTTTTGAAGGGCCATCCCCGCCGTAAGTCGAGAACATACCCCAGGTCCCCGCCGCAACTCGAGAAAAACCATGAGACTTCCCCCTAGAGGCGAGATGAGGCCCCATTCCCCTGCAGTGCATGCAGAGCTATTCCGTGATCCCATTCAAACAAGTCAGGAGCTTCGACTTGCTTAATGGATCTCGAGACAGTCCCCAAGAACACTGTCACCAGTCTAGACGGACCCTGAGGTCACCCCAGCAACGCAAAGCAGCTCCATGTGCCCCAAATCAACTCGAGATGAGGCCCGATTCCCCTGCATTGACTCCAGAGCCATTCCCCGTTCCCCATTCAACACGACCGGTGGCTCGACTTCCTTCAGGCAACTCCAGAGATGCCCCGAGAACACTGTCCCAAGTCTAGAGGAACACCACCTTCAGCACAGCAACTCGAGGAATGCTCCGTGTACCCCAAATCGTCTCGAGATGCGAGCTGATTCCCTGGCTTAGGCTCAAGACGTATGCCAACTTCCCAGAAGCACCTCAGGAGGAGGCTTCTCTCAGCAATAGGTTTGTGGGAGGGACCCCGAGTTTGCTGCCTCAAGGGGAATATACAGCGAGAAGCCCTGACTTGAAAGGAGGCCGGATTTCCTTGCAGTGGCTTGAATACAGGCTCGTCTTTCATCTCTCAACATGAAGGGATGTCTGAATCCCCTGTGGAGACCTTAGAGAAAGCCCTAGGTCCCTGCCTCATTTTGACGGAATGCCTCACATCCCGCTGACACCTCGAGAGGCACGCGGAGTTCATTGCTTCAAAAGGTGACGATGCCTGACTCCTCTTGGATACTGATAGGAATCCCAAAATCCCTGTGGCTACTGGAAAGGGCCCTTGGGTGCCCTGCCTCACCTCGAGAAGCGTCCCTTTGGCCCTGCCAAGCCTCGAAGAGATTCCTGAGGTGTCCCTCGTTACTAGACAGGAGTCCTGACGTCACTGAAGAAACTCGTGTTTTGAAGGGCCATCCCCGCCGTAAGTCGAGAACATACCCCAGGTCCCCGCCGCAACTCGAGAAAAACCATGAGACTTCCCCCTAGAGGCGAGATGAGGCCCCATTCCCCTGCAGTGCATGCAGAGCTATTCCGTGATCCCATTCAAACAAGTCAGGAGCTTCGACTTGCTTAATGGATCTCGAGACAGTCCCCAAGAACACTGTCACCAGTCTAGACGGACCCTGAGGTCACCCCAGCAACGCAAAGCAGCTCCATGTGCCCCAAATCAACTCGAGATGAGGCCCGATTCCCCTGCATTGACTCCAGAGCCATTCCCCGTTCCCCATTCAACACGACCGGTGGCTCGACTTCCTTCAGGCAACTCCAGAGATGCCCCGAGAACACTGTCCCAAGTCTAGAGGAACACCACCTTCAGCACAGCAACTCGAGGAATGCTCCGTGTACCCCAAATCGTCTCGAGATGCGAGCTGATTCCCTGGCTTAGGCTCAAGACGTATGCCAACTTCCCAGAAGCACCTCAGGAGGAGGCTTCTCTCAGCAATAGGTATGTGGGAGGGACCCCGAGTTTGCTGCCTCAAGGGGAATATACAGCGAGAAGCCCTGACTTGAAAGGAGGCCGGATTTCCTTGCAGTGGCTTGAATACAGGCTCGTCTTTCATCTCACAACATGAAGGGATGTCTGAATCCCCTGTGGAGACCTTAGAGAAAGCCCTAGGTCCCTGCCTCATTTTGACGGAATGCCTCACATCCCGCTGACACCTCGAGAGGCACGCGGAGTTCATTGCTTCAAAAGGTGACGATGCCTGACTCCTCTTGAATACTGATAGGAATCCCAAAATCCCTGTGGCTACTGGAAAGGGTCCTTGGGTGCCCTGCCTCACCTCGAGAAGCGTCCCTTTGGCCCTGCCAAGCCTCGAAGAGATTCCTGAGGTGTCCCTCGTTACTAGACAGGAGTCCTGACGTCACTGAAGAAACTCGTGTTTTGAAGGGCCATCCCCGCCGTAAGTCGAGAACATACCCCAGGTCCCCGCCGCAACTCGAGAAAAACCATGAGACTTCCCCCTAGAGGCGAGATGAGGCCCCATTCCCCTGCAGTGCATGCAGAGCTATTCCGTGATCCCATTCAAACAAGTCAGGAGCTTCGACTCGCTTAATGGATCTCGAGACAGTCCCCAAGAACACTGTCACCAGTCTAGACGGACCCTGAGGTCACCCCAGCAACGCAAAGCAGCTCCATGTGCCCCAAATCAACTCGAGATGAGGCCCGATTCCCCTGCATTGACTCCAGAGCCATTCCCCGTTCCCCATTCAACACGACCGGTGGCTCGACTTCCTTCAGGCAACTCCAGAGATGCCCCGAGAACACTGTCCCAAGTCTAGAGGAACACCACCTTCAGCACAGCAACTCGAGGAATGCTCCGTGTACCCCAAATCGTCTCGAGATGCGAGCTGATTCCCTGGCTTAGGCTCAAGACGTATGCCAACTTCCCAGAAGCACCTCAGGAGGAGGCTTCTCTCAGCAATAGGTATGTGGGAGGGACCCCGAGTTTGCTGCCTCAAGGGGAATATACAGCGAGAAGCCCTGACTTGAAAGGAGGCCGGATTTCCTTGCAGTGGCTTGAATACAGGCTCGTCTTTCATCTCACAACATGAAGGGATGTCTGAATCCCCTGTGGAGACCTTAGAGAAAGCCCTAGGTCCCTGCCTCATTTTGACGGAATGCCTCACATCCCGCTGACACCTCGAGAGGCACGCGGAGTTCATTGCTTCAAAAGGTGACGATGCCTGACTCCTCTTGAATACTGATAGGAATCCCAAAATCCCTGTGGCTACTGGAAAGGGTCCTTGGGTGCCCTGCCTCACCTCGAGAAGCGTCCCTTTGGCCCTGCCAAGCCTCGAAGAGATTCCTGAGGTGTCCCTCGTTACTAGACAGGAGTCCTGACGTCACTGAAGAAACTCGTGTTTTGAAGGGCCATCCCCGCCGTAAGTCGAGAACATACCCCAGGTCCCCGCCGCAACTCGAGAAAAACCATGAGACTTCCCCCTAGAGGCGAGATGAGGCCCCATTCCCCTGCAGTGCATGCAGAGCTATTCCGTGATCCCATTCAAACAAGTCAGGAGCTTCGACTTGCTTAATGGATCTCGAGACAGTCCCCAAGAACACTGTCACCAGTCTAGACGGACCCTGAGGTCACCCCAGCAACGCAAAGCAGCTCCATGTGCCCCAAATCAACTCGAGATGAGGCCCGATTCCCCTGCATTGACTCCAGAGCCATTCCCCGTTCCCCATTCAACACGACCGGTGGCTCGACTTCCTTCAGGCAACTCCAGAGATGCCCCGAGAACACTGTCCCAAGTCTAGAGGAACACCACCTTCAGCACAGCAACTCGAGGAATGCTCCGTGTACCCCAAATCGTCTCGAGATGCGAGCTGATTCCCTGGCTTAGGCTCAAGACGTATGCCAACTTCCCAGAAGCACCTCAGGAGGAGGCTTCTCTCAGCAATAGGTTTGTGGGAGGGACCCCGAGTTTGCTGCCTCAAGGGGAATATACAGCGAGAAGCCCTGACTTGAAAGGAGGCCGGATTTCCTTGCAGTGGCTTGAATACAGGCTCGTCTTTCATCTCTCAACATGAAGGGATGTCTGAATCCCCTGTGGAGACCTTAGAGAAAGCCCTAGGTCCCTGCCTCATTTTGACGGAATGCCTCACATCCCGCTGACACCTCGAGAGGCACGCGGAGTTCATTGCTTCAAAAGGTGACGATGCCTGACTCCTCTTGGATACTGATAGGAATCCCAAAATCCCTGTGGCTACTGGAAAGGGCCCTTGGGTGCCCTGCCTCACCTCGAGAAGCGTCCCTTTGGCCCTGCCAAGCCTCGAAGAGATTCCTGAGGTGTCCCTCGTTACTAGACAGGAGTCCTGACGTCACTGAAGAAACTCGTGTTTTGAAGGGCCATCCCCGCCGTAAGTCGAGAACATACCCCAGGTCCCCGCCGCAACTCGAGAAAAACCATGAGACTTCCCCCTAGAGGCGAGATGAGGCCCCATTCCCCTGCAGTGCATGCAGAGCTATTCCGTGATCCCATTCAAACAAGTCAGGAGCTTCGACTTGCTTAATGGATCTCGAGACAGTCCCCAAGAACACTGTCACCAGTCTAGACGGACCCTGAGGTCACCCCAGCAACGCAAAGCAGCTCCATGTGCCCCAAATCAACTCGAGATGAGGCCCGATTCCCCTGCATTGACTCCAGAGCCATTCCCCGTTCCCCATTCAACACGACCGGTGGCTCGACTTCCTTCAGGCAACTCCAGAGATGCCCCGAGAACACTGTCCCAAGTCTAGAGGAACACCACCTTCAGCACAGCAACTCGAGGAATGCTCCGTGTACCCCAAATCGTCTCGAGATGCGAGCTGATTCCCTGGCTTAGGCTCAAGACGTATGCCAACTTCCCAGAAGCACCTCAGGAGGAGGCTTCTCTCAGCAATAGGTATGTGGGAGGGACCCCGAGTTTGCTGCCTCAAGGGGAATATACAGCGAGAAGCCCTGACTTGAAAGGAGGCCGGATTTCCTTGCAGTGGCTTGAATACAGGCTCGTCTTTCATCTCACAACATGAAGGGATGTCTGAATCCCCTGTGGAGACCTTAGAGAAAGCCCTAGGTCCCTGCCTCATTTTGACGGAATGCCTCACATCCCGCTGACACCTCGAGAGGCACGCGGAGTTCATTGCTTCAAAAGGTGACGATGCCTGACTCCTCTTGAATACTGATAGGAATCCCAAAATCCCTGTGGCTACTGGAAAGGGTCCTTGGGTGCCCTGCCTCACCTCGAGAAGCGTCCCTTTGGCCCTGCCAAGCCTCGAAGAGATTCCTGAGGTGTCCCTCGTTACTAGACAGGAGTCCTGACGTCACTGAAGAAACTCGTGTTTTGAAGGGCCATCCCCGCCGTAAGTCGAGAACATACCCCAGGTCCCCGCCGCAACTCGAGAAAAACCATGAGACTTCCCCCTAGAGGCGAGATGAGGCCCCATTCCCCTGCAGTGCATGCAGAGCTATTCCGTGATCCCATTCAAACAAGTCAGGAGCTTCGACTCGCTTAATGGATCTCGAGACAGTCCCCAAGAACACTGTCACCAGTCTAGACGGACCCTGAGGTCACCCCAGCAACGCAAAGCAGCTCCATGTGCCCCAAATCAACTCGAGATGAGGCCCGATTCCCCTGCATTGACTCCAGAGCCATTCCCCGTTCCCCATTCAACACGACCGGTGGCTCGACTTCCTTCAGGCAACTCCAGAGATGCCCCGAGAACACTGTCCCAAGTCTAGAGGAACACCAACTTCAGCACAGCAACTCGAGGAATGCTCCGTCTACTCCAAATCGTCTCGAGATGCGAGCTGATTCCCTGGCTTAGGCTCAAGACGTATGCCAACTTCCCAGAAGCACCTCAGGAGGAGGCTTCTCTCAGCAATAGGTATGTGGGAGGGACCCCGAGTTTGCTGCCTCAAGGGGAATATACAGCGAGAAGCCCTAACTTGAAAGGAGGCCGGATTTCCTTGCAGTGGCTTGAATACAGGCTCGTCTTTCATCTCACAACATGAAGGGATGTCTGAATCCCCTGTGGAGACCTTAGAGAAAGCCCTAGGTCCCTGCCTCATTTTGACGGAATGCCTCACATCCCGCTGACACCTCGAGAGGCACGCGGAGTTCGTTGTGTCAAAAGGTGACGATGCCTGACTCCTCTTGAATACTGATAGGAATCCCAAAATCCCTGTGGCTACTGGAAAGGGTCCTTGGGTGCCCTGCCTCACCCCGAGAAGCGTCCTTTTGGCCCTGCCAAGCCTCGAAGAGATTCCTGAGGTGTCCCTCGTTACTAGACAGGAGTCCTGACGTCACTGAAGAAACTCGTGTTTTGAAGGGCCATCCCCGCCGTAAGTCGAGAACATACCCCAGGTCCCCGCCGCAACTCGAGAAAAACCATGAGACTTCCCCCTAGAGGCGAGATGAGGCCCCATTCCCCTGCAGTGCATGCAGAGCTATTCCGTGATCCCATTCAAACAAGTCAGGAGCTTCGACTTGCTTAATGGATCTCGAGACAGTCCGCAAGAACACTGTCACCAGTCTAGACGGACCCTGAGGTCACCCCAGCAACGCAAAGCAGCTCCATGTGCCCCAAATCAACTCGAGATGAGGCCCGATTCCCCTGCATTGACTCCAGAGCCATTCCCCGTTCCCCATTCAACACGACCGGTGGCTCGACTTCCTTCAGGCAACTCCAGAGATGCCCCGAGAACACTGTCCCAAGTCTAGAGGAACACCACCTTCAGCACAGCAACTCGAGGAATGCTCCGTGTACCCCAAATCGTCTCGAGATGCGAGCTGATTCCCTGGCTTAGGCTCAAGACGTATGCCAACTTCCCAGAAGCACCTCAGGAGGAGGCTTCTCTCAGCAATAGGTATGTGGGAGGGACCCCGAGTTTGCTGCCTCAAGGGGAATATACAGCGAGAAGCCCTGACTTGAAAGGAGGCCGGATTTCCTTGCAGTGGCTTGAATACAGGCTCGTCTTTCATCTCACAACATGAAGGGATGTCTGAATCCCCTGTGGAGACCTTAGAGAAAGCCCTAGGTCCCTGCCTCATTTTGACGGAATGCCTCACATCCCGCTGACACCTCGAGAGGCACGCGGAGTTCATTGCTTCAAAAGGTGACGATGCCTGACTCCTCTTGAATACTGATAGGAATCCCAAAATCCCTGTGGCTACTGGAAAGGGTCCTTGGGTGCCCTGCCTCACCTCGAGAAGCGTCCCTTTGGCCCTGCCAAGCCTCGAAGAGATTCCTGAGGTGTCCCTCGTTACTAGACAGGAGTCCTGACGTCACTGAAGAAACTCGTGTTTTGAAGGGCCATCCCCGCCGTAAGTCGAGAACATACCCCAGGTCCCCGACGCAACTCGAGAAAAACCATGAGACTTCCCCCTAGAGGCGAGATGAGGCCCCATTCCCCTGCAGTGCATGCAGAGCTATTCCGTGATCCCATTCAAACAAGTCAGGAGCTTCGACTCGCTTAATGGATCTCGAGACAGTCCCCAAGAACACTGTCACCAGTCTAGACGGACCCTGAGGTCACCCCAGCAACGCAAAGCAGCTCCATGTGCCCCAAATCAACTCGAGATGAGGCCCGATTCCCCTGCATTGACTCCAGAGCCATTCCCCGTTCCCCATTCAACACGACCGGTGGCTCGACTTCCTTCAGGCAACTCCAGAGATGCCCCGAGAACACTGTCCCAAGTCTAGAGGAACACCAACTTCAGCACAGCAACTCGAGGAATGCTCCGTCTACCCCAAATCGTCTCGAGATGCGAGCTGATTCCCTGGCTTAGGCTCAAGACGTATGCCAACTTCCCAGAAGCACCTCAGGAGGAGGCTTCTCTCAGCAATAGGTATGTGGGAGGGACCCCGAGTTTGCTGCCTCAAGGGGAATATACAGCGAGAAGCCCTAACTTGAAAGGAGGCCGGATTTCCTTGCAGTGGCTTGAATACAGGCTCGTCTTTCATCTCACAACATGAAGGGATGTCTGAATCCCCTGTGGAGACCTTAGAGAAAGCCCTAGGCCCCTGCCTCATTTTGACGGAATGCCTCACATCCCGCTGACACCTCGAGAGGCACGCGGAGTTCGTTGCGTCAAAAGGTGACGATGCCTGACTCCTCTTGAATACTGATAGGAATCCCAAAATCCCTGTGGCTACTGGAAAGGGTCCTTGGGTGCCCTGCCTCACCCCGAGAAGCGTCCTTTTGGCCCTGCCAAGCCTCGAAGAGATTCCTGAGGTGTCCCTCGTTACTAGACAGGAGTCCTGACGTCACTGAAGAAACTCGTGTTTTGAAGGGCCATCCCCGCCGTAAGTCGAGAACATACCCCAGGTCCCCGCCGCAACTCGAGAAAAACCATGAGACTTCCCCCTAGAGGCGAGATGAGGCCCCATTCCCCTGCAGTGCATGCAGAGCTATTCCGTGATCCCATTCAAACAAGGCAGGAGCTTCGACTTGCTTAATGGATCTCGAGACAGTCCCCAAGAACACTGTCACCAGTCTAGACGGACCCTGAGGTCACCCCAGCAACGCAAAGCAGCTCCATGTGCCCCATATCAACTCGAGATGAGGCCCGATTCCCCTGCATTGACTCCAGAGCCATTCCCCGTTCCCCATTCAACACGACCAGTGGCTCGACTTCCTTCAGGCAACTCCAGAGATGCCCCGAGAACACTGTCCCAAGTCTAGAGGAACACCAACTTCAGCACAGCAACTCGAGGAATGCTCCGTGTACCCCAAATCGTCTCGAGATGCGAGCTGATTCCCTGGCTTAGGCTCAAGACGTATGCCAACTTCCCAGAAGCACCTCAGGAGGAGGCTTCTCTCAGCAATAGGTATGTGGGAGGGACCCCGAGTTTGCTGCCTCAAGGGGAATATACAGCGAGAAGCCCTAACTTGAAAGGAGGCCGGATTTCCTTGCAGTGGCTTGAATACAGGCTCGTCTTTCATCTCACAACATGAAGGGATGTCTGAATCCCCTGTGGAGACCTTAGAGAAAGCCCTAGGTCCCTGCCTCATTTTGACGGAATGCCTCACATCCCGCTGACACCTCGAGAGGCACGCGGAGTTCATTGCTTCAAAAGGTGACGATGCCTGACTCCTCTTGAATACTGATAGGAATCCCAAAATCCCTGTGGCTACTGGAAAGGGTCCTTGGGTGCCCTGCCTCACCTCGAGAAGCGTCCCTTTGGCCCTGCCAAGCCTCGAAGAGATTCCTGAGGTGTCCCTCGTTACTAGACAGGAGTCCTGACGTCACTGAAGAAACTCGTGTTTTGAAGGGCCATCCCCGCCGTAAGTCGAGAACATACCCCAGGTCCCCGCCGCAACTCGAGAAAAACCATGAGACTTCCCCCTAGAGGCAGGATGAGGCCCCATTCCCCTGCACTGCCTGCAGAGCTATTCCGTGATCCCATTCAAACAAGTCAGGAGCTTCGACTTGCTTAATGGATCTCGAGACAGTCCCCAAGAACACTGTCACCAGTCTAGACGGACCCTGAGGTCACCCCAGCAACGCAAAGCAGCTCCATGTGCCCCAAATCAACTCGAGATGAGGCCCGATTCCCCTGCATTGACTCCAGAGCCATTCCCCGTTCCCCATTCAACACGACCGGTGGCTCGACTTCCTTCAGGCAACTCCAGAGATGCCCCGAGAACACTGTCCCAAGTCTAGAGGAACACCACCTTCAGCACAGCAACTCGAGGAATGCTCCGTGTACCCCAAATCGTCTCGAGATGCGAGCTGATTCCCTGGCTTAGGCTCAAGACGTATGCCAACTTCCCAGAAGCACCTCAGGAGGAGGCTTCTCTCAGCAATAGGTATGTGGGAGGGACCCCGAGTTTGCTGCCTCAAGGGGAATATACAGCGAGAAGCCCTGACTTGAAAGGAGGCCGGATTTCCTTGCAGTGGCTTGAATACAGGCTCGTCTTTCATCTCACAACATGAAGGGATGTCTGAATCCCCTGTGGAGACCTTAGAGAAAGCCCTAGGTCCCTGCCTCATTTTGACGGAATGCCTCACATCCCGCTGACACCTCGAGAGGCACGCGGAGTTCATTGCTTCAAAAGGTGACGATGCCTGACTCCTCTTGAATACTGATAGGAATCCCAAAATCCCTGTGGCTACTGGAAAGGGTCCTTGGGTGCCCTGCCTCACCTCGAGAAGCGTCCCTTTGGCCCTGCCAAGCCTCGAAGAGATTCCTGAGGTGTCCCTCGTTACTAGACAGGAGTCCTGACGTCACTGAAGAAACTCGTGTTTTGAAGGGCCATCCCCGCCGTAAGTCGAGAACATACCCCAGGTCCCCGCCGCAACTCGAGAAAAACCATGAGACTTCCCCCTAGAGGCGAGATGAGGCCCCATTCCCCTGCAGTGCATGCAGAGCTATTCCGTGATCCCATTCAAACAAGGCAGGAGCTTCGACTTGCTTAATGGATCTCGAGACAGTCCCCAAGAACACTGTCACCAGTCTAGACGGACCCTGAGGTCACCCCAGCAACGCAAAGCAGCTCCATGTGCCCCAAATCAACTCGAGATGAGGCCCGATTCCCCTGCATTGACTCCAGAGCCATTCCCCGTTCCCCATTCAACACGACCGGTGGCTCGACTTCCTTCAGGCAACTCCAGAGATGCCCCGAGAACACTGTCCCAAGTCTAGAGGAACACCACCTTCAGCACAGCAACTCGAGGAATGCTCCGTGTACCCCAAATCGTCTCGAGATGCGAGCTGATTCCCTGGCTTAGGCTCAAGACGTATGCCAACTTCCCAGAAGCACCTCAGGAGGAGGCTTCTCTCAGCAATAGGTATGTGGGAGGGACCCCGAGTTTGCTGCCTCAAGGGGAATATACAGCGAGAAGCCCTGACTTGAAAGGAGGCCGGATTTCCTTGCAGTGGCTTGAATACAGGCTCGTCTTTCATCTCTCAACATGAAGGGATGTCTGAATCCCCTGTGGAGACCTTAGAGAAAGCCCTAGGTCCCTGCCTCATTTTGACGGAATGCCTCACATCCCGCTGACACCTCGAGAGGCACGCGGAGTTCATTGCTTCAAAAGGTGACGATGCCTGACTCCTCTTGAATACTGATAGGAATCCCAAAATCCCTGTGGCTACTGGAAAGGGTCCTTGGGTGCCCTGCCTCACCTCGAGAAGCGTCCCTTTGGCCCTGCCAAGCCTCGAAGAGATTCCTGAGGTGTCCCTCGTTACTAGACAGGAGTCCTGACGTCACTGAAGAAACTCGTGTTTTGAAGGGCCATCCCCGCCGTAAGTCGAGAACATACCCCAGGTCCCCGCCGCAACTCGAGAAAAACCATGAGACTTCCCCCTAGAGGCGAGATGAGGCCCCATTCCCCTGCAGTGCATGCAGAGCTATTCCGTGATCCCATTCAAACAAGTCAGGAGCTTCGACTTGCTTAATGGATCTCGAGACAGTCCCCAAGAACACTGTCACCAGTCTAGACGGACCCTGAGGTCACCCCAGCAACGCAAAGCAGCTCCATGTGCCCCAAATCAACTCGAGATGAGGCCCGATTCCCCTGCATTGACTCCAGAGCCATTCCCCGTTCCCCATTCAACACGACCGGTGGCTCGACTTCCTTCAGGCAACTCCAGAGATGCCCCGAGAACACTGTCCCAAGTCTAGAGGAACACCACCTTCAGCACAGCAACTCGAGGAATGCTCCGTGTACCCCAAATCGTCTCGAGATGCGAGCTGATTCCCTGGCTTAGGCTCAAGACGTATGCCAACTTCCCAGAAGCACCTCAGGAGGAGGCTTCTCTCAGCAATAGGTATGTGGGAGGGACCCCGAGTTTGCTGCCTCAAGGGGAATATACAGCGAGAAGCCCTAACTTGAAAGGAGGCCGGATTTCCTTGCAGTGGCTTGAATACAGGCTCGTCTTTCATCTCACAACATGAAGGGATGTCTGAATCCCCTGTGGAGACCTTAGAGAAAGCCCTAGGTCCCTGCCTCATTTTGACGGAATGCCTCACATCCCGCTGACACCTCGAGAGGCACGCGGAGTTCATTGCTTCAAAAGGTGACGATGCCTGACTCCTCTTGAATACTGATAGGAATCCCAAAATCCCTGTGGCTACTGGAAAGGGTCCTTGGGTGCCCTGCCTCACCTCGAGAAGCGTCCCTTTGGCCCTGCCAAGCCTCGAAGAGATTCCTGAGGTGTCCCTCGTTACTAGACAGGAGTCCTGACGTCACTGAAGAAACTCGTGTTTTGAAGGGCCATCCCCGCCGTAAGTCGAGAACATACCCCAGGTCCCCGCCGCAACTCGAGAAAAACCATGAGACTTCCCCCTAGAGGCGAGATGAGGCCCCATTCCCCTGCAGTGCATGCAGAGCTATTCCGTGATCCCATTCAAACAAGGCAGGAGCTTCGACTTGCTTAATGGATCTCGAGACAGTCCCCAAGAACACTGTCACCAGTCTAGACGGACCCTGAGGTCACCCCAGCAACGCAAAGCAGCTCCATGTGCCCCAAATCAACTCGAGATGAGGCCCGATTCCCCTGCATTGACTCCAGAGCCATTCCCCGTTCCCCATTCAACACGACCGGTGGCTCGACTTCCTTCAGGCAACTCCAGAGATGCCCCGAGAACACTGTCCCAAGTCTAGAGGAACACCACCTTCAGCACAGCAACTCGAGGAATGCTCCGTGTACCCCAAATCGTCTCGAGATGCGAGCTGATTCCCTGGCTTAGGCTCAAGACGTATGCCAACTTCCCAGAAGCACCTCAGGAGGAGGCTTCTCTAAGCAATAGGTATGTGGGAGGGACCCCGAGTTTGCTGCCTCAAGGGGAATATACAGCGAGAAGCCCTGACTTGAAAGGAGGCCGGATTTCCTTGCAGTGGCTTGAATACAGGCTCGTCTTTCATCTCTCAACATGAAGGGATGTCTGAATCCCCTGTGGAGACCTTAGAGAAAGCCCTAGGTCCCTGCCTCATTTTGACGGAATGCCTCACATCCCGCTGACACCTCGAGAGGCACGCGGAGTTCATTGCTTCAAAAGGTGACGATGCCTGACTCCTCTTGAATACTGATAGGAATCCCAAAATCCCTGTGGCTACTGGAAAGGGTCCTTGGGTGCCCTGCCTCACCTCGAGAAGCGTCCCTTTGGCCCTGCCAAGCCTCGAAGAGATTCCTGAGGTGTCCCTCGTTACTAGACAGGAGTCCTGACGTCACTGAAGAAACTCGTGTTTTGAAGGGCCATCCCCGCCGTAAGTCGAGAACATACCCCAGGTCCCCGCCGCAACTCGAGAAAAACCATGAGACTTCCCCCTAGAGGCGAGATGAGGCCCCATTCCCCTGCAGTGCATGCAGAGCTATTCCGTGATCCCATTCAAACAAGTCAGGAGCTTCGACTTGCTTAATGGATCTCGAGACAGTCCCCAAGAACACTGTCACCAGTCTAGACGGACCCTGAGGTCACCCCAGCAACGCAAAGCAGCTCCATGTGCCCCAAATCAACTCGAGATGAGGCCCGATTCCCCTGCATTGACTCCAGAGCCATTCCCCGTTCCCCATTCAACACGACCGGTGGCTCGACTTCCTTCAGGCAACTCCAGAGATGCCCCGAGAACACTGTCCCAAGTCTAGAGGAACACCACCTTCAGCACAGCAACTCGAGGAATGCTCCGTGTACCCCAAATCGTCTCGAGATGCGAGCTGATTCCCTGGCTTAGGCTCAAGACGTATGCCAACTTCCCAGAAGCACCTCAGGAGGAGGCTTCTCTCAGCAATAGGTATGTGGGAGGGACCCCGAGTTTGCTGCCTCAAGGGGAATATACAGCGAGAAGCCCTAACTTGAAAGGAGGCCGGATTTCCTTGCAGTGGCTTGAATACAGGCTCGTCTTTCATCTCACAACATGAAGGGATGTCTGAATCCCCTGTGGAGACCTTAGAGAAAGCCCTAGGTCCCTGCCTCATTTTGACGGAATGCCTCACATCCCGCTGACTCCTCGAGAGGCACGCGGAGTTCATTGCTTCAAAAGGTGACGATGCCTGACTCCTCTTGAATACTGATAGGAATCCCAAAATCCCTGTGGCTACTGGAAAGGGTCCTTGGGTGCCCTGCCTCACCTCGAGAAGCGTCCCTTTGGCCCTGCCAAGCCTCGAAGAGATTCCTGAGGTGTCCCTCGTTACTAGACAGGAGTCCTGACGTCACTGAAGAAACTCGTGTTTTGAAGGGTCATCCCCGCCGTAAGTCGAGAACATACCCCAGGTCCCCGCCGCAACTCGAGAAAAACCATGAGACTTCCCCCTAGAGGCGAGATGAGGCCCCATTAACCTGCAGTGCATGCAGAGCTATTCCGTGATCCCATTCAAACAAGTCAGGAGCTTCGACTTGCTTAATGGATCTCGAGACAGTCCCCAAGAACACTGTCACCAGTCTAGACGGACCCTGAGGTCACCCCAGCAACGCAAAGCAGCTCCATGTGCCCCAAATCAACTCGAGATGAGGCCCGATTCCCCTGCATTGACTCCAGAGCCATTCCCCGTTCCCCATTCAACACGACCGGTGGCTCGACTTCCTTCAGGCAACTCCAGAGATGCCCCGAGAACACTGTCCCAAGTCTAGAGGAACACCACCTTCAGCACAGCAACTCGAGGAATGCTCCGTGTACCCCAAATCGTCTCGAGATGCGAGCTGATTCCCTGGCTTAGGCTCAAGACGTATGCCAACTTCCCAGAAGCACCTCAGGAGGAGGCTTCTCTCAGCAATAGGTATGTGGGAGGGACCCCGAGTTTGCTGCCTCAAGGGGAATATACAGCGAGAAGCCCTAACTTGAAAGGAGGCCGGATTTCCTTGCAGTGGCTTGAATACAGGCTCGTCTTTCATCTCACAACATGAAGGGATGTCTGAATCCCCTGTGGAGACCTTAGAGAAAGCCCTAGGTCCCTGCATCATTTTGACGGAATGCCTCACATCCCGCTGACACCTCGAGAGGCACGCGGAGTTCATTGCTTCAAAAGGTGACGATGCCTGACTCCTCTTGAATACTGATAGGAATCCCAAAATCCCTGTGGCTACTGGAAAGGGTCCTTGGGTGCCCTGCCTCACCTCGAGAAGCGTCCCTTTGGCCCTGCCAAGCCTCGAAGAGATTCCTGAGGTGTCCCTCGTTACTAGACAGGAGTCCTGACGTCACTGAAGAAACTCGTGTTTTGAAGGGCCATCCCCGCCGTAAGTCGAGAACATACCCCAGGTCCCCGCCGCAACTCGAGAAAAACCATGAGACTTCCCCCTAGAGGCGAGATGAGGCCCCATTCCCCTGCAGTGCATGCAGAGCTATTCCGTGATCCCATTCAAACAAGTCAGGAGCTTCGACTCGCTTAATGGATCTCGAGACAGTCCCCAAGAACACTGTCACCAGTCTAGACGGACCCTGAGGTCACCCCAGCAACGCAAAGCAGCTCCATGTGCCCCAAATCAACTCGAGATGAGGCCCGATTCCCCTGCATTGACTCCAGAGCCATTCCCCGTTCCCCATTCAACACGACCGGTGGCTCGACTTCCTTCAGGCAACTCCAGAGATGCCCCGAGAACACTGTCCCAAGTCTAGAGGAACACCAACTTCAGCACAGCAACTCGAGGAATGCTCCGTGTACCCCAAATCGTCTCGAGATGCGAGCTGATTCCCTGGCTTAGGCTCAAGACGTATGCCAACTTCCCAGAAGCACCTCAGGAGGAGGCTTCTCTCAGCAATAGGTATGTGGGAGGGACCCCGAGTTTGCTGCCTCAAGGGGAATATACAGCGAGAAGCCCTAACTTGAAAGGAGGCCGGATTTCCTTGCAGTGGCTTGAATACAGGCTCGTCTTTCATCTCACAACATGAAGGGATGTCTGAATCCCCTGTGGAGACCTTAGAGAAAGCCCTAGGTCCCTGCCTCATTTTGACGGAATCCCTCACATCCCGCTGACACCTCGAGAGGCACGCGGAGTTCGTTGCGTCAAAAGGTGACGATGCCTGACTCCTCTTGAATACTGATAGGAATCCCAAAATCCCTGTGGCTACTGGAAAGGGTCCTTGGGTGCCCTGCCTCACCCCGAGAAGCGTCCTTTTGGCCCTGCCAAGCCTCGAAGAGATTCCTGAGGTGTCCCTCGTTACTAGACAGGAGTCCTGACGTCACTGAAGAAACTCGTGTTTTGAAGGGCCATCCCCGCCGTAAGTCGAGAACATACCCCAGGTCCCCGCCGCAACTCGAGAAAAACCATGAGACTTCCCCCTAGAGGCGAGATGAGGCCCCATTCCCCTGCAGTGCATGCAGAGCTATTCCGTGATCCCATTCAAACAAGTCAGGAGCTTCGACTCGCTTAATGGATCTCGAGACAGTCCCCAAGAACACTGTCACCAGTCTAGACGGACCCTGAGGTCACCCCAGCAACGCAAAGCAGCTCCATGTGCCCCAAATCAACTCGAGATGAGGCCCGATTCCCCTGCATTGACTCCAGAGCCATTCCCCGTTCCCCATTCAACACGACCGGTGGCTCGACTTCCTTCAGGCAACTCCAGAGATGCCCCGAGAACACTGTCCCAAGTCTAGAGGAACACCAACTTCAGCACAGCAACTCGAGGAATGCTCCGTCTACCCCAAATCGTCTCGAGATGCGAGCTGATTCCCTGGCTTAGGCTCAAGACGTATGCCAACTTCCCAGAAGCACCTCAGGAGGAGGCTTCTCTCAGCAATAGGTATGTGGGAGGGACCCCGAGTTTGCTGCCTCAAGGGGAATATACAGCGAGAAGCCCTAACTTGAAAGGAGGCCGGATTTCCTTGCAGTGGCTTGAATACAGGCTCGTCTTTCATCTCACAACATGAAGGGATGTCTGAATCCCCTGTGGAGACCTTAGAGAAAGCCCTAGGCCCCTGCCTCATTTTGACGGAATGCCTCACATCCCGCTGACACCTCGAGAGGCACGCGGAGTTCGTTGCGTCAAAAGGTGACGATGCCTGACTCCTCTTGAATACTGATAGGAATCCCAAAATCCCTGTGGCTACTGGAAAGGGTCCTTGGGTGCCCTGCCTCACCCCGAGAAGCGTCCTTTTGGCCCTGCCAAGCCTCGAAGAGATTCCTGAGGTGTCCCTCGTTACTAGACAGGAGTCCTGACGTCACTGAAGAAACTCGTGTTTTGAAGGGCCATCCCCGCCGTAAGTCGAGAACATACCCCAGGTCCCCGCCGCAACTCGAGAAAAACCATGAGACTTCCCCCTAGAGGCGAGATGAGGCCCCATTCCCCTGCAGTGCATGCAGAGCTATTCCGTGATCCCATTCAAACAAGGCAGGAGCTTCGACTTGCTTAATGGATCTCGAGACAGTCCCCAAGAACACTGTCACCAGTCTAGACGGACCCTGAGGTCACCCCAGCAACGCAAAGCAGCTCCATGTGCCCCATATCAACTCGAGATGAGGCCCGATTCCCCTGCATTGACTCCAGAGCCATTCCCCGTTCCCCATTCAACACGACCAGTGGCTCGACTTCCTTCAGGCAACTCCAGAGATGCCCCGAGAACACTGTCCCAAGTCTAGAGGAACACCAACTTCAGCACAGCAACTCGAGGAATGCTCCGTGTACCCCAAATCGTCTCGAGATGCGAGCTGATTCCCTGGCTTAGGCTCAAGACGTATGCCAACTTCCCAGAAGCACCTCAGGAGGAGGCTTCTCTCAGCAATAGGTATGTGGGAGGGACCCCGAGTTTGCTGCCTCAAGGGGAATATACAGCGAGAAGCCCTAACTTGAAAGGAGGCCGGATTTCCTTGCAGTGGCTTGAATACAGGCTCGTCTTTCATCTCACAACATGAAGGAATGTCTGAATCCCCTGTGGAGACCTTAGAGAAAGCCCTAGGTCCCTGCCTCATTTTGACGGAATGCCTCACATCCCGCTGACACCTCGAGAGGCACGCGGAGTTCATTGTTTCAAAAGGTGACGATGCCTGACTCCTCTTGAATACTGATAGGAATCCCAAAATCCCTGTGGCTACTGGAAAGGGTCCTTGGGTGCCCTGCCTCACCTCGAGAAGCGTCCCTTTGGCCCTGCCAAGCCTCGAAGAGATTCCTGAGGTGTCCCTCGTTACTAGACAAGAGTCCTGACGTCACTGAAGAAACTCGTGTTTTGAAGGGCCATCCCCGCCGTAAGTCGAGAACATACCCCAGGTCCCAGCCGCAACTCGAGAAAAACCATGAGACTTCCCCCTAGAGGCAGGATGAGGCCCCATTCCCCTGAACTGCCTGCAGAGCTATTCCGTGATCCCATTCAAACAAGTCAGGAGCTTCGACTTGCTTAATGGATCTCGAGACAGTCCCCAAGAACACTGTCACAGTCTAGACGGACCCTGAGGTCACCCCAGCAACGCAAAGCAGCTCCATGTGCCCCAAATCAACTCGAGATGAGGCCCGATTCCCCTGCATTGACTCCAGAGCCATTCCCCGTTCCCCATTCAACACGACCGGTGGCTCGACTTCTTTCAGGCAACTCCAGAGATGCCCCGAGAACACTGTCCCAAGTCTAGAGGAACACCACCTTCAGCACAGCAACTCGAGGAATGCTCCGTGTACCCCAAATCGTCTCGAGATGCGAGCTGATTCCCTGGCTTAGGCTCAAGACGTATGCCAACTTCCCAGAAGCACCTCAGGAGGAGGCTTCTCTCAGCAATAGGTATGTGGGAGGGACCCCGAGTTTGCTGCCTCAAGGGGAATATACAGCGAGAAGCCCTAACTTGAAAGGAGGCCGGATTTCCTTGCAGTGGCTTGAATACAGGCTCGTCTTTCATCTCACAACATGAAGGGATGTCTGAATCCCCTGTGGAGACCTTAGAGAAAGCCCTAGGTCCCTGCCTCATTTTGACGGAATGCCTCACATCCCGCTGACACCTCGAGAGGCACGCGGAGTTCATTGCTTCAAAAGGTGACGATGCCTGACTCCTCTTGAATACTGATAGGAATCCCAAAATCCCTGTGGCTACTGGAAAGGGTCCTTGGGTGCCCTGCCTCACCTCGAGAAGCGTCCCTTTGGCCCTGCCAAGCCTCGAAGAGATTCCTGAGGTGTCCCTCGTTACTAGACAGGAGTCCTGACGTCACTGAAGAAACTCGTGTTTTGAAGGGCCATCCCCGCCGTAAGTCGAGAACATACCCCAGGTCCCCGCCACAACTCGAGAAAAACCATGAGACTTCCCCCTAGAGGCGAGATGAGGCCCCATTCCCCTGCAGTGCCTGCAGAGCTATTCCGTGATCCCATTCAAACAAGTCAGGAGCTTCGACTTGCTTAATGGATCTCGAGACAGTCCCCAAGAACACTGTCACCAGTCTAGACGGACCCTGAGGTCACCCCAGCAACGCAAAGCAGCTCCATGTGCCCCAAATCAACTCGAGATGAGGCCCGATTCCCCTGCATTGACTCCAGAGCCATTCCCCGTTCCCCATTCAACACGACCGGTGGCTCGACTTCCTTCAGGCAACTCCAGAGATGCCCCGAGAACACTGTCCCAAGTCTAGAGGAACACCACCTTCAGCACAGCAACTCGAGGAATGCTCCGTATACCCCAAATCGTCTCGAGATGCGAGCTGATTCCCTGGCTTAGGCTCAAGACGTATGCCAACTTCCAAAAGCACCTCAGGAGGAGGCTTCTCTCAGCAATAGGTATGTGGGAGGGACCCCGAGTTTGCTGCCTCAAGGGGAATATACAGCGAGAAGCCCTGACTTGAAAGGAGGCCGGATTTCCTTGCAGTGGCTTGAATACAGGCTCGTCTTTCATCTCACAACATGAAGGGATGTCTGAATCCCCTGTGGAGACCTTAGAGAAAGCCCTAGGTCCCTGCCTCATTTTGACGGAATGCCTCACATCCCACTGACACCTCGAGAGGCACGCGGAGTTCATTGCTTCAAAAGGTGACGATGCCTGACTCCTCTTGAATACTGATAGGAATCCCAAAATCCCTGTGGCTACTGGAAAGGGTCCTTGGGTGCCCTGCCTCACCTCGAGAAGCGTCCCTTTGGCCCTGCCAAGCCTCGAAGAGATTCCTGAGGTGTCCCTCGTTACTAGACAGGAGTCCTGACGTCACTGAAGAAACTCGTGTTTTGAAGGGCCATCCCCGCCGTAAGTCGAGAACATACCCCAGGTCCCCGCCGCAACTCGAGAAAAACCATGAGACTTCCCCCTAGAGGCAGGATGAGGCCCCATTCCCCTGCACTGCCTGCAGAGCTATTCCGTGATCCCATTCAAACAAGTCAGGAGCTTCGACTTGCTTAATGGATCTCGAGACAGTCCCCAAGAACACTGTCACCAGTCTAGACGGACCCTGAGGTCACCCCAGCAACGCAAAGCAGCTCCATGTGCCCCAAATCAACTCGAGATGAGGCCCGATTCCCCTGCATTGACTCCAGAGCCATTCCCCGTTCCCCATTCAACACGACCGGTGGCTCGACTTCCTTCAGGCAACTCCAGAGATGCCCCGAGAACACTGTCCCAAGTCTAGAGGAACACCACCTTCAGCACAGCAACTCGAGGAATGCTCCGTGTACCCCAAATCGTCTCGAGATGCGAGCTGATTCCCTGGCTTAGGCTCAAGACGTATGCCAACTTCCCAGAAGCACCTCAGGAGGAGGCTTCTCTCAGCAATAGGTATGTGGGAGGGACCCCGAGTTTGCTGCCTCAAGGGGAATATACAGCGAGAAGCCCTGACTTGAAAGGAGGCCGGATTTCCTTGCAGTGGCTTGAATACAGGCTCGTCTTTCATCTCACAACATGAAGGGATGTCTGAATCCCCTGTGGAGACCTTAGAGAAAGCCCTAGGTCCCTGCCTCATTTTGACGGAATGCCTCACATCCCGCTGACACCTCGAGAGGCACGCGGAGTTCATTGCTTCAAAAGGTGACGATGCCTGACTCCTCTTGAATACTGATAGGAATCCCAAAATCCCTGTGGCTACTGGAAAGGGTCCTTGGGTGCCCTGCCTCACCTCGAGAAGCGTCCCTTTGGCCCTGCCAAGCCTCGAAGAGATTCCTGAGGTGTCCCTCGTTACTAGACAAGAGTCCTGACGTCACTGAAGAAACTCGTGTTTTGAAGGGCCATCCCCGCCGTAAGTCGAGAACATACCCCAGGTCCCAGCCGCAACTCGAGAAAAACCATGAGACTTCCCCCTAGAGGCAGGATGAGGCCCCATTCCCCTGAACTGCCTGCAGAGCTATTCCGTGATCCCATTCAAACAAGTCAGGAGCTTCGACTTGCTTAATGGATCTCGAGACAGTCCCCAAGAACACTGTCACCAGTCTAGACGGACCCTGAGGTCACCCCAGCAACGCAAAGCAGCTCCATGTGCCCCAAATCAACTCGAGATGAGGCCCGATTCCCCTGCATTGACTCCAGAGCCATTCCCCGTTCCCCATTCAACACGACCGGTGGCTCGACTTCCTTCAGGCAACTCCAGAGATGCCCCGAGAACACTGTCCCAAGTCTAGAGGAACACCACCTTCAGCACAGCAACTCGAGGAATGCTCCGTGTACCCCAAATCGTCTCGAGATGCGAGCTGATTCCCTGGCTTAGGCTCAAGACGTATGCCAACTTCCCAGAAGCACCTCAGGAGGAGGCTTCTCTCAGCAATAGGTATGTGGGAGGGACCCCGAGTTTGCTGCCTCAAGGGGAATATACAGCGAGAAGCCCTAACTTGAAAGGAGGCCGGATTTCCTTGCAGTGGCTTGAATACAGGCTCGTCTTTCATCTCACAACATGAAGGGATGTCTGAATCCCCTGTGGAGACCTTAGAGAAAGCCCTAGGTCCCTGCCTCATTTTGACGGAATGCCTCACATCCCGCTGACACCTCGAGAGGCACGCGGAGTTCATTGCTTCAAAAGGTGACGATGCCTGACTCCTCTTGAATACTGATAGGAATCCCAAAATCCCTGTGGCTACTGGAAAGGGTCCTTGGGTGCCCTGCCTCACCTCGAGAAGCGTCCCTTTGGCCCTGCCAAGCCTCGAAGAGATTCCTGAGGTGTCCCTCGTTACTAGACAGGAGTCCTGACGTCACTGAAGAAACTCGTGTTTTGAAGGGCCATCCCCGCCGTAAGTCGAGAACATACCCCAGGTCCCCGCCGCAACTCGAGAAAAACCATGAGACTTCCCCCTAGAGGCGAGATGAGGCCCCATTCCCCTGCAGTGCATGCAGAGCTATTCCGTGATCCCATTCAAACAAGGCAGGAGCTTCGACTTGCTTAATGGATCTCGAGACAGTCCCCAAGAACACTGTCACCAGTCTAGACGGACCCTGAGGTCACCCCAGCAACGCAAAGCAGCTCCATGTGCCCCAAATCAACTCGAGATGAGGCCCGATTCCCTGCATTGACTCCAGAGCCATTCCCCGTTCCCCATTCAACACGACCGGTGGCTCGACTTCCTTCAGGCAACTCCAGAGATGCCCCGAGAACACTGTCCCAAGTCTAGAGGAACACCAACTTCAGCACAGCAACTCGAGGAATGCTCCGTCTACTCCAAATCGTCTCGAGATGCGAGCTGATTCCCTGGCTTAGGCTCAAGACGTATGCCAACTTCCCAGAAGCACCTCAGGAGGAGGCTTCTCTCAGCAATAGGTATGTGGGAGGGACCCCGAGTTTGCTGCCTCAAGGGGAATATACAGCGAGAAGCCCTAACTTGAAAGGAGGCCGGATTTCCTTGCAGTGGCTTGAATACAGGCTCGTCTTTCATCTCACAACATGAAGGGATGTCTGAATCCCCTGTGGAGACCTTAGAGAAAGCCCTAGGTCCCTGCCTCATTTTGACGGAATGCCTCACATCCCGCTGACACCTCGAGAGGCACGCGGAGTTCGTTGCTTCAAAAGGTGACGATGCCTGACTCCTCTTGAATACTGATAGGAATCCCAAAATCCCTGTGGCTACTGGAAAGGGCCCTTGGGTGCCCTGCCTCACCTCGAGAAGCGTCCCTTTGGCCCTGCCAAGCCTCGAAGAGATTCCTGAGGTGTCCCTCGTTACTAGACAGGAGTCCTGACGTCACTGAAGAAACTCGTGTTTTGAAGGGCCATCCCCGCCGTAAGTCGAGAACATACCCCAGGTCCCCGCCGCAACTCGAGAAAAACCATGAGACTTCCCCCTAGAGGCGAGATGAGGCCCCATTCCCCTGCAGTGCATGCAGAGCTATTCCGTGATCCCATTCAAACAAGTCAGGAGCTTCGACTTGCTTAATGGATCTCGAGACAGTCCCCAAGAACACTGTCACCAGTCTAGACGGACCCTGAGGTCACCCCAGCAACGCAAAGCAGCTCCATGTGCCCCAAATCAACTCGAGATGAGGCCCGATTCCCCTGCATTGACTCCAGAGCCATTCCCCGTTCCCCATTCAACACGACCGGTGGCTCGACTTCCTTCAGGCAACTCCAGAGATGCCCCGAGAACACTGTCCCAAGTCTAGAGGAACACCAACTTCAGCACAGCAACACGAGGAATGCTCCGTCTACCCCAAATCGTCTCGAGATGCGAGCTGATTCCCTGGCTTAGGCTCAAGACGTATGCCAACTTCCCAGAAGCACCTCAGGAGGAGGCTTCTCTCAGCAATAGGTATGTGGGAGGGACCCCGAGTTTGCTGCCTCAAGGGGAATATACAGCGAGAAGCCCTAACTTGAAAGGAGGCCGGATTTCCTTGCAGTGGCTTGAATACAGGCTCGTCTTTCATCTCACAACATGAAGGGATGTCTGAATCCCCTGTGGAGACCTTAGAGAAAGCCCTAGGTCCCTGCCTCATTTTGACGGAATGCCTCACATCCCGCTGACACCTCGAGAGGCACGCGGAGTTCGTTGCGTCAAAAGGTGACGATGCCTGACTCCTCTTGAATACAGATAGGAATCCCAAAATCCCTGTGGCTACTGGAAAGGGTCCTTGGGTGCCCTGCCTCACCTCGAGAAGCGTCCCTTTGGCCCTGCCAAGCCTCGAAGAGATTCCTGAGGTGTCCCTCGTTACTAGACAGGAGTCCTGACGTCACTGAAGAAACTCGTGTTTTGAAGGGCCATCCCCGCCGTAAGTCGAGAACATACCCCAGGTCCCCGCCGCAACTCGAGAATAACCATGAGACTTCCCCCTAGAGGCGAGATGAGGCCCCATTCCCCTGCAGTGCATGCAGAGCTATTCCGTGATCCCATTCAAACAAGGCAGGAGCTTCGACTTGCTTAATGGATCTCGAGACAGTCCCCAAGAACACTGTCACCAGTCTAGACGGACCCTGAGGTCACCCCAGCAACGCAAAGCAGCTCCATGTGCCCCAAATCAACTCGAGATGAGGCCCGATTCCCCTGCATTGACTCCAGAGCCATTCCCCGTTCCCCATTCAACACGACCGGTGGCTCGACTTCCTTCAGGCAACTCCAGAGATGCCCCGAGAACACTGTCCCAAGTCTAGAGGAACACCAACTTCAGCACAGCAACTCGAGGAATGCTCCGTGTACCCCAAATCGTCTCGAGATGCGAGCTGATTCCCTGGCTTAGGCTCAAGACGTATGCCAACTTCCCAGAAGCACCTCAGGAGGAGGCTTCTCTCAGCAATAGGTATGTGGGAGGGACCCCGAGTTTGCTGCCTCAAGGGGAATATACAGCGAGAAGCCCTAACTTGAAAGGAGGCCGGATTTCCTTGCAATGGCTTGAATACAGGCTCGTCTTTCATCTCACAACATGAAGGGATGTCTGAATCCCCTGTGGAGACCTTAGAGAAAGCCCTAGGTCCCTGCCTCATTTTGACGGAATGCCTCACATCCCGCTGACACCTCGAGAGGCACGCGGAGTTCGTTGCGTCAAAAGGTGAGGATGCCTGACTCCTCTTGAGTACTGATAGGAATCCCAAAATCCCTGTGGCTACTGGAAAGGGTCCTTGGGTGCCCTGCCTCACCTCGAGAAGCGTCCCTTTGGCCCTGCCAAGCCTCGAAGAGATTCCTGAGGTGTCCCTCGTTACTAGACAGGAGTCCTGACGTCACTGAAGAAACTCGTGTTTTGAAGGGCCATCCCCGCCGTAAGTCGAGAACATACCCCAGGTCCCCGCCGCAACTCGAGAAAAACCATGAGACTTCCCCCTAGAGGCAGGATGAGGCCCCATTCCCCTGCACTGCCTGCAGAGCTATTCCGTGATCCCATTCAAACAAGTCAGGAGCTTCGACTTGCTTAATGGATCTCGAGACAGTCCCCAAGAACACTGTCACCAGTCTAGACGGACCCTGAGGTCACCCCAGCAACGCAAAGCAGCTCCATGTGCCCCAAATCAACTCGAGATGAGGCCCGATTCCCCTGCATTGACTCCAGAGCCATTCCCCGTTCCCCATTCAACACGACCGGTGGCTCGACTTCCTTCAGGCAACTCCAGAGATGCCCCGAGAACACTGTCCCAAGTCTAGAGGAACACCACCTTCAGCACAGCAACTCGAGGAATGCTCCGTGTACCCCAAATCGTCTCGAGATGCGAGCTGATTCCCTGGCTTAGGCTCAAGACGTATGCCAACTTCCCAGAAGCACCTCAGGAGGAGGCTTCTCTCAGCAATAGGTATGTGGGAGGGACCCCGAGTTTGCTGCCTCAAGGGGAATATACAGCGAGAAGCCCTAACTTGAAAGGAGGCCGGATTTCCTTGCAGTGGCTTGAATACAGGCTCGTCTTTCATCTCACAACATGAAGGGATGTCTGAATCCCCTGTGGAGACCTTAGAGAAAGCCCTAGGTCCCTGCCTCATTTTGACGGAATGCCTCACATCCCGCTGACACCTCGAGAGGCACGCGGAGTTCATTGCTTCAAAAGGTGACGATGCCTGACTCCTCTTGAATACTGATAGGAATCCCAAAATCCCTGTGGCTACTGGAAAGGGTCCTTGGGTGCCCTGCCTCACCTCGAGAAGCGTCCCTTTGGCCCTGCCAAGCCTCGAAGAGATTCCTGAGGTGTCCCTCGTTACTAGACAGGAGTCCTGACGTCACTGAAGAAACTCGTGTTTTGAAGGGCCATCCCCGCCGTAAGTCGAGAACATACCCCAGGTCCCCGCCGCAACTCGAGAAAAACCATGAGACTTCCCCCTAGAGGCGAGATGAGGCCCCATTCCCCTGCAGTGCATGCAGAGCTATTCCGTGATCCCATTCAAACAAGGCAGGAGCTTCGACTTGCTTAATGGATCTCGAGACAGTCCCCAAGAACACTGTCACCAGTCTAGACGGACCCTGAGGTCACCCCAGCAACGCAAAGCAGCTCCATGTGCCCCAAATCAACTCGAGATGAGGCCCGATTCCCCTGCATTGACTCCAGAGCCATTCCCCGTTCCCCATTCAACACGACCGGTGGCTCGACTTCCTTCAGGCAACTCCAGAGATGCCCCGAGAACACTGTCCCAAGTCTAGAGGAACACCAACTTCAGCACAGCAACTCGAGGAATGCTCCGTGTACCCCAAATCGTCTCGAGATGCGAGCTGATTCCCTGGCTTAGGCTCAAGACGTATGCCAACTTCCCAGAAGCACCTCAGGAGGAGGCTTCTCTCAGCAATAGGTATGTGGGAGGGACCCCGAGTTTGCTGCCTCAAGGGGAATATACAGCGAGAAGCCCTAACTTGAAAGGAGGCCGGATTTCCTTGCAGTGGCTTGAATACAGGCTCGTCTTTCATCTCACAACATGAAGGGATGTCTGAATCCCCTGTGGAGACCTTAGAGAAAGCCCTAGGTCCCTGCCTCATTTTGACGGAATGCCTCACATCCCGCTGACACCTCGAGAGGCACGCGGAGTTCGTTGCGTCAAAAGGTGAGGATGCCTGACTCCTCTTGAGTACTGATAGGAATCCCAAAATCCCTGTGGCTACTGGAAAGGGTCCTTGGGTGCCCTGCCTCACCTCGAGAAGCGTCCCTTTGGCCCTGCCAAGCCTCGAAGAGATTCCTGAGGTGTCCCTCGTTACTAGACAGGAGTCCTGACGTCACTGAAGAAACTCGTGTTTTGAAGGGCCATCCCCGCCGTAAGTCGAGAACATACCCCAGGTCCCCGCCGCAACTCGAGAAAAACCATGAGACTTCCCCCTAGAGGCAGGATGAGGCCCCATTCCCCTGCACTGCCTGCAGAGCTATTCCGTGATCCCATTCAAACAAGTCAGGAGCTTCGACTTGCTTAATGGATCTCGAGACAGTCCCCAAGAACACTGTCACCAGTCTAGACGGACCCTGAGGTCACCCCAGCAACGCAAAGCAGCTCCATGTGCCCCAAATCAACTCGAGATGAGGCCCGATTCCCCTGCATTGACTCCAGAGCCATTCCCCGTTCCCCATTCAACACGACCGGTGGCTCGACTTCCTTCAGGCAACTCCAGAGATGCCCCGAGAACACTGTCCCAAGTCTAGAGGAACACCACCTTCAGCACAGCAACTCGAGGAATGCTCCGTGTACCCCAAATCGTCTCGAGATGCGAGCTGATTCCCTGGCTTAGGCTCAAGACGTATGCCAACTTCCCAGAAGCACCTCAGGAGGAGGCTTCTCTCAGCAATAGGTATGTGGGAGGGACCCCGAGTTTGCTGCCTCAAGGGGAATATACAGCGAGAAGCCCTAACTTGAAAGGAGGCCGGATTTCCTTGCAGTGGCTTGAATACAGGCTCGTCTTTCATCTCACAACATGAAGGGATGTCTGAATCCCCTGTGGAGACCTTAGAGAAAGCCCTAGGTCCCTGCCTCATTTTGACGGAATGCCTCACATCCCGCTGACACCTCGAGAGGCACGCGGAGTTCATTGCTTCAAAAGGTGACGATGCCTGACTCCTCTTGAATACTGATAGGAATCCCAAAATCCCTGTGGCTACTGGAAAGGGTCCTTGGGTGCCCTGCCTCACCTCGAGAAGCGTCCCTTTGGCCCTGCCAAGCCTCGAAGAGATTCCTGAGGTGTCCCTCGTTACTAGACAGGAGTCCTGACGTCACTGAAGAAACTCGTGTTTTGAAGGGCCATCCCCGCCGTAAGTCGAGAACATACCCCAGGTCCCCGCCGCAACTCGAGAAAAACCATGAGACTTCCCCCTAGAGGCGAGATGAGGCCCCATTCCCCTGCAGTGCATGCAGAGCTATTCCGTGATCCCATTCAAACAAGGCAGGAGCTTCGACTTGCTTAATGGATCTCGAGACAGTCCCCAAGAACACTGTCACCAGTCTAGACGGACCCTGAGGTCACCCCAGCAACGCAAAGCAGCTCCATGTGCCCCAAATCAACTCGAGATGAGGCCCGATTCCCCTGCATTGACTCCAGAGCCATTCCCCGTTCCCCATTCAACACGACCGGTGGCTCGACTTCCTTCAGGCAACTCCAGAGATGCCCCGAGAACACTGTCCCAAGTCTAGAGGAACACCAACTTCAGCACAGCAACTCGAGGAATGCTCCGTGTACCCCAAATCGTCTCGAGATGCGAGCTGATTCCCTGGCTTAGGCTCAAGACGTATGCCAACTTCCCAGAAGCACCTCAGGAGGAGGCTTCTCTCAGCAATAGGTATGTGGGAGGGACCCCGAGTTTGCTGCCTCAAGGGGAATATACAGCGAGAAGCCCTAACTTGAAAGGAGGCCGGATTTCCTTGCAGTGGCTTGAATACAGGCTCGTCTTTCATCTCACAACATGAAGGGATGTCTGAATCCCCTGTGGAGACCTTAGAGAAAGCCCTAGGTCCCTGCCTCATTTTGACGGAATGCCTCACATCCCGCTGACACCTCGAGAGGCACGCGGAGTTCATTGCTTCAAAAGGTGACGATGCCTGACTCCTCTTGAATACTGATAGGAATCCCAAAATCCCTGGGGCTACTGGAAAGGGTCCTTGGGTGCCCTGCCTCACCTCGAGAAGCGTCCCTTTGGCACTGCCAAGCCTCGAAGAGATTCCTGAGGTGTCCCTCGTTACTAGACAGGAGTCCTGACGTCACTGAAGAAACTCGTGTTTTGAAGGGCCATGTCCGCCGTAAGTCGAGAACATACCCCAGGTCCCCGCCGCAACTCGAGAAAAACCATGAGACTTCCCCCTAGAGGCGAGATGAGGCCCCATTCCCCTGCAGTGCCTGCAGAGCTATTCCGTGATCCCATTCAAACAAGTCAGGAGCTTCGACTTGCTTAATGGATCTCGAGACAGTCCCCAAGAACACTGTCACCAGTCTAGACGGACCCTGAGGTCACCCCAGCAACGCAAAGCAGCTCCATGTGCCCCAAATCAACTCGAGATGAGGCCCGATTCCCCTGCATTGACTCCAGAGCCATTCCCCGTTCCCCATTCAACACGACCGGTGGCTCGACTTCCTTCAGGCAACTCCAGAGATGCCCCGAGAACACTGTCCCAAGTCTAGAGGAACACCACCTTCAGCACAGCAACTCGAGGAATGCTCCGTGTACCCCAAATCGTCTCGAGATGCGAGCTGATTCCCTGGCTTAGGCTCAAGACGTATGCCAACTTCCCAGAAGCACCTCAGGAGGAGGCTTCTCTCAGCAATAGGTATGTGGGAGGGACCCCGAGTTTGCTGCCTCAAGGGGAATATACAGCGAGAAGCCCTAACTTGAAAGGAGGCCGGATTTCCTTGCAGTGGCTTGAATACAGGCTCGTCTTTCATCTCACAACATGAAGGGATGTCTGAATCCCCTGTGGAGACCTTAGAGAAAGCCCTAGGTCCCTGCCTCATTTTGACGGAATGCCTCACATCCCGCTGACACCTCGAGAGGCACGCGGAGTTCATTGCTTCAAAAGGTGACGATGCCTGACTCCTCTTGAATACTGATAGGAATCCCAAAATCCCTGTGGCTACTGGAAAGGGTCCTTGGGTGCCCTGCCTCACCTCGAGAAGCGTCCCTTTGGCCCTGCCAAGCCTCGAAGAGATTCCTGAGGTGTCCCTCGTTACTAGACAGGAGTCCTGACGTCACTGAAGAAACTCGTGTTTTGAAGGGCCATCCCCGCCGTAAGTTGAGAACATACCCCAGGTCCCCGCCGCAACTCGAGAAAAACCATGAGACTTCCCCCTAGAGGCAGGATGAGGCCCTATTCCCCTGAACTGCCTGCAGAGCTATTCCGTGATCCCATTCAAACAAGTCAGGAGCTTCGACTTGCTTAATGGATCTCGAGACAGTCCCCAAGAACACTGTCACCAGTCTAGACGGACCCTGAGGTCACCCCAGCAACGCAAAGCAGCTCCATGTGCCCCAAATCAACTCGAGATGAGGCCCGATTCCCCTGCATTGACTCCAGAGCCATTCCCCGTTCCCCATTCAACACGACCGGTGGCTCGACTTCTTTCAGGCAACTCCAGAGATGCCCCGAGAACACTGTCCCAAGTCTAGAGGAACACCACCTTCAGCACAGCAACTCGAGGAATGCTCCGTGTACCCCAAATCGTCTCGAGATGCGAGCTGATTCCCTGGCTTAGGCTCAAGACGTATGCCAACTTCCCAGAAGCACCTCAGGAGGAGGCTTCTCTCAGCAATAGGTATGTGGGAGGGACCCCGAGTTTGCTGCCTCAAGGGGAATATACAGCGAGAAGCCCTAACTTGAAAGGAGGCCGGATTTCCTTGCAGTGGCTTGAATACAGGCTCGTCTTTCATCTCACAACATGAAGGGATGTCTGAATCCCCTGTGGAGACCTTAGAGAAAGCCCTAGGTCCCTGCCTCATTTTGACGGAATGCCTCACATCCCGCTGACACCTCGAGAGGCACGCGGAGTTCATTGCTTCAAAAGGTGACGATGCCTGACTCCTCTTGAATACTGATAGGAATCCCAAAATCCCTGTGGCTACTGGAAAGGGTCCTTGGGTGCCCTGCCTCACCTCGAGAAGCGTCCCTTTGGCCCTGCCAAGCCTCGAAGAGATTCCTGAGGTGTCCCTCGTTACTAGACAGGAGTCCTGACGTCACTGAAGAAACTCGTGTTTTGAAGGGCCATCCCCGCCGTAAGTCGAGAACATACCCCAGGTCCCCGCCGCAACTCGAGAAAAACCATGAGACTTCCCCCTAGAGGCAGGATGAGGCCCCATTCCCCTGCACTACCTGCAGAGCTATTCCGTGATCCCATTCAAACAAGTCAGGAGCTTCGACTTGCTTAATGGATCTCGAGACAGTCCCCAAGAACACTGTCACCAGTCTAGACGGACCCTGAGGTCACCCCAGCAACGCAAAGCAGCTCCATGTGCCCCAAATCAACTCGAGATGAGGCCCGATTCCCCTGCATTGACTCCAGAGCCATTCCCCGTTCCCCATTCAACACGACCGGTGGCTCGACTTCCTTCAGGCAACTCCAGAGATGCCCCGAGAACACTGTCCCAAGTCTAGAGGAACACCACCTTCAGCACAGCAACTCGAGGAATGCTCCGTGTACCCCAAATCGTCTCAAGATGCGAGCTGATTCCCTGGCTTAGGCTCAAGACGTATGCCAACTTCCCAGAAGCACCTCAGGAGGAGGCTTCTCTCAGCAATAGGTATGTGGGAGGGACCCCGAGTTTGCTGCCTCAAGGGGAATATACAGCGAGAAGCCCTGACTTGAAAGGAGGCCGGATTTCCTTGCAGTGGCTTGAATACAGGCTCGTCTTTCATCTCACAACATGAAGGGATGTCTGAATCCCCTGTGGAGACCTTAGAGAAAGCCCTAGGTCCCTGCCTCATTTTGACGGAATGCCTCACATCCCGCTGACACCTCGAGAGGCACGCGGAGTTCATTGCTTCAAAAGGTGACGATGCCTGACTCCTCTTGAATACTGATAGGAATCCCAAAATCCCTGTGGCTACTGGAAAGGGTCCTTGGGTGCCCTGCCTCACCTCGAGAAGCGTCCCTTTGGCCCTGCCAAGCCTCGAAGAGATTCCTGAGGTGTCCCTCGTTACTAGACAGGAGTCCTGACGTCACTGAAGAAACTCGTGTTTTGAAGGGCCATCCCCGCCGTAAGTCGAGAACATACCCCAGGTCCCCGCCGCAACTCGAGAAAAACCATGAGACTTCCCCCTAGAGGCGAGATGAGGCCCCATTCCCCTGCAGTGCCTGCAGAGCTATTCCGTGATCCCATTCAAACAAGTCAGGAGCTTCGACTTGCTTAATGGATCTCGAGACAGTCCCCAAGAACACTGTCACCAGTCTAGACGGACCCTGAGGTCACCCCAGCAACGCAAAGCAGCTCCATGTGCCCCAAATCAACTCGAGATGAGGCCCGATTCCCCTGCATTGACTCCAGAGCCATTCCCCGTTCCCCATTCAACACGACCGGTGGCTCGACTTCCTTCAGGCAACTCCAGAGATGCCCCGAGAACACTGTCCCAAGTCTAGAGGAACACCACCTTCAGCACAGCAACTCGAGGAATGCTCCGTGTACCCCAAATCGTCTCGAGATGCGAGCTGATTCCCTGGCTTAGGCTCAAGACGTATGCCAACTTCCAAAAGCACCTCAGGAGGAGGCTTCTCTCAGCAATAGGTATGTGGGAGGGACCCCGAGTTTGCTGCCTCAAGGGGAATATACAGCGAGAAGCCCTGACTTGAAAGGAGGCCGGATTTCCTTGCAGTGGCTTGAATACAGGCTCGTCTTTCATCTCACAACATGAAGGGATGTCTGAATCCCCTGTGGAGACCTTAGAGAAAGCCCTAGGTCCCTGCCTCATTTTGACGGAATGCCTCACATCCCGCTGACACCTCGAGAGGCACGCGGAGTTCATTGCTTCAAAAGGTGACGATGCCTGACTCCTCTTGAATACTGATAGGAATCCCAAAATCCCTGTGGCTACTGGAAAGGGTCCTTGGGTGCCCTGCCTCACCTCGAGAAGCGTCCCTTTGGCCCTGCCAAGCCTCGAAGAGATTCCTGAGGTGTCCCTCGTTACTAGACAGGAGTCCTGACGTCACTGAAGAAACTCGTGTTTTGAAGGGCCATCCCCGCCGTAAGTCGAGAACATACCCCAGGTCCCCGCCGCAACTCGAGAAAAACCATGAGACTTCCCCCTAGAGGCAGGATGAGGCCCCATTCCCCTGCACTACCTGCAGAGCTATTCCGTGATCCCATTCAAACAAGTCAGGAGCTTCGACTTGCTTAATGGATCTCGAGACAGTCCCCAAGAACACTGTCACCAGTCTAGACGGACCCTGAGGTCACCCCAGCAACGCAAAGCAGCTCCATGTGCCCCAAATCAACTCGAGATGAGGCCCGATTCCCCTGCATTGACTCCAGAGCCATTCCCCGTTCCCCATTCAACACGACCGGTGGCTCGACTTCCTTCAGGCAACTCCAGAGATGCCCCGAGAACACTGTCCCAAGTCTAGAGGAACACCACCTTCAGCACAGCAACTCGAGGAATGCTCCGTGTACCCCAAATCGTCTCGAGATGCGAGCTGATTCCCTGGCTTAGGCTCAAGACGTATGCCAACTTCCCAGAAGCACCTCAGGAGGAGGCTTCTCTCAGCAATAGGTATGTGGGAGGGACCCCGAGTTTGCTGCCTCAAGGGGAATATACAGCGAGAAGCCCTGACTTGAAAGGAGGCCGGATTTCCTTGCAGTGGCTTGAATACAGGCTCGTCTTTCATCTCACAACATGAAGGGATGTCTGAATCCCCTGTGGAGACCTTAGAGAAAGCCCTAGGTCCCTGCCTCATTTTGACGGAATGCCTCACATCCCGCTGACACCTCGAGAGGCACGCGGAGTTCATTGCTTCAAAAGGTGACGATGCCTGACTCCTCTTGAATACTGATAGGAATCCCAAAATCCCTGTGGCTACTGGAAAGGGTCCTTGGGTGCCCTGCCTCACCTCGAGAAGCGTCCCTTTGGCCCTGCCAAGCCTCGAAGAGATTCCTGAGGTGTCCCTCGTTACTAGACAGGAGTCCTGACGTCACTGAAGAAACTCGTGTTTTGAAGGGCCATCCCCGCCGTAAGTCGAGAACATACCCCAGGTCCCCGCCGCAACTCGAGAAAAACCATGAGACTTCCCCCTAGAGGCGAGATGAGGCCCCATTCCCCTGCAGTGCATGCAGAGCTATTCCGTGATCCCATTCAAACAAGTCAGGAGCTTCGACTTGCTTAATGGATCTCGAGACAGTCCCCAAGAACACTGTCACCAGTCTAGACGGACCCTGAGGTCACCCCAGCAACGCAAAGCAGCTCCATGTGCCCCAAATCAACTCGAGATGAGGCCCGATTCCCCTGCATTGACTCCAGAGCCATTCCCCGTTCCCCATTCAACACGACCGGTGGCTCGACTTCCTTCAGGCAACTCCAGAGATGCCCCGAGAACACTGTCCCAAGTCTAGAGGAACACCACCTTCAGCACAGCAACTCGAGGAATGCTCCGTGTACCCCAAATCGTCTCGAGATGCGAGCTGATTCCCTGGCTTAGGCTCAAGACGTATGCCAACTTCCCAGAAGCACCTCAGGAGGAGGCTTCTCTCAGCAATAGGTATGTGGGAGGGACCCCGAGTTTGCTGCCTCAAGGGGAATATACAGCGAGAAGCCCTGACTTGAAAGGAGGCCGGATTTCCTTGCAGTGGCTTGAATACAGGCTCGTCTTTCATCTCACAACATGAAGGGATGTCTGAATCCCCTGTGGAGACCTTAGAGAAAGCCCTAGGTCCCTGCCTCATTTTGACGGAATGCCTCACATCCCGCTGACACCTCGAGAGGCACGCGGAGTTCATTGCTTCAAAAGGTGACGATGCCTGACTCCTCTTGAATACTGATAGGAATCCCAAAATCCCTGTGGCTACTGGAAAGGGTCCTTGGGTGCCCTGCCTCACCTCGAGAAGCGTCCCTTTGGCCCTGCCAAGCCTCGAAGAGATTCCTGAGGTGTCCCTCGTTACTAGACAGGAGTCCTGACGTCACTGAAGAAACTCGTGTTTTGAAGGGCCATCCCCGCCGTAAGTCGAGAACATACCCCAGGTCCCCGCCGCAACTCGAGAAAAACCATGAGACTTCCCCCTAGAGGCGAGATGAGGCCCCATTCCCCTGCAGTGCATGCAGAGCTATTCCGTGATCCCATTCAAACAAGTCAGGAGCTTCGACTTGCTTAATGGATCTCGAGACAGTCCCCAAGAACACTGTCACCAGTCTAGACGGACCCTGAGGTCACCCCAGCAACGCAAAGCAGCTCCATGTGCCCCAAATCAACTCGAGATGAGGCCCGATTCCCCTGCATTGACTCCAGAGCCATTCCCCGTTCCCCATTCAACACGACCGGTGGCTCGACTTCCTTCAGGCAACTCCAGAGATGCCCCGAGAACACTGTCCCAAGTCTAGAGGAACACCACCTTCAGCACAGCAACTCGAGGAATGCTCCGTGTACCCCAAATCGTCTCGAGATGCGAGCTGATTCCCTGGCTTAGGCTCAAGACGTATGCCAACTTCCCAGAAGCACCTCAGGAGGAGGCTTCTCTCAGCAATAGGTTTGTGGGAGGGACCCCGAGTTTGCTGCCTCAAGGGGAATATACAGCGAGAAGCCCTGACTTGAAAGGAGGCCGGATTTCCTTGCAGTGGCTTGAATACAGGCTCGTCTTTCATCTCTCAACATGAAGGGATGTCTGAATCCCCTGTGGAGACCTTAGAGAAAGCCCTAGGTCCCTGCCTCATTTTGACGGAATGCCTCACATCCCGCTGACACCTCGAGAGGCACGCGGAGTTCATTGCTTCAAAAGGTGACGATGCCTGACTCCTCTTGGATACTGATAGGAATCCCAAAATCCCTGTGGCTACTGGAAAGGGCCCTTGGGTGCCCTGCCTCACCTCGAGAAGCGTCCCTTTGGCCCTGCCAAGCCTCGAAGAGATTCCTGAGGTGTCCCTCGTTACTAGACAGGAGTCCTGACGTCACTGAAGAAACTCGTGTTTTGAAGGGCCATCCCCGCCGTAAGTCGAGAACATACCCCAGGTCCCCGCCGCAACTCGAGAAAAACCATGAGACTTCCCCCTAGAGGCGAGATGAGGCCCCATTCCCCTGCAGTGCATGCAGAGCTATTCCGTGATCCCATTCAAACAAGTCAGGAGCTTCGACTTGCTTAATGGATCTCGAGACAGTCCCCAAGAACACTGTCACCAGTCTAGACGGACCCTGAGGTCACCCCAGCAACGCAAAGCAGCTCCATGTGCCCCAAATCAACTCGAGATGAGGCCCGATTCCCCTGCATTGACTCCAGAGCCATTCCCCGTTCCCCATTCAACACGACCGGTGGCTCGACTTCCTTCAGGCAACTCCAGAGATGCCCCGAGAACACTGTCCCAAGTCTAGAGGAACACCACCTTCAGCACAGCAACTCGAGGAATGCTCCGTGTACCCCAAATCGTCTCGAGATGCGAGCTGATTCCCTGGCTTAGGCTCAAGACGTATGCCAACTTCCCAGAAGCACCTCAGGAGGAGGCTTCTCTCAGCAATAGGTATGTGGGAGGGACTCCGAGTTTGCTGCCTCAAGGGGAATATACAGCGAGAAGCCCTGACTTGAAAGGAGGCCGGATTTCCTTGCAGTGGCTTGAATACAGGCTCGTCTTTCATCTCACAACATGAAGGGATGTCTGAATCCCCTGTGGAGACCTTAGAGAAAGCCCTAGGTCCCTGCCTCATTTTGACGGAATGCCTCACATCCCGCTGACACCTCGAGAGGCACGCGGAGTTCATTGCTTCAAAAGGTGACGATGCCTGACTCCTCTTGAATACTGATAGGAATCCCAAAATCCCTGTGGCTACTGGAAAGGGTCCTTGGGTGCCCTGCCTCACCTCGAGAAGCGTCCCTTTGGCCCTGCCAAGCCTCGAAGAGATTCCTGAGGTGTCCCTCGTTACTAGACAGGAGTCCTGACGTCACTGAAGAAACTCGTGTTTTGAAGGGCCATCCCCGCCGTAAGTCGAGAACATACCCCAGGTCCCCGCCGCAACTCGAGAAAAACCATGAGACTTCCCCCTAGAGGCGAGATGAGGCCCCATTCCCCTGCAGTGCATGCAGAGCTATTCCGTGATCCCATTCAAACAAGTCAGGAGCTTCGACTCGCTTAATGGATCTCGAGACAGTCCCCAAGAACACTGTCACCAGTCTAGACGGACCCTGAGGTCACCCCAGCAACGCAAAGCAGCTCCATGTGCCCCAAATCAACTCGAGATGAGGCCCGATTCCCCTGCATTGACTCCAGAGCCATTCCCCGTTCCCCATTCAACACGACCGGTGGCTCGACTTCCTTCAGGCAACTCCAGAGATGCCCCGAGAACACTGTCCCAAGTCTAGAGGAACACCAACTTCAGCACAGCAAGTCGAGGAATGCTCCGTCTACTCCAAATCGTCTCGAGATGCGAGCTGATTCCCTGGCTTAGGCTCAAGACGTATGCCAACTTCCCAGAAGCACCTCAGGAGGAGGCTTCTCTCAGCAATAGGTATGTGGGAGGGACCCCGAGTTTGCTGCCTCAAGGGGAATATACAGCGAGAAGCCCTAACTTGAAAGGAGGCCGGATTTCCTTGCAGTGGCTTGAATACAGGCTCGTCTTTCATCTCACAACATGAAGGGATGTCTGAATCCCCTGTGGAGACCTTAGAGAAAGCCCTAGGTCCCTGCCTCATTTTGACGGAATGCCTCACATCCCGCTGACACCTCGAGAGGCACGCGGAGTTCGTTGTGTCAAAAGGTGACGATGCCTGACTCCTCTTGAATACTGATAGGAATCCCAAAATCCCTGTGGCTACTGGAAAGGGTCCTTGGGTGCCCTGCCTCACCCCGAGAAGCGTCCTTTTGGCCCTGCCAAGCCTCGAAGAGATTCCTGAGGTGTCCCTCGTTACTAGACAGGAGTCCTGACGTCACTGAAGAAACTCGTGTTTTGAAGGGCCATCCCCGCCGTAAGTCGAGAACATACCCCAGGTCCCCGCCGCAACTCGAGAAAAACCATGAGACTTCCCCCTAGAGGCGAGATGAGGCCCCATTCCCCTGCAGTGCATGCAGAGCTATTCCGTGATCCCATTCAAACAAGTCAGGAGCTTCGACTTGCTTAATGGATCTCGAGACAGTCCGCAAGAACACTGTCACCAGTCTAGACGGACCCTGAGGTCACCCCAGCAACGCAAAGCAGCTCCATGTGCCCCAAATCAACTCGAGATGAGGCCCGATTCCCCTGCATTGACTCCAGAGCCATTCCCCGTTCCCCATTCAACACGACCGGTGGCTCGACTTCCTTCAGGCAACTCCAGAGATGCCCCGAGAACACTGTCCCAAGTCTAGAGGAACACCACCTTCAGCACAGCAACTCGAGGAATGCTCCGTGTACCCCAAATCGTCTCGAGATGCGAGCTGATTCCCTGGCTTAGGCTCAAGACGTATGCCAACTTCCCAGAAGCACCTCAGGAGGAGGCTTCTCTCAGCAATAGGTATGTGGGAGGGACCCCGAGTTTGCTGCCTCAAGGGGAATATACAGCGAGAAGCCCTGACTTGAAAGGAGGCCGGATTTCCTTGCAGTGGCTTGAATACAGGCTCGTCTTTCATCTCACAACATGAAGGGATGTCTGAATCCCCTGTGGAGACCTTAGAGAAAGCCCTAGGTCCCTGCCTCATTTTGACGGAATGCCTCACATCCCGCTGACACCTCGAGAGGCACGCGGAGTTCATTGCTTCAAAAGGTGACGATGCCTGACTCCTCTTGAATACTGATAGGAATCCCAAAATCCCTGTGGCTACTGGAAAGGGTCCTTGGGTGCCCTGCCTCACCTCGAGAAGCGTCCCTTTGGCCCTGCCAAGCCTCGAAGAGATTCCTGAGGTGTCCCTCGTTACTAGACAGGAGTCCTGACGTCACTGAAGAAACTCGTGTTTTGAAGGGCCATCCCCGCCGTAAGTCGAGAACATACCCCAGGTCCCCGACGCAACTCGAGAAAAACCATGAGACTTCCCCCTAGAGGCGAGATGAGGCCCCATTCCCCTGCAGTGCATGCAGAGCTATTCCGTGATCCCATTCAAACAAGTCAGGAGCTTCGACTCGCTTAATGGATCTCGAGACAGTCCCCAAGAACACTGTCACCAGTCTAGACGGACCCTGAGGTCACCCCAGCAACGCAAAGCAGCTCCATGTGCCCCAAATCAACTCGAGATGAGGCCCGATTCCCCTGCATTGACTCCAGAGCCATTCCCCGTTCCCCATTCAACACGACCGGTGGCTCGACTTCCTTCAGGCAACTCCAGAGATGCCCCGAGAACACTGTCCCAAGTCTAGAGGAACACCAACTTCAGCACAGCAACTCGAGGAATGCTCCGTCTACCCCAAATCGTCTCGAGATGCGAGCTGATTCCCTGGCTTAGGCTCAAGACGTATGCCAACTTCCCAGAAGCACCTCAGGAGGAGGCTTCTCTCAGCAATAGGTATGTGGGAGGGACCCCGAGTTTGCTGCCTCAAGGGGAATATACAGCGAGAAGCCCTAACTTGAAAGGAGGCCGGATTTCCTTGCAGTGGCTTGAATACAGGCTCGTCTTTCATCTCACAACATGAAGGGATGTCTGAATCCCCTGTGGAGACCTTAGAGAAAGCCCTAGGCCCCTGCCTCATTTTGACGGAATGCCTCACATCCCGCTGACACCTCGAGAGGCACGCGGAGTTCGTTGCGTCAAAAGGTGACGATGCCTGACTCCTCTTGAATACTGATAGGAATCCCAAAATCCCTGTGGCTACTGGAAAGGGTCCTTGGGTGCCCTGCCTCACCCCGAGAAGCGTCCTTTTGGCCCTGCCAAGCCTCGAAGAGATTCCTGAGGTGTCCCTCGTTACTAGACAGGAGTCCTGACGTCACTGAAGAAACTCGTGTTTTGAAGGGCCATCCCCGCCGTAAGTCGAGAACATACCCCAGGTCCCCGCCGCAACTCGAGAAAAACCATGAGACTTCCCCCTAGAGGCGAGATGAGGCCCCATTCCCCTGCAGTGCATGCAGAGCTATTCCGTGATCCCATTCAAACAAGGCAGGAGCTTCGACTTGCTTAATGGATCTCGAGACAGTCCCCAAGAACACTGTCACCAGTCTAGACGGACCCTGAGGTCACCCCAGCAACGCAAAGCAGCTCCATGTGCCCCATATCAACTCGAGATGAGGCCCGATTCCCCTGCATTGACTCCAGAGCCATTCCCCGTTCCCCATTCAACACGACCAGTGGCTCGACTTCCTTCAGGCAACTCCAGAGATGCCCCGAGAACACTGTCCCAAGTCTAGAGGAACACCAACTTCAGCACAGCAACTCGAGGAATGCTCCGTGTACCCCAAATCGTCTCGAGATGCGAGCTGATTCCCTGGCTTAGGCTCAAGACGTATGCCAACTTCCCAGAAGCACCTCAGGAGGAGGCTTCTCTCAGCAATAGGTATGTGGGAGGGACCCCGAGTTTGCTGCCTCAAGGGGAATATACAGCGAGAAGCCCTAACTTGAAAGGAGGCCGGATTTCCTTGCAGTGGCTTGAATACAGGCTCGTCTTTCATCTCACAACATGAAGGGATGTCTGAATCCCCTGTGGAGACCTTAGAGAAAGCCCTAGGTCCCTGCCTCATTTTGACGGAATGCCTCACATCCCGCTGACACCTCGAGAGGCACGCGGAGTTCATTGTTTCAAAAGGTGACGATGCCTGACTCCTCTTGAATACTGATAGGAATCCCAAAATCCCTGTGGCTACTGGAAAGGGTCCTTGGGTGCCCTGCCTCACCTCGAGAAGCGTCCCTTTGGCCCTGCCAAGCCTCGAAGAGATTCCTGAGGTGTCCCTCGTTACTAGACAAGAGTCCTGACGTCACTGAAGAAACTCGTGTTTTGAAGGGCCATCCCCGCCGTAAGTCGAGAACATACCCCAGGTCCCAGCCGCAACTCGAGAAAAACCATGAGACTTCCCCCTAGAGGCAGGATGAGGCCCCATTCCCCTGAACTGCCTGCAGAGCTATTCCGTGATCCCATTCAAACAAGTCAGGAGCTTCGACTTGCTTAATGGATCTCGAGACAGTCCCCAAGAACACTGTCACAGTCTAGACGGACCCTGAGGTCACCCCAGCAACGCAAAGCAGCTCCATGTGCCCCAAATCAACTCGAGATGAGGCCCGATTCCCCTGCATTGACTCCAGAGCCATTCCCCGTTCCCCATTCAACACGACCGGTGGCTCGACTTCTTTCAGGCAACTCCAGAGATGCCCCGAGAACACTGTCCCAAGTCTAGAGGAACACCACCTTCAGCACAGCAACTCGAGGAATGCTCCGTGTACCCCAAATCGTCTCGAGATGCGAGCTGATTCCCTGGCTTAGGCTCAAGACGTATGCCAACTTCCCAGAAGCACCTCAGGAGGAGGCTTCTCTCAGCAATAGGTATGTGGGAGGGACCCCGAGTTTGCTGCCTCAAGGGGAATATACAGCGAGAAGCCCTGACTTGAAAGGAGGCCGGATTTCCTTGCAGTGGCTTGAATACAGGCTCGTCTTTCATCTCACAACATGAAGGGATGTCTGAATCCCCTGTGGAGACCTTAGAGAAAGCCCTAGGTCCCTGCCTCATTTTGACGGAATGCCTCACATCCCGCTGACACCTCGAGAGGCACGCGGAGTTCATTGCTTCAAAAGGTGACGATGCCTGACTCCTCTTGAATACTGATAGGAATCCCAAAATCCCTGTGGCTACTGGAAAGGGTCCTTGGGTGCCCTGCCTCACCTCGAGAAGCGTCCCTTTGGCCCTGCCAAGCCTCGAAGAGATTCCTGAGGTGTCCCTCGTTACTAGACAGGAGTCCTGACGTCACTGAAGAAACTCGTGTTTTGAAGGGCCATCCCCGCCGTAAGTCGAGAACATACCCCAGGTCCCCGCCGCAACTCGAGAAAAACCATGAGACTTCCCCCTAGAGGCGAGATGAGGCCCCATTCCCCTGCAGTGCATGCAGAGCTATTCCGTGATCCCATTCAAACAAGTCAGGAGCTTCGACTCGCTTAATGGATCTCGAGACAGTCCCCAAGAACACTGTCACCAGTCTAGACGGACCCTGAGGTCACCCCAGCAACGCAAAGCAGCTCCATGTGCCCCAAATCAACTCGAGATGAGGCCCGATTCCCCTGCATTGACTCCAGAGCCATTCCCCGTTCCCCATTCAACACGACCGGTGGCTCGACTTCCTTCAGGCAACTCCAGAGATGCCCCGAGAACACTGTCCCAAGTCTAGAGGAACACCAACTTCAGCACAGCAACTCGAGGAATGCTCCGTCTACCCCAAATCGTCTCGAGATGCGAGCTGATTCCCTGGCTTAGGCTCAAGACGTATGCCAACTTCCCAGAAGCACCTCAGGAGGAGGCTTCTCTCAGCAATAGGTATGTGGGAGGGACCCCGAGTTTGCTGCCTCAAGGGGAATATACAGCGAGAAGCCCTAACTTGAAAGGAGGCCGGATTTCCTTGCAGTGGCTTGAATACAGGCTCGTCTTTCATCTCACAACATGAAGGGATGTCTGAATCCCCTGTGGAGACCTTAGAGAAAGCCCTAGGCCCCTGCCTCATTTTGACGGAATGCCTCACATCCCGCTGACACCTCGAGAGGCACGCGGAGTTCGTTGCGTCAAAAGGTGACGATGCCTGACTCCTCTTGAATACTGATAGGAATCCCAAAATCCCTGTGGCTACTGGAAAGGGTCCTTGGGTGCCCTGCCTCACCCCGAGAAGCGTCCTTTTGGCCCTGCCAAGCCTCGAAGAGATTCCTGAGGTGTCCCTCGTTACTAGACAGGAGTCCTGACGTCACTGAAGAAACTCGTGTTTTGAAGGGCCATCCCCGCCGTAAGTCGAGAACATACCCCAGGTCCCCGCCGCAACTCGAGAAAAACCATGAGACTTCCCCCTAGAGGCGAGATGAGGCCCCATTCCCCTGCAGTGCATGCAGAGCTATTCCGTGATCCCATTCAAACAAGGCAGGAGCTTCGACTTGCTTAATGGATCTCGAGACAGTCCCCAAGAACACTGTCACCAGTCTAGACGGACCCTGAGGTCACCCCAGCAACGCAAAGCAGCTCCATGTGCCCCATATCAACTCGAGATGAGGCCCGATTCCCCTGCATTGACTCCAGAGCCATTCCCCGTTCCCCATTCAACACGACCAGTGGCTCGACTTCCTTCAGGCAACTCCAGAGATGCCCCGAGAACACTGTCCCAAGTCTAGAGGAACACCAACTTCAGCACAGCAACTCGAGGAATGCTCCGTGTACCCCAAATCGTCTCGAGATGCGAGCTGATTCCCTGGCTTAGGCTCAAGACGTATGCCAACTTCCCAGAAGCACCTCAGGAGGAGGCTTCTCTCAGCAATAGGTATGTGGGAGGGACCCCGAGTTTGCTGCCTCAAGGGGAATATACAGCGAGAAGCCCTAACTTGAAAGGAGGCCGGATTTCCTTGCAGTGGCTTGAATACAGGCTCGTCTTTCATCTCACAACATGAAGGGATGTCTGAATCCCCTGTGGAGACCTTAGAGAAAGCCCTAGGTCCCTGCCTCATTTTGACGGAATGCCTCACATCCCGCTGACACCTCGAGAGGCACGCGGAGTTCATTGTTTCAAAAGGTGACGATGCCTGACTCCTCTTGAATACTGATAGGAATCCCAAAATCCCTGTGGCTACTGGAAAGGGTCCTTGGGTGCCCTGCCTCACCTCGAGAAGCGTCCCTTTGGCCCTGCCAAGCCTCGAAGAGATTCCTGAGGTGTCCCTCGTTACTAGACAAGAGTCCTGACGTCACTGAAGAAACTCGTGTTTTGAAGGGCCATCCCCGCCGTAAGTCGAGAACATACCCCAGGTCCCAGCCGCAACTCGAGAAAAACCATGAGACTTCCCCCTAGAGGCAGGATGAGGCCCCATTCCCCTGAACTGCCTGCAGAGCTATTCCGTGATCCCATTCAAACAAGTCAGGAGCTTCGACTTGCTTAATGGATCTCGAGACAGTCCCCAAGAACACTGTCACAGTCTAGACGGACCCTGAGGTCACCCCAGCAACGCAAAGCAGCTCCATGTGCCCCAAATCAACTCGAGATGAGGCCCGATTCCCCTGCATTGACTCCAGAGCCATTCCCCGTTCCCCATTCAACACGACCGGTGGCTCGACTTCTTTCAGGCAACTCCAGAGATGCCCCGAGAACACTGTCCCAAGTCTAGAGGAACACCACCTTCAGCACAGCAACTCGAGGAATGCTCCGTGTACCCCAAATCGTCTCGAGATGCGAGCTGATTCCCTGGCTTAGGCTCAAGACGTATGCCAACTTCCCAGAAGCACCTCAGGAGGAGGCTTCTCTCAGCAATAGGTATGTGGGAGGGACCCCGAGTTTGCTGCCTCAAGGGGAATATACAGCGAGAAGCCCTGACTTGAAAGGAGGCCGGATTTCCTTGCAGTGGCTTGAATACAGGCTCGTCTTTCATCTCACAACATGAAGGGATGTCTGAATCCCCTGTGGAGACCTTAGAGAAAGCCCTAGGTCCCTGCCTCATTTTGACGGAATGCCTCACATCCCGCTGACACCTCGAGAGGCACGCGGAGTTCATTGCTTCAAAAGGTGACGATGCCTGACTCCTCTTGAATACTGATAGGAATCCCAAAATCCCTGTGGCTACTGGAAAGGGTCCTTGGGTGCCCTGCCTCACCTCGAGAAGCGTCCCTTTGGCCCTGCCAAGCCTCGAAGAGATTCCTGAGGTGTCCCTCGTTACTAGACAGGAGTCCTGACGTCACTGAAGAAACTCGTGTTTTGAAGGGCCATCCCCGCCGTAAGTCGAGAACATACCCCAGGTCCCCGCCGCAACTCGAGAAAAACCATGAGACTTCCCCCTAGAGGCGAGATGAGGCCCCATTCCCCTGCAGTGCATGCAGAGCTATTCCGTGATCCCATTCAAACAAGTCAGGAGCTTCGACTCGCTTAATGGATCTCGAGACAGTCCCCAAGAACACTGTCACCAGTCTAGACGGACCCTGAGGTCACCCCAGCAACGCAAAGCAGCTCCATGTGCCCCAAATCAACTCGAGATGAGGCCCGATTCCCCTGCATTGACTCCAGAGCCATTCCCCGTTCCCCATTCAACACGACCGGTGGCTCGACTTCCTTCAGGCAACTCCAGAGATGCCCCGAGAACACTGTCCCAAGTCTAGAGGAACACCAACTTCAGCACAGCAACTCGAGGAATGCTCCGTCTACTCCAAATCGTCTCGAGATGCGAGCTGATTCCCTGGCTTAGGCTCAAGACGTATGCCAACTTCCCAGAAGCACCTCAGGAGGAGGCTTCTCTCAGCAATAGGTATGTGGGAGGGACCCCGAGTTTGCTGCCTCAAGGGGAATATACAGCGAGAAGCCCTAACTTGAAAGGAGGCCGGATTTCCTTGCAGTGGCTTGAATACAGGCTCGTCTTTCATCTCACAACATGAAGGGATGTCTGAATCCCCTGTGGAGACCTTAGAGAAAGCCCTAGGTCCCTGCCTCATTTTGACGGAATGCCTCACATCCCGCTGACACCTCGAGAGGCACGCGGAGTTCGTTGTGTCAAAAGGTGACGATGCCTGACTCCTCTTGAATACTGATAGGAATCCCAAAATCCCTGTGGCTACTGGAAAGGGTCCTTGGGTGCCCTGCCTCACCCCGAGAAGCGTCCTTTTGGCCCTGCCAAGCCTCGAAGAGATTCCTGAGGTGTCCCTCGTTACTAGACAGGAGTCCTGACGTCACTGAAGAAACTCGTGTTTTGAAGGGCCATCCCCGCCGTAAGTCGAGAACATACCCCAGGTCCCCGCCGCAACTCGAGAAAAACCATGAGACTTCCCCCTAGAGGCGAGATGAGGCCCCATTCCCCTGCAGTGCATGCAGAGCTATTCCGTGATCCCATTCAAACAAGTCAGGAGCTTCGACTTGCTTAATGGATCTCGAGACAGTCCGCAAGAACACTGTCACCAGTCTAGACGGACCCTGAGGTCACCCCAGCAACGCAAAGCAGCTCCATGTGCCCCAAATCAACTCGAGATGAGGCCCGATTCCCCTGCATTGACTCCAGAGCCATTCCCCGTTCCCCATTCAACACGACCGGTGGCTCGACTTCCTTCAGGCAACTCCAGAGATGCCCCGAGAACACTGTCCCAAGTCTAGAGGAACACCACCTTCAGCACAGCAACTCGAGGAATGCTCCGTGTACCCCAAATCGTCTCGAGATGCGAGCTGATTCCCTGGCTTAGGCTCAAGACGTATGCCAACTTCCCAGAAGCACCTCAGGAGGAGGCTTCTCTCAGCAATAGGTATGTGGGAGGGACCCCGAGTTTGCTGCCTCAAGGGGAATATACAGCGAGAAGCCCTGACTTGAAAGGAGGCCGGATTTCCTTGCAGTGGCTTGAATACAGGCTCGTCTTTCATCTCACAACATGAAGGGATGTCTGAATCCCCTGTGGAGACCTTAGAGAAAGCCCTAGGTCCCTGCCTCATTTTGACGGAATGCCTCACATCCCGCTGACACCTCGAGAGGCACGCGGAGTTCATTGCTTCAAAAGGTGACGATGCCTGACTCCTCTTGAATACTGATAGGAATCCCAAAATCCCTGTGGCTACTGGAAAGGGTCCTTGGGTGCCCTGCCTCACCTCGAGAAGCGTCCCTTTGGCCCTGCCAAGCCTCGAAGAGATTCCTGAGGTGTCCCTCGTTACTAGACAGGAGTCCTGACGTCACTGAAGAAACTCGTGTTTTGAAGGGCCATCCCCGCCGTAAGTCGAGAACATACCCCAGGTCCCCGACGCAACTCGAGAAAAACCATGAGACTTCCCCCTAGAGGCGAGATGAGGCCCCATTCCCCTGCAGTGCATGCAGAGCTATTCCGTGATCCCATTCAAACAAGTCAGGAGCTTCGACTCGCTTAATGGATCTCGAGACAGTCCCCAAGAACACTGTCACCAGTCTAGACGGACCCTGAGGTCACCCCAGCAACGCAAAGCAGCTCCATGTGCCCCAAATCAACTCGAGATGAGGCCCGATTCCCCTGCATTGACTCCAGAGCCATTCCCCGTTCCCCATTCAACACGACCGGTGGCTCGACTTCCTTCAGGCAACTCCAGAGATGCCCCGAGAACACTGTCCCAAGTCTAGAGGAACACCAACTTCAGCACAGCAACTCGAGGAATGCTCCGTCTACCCCAAATCGTCTCGAGATGCGAGCTGATTCCCTGGCTTAGGCTCAAGACGTATGCCAACTTCCCAGAAGCACCTCAGGAGGAGGCTTCTCTCAGCAATAGGTATGTGGGAGGGACCCCGAGTTTGCTGCCTCAAGGGGAATATACAGCGAGAAGCCCTAACTTGAAAGGAGGCCGGATTTCCTTGCAGTGGCTTGAATACAGGCTCGTCTTTCATCTCACAACATGAAGGGATGTCTGAATCCCCTGTGGAGACCTTAGAGAAAGCCCTAGGCCCCTGCCTCATTTTGACGGAATGCCTCACATCCCGCTGACACCTCGAGAGGCACGCGGAGTTCGTTGCGTCAAAAGGTGACGATGCCTGACTCCTCTTGAATACTGATAGGAATCCCAAAATCCCTGTGGCTACTGGAAAGGGTCCTTGGGTGCCCTGCCTCACCCCGAGAAGCGTCCTTTTGGCCCTGCCAAGCCTCGAAGAGATTCCTGAGGTGTCCCTCGTTACTAGACAGGAGTCCTGACGTCACTGAAGAAACTCGTGTTTTGAAGGGCCATCCCCGCCGTAAGTCGAGAACATACCCCAGGTCCCCGCCGCAACTCGAGAAAAACCATGAGACTTCCCCCTAGAGGCGAGATGAGGCCCCATTCCCCTGCAGTGCATGCAGAGCTATTCCGTGATCCCATTCAAACAAGGCAGGAGCTTCGACTTGCTTAATGGATCTCGAGACAGTCCCCAAGAACACTGTCACCAGTCTAGACGGACCCTGAGGTCACCCCAGCAACGCAAAGCAGCTCCATGTGCCCCATATCAACTCGAGATGAGGCCCGATTCCCCTGCATTGACTCCAGAGCCATTCCCCGTTCCCCATTCAACACGACCAGTGGCTCGACTTCCTTCAGGCAACTCCAGAGATGCCCCGAGAACACTGTCCCAAGTCTAGAGGAACACCAACTTCAGCACAGCAACTCGAGGAATGCTCCGTGTACCCCAAATCGTCTCGAGATGCGAGCTGATTCCCTGGCTTAGGCTCAAGACGTATGCCAACTTCCCAGAAGCACCTCAGGAGGAGGCTTCTCTCAGCAATAGGTATGTGGGAGGGACCCCGAGTTTGCTGCCTCAAGGGGAATATACAGCGAGAAGCCCTAACTTGAAAGGAGGCCGGATTTCCTTGCAGTGGCTTGAATACAGGCTCGTCTTTCATCTCACAACATGAAGGGATGTCTGAATCCCCTGTGGAGACCTTAGAGAAAGCCCTAGGTCCCTGCCTCATTTTGACGGAATGCCTCACATCCCGCTGACACCTCGAGAGGCACGCGGAGTTCATTGTTTCAAAAGGTGACGATGCCTGACTCCTCTTGAATACTGATAGGAATCCCAAAATCCCTGTGGCTACTGGAAAGGGTCCTTGGGTGCCCTGCCTCACCTCGAGAAGCGTCCCTTTGGCCCTGCCAAGCCTCGAAGAGATTCCTGAGGTGTCCCTCGTTACTAGACAAGAGTCCTGACGTCACTGAAGAAACTCGTGTTTTGAAGGGCCATCCCCGCCGTAAGTCGAGAACATACCCCAGGTCCCAGCCGCAACTCGAGAAAAACCATGAGACTTCCCCCTAGAGGCAGGATGAGGCCCCATTCCCCTGAACTGCCTGCAGAGCTATTCCGTGATCCCATTCAAACAAGTCAGGAGCTTCGACTTGCTTAATGGATCTCGAGACAGTCCCCAAGAACACTGTCACAGTCTAGACGGACCCTGAGGTCACCCCAGCAACGCAAAGCAGCTCCATGTGCCCCAAATCAACTCGAGATGAGGCCCGATTCCCCTGCATTGACTCCAGAGCCATTCCCCGTTCCCCATTCAACACGACCGGTGGCTCGACTTCTTTCAGGCAACTCCAGAGATGCCCCGAGAACACTGTCCCAAGTCTAGAGGAACACCACCTTCAGCACAGCAACTCGAGGAATGCTCCGTGTACCCCAAATCGTCTCGAGATGCGAGCTGATTCCCTGGCTTAGGCTCAAGACGTATGCCAACTTCCCAGAAGCACCTCAGGAGGAGGCTTCTCTCAGCAATAGGTATGTGGGAGGGACCCCGAGTTTGCTGCCTCAAGGGGAATATACAGCGAGAAGCCCTAACTTGAAAGGAGGCCGGATTTCCTTGCAGTGGCTTGAATACAGGCTCGTCTTTCATCTCACAACATGAAGGGATGTCTGAATCCCCTGTGGAGACCTTAGAGAAAGCCCTAGGTCCCTGCCTCATTTTGACGGAATGCCTCACATCCCGCTGACACCTCGAGAGGCACGCGGAGTTCATTGCTTCAAAAGGTGACGATGCCTGACTCCTCTTGAATACTGATAGGAATCCCAAAATCCCTGTGGCTACTGGAAAGGGTCCTTGGGTGCCCTGCCTCACCTCGAGAAGCGTCCCTTTGGCCCTGCCAAGCCTCGAAGAGATTCCTGAGGTGTCCCTCGTTACTAGACAGGAGTCCTGACGTCACTGAAGAAACTCGTGTTTTGAAGGGCCATCCCCGCCGTAAGTCGAGAACATACCCCAGGTCCCCGCCACAACTCGAGAAAAACCATGAGACTTCCCCCTAGAGGCGAGATGAGGCCCCATTCCCCTGCAGTGCCTGCAGAGCTATTCCGTGATCCCATTCAAACAAGTCAGGAGCTTCGACTTGCTTAATGGATCTCGAGACAGTCCCCAAGAACACTGTCACCAGTCTAGACGGACCCTGAGGTCACCCCAGCAACGCAAAGCAGCTCCATGTGCCCCAAATCAACTCGAGATGAGGCCCGATTCCCCTGCATTGACTCCAGAGCCATTCCCCGTTCCCCATTCAACACGACCGGTGGCTCGACTTCCTTCAGGCAACTCCAGAGATGCCCCGAGAACACTGTCCCAAGTCTAGAGGAACACCACCTTCAGCACAGCAACTCGAGGAATGCTCCGTATACCCCAAATCGTCTCGAGATGCGAGCTGATTCCCTGGCTTAGGCTCAAGACGTATGCCAACTTCCAAAAGCACCTCAGGAGGAGGCTTCTCTCAGCAATAGGTATGTGGGAGGGACCCCGAGTTTGCTGCCTCAAGGGGAATATACAGCGAGAAGCCCTGACTTGAAAGGAGGCCGGATTTCCTTGCAGTGGCTTGAATACAGGCTCGTCTTTCATCTCACAACATGAAGGGATGTCTGAATCCCCTGTGGAGACCTTAGAGAAAGCCCTAGGTCCCTGCCTCATTTTGACGGAATGCCTCACATCCCGCTGACACCTCGAGAGGCACGCGGAGTTCATTGCTTCAAAAGGTGACGATGCCTGACTCCTCTTGAATACTGATAGGAATCCCAAAATCCCTGTGGCTACTGGAAAGGGTCCTTGGGTGCCCTGCCTCACCTCGAGAAGCGTCCCTTTGGCCCTGCCAAGCCTCGAAGAGATTCCTGAGGTGTCCCTCGTTACTAGACAGGAGTCCTGACGTCACTGAAGAAACTCGTGTTTTGAAGGGCCATCCCCGCCGTAAGTCGAGAACATACCCCAGGTCCCCGCCGCAACTCGAGAAAAACCATGAGACTTCCCCCTAGAGGCAGGATGAGGCCCCATTCCCCTGCACTGCCTGCAGAGCTATTCCGTGATCCCATTCAAACAAGTCAGGAGCTTCGACTTGCTTAATGGATCTCGAGACAGTCCCCAAGAACACTGTCACCAGTCTAGACGGACCCTGAGGTCACCCCAGCAACGCAAAGCAGCTCCATGTGCCCCAAATCAACTCGAGATGAGGCCCGATTCCCCTGCATTGACTCCAGAGCCATTCCCCGTTCCCCATTCAACACGACCGGTGGCTCGACTTCCTTCAGGCAACTCCAGAGATGCCCCGAGAACACTGTCCCAAGTCTAGAGGAACACCACCTTCAGCACAGCAACTCGAGGAATGCTCCGTGTACCCCAAATCGTCTCGAGATGCGAGCTGATTCCCTGGCTTAGGCTCAAGACGTATGCCAACTTCCCAGAAGCACCTCAGGAGGAGGCTTCTCTCAGCAATAGGTATGTGGGAGGGACCCCGAGTTTGCTGCCTCAAGGGGAATATACAGCGAGAAGCCCTGACTTGAAAGGAGGCCGGATTTCCTTGCAGTGGCTTGAATACAGGCTCGTCTTTCATCTCACAACATGAAGGGATGTCTGAATCCCCTGTGGAGACCTTAGAGAAAGCCCTAGGTCCCTGCCTCATTTTGACGGAATGCCTCACATCCCGCTGACACCTCGAGAGGCACGCGGAGTTCATTGCTTCAAAAGGTGACGATGCCTGACTCCTCTTGAATACTGATAGGAATCCCAAAATCCCTGTGGCTACTGGAAAGGGTCCTTGGGTGCCCTGCCTCACCTCGAGAAGCGTCCCTTTGGCCCTGCCAAGCCTCGAAGAGATTCCTGAGGTGTCCCTCGTTACTAGACAGGAGTCCTGACGTCACTGAAGAAACTCGTGTTTTGAAGGGCCATCCCCGCCGTAAGTCGAGAACATACCCCAGGTCCCCGCCGCAACTCGAGAAAAACCATGAGACTTCCCCCTAGAGGCGAGATGAGGCCCCATTCCCCTGCAGTGCATGCAGAGCTATTCCGTGATCCCATTCAAACAAGGCAGGAGCTTCGACTTGCTTAATGGATCTCGAGACAGTCCCCAAGAACACTGTCACCAGTCTAGACGGACCCTGAGGTCACCCCAGCAACGCAAAGCAGCTCCATGTGCCCCAAATCAACTCGAGATGAGGCCCGATTCCCCTGCATTGACTCCAGAGCCATTCCCCGTTCCCCATTCAACACGACCGGTGGCTCGACTTCCTTCAGGCAACTCCAGAGATGCCCCGAGAACACTGTCCCAAGTCTAGAGGAACACCACCTTCAGCACAGCAACTCGAGGAATGCTCCGTGTACCCCAAATCGTCTCGAGATGCGAGCTGATTCCCTGGCTTAGGCTCAAGACGTATGCCAACTTCCCAGAAGCACCTCAGGAGGAGGCTTCTCTCAGCAATAGGTATGTGGGAGGGACCCCGAGTTTGCTGCCTCAAGGGGAATATACAGCGAGAAGCCCTGACTTGAAAGGAGGCCGGATTTCCTTGCAGTGGCTTGAATACAGGCTCGTCTTTCATCTCTCAACATGAAGGGATGTCTGAATCCCCTGTGGAGACCTTAGAGAAAGCCCTAGGTCCCTGCCTCATTTTGACGGAATGCCTCACATCCCGCTGACACCTCGAGAGGCACGCGGAGTTCATTGCTTCAAAAGGTGACGATGCCTGACTCCTCTTGAATACTGATAGGAATCCCAAAATCCCTGTGGCTACTGGAAAGGGTCCTTGGGTGCCCTGCCTCACCTCGAGAAGCGTCCCTTTGGCCCTGCCAAGCCTCGAAGAGATTCCTGAGGTGTCCCTCGTTACTAGACAGGAGTCCTGACGTCACTGAAGAAACTCGTGTTTTGAAGGGCCATCCCCGCCGTAAGTCGAGAACATACCCCAGGTCCCCGCCGCAACTCGAGAAAAACCATGAGACTTCCCCCTAGAGGCGAGATGAGGCCCCATTCCCCTGCAGTGCATGCAGAGCTATTCCGTGATCCCATTCAAACAAGTCAGGAGCTTCGACTTGCTTAATGGATCTCGAGACAGTCCCCAAGAACACTGTCACCAGTCTAGACGGACCCTGAGGTCACCCCAGCAACGCAAAGCAGCTCCATGTGCCCCAAATCAACTCGAGATGAGGCCCGATTCCCCTGCATTGACTCCAGAGCCATTCCCCGTTCCCCATTCAACACGACCGGTGGCTCGACTTCCTTCAGGCAACTCCAGAGATGCCCCGAGAACACTGTCCCAAGTCTAGAGGAACACCACCTTCAGCACAGCAACTCGAGGAATGCTCCGTGTACCCCAAATCGTCTCGAGATGCGAGCTGATTCCCTGGCTTAGGCTCAAGACGTATGCCAACTTCCCAGAAGCACCTCAGGAGGAGGCTTCTCTCAGCAATAGGTATGTGGGAGGGACCCCGAGTTTGCTGCCTCAAGGGGAATATACAGCGAGAAGCCCTAACTTGAAAGGAGGCCGGATTTCCTTGCAGTGGCTTGAATACAGGCTCGTCTTTCATCTCACAACATGAAGGGATGTCTGAATCCCCTGTGGAGACCTTAGAGAAAGCCCTAGGTCCCTGCCTCATTTTGACGGAATGCCTCACATCCCGCTGACACCTCGAGAGGCACGCGGAGTTCATTGCTTCAAAAGGTGACGATGCCTGACTCCTCTTGAATACTGATAGGAATCCCAAAATCCCTGTGGCTACTGGAAAGGGTCCTTGGGTGCCCTGCCTCACCTCGAGAAGCGTCCCTTTGGCCCTGCCAAGCCTCGAAGAGATTCCTGAGGTGTCCCTCGTTACTAGACAGGAGTCCTGACGTCACTGAAGAAACTCGTGTTTTGAAGGGCCATCCCCGCCGTAAGTCGAGAACATACCCCAGGTCCCCGCCGCAACTCGAGAAAAACCATGAGACTTCCCCCTAGAGGCGAGATGAGGCCCCATTCCCCTGCAGTGCATGCAGAGCTATTCCGTGATCCCATTCAAACAAGGCAGGAGCTTCGACTTGCTTAATGGATCTCGAGACAGTCCCCAAGAACACTGTCACCAGTCTAGACGGACCCTGAGGTCACCCCAGCAACGCAAAGCAGCTCCATGTGCCCCAAATCAACTCGAGATGAGGCCCGATTCCCCTGCATTGACTCCAGAGCCATTCCCCGTTCCCCATTCAACACGACCGGTGGCTCGACTTCCTTCAGGCAACTCCAGAGATGCCCCGAGAACACTGTCCCAAGTCTAGAGGAACACCACCTTCAGCACAGCAACTCGAGGAATGCTCCGTGTACCCCAAATCGTCTCGAGATGCGAGCTGATTCCCTGGCTTAGGCTCAAGACGTATGCCAACTTCCCAGAAGCACCTCAGGAGGAGGCTTCTCTAAGCAATAGGTATGTGGGAGGGACCCCGAGTTTGCTGCCTCAAGGGGAATATACAGCGAGAAGCCCTGACTTGAAAGGAGGCCGGATTTCCTTGCAGTGGCTTGAATACAGGCTCGTCTTTCATCTCTCAACATGAAGGGATGTCTGAATCCCCTGTGGAGACCTTAGAGAAAGCCCTAGGTCCCTGCCTCATTTTGACGGAATGCCTCACATCCCGCTGACACCTCGAGAGGCACGCGGAGTTCATTGCTTCAAAAGGTGACGATGCCTGACTCCTCTTGAATACTGATAGGAATCCCAAAATCCCTGTGGCTACTGGAAAGGGTCCTTGGGTGCCCTGCCTCACCTCGAGAAGCGTCCCTTTGGCCCTGCCAAGCCTCGAAGAGATTCCTGAGGTGTCCCTCGTTACTAGACAGGAGTCCTGACGTCACTGAAGAAACTCGTGTTTTGAAGGGCCATCCCCGCCGTAAGTCGAGAACATACCCCAGGTCCCCGCCGCAACTCGAGAAAAACCATGAGACTTCCCCCTAGAGGCGAGATGAGGCCCCATTCCCCTGCAGTGCATGCAGAGCTATTCCGTGATCCCATTCAAACAAGTCAGGAGCTTCGACTTGCTTAATGGATCTCGAGACAGTCCCCAAGAACACTGTCACCAGTCTAGACGGACCCTGAGGTCACCCCAGCAACGCAAAGCAGCTCCATGTGCCCCAAATCAACTCGAGATGAGGCCCGATTCCCTGCATTGACTCCAGAGCCATTCCCCGTTCCCCATTCAACACGACCGGTGGCTCGACTTCCTTCAGGCAACTCCAGAGATGCCCCGAGAACACTGTCCCAAGTCTAGAGGAACACCAACTTCAGCACAGCAACTCGAGGAATGCTCCGTCTACTCCAAATCGTCTCGAGATGCGAGCTGATTCCCTGGCTTAGGCTCAAGACGTATGCCAACTTCCCAGAAGCACCTCAGGAGGAGGCTTCTCTCAGCAATAGGTATGTGGGAGGGACCCCGAGTTTGCTGCCTCAAGGGGAATATACAGCGAGAAGCCCTAACTTGAAAGGAGGCCGGATTTCCTTGCAGTGGCTTGAATACAGGCTCGTCTTTCATCTCACAACATGAAGGGATGTCTGAATCCCCTGTGGAGACCTTAGAGAAAGCCCTAGGTCCCTGCCTCATTTTGACGGAATGCCTCACATCCCGCTGACACCTCGAGAGGCACGCGGAGTTCGTTGTGTCAAAAGGTGACGATGCCTGACTCCTCTTGAATACTGATAGGAATCCCAAAATCCCTGTGGCTACTGGAAAGGGTCCTTGGGTGCCCTGCCTCACCCCGAGAAGCGTCCTTTTGGCCCTGCCAAGCCTCGAAGAGATTCCTGAGGTGTCCCTCGTTACTAGACAGGAGTCCTGACGTCACTGAAGAAACTCGTGTTTTGAAGGGCCATCCCCGCCGTAAGTCGAGAACATACCCCAGGTCCCCGCCGCAACTCGAGAAAAACCATGAGACTTCCCCCTAGAGGCGAGATGAGGCCCCATTCCCCTGCAGTGCATGCAGAGCTATTCCGTGATCCCATTCAAACAAGTCAGGAGCTTCGACTTGCTTAATGGATCTCGAGACAGTCCGCAAGAACACTGTCACCAGTCTAGACGGACCCTGAGGTCACCCCAGCAACGCAAAGCAGCTCCATGTGCCCCAAATCAACTCGAGATGAGGCCCGATTCCCCTGCATTGACTCCAGAGCCATTCCCCGTTCCCCATTCAACACGACCGGTGGCTCGACTTCCTTCAGGCAACTCCAGAGATGCCCCGAGAACACTGTCCCAAGTCTAGAGGAACACCACCTTCAGCACAGCAACTCGAGGAATGCTCCGTGTACCCCAAATCGTCTCGAGATGCGAGCTGATTCCCTGGCTTAGGCTCAAGACGTATGCCAACTTCCCAGAAGCACCTCAGGAGGAGGCTTCTCTCAGCAATAGGTATGTGGGAGGGACCCCGAGTTTGCTGCCTCAAGGGGAATATACAGCGAGAAGCCCTAACTTGAAAGGAGGCCGGATTTCCTTGCAGTGGCTTGAATACAGGCTCGTCTTTCATCTCACAACATGAAGGGATGTCTGAATCCCCTGTGGAGACCTTAGAGAAAGCCCTAGGTCCCTGCCTCATTTTGACGGAATGCCTCACATCCCGCTGACACCTCGAGAGGCACGCGGAGTTCGTTGCGTCAAAAGGTGACGATGCCTGACTCCTCTTGAATACTGATAGGAATCCCAAAATCCCTGTGGCTACTGGAAAGGGTCCTTGGGTGCCCTGCCTCACCCCGAGAAGCGTCCTTTTGGCCCTGCCAAGCCTCGAAGAGATTCCTGAGGTGTCCCTCGTTACTAGACAGGAGTCCTGACGTCACTGAAGAAACTCGTGTTTTGAAGGGCCATCCCCGCCGTAAGTCGAGAACATACCCCAGGTCCCCGCCGCAACTCGAGAAAAACCATGAGACTTCCCCCTAGAGGCGAGATGAGGCCCCATTCCCCTGCAGTGCATGCAGAGCTATTCCGTGATCCCATTCAAACAAGTCAGGAGCTTCGACTCGCTTAATGGATCTCGAGACAGTCCCCAAGAACACTGTCACCAGTCTAGACGGACCCTGAGGTCACCCCAGCAACGCAAAGCAGCTCCATGTGCCCCAAATCAACTCGAGATGAGGCCCGATTCCCCTGCATTGACTCCAGAGCCATTCCCCGTTCCCCATTCAACACGACCGGTGGCTCGACTTCCTTCAGGCAACTCCAGAGATGCCCCGAGAACACTGTCCCAAGTCTAGAGGAACACCAACTTCAGCACAGCAACTCGAGGAATGCTCCGTGTACCCCAAATCGTCTCGAGATGCGAGCTGATTCCCTGGCTTAGGCTCAAGACGTATGCCAACTTCCCAGAAGCACCTCAGGAGGAGGCTTCTCTCAGCAATAGGTATGTGGGAGGGACCCCGAGTTTGCTGCCTCAAGGGGAATATACAGCGAGAAGCCCTAACTTGAAAGGAGGCCGGATTTCCTTGCAGTGGCTTGAATACAGGCTCGTCTTTCATCTCACAACATGAAGGGATGTCTGAATCCCCTGTGGAGACCTTAGAGAAAGCCCTAGGTCCCTGCCTCATTTTGACGGAATCCCTCACATCCCGCTGACACCTCGAGAGGCACGCGGAGTTCGTTGCGTCAAAAGGTGACGATGCCTGACTCCTCTTGAATACTGATAGGAATCCCAAAATCCCTGTGGCTACTGGAAAGGGTCCTTGGGTGCCCTGCCTCACCCCGAGAAGCGTCCTTTTGGCCCTGCCAAGCCTCGAAGAGATTCCTGAGGTGTCCCTCGTTACTAGACAGGAGTCCTGACGTCACTGAAGAAACTCGTGTTTTGAAGGGCCATCCCCGCCGTAAGTCGAGAACATACCCCAGGTCCCCGCCGCAACTCGAGAAAAACCATGAGACTTCCCCCTAGAGGCGAGATGAGGCCCCATTCCCCTGCAGTGCATGCAGAGCTATTCCGTGATCCCATTCAAACAAGTCAGGAGCTTCGACTCGCTTAATGGATCTCGAGACAGTCCCCAAGAACACTGTCACCAGTCTAGACTGACCCTGAGGTCACCCCAGCAACGCAAAGCAGCTCCATGTGCCCCAAATCAACTCGAGATGAGGCCCGATTCCCCTGCATTGACTCCAGAGCCATTCCCCGTTCCCCATTCAACACGACCGGTGGCTCGACTTCCTTCAGGCAACTCCAGAGATGCCCCGAGAACACTGTCCCAAGTCTAGAGGAACACCAACTTCAGCACAGCAACTCGAGGAATGCTCCGTCTACCCCAAATCGTCTCGAGATGCGAGCTGATTCCCTGGCTTAGGCTCAAGACGTATGCCAACTTCCCAGAAGCACCTCAGGAGGAGGCTTCTCTCAGCAATAGGTATGTGGGAGGGACCCCGAGTTTGCTGCCTCAAGGGGAATATACAGCGAGAAGCCCTAACTTGAAAGGAGGCCGGATTTCCTTGCAGTGGCTTGAATACAGGCTCGTCTTTCATCTCACAACATGAAGGGATGTCTGAATCCCCTGTGGAGACCTTAGAGAAAGCCCTAGGCCCCTGCCTCATTTTGACGGAATGCCTCACATCCCGCTGACACCTCGAGAGGCACGCGGAGTTCGTTGCGTCAAAAGGTGACGATGCCTGACTCCTCTTGAATACTGATAGGAATCCCAAAATCCCTGTGGCTACTGGAAAGGGTCCTTGGGTGCCCTGCCTCACCCCGAGAAGCGTCCTTTTGGCCCTGCCAAGCCTCGAAGAGATTCCTGAGGTGTCCCTCGTTACTAGACAGGAGTCCTGACGTCACTGAAGAAACTCGTGTTTTGAAGGGCCATCCCCGCCGTAAGTCGAGAACATACCCCAGGTCCCCGCCGCAACTCGAGAAAAACCATGAGGCTTCCCCCTAGAGGCGAGATGAGGCCCCATTCCCCTGCAGTGCATGCAGAGCTATTCCGTGATCCCATTCAAACAAGGCAGGAGCTTCGACTTGCTTAATGGATCTCGAGACAGTCCCCAAGAACACTGTCACCAGTCTAGACGGACCCTGAGGTCACCCCAGCAACGCAAAGCAGCTCCATGTGCCCCATATCAACTCGAGATGAGGCCCGATTCCCCTGCATTGACTCCAGAGCCATTCCCCGTTCCCCATTCAACACGACCAGTGGCTCGACTTCCTTCAGGCAACTCCAGAGATGCCCCGAGAACACTGTCCCAAGTCTAGAGGAACACCAACTTCAGCACAGCAACTCGAGGAATGCTCCGTGTACCCCAAATCGTCTCGAGATGCGAGCTGATTCCCTGGCTTAGGCTCAAGACGTATGCCAACTTCCCAGAAGCACCTCAGGAGGAGGCTTCTCTCAGCAATAGGTATGTGGGAGGGACCCCGAGTTTGCTGCCTCAAGGGGAATATACAGCGAGAAGCCCTAACTTGAAAGGAGGCCGGATTTCCTTGCAGTGGCTTGAATACAGGCTCGTCTTTCATCTCACAACATGAAGGGATGTCTGAATCCCCTGTGGAGACCTTAGAGAAAGCCCTAGGTCCCTGCCTCATTTTGACGGAATGCCTCACATCCCGCTGACACCTCGAGAGGCACGCGGAGTTCATTGTTTCAAAAGGTGACGATGCCTGACTCCTCTTGAATACTGATAGGAATCCCAAAATCCCTGTGGCTACTGGAAAGGGTCCTTGGGTGCCCTGCCTCACCTCGAGAAGCGTCCCTTTGGCCCTGCCAAGCCTCGAAGAGATTCCTGAGGTGTCCCTCGTTACTAGACAAGAGTCCTGACGTCACTGAAGAAACTCGTGTTTTGAAGGGCCATCCCCGCCGTAAGTCGAGAACATACCCCAGGTCCCAGCCGCAACTCGAGAAAAACCATGAGACTTCCCCCTAGAGGCAGGATGAGGCCCCATTCCCCTGAACTGCCTGCAGAGCTATTCCGTGATCCCATTCAAACAAGTCAGGAGCTTCGACTTGCTTAATGGATCTCGAGACAGTCCCCAAGAACACTGTCACAGTCTAGACGGACCCTGAGGTCACCCCAGCAACGCAAAGCAGCTCCATGTGCCCCAAATCAACTCGAGATGAGGCCCGATTCCCCTGCATTGACTCCAGAGCCATTCCCCGTTCCCCATTCAACACGACCGGTGGCTCGACTTCTTTCAGGCAACTCCAGAGATGCCCCGAGAACACTGTCCCAAGTCTAGAGGAACACCACCTTCAGCACAGCAACTCGAGGAATGCTCCGTGTACCCCAAATCGTCTCGAGATGCGAGCTGATTCCCTGGCTTAGGCTCAAGACGTATGCCAACTTCCCAGAAGCACCTCAGGAGGAGGCTTCTCTCAGCAATAGGTATGTGGGAGGGACCCCGAGTTTGCTGCCTCAAGGGGAATATACAGCGAGAAGCCCTAACTTGAAAGGAGGCCGGATTTCCTTGCAGTGGCTTGAATACAGGCTCGTCTTTCATCTCACAACATGAAGGGATGTCTGAATCCCCTGTGGAGACCTTAGAGAAAGCCCTAGGTCCCTGCCTCATTTTGACGGAATGCCTCACATCCCGCTGACACCTCGAGAGGCACGCGGAGTTCATTGCTTCAAAAGGTGACGATGCCTGACTCCTCTTGAATACTGATAGGAATCCCAAAATCCCTGTGGCTACTGGAAAGGGTCCTTGGGTGCCCTGCCTCACCTCGAGAAGCGTCCCTTTGGCCCTGCCAAGCCTCGAAGAGATTCCTGAGGTGTCCCTCGTTACTAGACAGGAGTCCTGACGTCACTGAAGAAACTCGTGTTTTGAAGGGCCATCCCCGCCGTAAGTCGAGAACATACCCCAGGTCCCCGCCACAACTCGAGAAAAACCATGAGACTTCCCCCTAGAGGCGAGATGAGGCCCCATTCCCCTGCACTGCCTGCAGAGCTATTCCGTGATCCCATTCAAACAAGTCAGGAGCTTCGACTTGCTTAATGGATCTCGAGACAGTCCCCAAGAACACTGTCACCAGTCTAGACGGACCCTGAGGTCACCCCAGCAACGCAAAGCAGCTCCATGTGCCCCAAATCAACTCGAGATGAGGCCCGATTCCCCTGCATTGACTCCAGAGCCATTCCCCGTTCCCCATTCAACACGACCGGTGGCTCGACTTCCTTCAGGCAACTCCAGAGATGCCCCGAGAACACTGTCCCAAGTCTAGAGGAACACCACCTTCAGCACAGCAACTCGAGGAATGCTCCGTATACCCCAAATCGTCTCGAGATGCGAGCTGATTCCCTGGCTTAGGCTCAAGACGTATGCCAACTTCCAAAAGCACCTCAGGAGGAGGCTTCTCTCAGCAATAGGTATGTGGGAGGGACCCCGAGTTTGCTGCCTCAAGGGGAATATACAGCGAGAAGCCCTGACTTGAAAGGAGGCCGGATTTCCTTGCAGTGGCTTGAATACAGGCTCGTCTTTCATCTCACAACATGAAGGGATGTCTGAATCCCCTGTGGAGACCTTAGAGAAAGCCCTAGGTCCCTGCCTCATTTTGACGGAATGCCTCACATCCCACTGACACCTCGAGAGGCACGCGGAGTTCATTGCTTCAAAAGGTGACGATGCCTGACTCCTCTTGAATACTGATAGGAATCCCAAAATCCCTGTGGCTACTGGAAAGGGTCCTTGGGTGCCCTGCCTCACCTCGAGAAGCGTCCCTTTGGCCCTGCCAAGCCTCGAAGAGATTCCTGAGGTGTCCCTCGTTACTAGACAGGAGTCCTGACGTCACTGAAGAAACTCGTGTTTTGAAGGGCCATCCCCGCCGTAAGTCGAGAACATACCCCAGGTCCCCGCCGCAAATCGAGAAAAACCATGAGACTTCCCCCTAGAGGCAGGATGAGGCCCCATTCCCCTGCACTGCCTGCAGAGCTATTCCGTGATCCCATTCAAACAAGTCAGGAGCTTCGACTTGCTTAATGGATCTCGAGACAGTCCCCAAGAACACTGTCACCAGTCTAGACGGACACTGAGGTCACCCCAGCAACGCAAAGCAGCTCCATGTGCCCCAAATCAACTCGAGATGAGGCCCGATTCCCCTGCATTGACTCCAGAGCCATTCCCCGTTCCCCATTCAACACGACCGGTGGCTCGACTTCCTTCAGGCAACTCCAGAGATGCCCCGAGAACACTGTCCCAAGTCTAGAGGAACACCACCTTCAGCACAGCAACTCGAGGAATGCTCCGTGTACCCCAAATCGTCTCGAGATGCGAGCTGATTCCCTGGCTTAGGCTCAAGACGTATGCCAACTTCCCAGAAGCACCTCAGGAGGAGGCTTCTCTCAGCAATAGGTATGTGGGAGGGACCCCGAGTTTGCTGCCTCAAGGGGAATATACAGCGAGAAGCCCTGACTTGAAAGGAGGCCGGATTTCCTTGCAGTGGCTTGAATACAGGCTCGTCTTTCATCTCACAACATGAAGGGATGTCTGAATCCCCTGTGGAGACCTTAGAGAAAGCCCTAGGTCCCTGCCTCATTTTGACGGAATGCCTCACATCCCGCTGACACCTCGAGAGGCACGCGGAGTTCATTGCTTCAAAAGGTGACGATGCCTGACTCCTCTTGAATACTGATAGGAATCCCAAAATCCCTGTGGCTACTGGAAAGGGTCCTTGGGTGCCCTGCCTCACCTCGAGAAGCGTCCCTTTGGCCCTGCCAAGCCTCGAAGAGATTCCTGAGGTGTCCCTCGTTACTAGACAAGAGTCCTGACGTCACTGAAGAAACTCGTGTTTTGAAGGGCCATCCCCGCCGTAAGTCGAGAACATACCCCAGGTCCCAGCCGCAACTCGAGAAAAACCATGAGACTTCCCCCTAGAGGCAGGATGAGGCCCCATTCCCCTGAACTGCCTGCAGAGCTATTCCGTGATCCCATTCAAACAAGTCAGGAGCTTCGACTTGCTTAATGGATCTCGAGACAGTCCCCAAGAACACTGTCACCAGTCTAGACGGACCCTGAGGTCACCCCAGCAACGCAAAGCAGCTCCATGTGCCCCAAATCAACTCGAGATGAGGCCCGATTCCCCTGCATTGACTCCAGAGCCATTCCCCGTTCCCCATTCAACACGACCGGTGGCTCGACTTCCTTCAGGCAACTCCAGAGATGCCCCGAGAACACTGTCCCAAGTCTAGAGGAACACCACCTTCAGCACAGCAACTCGAGGAATGCTCCGTGTACCCCAAATCGTCTCGAGATGCGAGCTGATTCCCTGGCTTAGGCTCAAGACGTATGCCAACTTCCCAGAAGCACCTCAGGAGGAGGCTTCTCTCAGCAATAGGTATGTGGGAGGGACCCCGAGTTTGCTGCCTCAAGGGGAATATACAGCGAGAAGCCCTAACTTGAAAGGAGGCCGGATTTCCTTGCAGTGGCTTGAATACAGGCTCGTCTTTCATCTCACAACATGAAGGGATGTCTGAATCCCCTGTGGAGACCTTAGAGAAAGCCCTAGGTCCCTGCCTCATTTTGACGGAATGCCTCACATCCCGCTGACACCTCGAGAGGCACGCGGAGTTCATTGCTTCAAAAGGTGACGATGCCTGACTCCTCTTGAATACTGATAGGAATCCCAAAATCCCTGTGGCTACTGGAAAGGGTCCTTGGGTGCCCTGCCTCACCTCGAGAAGCGTCCCTTTGGCCCTGCCAAGCCTCGAAGAGATTCCTGAGGTGTCCCTCGTTACTAGACAGGAGTCCTGACGTCACTGAAGAAACTCGTGTTTTGAAGGGCCATCCCCGCCGTAAGTCGAGAACATACCCCAGGTCCCCGCCGCAACTCGAGAAAAACCATGAGACTTCCCCCTAGAGGCGAGATGAGGCCCCATTCCCCTGCAGTGCATGCAGAGCTATTCCGTGATCCCATTCAAACAAGGCAGGAGCTTCGACTTGCTTAATGGATCTCGAGACAGTCCCCAAGAACACTGTCACCAGTCTAGACGGACCCTGAGGTCACCCCAGCAACGCAAAGCAGCTCCATGTGCCCCAAATCAACTCGAGATGAGGCCCGATTCCCTGCATTGACTCCAGAGCCATTCCCCGTTCCCCATTCAACACGACCGGTGGCTCGACTTCCTTCAGGCAACTCCAGAGATGCCCCGAGAACACTGTCCCAAGTCTAGAGGAACACCAACTTCAGCACAGCAACTCGAGGAATGCTCCGTCTACTCCAAATCGTCTCGAGATGCGAGCTGATTCCCTGGCTTAGGCTCAAGACGTATGCCAACTTCCCAGAAGCACCTCAGGAGGAGGCTTCTCTCAGCAATAGGTATGTGGGAGGGACCCCGAGTTTGCTGCCTCAAGGGGAATATACAGCGAGAAGCCCTAACTTGAAAGGAGGCCGGATTTCCTTGCAGTGGCTTGAATACAGGCTCGTCTTTCATCTCACAACATGAAGGGATGTCTGAATCCCCTGTGGAGACCTTAGAGAAAGCCCTAGGTCCCTGCCTCATTTTGACGGAATGCCTCACATCCCGCTGACACCTCGAGAGGCACGCGGAGTTCGTTGTGTCAAAAGGTGACGATGCCTGACTCCTCTTGAATACTGATAGGAATCCCAAAATCCCTGTGGCTACTGGAAAGGGTCCTTGGGTGCCCTGCCTCACCCCGAGAAGCGTCCTTTTGGCCCTGCCAAGCCTCGAAGAGATTCCTGAGGTGTCCCTCGTTACTAGACAGGAGTCCTGACGTCACTGAAGAAACTCGTGTTTTGAAGGGCCATCCCCGCCGTAAGTCGAGAACATACCCCAGGTCCCCGCCGCAACTCGAGAAAAACCATGAGACTTCCCCCTAGAGGCGAGATGAGGCCCCATTCCCCTGCAGTGCATGCAGAGCTATTCCGTGATCCCATTCAAACAAGTCAGGAGCTTCGACTTGCTTAATGGATCTCGAGACAGTCCGCAAGAACACTGTCACCAGTCTAGACGGACCCTGAGGTCACCCCAGCAACGCAAAGCAGCTCCATGTGCCCCAAATCAACTCGAGATGAGGCCCGATTCCCCTGCATTGACTCCAGAGCCATTCCCCGTTCCCCATTCAACACGACCGGTGGCTCGACTTCCTTCAGGCAACTCCAGAGATGCCCCGAGAACACTGTCCCAAGTCTAGAGGAACACCACCTTCAGCACAGCAACTCGAGGAATGCTCCGTGTACCCCAAATCGTCTCGAGATGCGAGCTGATTCCCTGGCTTAGGCTCAAGACGTATGCCAACTTCCCAGAAGCACCTCAGGAGGAGGCTTCTCTCAGCAATAGGTATGTGGGAGGGACCCCGAGTTTGCTGCCTCAAGGGGAATATACAGCGAGAAGCCCTGACTTGAAAGGAGGCCGGATTTCCTTGCAGTGGCTTGAATACAGGCTCGTCTTTCATCTCTCAACATGAAGGGATGTCTGAATCCCCTGTGGAGACCTTAGAGAAAGCCCTAGGTCCCTGCCTCATTTTGACGGAATGCCTCACATCCCGCTGACACCTCGAGAGGCACGCGGAGTTCATTGCTTCAAAAGGTGACGATGCCTGACTCCTCTTGAATACTGATAGGAATCCCAAAATCCCTGTGGCTACTGGAAAGGGTCCTTGGGTGCCCTGCCTCACCTCGAGAAGCGTCCCTTTGGCCCTGCCAAGCCTCGAAGAGATTCCTGAGGTGTCCCTCGTTACTAGACAGGAGTCCTGACGTCACTGAAGAAACTCGTGTTTTGAAGGGCCATCCCCGCCGTAAGTCGAGAACATAACCCAGGTCCCCGCCGCAACTCGAGAAAAACCATGAGACTTCCCCCTAGAGGCGAGATGAGGCCCCATTCCCCTGCAGTGCATGCAGAGCTATTCCGTGATCCCATTCAAACAAGTCAGGAGCTTCGACTTGCTTAATGGATCTCGAGACAGTCCCCAAGAACACTGTCACCAGTCTAGACGGACCCTGAGGTCACCCCAGCAACGCAAAGCAGCTCCATGTGCCCCAAATCAACTCGAGATGAGGCCCGATTCCCCTGCATTGACTCCAGAGCCATTCCCCGTTCCCCATTCAACACGACCGGTGGCTCGACTTCCTTCAGGCAACTCCAGAGATGCCCCGAGAACACTGTCCCAAGTCTAGAGGAACACCACCTTCAGCACAGCAACTCGAGGAATGCTCCGTGTACCCCAAATCGTCTCGAGATGCGAGCTGATTCCCTGGCTTAGGCTCAAGACGTATGCCAACTTCCCAGAAGCACCTCAGGAGGAGGCTTCTCTCAGCAATAGGTATGTGGGAGGGACCCCGAGTTTGCTGCCTCAAGGGGAATATACAGCGAGAAGCCCTAACTTGAAAGGAGGCCGGATTTCCTTGCAGTGGCTTGAATACAGGCTCGTCTTTCATCTCACAACATGAAGGGATGTCTGAATCCCCTGTGGAGACCTTAGAGAAAGCCCTAGGTCCCTGCCTCATTTTGACGGAATGCCTCACATCCCGCTGACACCTCGAGAGGCACGCGGAGTTCATTGCTTCAAAAGGTGACGATGCCTGACTCCTCTTGAATACTGATAGGAATCCCAAAATCCCTGTGGCTACTGGAAAGGGTCCTTGGGTGCCCTGCCTCACCTCGAGAAGCGTCCCTTTGGCCCTGCCAAGCCTCGAAGAGATTCCTGAGGTGTCCCTCGTTACTAGACAGGAGTCCTGACGTCACTGAAGAAACTCGTGTTTTGAAGGGCCATCCCCGCCGTAAGTCGAGAACATACCCCAGGTCCCCGCCGCAACTCGAGAAAAACCATGAGACTTCCCCCTAGAGGCGAGATGAGGCCCCATTCCCCTGCAGTGCATGCAGAGCTATTCCGTGATCCCATTCAAACAAGGCAGGAGCTTCGACTTGCTTAATGGATCTCGAGACAGTCCCCAAGAACACTGTCACCAGTCTAGACGGACCCTGAGGTCACCCCAGCAACGCAAAGCAGCTCCATGTGCCCCAAATCAACTCGAGATGAGGCCCGATTCCCCTGCATTGACTCCAGAGCCATTCCCCGTTCCCCATTCAACACGACCGGTGGCTCGACTTCCTTCAGGCAACTCCAGAGATGCCCCGAGAACACTGTCCCAAGTCTAGAGGAACACCACCTTCAGCACAGCAACTCGAGGAATGCTCCGTGTACCCCAAATCGTCTCGAGATGCGAGCTGATTCCCTGGCTTAGGCTCAAGACGTATGCCAACTTCCCAGAAGCACCTCAGGAGGAGGCTTCTCTCAGCAATAGGTATGTGGGAGGGACCCCGAGTTTGCTGCCTCAAGGGGAATATACAGCGAGAAGCCCTGACTTGAAAGGAGGCCGGATTTCCTTGCAGTGGCTTGAATACAGGCTCGTCTTTCATCTCTCAACATGAAGGGATGTCTGAATCCCCTGTGGAGACCTTAGAGAAAGCCCTAGGTCCCTGCCTCATTTTGACGGAATGCCTCACATCCCGCTGACACCTCGAGAGGCACGCGGAGTTCATTGCTTCAAAAGGTGACGATGCCTGACTCCTCTTGAATACTGATAGGAATCCCAAAATCCCTGTGGCTACTGGAAAGGGTCCTTGGGTGCCCTGCCTCACCTCGAGAAGCGTCCCTTTGGCCCTGCCAAGCCTCGAAGAGATTCCTGAGGTGTCCCTCGTTACTAGACAGGAGTCCTGACGTCACTGAAGAAACTCGTGTTTTGAAGGGCCATCCCCGCCGTAAGTCGAGAACATACCCCAGGTCCCCGCCGCAACTCGAGAAAAACCATGAGACTTCCCCCTAGAGGCGAGATGAGGCCCGATTCCCCTGCAGTGCATGCAGAGCTATTCCGTGATCCCATTCAAACAAGTCAGGAGCTTCGACTTGCTTAATGGATCTCGAGACAGTCCCCAAGAACACTGTCACCAGTCTAGACGGACCCTGAGGTCACCCCAGCAACGCAAAGCAGCTCCATGTGCCCCAAATCAACTCGAGATGAGGCCCGATTCCCTGCATTGACTCCAGAGCCATTCCCCGTTCCCCATTCAACACGACCGGTGGCTCGACTTCCTTCAGGCAACTCCAGAGATGCCCCGAGAACACTGTCCCAAGTCTAGAGGAACACCACCTTCAGCACAGCAACTCGAGGAATGCTCCGTGTACCCCAAATCGTCTCGAGATGCGAGCTGATTCCCTGGCTTAGGCTCAAGACGTATGCCAACTTCCCAGAAGCACCTCAGGAGGAGGCTTCTCTCAGCAATAGGTATGTGGGAGGGACCCCGAGTTTGCTGCCTCAAGGGGAATATACAGCGAGAAGCCCTGACTTGAAAGGAGGCCGGATTTCCTTGCAGTGGCTTGAATACAGGCTCGTCTTTCATCTCACAACATGAAGGGATGTCTGAATCCCCTGTGGAGACCTTAGAGAAAGCCCTAGGTCCCTGCCTCATTTTGACGGAATGCCTCACATCCCGCTGACACCTCGAGAGGCACGCGGAGTTCATTGCTTCAAAAGGTGACGATGCCTGACTCCTCTTGAATACTGATAGGAATCCCAACATCCCTGTGGCTACTGGAAAGGGTCCTTGGGTGCCCTGCCTCACCTCGAGAAGCGTCCCTTTGGCCCTGCCAAGCCTCGAAGAGATTCCTGAGGTGTCCCTCGTTACTAGACAGGAGTAATGACGTCACTGAAGAAACTCGTGTTTTGAAGGGCCATCCCCGCCGTAAGTCGAGAACATACCCCAGGTCCCCGCCGCAACTCGAGAAAAACCATGAGACTTCCCCCTAGAGGCGAGATGAGGCCCCATTCCCCTGCAGTGCATGCAGAGCTATTCCGTGATCCCATTCAAACAAGTCAGGAGCTTCGACTTGCTTAATGGATCTCGAGACAGTCCCCAAGAACACTGTCACCAGTCTAGACGGACCCTGAGGTCACCCCAGCAACGCAAAGCAGCTCCATGTGCCCCAAATCAACTCGAGATGAGGCCCGATTCCCCTGCATTGACTCCAGAGCCATTCCCCGTTCCCCATTCAACACGACCGGTGGCTCGACTTCCTTCAGGCAACTCCAGAGATGCCCCGAGAACACTGTCCCAAGTCTAGAGGAACACCAACTTCAGCACAGCAACTCGAGGAATGCTCCGTGTACCCCAAATCGTCTCGAGATGCGAGCTGATTCCCTGGCTTAGGTTCAAGACGTATGCCAACTTCCCAAAAGCACCTCAGGAGGAGGCTTCTCTCAGCAATAGGTATGTGGGAGGGACCCCGAGTTTGCTGCCTCAAGGGGAATATACAGCGAGAAGCCCTGACTTGAAAGGAGGCCGGATTTCCTTGCAGTGGCTTGAATACAGGCTCGTCTTTCATCTCACAACATGAAGGGATGTCTGAATCCCCTGTGGAGACCTTAGAGAAAGCCCTAGGTCCCTGCCTCATTTTGACGGAATGCCTCACATCCCGCTGACACCTCGAGAGGCACGCGGAGTTCATTGCTTCAAAAGGTGACGATGCCTGACTCCTCTTGAATACTGATAGGAATCCCAAAATCCCTGTGGCTACTGGAAAGGGTCCTTGGGTGCCCTGCCTCACCCCGAGAAGCGTCCCTTTTGCCCTGCCAAGCCTCGAAGAGATTCCTGAGGTGTCCCTCGTTACTAGACAGGAGTCCTGACGTCACTGAAGAAACTCGTGTTTTGAAGGGCCATCCCCGCCGTAAGTCGAGAACATACCCCAGGTCCCCGCCGCAACTCGAGAAAAACCATGAGACTTCCCCCTAGAGGCGAGATGAGGCCCCATTCCCCTGCAGTGCATGCAGAGCTATTCCGTGATCCCATTCAAACAAGGCAGGAGCTTCGACTTGCTTAATGGATCTCGAGACAGTCCCCAAGAACACTGTCACCAGTCTAGACGGACCCTGAGGTCACCCCAGCAACGCAAAGCAGCTCCATGTGCCCCAAATCAACTCGAGATGAGGCCCGATTCCCCTGCATTGACTCCAGAGCCATTCCCCGTTCCCCATTCAACACGACCGGTGGCTCGACTTCCTTCAGTCAACTCCAGAGATGCCCCGAGAACACTGTCCCAAGTCTAGAGGAACACCAACTTCAGCACAGCAACTCGAGGAATGCTCCGTGTACCCCAAATCGTCTCGAGATGCGAGCTGATTCCCTGGCTTAGGCTCAAGACGTATGCCAACTTCCCAGAAGCACCTCAGGAGGAGGCTTCTCTCAGCAATAGGTATGTGGGAGGGACCCCGAGTTTGCTGCCTCAAGGGGAATATACAGCGAGAAGCCCTAACTTGAAAGGAGGCCGGATTTCCTTGCAGTGGGTTGAATACAGGCTCGTCTTTCATCTCACAACATGAAGGGATGTCTGAATCCCCTGTGGAGACCTTAGAGAAAGCCCTAGGTCCCTGCCTCATTTTGACGGAATGCCTCACATCCCGCTGACACCTCCAGAGGCATGCGGAGTTCATTGCTTCAAAAGGTGACGATGCCTGACTCCTCTTGAATACTGATAGGAATCCCAAAATCCCTGTGGCTACTGGAAAGGGTCCTTGGGTGCCCTGCCTCACCTCGAGAAGCGTCCCTTTTGCCCTGCCAAGCCTCGAAGAGATTCCTGAGGTGTCCCTCGTTACTAGACAGGAGTCCTGACGTCACTGAAGAAACTCGTGTTTTGAAGGGTCATCCCCGCCGTAAGTCGAGAACATACCCCAGGTCCCCGCCGCAACTCGAGAAAAACCATGAGACTTTCCCCTAGAGGCGAGATGAGGCCCCATTCCCCTGCAGTGCATGCAGAGCTATTCCGTGATCCCATTCAAACAAGGCAGGAGCTTCGACTTGCTTAATGGATCTCGAGACAGTCCCCAAGAACACTGTCACCAGTCTAGACGGACCCTGAGGTCACCCCAGCAACGCAAAGCAGCTCCATGTGCCCCAAATCAACTCGAGATGAGGCCCGATTCCCCTGCATTGATTCCAGAGCCATTCCCCGTTCCCCATTCAACACGACCGGTGGCTCGACTTCCTTCAGGCAACTCCAGAGATGCCCCGAGAACACTGTCCCAAGTCTAGAGGAACACCAACTTCAGCACAGCAACTCGAGGAATGCTCCGTGTACCCCAAATCGTCTCGAGATGCGAGCTGATTCCCTGGCTTAGGCTCAAGACGTATGCCAACTTCCCAGAAGCACCTCAGGAGGAGGCTTCTCTCAGCAATAGGTATGTGGGAGGGACCCCGAGTTTGCTGCCTCAAGGGGAATATACAGCGAGAAGCCCTGACTTGAAAGGAGGCCGGATTTCCTTGCAGTGGCTTGAATACAGGCTCGTCTTTCATCTCACAACATGAAGGGATGTCTGAATCCCCTGTGGAGACCTTAGAGAAAGCCCTAGGTCCCTGCCTCATTTTGACGGAATGCCTCACATCCCGCTGACACCTCAAGAGGCACGCGGAGTTCATTGCTTCAAAAGGTGACGATGCCTGTCTCCTCTTGAATACTGATAGGAATCCCAAAATCCCTGTGGCTACTGGAAAGGGTCCTTGGGTGCCCTGCCTCACCTCGAGAAGCGTCCCTTTGGCCCTGCCAAGCCTCGAAGAGATTCCTGAGGTGTCCCTCGTTACTAGACAGGAGTCCTGACGTCACTGAAGAAACTCGTGTTTTGAAGGGCCATCCCCGCCGTAAGTCGAGAACATACCCCAGGTCCCCGCCGCAACTCGAGAAAAACCATGAGACTTCCCCCTAGAGGCGAGATGAGGCCCCATTCCCCTGCAGTGCATGCAGAGCTATTCCGTGATCCCATTCAAACAAGGCAGGAGCTTCGACTTGCTTAATGGATCTCGAGACAGTCCCCAAGAACACTGTCACCAGTCTAGACGGACCCTGAGGTCACCCCAGCAACACAAAGCAGCTCCATGTGCCCCAAATCAACTAGAGATGAGGCCCGATTCCCCTGCATTGACTCCAGAGCCATTCCCCGTTCCCCATTCAACACGACCGGTGGCTCGACTTCCTTCAGGCAACTCCAGAGATGCCCCGAGAACACTGTCCCAAGTCTAGAGGAACACCAACTTCAGCACAGCAACTCGAGGAATGCTCCGTGTACCCCAAATCGTCTCGAGATGCGAGCTGATTCCCTGGCTTAGGCTCAAGACGTATGCCAACTTCCCAGAAGCACCTCAGGAGGAGGCTTCTCTCAGCAATAGGTATGTGGGAGGGACCCCGAGTTTGCTGCCTCAAGGGGAATATACAGCGAGAAGCCCTAACTTGAAAGGAGGCCGGATTTCCTTGCAGTGGCTTGAATACAGGCTCGTCTTTCATCTCACAACATGAAGGGATGTCTGAATCCCCTGTGGAGACCTTAGAGAAAGCCCTAGGTCCCTGCCTCATTTTGACGGAATGCCTCACGTCCCGCTGACACCTCGAGAGGCACGCGGAGTTCATTGCTTCAAAAGGTGACGATGCCTGACTCCTCTTGAATACTGATAGGAATCCCAAAATCCCTGTGGCTACTGGAAAGGGTCCTTGGGTGCCCTGCCTCACCTCGAGAAGCGTCCCTTTTGCCCTGCCAAGCCTCGAAGAGATTCCTGAGGTGTCCCTCGTTACTAGACAGGAGTCCTGACGTCACTGAAGAAACTCGTGTTTTGAAGGGTCATCCCCGCCGTAAGTCGAGAACATACCCCAGGTCCCCGCCGCAACTCGAGAAAAACCATGAGACTTTCCCCTAGAGGCGAGATGAGGCCCCATTCCCCTGCAGTGCATGCAGAGCTATTCCGTGATCCCATTCAAACAAGGCAGGAGCTTCGACTTGCTTAATGGATCTCGAGACAGTCCCCAAGAACACTGTCACCAGTCTAGACGGACCCTGAGGTCACCCCAGCAACGCAAAGCAGCTCCATGTGCCCCAAATCAACTCGAGATGAGGCCCGATTCCCCTGCATTGATTCCAGAGCCATTCCCCGTTCCCCATTCAACACGACCGGTGGCTCGACTTCCTTCAGGCAACTCCAGAGATGCCCCGAGAACACTGTCCCAAGTCTAGAGGAACACCAACTTCAGCACAGCAACTCGAGGAATGCTCCGTGTACCCCAAATCGTCTCGAGATGCGAGCTGATTCCCTGGCTTAGGCTCAAGACGTATGCCAACTTCCCAGAAGCACCTCAGGAGGAGGCTTCTCTCAGCAATAGGTATGTGGGAGGGACCCCGAGTTTGCTGCCTCAAGGGGAATATACAGCGAGAAGCCCTGACTTGAAAGGAGGCCGGATTTCCTTGCAGTGGCTTGAATACAGGCTCGTCTTTCATCTCACAACATGAAGGGATGTCTGAATCCCCTGTGGAGACCTTAGAGAAAGCCCTAGGTCCCTGCCTCATTTTGACGGAATGCCTCACATCCCGCTGACACCTCGAGAGGCACGCGGAGTTCATTGCTTCAAAAGGTGACGATGCCTGTCTCCTCTTGAATACTGATAGGAATCCCAAAATCCCTGTGGCTACTGGAAAGGGTCCTTGGGTGCCCTGCCTCACCTCGAGAAGCGTCCCTTTGGCCCTGCCAAGCCTCGAAGAGATTCCTGAGGTGTCCCTCGTTACTAGACAGGAGTCCTGACGTCACTGAAGAAACTCGTGTTTTGAAGGGCCATCCCCGCCGTAAGTCGAGAACATACCCCAGGTGCCCGCCGCAACTCGAGAAAAACAATGAGACTTCCCCCTAGAGGCGAGATGAGGCCCCATTCCCCTGCAGTGCATGCAGAGCTATTCCGTGATCCCATTCAAACAAGTCAGGAGCTTCGACTTGCTTAATGGATCTCGAGACAGTCCCCAAGAACACTGTCACCAGTCTAGACGGACCCTGAGGTCACCCCAGCAACGCAAAGCAGCTCCATGTGCCCCAAATCAACTCGAGATGAGGCCCGATTCCCCTGCATTGACTCCAGAGCCATTCCCCGTTCCCCATTCAACACGACCGGTGGCTCGACTTCCTTCAGGCAACTCCAGAGATGCCCCGAGAACACTGTCCCAAGTCTAGAGGAACACCAACTTCAGCACAGCAACTCGAGGAATGCTCCGTGTACCCCAAATCGTCTCGAGATGCGAGCTGATTCCCTGGCTTAGGCTCAAGACTTATGCCAACTTCCCAGAAGCACCTCAGGAGGAGGCTTCTCTCAGCAATAGGTATGTGGGAGGGACCCCGAGTTTGCTGCCTCAAGGGGAATATACAGCGAGAAGCCCTAACTTGAAAGGAGGCCGGATTTCCTTGCAGTGGCTTGAATACAGGCTCGTCTTTCATCTCACAACATGAAGGGATGTCTGAATCCCCTGTGGAGACCTTAGAGAAAGCCCTAGGTCCCTGCCTCATTTTGACGGAATGCCTCACATCCCGCTGACACCTCCAGAGGCATGCGGAGTTCATTGCTTCAAAAGGTGACGATGCCTGACTCCTCTTGAATACTGATAGGAATCCCAAAATCCCTGTGGCTACTGGAAAGGGTCCTTGGGTGCCCTGCCTCACCTCGAGAAGCGTCCCTTTGGCCCTGCCAAGCCTCGAAGAGATTCCTGAGGTGTCCCTCGTTACTAGACAGGAGTCCTGACGTCACTGAAGAAACTCGTGTTTTGAAGGGCCATCCCCGCCGTAAGTCGAGAACATACCCCAGGTCCCCGCCGCAACTCGAGAAAAACCATGAGACTTCCCCCTAGAGGCGAGATGAGGCCCCATTCCCCTGCAGTGCATGCAGAGCTATTCCGTGATCCCATTCAAACAAGTCAGGAGCTTCGACTTGCTTAATGGATCTCGAGACAGTCCCCAAGAACACTGTCACCAGTCTAGACGGAACCGGAGGTCACCCCAGCAACACAAAGCAGCTCCATGTGCCCCAAATCAACTCGAGATGAGGCCCGATTCCCCTGCATTGACTCCAGAGCCATTCCCCGTTCCCCATTCAACACGACCGGTGGCTCGACTTCCTTCAGGCAACTCCAGAGATGCCCCGAGAACACTGTCCCAAGTCTAGAGGAACACCAACTTCAGCACAGCAACTCGAGGAATGCTCCGTGTACCCCAAATCGTCTCGAGATGCGAGCTGATTCCCTGGCTTAGGCTCAAGACGTATGCCAACTTCCCAGAAGCACCTCAGGAGGAGGCTTCTCTCAGCAATAGGTATGTGGGAGGGACCCCGAGTTTGCTGCCTCAAGGGGAATATACAGCGAGAAGCCCTAACTTGAAAGGAGGCCGGATTTCCTTGCAGTGGCTTGAATACAGGCTCGTCTTTCATCTCACAACATGAAGGGATGTCTGAATCCCCTGTGGAGACCTTAGAGAAAGCCCTAGGTCCCTGCCTCATTTTGACGGAATGCCTCACGTCCCGCTGACACCTCGAGAGGCACGCGGAGTTCATTGCTTCAAAAGGTGACGATGCCTGACTCCTCTTGAATACTGATAGGAATCCCAAAATCCCTGTGGCTACTGGAAAGGGTCCATGGGTGCCCTGCCTCACCTCGAGAAGCGTCCCTTTTGCCCTGCCAAGCCTCGAAGAGATTCCTGAGGTGTCCCTCGTTACTAGACAGGAGTCCTGACGTCACTGAAGAAACTCGTGTTTTGAAGGGTCATCCCCGCCGTAAGTCGAGAACATACCCCAGGTCCCCGCCGCAACTCGAGAAAAACCATGAGACTTTCCCCTAGAGGCGAGATGAGGCCCCATTCCCCTGCAGTGCATGCAGAGCTATTCCGTGATCCCATTCAAACAAGGCAGGAGCTTCGACTTGCTTAATGGATCTCGAGACAGTCCCCAAGAACACTGTCACCAGTCTAGACGGACCCTGAGGTCACCCCAGCAACGCAAAGCAGCTCCATGTGCCCCAAATCAACTCGAGATGAGGCCCGATTCCCCTGCATTGACTCCAGAGCCATTCCCCGTTCCCCATTCAACACGACCGGTGGCTCGACTTCCTTCAGGCAACTCCAGAGATGCCCCGAGAACACTGTCCCAAGTCTAGAGGAACACCAACTTCAGCACAGCAACTCGAGGAATGCTCCGTGTACCCCAAATCGTCTCGAGATGCGAGCTGATTCCCTGGCTTAGGCTCAAGACGTATGCCAACTTCCCAGAAGCACCTCAGGAGGAGGCTTCTCTCAGCAATAGGTATGTGGGAGGGACCCCGAGTTTGCTGCCTCAAGGGGAATATACAGCGAGAAGCCCTGACTTGAAAGGAGGCCGGATTTCCTTGCAGTGGCTTGAATACAGGCTCGTCTTTCATCTCACAACATGAAGGGATGTCTGAATCCCCTGTGGAGACCTTAGAGAAAGCCCTAGGTCCCTGCCTCATTTTGACGGAATGCCTCACATCCCGCTGACACCTCGAGAGGCACGCGGAGTTCATTGCTTCAAAAGGTGACGATGCCTGTCTCCTCTTGAATACTGATAGGAATCCCAAAATCCCTGTGGCTACTGGAAAGGGTCCTTGGGTGCCCTGCCTCACCTCGAGAAGCGTCCCTTTGGCCCTGCCAAGCCTCGAAGAGATTCCTGAGGTGTCCCTCGTTACTAGACAGGAGTCCTGACGTCACTGAAGAAACTCGTGTTTTGAAGGGCCATCCCCGCCGTAAGTCGAGAACATACCCCAGGTCCCCGCCGCAACTCGAGAAAAACCATGAGACTTCCCCCTAGAGGCGAGATGAGGCCCCATTCCCCTGCAGTGCATGCAGAGCTATTCCGTGATCCCATTCAAACAAGTCAGGAGCTTCGACTTGCTTAATGGATCTCGAGACAGTCCCCAAGAACACTGTCACCAGTCTAGACGGACCCTGAGGTCACCCCAGCAACACAAAGCAGCTCCATGTGCCCCAAATCAACTAGAGATGAGGCCCGATTCCCCTGCATTGACTCCAGAGCCATTCCCCGTTCCCCATTCAACACGACCGGTGGCTCGACTTCCTTCAGGCAACTCCAGAGATGCCCCGAGAACACTGTCCCAAGTCTAGAGGAACACCAACTTCAGCACAGCAACTCGAGGAATGCTCCGTGTACCCCAAATCGTCTCGAGATGCGAGCTGATTCCCTGGCTTAGGCTCAAGACGTATGCCAACTTCCCAGAAGCACCTCAGGAGGAGGCTTCTCTCAGCAATAGGTATGTGGGAGGGACCCCGAGTTTGCTGCCTCAAGGGGAATATACAGCGAGAAGCCCTAACTTGAAAGGAGGCCGGATTTCCTTGCAGTGGCTTGAATACAGGCTCGTCTTTCATCTCACAACATGAAGGGATGTCTGAATCCCCTGTGGAGACCTTAGAGAAAGCCCTAGGTCCCTGCCTCATTTTGACGGAATGCCTCACGTCCCGCTGACACCTCGAGAGGCACGCGGAGTTCATTGCTTCAAAAGGTGACGATGCCTGACTCCTCTTGAATACTGATAGGAATCCCAAAATCCCTGTGGCTACTGGAAAGGGTCCTTGGGTGCCCTGCCTCACCTCGAGAAGCGTCCCTTTTGCCCTGCCAAGCCTCGAAGAGATTCCTGAGGTGTCCCTCGTTACTAGACAGGAGTCCTGACGTCACTGAAGAAACTCGTGTTTTGAAGGGTCATCCCCGCCGTAAGTCGAGAACATACCCCAGGTCCCCGCCGCAACTCGAGAAAAACCATGAGACTTTCCCCTAGAGGCGAGATGAGGCCCCATTCCCCTGCAGTGCATGCAGAGCTATTCCGTGATCCCATTCAAACAAGGCAGGAGCTTCGACTTGCTTAATGGATCTCGAGACAGTCCCCAAGAACACTGTCACCAGTCTAGACGGACCCTGAGGTCACCCCAGCAACGCAAAGCAGCTCCATGTGCCCCAAATCAACTCGAGATGAGGCCCGATTCCCCTGCATTGATTCCAGAGCCATTCCCCGTTCCCCATTCAACACGACCGGTGGCTCGACTTCCTTCAGGCAACTCCAGAGATGCCCCGAGAACACTGTCCCAAGTCTAGAGGAACACCAACTTCAGCACAGCAAGTCGAGGAATGCTCCGTGTACCCCAAATCGTCTCGAGATGCGAGCTGATTCCCTGGCTTAGGCTCAAGACGTATGCCAACTTCCCAGAAGCACCTCAGGAGGAGGCTTCTCTCAGCAATAGGTATGTGGGAGGGACCCCGAGTTTGCTGCCTCAAGGGGAATATACAGCGAGAAGCCCTGACTTGAAAGGAGGCCGGATTTCCTTGCAGTGGCTTGAATACAGGCTCGTCTTTCATCTCACAACATGAAGGGATGTCTGAATCCCCTGTGGAGACCTTAGAGAAAGCCCTAGGTCCCTGCCTCATTTTGACGGAATGCCTCACATCCCGCTGACACCTCGAGAGGCACGCGGAGTTCATTGCTTCAAAAGGTGACGATGCCTGACTCCTCTTGAATACTGATAGGAATCCCAAAATCCCTGTGGCTACTGGAAAGGGTCCTTGGGTGCCCTGCCTCACCTCGAGAAGCGTCCCTTTGGCCCTGCCAAGCCTCGAAGAGATTCCTGAGGTGTCCGTCGTTACTAGACAGGAGTCCTGACGTCACTGAAGAAACTCGTGTTTTGAAGGGCCATCCCCGCCGTAAGTCGAGAACATACCCCAGGTCCCCGCCGCAACTCGAGAAAAACCATGAGACTTCCCCCTAGAGGCGAGATGAGGCCCCATTCCCCTGCAGTGCATGCAGAGCTATTCCGTGATCCCATTCAAACAAGGCAGGAGCTTCGACTTGCTTAATGGATCTCGAGACAGTCCCCAAGAACACTGTCACCAGTCTAGACGGACCCTGAGGTCACCCCAGCAACGCAAAGCAGCTCCATGTGCCCCAAATCAACTCGAGATGAGGCCCGATTCCCCTGCATTGATTCCAGAGCCATTCCCCGTTCCCCATTCAACACGACCGGTGGCTCGACTTCCTTCAGGCAACTCCAGAGATGCCCCGAGAACACTGTCCCAAGTCTAGAGGAACACCAACTTCAGCACAGCAACTCGAGGAATGCTCCGTGTACCCCAAATCGTCTCGAGATGCGAGCTGATTCCCTGGCTTAGGCTCAAGACGTATGCCAACTTCCCAGAAGCACCTCAGGAGGAGGCTTCTCTCAGCAATAGGTATGTGGGAGGGACCCCGAGTTTGCTGCCTCAAGGGGAATATACAGCGAGAAGCCCTGACTTGAAAGGAGGCCGGATTTCCTTGCAGTGGCTTGAATACAGGCTCGTCTTTCATCTCACAACATGAAGGGATGTCTGAATCCCCTGTGGAGACCTTAGAGAAAGCCCTAGGTCCCTGCCTCATTTTGACGGAATGCCTCACATCCCGCTGACACCTCGAGAGGCACGCGGAGTTCATTGCTTCAAAAGGTGACGATGCCTGTCTCCTCTTGAATACTGATAGGAATCCCAAAATCCCTGTGGCTACTGGAAAGGGTCCTTGGGTGCCCTGCCTCACCTCGAGAAGCGTCCCTTTGGCCCTGCCAAGCCTCGAAGAGATTCCTGAGGTGTCCCTCGTTACTAGACAGGAGTCCTGACGTCACTGAAGAAACTCGTGTTTTGAAGGGCCATCCCCGCCGTAAGTCGAGAACATACCCCAGGTCCCCGCCGCAACTCGAGAAAAACCATGAGACTTCCCCCTAGAGGCGAGATGAGGCCCCATTCCCCTGCAGTGCATGCAGAGCTATTCCGTGACCCCATTCAAACAAGGCAGGAGCTTCGACTTGCTTAATGGATCTCGAGACAGTCCCCAAGAACACTGTCACCAGTCTAGACGGACCCTGAGGTCACCCCAGCAACGCAAAGCAGCTCCATGTGCCCCAAATCAACTCGAGATGAGGCCCGATTCCCCTGCATTGACTCCAGAGCCATTCCCCGTTCCCCATTCAACACGACCGGTGGCTCGACTTCCTTCAGGCAACTCCAGAGATGCCCCGAGAACACTGTCCCAAGTCTAGAGGAACACCAACTTCAGCACAGCAACTCGAGGAATGCTCCGTGTACCCCAAATCATCTCGAGATGCGAGCTGATTCCCTGGCTTAGGCTCAAGACGTATGCCAACTTCCCAGAAGCACCTCAGGAGGAGGCTTCTCTCAGCAATAGGTATGTGGGAGGGACCCCGAGTTTGCTGCCTCAAGGGGAATATACAGCGAGAAGCCCTAACTTGAAAGGAGGCCGGATTTCCTTGCAGTGGCTTGAATACAGGCTCGTCTTTCATCTCACAACATGAAGGGATGTCTGAATCCCCTGTGGAGACCTTAGAGAAAGCCCTAGGTCCCTGCCTCATTTTGACGGAATGCCTCACATCCCGCTGACACCTCCAGAGGCATGCGGAGTTCATTGCTTCAAAAGGTGACGATGCCTGACTCCTCTTGAATACTGATAGGAATCCCAAAATCCCTGTGGCTACTGGAAAGGGTCCTTGGGTGCCCTGCCTCACCTCGAGAAGCGTCCCTTTGGCCCTGCCAAGCCTCGAAGAGATTCCTGAGGTGTCCCTCGTTACTAGACAGGAGTCCTGACGTCACTGAAGAAACTCGTGTTTTGAAGGGCCATCCCCGCCGTAAGTCGAGAACATACCCCAGGTCCCCGCCGCAACTCGAGAAAAACCATGAGACTTCCCCCTAGAGGCGAGATGAGGCCCCATTCCCCTGCAGTGCATGCAGAGCTATTCCGTGATCCCATTCAAACAAGTCAGGAGCTTCGACTTGCTTAATGGATCTCGAGACAGTCCCCAAGAACACTGTCACCAGTCTAGACGGACCCTGAGGTCACCCCAGCAACACAAAGCAGCTCCATGTGCCCCAAATCAACTCGAGATGAGGCCCGATTCCCCTGCATTGACTCCAGAGCCATTCCCCGTTCCCCATTCAACACGACCGGTGGCTCGACTTCCTTCAGGCAACTCCAGAGATGCCCCGAGAACACTGTCCCAAGTCTAGAGGAACACCAACTTCAGCACAGCAACTCGAGGAATGCTCCGTGTACCCCAAATCGTCTCGAGATGCGAGCTGATTCCCTGGCTTAGGCTCAAGACGTATGCCAACTTCCCAGAAGCACCTCAGGAGGAGGCTTCTCTCAGCAATAGGTATGTGGGAGGGACCCCGAGTTTGCTGCCTCAAGGGGAATATACAGCGAGAAGCCCTAACTTGAAAGGAGGCCGGATTTCCTTGCAGTGGCTTGAATACAGGCTCGTCTTTCATCTCACAACATGAAGGGATGTCTGAATCCCCTGTGGAGACCTTAGAGAAAGCCCTAGGTCCCTGCCTCATTTTGACGGAATGCCTCACGTCCCGCTGACACCTCGAGAGGCACGCGGAGTTCATTGCTTCAAAAGGTGACGATGCCTGACTCCTCTTGAATACTGATAGGAATCCCAAAATCCCTGTGGCTACTGGAAAGGGTCCATGGGTGCCCTGCCTCACCTCGAGAAGCGTCCCTTTTGCCCTGCCAAGCCTCGAAGAGATTCCTGAGGTGTCCCTCGTTACTAGACAGGAGTCCTGACGTCACTGAAGAAACTCGTGTTTTGAAGGGTCATCCCCGCCGTAAGTCGAGAACATACCCCAGGTCCCCGCCGCAACTCGAGAAAAACCATGAGACTTTCCCCTAGAGGCGAGATGAGGCCCCATTCCCCTGCAGTGCATGCAGAGCTATTCCGTGATCCCATTCAAACAAGGCAGGAGCTTCGACTTGCTTAATGGATCTCGAGACAGTCCCCAAGAACACTGTCACCAGTCTAGACGGACCCTGAGGTCACCCCAGCAACGCAAAGCAGCTCCATGTGCCCCAAATCAACTCGAGATGAGGCCCGATTCCCCTGCATTGATTCCAGAGCCATTCCCCGTTCCCCATTCAACACGACCGGTGGCTCGACTTCCTTCAGGCAACTCCAGAGATGCCCCGAGAACACTGTCCCAAGTCTAGAGGAACACCAACTTCAGCACAGCAACTCGAGGAATGCTCCGTGTACCCCAAATCGTCTCGAGATGCGAGCTGATTCCCTGGCTTAGGCTCAAGACGTATGCCAACTTCCCAGAAGCACCTCAGGAGGAGGCTTCTCTCAGCAATAGGTATGTGGGAGGGACCCCGAGTTTGCTGCCTCAAGGGGAATATACAGCGAGAAGCCCTGACTTGAAAGGAGGCCGGATTTCCTTGCAGTGGCTTGAATACAGGCTCGTCTTTCATCTCACAACATGAAGGGATGTCTGAATCCCCTGTGGAGACCTTAGAGAAAGCCCTAGGTCCCTGCCTCATTTTGACGGAATGCCTCACATCCCGCTGACACCTCGAGAGGCACGCGGAGTTCATTGCTTCAAAAGGTGACGATGCCTGTCTCCTCTTGAATACTGATAGGAATCCCAAAATCCCTGTGGCTACTGGAAAGGGTCCTTGGGTGCCCTGCCTCACCTCGAGAAGCGTCCCTTTGGCCCTGCCAAGCCTCGAAGAGATTCCTGAGGTGTCCCTCGTTACTAGACAGGAGTCCTGACGTCACTGAAGAAACTCGTGTTTTGAAGGGCCATCCCCGCCGTAAGTCGAGAACATACCCCAGGTCCCCGCCGCAACTCGAGAAAAACCATGAGACTTCCCCCTAGAGGCGAGATGAGGCCCCATTCCCCTGCAGTGCATGCAGAGCTATTCCGTGATCCCATTCAAACAAGTCAGGAGCTTCGACTTGCTTAATGGATCTCGAGACAGTCCCCAAGAACACTGTCACCAGTCTAGACGGACCCTGAGGTCACCCCAGCATCACAAAGCAGCTCCATGTGCCCCAAATCAACTCGAGATGAGGCCCGATTCCCCTGCATTGACTCCAGAGCCATTCCCCGTTCCCCATTCAACACGACCGGTGGCTCGACTTCCTTCAGGCAACTCCAGAGATGCCCCGAGAACACTGTCCCAAGTCTAGAGGAACACCAACTTCAGCACAGCAACTCGAGGAATGCTCCGTGTACCCCAAATCGTCTCGAGATGCGAGCTGATTCCCTGGCTTAGGCTCAAGACGTATGCCAACTTCCCAGAAGCACCTCAGGAGGAGGCTTCTCTCAGCAATAGGTATGTGGGAGGGACCCCGAGTTTGCTGCCTCAAGGGGAATATACAGCGAGAAGCCCTAACTTGAAAGGAGGCCGGATTTCCTTGCAGTGGCTTGAATACAGGCTCGTCTTTCATCTCACAACATGAAGGGATGTCTGAATCCCCTGTGGAGACCTTAGAGTAAGCCCTAGGTCCCTGCCTCATTTTGACGGAATGCCTCACGTCCCGCTGACACCTCGAGAGGCACGCGGAGTTCATTGCTTCAAAAGGTGACGATGCCTGACTCCTCTTGAATACTGATAGGAATCCCAAAATCCCTGTGGCTACTGGAAAGGGTCCTTGGGTGCCCTGCCTCACCTCGAGAAGCGTCCCTTTTGCCCTGCCAAGCCTCGAAGAGATTCCTGAGGTGTCCCTCGTTACTAGACAGGAGTCCTGACGTCACTGAAGAAACTCGTGTTTTGAAGGGCCATCCCCGCCGTAAGTCGAGAACATACCCCAGGTCTCCGCCGCAACTCGAGAAAAACCATGAGACTTTCCCCTAGAGGCGAGATGAGGCCCCATTCCCCTGCAGTGCATGCAGAGCTATTCCGTGATCCCATTCAAACAAGGCAGGAGCTTCGACTTGCTTAATGGATCTCGAGACAGTCCCCAAGAACACTGTCACCAGTCTAGACGGACCCTGAGGTCACCCCAGCAACGCAAAGCAGATCCATGTGCCCCAAATCAACTCGAGATGAGGCCCGATTCCCCTGCATTGATTCCAGAGCCATTCCCCGTTCCCCATTCAACACGACCGGTGGCTCGACTTCCTTCAGGCAACTCCAGAGATGCCCCGAGAACACTGTCCCAAGTCTAGAGGAACACCAACTTCAGCACAGCAACTCGAGGAATGCTCCGTGTACCCCAAATCGTCTCGAGATGCGAGCTGATTCCCTGGCTTAGGCTCAAGACGTATGCCAACTTCCCAGAAGCACCTCAGGAGGAGGCTTCTCTCAGCAATAGGTATGTGGGAGGGACCCCGAGTTTGCTGCCTCAAGGGGAATATACAGCGAGAAGCCCTGACTTGAAAGGAGGCCGGATTTCCTTGCAGTGGCTTGAATACAGGCTCGTCTTTCATCTCACAACATGAAGGGATGTCTGAATCCCCTGTGGAGACCTTAGAGAAAGCCCTAGGTCCCTGCCTCATTTTGACGGAATGCCTCACATCCCGCTGACACCTCGAGAGGCACGCGGAGTTCATTGCTTCAAAAGGTGACGATGCCTGTCTCCTCTTGAATACTGATAGGAATCCCAAAATCCCTGTGGCTACTGGAAAGGGTCCTTGGGTGCCCTGCCTCACCTCGAGAAGCGTCCCTTTTGCCCTGCCAAGCCTCGAAGAGATTCCTGAGGTGTCCCTCGTTACTAGACAGGAGTCCTGACGTCACTGAAGAAACTCGTGTTTTGAAGGGCCATCCCCGCCGTAAGTCGAGAACATACCCCAGGTCCCCGCCGCAACTCGAGAAAAACCATGAGACTTCCCCCTAGAGGCGAGATGAGGCCCCATTCCCCTGCAGTGCATGCAGAGCTATTCCGTGATCCCATTCAAACAAGTCAGGAGCTTCGACTTGCTTAATGGATCTCGAGACAGTCCCCAAGAACACTGTCACCAGTCTAGACGGACCCTGAGGTCACCCCAGCAACGCAAAGCAGCTCCATGTGCCCCAAATCAACTCGAGATGAGGCCCGATTCCCCTGCATTGACTCCAGAGCCATTCCCCGTTCCCCATTCAACACGACCGGTGGCTCGACTTCCTTCAGGCAACTCCAGAGATGCCCCGAGAACACTGTCCCAAGTCTAGAGGAACACCAACTTCAGCACAGCAACTCGAGGAATGCTCCGTGTACCCCAAATCGTCTCGAGATGCGAGCTGATTCCCTGGCTTAGGCTCAAGACGTATGCCAACTTCCCAGAAGCACCTCAGGAGGAGGCTTCTCTCAGCAATAGGTATGTGGGAGGGACCCCGAGTTTGCTGCCTCAAGGGGAATATACAGCGAGAAGCCCTGACTTGAAAGGAGGCCGGATTTCCTTGCAGTGGCTTGAATACAGGCTCGTCTTTCATCTCACAACATGAAGGGATGTCTGAATCCCCTGTGGAGACCTTAGAGAAAGCCCTAGGTCCCTGCCTCATTTTGACGGAATGCCTCACATCCCGCTGACACCTCGAGAGGCACGCGGAGTTCATTGCTTCAAAAGGTGACGATGCCTGACTCCTCTTGAATACTGATAGGAATCCCAAAATCCCTGTGGCTACTGGAAAGGGTCCTTGGGTGCCCTGCCTCACCTCGAGAAGCGTCCCTTTGGCCCTGCCAAGCCTCGAAGAGATTCCTGAGGTGTCCGTCGTTACTAGACAGGAGTCCTGACGTCACTGAAGAAACTCGTGTTTTGAAGGGTCATCCCCGCCGTAAGTCGAGAACATACCCCAGGTCCCCGCCGCAACTCGAGAAAAACCATGAGACTTCCCCCTAGAGGCGAGATGAGGCCCCATTCCCCTGCAGTGCATGCAGAGCTATTCCGTGATCCCATTCAAACAAGGCAGGAGCTTCGACTTGCTTAATGGATCTCGAGACAGTCCCCAAGAACACTGTCACCAGTCTAGACGGACCCTGAGGTCACCCCAGCAACGCAAAGCAGCTCCATGTGCCCCAAATCAACTCGAGATGAGGCCCGATTCCCCTGCATTGACTCCAGAGCCATTCCCCGTTCCCCATTCAACACGACCGGTGGCTCGACTTCCTTCAGGCAACTCCAGAGATGCCCCGAGAACACTGTCCCAAGTCTAGAGGAACACCAACTTCAGCACAGCAACTCGAGGAATGCTCCGTGTACCCCAAATCGTCTCGAGATGCGAGCTGATTCCCTGGCTTAGGCTCAAGACGTATGCCAACTTCCCAGAAGCACCTCAGGAGGAGGCTTCTCTCAGCAATAGGTATGTGGGAGGGACCCCGAGTTTGCTGCCTCAAGGGGAATATACAGCGAGAAGCCCTAACTTGAAAGGAGGCCGGATTTCCTTGCAGTGGCTTGAATACAGGCTCGTCTTTCATCTCACAACATGAAGGGATGTCTGAATCCCCTGTGGAGACCTTAGAGAAAGCCCTAGGTCCCTGCCTCATTTTGACGGAATGCCTCACATCCCGCTGACACCTCGAGAGGCACGCGGAGTTCATTGCTTCAAAAGGTGACGATGCCTGACTCCTCTTGAATACTGATAGGAATCCCAAAATCCCTGTGGCTACTGGAAAGGGTCCTTGGGTGCCCTGCCTCACCTCGAGAAGCGTCCCTTTGGCCCTGCCAAGCCTCGAAGAGATTCCTGAGGTGTCCCTCGTTACTAGACAGGAGTCCTGACGTCACTGAAGAAACTCGTGTTTTGAAGGGCCATCCCCGCCGTAAGTCGAGAACATACCCCAGGTCCCCGCCGCAACTCGAGAAAAACCATGAGACTTCCCCCTAGAGGCGAGATGAGGCCCCATTCCCCTGCAGTGCATGCAGAGCTATTCCGTGATCCCATTCAAACAAGTCAGGAGCTTCGACTTGCTTAATGGATCTCGAGACAGTCCCCAAGAACACTGTCACCAGTCTAGACGGACCCTGAGGTCACCCCAGCAACACAAAGCAGCTCCATGTGCCCCAAATCAACTCGAGATGAGGCCCGATTCCCCTGCATTGACTCCAGAGCCATTCCCCGTTCCCCATTCAACACGACCGGTGGCTCGACTTCCTTCAGGCAATTCCAGAGATGCCCCGAGAACACTGTCCCAAGTCTAGAGGAACACCAACTTCAGCACAGCAACTCGAGGAATGCTCCGTGTACCCCAAATCGTCTCGAGATGCGAGCTGATTCCCTGGCTTAGGCTCAAGACGTATGCCAACTTCCCAGAAGCACCTCAGGAGGAGGCTTCTCTCAGCAATAGGTATGTGGGAGTGACCCCGAGTTTGCTGCCTCAAGGGGAATATACAGCGAGAAGCCCTGACTTGAAAGGAGGCCGGATTTCCTTGCAGTGGCTTGAATACAGGCTCGTCTTTCATCTCACAACATGAAGGGATGTCTGAATCCCCTGTGGAGACCTTAGAGAAAGCCCTAGGTCCCTGCCTCATTTTGACGGAATGCCTCACATCCCGCTGACACCTCGAGAGGCACACGGAGTTCATTGCTTCAAAAGGTGACGATGCCTGTCTCCTCTTGAATACTGATAGGAATCCCAAAATCCCTGTGGCTACTGGAAAGGGTCCTTGGGTGCCCTGCCTCACCTCGAGAAGCGTCCCTTTGGCCCTGCCAAGCCTCGAAGAGATTCCTGAGGTGTCCCTCGTTACTAGACAGGAGTCCTGACGTCACTGAAGAAACTCGTGTTTTGAAGGGCCATCCCCGCCGTAAGTCGAGAACATACCCCAGGTCCCCGCCGCAACTCGAGAAAAACCATGAGACTTCCCCCTAGAGGCGAGATGAGGCCCCATTCCCCTGCAGTGCATGCAGAGCTATTCCGTGATCCCATTCAAACAAGTCAGAAGCTTCGACTTGCTTAATGGATCTCGAGACAGTCCCCAAGAACACTGTCACCAGTCTAGACGGACCCTGAGGTCACCCCAGCAACACAAAGCAGCTCCATGTGCCCCAAATCAACTCGAGATGAGGCCCGATTCCCCTGCATTGACTCCAGAGCCATTCCCCGTTCCCCATTCAACACGACCGGTGGCTCGACTTCCTTCAGGCAACTCCAGAGATGCCCCGAGAACACTGTCCCAAGTCTAGAGGAACACCAACTTCAGCACAGCAACTCGAGGAATGCTCCGTGTACCCCAAATCGTCTCGAGATGCGAGCTGATTCCCTGGCTTAGGCTCAAGACGTATGCCAACTTCCCAGAAGCACCTCAGGAGGAGGCTTCTCTCAGCAATAGGTATGTGGGAGGGACCCCGAGTTTGCTGCCTCAAGGGGAATATACAGCGAGAAGCCCTGACTTGAAAGGAGGCCGGATTTCCTTGCAGTGGCTTGAATACAGGCTCGTCTTTCATCTCACAACATGAAGGGATGTCTGAATCCCCTGTGGAGACCTTAGAGAAAGCCCTAGGTCCCTGCCTCATTTTGACGGAATGCCTCACATCCCGCTGACACCTCGAGAGGCACGCGGAGTTCATTGCTTCAAAAGGTGACGATGCCTGTCTCCTCTTGAATACTGATAGGAATCCCAAAATCCCTGTGGCTACTGGAAAGGGTCCTTGGGTGCCCTGCCTCACCTCGAGAAGCGTCCCTTTTGCCCTGCCAAGCCTCGAAGAGATTCCTGAGGTGTCCCTCGTTACTAGACAGGAGTCCTGACGTCACTGAAGAAACTCGTGTTTTGAAGGGCCATCCCCGCCGTAAGTCGAGAACATACCCCAGGTCCCCGCCGCAACTCGAGAAAAACCATGAGACTTCCCCCTAGAGGCGAGATGAGGCCCCATTCCCCTGCAGTGCATGCAGAGCTATTCCGTGATCCCATTCAAACAAGTCAGGAGCTTCGACTTGCTTAATGGATCTCGAGACAGTCCCCAAGAACACTGTCACCAGTCTAGACGGACCCTGAGGTCACCCCAGCAACGCAAAGCAGCTCCATGTGCCCCAAATCAACTCGAGATGAGGCCCGATTCCCCTGCATTGACTCCAGAGCCATTCCCCGTTCCCCATTCAACACGACCGGTGGCTCGACTTCCTTCAGGCAACTCCAGAGATGCCCCGAGAACACTGTCCCAAGTCTAGAGGAACACCAACTTCAGCACAGCAACTCGAGGAATGCTCCGTGTACCCCAAATCGTCTCGAGATGCGAGCTGATTCCCTGGCTTAGGCTCAAGACGTATGCCAACTTCCCAGAAGCACCTCAGGAGGAGGCTTCTCTCAGCAATAGGTATGTGGGAGGGACCCCGAGTTTGCTGCCTCAAGGGGAATATACAGCGAGAAGCCCTGACTTGAAAGGAGGCCGGATTTCCTTGCAGTGGCTTGAATACAGGCTCGTCTTTCATCTCACAACATGAAGGGATGTCTGAATCCCCTGTGGAGACCTTAGAGAAAGCCCTAGGTCCCTGCCTCATTTTGACGGAATGCCTCACATCCCGCTGACACCTCGAGAGGCACGCGGAGTTCATTGCTTCAAAAGGTGACGATGCCTGACTCCTCTTGAATACTGATAGGAATCCCAAAATCCCTGTGGCTACTGGAAAGGGTCCTTGGGTGCCCTGCCTCACCTCGAGAAGCGTCCCTTTGGCCCTGCCAAGCCTCGAAGAGATTCCTGAGGTGTCCGTCGTTACTAGACAGGAGTCCTGACGTCACTGAAGAAACTCGTGTTTTGAAGGGCCATCCCCGCCGTAAGTCGAGAACATACCCCAGGTCCCCGCCGCAACTCGAGAAAAACCATGAGACTTCCCCCTAGAGGCGAGATGAGGCCCCATTCCCCTGCAGTGCATGCAGAGCTATTCCGTGATCCCATTCAAACAAGGCAGGAGCTTCGACTTGCTTAATGGATCTCGAGACAGTCCCCAAGAACACTGTCACCAGTCTAGACGGACCCTGAGGTCACCCCAGCAACGCAAAGCAGCTCCATGTGCCCCAAATCAACTCGAGATGAGGCCCGATTCCCCTGCATTGACTCCAGAGCCATTCCCCGTTCCCCATTCAACACGACCGGTGGCTCGACTTCCTTCAGGCAACTCCAGAGATGCCCCGAGAACACTGTCCCAAATCTAGAGGAACACCAACTTCAGCACAGCAACTCGAGGAATGCTCCGTGTACCACAAATCGTCTCGAGATGCGAGCTGATTCCCTGGCTTAGGCTCAAGACGTATGCCAACTTCCCAGAAGCACCTCAGGAGGAGGCTTCTCTCAGCAATAGGTATGTGGGAGGGACCCCGAGTTTGCTGCCTCAAGGGGAATATACAGCGAGAAGCCCTGACTTGAAAGGAGGCCGGATTTCCTGGCAGTGGCTTGAATACAGGCTCGTCTTTCATCTCACAACATGAAGGGATGTCTGAATCCCCTGTGGAGACCTTAGAGAAAGCCCTAGGTCCCTGCCTCATTTTGACGGAATGCCTCACATCCCGCTGACACCTCGAGAGGCACGCGGAGTTCATTGCTTCAAAAGGTGACGATGCCTGACTCCTCTTGAATACTGATAGGAATCCCAAAATCCCTGTGGCTACTGGAAAGGGTCCTTGGGTGCCCTGCCTCACCTCGAGAAGCGTCCCTTTTGCCCTGCCAAGCCTCGAAGAGATTCCTGAGGTGTCCCTCGTTACTAGACAGGAGTCCTGACGTCACTGAAGAAACTCGTGTTTTGAAGGGTCATCCCCGCCGTAAGTCGAGAACATACCCCAGGTCCCCGCCGCAACTCGAGAAAAACCATGAGACTTCCCCCTAGAGGCGAGATGAGGCCCCATTCCCCTGCAGTGCATGCAGAGCTATTCCGTGATCCCATTCAAACAAGGCAGGAGCTTCGACTTGCTTAATGGATCTCGAGACAGTCCCCAAGAACACTGTCACCAGTCTAGACGGACCCTGAGGTCACCCCAGCAACGCAAAGCAGCTCCATGTGCCCCAAATCAACTCGAGATGAGGCCCGATTCCCCTGCATTGACTCCAGAGCCATTCCCCGTTCCCCATTCAACACGACCGGTGGCTCGACTTCCTTCAGGCAACTCCAGAGATGCCCCGAGAACACTGTCCCAAGTCTAGAGGAACACCAACTTCAGCACAGCAACTCGAGGAATGCTCCGTGTACCCCAAATCGTCTCGAGATGCGAGCTGATTCCCTGGCTTAGGCTCAAGACGTATGCCAACTTCCCAGAAGCACCTCAGGAGGAGGCTTCTCTCAGCAATAGGTATGTGGGAGGGACCCCGAGTTTGCTGCCTCAAGGGGAATATACAGCGAGAAGCCCTGACTTGAAAGGAGGCCGGATTTCCTTGCAGTGGCTTGAATACAGGCTCGTCTTTCATCTCACAACATGAAGGGATGTCTGAATCCCCTGTGGAGACCTTAGAGAAAGCCCTAGGTCCCTGCCTCATTTTGACGGAATGCCTCACATCCCGCTGACACCTCGAGAGGCACGCGGAGTTCATTGCTTCAAAAGGTGACGATGCCTGACTCCTCTTGAATACTGATAGGAATCCCAAAATCCCTGTGGCTACTGGAAAGGGTCCTTGGGTGCCCTGCCTCACCTCGAGAAGCGTCCCTTTGGCCCTGCCAAGCCTCGAAGAGATTCCTGAGGTGTCCCTCGTTACTAGACAGGAGTCCTGACGTCACTGAAGAAACTCGTGTTTTGAAGGGTCATCCCCGCCGTAAGTCGAGAACATACCCCAGGTCCCCGCCGCAACTCGAGAAAAACCATGAGACTTCCCCCTAGAGGCGAGATGAGGCCCCATTCCCCTGCAGTGCATGCAGAGCTATTCCGTGATCCCATTCAAACAAGGCAGGAGCTTCGACTTGCTTAATGGATCTCGAGACAGTCCCCAAGAACACTGTCACCAGTCTAGACGGACCCTGAGGTCACCCCAGCAACGCAAAGCAGCTCCATGTGCCCCAAATCAACTCGAGATGAGGCCCGATTCCCCTGCATTGACTCCAGAGCCATTCCCCGTTCCCCATTCAACACGACCGGTGGCTCGACTTCCTTCAGGCAACTCCAGAGATGCCCCGAGAACACTGTCCCAAGTCTAGAGGAACACCAACTTCAGCACAGCAACTCGAGGAATGCTCCGTGTACCCCAAATCGTCTCGAGATGCGAGCTGATTCCCTGGCTTAGGCTCAAGACGTATGCCAACTTCCCAGAAGCACCTCAGGAGGAGGCTTCTCTCAGCAATAGGTATGTGGGAGGGACCCCGAGTTTGCTGCCTCAAGGGGAATATACAGCGAGAAGCCCTAACTTGAAAGGAGGCCGGATTTCCTTGCAGTGGCTTGAATACAGGCTCGTCTTTCATCTCACAACATGAAGGGATGTCTGAATCCCCTGTGGAGACCTTAGAGAAAGCCCTAGGTCCCTGCCTCATTTTGACGGAATGCCTCACATCCCGCTGACACCTCCAGAGGCACGCGGAGTTCATTGCTTCAAAAGGTGACGATGCCTGTCTCCTCTTGAATACTGATAGGAATCCCAAAATCCCTGTGGCTACTGGAAAGGGTCCTTGGGTGCCCTGCCTCACCTCGAGAAGCGTCCCTTTGGCCCTGCCAAGCCTCGAAGAGATTCCTGAGGTGTCCCTCGTTACTAGACAGGAGTCCTGACGTCACTGAAGAAACTCGTGTTTTGAAGGGCCATCCCCGCCGTAAGTCGAGAACATACCCCAGGTCCCCGCCGCAACTCGAGAAAAACCATGAGACTTCCCCCTAGAGGCGAGATGAGGCCCCATTCCCCTGCAGTGCATGCAGAGCTATTCCGTGATCCCATTCAAACAAGTCAGAAGCTTCGACTTGCTTAATGGATCTCGAGACAGTCCCCAAGAACACTGTCACCAGTCTAGACGGACCCTGAGGTCACCCCAGCAACACAAAGCAGCTCCATGTGCCCCAAATCAACTCGAGATGAGGCCCGATTCCCCTGCATTGACTCCAGAGCCATTCCCCGTTCCCCATTCAACACGACCGGTGGCTCGACTTCCTTCAGGCAACTCCAGAGATGCCCCGAGAACACTGTCCCAAGTCTAGAGGAACACCAACTTCAGCACAGCAACTCGAGGAATGCTCCGTGTACCCCAAATCGTCTCGAGATGCGAGCTGATTCCCTGGCTTAGGCTCAAGACGTATGCCAACTTCCCAGAAGCACCTCAGGAGGAGGCTTCTCTCAGCAATAGGTATGTGGGAGGGACCCCGAGTTTGCTGCCTCAAGGGGAATATACAGCGAGAAGCCCTAACTTGAAAGGAGGCCGGATTTCCTTGCAGTGGCTTGAATACAGGCTCGTCTTTCATCTCACAACATGAAGGGATGTCTGAATCCCCTGTGGAGACCTTAGAGTAAGCCCTAGGTCCCTGCCTCATTTTGACGGAATGCCTCACGTCCCGCTGACACCTCGAGAGGCACGCGGAGTTCATTGCTTCAAAAGGTGACGATGCCTGACTCCTCTTGAATACTGATAGGAATCCCAAAATCCCTGTGGCTACTGGAAAGGGTCCTTGGGTGCCCTGCCTCACCTCGAGAAGCGTCCCTTTGGCCCTGCCAAGCCTCGAAGAGATTCCTGAGGTGTCCCTCGTTACTAGACAGGAGTCCTGACGTCACTGAAGAAACTCGTGTTTTGAAGGGTCATCCCCGCCGTAAGTCGAGAACATACCCCAGGTCCCCGCCGCAACTCGAGAAAAACCATGAGACTTCCCCCTAGAGGCGAGATGAGGCCCCATTCCCCTGCAGTGCATGCAGAGCTATTCCGTGATCCCATTCAAACAAGTCAGGAGCTTCGACTTGCTTAATGGATCTCGAGACAGTCCCCAAGAACACTGTCACCAGTCTAGACGGACCCTGAGGTCACCCCAGCAACACAAAGCAGCTCCATGTGCCCCAAATCAACTCGAGATGAGGCCCGATTCCCCTGCATTGACTCCAGAGCCATTCCCCGTTCCCCATTCAACACGACCGGTGGCTCGACTTCCTTCAGGCAACTCCAGAGATGCCCCGAGAACACTGTCCCAAGTCTAGAGGAACACCAACTTCAGCACAGCAACTCGAGGAATGCTCCGTGTACCCCAAATCGTCTCGAGATGCGAGCTGATTCCCTGGCTTAGGCTCAAGACGTATGCCAACTTCCCAGAAGCACCTCAGGAGGAGGCTTCTCTCAGCAATAGGTATGTGGGAGGGACCCCGAGTTTGCTGCCTCAAGGGGAATATACAGCGAGAAGCCCTGACTTGAAAGGAGGCCGGATTCCCTTGCAGTGGCTTGAATACAGGCTCGTCTTTCATCTCACAACATGAAGGGATGTCTGAATCCCCTGTGGAGACCTTAGAGAAAGCCCTAGGTCCCTGCCTCATTTTGACGGAATGCCTCACATCCCGCTGACACCTCGAGAGGCACGCGGAGTTCATTGCTTCAAAAGGTGACGATGCCTGACTCCTCTTGAATACTGATAGGAATCCCAAAATCCCTGTGGCTACTGGAAAGGGTCCTTGGGTGCCCTGCCTCACCTCGAGAAGCGTCCCTTTGGCCCTGCCAAGCCTCGAAGAGATTCCTGAGGTGTCCCTCGTTACTAGACAGGAGTCCTGACGTCACTGAAGAAACTCGTGTTTTGAAGGGCCATCCCCGCCGTAAGTCGAGAACATACCCCAGGTCCCCGCCGCAACTCGAGAAAAACCATGAGACTTCCCCCTAGAGGCGAGATGAGGCCCCATTCCCCTGCAGTGCATGCAGAGCTATTCCGTGATCCCATTCAAACAAGGCAGGAGCTTCGACTTGCTTAATGGATCTCGAGACAGTCCCCAAGAACACTGTCACCAGTCTAGACGGACCCTGAGGTCACCCCAGCAACGCAAAGCAGCTCCATGTGCCCCAAATCAACTCGAGATGAGGCCCGATTCCCCTGCATTGACTCCAGAGCCATTCCCCGTTCCCCATTCAACACGACCGGTGGCTCGACTTCCTTCAGGCAACTCCAGAGATGCCCCGAGAACACTGTCCCAAGTCTAGAGGAACACCAACTTCAGCACAGCAACTCGAGGAATGCTCCGTGTACCCCAAATCGTCTCGAGATGCGAGCTGATTCCCTGGCTTAGGCTCAAGACGTATGCCAACTTCCCAGAAGCACCTCAGGAGGAGGCTTCTCTCAGCAATAGGTATGTGGGAGGGACCCCGAGTTTGCTGCCTCAAGGGGAATATACAGCGAGAAGCCCTGACTTGAAAGGAGGCCGGATTTCCTTGCAGTGGCTTGAATACAGGCTCGTCTTTCATCTCACAACATGAAGGGATGTCTGAATCCCCTGTGGAGACCTTAGAGAAAGCCCTAGGTCCCTGCCTCATTTTGACGGAATGCCTCACATCCCGCTGACACCTCGAGAGGCACGCGGAGTTCATTGCTTCAAAAGGTGACGATGCCTGACTCCTCTTGAATACTGATAGGAATCCCAAAATCCCTGTGGCTACTGGAAAGGGTCCTTGGGTGCCCTGCCTCACCTCGAGAAGCGTCCCTTTTGCCCTGCCAAGCCTCGAAGAGATTCCTGAGGTGTCCCTCGTTACTAGACAGGAGTCCTGACGTCACTGAAGAAACTCGTGTTTTGAAGGGTCATCCCCGCCGTAAGTCGAGAACATACCCCAGGTCCCCGCCGCAACTCGAGAAAAACCATGAGACTTCCCCCTAGAGGCGAGATGAGGCCCCATTCCCCTGCAGTGCATGCAGAGCTATTCCGTGATCCCATTCAAACAAGGCAGGAGCTTCGACTTGCTTAATGGATCTCGAGACAGTCCCCAAGAACACTGTCACCAGTCTAGACGGACCCTGAGGTCACCCCAGCAACGCAAAGCAGCTCCATGTGCCCCAAATCAACTCGAGATGAGGCCCGATTCCCCTGCATTGACTCCAGAGCCATTCCCCGTTCCCCATTCAACACGACCGGTGGCTCGACTTCCTTCAGGCAACTCCAGAGATGCCCCGAGAACACTGTCCCAAGTCTAGAGGAACACCAACTTCAGCACAGCAACTCGAGGAATGCTCCGTGTACCCCAAATCGTCTCGAGATGCGAGCTGATTCCCTGGCTTAGGCTCAAGACGTATGCCAACTTCCCAGAAGCACCTCAGGAGGAGGCTTCTCTCAGCAATAGGTATGTGGGAGGGACCCCGAGTTTGCTGCCTCAAGGGGAATATACAGCGAGAAGCCCTAACTTGAAAGGAGGCCGGATTTCCTTGCAGTGGCTTGAATACAGGCTCGTCTTTCATCTCACAACATGAAGGGATGTCTGAATCCCCTGTGGAGACCTTAGAGTAAGCCCTAGGTCCCTGCCTCATTTTGACGGAATGCCTCACGTCCCGCTGACACCTCGAGAGGCACGCGGAGTTCATTGCTTCAAAAGGTGACGATGCCTGACTCCTCTTGAATACTGATAGGGATCCCAAAATCCCTGTGGCTACTGGAAAGGGTCCTTGGGTGCCCTGCCTCACCTCGAGAAGCGTCCCTTTTGCCCTGCCAAGCCTCGAAGAGATTCCTGAGGTGTCCCTCGTTACTAGACAGGAGTCCTGACGTCACTGAAGAAACTCGTGTTTTGAAGGGTCATCCCCGCCGTAAGTCGAGAACATACCCCAGGTCCCCGCCGCAACTCGAGAAAAACCATGAGACTTTCCCCTAGAGGCGAGATGAGGCCCCATTCCCCTGCAGTGCATGCAGAGCTATTCCGTGATCCCATTCAAACAAGGCAGGAGCTTCGACTTGCTTAATGGATCTCGAGACAGTCCCCAAGAACACTGTCACCAGTCTAGACGGACCCTGAGGTCACCCCAGCAACGCAAAGCAGATCCATGTGCCCCAAATCAACTCGAGATGAGGCCCGATTCCCCTGCATTGATTCCAGAGCCATTCCCCGTTCCCCATTCAACACGACCGGTGGCTCGACTTCCTTCAGGCAACTCCAGAGATGCCCCGAGAACACTGTCCCAAGTCTAGAGGAACACCAACTTCAGCACAGCAACTCGAGGAATGCTCCGTGTACCCCAAATCGTCTCGAGATGCGAGCTGATTCCCTGGCTTAGGCTCAAGACGTATGCCAACTTCCCAGAAGCACCTCAGGAGGAGGCTTCTCTCAGCAATAGGTATGTGGGAGGGACCCCGAGTTTGCTGCCTCAAGGGGAATATACAGCGAGAAGCCCGGACTTGAAAGGAGGCCGGATTTCCTTGCAGTGGCTTGAATACAGGCTCGTCTTTCATCTCACAACATGAAGGGATGTCTGAATCCCCTGTGGAGACCTTAGAGAAAGCCCTAGGTCCCTGCCTCATTTTGACGGAATGCCTCACATCCCGCTGACACCTCGAGAGGCACGCGGAGTTCATTGCTTCAAAAGGTGACGATGCCTGTCTCCTCTTGAATACTGATAGGAATCCCAAAATCCCTGTGGCTACTGGAAAGGGTCCTTGGGTGCCCTGCCTCACCTCGAGAAGCGTCCCTTTGGCCCTGCCAAGCCTCGAAGAGATTCCTGAGGTGTCCCTCGTTACTAGACAGGAGTCCTGACGTCACTGAAGAAACTCGTGTTTTGAAGGGCCATCCCCGCCGTAAGTCGAGAACATACCCCAGGTCCCCGCCGCAACTCGAGAAAAACCATGAGACTTCCCCCTAGAGGCGAGATGAGGCCCCATTCCCCTGCAGTGCATGCAGAGCTATTCCGTGATCCCATTCAAACAAGTCAGGAGCTTCGACTTGCTTAATGGATCTCGAGACAGTCCCCAAGAACACTGTCACCAGTCTAGACGGACCCTGAAGTCACCCCAGCAACGCAAAGCAGCTCCATGTGCCCCAAATCAACTCGAGATGAGGCCCGATTCCCCTGCATTGACTCCAGAGCCATTCCCCGTTCCCCATTCAACACGACCGGTGGCTCGACTTCCTTCAGGCAACTCCAGAGATGCCCCGAGAACACTGTCCCAAGTCTAGAGGAACACCAACTTCAGCACAGCAACTCGAGGAATGCTCCGTGTACCCCAAATCGTCTCGAGATGCGAGCTGATTCCCTGGCTTAGGCTCAAGACGTATGCCAACTTCCCAGAAGCACCTCAGGAGGAGGCTTCTCTCAGCAATAGGTATGTGGGAGGGACCCCGAGTTTGCTGCCTCAAGGGGAATATACAGCGAGAAGCCCTGACTTGAAAGGAGGCCGGATTTCCTTGCAGTGGCTTGAATACAGGCTCGTCTTTCATCTCACAACATGAAGGGATGTCTGAATCCCCTGTGGAGACCTTAGAGAAAGCCCTAGGTCCCTGCCTCATTTTGACGGAATGCCTCACATCCCGCTGACACCTCGAGAGGCACGCGGAGTTCATTGCTTCAAAAGGTGACGATGCCTGACTCCTCTTGAATACTGATAGGAATCCCAAAATCCCTGTGGCTACTGGAAAGGGTCCTTGGGTGCCCTGCCTCACCTCGAGAAGCGTCCCTTTGGCCCTGCCAAGCCTCGAAGAGATTCCTGAGGTGTCCCTCGTTACTAGACAGGAGTCCTGACGTCACTGAAGAAACTCGTGTTTTGAAGGGCCATCCCCGCCGTAAGTCGAGAACATACCCCAGGTCCCCGCCGCAACTCGAGAAAAACCATGAGACTTCCCCCTAGAGGCGAGATGAGGCCCCATTCCCCTGCAGTGCATGCAGAGCTATTCCGTGATCCCATTCAAACAAGGCAGGAGCTTCGACTTGCTTAATGGATCTCGAGACAGTCCCCAAGAACACTGTCACCAGTCTAGACGGACCCTGAGGTCACCCCAGCAACGCAAAGCAGCTCCATGTGCCCCAAATCAACTCGAGATGAGGCCCGATTCCCCTGCATTGACTCCAGAGCCATTCCCCGTTCCCCATTCAACACGACCGGTGGCTCGACTTCCTTCAGGCAACTCCAGAGATGCCCCGAGAACACTGTCCCAAGTCTAGAGGAACACCAACTTCAGCACAGCAACTCGAGGAATGCTCCGTGTACCACAAATCGTCTCGAGATGCGAGCTGATTCCCTGGCTTAGGCTCAAGACGTATGCCAACTTCCCAGAAGCACCTCAGGAGGAGGCTTCTCTCAGCAATAGGTATGTGGGAGGGACCCCGAGTTTGCTGCCTCAAGGGGAATATACAGCGAGAAGCCCTGACTTGAAAGGAGGCCGGATTTCCTTGCAGTGGCTTGAATACAGGCTCGTCTTTCATCTCACAACATGAAGGGATGTCTGAATCCCCTGTGGAGACCTTAGAGAAAGCCCTAGGTCCCTGCCTCATTTTGACGGAATGCCTCACATCCCGCTGACACCTCGAGAGGCACGCTGAGTTCATTGCTTCAAAAGGGGACGATGCCTGACTCCTCTTGAATACTGATAGGAATACCAAAATCCCTGTGGCTACTGGAAAGGGTCCTTGGGTGCCCTGCCTCACCTCGAGAAGCGTCCCTTTTGCCCTGCCAAGCCTCGAAGAGATTCCTGAGGTGTCCCTCGTTACTAGACAGGAGTCCTGACGTCACTGAAGAAACTCGTGTTTTGAAGGGTCATCCCCGCCGTAAGTCGAGAACATACCCCAGGTCCCCGCCGCAACTCGAGAAAAACCATGAGACTTCCCCCTAGAGGCGAGATGAGGCCCCATTCCCCTGCAGTGCATGCAGAGCTATTCCGTGATCCCATTCAAACAAGGCAGGAGCTTCGACTTGCTTAATGGATCTCGAGACAGTCCCCAAGAACACTGTCACCAGTCTAGACGGACCCTGAGGTCACCACAGCAACGCAAAGCAGCTCCATGTGCCCCAAATCAACTCGAGATGAGGCCCGATTCCCCTGCATTGACTCCAGAGCCATTCCCCGTTCCCCATTCAACACGACCGGTGGCTCGACTTCCTTCAGGCAACTCCAGAGATGCCCCGAGAACACTGTCCCAAGTCTAGAGGAACACCAACTTCAGCACAGCAACTCGAGGAATGCTCCGTGTACCCCAAATCGTCTCGAGATGCGAGCTGATTCCCTGGCTTAGGCTCAAGACGTATGCCAACTTCCCAGAAGCACCTCAGGAGGAGGCTTCTCTCAGCAATAGGTATGTGGGAGGGACCCCGAGTTTGCTGCCTCAAGGGGAATATACAGCGAGAAGCCCTGACTTGAAAGGAGGCCAGATTTCCTTGCAGTGGCTTGAATACAGGCTCGTCTTTCATCTCACAACATGAAGGGATGTCTGAATCCCCTGTGGAGACCTTAGAGAAAGCCCTAGGTCCCTGCCTCATTTTGACAGAATGCCTCACATCCCGCTGACACCTCGAGAGGCACGCGGAGTTCATTGCTTCAAAAGGTGACGATGCCTGACTCCTCTTGAATACTGATAGGAATCCCAAAATCCCTGTGGCTACTGGAAAGGGTCCTTGGGTGCCCTGCCTCACCTCGAGAAGCGTCCCTTTTGCCCTGCCAAGCCTCGAAGAGATTCCTGAGGTGTCCCTCGTTACTAGACAGGAGTCCTGACGTCACTGAAGAAACTCGTGTTTTGAAGGGTCATCCCCGCCGTAAGTCGAGAACATACCCCAGGTCCCCGCCGCAACTCGAGAAAAACCATGAGACTTCCCCCTAGAGGCGAGATGAGGCCCCATTCCCCTGCAGTGCATGCAGAGCTATTCCGTGATCCCATTCAAACAAGGCAGGAGCTTCGACTTGCTTAATGGATCTCGAGACAGTCCCCAAGAACACTGTCACCAGTCTAGACGGACCCTGAGGTCACCCCAGCAACGCAAAGCAGCTCCATGTGCCCCAAATCAACTCGAGATGAGGCCCGATTCCCCTGCATTGACTCCAGAGCCATTCCACGTTCCCCATTCAACACGAACGGTGGCTCGACTTCCTTCAGGCAACTCCAGAGATGCCCCGAGAACACTGTCCCAAGTCTAGAGGAACACCAACTTCAGCACAGCAACTCGAGGAATGCTCCGTGTACCCCAAATCGTCTCGAGATGCGAGCTGATTCCCTGGCTTAGGCTCAAGACGTATGCCAACTTCCCAGAAGCACCTCAGGAGGAGGCTTCTCTCAGCAATAGGTATGTGGGAGGGACCCCGAGTTTGCTGCCTCAAGGGGAATATACAGCGAGAAGCCCTAACTTGAAAGGAGGCCGGATTTCCTTGCAGTGGCTTGAATACAGGCTCGTCTTTCATCTCACAACATGAAGGGATGTCTGAATCCCCTGTGGAGACCTTAGAGAAAGCCCTAGGTCCCTGCCTCATTTTGACGGAATGCCTCACATCCCGCTGACACCTCGAGAGGCACGCGGAGTTCATTGCTTCAAAAGGTGACGATGCCTGACTCCTCTTGAATACTGATAGGAATCCCAAAATCCCTGTGGCTACTGGAAAGGGTCCTTGGGTGCCCTGCCTCACCTCGAGAAGCGTCCCTTTGGCCCTGCCAAGCCTCGAAGAGATTCCTGAGGTGTCCCTCGTTACTAGACAGGAGTCCTGACGTCACTGAAGAAACTCGTGTTTTGAAGGGTCATCCCCGCCGTAAGTCGAGAACATACCCCAGGTCCCCGCCGCAACTCGAGAAAAACCATGAGACTTTCCCCTAGAGGCGAGATGAGGCCCCATTCCCCTGCAGTGCATGCAGAGCTATTCCGTGATCCCATTCAAACAAGGCAGGAGCTTCGACTTGCTTAATGGATCTCGAGACAGTCCCCAAGAACACTGTCACCAGTCTAGACGGACCCTGAGGTCACCCCAGCAACGCAAAGCAGATCCATGTGCCCCAAATCAACTCGAGATGAGGCCCGATTCCCCTGCATTGATTCCAGAGCCATTCCCCGTTCCCCATTCAACACGACCGGTGGCTCGACTTCCTTCAGGCAACTCCAGAGATGCCCCGAGAACACTGTCCCAAGTCTAGAGGAACACCAACTTCAGCACAGCAACTCGAGGAATGCTCCGTGTACCCCAAATCGTCTCGAGATGCGAGCTGATTCCCTGGCTTAGGCTCAAGACGTATGCCAACTTCCCAGAAGCACCTCAGGAGGAGGCTTCTCTCAGCAATAGGTATGTGGGAGGGACCCCGAGTTTGCTGCCTCAAGGGGAATATACAGCGAGAAGCCCGGACTTGAAAGGAGGCCGGATTTCCTTGCAGTGGCTTGAATACAGGCTCGTCTTTCATCTCACAACATGAAGGGATGTCTGAATCCCCTGTGGAGACCTTAGAGAAAGCCCTAGGTCCCTGCCTCATTTTGACGGAATGCCTCACATCCCGCTGACACCTCGAGAGGCACGCGGAGTTCATTGCTTCAAAAGGTGACGATGCCTGTCTCCTCTTGAATACTGATAGGAATCCCAAAATCCCTGTGGCTACTGGAAAGGGTCCTTGGGTGCCCTGCCTCACCTCGAGAAGCGTCCCTTTGGCCCTGCCAAGCCTCGAAGAGATTCCTGAGGTGTCCCTCGTTACTAGACAGGAGTCCTGACGTCACTGAAGAAACTCGTGTTTTGAAGGGCCATCCCCGCCGTAAGTCGAGAACATACCCCAGGTCCCCGCCGCAACTCGAGAAAAACCATGAGACTTCCCCCTAGAGGCGAGATGAGGCCCCATTCCCCTGCAGTGCATGCAGAGCTATTCCGTGATCCCATTCAAACAAGTCAGGAGCTTCGACTTGCTTAATGGATCTCGAGACAGTCCCCAAGAACACTGTCACCAGTCTAGACGGACCCTGAAGTCACCCCAGCAACGCAAAGCAGCTCCATGTGCCCCAAATCAACTCGAGATGAGGCCCGATTCCCCTGCATTGACTCCAGAGCCATTCCCCGTTCCCCATTCAACACGACCGGTGGCTCGACTTCCTTCAGGCAACTCCAGAGATGCCCCGAGAACACTGTCCCAAGTCTAGAGGAACACCAACTTCAGCACAGCAACTCGAGGAATGCTCCGTGTACCCCAAATCGTCTCGAGATGCGAGCTGATTCCCTGGCTTAGGCTCAAGACGTATGCCAACTTCCCAGAAGCACCTCAGGAGGAGGCTTCTCTCAGCAATAGGTATGTGGGAGGGACCCCGAGTTTGCTGCCTCAAGGGGAATATACAGCGAGAAGCCCTGACTTGAAAGGAGGCCGGATTTCCTTGCAGTGGCTTGAATACAGGCTCGTCTTTCATCTCACAACATGAAGGGATGTCTGAATCCCCTGTGGAGACCTTAGAGAAAGCCCTAGGTCCCTGCCTCATTTTGACGGAATGCCTCACATCCCGCTGACACCTCGAGAGGCACGCGGAGTTCATTGCTTCAAAAGGTGACGATGCCTGACTCCTCTTGAATACTGATAGGAATCCCAAAATCCCTGTGGCTACTGGAAAGGGTCCTTGGGTGCCCTGCCTCACCTCGAGAAGCGTCCCTTTGGCCCTGCCAAGCCTCGAAGAGATTCCTGAGGTGTCCCTCGTTACTAGACAGGAGTCCTGACGTCACTGAAGAAACTCGTGTTTTGAAGGGCCATCCCCGCCGTAAGTCGAGAACATACCCCAGGTCCCCGCCGCAACTCGAGAAAAACCATGAGACTTCCCCCTAGAGGCGAGATGAGGCCCCATTCCCCTGCAGTGCATGCAGAGCTATTCCGTGATCCCATTCAAACAAGGCAGGAGCTTCGACTTGCTTAATGGATCTCGAGACAGTCCCCAAGAACACTGTCACCAGTCTAGACGGACCCTGAGGTCACCCCAGCAACGCAAAGCAGCTCCATGTGCCCCAAATCAACTCGAGATGAGGCCCGATTCCCCTGCATTGACTCCAGAGCCATTCCCCGTTCCCCATTCAACACGACCGGTGGCTCGACTTCCTTCAGGCAACTCCAGAGATGCCCCGAGAACACTGTCCCAAGTCTAGAGGAACACCAACTTCAGCACAGCAACTCGAGGAATGCTCCGTGTACCACAAATCGTCTCGAGATGCGAGCTGATTCCCTGGCTTAGGCTCAAGACGTATGCCAACTTCCCAGAAGCACCTCAGGAGGAGGCTTCTCTCAGCAATAGGTATGTGGGAGGGACCCCGAGTTTGCTGCCTCAAGGGGAATATACAGCGAGAAGCCCTGACTTGAAAGGAGGCCGGATTTCCTTGCAGTGGCTTGAATACAGGCTCGTCTTTCATCTCACAACATGAAGGGATGTCTGAATCCCCTGTGGAGACCTTAGAGAAAGCCCTAGGTCCCTGCCTCATTTTGACGGAATGCCTCACATCCCGCTGACACCTCGAGAGGCACGCTGAGTTCATTGCTTCAAAAGGGGACGATGCCTGACTCCTCTTGAATACTGATAGGAATACCAAAATCCCTGTGGCTACTGGAAAGGGTCCTTGGGTGCCCTGCCTCACCTCGAGAAGCGTCCCTTTTGCCCTGCCAAGCCTCGAAGAGATTCCTGAGGTGTCCCTCGTTACTAGACAGGAGTCCTGACGTCACTGAAGAAACTCGTGTTTTGAAGGGTCATCCCCGCCGTAAGTCGAGAACATACCCCAGGTCCCCGCCGCAACTCGAGAAAAACCATGAGACTTCCCCCTAGAGGCGAGATGAGGCCCCATTCCCCTGCAGTGCATGCAGAGCTATTCCGTGATCCCATTCAAACAAGGCAGGAGCTTCGACTTGCTTAATGGATCTCGAGACAGTCCCCAAGAACACTGTCACCAGTCTAGACGGACCCTGAGGTCACCCCAGCAACGCAAAGCAGCTCCATGTGCCCCAAATCAACTCGAGATGAGGCCCGATTCCCCTGCATTGACTCCAGAGCCATTCCCCGTTCCCCATTCAACACGACCGGTGGCTCGACTTCCTTCAGGCAACTCCAGAGATGCCCCGAGAACACTGTCCCAAGTCTAGAGGAACACCAACTTCAGCACAGCAACTCGAGGAATGCTCCGTGTACCCCAAATCGTCTCGAGATGCGAGCTGATTCCCTGGCTTAGGCTCAAGACGTATGCCAACTTCCCAGAAGCACCTCAGGAGGAGGCTTCTCTCAGCAATAGGTATGTGGGAGGGACCCCGAGTTTGCTGCCTCAAGGGGAATATACAGCGAGAAGCCCTGACTTGAAAGGAGGCCAGATTTCCTTGCAGTGGCTTGAATACAGGCTCGTCTTTCATCTCACAACATGAAGGGATGTCTGAATCCCCTGTGGAGACCTTAGAGAAAGCCCTAGGTCCCTGCCTCATTTTGACAGAATGCCTCACATCCCGCTGACACCTCGAGAGGCACGCGGAGTTCATTGCTTCAAAAGGTGACGATGCCTGACTCCTCTTGAATACTGATAGGAATCCCAAAATCCCTGTGGCTACTGGAAAGGGTCCTTGGGTGCCCTGCCTCACCTCGAGAAGCGTCCCTTTTGCCCTGCCAAGCCTCGAAGAGATTCCTGAGGTGTCCCTCGTTACTAGACAGGAGTCCTGACGTCACTGAAGAAACTCGTGTTTTGAAGGGTCATCCCCGCCGTAAGTCGAGAACATACCCCAGGTCCCCGCCGCAACTCGAGAAAAACCATGAGACTTCCCCCTAGAGGCGAGATGAGGCCCCATTCCCCTGCAGTGCATGCAGAGCTATTCCGTGATCCCATTCAAACAAGGCAGGAGCTTCGACTTGCTTAATGGATCTCGAGACAGTCCCCAAGAACACTGTCACCAGTCTAGACGGACCCTGAGGTCACCCCAGCAACGCAAAGCAGCTCCATGTGCCCCAAATCAACTCGAGATGAGGCCCGATTCCCCTGCATTGACTCCAGAGCCATTCCACGTTCCCCATTCAACACGAACGGTGGCTCGACTTCCTTCAGGCAACTCCAGAGATGCCCCGAGAACACTGTCCCAAGTCTAGAGGAACACCAACTTCAGCACAGCAACTCGAGGAATGCTCCGTGTACCCCAAATCGTCTCGAGATGCGAGCTGATTCCCTGGCTTAGGCTCAAGACGTATGCCAACTTCCCAGAAGCACCTCAGGAGGAGGCTTCTCTCAGCAATAGGTATGTGGGAGGGACCCCGAGTTTGCTGCCTCAAGGGGAATATACAGCGAGAAGCCCTAACTTGAAAGGAGGCCGGATTTCCTTGCAGTGGCTTGAATACAGGCTCGTCTTTCATCTCACAACATGAAGGGATGTCTGAATCCCCTGTGGAGACCTTAGAGAAAGCCCTAGGTCCCTGCCTCATTTTGACGGAATGCCTCACATCCCGCTGACACCTCGAGAGGCACGCGGAGTTCATTGCTTCAAAAGGTGACGATGCCTGACTCCTCTTGAATACTGATAGGAATCCCAAAATCCCTGTGGCTACTGGAAAGGGTCCTTGGGTGCCCTGCCTCACCTCGAGAAGCGTCCCTTTGGCCCTGCCAAGCCTCGAAGAGATTCCTGAGGTGTCCCTCGTTACTAGACAGGAGTCCTGACGTCACTGAAGAAACTCGTGTTTTGAAGGGTCATCCCCGCCGTAAGTCGAGAACATACCCCAGGTCCCCGCCGCAACTCGAGAAAAACCATGAGACTTTCCCCTAGAGGCGAGATGAGGCCCCATTCCCCTGCAGTGCATGCAGAGCTATTCCGTGATCCCATTCAAACAAGGCAGGAGCTTCGACTTGCTTAATGGATCTCGAGACAGTCCCCAAGAACACTGTCACCAGTCTAGACGGACCCTGAGGTCACCCCAGCAACGCAAAGCAGATCCATGTGCCCCAAATCAACTCGAGATGAGGCCCGATTCCCCTGCATTGATTCCAGAGCCATTCCCCGTTCCCCATTCAACACGACCGGTGGCTCGACTTCCTTCAGGCAACTCCAGAGATGCCCCGAGAACACTGTCCCAAGTCTAGAGGAACACCAACTTCAGCACAGCAACTCGAGGAATGCTCCGTGTACCCCAAATCGTCTCGAGATGCGAGCTGATTCCCTGGCTTAGGCTCAAGACGTATGCCAACTTCCCAGAAGCACCTCAGGAGGAGGCTTCTCTCAGCAATAGGTATGTGGGAGGGACCCCGAGTTTGCTGCCTCAAGGGGAATATACAGCGAGAAGCCCGGACTTGAAAGGAGGCCGGATTTCCTTGCAGTGGCTTGAATACAGGCTCGTCTTTCATCTCACAACATGAAGGGATGTCTGAATCCCCTGTGGAGACCTTAGAGAAAGCCCTAGGTCCCTGCCTCATTTTGACGGAATGCCTCACATCCCGCTGACACCTCGAGAGGCACGCGGAGTTCATTGCTTCAAAAGGTGACGATGCCTGTCTCCTCTTGAATACTGATAGGAATCCCAAAATCCCTGTGGCTACTGGAAAGGGTCCTTGGGTGCCCTGCCTCACCTCGAGAAGCGTCCCTTTGGCCCTGCCAAGCCTCGAAGAGATTCCTGAGGTGTCCCTCGTTACTAGACAGGAGTCCTGACGTCACTGAAGAAACTCGTGTTTTGAAGGGCCATCCCCGCCGTAAGTCGAGAACATACCCCAGGTCCCCGCCGCAACTCGAGAAAAACCATGAGACTTCCCCCTAGAGGCGAGATGAGGCCCCATTCCCCTGCAGTGCATGCAGAGCTATTCCGTGATCCCATTCAAACAAGTCAGGAGCTTCGACTTGCTTAATGGATCTCGAGACAGTCCCCAAGAACACTGTCACCAGTCTAGACGGACCCTGAAGTCACCCCAGCAACGCAAAGCAGCTCCATGTGCCCCAAATCAACTCGAGATGAGGCCCGATTCCCCTGCATTGACTCCAGAGCCATTCCCCGTTCCCCATTCAACACGACCGGTGGCTCGACTTCCTTCAGGCAACTCCAGAGATGCCCCGAGAACACTGTCCCAAGTCTAGAGGAACACCAACTTCAGCACAGCAACTCGAGGAATGCTCCGTGTACCCCAAATCGTCTCGAGATGCGAGCTGATTCCCTGGCTTAGGCTCAAGACGTATGCCAACTTCCCAGAAGCACCTCAGGAGGAGGCTTCTCTCAGCAATAGGTATGTGGGAGGGACCCCGAGTTTGCTGCCTCAAGGGGAATATACAGCGAGAAGCCCTGACTTGAAAGGAGGCCGGATTTCCTTGCAGTGGCTTGAATACAGGCTCGTCTTTCATCTCACAACATGAAGGGATGTCTGAATCCCCTGTGGAGACCTTAGAGAAAGCCCTAGGTCCCTGCCTCATTTTGACGGAATGCCTCACATCCCGCTGACACCTCGAGAGGCACGCGGAGTTCATTGCTTCAAAAGGTGACGATGCCTGACTCCTCTTGAATACTGATAGGAATCCCAAAATCCCTGTGGCTACTGGAAAGGGTCCTTGGGTGCCCTGCCTCACCTCGAGAAGCGTCCCTTTGGCCCTGCCAAGCCTCGAAGAGATTCCTGAGGTGTCCCTCGTTACTAGACAGGAGTCCTGACGTCACTGAAGAAACTCGTGTTTTGAAGGGCCATCCCCGCCGTAAGTCGAGAACATACCCCAGGTCCCCGCCGCAACTCGAGAAAAACCATGAGACTTCCCCCTAGAGGCGAGATGAGGCCCCATTCCCCTGCAGTGCATGCAGAGCTATTCCGTGATCCCATTCAAACAAGGCAGGAGCTTCGACTTGCTTAATGGATCTCGAGACAGTCCCCAAGAACACTGTCACCAGTCTAGACGGACCCTGAGGTCACCCCAGCAACGCAAAGCAGCTCCATGTGCCCCAAATCAACTCGAGATGAGGCCCGATTCCCCTGCATTGACTCCAGAGCCATTCCCCGTTCCCCATTCAACACGACCGGTGGCTCGACTTCCTTCAGGCAACTCCAGAGATGCCCCGAGAACACTGTCCCAAGTCTAGAGGAACACCAACTTCAGCACAGCAACTCGAGGAATGCTCCGTGTACCCCAAATCGTCTCGAGATGCGAGCTGATTCCCTGGCTTAGGCTCAAGACGTATGCCAACTTCCCAGAAGCACCTCAGGAGGAGGCTTCTCTCAGCAATAGGTATGTGGGAGGGACCCCGAGTTTGCTGCCTCAAGGGGAATATACAGCGAGAAGCCCTGACTTGAAAGGAGGCCAGATTTCCTTGCAGTGGCTTGAATACAGGCTCGTCTTTCATCTCACAACATGAAGGGATGTCTGAATCCCCTGTGGAGACCTTAGAGAAAGCCCTAGGTCCCTGCCTCATTTTGACAGAATGCCTCACATCCCGCTGACACCTCGAGAGGCACGCGGAGTTCATTGCTTCAAAAGGTGACGATGCCTGACTCCTCTTGAATACTGATAGGAATCCCAAAATCCCTGTGGCTACTGGAAAGGGTCCTTGGGTGCCCTGCCTCACCTCGAGAAGCGTCCCTTTTGCCCTGCCAAGCCTCGAAGAGATTCCTGAGGTGTCCCTCGTTACTAGACAGGAGTCCTGACGTCACTGAAGAAACTCGTGTTTTGAAGGGTCATCCCCGCCGTAAGTCGAGAACATACCCCAGGTCCCCGCCGCAACTCGAGAAAAACCATGAGACTTCCCCCTAGAGGCGAGATGAGGCCCCATTCCCCTGCAGTGCATGCAGAGCTATTCCGTGATCCCATTCAAACAAGGCAGGAGCTTCGACTTGCTTAATGGATCTCGAGACAGTCCCCAAGAACACTGTCACCAGTCTAGACGGACCCTGAGGTCACCCCAGCAACGCAAAGCAGCTCCATGTGCCCCAAATCAACTCGAGATGAGGCCCGATTCCCCTGCATTGACTCCAGAGCCATTCCACGTTCCCCATTCAACACGAACGGTGGCTCGACTTCCTTCAGGCAACTCCAGAGATGCCCCGAGAACACTGTCCCAAGTCTAGAGGAACACCAACTTCAGCACAGCAACTCGAGGAATGCTCCGTGTACCCCAAATCGTCTCGAGATGCGAGCTGATTCCCTGGCTTAGGCTCAAGACGTATGCCAACTTCCCAGAAGCACCTCAGGAGGAGGCTTCTCTCAGCAATAGGTATGTGGGAGGGACCCCGAGTTTGCTGCCTCAAGGGGAATATACAGCGAGAAGCCCTAACTTGAAAGGAGGCCGGATTTCCTTGCAGTGGCTTGAATACAGGCTCGTCTTTCATCTCACAACATGAAGGGATGTCTGAATCCCCTGTGGAGACCTTAGAGAAAGCCCTAGGTCCCTGCCTCATTTTGACGGAATGCCTCACATCCCGCTGACACCTCGAGAGGCACGCGGAGTTCATTGCTTCAAAAGGTGACGATGCCTGACTCCTCTTGAATACTGATAGGAATCCCAAAATCCCTGTGGCTACTGGAAAGGGTCCTTGGGTGCCCTGCCTCACCTCGAGAAGCGTCCCTTTGGCCCTGCCAAGCCTCGAAGAGATTCCTGAGGTGTCCCTCGTTACTAGACAGGAGTCCTGACGTCACTGAAGAAACTCGTGTTTTGAAGGGTCATCCCCGCCGTAAGTCGAGAACATACCCCAGGTCCCCGCCGCAACTCGAGAAAAACCATGAGACTTTCCCCTAGAGGCGAGATGAGGCCCCATTCCCCTGCAGTGCATGCAGAGCTATTCCGTGATCCCATTCAAACAAGGCAGGAGCTTCGACTTGCTTAATGGATCTCGAGACAGTCCCCAAGAACACTGTCACCAGTCTAGACGGACCCTGAGGTCACCCCAGCAACGCAAAGCAGATCCATGTGCCCCAAATCAACTCGAGATGAGGCCCGATTCCCCTGCATTGATTCCAGAGCCATTCCCCGTTCCCCATTCAACACGACCGGTGGCTCGACTTCCTTCAGGCAACTCCAGAGATGCCCCGAGAACACTGTCCCAAGTCTAGAGGAACACCAACTTCAGCACAGCAACTCGAGGAATGCTCCGTGTACCCCAAATCGTCTCGAGATGCGAGCTGATTCCCTGGCTTAGGCTCAAGACGTATGCCAACTTCCCAGAAGCACCTCAGGAGGAGGCTTCTCTCAGCAATAGGTATGTGGGAGGGACCCCGAGTTTGCTGCCTCAAGGGGAATATACAGCGAGAAGCCCGGACTTGAAAGGAGGCCGGATTTCCTTGCAGTGGCTTGAATACAGGCTCGTCTTTCATCTCACAACATGAAGGGATGTCTGAATCCCCTGTGGAGACCTTAGAGAAAGCCCTAGGTCCCTGCCTCATTTTGACGGAATGCCTCACATCCCGCTGACACCTCGAGAGGCACGCGGAGTTCATTGCTTCAAAAGGTGACGATGCCTGTCTCCTCTTGAATACTGATAGGAATCCCAAAATCCCTGTGGCTACTGGAAAGGGTCCTTGGGTGCCCTGCCTCACCTCGAGAAGCGTCCCTTTGGCCCTGCCAAGCCTCGAAGAGATTCCTGAGGTGTCCCTCGTTACTAGACAGGAGTCCTGACGTCACTGAAGAAACTCGTGTTTTGAAGGGCCATCCCCGCCGTAAGTCGAGAACATACCCCAGGTCCCCGCCGCAACTCGAGAAAAACCATGAGACTTCCCCCTAGAGGCGAGATGAGGCCCCATTCCCCTGCAGTGCATGCAGAGCTATTCCGTGATCCCATTCAAACAAGTCAGGAGCTTCGACTTGCTTAATGGATCTCGAGACAGTCCCCAAGAACACTGTCACCAGTCTAGACGGACCCTGAAGTCACCCCAGCAACGCAAAGCAGCTCCATGTGCCCCAAATCAACTCGAGATGAGGCCCGATTCCCCTGCATTGACTCCAGAGCCATTCCCCGTTCCCCATTCAACACGACCGGTGGCTCGACTTCCTTCAGGCAACTCCAGAGATGCCCCGAGAACACTGTCCCAAGTCTAGAGGAACACCAACTTCAGCACAGCAACTCGAGGAATGCTCCGTGTACCCCAAATCGTCTCGAGATGCGAGCTGATTCCCTGGCTTAGGCTCAAGACGTATGCCAACTTCCCAGAAGCACCTCAGGAGGAGGCTTCTCTCAGCAATAGGTATGTGGGAGGGACCCCGAGTTTGCTGCCTCAAGGGGAATATACAGCGAGAAGCCCTGACTTGAAAGGAGGCCGGATTTCCTTGCAGTGGCTTGAATACAGGCTCGTCTTTCATCTCACAACATGAAGGGATGTCTGAATCCCCTGTGGAGACCTTAGAGAAAGCCCTAGGTCCCTGCCTCATTTTGACGGAATGCCTCACATCCCGCTGACACCTCGAGAGGCACGCGGAGTTCATTGCTTCAAAAGGTGACGATGCCTGACTCCTCTTGAATACTGATAGGAATCCCAAAATCCCTGTGGCTACTGGAAAGGGTCCTTGGGTGCCCTGCCTCACCTCGAGAAGCGTCCCTTTGGCCCTGCCAAGCCTCGAAGAGATTCCTGAGGTGTCCCTCGTTACTAGACAGGAGTCCTGACGTCACTGAAGAAACTCGTGTTTTGAAGGGCCATCCCCGCCGTAAGTCGAGAACATACCCCAGGTCCCCGCCGCAACTCGAGAAAAACCATGAGACTTCCCCCTAGAGGCGAGATGAGGCCCCATTCCCCTGCAGTGCATGCAGAGCTATTCCGTGATCCCATTCAAACAAGGCAGGAGCTTCGACTTGCTTAATGGATCTCGAGACAGTCCCCAAGAACACTGTCACCAGTCTAGACGGACCCTGAGGTCACCCCAGCAACGCAAAGCAGCTCCATGTGCCCCAAATCAACTCGAGATGAGGCCCGATTCCCCTGCATTGACTCCAGAGCCATTCCCCGTTCCCCATTCAACACGACCGGTGGCTCGACTTCCTTCAGGCAACTCCAGAGATGCCCCGAGAACACTGTCCCAAGTCTAGAGGAACACCAACTTCAGCACAGCAACTCGAGGAATGCTCCGTGTACCACAAATCGTCTCGAGATGCGAGCTGATTCCCTGGCTTAGGCTCAAGACGTATGCCAACTTCCCAGAAGCACCTCAGGAGGAGGCTTCTCTCAGCAATAGGTATGTGGGAGGGACCCCGAGTTTGCTGCCTCAAGGGGAATATACAGCGAGAAGCCCTGACTTGAAAGGAGGCCGGATTTCCTTGCAGTGGCTTGAATACAGGCTCGTCTTTCATCTCACAACATGAAGGGATGTCTGAATCCCCTGTGGAGACCTTAGAGAAAGCCCTAGGTCCCTGCCTCATTTTGACGGAATGCCTCACATCCCGCTGACACCTCGAGAGGCACGCTGAGTTCATTGCTTCAAAAGGGGACGATGCCTGACTCCTCTTGAATACTGATAGGAATACCAAAATCCCTGTGGCTACTGGAAAGGGTCCTTGGGTGCCCTGCCTCACCTCGAGAAGCGTCCCTTTTGCCCTGCCAAGCCTCGAAGAGATTCCTGAGGTGTCCCTCGTTACTAGACAGGAGTCCTGACGTCACTGAAGAAACTCGTGTTTTGAAGGGTCATCCCCGCCGTAAGTCGAGAACATACCCCAGGTCCCCGCCGCAACTCGAGAAAAACCATGAGACTTCCCCCTAGAGGCGAGATGAGGCCCCATTCCCCTGCAGTGCATGCAGAGCTATTCCGTGATCCCATTCAAACAAGGCAGGAGCTTCGACTTGCTTAATGGATCTCGAGACAGTCCCCAAGAACACTCTCACCAGTCTAGACGGACCCTGAGGTCACCCCAGCAACGCAAAGCAGCTCCATGTGCCCCAAATCAACTCGAGATGAGGCCCGATTCCCCTGCATTGACTCCAGAGCCATTCCCCGTTCCCCATTCAACACGACCGGTGGCTCGACTTCCTTCAGGCAACTCCAGAGATGCCCCGAGAACACTGTCCCAAGTCTAGAGGAACACCAACTTCAGCACAGCAACTCGAGGAATGCTCCGTGTACCCCAAATCGTCTCGAGATGCGAGCTGATTCCCTGGCTTAGGCTCAAGACGTATGCCAACTTCCCAGAAGCACCTCAGGAGGAGGCTTCTCTCAGCAATAGGTATGTGGGAGGGACCCCGAGTTTGCTGCCTCAAGGGGAATATACAGCGAGAAGCCCTGACTTGAAAGGAGGCCAGATTTCCTTGCAGTGGCTTGAATACAGGCTCGTCTTTCATCTCACAACATGAAGGGATGTCTGAATCCCCTGTGGAGACCTTAGAGAAAGCCCTAGGTCCCTGCCTCATTTTGACAGAATGCCTCACATCCCGCTGACACCTCGAGAGGCACGCGGAGTTCATTGCTTCAAAAGGTGACGATGCCTGACTCCTCTTGAATACTGATAGGAATCCCAAAATCCCTGTGGCTACTGGAAAGGGTCCTTGGGTGCCCTGCCTCACCTCGAGAAGCGTCCCTTTTGCCCTGCCAAGCCTCGAAGAGATTCCTGAGGTGTCCCTCGTTACTAGACAGGAGTCCTGACGTCACTGAAGAAACTCGTGTTTTGAAGGGTCATCCCCGCCGTAAGTCGAGAACATACCCCAGGTCCCCGCCGCAACTCGAGAAAAACCATGAGACTTCCCCCTAGAGGCGAGATGAGGCCCCATTCCCCTGCAGTGCATGCAGAGCTATTCCGTGATCCCATTCAAACAAGGCAGGAGCTTCGACTTGCTTAATGGATCTCGAGACAGTCCCCAAGAACACTGTCACCAGTCTAGACGGACCCTGAGGTCACCCCAGCAACGCAAAGCAGCTCCATGTGCCCCAAATCAACTCGAGATGAGGCCCGATTCCCCTGCATTGACTCCAGAGCCATTCCACGTTCCCCATTCAACACGAACGGTGGCTCGACTTCCTTCAGGCAACTCCAGAGATGCCCCGAGAACACTGTCCCAAGTCTAGAGGAACACCAACTTCAGCACAGCAACTCGAGGAATGCTCCGTGTACCCCAAATCGTCTCGAGATGCGAGCTGATTCCCTGGCTTAGGCTCAAGACGTATGCCAACTTCCCAGAAGCACCTCAGGAGGAGGCTTCTCTCAGCAATAGGTATGTGGGAGGGACCCCGAGTTTGCTGCCTCAAGGGGAATATACAGCGAGAAGCCCTAACTTGAAAGGAGGCCGGATTTCCTTGCAGTGGCTTGAATACAGGCTCGTCTTTCATCTCACAACATGAAGGGATGTCTGAATCCCCTGTGGAGACCTTAGAGAAAGCCCTAGGTCCCTGCCTCATTTTGACGGAATGCCTCACATCCCGCTGACACCTCGAGAGGCACGCGGAGTTCATTGCTTCAAAAGGTGACGATGCCTGACTCCTCTTGAATACTGATAGGAATCCCAAAATCCCTGTGGCTACTGGAAAGGGTCCTTGGGTGCCCTGCCTCACCTCGAGAAGCGTCCCTTTGGCCCTGCCAAGCCTCGAAGAGATTCCTGAGGTGTCCCTCATTACTAGACAGGAGTCCTGACGTCACTGAAGAAACTCGTGTTTTGAAGGGCCATCCCCGCCGTAAGTCGAGAACATACCCCAGGTCCCCGCCGCAACTCGAGAAAAACCATGAGACTTCCCCCTAGAGGCGAGATGAGGCCCCATTCCCCTGCAGTGCATGCAGAGCTATTCCGTGATCCATTCAAACAAGTCAGGAGCTTCGACTTGCTTAATGGATCTCGAGACAGTCCCCAAGAACACTGTCACCAGTCTAGACGGACCCTGAGGTCACCCCAGCAACGCAAAGCAGCTCCATGTGCCCCAAATCAACTCGAGATGAGGCCCGATTCCCCTGCATTGACTCCAGAGCCATTCCCCGTTCCCCATTCAACACGACCGGTGGCTCGACTTCCTTCAGGCAACTCCAGAGATGCCCCGAGAACACTGTCCCAAGTCTAGAGGAACACCAACTTCAGCACAGCAACTCGAGGAATGCTCCGTGTACCCCAAATCGTCTCGAGATGCGAGCTGATTCCCTGGCTTAGGCTCAAGACGTATGCCAACTTCCCAGAAGCACCTCAGGAGGAGGCTTCTCTCAGCAATAGGTATGTGGGAGGGACCCCGAGTTTGCTGCCTCAAGGGGAATATACAGCGAGAATCCCTAACTTGAAAGGAGGCCGGATTTCCTTGCAGTGGCTTGAATACAGGCTCGTCTTTCATCTCACAACATGAAGGGATGTCTGAATCCCCTGTGGAGACCTTAGAGAAAGCCCTAGGTCCCTGCCTCATTTTGACGGAATGCCTCACATCCCGCTGACACCTCGAGAGGCACGCGGAGTTCATTGCTTCAAAAGGTGACGATGCCTGACTCCTCTTGAATACTGATAGGAATCCCAAAATCCCTGTGGCTACTGGAAAGGGTCCTTGGGTGCCCTGCCTCACCTCGAGAAGCGTCCCTTTGGCCCTGCCAAGCCTCGAAGAGATTCCTGAGGTGTCCCTCGTTACTAGACAGGAGTCCTGACGTCACTGAAGAAACTCGTGTTTTGAAGGGCCATCCCCGCCGTAAGTCGAGAACATACCCCAGGTCCCCGCCGCAACTCGAGAAAAACCATGAGACTTCCCCCTAGAGGCGAGATGAGGCCCCATTCCCCTGCAGTGCATGCAGAGCTATTCCGTGATCCCATTCAAACAAGTCAGGAGCTTCGACTTGCTTAATGGATCTCGAGACAGTCCCCAAGAACACTGTCACCAGTCTAGACGGACCCTGAGGTCACCCCAGCAACGCAAAGCAGCTCCATGTGCCCCAAATCAACTCGAGATGAGGCCCGATTCCCCTGCATTGACTCCAGAGCCATTCCCCGTTCCCCATTCAACACGACCGGTGGCTCGACTTCCTTCAGGCAACTCCAGAGATGCCCCGAGAACACTGTCCCAAGTCTAGAGGAACACCAACTTCAGCACAGCAACTCGAGGAATGCTCCGTGTACCCCAAATCGTCTCGAGATGCGAGCTGATTCCCTGGCTTAGGCTCAAGACGTATGCCAACTTCCCAGAAGCACCTCAGGAGGAGGCTTCTCTCAGCAATAGGTATGTGGGAGGGACCCCGAGTTTGCTGCCTCAAGGGGAATATACAGCGAGAAGCCCTAACTTGAAAGGAGGCCGGATTTCCTTGCAGTGGCTTGAATACAGGCTCGTCTTTCATCTCACAACATGAAGGGATGTCTGAATCCCCTGTGGAGACCTTAGAGAAAGCCCTAGGTCCCTCCCTCATTTTGACGGAATGCCTCACATCCCGCTGACACCTCGAGAGGCACGCTGAGTTCATTGCTTCAAAAGGTGACGATGCCTGACTCCTCTTGAATACTGATAGGAATCCCAAAATCCCTGTGGCTACTGGAAAGGGTCCTTGGGTGCCCTGCCTCACCTCGAGAAGCGTCCCTTTGGCCCTGCAAAGCCTCGAAGAGATTCCTGAGGTGTCCCTCGTTACTAGACAGGAGTCCTGACGTCACTGAAGAAACTCGTGTTTTGAAGGGCCATCCCCGCCGTAAGTCGAGAACATACCCCAGGTCCCCGCCGCAACTCGAGGAAAACCATGAGACTTCCCCCTAGAGGCGAGATGAGGCCCCATTCCCCTGCAGTGCATGCAGAGCTATTCCGTGATCCCATTCAAACAAGTCAGGAGCTTCGACTTGCTTAATGGATCTCGAGACAGTCCCCAAGAACACTGTCACCAGTCTAGACGGACCCTGAGGTCACCCCAGCAACGCAAAGCAGCTCCATGTGCCCCAAATCAACTCGAGATGAGGCCCGATTCCCCTGCATTGACTCCAGAGCCATTCCCCGTTCCCCATTCAACACGACCGGTGGCTCGACTTCCTTCAGGCAACTCCAGAGATGCCCCGAGAACACTGTCCCAAGTCTAGAGGAACACCAACTTCAGCACAGCAACTCGAGGAATGCTCCGTGTACCCCAAATCGTCTCGAGATGCGAGCTGATTCCCTGGCTTAGGCTCAAGACGTATGCCAACTTCCCAGAAGCACCTCAGGAGGAGGCTTCTCTCAGCAATAGGTATGTGGGAGGGACCCCGAGTTTGCTGCCTCAAGGGGAATATACAGCGAGAAGCCCTGACTTGAAAGGAGGCCGGATTTCCTTGCAGTGGCTTGAATACAGGCTCGTCTTTCATCTCACAACATGAAGGGATGTCTGAATCCCCTGTGGAGACCTTAGAGAAAGCCCTAGGTCCCTGCCTCATTTTGACGGAATGCCTCACATCCCGCTGACACCTCGAGAGGCACGCGGAGTTCATTGCTTCAAAAGGTGACGATGCCTGTCTCCTCTTGAATACTGATAGGAATCCCAAAATCCCTGTGGCTACTGGAAAGGGTCCTTGGGTGCCCTGCCTCACCTCGAGAAGCGTCCCTTTTGCCCTGCCAAGCCTCGAAGAGATTCCGGAGGTGTCCCTCGTTACTAGACAGGAGTCCTGACGTCACTGAAGAAACTCGTGTTTTGAAGGGCCATCCCCGCCGTAAGTCGAGAACATACCCCAGGTCCCCGCCGCAACTCGAGAAAAACCATGAGACTTCCCCCTAGAGGCGAGATGAGGCCCCATTCCCCTGCAGTGCATGCAGAGCTATTCCGTGATCCCATTCAAACAAGTCAGGAGCTTCGACTTGCTTAATGGATCTGGAGACAGTCCCCAAGAACACTGTCACCAGTCTAGACGGACCCTGAGGTCACCCCAGCAACGCAAAGCAGCTCCATGTGCCCCAAATCAACTCGAGATGAGGCCCGATTCCCCTGCATTGACTCCAGAGCCATTCCCCGTTCCCCATTCAACACGACCGGTGGCTCGACTTCCTTCAGGCAACTCCAGAGATGCCCCGAGAACACTGTCCCAAGTCTAGAGGAACACCAACTTCAGCACAGCAACTCGAGGAATGCTCCGTGTACCCCAAATCGTCTCGAGATGCGAGCTGATTCCCTGGCTTAGGCTCAAGACGTATGCCAACTTCCCAGAAGCACCTCAGGAGGAGGCTTCTCTCAGCAATAGGTATGTGGGAGGGACCCCGAGTTTGCTGCCTCAAGGGGAATATACAGCGAGAAGCCCTGACTTGAAAGGAGGCCGGATTTCCTTGCAGTGGCTTGAATACAGGCTCGTCTTTCATCTCACAACATGAAGGGATGTCTGAATCCCCTGTGGAGACCTTAGAGAAAGCCCTAGGTCCCTGCCTCATTTTGACGGAATGCCTCACATCCCGCTGACACCTCGAGAGGCACGCGGAGTTCATTGCTTCAAAAGGTGACGATGCCTGACTCCTCTTGAATACTGATAGGAATCCCAAAATCCCTGTGGCTACTGGAAAGGGTCCTTGGGTGCCCTGCCTCACCTCGAGAAGCGTCCCTTTGGCCCTGCCAAGCCTCGAAGAGATTCCTGAGGTGTCCGTCGTTACTAGACAGGAGTCCTGACGTCACTGAAGAAACTCGTGTTTTGAAGGGCCATCCCCGCCGTAAGTCGAGAACATACCCCAGGTCCCCGCCGCAACTCGAGAAAAACCATGAGACTTCCCCCTAGAGGCGAGATGAGGCCCCATTCCCCTGCAGTGCATGCAGAGCTATTCCGTGATCCCATTCAAAGAAGGCAGGAGCTTCGACTTCCTTAATGGATCTGGAGACAGTCCCCAAGAACACTGTCACCAGTCTAGACGGACCCTGAGGTCACCCCAGCAACGCAAAGCAGCTCCATGTGCCCCAAATCAACTCGAGATGAGGCCCGATTCCCCTGCATTGACTCCAGAGCCATTCCCCGTTCCCCATTCAACACGACCGGTGGCTCGACTTCCTTCAGGCAACTCCAGAGATGCCCCGAGAACACTGTCCCAAGTCTAGAGGAACACCAACTTCAGCACAGCAACTCGAGGAATGCTCCGTGTACCACAAATCGTCTCGAGATGCGAGCTGATTCCCTGGCTTAGGCTCAAGACGTATGCCAACTTCCCAGAAGCACCTCAGGAGGAGGCTTCTCTCAGCAATAGGTATGTGGGAGGGACCCCGAGTTTGCTGCCTCAAGGGGAATATACAGCGAGAAGCCCTGACTTGAAAGGAGGCCGGATTTCCTTGCAGTGGCTTGAATACAGGCTCGTCTTTCATCTCACAACATGAAGGGATGTCTGAATCCCCTGTGGAGACCTTAGAGAAAGCCCTAGGTCCCTGCCTCATTTTGACGGAATGCCTCACATCCCGCTGACACCTCGAGAGGCACGCGGAGTTCATTGCTTCAAAAGGTGACGATGCCTGACTCCTCTTGAATACTGATAGGAATCCCAAAATCCCTGTGGCTACTGGAAAGGGTCCTTGGGTGCCCTGCCTCACCTCGAGAAGCGTCCCTTTGGCCCTGCCAAGCCTCGAAGAGATTCCTGAGGTGTCCGTCGTTACTAGACAGGAGTCCTGACGTCACTGAAGAAACTCGTGTTTTGAAGGGCCATCCCCGCCGTAAGTCGAGAACATACCCCAGGTCCCCGCCGCAACTCGAGAAAAACCATGAGACTTCCCCCTAGAGGCGAGATGAGGCCCCATTCCCCTGCAGTGCATGCAGAGCTATTCCGTGATCCCATTCAAACAAGGCAGGAGCTTCGACTTGCTTAATGGATCTGGAGACAGTCCCCAAGAACACTGTCACCAGTCTAGACGGACCCTGAGGTCACCCCAGCAACGCAAAGCAGCTCCATGTGCCCCAAATCAACTCGAGATGAGGCCCGATTTCCCTGCATTGACTCCAGAGCCATTCCCCGTTCCCCATTCAACACGACCGGTGGCTCGACTTCCTTCAGGCAACTCCAGAGATGCCCCGAGAACACTGTCCCAAGTCTAGAGGAACACCAACTTCAGCACAGCAACTCGAGGAATGCTCCGTGTACCACAAATCGTCTCGAGATGCGAGCTGATTCCCTGGCTTAGGCTCAAGACGTATGCCAACTTCCCAGAAGCACCTCAGGAGGAGGCTTCTCTCAGCAATAGGTATGTGGGAGGGACCCCGAGTTTGCTGCCTCAAGGGGAATATACAGCGAGAAGCCCTGACTTGAAAGGAGGCCGGATTTCCTTGCAGTGGCTTGAATACAGGCTCGTCTTTCATCTCACAACATGAAGGGATGTCTGAATCCCCTGTGGAGACCTTAGAGAAAGCCCTAGGTCCCTGCCTCATTTTGACGGAATGCCTCACATCCCGCTGACACCTCGAGAGGCACGCGGAGTTCATTGCTTCAAAAGGTGACGATGCCTGACTCCTCTTGAATACTGATAGGAATCCCAAAATCCCTGTGGCTACTGGAAAGGGTCCTTGGGTGCCCTGCCTCACCTCGAGAAGCGTCCCTTTTGCCCTGCCAAGCCTCGAAGAGATTCCTGAGGTGTCCCTCGTTACTAGACAGGAGTCCTGACGTCACTGAAGAAACTCGTGTTTTGAAGGGTCATCCCCGCCGTAAGTCGAGAACATACCCCAGGTCCCCGCCGCAACTCGAGAAAAACCATGAGACTTCCCCCTAGAGGCGAGATGAGGCCCCATTCCCCTGCAGTGCATGCAGAGCTATTCCGTGATCCCATTCAAACAAGGCAGGAGCTTCGACTTGCTTAATGGATCTCGAGACAGTCCCCAAGAACACTGTCACCAGTCTAGACGGACCCTGAGGTCACCCCAGCAACGCAAAGCAGCTCCATGTGCCCCAAATCAACTCGAGATGAGGCCCGATTCCCCTGCATTGACTCCAGAGCCATTCCACGTTCCCCATTCAACACGACCGGTGGCTCGACTTCCTTCAGGCAACTCCAGAGATGCCCCGAGAACACTGTCCCAAGTCTAGAGGAACACCAACTTCAGCACAGCAACTCGAGGAATGCTCCGTGTACCCCAAATCGTCTCGAGATGCGAGCTGATTCCCTGGCTTAGGCTCAAGACGTATGCCAACTTCCCAGAAGCACCTCAGGAGGAGGCTTCTCTCAGCAATAGGTATGTGGGAGGGACCCCGAGTTTGCTGCCTCAAGGGGAATATACAGCGAGAAGCCCTAACTTGAAAGGAGGCCAGATTTCCTTGCAGTGGCTTGAATACAGGCTCGTCTTTCATCTCACAACATGAAGGGATGTCTGAATCCCCTGTGGAGACCTTAGAGAAAGCCCTAGGTCCCTGCCTCATTTTGACGGAATGCCTCACATCCCGCTGACACCTCGAGAGGCACGCGGAGTTCATTGCTTCAAAAGGTGACGATGCCTGACTCCTCTTGAATACTGATAGGAATCCCAAAATCCCTGTGGCTACTGGAAAGGGTCCTTGGGTGCCCTGCCTCACCTCGAGAAGCGTCCCTTTGGCCCTGCCAAGCCTCGAAGAGATTCCTGAGGTGTCCCTCGTTACTAGACAGGAGTCCTGACGTCACTGAAGAAACTCGTGTTTTGAAGGGCCATCCCCGCCGTAAGTCGAGAACATACCCCAGGTCCCCGCCGCAACTCGAGAAAAACCATGAGACTTCCCCCTAGAGGCGAGATGAGGCCCCATTCCCCTGCAGTGCATGCAGAGCTATTCCGTGATCCCATTCAAACAAGTCAGGAGCTTCGACTTGCTTAATGGATCTCGAGACAGTCCCCAAGAACACTGTCACCAGTCTAGACGGACCCTGAGGTCACCCCAGCAACACAAAGCAGCTCCATGTGCCCCAAATCAACTCGAGATGAGGCCCGATTCCCCTGCATTGACTCCAGAGCCATTCCCCGTTCCCCATTCAACACGACCGGTGGCTCGACTTCCTTCAGGCAACTCCAGAGATGCCCCGAGAACACTGTCCCAAGTCTAGAGGAACACCAACTTCAGCACAGCAACTCGAGGAATGCTCCGTGTACCCCAAATCGTCTCGAGATGCGAGCTGATTCCCTGGCTTAGGCTCAAGACGTATGCCAACTTCCCAGAAGCACCTCAGGAGGAGGCTTCTCTCAGCAATAGGTATGTGGGAGGGACCCCGAGTTTGCTGCCTCAAGGGGAATATACAGCGAGAAGCCCTAACTTGAAAGGAGGCCGGATTTCCTTGCAGTGGCTTGAATACAGGCTCGTCTTTCATCTCACAACATGAAGGGATGTCTGAATCCCCTGTGGAGACCTTAGAGAAAGCCCTAGGTCCCTGCCTCATTTTGACGGAATGCCTCACATCCCGCTGACACCTCGAGAGGCACGCGGAGTTCATTGCTTCAAAAGGTGACGATGCCTGACTCCTCTTGAATACTGATAGGAATCCCAAAATCCCTGTGGCTACTGGAAAGGGTCCTTGGGTGCCCTGCCTCACCTCGAGAAGCGTCCCTTTGGCCCTGCCAAGCCTCGAAGAGATTCCTGAGGTGTCCCTCGTTACTAGACAGGAGTCCTGACGTCACTGAAGAAACTCGTGTTTTGAAGGGCCATCCCCGCCGTAAGTCGAGAACATACCCCAGGTCCCCGCCGCAACTCGAGGAAAACCATGAGACTTCCCCCTAGAGGCGAGATGAGGCCCCATTCCCCTGCAGTGCATGCAGAGCTATTCCGTGATCCCATTCAAACAAGTCAGGAGCTTCGACTTGCTTAATGGATCTCGAGACAGTCCCCAAGAACACTGTCACCAGTCTAGACGGACCCTGAGGTCACCCCAGCAACGCAAAGCAGCTCCATGTGCCCCAAATCAACTCGAGATGAGGCCCGATTCCCCTGCATTGACTCCAGAGCCATTCCCCGTTCCCCATTCAACACGACCGGTGGCTCGACTTCCTTCAGGCAACTCCAGAGATGCCCCGAGAACACTGTCCCAAGTCTAGAGGAACACCAACTTCAGCACAGCAACTCGAGGAATGCTCCGTGTACCCCAAATCGTCTCGAGATGCGAGCTGATTCCCTGGCTTAGGCTCAAGACGTATGCCAACTTCCCAGAAGCACCTCAGGAGGAGGCTTCTCTCAGCAATAGGTATGTGGGAGGGACCCCGAGTTTGCTGCCTCAAGGGGAATATACAGCGAGAAGCCCTAACTTGAAAGGAGGCCGGATTTCCTTGCAGTGGCTTGAATACAGGCTCGTCTTTCATCTCACAACATGAAGGGATGTCTGAATCCCCTGTGGAGACCTTAGAGAAAGCCCTAGGTCCCTGCCTCATTTTGACGGAATGCCTCACATCCCGCTGACACCTCGAGAGGCACGCGGAGTTCATTGCTTCAAAAGGTGACGATGCCTGACTCCTCTTGAATACTGATAGGAATCCCAAAATCCCTGTGGCTACTGGAAAGGGTCCTTGGGTGCCCTGCCTCACCTCGAGAAGCGTCCCTTTGGCCCTGCCAAGCCTCGAAGAGATTCCTGAGGTGTCCCTCGTTACTAGACAGGAGTCCTGACGTCACTGAAGAAACTCGTGTTTTGAAGGGCCATCCCCGCCGTAAGTCGAGAACATACCCCAGGTCCCCGCCGCAACTCGAGAAAAACCATGAGACTTCCCCCTAGAGGCGAGATGAGGCCCCATTCCCCTGCAGTGCATGCAGAGCTATTCCGTGATCCCATTCAAACAAGGCAGGAGCTTCGACTTGCTTAATGGATCTCGAGACAGTCCCCAAGAACACTGTCACCAGTCTAGACGGACCCTGAGGTCACCCCAGCAACGCAAAGCAGCTCCATGTGCCCCAAATCAACTCGAGATGAGGCCCGATTCCCCTGCATTGACTCCAGAGCCATTCCCCGTTCCCCATTCAACACGACCGGTGGCTCGACTTCCTTCAGGCAACTCCAGAGATGCCCCGAGAACACTGTCCCAAGTCTAGAGGAACACCAACTTCAGCACAGCAACTCGAGGAATGCTCCGTGTACCCCAAATCGTCTCGAGATGCGAGCTGATTCCCTGGCTTAGGCTCAAGACGTATGCCAACTTCCCAGAAGCACCTCAGGAGGAGGCTTCTCTCAGCAATAGGTATGTGGGAGGGACCCCGAGTTTGCTGCCTCAAGGGGAATATACAGCGAGAAGCCCTAACTTGAAAGGAGGCCGGATTTCCTTGCAGTGGCTTGAATACAGGCTCGTCTTTCATCTCACAACATGAAGGGATGTCTGAATCCCCTGTGGAGACCTTAGAGAAAGCCCTAGGTCCCTGCCTCATTTTGACGGAATGCCTCACATCCCGCTCACACCTCGAGAGGCACGCGGAGTTCATTGCTTCAAAAGGTGACGATGCCTGACTCCTCTTGAATACTGATAGGAATCCCAAAATCCCTGTGGCTACTGGAAAGGGTCCTTGGGTGCCCTGCCTCACCTCGAGAAGCGTCCCTTTTGCCCTGCCAAGCCTCGAAGAGATTCCTGAGGTGTCCCTCGTTACTAGACAGGAGTCCTGACGTCACTGAAGAAACTCGTGTTTTGAAGGGTCATCCCCGCCGTAAGTCGAGAACATACCCCAGGTCCCCGCCGCAACTCGAGAAAAACCATGAGACTTCCCCCTAGAGGCGAGATGAGGCCCCATTCCCCTGCAGTGCATGCAGAGCTATTCCGTGATCCCATTCAAACAAGGCAGGAGCTTCGACTTGCTTAATGGATCTCGAGACAGTCCCCTAGAACACTGTCACCAGTCTAGACGGACCCTGAGGTCACCCCAGCAACGCAAAGCAGCTCCATGTGCCCCAAATCAACTCGAGATGAGGCCCGATTCCCCTGCATTGACTCCAGAGCCATTCCCCGTTCCCCATTCAACACGACCGGTGGCTCGACTTCCTTCAGGCAACTCCAGAGATGCCCCGAGAACACTGTCCCAAGTCTAGAGGAACACCAACTTCAGCACAGCAAGTCGAGGAATGCTCCGTGTACCCCAAATCGTCTCGAGATGCGAGCTGATTCCCTGGCTTAGGCTCATGACGTATGCCAACTTCCCAGAAGCACCTCAGGAGGAGGCTTCTCTCAGCAATAGGTATGTGGGAGGGACCCCGAGTTTGCTGCCTCAAGGGGAATATACAGCGAGAAGCCCTAACTTGAAAGGAGGCCGGATTTCCTTGCAGTGGCTTGAATACAGGCTCGTCTTTCATCTCACAACATGAAGGGATGTCTGAATCCCCTGTGGAGACCTTAGAGAAAGCCCTAGGTCCCTGCCTCATTTTGACGGAATGCCTCACATCCCGCTGACACCTCGAGAGGCACGCAGAGTTCATTGCTTCAAAAGGTGACGATGCCTGACTCGTCTTGAATACTGATAGGAATCCCAAAATCCCTGTGGCTACTGGAAAGGGTCCTTGGGTGCCCTGCCTCACCTCGAGAAGCGTCCCTTTGGCCCTGCCAAGCCTCGAAGAGATTCCTGAGGTGTCCGTCGTTACTAGACAGGAGTCCTGACGTCACTGAAGAAACTCGTGTTTTGAAGGGCCATCCCCGCCGTAAGTCGAGAACATACCCCAGGTCCCCGCCGCAACTCGAGAAAAACCATGAGACTTCCCCCTAGAGGCGAGATGAGGCCCCATTCCCCTGCAGTGCATGCAGAGCTATTCCGTGATCCCATTCAAACAAGTCAGGAGCTTCGACTTGCTTAATGGATCTCGAGACAGTCCCCAAGAACACTGTCACCAGTCTAGACGGACCCTGAGGTCACCCCAGCAACGCAAAGCAGCTCCATGTGCCCCAAATCAACTCGAGATGAGGCCCGATTCCCCTGCATTGACTCCAGAGCCATTCCCCGTTCCCCATTCAACACGACCGGTGGCTCGACTTCCTTCAGGCAACTCCAGAGATGCCCCGAGAACACTGTCCCAAGTCTAGAGGAACACCAACTTCAGCACAGCAACTCGAGGAATGCTCCGTGTACCCCAAATCGTCTCGAGATGCGAGCTGATTCCCTGGCTTAGGCTCAAGACGTATGCCAACTTCCCAGAAGCACCTCAGGAGGAGGCTTCTCTCAGCAATAGGTATGTGGGAGGGACCCCGAGTTTGCTGCCTCAAGGGGAATATACAGCGAGAAGCCCTAACTTGAAAGGAGGCCGGATTTCCTTGCAGTGGCTTGAATACAGGCTCGTCTTTCATCTCACAACATGAAGGGATGTCTGAATCCCCTGTGGAGACCTTAGAGAAAGCCCTAGGTCCCTGCCTCATTTTGACGGAATGCCTCACATCCCGCTGACACCTCGAGAGGCACGCGGAGTTCATTGCTTCAAAAGGTGACGATGCCTGACTCCTCTTGAATACTGATAGGAATCCCAAAATCCCTGTGGCTACTGGAAAGGGTCCTTGGGTGCCCTGCCTCACCTCGAGAAGCGTCCCTTTGGCCCTGCCAAGCCTCGAAGAGATTCCTGAGGTGTCCCTCGTTACTAGACAGGAGTCCTGACGTCACTGAAGAAACTCGTGTTTTGAAGGGCCATCCCCGCCGTAAGTCGAGAACATACCCCAGGTCCCCGCCGCAACTCGAGAAAAACCATGAGACTTCCCCCTAGAGGCGAGATGAGGCCCCATTCCCCTGCAGTGCATGCAGAGCTATTCCGTGATCCCATTCAAACAAGTCAGGAGCTTCGACTTGCTTAATGGATCTCGAGACAGTCCCCAAGAACACTGTCACCAGTCTAGACGGACCCTGAGGTCACCCCAGCAACGCAAAGCAGCTCCATGTGCCCCAAATCAACTCGAGATGAGGCCCGATTCCCCTGCATTGACTCCAGAGCCATTCCCCGTTCCCCATTCAACACGACCGGTGGCTCGACTTCCTTCAGGCAACTCCAGAGATGCCCCGAGAACACTGTCCCAAGTCTAGAGGAACACCAACTTCAGCACAGCAACTCGAGGAATGCTCCGTGTACCCCAAATCGTCTCGAGATGCGAGCTGATTCCCTGGCTTAGGCTCAAGACGTATGCCAACTTCCCAGAAGCACCTCAGGAGGAGGCTTCTCTCAGCAATAGGTATGTGGGAGGGACCCCGAGTTTGCTGCCTCAAGGGGAATATACAGCGAGAAGCCCTAACTTGAAAGGAGGCCGGATTTCCTTGCAGTGGCTTGAATACAGGCTCGTCTTTCATCTCACAACATGAAGGGATGTCTGAATCCCCTGTGGAGACCTTAGAGAAAGCCCTAGGTCCCTGCCTCATTTTGACGGAATGCCTCACATCCCGCTGACACCTCGAGAGGCACGCGGAGTTCATTGCTTCAAAAGGTGACGATGCCTGACTCCTCTTGAATACTGATAGGAATCCCAAAATCCCTGTGGCTACTGGAAAGGGTCCTTGGGTGCCCTGCCTCACCTCGAGAAGCGTCCCTTTGGCCCTGCCAAGCCTCGAAGAGATTCCTGAGGTGTCCCTCGTTACTAGACAGGAGTCCTGACGTCACTGAAGAAACTCGTGTTTTGAAGGGCCATCCCCGCCGTAAGTCGAGAACATACCCCAGGTCCCCGCCGCAACTCGAGAAAAACCATGAGACTTCCCCCTAGAGGCGAGATGAGGCCCCATTCCCCTGCAGTGCATGCAGAGCTATTCCGTGATCCCATTCAAACAAGTCAGGAGCTTCGACTTGCTTAATGGATCTCGAGACAGTCCCCAAGAACACTGTCACCAGTCTAGACGGACCCTGAGGTCACCCCAGCAACGCAAAGCAGCTCCATGTGCCCCAAATCAACTCGAGATGAGGCCCGATTCCCCTGCATTGACTCCAGAGCCATTCCCCGTTCCCCATTCAACACGACCGGTGGCTCGACTTCCTTCAGGCAACTCCAGAGATGCCCCGAGAACACTGTCCCAAGTCTAGAGGAACACCAACTTCAGCACAGCAACTCGAGGAATGCTCCGTGTACCCCAAATCGTCTCGAGATGCGAGCTGATTCCCTGGCTTAGGCTCAAGACGTATGCCAACTTCCCAGAAGCACCTCAGGAGGAGGCTTCTCTCAGCAATAGGTATGTGGGAGGGACCCCGAGTTTGCTGCCTCAAGGGGAATATACAGCGAGAAGCCCTAACTTGAAAGGAGGCCGGATTTCCTTGCAGTGGCTTGAATACAGGCTCGTCTTTCATCTCACAACATGAAGGGATGTCTGAATCCCCTGTGGAGACCTTAGAGAAAGCCCTAGGTCCCTGCCTCATTTTGACGGAATGCCTCACATCCCGCTGACACCTCGAGAGGCACGCGGAGTTCATTGCTTCAAAAGGTGACGATGCCTGACTCCTCTTGAATACTGATAGGAATCCCAAAATCCCTGTGGCTACTGGAAAGGGTCCTTGGGTGCCCTGCCTCACCTCGAGAAGCGTCCCTTTGGCCCTGCCAAGCCTCGAAGAGATTCCTGAGGTGTCCCTCGTTACTAGACAGGAGTCCTGACGTCACTGAAGAAACTCGTGTTTTGAAGGGCCATCCCCGCCGTAAGTCGAGAACATACCCCAGGTCCCCGCCGCAACTCGAGAAAAACCATGAGACTTCCCCCTAGAGGCGAGATGAGGCCCCATTCCCCTGCAGTGCATGCAGAGCTATTCCGTGATCCCATTCAAACAAGTCAGGAGCTTCGACTTGCTTAATGGATCTCGAGACAGTCCCCAAGAACACTGTCACCAGTCTAGACGGACCCTGAGGTCACCCCAGCAACGCAAAGCAGCTCCATGTGCCCCAAATCAACTCGAGATGAGGCCCGATTCCCCTGCATTGACTCCAGAGCCATTCCCCGTTCCCCATTCAACACGACCGGTGGCTCGACTTCCTTCAGGCAACTCCAGAGATGCCCCGAGAACACTGTCCCAAGTCTAGAGGAACACCAACTTCAGCACAGCAACTCGAGGAATGCTCCGTGTACCCCAAATCGTCTCGAGATGCGAGCTGATTCCCTGGCTTAGGCTCAAGACGTATGCCAACTTCCCAGAAGCACCTCAGGAGGAGGCTTCTCCCAGCAATAGGTATGTGGGAGGGACCCCGAGTTTGCTGCCTCAAGGGGAATATACAGCGAGAAGCCCTAACTAGAAAGGAGGCCGGATTTCCTTGCAGTGGCTTGAATACAGGCTCGTCTTTCATCTCACAACATGAAGGGATGTCTGAATCCCCTGTGGAGACCTTAGAGAAAGCCCTAGGTCCCTGCCTCATTTTGACGGAATGCCTCACATCCCGCTGACACCTCGAGAGGCACGCGGAGTTCATTGCTTCAAAAGGTGACGATGCCTGACTCCTCTTGAATACTGATAGGAATCCCAAAATCCCTGTGGCTACTGGAAACGGTCCTTGGGTGCCCTGCCTCACCTCGAGAAGCGTCCCTTTGGCCCTGCCAAGCCTCGAAGAGATTCCTGAGGTGTCCCTCGTTACTAGACAGGAGTCCTGACGTCACTGAAGAAACTCGTGTTTTGAAGGGCCATCCCCGCCGTAAGTCGAGAACATACCCCAGGTCCCCGCCACAACTCGAGAAAAACCATGAGACTTCCCCCTAGAGGCGAGATGAGGCCCCATTCCCCTGCAGTGCATGCAGAGCTATTCCGTGATCCCATTCAAACAAGTCAGGAGCTTCGACTTGCTTAATGGATCTCGAGACAGTCCCCAAGAACACTGTCACCAGTCTAGACGGACCCTGAGGTCACCCCAGCAACGCAAAGCAGCTCCATGTGCCCCAAATCAACTCGAGATGAGGCCCGATTCCCCTGCATTGACTCCAGAGCCATTCCCCGTTCCCCATTCAACACGACCGGTGGCTCGACTTCCTTCAGGCAACTCCAGAGATGCCCCGAGAACACTGTCCCAAGTCTAGAGGAACACCAACTTCAGCACAGCAACTCGAGGAATGCTCCGTGTACCCCAAATCGTCTCGAGATGCGAGCTGATTCCCTGGCTTAGGCTCAAGACGTATGCCAACTTCCCAGAAGCACCTCAGGAGGAGGCTTCTCTCAGCAATAGGTATGTGGGAGGGACCCCGAGTTTGCTGCCTCAAGGGGAATATACAGCGAGAAGCCCTAACTTGAAAGGAGGCCGGATTTCCTTGCAGTGGCTTGAATACAGGCTCGTCTTTCATCTCACAACATGAAGGGATGTCTGAATCCCCTGTGGAGACCTTAGAGAAAGCCCTAGGTCCCTGCCTCATTTTGACGGAATGCCTCACATCCCGCTGACACCTCGAGAGGCACGCGGAGTTCATTGCTTCAAAAGGTGACGATGCCTGACTCCTCTTGAATACTGATAGGAATCCCAAAATCCCTGTGGCTACTGGAAAGGGTCCTTGGGTGACCTGCCTCACCTCGAGAAGCGTCCCTTTGGCCCTGCCAAGCCTCGAAGAAATTCCTGAGGTGTCCCTCGTTACTAGACAGGAGTCCTGACGTCACTGAAGAAACTCGTGTTTTGAAGGGCCATCCCCGCCGTAAGCCGAGAACATACCCCAGGTCCCCGCCGCAACTCGAGAAAAACCATGAGACTTCCCCCTAGAGGCGAGATGAGGCCCCATTCCCCTGCAGTGCATGCAGAGCTATTCCGTGATCCCATTCAAACAAGTCAGGAGCTTCGACTTGCTTAATGGATCTCGAGACAGTCCCCAAGAACACTGTCACCAGTCTAGACGGACCCTGAGGTCACCCCAGCAACGCAAAGCAGCTCCATGTGCCCCAAATCAACTCGAGATGAGGCCCGATTCCCCTGCATTGACTCCAGAGCCATTCCCCGTTCCCCATTCAACACGACCGGTGGCTCGACTTCCTTCAGGCAACTCCAGAGATGCCCCGAGAACACTGTCCCAAGTCTAGAGGAACACCAACTTCAGCACAGCAAGTCGAGGAATGCTCCGTGTACCCCAAATCGTCTCGAGATGCGAGCTGATTCCCTGGCTTAGGCTCAAGACGTATGCCAACTTCCCAGAAGCACCTCAGGAGGAGGCTTCTCTCAGCAATAGGTATGTGGGAGGGACCCCGAGTTTGCTGCCTCAAGGGGAATATACAGCGAGAAGCCCTAACTTGAAAGGAGGCCGGATTTCCTTGCAGTGGCTTGAATACAGGCTCGTCTTTCATCTCACAACATGAAGGGATGTCTGAATCCCCTGTGGAGACCTTAGAGAAAGCCCTAGGTCCCTGCCTCATTTTGACGGAATGCCTCACATCCCGCTGACACCTCGAGAGGCACGCGGAGTTCATTGCTTCAAAAGGTGACGATGCCTGACTCCTCTTGAATACTGATAGGAATCCCAAAATCCCTGTGGCTACTGGAAAGGGTCCTTGGGTGCCCTGCCTCACCTCGAGAAGCGTCCCTTTGGCCCTGCCAAGCCTCGAAGAGATTCCTGAGGTGTCCCTCGTTACTAGACAGGAGTCCTGACGTCACTGAAGAAACTCGTGTTTTGAAGGGCCATCCCCGCCGTAAGTCGAGAACATACCCCAGGTCCCCGCCACAACTCGAGAAAAACCATGAGACTTCCCCCTAGAGGCGAGATGAGGCCCCATTCCCCTGCAGTGCATGCAGAGCTATTCCGTGATCCCATTCAAACAAGTCAGGAGCTTCGACTTGCTTAATGGATCTCGAGACAGTCCCCAAGAACACTGTCACCAGTCTAGACGGACCCTGAGGTCACCCCAGCAACGCAAAGCAGCTCCATGTGCCCCAAATCAACTCGAGATGAGGCCCGATTCCCCTGCATTGACTCCAGAGCCATTCCCCGTTCCCCATTCAACACGACCGGTGGCTCGACTTCCTTCAGGCAACTCCAGAGATGCCCCGAGAACACTGTCCCAAGTCTAGAGGAACACCAACTTCAGCACAGCAACTCGAGGAATGCTCCGTGTACCCCAAATCGTCTCGAGATGCGAGCTGATTCCCTGGCTTAGGCTCAAGACGTATGCCAACTTCCCAGAAGCACCTCAGGAGGAGGCTTCTCTCAGCAATAGGTATGTGGGAGGGACCCCGAGTTTGCTGCCTCAAGGGGAATATACAGCGAGAAGCCCTAACTTGAAAGGAGGCCGGATTTCCTTGCAGTGGCTTGAATACAGGCTCGTCTTTCATCTCACAACATGAAGGGATGTCTGAATCCCCTGTGGAGACCTTAGAGAAAGCCCTAGGTCCCTGCCTCATTTTGACGGAATGCCTCACATCCCGCTGACACCTCGAGAGGCACGCGGAGTTCATTGCTTCAAAAGGTGACGATGCCTGACTCCTCTTGAATACTGATAGGAATCCCAAAATCCCTGTGGCTACTGGAAAGGGTCCTTGGGTGCCCTGCCTCACCTCGAGAAGCGTCCCTTTGGCCCTGCCAAGCCTCGAAGAGATTCCTGAGGTGTCCCTCGTTACTAGACAGGAGTCCTGACGTCACTGAAGAAACTCGTGTTTTGAAGGGCCATCCCCGCCGTAAGTCGAGAACATACCCCAGGTCCCCGCCGCAACTCGAGAAAAACCATGAGACTTCCCCCTAGAGGCGAGATGAGGCCCCATTCCCCTGCAGTGCATGCAGAGCTATTCCGTGATCCCATTCAAACAAGTCAGGAGCTTCGACTTGCTTAATGGATCTCAAGACAGTCCCCAAGAACACTGTCACCAGTCTAGACGGACCCTGAGGTCACCCCAGCAACGCAAAGCAGCTCCATGTGCCCCAAATCAACTCGAGATGAGGCCCGATTCCCCTGCATTGACTCCAGAGCCATTCCCCGTTCCCCATTCAACACGACCGGTGGCTCGACTTCCTTCAGGCAACTCCAGAGATGCCCCGAGAACACTGTCCCAAGTCTAGAGGAACACCAACTTCAGCACAGCAACTCGAGGAATGCTCCATGTACCCCAAATCGTCTCGAGATGCGAGCTGATTCCCTGGCTTAGGCTCAAGACGTATGCCAACTTCCCAGAAGCACCTCAGGAGGAGGCTTCTCTCAGCAATAGGTATGTGGGAGGGACCCCGAGTTTGCTGCCTCAAGGGGAATATACAGCGAGAAGCCCTAACTTGAAAGGAGGCCGGATTTCCTTGCAGTGGCTTGAATACAGGCTCGTCTTTCATCTCACAACATGAAGGGATGTCTGAATCCCCTGTGGAGACCTTAGAGAAAGCCCTAGGTCCCTGCCTCATTTTGACGGAATGCCTCACATCCCGCTGACACCTCGAGAGGCACGCGGAGTTCATTGCTTCAAAAGGTGACGATGCCTGACTCCTCTTGAATACTGATAGGAATCCCAAAATCCCTGTGGCTACTGGAAAGGGTCCTTGGGTGCCCTGCCTCACCTCGAGAAGCGTCCCTTTGGCCCTGCCAAGCCTCGAAGAGATTCCTGAGGTGTCCCTCGTTACTAGACAGGAGTCCTGACGTCACTGAAGAAACTCGTGTTTTGAAGGGCCATCCCCGCCATAAGTCGAGAACATACCCCAGGTCCCCGCCGCAACTCGAGAAAAACCATGAGACTTCCCCCTAGAGGCGAGATGAGGCCCCATTCCCCTGCAGTGCATGCAGAGCTATTCCGTGATCCCATTCAAACAAGTCAGGAGCTTCGACTTGCTTAATGGATCTCGAGACAGTCCCCAAGAACACTGTCACCAGTCTAGACGGACCCTGAGGTCACCCCAGCAACGCAAAGCAGCTCCATGTGCCCCAAATCAACTCGAGATGAGGCCCGATTCCCCTGCATTGACTCCAGAGCCATTCCCCGTTCCCCATTCAACACGACCGGTGGCTCGACTTCCTTCAGGCAACTCCAGAGATGCCCCGAGAACACTGTCCCAAGTCTAGAGGAACACCAACTTCAGCACAGCAACTCGAGGAATGCTCCGTGTACCCCAAATCGTCTCGAGATGCGAGCTGATTCCCTGGCTTAGGCTCAAGACGTATGCCAACTTCCCAGAAGCACCTCAGGAGGAGGCTTCTCTCAGCAATAGGTATGTGGGAGGGACCCCGAGTTTGCTGCCTCAAGGGGAATATACAGCGAGAAGCCCTGACTTGAAAGGAGGCCGGATTTCCTTGCAGTGGCTTGAATACAGGCTCGTCTTTCATCTCACAACATGAAGGGATGTCTGAATCCCCTGTGGAGACCTTAGAGAAAGCCCTAGGTCCCTGCCTCATTTTGACGGAATGCCTCACATCCCGCTGACACCTCGAGAGGCACGCGGAGTTCATTGCTTCAAAAGGTGACGATGCCTGACTCCTCTTGAATACTGATAGGAATCCCAAAATCCCTGTGGCTACTGGAAAGGGTCCTTGGGTGCCCTGCCTCACCTCGAGAAGCGTCCCTTTTGCCCTGCCAAGCCTCGAAGAGATTCCTGAGGTGTCCCTCGTTACTAGACAGGAGTCCTGACGTCACTGAAGAAACTCGTGTTTTGAAGGGCCATCCCCGCCGTAAGTCGAGAACATACCCCAGGTCCCCGCCGCAACTCGAGAAAAACCATGAGACTTCCCCCTAGAGGCGAGATGAGGCCCCATTCCCCTGCAGTGCATGCAGAGCTATTCCGTGATCCCATTCAAACAAGGCAGGAGCTTCGACTTGCTTAATGGATCTCGAGACAGTCCCCAAGAACACTGTCACCAGTCTAGACGGACCCTGAGGTCACCCCAGCAACGCAAAGCAGCTCCATGTGCCCCAAATCAACTCGAGATGAGGCCCGATTCCCCTGCATTGACTCCAGAGCCATTCCCCGTTCCCCATTCAACACGACCGGTGGCTCGACTTCCTTCAGGCAACTCCAGAGATGCCCCGAGAACACTGTCCCAAGTCTAGAGGAACCCCAACTTCAGCACAGCAACTCGAGGAATGCTCCGTGTACCCCAAATCGTCTCGAGATGCGAGCTGATTCCCTGGCTTAGGCTCAAGACGTATGCCAACTTCCCAGAAGCACCTCAGGAGGAGGCTTCTCTCAGCAATAGGTATGTGGGAGGGACCCCGAGTTTGCTGCCTCAAGGGGAATATACAGCGAGAAGCCCTAACTTGAAAGGAGGCCGGATTTCCTTGCAGTGGCTTGAATACAGGCTCGTCTTTCATCTCACAACATGAAGGGATGTCTGAATACCCTGTGGAGACCTTAGAGAAAGCCCTAGGTCCCTGCCCCATTTTGACGGAATGCCTCACATCCCGCTGACACCTCGAGAGGCACGCGGAGTTCATTGCTTCAAAAGGTGACGATGCCTGACTCCTCTTGAATACTGATAGGAATCCCAAAATCCCTGTGGCTACTGGAAAGGGTCCTTGGGTGCCCTGCCTCACCTCGAGAAGCGTCCCTTTGGCCCTGCCAAGCCTCGAAGAGATTCCTGAGGTGTCCCTCGTTACTAGACAGGAGTCCTGACGTCACTGAAGAAACTCGTGTTTTGAAGGGCCATCCCCGCCGTAAGTCGAGAACATACCCCAGGTCCCCGCCGCAACTCGAGAAAAACCATGAGACTTCCCCCTAGAGGCGAGATGAGGCCCCATTCCCCTGCAGTGCCTGCAGAGCTATTCCGTGATCCCATTCAAACAAGTCAGGAGCTTCGACTTGCTTAATGGATCTCGAGACAGTCCCCAAGAACACTGTCACCAGTCTAGACGGACCCTGAGGTCACCCCAGCAACGCAAAGCAGCTCCATGTGCCCCAAATCAACACGAGATGAGGCCCGATTCCCCTGCATTGACTCCAGAGCCATTCCCCGTTCCCCATTTAACACGACCGGTGGCTCGACTTCCTTCAGGAAACTCCAGTGATGCCCCGAGAACACTGTCCCAAGTATAGAGGAACACCAACTTCAGCACAGCAACTCGAGGAATGCTCCGTGTACCCCAAATCGTCTCGAGATGCGAGCTGATTCCCTGGCTTAGGCTCAAGACGTATGCCAACTTCCCAGAAGCACCTCAGGAGGAGGCTTCTCTCAGCAATAGGTATGTGGGAGGGACCCCGAGTTTGCTGCCTCAAGGGGAATATACAGCGAGAAGCCCTAACTTGAAAGGAGGCCGGATTTCCTTGCAGTGGCTTGAATACAGGCTCGTCTTTCATCTCACAACATGAAGGGATGTCTGAATCCCCTGTGGAGACCTTAGAGAAAGCCCTAGGTCCCTGCCTCATTTTGACGGAATGCCTCACATCCCGCTGACACCTCGAGAGGCACGCGGAGTTCATTGCTTCAAAAGGTGACGATGCCTGACTCCTCTTGAATACTGATAGGAATCCCAAAATCCCTGTGGCTACTGGAAAGGGTCCTTGGGTGCCCTGCCTCACCTCGAGAAGCGTCCCTTTGGCCCTGCCAAGCCTCGAAGAGATTCCTGAGGTGTCCCTCGTTACTAGACAGGAGTCCTGACGTCACTGAAGAAACTCGTGTTTTGAAGGGCCATCCCCGCCGTAAGTCGAGAACATACCCCAGGTCCCCGCCGCAACTCGAGAAAAACCATGAGACTTCCCCCTAGAGGCGAGATGAGGCCCCATTCCCCTGCAGTGCATGCAGAGCTATTCCGTGATCCCATTCAAACAAGGCAGGAGCTTCGACTTGCTTAATGGATCTCGAGACAGTCCCCAAGAACACTGTCACCAGTCTAGACGGACCCTGAGGTCACCCCAGCAACGCAAAGCAGCTCCATGTGCCCCAAATCAACTCGAGATGAGGCCCGATTCCCCTGCATTGACTCCAGAGCCATTCCCCGTTCCCCATTCAACACGACCGGTGGCTCGACTTCCTTCAGGCAACTCCAGAGATGCCCCGAGAACACTGTCCCAAGTCTAGAGGAACACCAACTTCAGCACAGCAACTCGAGGAATGCTCCGTGTACCCCAAATCGTCTCGAGATGCGAGCTGATTCCCTGGCTTAGGCTCAAGACGTATGCCAACTTCCCAGAAGCACCTCAGGAGGAGGCTTCTCTCAGCAATAGGTATGTGGGAGGGACCCCGAGTTTGCTGCCTCAAGGGGAATATACAGCGAGAAGCCCTAACTTGAAAGGAGGCCGGATTTCCTTGCAGTGGCTTGAATACAGGCTCGTCTTTCATCTCACAACATGAAGGGATGTCTGAATCCCCTGTGGAGACCTTAGAGAAAGCCCTAGGTCCCTGCCCCATTTTGACGGAATGCCTCACATCCCGCTGACACCTCGAGAGGCACGCGGAGTTCATTGCTTCAAAAGGTGACGATGCCTGACTCCTCTTGAATACTGATAGGAATCCCAAAATCCCTGTAGCTACTGGAAAGGGTCCTTGGGTGCCCTGCCTCACCTCGAGAAGCGTCCCTTTGGCCCTGCCAAGCCTCGAAGAGATTCCTGAGGTGTCCGTCGTTACTAGACAGGAGTCCTGACGTCACTGAAGAAACTCGTGTTTTGAAGGGCCATCCCCGCCGTAAGTCGAGAACATACCCCAGGTCCCCGCCGCAACTCGAGAAAAACCATGAGACTTCCCCCTAGAGGCGAGATGAGGCCCCATTCCCCTGCAGTGCATGCAGAGCTATTCCGTGATCCCATTCAAACAAGTCAGGAGCTTCGACTTGCTTAATGGATCTCGAGACAGTCCCCAAGAACACTGTCACCAGTCTAGACGGACCCTGAGGTCACCCCAGCAACGCAAAGCAGCTCCATGTGCCCCAAATCAACTCGAGATGAGGCCCGATTCCCCTGCATTGACTCCAGAGCCATTCCCCGTTCCCCATTCAACACGACCGGTGGCTCGACTTCCTTCAGGCAACTCCAGAGATGCCCCGAGAACACTGTCCCAAGTCTAGAGGAACCCCAACTTCAGCACAGCAACTCGAGGAATGCTCCGTGTACCCCAAATCGTCTCGAGATGCGAGCTGATTCCCTGGCTTAGGCTCAAGACGTATGCCAACTTCCCAGAAGCACCTCAGGAGGAGGCTTCTCTCAGCAATAGGTATGTGGGAGGGACCCCGAGTTTGCTGCCTCAAGGGGAATATACAGCGAGAAGCCCTAACTTGAAAGGAGGCCGGATTTCCTTGCAGTGGCTTGAATACAGGCTCGTCTTTCATCTCACAACATGAAGGGATGTCTGAATCCCCTGTGGAGACCTTAGAGAAAGCCCTAGGTCCCTGCCTCATTTTGACGGAATGCCTCACATCCCGCTGACACCTCGAGAGGCACGCGGAGTTCATTGCTTCAAAAGGTGACGATGCCTGACTCCTCTTGAATACTGATAGGAATCCCAAAATCCCTGTGGCTACTGGAAAGGGTCCTTGGGTGCCCTGCCTCACCTCGAGAAGCGTCCCTTTGGCCCTGCCAAGCCTCGAAGAGATTCCTGAGGTGTCCCTCGTTACTAGACAGGAGTCCTGACGTCACTGAAGAAACTCGTGTTTTGAAGGGCCATCCCCGCCGTAAGTCGAGAACATACCCCAGGTCCCCGCCGCAACTCGAGAAAAACCATGAGACTTCCCCCTAGAGGCGAGATGAGGCCCCATTCCCCTGCAGTGCATGCAGAGCTATTCCGTGATCCCATTCAAACAAGTCAGGAGCTTCGACTTGCTTAATGGATCTCGAGACAGTCCCCAAGAACACTGTCACCAGTCTAGACGGACCCTGAGGTCACCCCAGCAACGCAAAGCAGCTCCATGTGCCCCAAATCAACTCGAGATGAGGCCCGATTCCCCTGCATTGACTCCAGAGCCATTCCCCGTTCCCCATTCAACACGACCGGTGGCTCGACTTCCTTCAGGCAACTCCAGAGATGCCCCGAGAACACTGTCCCAAGTCTAGAGGAACCCCAACTTCAGCACAGCAACTCGAGGAATGCTCCGTGTACCCCAAATCGTCTCGAGATGCGAGCTGATTCCCTGGCTTAGGCTCAAGACGTATGCCAACTTCCCAGAAGCACCTCAGGAGGAGGCTTCTCTCAGCAATAGGTATGTGGGAGGGACCCCGAGTTTGCTGCCTCAAGGGGAATATACAGCGAGAAGCCCTAACTTGAAAGGAGGCCGGATTTCCTTGCAGTGGCTTGAATACAGGCTCGTCTTTCATCTCACAACATGAAGGGATGTCTGAATCCCCTGTGGAGACCTTAGAGAAAGCCCTAGGTCCCTGCCTCATTTTGACGGAATGCCTCACATCCCGCTGACACCTCGAGAGGCACGCGGAGTTCATTGCTTCAAAAGGTGACGATGCCTGACTCCTCTTGAATACTGATAGGAATCCCAAAATCCCTGTGGCTACTGGAAAGGGTCCTTGGGTGCCCTGCCTCACCTCGAGAAGCGTCCCTTTGGCCCTGCCAAGCCTCGAAGAGATTCCTGAGGTGTCCCTCGTTACTAGACAGGAGTCCTGACGTCACTGAAGAAACTCGTGTTTTGAAGGGCCATCCCCGCCGTAAGTCGAGAACATACCCCAGGTCCCCGCCGCAACTCGAGAAAAACCATGAGACTTCCCCCTAGAGGCGAGATGAGGCCCCATTCCCCTGCAGTGCATGCAGAGCTATTCCGTGATCCCATTCAAACAAGTCAGGAGCTTCGACTTGCTTAATGGATCTCGAGACAGTCCCCAAGAACACTGTCACCAGTCTAGACGGACCCTGAGGTCACCCCAGCAACGCAAAGCAGCTCCATGTGCCCCAAATCAACTCGAGATGAGGCCCGATTCCCCTGCATTGACTCCAGAGCCATTCCCCGTTCCCCATTCAACACGACCGGTGGCTCGACTTCCTTCAGGCAACTCCAGAGATGCCCCGAGAACACTGTCCCAAGTCTAGAGGAACACCAACTTCAGCACAGCAACTCGAGGAATGCTCCGTGTACCCCAAATCGTCTCGAGATGCGAGCTGATTCCCTGGCTTAGGCTCAAGACGTATGCCAACTTCCCAGAAGCACCTCAGGAGGAGGCTTCTCTCAGCAATAGGTATGTGGGAGGGACCCCGAGTTTGCTGCCTCAAGGGGAATATACAGCGAGAAGCCCTAACTTGAAAGGAGGCCGGATTTCCTTGCAGTGGCTTGAATACAGGCTCGTCTTTCATCTCACAACATGAAGGGATGTCTGAATCCCCTGTGGAGACCTTAGAGAAAGCCCAAGGTCCCTGCCTCATTTTGACGGAATGCCTCACATCCCGCTGACACCTCGAGAGGCACGCGGAGTTCATTGCTTCAAAAGGTGACGATGCCTGACTCCTCTTGAATACTGATAGGAATCCCAAAATCCCTGTGGCTACTGGAAAGGGTCCTTGGGTTCCCTGCCTCACCTCGAGAAGCGTCCCTTTGGCCCTGCCAAGCCTCGAAGAGATTCCTGAGGTGTCCCTCGTTACTAGACAGGAGTCCTGACATCACTGAAGAAACTCGTGTTTTGAAGGGCCATCCCCGCCGTAAGTCGAGAACATACCCCAGGTCCCCGCCGCAACTCGAGAAAAACCATGAGACTTCCCCCTAGAGGCGAGATGAGGCCCCATTCCCCTGCAGTGCATGCAGAGCTATTCCGTGATCCCATTCAAACAAGTCAGGAGCTTCGACTTGCTTAATGGATCTCGAGACAGTCCCCAAGAACACTGTCACCAGTCTAGACGGACCCTGAGGTCACCCCAGCAACGCAAAGCAGCTCCATGTGCCCCAAATCAACTCGAGATGAGGCCCGATTCCCCTGCATTGACTCCAGAGCCATTCCCCGTTCCCCATTCAACACGACCGGTGGCTCGACTTCCTTCAGGCAACTCCAGAGATGCCCCGAGAACACTGTCCCAAGTCTAGAGGAACACCAACTTCAGCACAGCAACTCGAGGAATGCTCCGTGTACCCCAAATCGTCTCGAGATGCGAGCTGATTCCCTGGCTTAGGCTCAAGACGTATGCCAACTTCCCAGAAGCACCTCAGGAGGAGGCTTCTCTCAGCAATAGGTATGTGGGAGGGACCCCGAGTTTGCTGCCTCAAGGGGAATATACAGCGAGAAGCCCTAACTTGAAAGGAGGCCGGATTTCCTTGCAGTGGCTTGAATACAGGCTCGTCTTTCATCTCACAACATGAAGGGATGTCTGAATCCCCTGTGGAGACCTTAGAGAAAGCCCTAGGTCCCTGCCCCATTTTGACGGAATGCCTCACATCCCGCTGACACCTCGAGAGGCACGCGGAGTTCATTGCTTCAAAAGGTGACGATGCCTGACTCCTCTTGAATACTGATAGGAATCCCAAAATCCCTGTGGCTACTGGAAAGGGTCCTTGGGTGCCCTGCCTCACCTCGAGAAGCGTCCCTTTGGCCCTGCCAAGCCTCGAAGAGATTCCTGAGGTGTCCCTCGTTACTAGACAGGAGTCCTGACGTCACTGAAGAAACTCGTGTTTTGAAGGGCCATCCCCGCCGTAAGTCGAGAACATACCCCAGGTCCCCGCCGCAACTCGAGAAAAACCATGAGACTTCCCCCTAGAGGCGAGATGAGGCCCCATTCCCCTGCAGTGCATGCAGAGCTATTCCGTGATCCCATTCAAACAAGTCAGGAGCTTCGACTTGCTTAATGGATCTCGAGACAGTCCCCAAGAACACTGTCACCAGTCTAGACGGACCCTGAGGTCACCCCAGCAACGCAAAGCAGCTCCATGTGCCCCAAATCAACTCGAGATGAGGCCCGATTCCCCTGCATTGACTCCAGAGCCATTCCCCGTTCCCCATTCAACACGACCGGTGGCTCGACTTCCTTCAGGCAACTCCAGAGATGCCCCGAGAACACTGTCCCAAGTCTAGAGGAACACCAACTTCAGCACAGCAACTCGAGGAATGCTCCGTGTACCCCAAATCGTCTCGAGATGCGAGCTGATTCCCTGGCTTAGGCTCAAGACGTATGCCAACTTCCCAGAAGCACCTCAGGAGGAGGCTTCTCTCAGCAATAGGTATGTGGGAGGGACCCCGAGTTTGCTGCCTCAAGGGGAATATACAGCGAGAAGCCCTAACTTGAAAGGAGGCCGGATTTCCTTGCAGTGGCTTGAATACAGGCTCGTCTTTCATCTCACAACATGAAGGGATGTCTGAATCCCCTGTGGAGACCTTAGAGAAAGCCCTAGGTCCCTGCCTCATTTTGACGGAATGCCTCACATCCCGCTGACACCTCGAGAGGCACGCGGAGTTCATTGCTTCAAAAGGTGACGAGGCCTGACTCCTCTTGAATACTGATAGGAATCCCAAAATCCCTGTGGCTACTGGAAAGGGTCCTTGGGTGCCCTGCCTCACCTCGAGAAGCGTCACTTTGGCCCTGCCAAGCCTCGAAGAGATTCCTGAGGTGTCCCTCGTTACTAGACAGGAGTCCTGACGTCACTGAAGAAACTCGTGTTTTGAAGGGCCATCCCCGCCGTAAGTCGAGAACATACCCCAGGTCCCCGCCGCAACTCGAGAAAAACCATGAGACTTCCCCCTAGAGGCGAGATGAGGCCCCATTCCCCTGCAGTGCATGCAGAGCTATTCCGTGATCCCATTCAAACAAGTCAGGAGCTTCGACTTGCTTAATGGATCTCGAGACAGTCCCCAAGAACACTGTCACCAGTCTAGACGGACCCTGAGGTCACCCCAGCAACGCAAAGCAGCTCCATGTGCCCCAAATCAACTCGAGATGAGGCCCGATTCCCCTGCATTGACTCCAGAGCCATTCCCCGTTCCCCATTCAACACGACCGGTGGCTCGACTTCCTTCAGGCAACTCCAGAGATGCCCCGAGAACACTGTCCCAAGTCTAGAGGAACACCAACTTCAGCACAGCAACTCGAGGAATGCTCCGTGTACCCCAAATCGTCTCGAGATGCGAGCTGATTCCCTGGCTTAGGCTCAAGACGTATGCCAACTTCCCAGAAGCACCTCAGGAGGAGGCTTCTCTCAGCAATAGGTATGTGGGAGGGACCCCGAGTTTGCTGCCTCAAGGGGAATATACAGCGAGAAGCCCTAACTTGAAAGGAGGCCGGATTTCCTTGCAGTGGCTTGAATACAGGCTCGTCTTTCATCTCACAACATGAAGGGATGTCTGAATCCCCTGTGGAGACCTTAGAGAAAGCCCTAGGTCCCTGCCTCATTTTGACGGAATGCCTCACATCCCGCTGACACCTCGAGAGGCACGCGGAGTTCATTGCTTCAAAAGGTGACGAGGCCTGACTCCTCTTGAATACTGATAGGAATCCCAAAATCCCTGTGGCTACTGGAAAGGGTCCTTGGGTGCCCTGCCTCACCTCGAGAAGCGTCACTTTGGCCCTGCCAAGCCTCGAAGAGATTCCTGAGGTGTCCCTCGTTACTAGACAGGAGTCCTGACGTCATTGAAGAAACTCGTGTTTTGAAGGGCCATCCCCGCCGTAAGTCGAGAACATACCCCAGGTCCCCGCCGCAACTCGAGAAAAACCATGAGACTTCCCCCTAGAGGCGAGATGAGGCCCCATTCCCCTGCAGTGCATGCAGAGCTATTCCGTGATCCCATTCAAACAAGTCAGGAGCTTCGACTTGCTTAATGGATCTCGAGACAGTCCCCAAGAACACTGTCACCAGTCTAGACGGACCCTGAGGTCACCCCAGCAACGCAAAGCAGCTCCATGTGCCCCAAATCAACTCGAGATGAGGCCCGATTCCCCTGCATTGACTCCAGAGCCATTCCCCGTTCCCCATTCAACACGACCGGTGGCTCGACTTCCTTCAGGCAACTCCAGAGATGCCCCGAGAACACTGTCCCAAGTCTAGAGGAACACCAACTTCAGCACAGCAACTCGAGGAATGCTCCGTGTACCCCAAATCGTCTCGAGATGCGAGCTGATTCCCTGGCTTAGGCTCAAGACGTATGCCAACTTCCCAGAAGCACCTCAGGAGGAGGCTTCTCTCAGCAATAGGTATGTGGGAGGGACCCCGAGTTTGCTGCCTCAAGGGGAATATACAGCGAGAAGCCCTAACTTGAAAGGAGGCCGGATTTCCTTGCAGTGGCTTGAAAACAGGCTCGTCTTTCATCTCACAACATGAAGGGATGTCTGAATCCCCTGTGGAGACCTTAGAGAAAGCCCTAGGTCCCTGCCTCATTTTGACGGAATGCCTCACATCCCGCTGACACCTCGAGAGGCACGCGGAGTTCATTGCTTCAAAAGGTGACGATGCCTGACTCCTCTTGAATACTGATAGGAATCCCAAAATCCCTGTGGCTACTGGAAAGGGTCCTTGGGTGCCCTGCCTCACCTCGAGAAGCGTCCCTCTGGCCCTGCCAAGCCTCGAAGAGATTCCTGAGGTGTCCCTCGTTACTAGACAGGAGTCCTGACGTCACTGAAGAAACTCGTGTTTTGAAGGGCCATCCCCGCCGTAAGTCGAGAACATACCCCAGGTCCCCGCCGCAACTCGAGAAAAACCATGAGACTTCCCCCTAGAGGCGAGATGAGGCCCCATTCCCCTGCAGTGCATGCAGAGCTATTCCGTGATCCCATTCAAACAAGTCAGGAGCTTCGACTTGCTTAATGGATCTCGAGACAGTCCCCAAGAACACTGTCACCAGTCTAGACGGACCCTGAGGTCACGCCAGCAACGCAAAGCAGCTCCATGTGCCCCAAATCAACTCGAGATGAGGCCCGATTCCCCTGCATTGACTCCAGAGCCATTCCCCGTTCCCCATTCAACACGACCGGTGGCTCGACTTCATTCAGGCAACTCCAGAGATGCCCCGAGAACACTGTCCCAAGTCTAGAGGAACACCAACTTCAGCACAGCAACTCGAGGAATGCTCCGTGTACCCCAAATCGTCTCGAGATGCGAGCTGATTCCCTGGCTTAGGCTCAAGACGTATGCCAACTTCCCAGAAGCACCTCAGGAGGAGGCTTCTCTCAGCAATAGGTATGTGGGAGGGACCCCGAGTTTGCTGCCTCAAGGGGAATATACAGCGAGAAGCCCTAACTTGAAAGGAGGCCGGATTTCCTTGCAGTGGCTTGAATACAGGCTCGTCTTTCATCTCACAACATGAAGGGATGTCTGAATCCCCTGTGGAGACCTTAGAGAAAGCCCTAGGTCCCTGCCTCATTTTGACGGAATGCCTCACATCCCGCTGACACCTCGAGAGGCACGCGGAGTTCATTGCTTCAAAAGGTGACGATGCCTGACTCCTCTTGAATACTGATAGGAATCCCAAAATCCCTGTGGCTACTGGAAAGGGTCCTTGGGTGCCCTGCCTCACCTCGAGAAGCGTCCCTTTGGCCCTGCCAAGCCTCGAAGAGATTCCTGAGGTGTCCCTCGTTACTAGACAGGAGTCCTGACGTCACTGAAGAAACTCGTGTTTTGAAGGGCCATCCCCGCCGTAAGTCGAGAACATACCCCAGGTCCCCGCCGCAACTCGAGAAAAACCATGAGACTTCCCCCTAGAGGCGAGATGAGGCCCCATTCCCCTGCAGTGCATGCAGAGCTATTCCGTGATCCCATTCAAACAAGTCAGGAGCTTCGACTTGCTTAATGGATCTCGAGACAGTCCCCAAGAACACTGTCACCAGTCTAGACGGACCCTGAGGTCACCCCAGCAACGCAAAGCAGCTCCATGTGCCCCAAATCAACTCGAGATGAGGCCCGATTCCCCTGCATTGACTCCAGAGCCATTCCCCGTTCCCCATTCAACACGACCGGTGGCTCGACTTCCTTCAGGCAACTCCAGAGATGCCCCGAGAACACTGTCCCAAGTCTAGAGGAACACCAACTTCAGCACAGCAACTCGAGGAATGCTCCGTGTACCCCAAATCGTCTCGAGATGCGAGCTGATTCCCTGGCTTAGGCTCAAGACGTATGCCAACTTCCCAGAAGCACCTCAGGAGGAGGCTTCTCTCAGCAATAGGTATGTGGGAGGGACCCCGAGTTTGCTGCCTCAAGGGGAATATACAGCGAGAAGCCCTAACTTGAAAGGAGGCCGGATTTCCTTGCAGTGGCTTGAATACAGGCTCGTCTTTCATCTCACAACATGAAGGGATGTCTGAATCCCCTGTGGAGACCTTAGAGAAAGCCCTAGGTCCCTGCCTCATTTTGACGGAATGCCTCACATCCCGCTGACACCTCGAGAGGCACGCGGAGTTCATTGCTTCAAAAGGTGACGATGCCTGACTCCTCTTGAATACTGATAGGAATCCCAAAATCCCTGTGGCTACTGGAAAGGGTCCTTGGGTGCCCTGCCTCACCTCGAGAAGCGTCCCTCTGGCCCTGCCAAGCCTCGAAGAGATTCCTGAGGTGTCCCTCGTTACTAGACAGGAGTCCTGACGTCACTGAAGAAACTCGTGTTTTGAAGGGCCATCCCCGCCGTAAGTCGAGAACATACCCCAGGTCCCCGCCGCAACTCGAGAAAAACCATGAGACTTCCCCCTAGAGGCGAGATGAGGCCCCATTCCCCTGCAGTGCATGCAGAGCTATTCCGTGATCCCATTCAAACAAGTCAGGAGCTTCGACTTGCTTAATGGATCTCGAGACAGTCCCCAAGAACACTGTCACCAGTCTAGACGGACCCTGAGGTCACGCCAGCAACGCAAAGCAGCTCCATGTGCCCCAAATCAACTCGAGATGAGGCCCGATTCCCCTGCATTGACTCCAGAGCCATTCCCCGTTCCCCATTCAACACGACCGGTGGCTCGACTTCATTCAGGCAACTCCAGAGATGCCCCGAGAACACTGTCCCAAGTCTAGAGGAACACCAACTTCAGCACAGCAACTCGAGGAATGCTCCGTGTACCCCAAATCGTCTCGAGATGCGAGCTGATTCCCTGGCTTAGGCTCAAGACGTATGCCAACTTCCCAGAAGCACCTCAGGAGGAGGCTTCTCTCAGCAATAGGTATGTGGGAGGGACCCCGAGTTTGCTGCCTCAAGGGGAATATACAGCGAGAAGCCCTAACTTGAAAGGAGGCCGGATTTCCTTGCAGTGGCTTGAATACAGGCTCGTCTTTCATCTCACAACATGAAGGGATGTCTGAATCCCCTGTGGAGACCTTAGAGAAAGCCCTAGGTCCCTGCCTCATTTTGACGGAATGCCTCACATCCCGCTGACACCTCGAGAGGCACGCGGAGTTCATTGCTTCAAAAGGTGACGATGCCTGACTCCTCTTGAATACTGATAGGAATCCCAAAATCCCTGTGGCTACTGGAAAGGGTCCTTGGGTGCCCTGCCTCACCTCGAGAAGCGTCCCTTTGGCCCTGCCAAGCCTCGAAGAGATTCCTGAGGTGTCCCTCGTTACTAGACAGGAGTCCTGACGTCACTGAAGAAACTCGTGTTTTGAAGGGCCATCCCCGCCGTAAGTCGAGAACATACCCCAGGTCCCCGCCGCAACTCGAGAAAAACCATGAGACTTCCCCCTAGAGGCGAGATGAGGCCCCATTCCCCTGCAGTGCATGCAGAGCTATTCCGTGATCCCATTCAAACAAGTCAGGAGCTTCGACTTGCTTAATGGATCTCGAGACAGTCCCCAAGAACACTGTCACCAGTCTAGACGGACCCTGAGGTCACCCCAGCAACGCAAAGCAGCTCCATGTGCCCCAAATCAACTCGAGATGAGGCCCGATTCCCCTGCATTGACTCCAGAGCCATTCCCCGTTCCCCATTCAACACGACCGGTGGCTCGACTTCCTTCAGGCAACTCCAGAGATGCCCCGAGAACACTGTCCCAAGTCTAGAGGAACACCAACTTCAGCACAGCAACTCGAGGAATGCTCCGTGTACCCCAAATCGTCTCGAGATGCGAGCTGATTCCCTGGCTTAGGCTCAAGACGTATGCCAACTTCCCAGAAGCACCTCAGGAGGAGGCTTCTCTCAGCAATAGGTATGTGGGAGGGACCCCGAGTTTGCTGCCTCAAGGGGAATATACAGCGAGAAGCCCTAACTTGAAAGGAGGCCGGATTTCCTTGCAGTGGCTTGAATACAGGCTCGTCTTTCATCTCACAACATGAAGGGATGTCTGAATCCCCTGTGGAGACCTTAGAGAAAGCCCTAGGTCCCTGCCTCATTTTGACGGAATGCCTCACATCCCGCTGACACCTCGAGAGGCACGCGGAGTTCATTGCTTCAAAAGGTGACGATGCCTGACTCCTCTTGAATACTGATAGGAATCCCAAAATCCCTGTGGCTACTGGAAAGGGTCCTTGGGTGCCCTGCCTCACCTCGAGAAGCGTCCCTTTGGCCCTGCCAAGCCTCGAAGAGATTCCTGAGGTGTCCCTCGTTACTAGACAGGAGTCCTGACGTCACTGAAGAAACTCGTGTTTTGAAGGGCCATCCCCGCCGTAAGTCGAGAACATACCCCAGGTCCCCGCCGCAACTCGAGAAAAACCATGAGACTTCCCCCTAGAGGCGAGATGAGGCCCCATTCCCCTGCAGTGCATGCAGAGCTATTCCGTGCTCCCATTCAAACAAGTCAGGAGCTTCGACTTGCTTAATGGATCTCGAGACAGTCCCCAAGAACACTGTCACCAGTCTAGACGGACCCTGAGGTCACCCCAGCAACGCAAAGCAGCTCCATGTGCCCCAAATCAACTCGAGATGAGGCCCGATTCCCCTGCATTGACTCCAGAGCCATTCCCCGTTCCCCATTCAACACGACCGGTGGCTCGACTTCCTTCAGGCAACTCCAGAGATGCCCCGAGAACACTGTCCCAAGTCTAGAGGAACACCAACTTCAGCACAGCAACTCGAGGAATGCTCCGTGTACCCCAAATCGTCTCGAGATGCGAGCTGATTCCCTGGCTTAGGCTCAAGACGTATGCCAACTTCCCAGAAGCACCTCAGGAGGAGGCTTCTCTCAGCAATAGGTATGTGGGAGGGACCCCGAGTTTGCTGCCTCAAGGGGAATATACAGCGAGAAGCCCTCACTTGAAAGGAGGCCGGATTTCCTTGCAGTGGCTTGAATACAGGCTCGTCTTTCATCTCACAACTTGAAGGGATGTCTGAATCCCCTGTGGAGACCTTAGAGAAAGCCCTAGGTCCCTGCCTCATTTTGACGGAATGCCTCACATCCCGCTGACACCTCGAGAGGCACGCGGAGTTCATTGCTTCAAAAGGTGACGATGCCTGACTCCTCTTGAATACTGATAGAATCCCAAAATCCCTGTGGCTACTGGAAAGGGTCCTTCGGTGCCCTGCCTCACCTCGAGAAGCGTCCCTTTGGCGCTGCCAAGCCTCGAAGAGATTCCTGAGGTGTCCCTCGTTACTAGACAGGAGTCCTGACGTCACTGAAGAAACTCGTGTTTTGAAGGGCCATCCCCGCCGTAAGTCGAGAACATACCCCAGGTCCCCGCCGCAACTCGAGAAAAACCATGAGACTTCCCCCTAGAGGCGAGATGAGGCCCCATTCCCCTGCAGTGCCTGCAGAGCTATTCCGTGATCCCATTCAAACAAGTCAGGAGCTTCGACTTGCTTAATGGATCTCGAGACAGTCCCCAAGAACACTGTCACCAGTCTAGACGGTCCCTGAGGTCACCCCAGCAACGCAAAGCAGCTCCATGTGCCCCAAATCAACTCGAGATGAGGCCCGATTCCCCTGCATTGACTCCAGAGCCATTCCCCGTTCCCCATTCAACAAGACCGGTGGCTCGACTTCCTTCAGGCAACTCCAGAGATGCCCCGAGAACACTGTCCCAAGTCTAGAGGAACACCAACTTCAGCACAGCAACTCGAGGAATGCTCCGTGTACCCCAAATCGTCTCGAGATGCGAGCTGATTCCCTGGCTTAGGCTCAAGACGTATGCCAACTTCCCAGAAGCACCTCAGGAGGAGGCTTCTCTCAGCAATAGGTATGTGGGAGGGACCCCGAGTTTGCTGCCTCAAGGGGAATATACAGCGAGAAGCCCTAACTTGAAAGGAGGCCGGATTTCCTTGCAGTGGCTTGAATACAGGCTCGTCTTTCATCTCACAACTTGAAGGGATGTCTGAATCCCCTGTGGAGACCTTAGAGAAAGCCCTAGGTCCCTGCCTCATTTTGACGGAATGCCTCACATCCCGCTGACACCTCGAGAGGCACGCGGAGTTCATTGCTTCAAAAGGTGACGATGCCTGACTCCTCTTGAATACTGATAGAATCCCAAAATCCCTGTGGCTACTGGAAAGGGTCCTTCGGTGCCCTGCCTCACCTCGAGAAGCGTCCCTTTGGCGCTGCCAAGCCTCGAAGAGATTCCTGAGGTGTCCCTCGTTACTAGACAGGAGTCCTGACGTCACTGAAGAAACTCGTGTTTTGAAGGGCCATCCCCGCCGTAAGTCGAGAACATACCCCAGGTCCCCGCCGCAACTCGAGAAAAACCATGAGACTTCCCCCTAGAGGCGAGATGAGGCCCCATTCCCCTGCAGTGCCTGCAGAGCTATTCCGTGATCCCATTCAAACAAGTCAGGAGCTTCGACTTGCTTAATGGATCTCGAGACAGTCCCCAAGAACACTGTCACCAGTCTAGACGGTCCCTGAGGTCACCCCAGCAACGCAAAGCAGCTCCATGTGCCCCAAATCAACTCGAGATGAGGCCCGATTCCCCTGCATTGACTCCAGAGCCATTCCCCGTTCCCCATTCAACAAGACCGGTGGCTCGACTTCCTTCAGGCAACTCCAGAGATGCCCCGAGAACACTGTCCCAAGTCTAGAGGAACACCAACTTCAGCACAGCAACTCGAGGAATGCTCCGTGTACCCCAAATCGTCTCGAGATGCGAGCTGATTCCCTGGCTTAGGCTCAAGACGTATGCCAACTTCCCAGAAGCACCTCAGGAGGAGGTTTCTCTCAGCAATAGGTATGTGGGAGGGACCCCGAGTTTGCTGCCTCAAGGGGAATATACAGCGAGAAGCCCTAACTTGAAAGGAGGCCGGATTTCCTTGCAGTGGCTTGAATACAGGCTCGTCTTTCATCTCACAACATGAAGGGATGTCTGAATCCCCTGTGGAGACCTTAGAGAAAGCCCTAGGTCCCTGCCTCATTTTGACGGAATGCCTCACATCCCGCTGACACCTCGAGAGGCACGCGGAGTTCATTGCTTCAAAAGGTGACGATGCCTGACTCCTCTTGAATACTGATAGGAATCCCAAAATCCCTGTGGCTACTGGAAAGGGTCCTTGGGAGCCCTGCCTCACCTCGAGAAGCGTCCCTTTGGCCCTGCCAAGCCTCGAAGAGATTCCTGAGGTGTCCCTCGTTACTAGACAGGAGTCCTGACGTCACTGAAGAAACTCGTGTTTTGAAGGGCCATCCCCGCCGTAAGTCGAGAACATACCCCAGGTCCCCGCCCCAACTCGAGAAAAACCATGAGACTTCCCCCTAGAGGCGAGATGAGGCCCCATTCCCCTGCAGTGCATGCAGAGCTATTCCGTGACCCCATTCAAACAAGTCAGGAGCTTCGACTTGCTTAATGGATCTCGAGACAGTCCCCAAGAACACTGTCACCAGTCTAGACGGACCCTGAGGTCACCCCAGCAACGCAAAGCAGCTCCATGTGCCCCAAATCAACTCGAGATGAGGCCCGATTCCCCTGCATTGACTCCAGAGCCATTCCCTGTTCCCCATTCAACACGACCGGTGGCTCGACTTCCTTCAGGCAACTCCAGAGATGCCCCGAGAACACTGTCCCAAGTCTAGAGGAACACCACCTTCAGCACAGCAACTCGAGGAATGCTCCGTGTACCCCAAATCGTCTCGAGATGCGAGCTGATTCCCTGGCTTAGGCTCAAGACGTATGCCAACTTCCCAGAAGCACCTCAGGAGGAGGCTTCTCTCAGCAATAGGTATGTGGGAGGGACCCCGAGTTTGCTGCCTCAAGGGGAATATACAGCGAGAAGCCCTAACTTGAAAGGAGGCCGGATTTCCTTGCAGTGGCTTGAATACAGGCTCGTCTTTCATCTCACAACATGAAGGGATGACTGAATCCCCTGTGGAGACCTTAGAGAAAGCCCTAGGTCCCTGCCTCATTTTGACGGAATGCCTCACATCCCGCTGACACCTCGAGAGGCACGCGGAGTACATTGCTTCAAAAGGTGACGATGCCTGACTCCTCTTGAATACTGATAGGAATCCCAAAATCCCTGTGGCTACTGGAAAGGGTCCTTGGGTGCCCTGCCTCACCTCGAGAAGCGTCCCTTTTGTCCTGCCAAGCCTCGAAGAGATTCCTGAGGTGTCCCTCGTTACTAGACAGGAGTCCTGACGTCACTGAAGAAACTCGTGTTTTGAAGGGCCATCCCCGCCGTAAGTCGAGAACATACCCCAGGTCCCCGCCGCAACTCGAGAAAAACCATGAGACTTCCCCCTAGAGGCGAGATGAGGCCCCATTCCCCTGCAGTGCCTGCAGAGCTATTCCGTGATCCCATTCAAACAAGGCAGGAGCTTCGACTTGCTTAATGGATCTCGAGACAGTCCCCAAGAACACTGTCACCAGTCTAGACGGACCCTGAGGTCACCCCAGCAACGCAAAGCAGCTCCATGTGCCCCAAATCAACTCGAGATGAGGCCCGATTCCCCTGCATTGACTCCAGAGCCATTCCCCGTTCCCCATTCAACACGACCGGTGGCTCGACTTCCTTCAGGCAACTCCAGAGATGCCCGGAGAACACTGTCCCAAGTCTAGAGGAACACCAACTTCAGCACAGCAACTCGAGGAATGCTCCGTGTACCCCAAATCGTCTCGAGATGCGAGCTGATTCCCTGGCTTAGGCTCAAGACGTATGCCAACTTCCCAGAAGCACCTCAGGAGGAGGCTTCTCTCAGCAATAGGTATGTGGGAGGGACCCCGAGTTTGCTGCCTCAAGGGGAATATACAGCGAGAAGCCCTAACTTGAAAGGAGGCCGGATTTCCTTGCAGTGGCTTGAATACAGGCTCGTCTTTCATCTCACAACATGAAGGGATGTCTGAATCCCCTGTGGAGACCTTAGAGAAAGCCCTAGGTCCCTGCCTCATTTTGACGGAATGCCTCACATCCCGCTGACACGTCGAGAGGCACGCGGAGTTCATTGCTTCAAAAGGTGACGATGCCTGACTCCTCTTGAATACTGATAGGAATCCCAAAATCCCTGTGGCGACTGGAAAGGGTCCTTGGGTGCCCTGCCTCACCTCGAGAAGCGTCCCTTTGGCCCTGCCAAGCCTCGAAGAGATTCCTGAGGTGTCCCTCGTTACTAGACAGGAGTCCTGACGTCACTGAAGAAACTCGTGTTTTGAAGGGCCATCCCCGCCGTAAGTCGAGAACATACCCCAGGTCCCCGCCGCAACTCGAGAAAAACCATGAGACTTCCCCCTAGAGGCGAGATGAGGCCCCATTCCCCTGCAGTGCATGCAGAGCTATTCCGTGATCCCATTCAAACAAGGCAGGAGCTTCGACTTGCTTAATGGATCTCGAGACAGTCCCCAAGAACACTGTCACCAGTCTAGACGGACCCTGAGGTCACCCCAGCAACGCAAAGCAGCTCCATGTGCCCCAAATCAACTCGAGATGAGGCCCGATTCCCCTGCATTGACTCCAGAGCCATTCCCCGTTCCCCATTCAACACGACCGGTGGCTCGACTTCCTTCAGGCAACTCCAGAGATGCCCCGAGAACACTGTCCCAAGTCTAGAGGAACACCAACTTCAGCACAGCAACTCGAGGAATGCTCCGTGTACCCCAAATCGTCTCGAGATGCGAGCTGATTCCCTGGCTTAGGCTCAAGACGTATGCCAACTTCCCAGAAGCACCTCAGGAGGAGGCTTCTCTCAGCAATAGGTATGTGGGAGGGACCCCGAGTTTGCTGCCTCAAGGGGAATATACAGCGAGAAGCCCTAACTTGAAAGGAGGCCGGATTTCCTTGCAGTGGCTTGAATACAGGCTCGTCTTTCATCTCACAACATGAAGGGATGTCTGAATCCCCTGTGGAGACCTTAGCGAAAGCCCTAGGTCCCTGCCTCATTTTGACGGAATGCCTCACATCCCGCTGACACCTCGAGAGGCACGCGGAGTTCATTGCTTCAAAAGGTGACGACGCCTGACTCCTCTTGAATACTGATAGGAATCCCAAAATCCCTGTGGCTACTGGAAAGGGTCCTTGGGTGCCCTGCCTCACCTCGAGAAGCGTCCCTTTGGCCCTGCCAAGCCTCGAAGAGATTCCTGAGGTGTCCCTCGTTACTAGACAGGAGTCCTGACGTCACTGAAGAAACTCGTGTTTTGAAGGGCCATCCCCGCCATAAGTCGAGATCATACCCCAGGTCCCCGCCGCAACTCGAGAAAAACCATGAGACTTCCCCCTAGAGGCGAGATGAGGCCCCATTCCCCTGCAGTGCATGCAGAGCTATTCCGTGATCCCATTCAAACAAGGCAGGAGCTTCGACTTGCTTAATGGATCTCGAGACAGTCCCCAACAACACTGTCACCAGTCTAGACGGACCCTGAGGTCACCCCAGCAACGCAAAGCAGCTCCATGTGCCCCAAATCAACTCGAGATGAGGCCCGATTCCCCTGCATTGACTCCAGAGCCATTCCCCGTTCCCCATTCAACACGACCGGTGGCTCGACTTCCATCAGGCAACTCCAGAGATGCCCCGAGAACACTGTCCCAAGTCTAGAGGAACACCAACTTCAGCACAGCAACTCGAGGAATGCTCCGTGTACCCCAAATCGTCTCGAGATGCGAGCTGATTCCCTGGCTTAGGCTCAAGACGTATGCCAACTTCCCAGAAGCACCTCAGGAGGAGGCTTCTCTCAGCAATAGGTATGTGGGAGGGACCCCGAGTTTGCTGCCTCAAGGGGAATATACAGCGAGAAGCCCTAACTTGAAAGGAGGCCGGATTTCCTTGCAGTGGCTTGAATACAGGCTCGTCTTTCATCTCACAACATGAAGGGATGTCTGAATCCCCTGTGGAGACCTTAGAGAAAGCCCTAGGTCCCTGCCTCATTTTGACGGAATGCCTCACATCCCGCTGACACCTCGAGAGGCACGCGGAGTTCATTGCTTCAAAAGGTGACGATGCCTGACTCCTCTTGAATACTGATAGGAATCCCAAAATCCCTGTGGCTACTGGAAAGGGTCCTTGGGTGCCCTGCCTCACCTCGAGAAGCGTCCCTTTGGCCCTGCCAAGCCTCGAAGAGATTCCTGATGTGTCCCCCGTTACTAGACAGGAGTCCTGACGTCACTGAAGAAACTCGTGTTTTGAAGGGCCATCCCCGCCGTAAGTCGAGAACATACCCCAGGTCCCCGCCGCAACTCGAGAAAAACCATGAGACTTCCCCCTAGAGGCGAGATGAGGCCCCATTCCCCTGCAGTGCATGCAGAGCTATTCCGTGATCCCATTCAAACAAGGCAGGAGCTTCGACTTGCTTAATGGATCTCGAGACAGTCCCCAAGAACACTGTCACCAGTCTAGACGGACCCTGAGGTCACCCCAGCAACGCAAAGCAGCTCCATGTGCCCCAAATCAACTCGAGATGAGGCCCGATTCCCCTGCATTGACTCCAGAGCCATTCCCCGTTCCCCATTCAACACGACCGGTGGCTCGACTTCCTTCAGGCAACTCCAGAGATGCCCCGAGAACACTGTCCCAAGTCTAGAGGAACACCACCTTCAGCACAGCAACTCGAGGAATGCTCCGTGTACCCCAAATCGTCTCGAGATGCGAGCTGATTCCCTGGCTTAGGCTCAAGACGTATGCCAACTTCCCAGAAGCACCTCAGGAGGAGGCTTCTCTCAGCAATAGGTATGTGGGAGGGACCCCGAGTTTGCTGCCTCAAGGGGAATATACAGCGAGAAGCCCTGACTTGAAAGGAGGCCGGATTTCCTTGCAGTGGCTTGAATACAGGCTCGTCTTTCATCTCACAACATGAAGGGATGTCTGAATCCCCTGTGGAGACCTTAGAGAAAGCCCTAGGTCCCTGCCTCATTTTGACGGAATGCCTCACATCCCGCTGACACCTCGAGAGGCACGCGGAGTTCATTGCTTCAAAAGGTGACGATGCCTGACTCCTCTTGAATACTGATAGGAATCCCAAAATCCCTGTGGCTACTGGAAAGGGTCCTTGGGTGCCCTGCCTCACCTCGAGAAGCGTCCCTTTGGCCCTGCCAAGCCTCGAAGAGATTCCTGATGTGTCCCCCGTTACTAGACAGGAGTCCTGACGTCACTGAAGAAACTCGTGTTTTGAAGGGCCATCCCCGCCGTAAGTCGAGAACATACCCCAGGTCCCCGCCGCAACTCGAGAAAAACCATGAGACTTCCCCCTAGAGGCGAGATGAGGCCCCATTCCCCTGCAGTGCATGCAGAGCTATTCCGTGATCCCATTCAAACAAGTCAGGAGCTTCGACTTGCTTAATGGATCTCGAGACAGTCCCCAAGAACACTGTCACCAGTCTAGACGGACCCTGAGGTCACCCCAGCAACGCAAAGCAGCTCCATGTGCCCCAAATCTACTCGAGATGAGGCCCGATTCCCCTGCATTGACTCCAGAGCCATTCCCCGTTCCCCATTCAACACGACCGGTGGCTCGACTTCCTTCAGGCAACTCCAGAGATGCCCCGAGAACACTGTCCCAAGTCTAGAGGAACACCAACTTCAGCACAGCAACTCGAGGAATGCTCCGTGTACCCCAAATCGTCTCGAGAGGCGAGCTGATTCCCTGGCTTAGGCTCAAGACGTATGCCAACTTCCCAGAAGCACCTCAGGAGGAGGCTTCTCTCAGCAATAGGTATGTGGGAGGGACCCCGAGTTTGCTGCCTCAAGGGGAATATACAGCGAGAAGCCCTAACTTGAAAGGAGGCCGGATTTCCTTGCAGTGGCTTGAATACAGGCTCGTCTTTCATCTCACAACATGAAGGGATGTCTGAATCCCCTGTGGAGACCTTAGAGAAAGCCCTAGGTCCCTGCCTCATTTTGACGGAATGCCTCACATCCCGCTGACACCTCGAGAGGCACGTGGAGTTCATTGCTTCAAAAGGTGACGATGCCTGACTCCTCTTGAATACTGATAGGAATCCCAAAATCCCTGTGGCGACTGGAAAGGGTCCTTGGGTGCCCTGCCTCACCTCGAGAAGCGTCCCTTTGGCCCTGCCAAGCCTCGAAGAGATTCCTGAGGTGTCCCTCGTTACTAGACAGGAGTCCTGACGTCACTGAAGAAACTCGTGTTTTGAAGGGCCATCCCCGCCGTAAGTCGAGAACATACCCCAGGTCCCCGCCGCAACTCGAGAAAAACCATGAGACTTCCCCCTAGAGGCGAGATGAGGCCCCATTCCCCTGCAGTGCATGCAGAGCTATTCCGTGATCCCATTCAAACAAGTCAGGAGCTTCGACTTGCTTAATGGATCTCGAGACAGTCCCCAAGAACACTGTCACCAGTCTAGACGGACCCTGAGGTCACCCCAGCAACGCAAAGCAGCTCCATGTGCCCCAAATCAACTCGAGATGAGGCCCGATTCCCCTGCATTGACTCCAGAGCCATTCCCCGTTCCCCATTCAACACGACCGGTGGCTCGACTTCCTTCAGGCAACTCCAGAGATGCCCCGAGAACACTGTCCCAAGTCTAGAGGAACACCAACTTCAGCACAGCAACTCGAGGAATGCTCCGTGTACCCCAAATCGTCTCGAGATGCGAGCTGATTCCCTGGCTTAGGCTCAAGACGTATGCCAACTTCCCAGAAGCACCTCAGGAGGAGGCTTCTCTCAGCAATAGGTATGTGGGAGGGACCCCGAGTTTGCTGCCTCAAGGGGAATATACAGCGAGAAGCCCTAACTTGAAAGGAGGCCGGATTTCCTTGCAGTGGCTTGAATACAGGCTCGTCTTTCATCTCACAACATGAAGGGATGTCTGAATCGCCTGTGGAGACCTTAGAGAAAGCCCTAGGTCCCTGCCTCATTTTGACGGAATGCCTCACATCCCGCTGACACCTCGAGAGGCACGCGGAGTTCATTGCTTCAAAAGGTGACGATGCCTGACTCCTCTTGAATACTGATAGGAATCCCAAAATCCCTGTGGCTACTGGAAAGGGTCCTTGGGTGCCCTGCCTCACCTCGAGAAGCGTCCCTTTGGCCCTGCCAAGCCTCGAAGAGATTCCTGAGGTGTCCCTCGTTACTAGACAGGAGTCCTGACGTCACTGAAGAAACTCGTGTTTTGAAGGGCCATCCCCGCCGTAAGTCGAGAACATACCCCAGGTCCCCGCCGCAACTCGAGAAAAACCATGAGACTTCCCCCTAGAGGCGAGATGAGGCCCCATTCCCCTGCAGTGCATGCAGAGCTATTCCGTGATCCCATTCAAACAAGTCAGGAGCTTCGACTTGCTTAATGGATCTCGAGACAGTCCCCAAGAACACTGTCACCAGTCTAGACGGACCCTGAGGTCACCCCAGCAACGCAAAGCAGCTCCATGTGCCCCAAATCAACTCGAGATGAGGCCCGATTCTCCTGCATTGACTCCAGAGCCATTCCCCGTTCCCCATTCAACACGACCGGTGGCTCGACTTCCTTCAGGCAACTCCAGAGATGCCCCGAGAACACTGTCCCAAGTCTAGAGGAACACCAACTTCAGCACAGCAACTCGAGGAATGCTCCGTGTACCCCAAATCGTCTCGAGATGCGAGCTGATTCCCTGGCTTAGGCTCAAGACGTATGCCAACTTCCCAGAAGCACCTCAGGAGGAGGCTTCTCTCAGCAATAGGTATGTGGGAGGGACCCCGAGTTTGCTGCCTCAAGGGGAATATACAGCGAGAAGCCCTAACTGGAAAGGAGGCCGGATTTCCTTGCAGTGGCTTGAATACAGGCTCGTCTTTCATCTCACAACATGAAGGGATGTCTGAATCCCCTGTGGAGACCTTAGAGAAAGCCCTAGGTCCCTGCCTCATTTTGACGGAATGCCTCACATCCCGCTGACACCTCGAGAGTCACGCGGAGTTCATTGCTTCAAAAGGTGACGATGCCTGACTCCTCTTGAATACTGATAGGAATCCCAAAATCCCTGTGGCGACTGGAAAGGGTCCTTGGGTGCCCTGCCTCACCTCGAGAAGCGTCCCTTTGGCCCTGCCAAGCCTCGAAGTGATTCCTGAGGTGTCCCTCGTTACTAGACAGGAGTCCTGACGTCACTGAAGAAACTCGTGTTTTGAAGGGCCATCCCCGCCGTAAGTCGAGAACATACCCCAGGTCCCCGCCGCAACTCGAGAAAAACCATGAGACTTCCCCCTAGAGGCGAGATGAGGCCCCATTCCCCTGCAGTGCATGCAGAGCTATTCCGTGATCCCATTCAAACAAGGCAGGAGCTTCGACTTGCTTAATGGATCTCGAGACAGTCCCCAAGAACACTGTCACCAGTCTAGACGGACCCTGAGGTCACCCCAGCAACGCAAAGCAGCTCCATGTGCCCCAAATCAACTCGAGATGAGGCCCGATTCCCCTGCATTGACTCCAGAGCCATTCCCCGTTCCCCATTCAACACGACCGGTGGCTCGACTTCCTTCAGGCAACTCCAGAGATGCCCCGAGAACACTGTCCCAAGTCTAGAGGAACACCAACTTCAGCACAGCAACTCGAGGAATGCTCCGTGTACCCCAAATCGTCTCGAGATGCGAGCTGATTCCCTGGCTTAGGCTCAAGACGTATGCCAACTTCCCAGAAGCACCTCAGGAGGAGGCTTCTCTCAGCAATAGGTATGTGGGAGGGACCCCGAGTTTGCTGCCTCAAGGGGAATATACAGCGAGAAGCCCTAACTTGAAAGGAGGCCGGATTTCCTTGCAGTGGCTTGAATACAGGCTCGTCTTTCATCTCACAACATGAAGGGATGTCTGAATCCCCTGTGGAGACCTTAGAGAAAGCCCTAGGTCCCTGCCTCATTTTGACGGAATGCCTCACATCCCGCTGACACCTCGAGAGGCACGCGGAGTTCATTGCTTCAAAAGGTGACGATGCCTGACTCCTCTTGAATACTGATAGGAATCCCAAAATCCCTGTGGCTACTGGAAAGGGTCCTTGGGTGCCCTGCCTCACGTCGAGAAGCGTCCCTTTGGCCCTGCCAAGCCTCGAAGAGATTCCTGAGGTGTCCCTCGTTACTAGACAGGAGTCCTGACGTCACTGAAGAAACTCGTGTTTTGAAGGGCCACCCCCGCCGTAAGTCGAGAACATACCCCAGGTCCCCGCCGCAACTCGAGAAAAACCATGAGACTTCCCCCTAGAGGCGAGATGAGGCCCCATTCCCCTGCAGTGCATGCAGAGCTATTCCGTGATCCCATTCAAACAAGGCAGGAGCTTCGACTTGCTTAATGGATCTCGAGACAGTCCCCAAGAACACTGTAACCAGTCTAGACGGACCCTGAGGTCACCCCAGCAACGCAAAGCAGCTCCATGTGCCCCAAATCAACTCGAGATGAGGCCCGATTCCCCTGCATTGACTCCAGAGCCATTCCCCGTTCCCCATTCAACACGACCGGTGGCTCGACTTCCTTCAGGCAACTCCAGAGATGCCCCGAGAACACTGTCCCAAGTCTAGAGGAACACCAACTTCAGCACAGCAACTCGAGGAATGCTCCGTGCACCCCAAGTCGTCTCGAGATGCGAGCTGATTCCCTGGCTTAGGCTCAAGACGTATGCCAACTTCCCAGAAGCACCTCAGGAGGAGGCTTCTCTCAGCAATAGGTATGTGGGAGGGACCCCGAGTTTGCTGCCTCAAGGGGAATATACAGCGAGAAGCCCTAACTTGAAAGGAGGCCGGATTTCCTTGCAGTGGCTTGAATACAGGCTCGTCTTTCATCTCACAACATGAAGGGATGTCTGAATCCCCTGTGGAGACCTTAGAGAAAGCCCTAGGTCCCTGCCTCATTTTGACGGAATGCCTCACATCCCGCTGACACCTCGAGAGGCACGCGGAGTTCATTGCTTCAAAAGGTGACGATGCCTGACTCCTCTTGAATACTGATAGGAATCCCAAAATCCCTGTGGCTACTGGAAAGGGTCCTTGGGTGCCCTGCCTCACCTCGAGAAGCGTCCCTTTGGCCCTGCCAAGCCTCGAAGAGATTCCTGAGGTGTCCGTCGTTACTAGACAGGAGTCCTGACGTCACTGAAGAAACTCGTGTTTTGAAGGGCCATCCCCGCCGTAAGTCGAGAACATACCCCAGGTCCCCGCCTCAACTCAGGAAAAACCATGAGACTTCCCCCTAGAGGGGAGATGAGGCCCCATTCCCCTGCAGTGCATGCAGAGCTATTCCGTGATCCCATTCAAACAAGTCAGGAGCTTCGACTTGCTTAATGGATCTCGAGACAGTCCCCAAGAACACTGTCACCAGTCTAGACGGACCCTGAGGTCACCCCAGCAACGCAAAGCAGCTCCATGTGCCCCAAATCAACTCGAGATGAGGCCCGATTCCCCTGCATTGACTCCAGAGCCATTCCCCGTTCCCCATTCAACACGACCGGTGGCTCGACTTCCTTCAGGCAACTCCAGAGATGCCCCGAGAACACTGTCCCAAGTCTAGAGGAACACCAACTTCAGCACAGCAAGTCGAGGAATGCTCCGTGTACCCCAAATCGTCTCGAGATGCGAGCTGATTCCCTGGCTTAGGCTCAAGACGTATGCCAACTTCCCAGAAGCACCTCAGGAGGAGGCTTCTCTCAGCAATAGGTATGTGGGAGGGACCCCGAGTTTGCTGCCTCAAGGGGAATATACAGCGAGAAGCCCTAACTTGAAAGGAGGCCGGATTTCCTTGCAGTGGCTTGAATACAGGCTCGTCTTTCATCTCACAACATGAAGGGATGTCTGAATCCCCTGTGGAGACCTTAGCGAAAGCCCTAGGTCCCTGCCTCATTTTGACGGAATGCCTCACATCCCGCTGACACCTCGAGAGGCACGCGGAGTTCATTGCTTCAAAAGGTGACGATGCCTGACTCCTCTTGAATAATGATAGGAATCCCAAAATCCCTGTGGCTACTGGAAAGGGTCCTTGGGTGCCCTGCCTCACCTCGAGAAGCGTCCCTTTGGCCCTGCCAAGCCTCGAAGAGATTCCTGAGGTGTCCCTCGTTACTAGACAGGAGTCCTGACGTCACTGAAGAAACTCGTGTTTTGAAGGGCCATCCCCGCCGTAAGTCGAGAACATACCCCAGGTCCCCGCCGCAACTCGAGAAAAACCATGAGACTTCCCCCTAGAGGCGAGATGAGGCCCCATTCCCCTGCAGTGCATGCAGAGCTATTCCGTGATCCCATTCAAACAAGGCAGGAGCTTCGACTTGCTTAATGGATCTCGAGACAGTCCCCAAGAACACTGTCACCAGTCTAGACGGACCCTGAGGTCACCCCAGCAACGCAAAGCAGCTCCATGTGCCCCAAATCAACTCGAGATGAGGCCCGATTCCCCTGCATTGACTCCAGAGCCATTCCCCGTTCCCCATTCAACACGACCGGTGGCTCGACTTCCTTCAGGCAACTCCAGAGATGCCCCGAGAACACTGTCCCAAGTCTAGAGGAACACCAACTTCAGCACAGCAACTCGAGGAATGCTCCGTGTACCCCAAATCGTCTCGAGATGCGAGCTGATTCCCTGGCTTAGGCTCAAGACGTATGCCAACTTCCCAGAAGCACCTCAGGAGGAGGCTTCTCTCAGCAGTAGGTATGTGGGAGGGACCCCGAGTTTGCTGCCTCAAGGGGAATATACAGCGAGAAGCCCTAACTTGAAAGGAGGCCGGATTTCCTTGCAGTGGCTTCAATACAGGCTCGTCTTTCATCTCACAACATGAAGGGATGTCTGAATCCCCTGTGGAGACCTTAGAGAAAGCCCTAGGTCCCTGCCTCATTTTGACGGAATGCCTCACATCCCGCTGACACCTCGAGAGGCACGCGGAGTTCATTGCTTCAAAAGGTGACGATGCCTGACTCCTCTTGAATACTGATAGGAATCCCAAAATCCCTGTGGCTACTGGAAAGGGTCCTTGGGTGCCCTGCCTCACCTCGAGAAGCGTCCCTTTTGCCCTGCCAAGCCTCGAAGAGATTCCTGAGGTGTCCCTCGTTACTAGACAGGAGTCCTGACGTCACTGAAGAAACTCGTGTTTTGAAGGGCCATCCCCGCCGTAAGTCGAGAACATACCCCAGGTCCCCGCCGCAACTCGAGAAAAACCATGAGACTTCCCCCTAGAGGCGAGATGAGGCCCCATTCCCCTGCAGTGCATGCAGAGCTATTCCGTGATCCCATTCAAACAAGTCAGGAGCTTCGACTTGCTTAATGGATCTCGAGACAGTCCCCAAGAACACTGTCACCAGTCTAGACGGACCCTGAGGTCACCCCAGCAACGCAAAGCAGCTCCAAGTGCCCCAAATCAACTCGAGATGAGGCCCGATTCCCCTGCATTGACTCCAGAGCCATTCCCCGTTCCCCATTCAACACGACCGGTGGCTCGACTTCCTTCAGGCAACTCCAGAGATGCCCCGAGAACACTGTCCCAAGTCTAGAGGAACACCAACTTCAGCACAGCAACTCGAGGAATGCTCCGTGTACCCCAAATCGTCTCGAGATGCGAGCTGATTCCCTGGCTTAGGCTCAAGACGTATGCCAACTTCCCAGAAGCACCTCAGGAGGAGGCTTCTCTCAGCAATAGGTATGTGGGAGGGACCCCAAGTTTGCTGCCTCAAGGGGAATATACAGCGAGAAGCCCTAACTTGAAAGGAGGCCGGATTTCCTTGCAGTGGCTTGAATACAGGCTCGTCTTTCATCTCACAACATGAAGGGATGTCTGAATCCCCTGTGGAGACCTTAGCGAAAGCCCTAGGTCCCTGCCTCATTTTGACGGAATGCCTCACATCCCGCTGACACCTCGAGAGGCACGCGGAGTTCATTGCTTCAAAAGGTGACGATGCCTGACTCCTCTTGAATACTGATAGGAATCCCAAAATCCCTGTGGCTACTGGAAAGGGTCCTTGGGTGCCCTGCCTCACATCGAGAAGCGTCCCTTTTGCCCTGCCAAGCCTCGAAGAGATTCCTGAGGTGTCCCTCGTTACTAGACAGGAGTCCTGACGTCACTGAAGAAACTCGTGTTTTGAAGGGCCATCCCCGCCGTAAGTCGAGAACATACCCCAGGTCCCCGCCGCAACTCGAGAAAAACCATGAGACTTCCCCCTAGAGGCGAGATGAGGCCCCATTCCCCTGCAGTGCATGCAGAGCTATTCCGTGATCCCATTCAAACAAGTCAGGAGCTTCGACTTGCTTAATGGATCTCGAGACAGTCCCCAAGAACACTGTCACCAGTCTAGACGGACCCTGAGGTCACCCCAGCAACGCAAAGCAGCTCCATGTGCCCCAAATCAACTCGAGATGAGGCCCGATTCCCCTGCATTGACTCCAGAGCCATTCCCCGTTCCCCATTCAACACGACCGGTGGCTCGACTTCCTTCAGGCAACTCCAGAGATGCCCCGAGAACACTGTCCCAAGTCTAGAGGAACACCACCTTCAGCACAGCAACTCGAGGAATGCTCCGTGTACCCCAAATCGTCTCGAGATGCGAGCTGATTCCCTGGCTTAGGCTCAAGACGTATGCCAACTTCCCAGAAGCACCTCAGGAGGAGGCTTCTCTCAGCAATAGGTATGTGGGAGGGACCCCGAGTTTGCTGCCTCAAGGGGAATATACAGCGAGAAGCCCTAACTTGAAAGGAGGCCGGATTTCCTTGCAGTGGCTTGAATACAGGCTCGTCTTTCATCTCACAACATGAAGGGATGTCTGAATCCCCTGTGGAGACCTTAGAGAAAGCCCTAGGTCCCTGCCTCATTTTGACGGAATGCCTCACATCCCGCTGACACCTCGAGAGGCACGCGGAGTTCATTGCTTCAAAAGGTGACGATGCCTGACTCCTCTTGAATACTGATAGGAATCCCAAAATCCCTGTGGCTACTGGAAAGGGTCCTTGGGTGCCCTGCCTCACCTCGAGAAGCGTCCCTTTGGCCCTGCCAAGCCTCGAAGAGATTCCTGAGGTGTCCGTCGTTACTAGACAGGAGTCCTGACGTCACTGAAGAAACTCGTGTTTTGAAGGGCCATCCCCGCCGTAAGTCGAGAACATACCCCAGGTCCCCGCCGCAACTCGAGAAAAACCATGAGACTTCCCCCTAGAGGCGAGATGAGGCCCCATTCCCCTGCAGTGCATGCAGAGCTATTCCGTGATCCCATTCAAACAAGTCAGGAGCTTCGACTTGCTTAATGGATCTCGAGACAGTCCCCAAGAACACTGTCACCAGTCTAGACGGACCCTGAGGTCACCCCAGCAACGCAAAGCAGCTCCATGTGCCCCAAATCAACTCGAGATGAGGCCCGATTCCCCTGCATTGACTCCAGAGCCATTCCCCGTTCCCCATTCAACACGACCGGTGGCTCGACTTCCTTCAGGCAACTCCAGAGATGCCCCGAGAACACTGTCCCAAGTCTAGAGGAACACCAACTTCAGCACAGCAAGTCGAGGAATGCTCCGTGTACCCCAAATCGTCTCGAGATGCGAGCTGATTCCCTGGCTTAGGCTCAAGACGTATGCCAACTTCCCAGAAGCACCTCAGGAGGAGGCTTCTCTCAGCAATAGGTATGTGGGAGGGACCCCGAGTTTGCTGCCTCAAGGGGAATATACAGCGAGAAGCCCTAACTTGAAAGGAGGCCGGATTTCCTTGCAGTGGCTTGAATACAGGCTCGTCTTTCATCTCACAACATGAAGGGATGTCTGAATCCCCTGTGGAGACCTTAGCGAAAGCCCTAGGTCCCTGCCTCATTTTGACGGAATGCCTCACATCCCGCTGACACCTCGAGAGGCACGCGGAGTTCATTGCTTCAAAAGGTGACGATGCCTGACTCCTCTTGAATACTGATAGGAATCCCAAAATCCCTGTGGCTACTGGAAAGGGTCCTTGGGTGCCCTGCCTCACCTCGAGAAGCGTCCCTTTGGCGCTGCCAACCCTCGAAGAGATTCCTGAGGTGTCCCTCGTTACTAGACAGGAGTCCTGACGTCACTGAAGAAACTGGTGTTTTGAAGGGCCATCCCCGCCGTAAGTCGAGAACATACCCCAGGTCCCCGCCGCAACTCGAGAAAAACCATGAGACTTCCCCCTAGAGGCGAGATGAGGCCCCATTCCCCTGCAGTGCCTGCAGAGCTATTCCGTGATCCCATTCAAACAAGTCAGGAGCTTTGACTTGCTTAATGGATCTCGAGACAGTCCCCAAGAACACTGTCACCAGTCTAGACGGACCCTGAGGTCACCCCAGCAAAGCAAAGCAGCTCCATGTGCCCCAAATCAACTCGAGATGAGGCCCGATTCCCCTGCATTGACTCCAGAGCCATTCCCCGTTCCCCATTCAACACGACCGGTGGCTCGACTTCCTTCAGGCAACTCCAGAGATGCCCCGAGAACACTGTCCCAAGTCTAGAGGAACACCACCTTCAGCACAGCAACTCGAGGAATGCTCCGTGTACCCCAAATCGTCTCGAGATGCGAGCTGATTCCCTGGCTTAGGCTCAAGACGTATGCCAACTTCCCAGAAGCACCTCAGGAGGAATCTTCTCTCAGCAATAGGTATCTGGGAGGGACCCCGAGTTTGCTGCCTCAAGGGGAATATACAGCGAGAAGCCCTAACTTGAAAGGAGGCCGGATTTCCTTGCAGTGGCTTGAATACAGGCTCGTCTTTCATCTCACAACATGAAGGGATGTCTGAATCCCCTGTGGAGACCTTAGCGAAAGCCCTAGGTCCCTGCCTCATTTTGACGGAATGCCTCACATCCCGCTGACACCTCGAGAGGCACGCGGAGTTCATTGCTTAAAAAGGTGACGATGCCTGACTCCTCTTGAATACTGATAGGAATCCCAAAATCCCTGTGGCTACTGGAAAGGGTCCTTGGGTGCCCTGCCTCACCCCGAGAAGCGTCCCTTTGGCCCTGCCAAGCCTCGAAGAGATTCCTGAGGTGTCCCTCGTTACTAGACAGGAGTCCTGACGTCACTGAAGATACTCGTGTTTTGAAGGGCCATCCCCGCCGTAAGTCGAGAACATACCCCAGGTCCCCGCCGCAACTCGAGAAAAACCATGAGACTTCCCCCTAGAGGCGAGATGAGGCCCCATTCCCCTGCAGTGCATGCAGAGCTATTCCGTGATCCCATTCAAACAAGGCAGGAGCTTCGACTTGCTTAATGGATCTCGAGACAGTCCCCAAGAACACTGTCACCAGTCTAGACGGACCCTGAGGTCACCCCAGCAACGCAAAGCAGCTCCATGTGCCCCAAATCAACTCGAGATGAGGCCCGATTCCCCTGCATTGACTCCAGAGCCATTCCCCGTTCCCCATTCAACACGACCGTTGGCTCGACTTGCCTTCTCTCCAGAGATGCCCCGAGAACACTGTCCCAAGTCTAGAGGAACACCAACTTCAGCACAGCAAGTCGAGGAATGCTCCGTGTACCCCAAATCGTCTCGAGATGCGAGCTGATTCCCTGGCTTAGGCTCAAGACGTATGCCAACTTCCCAGAAGCACCTCAGGAGGAGGCTTCTCTCAGCAATAGGTATGTGGGAGGGACCCCGAGTTTGCTGCCTCAAGGGGAATATACAGCGAGAAGCCCTAACTTGAAAGGAGGCCGGATTTCCTTGCAGTGGCTTGAATACAGGCTCGTCTTTCATCTCACAACATGAAGGGATGTCTGAATCCCCTGTGGAGACCTTAGAGAAAGCCCTAGGTCCCTGCCTCATTTTGACGGAATGCCTCACATCCCGCTGACACCTCGAGAGGCACGCGGAGTTCATTGCTTCAAAAGGTGACGATGCCTGACTCCTCTTGAATACTGATAGGAATCCCAAAATCCCTGTGGCTACTGGAAAGGGTCCTTGGGTGCCCTGCCTCACCTCGAGAAGCGTCCCTTTGGCCCTGCCAAGCCTCGAAGAGATTCCTGAGGTGTCCCTCGTTACTAGACAGGAGTCCTGACGTCACTGAAGAAACTCGTGTTTTGAAGGGCCATCCCCGCCGTAAGTCGAGAACATACCCCAGGTCCCCGCCGCAACTCGAGAAAAACCATGAGACTTCCCCCTAGAGGCGAGATGAGGCCCCATTCCCCTGCAGTGCATGCAGAGCTATTCCGTGATCCCATTCAAACAGGTCAGGAGCTTCGACTTGCTTAATGGATCTCGAGACAGTCCCCAAGAACACTGTCACCAGTCTAGACGGACCCTGAGGTCACCCCAGCAACGCAAAGCAGCTCCATGTGCCCCAAATCAACTCGAGATGAGGCCCGATTCCCCTGCATTGACTCCAGAGCCATTCCCCGTTCCCCATTCAACACGACCGGTGGCTCGACTTGCCTTCTCTCCAGAGATGCCCCGAGAACACTGTCCCAAGTCTAGAGGAACACCAACTTCAGCACAGCAAGTCGAGGAATGCTCCGTGTACCCCAAATCGTCTCGAGATGCGAGCTGATTCCCTGGCTTAGGCTCAAGACGTATGCCAACTTCCCAGAAGCACCTCAGGAGGAGGCTTCTCTCAGCAATAGGTATGTGGGAGGGACCCCGAGTTTGCTGCCTCAAGGGGAATATACAGCGAGAAGCCCTAACTTGAAAGGAGGCCGGATTTCCTTGCAGTGGCTTGAATACAGGCTCGTCTTTCATCTCACAACATGAAGGGATGTCTGAATCCCCTGTGGAGACCTTAGAGAAAGCCCTAGGTCCCTGCCTCATTTTGACGGAATGCCTCACATCCCGCTCACACCTCGAGAGGCACGCGGAGTTCATTGCTTCAAAAGGTGACGATGCCTGACTCCTCTTGAATACTGATAGGAATCCCAAAATCCCTGTGGCTACTGGAAAGGGTCCTTGGGTGCCCTGCCTCACCTCGAGAAGCGTCCCTTTGGCCCTGCCAAGCCTCGAAGAGATTCCTGAGGTGTCCCTCGTTACTAGACAGGAGTCCTGACGTCACTGAAGAAACTCGTGTTTTGAAGGGCCATCCCCGCCGTAAGTCGAGAACATACCCCAGGTCCCCGCCGCAACTCGAGAAAAACCATGAGACTTCCCCCTAGAGGCGAGATGAGGCCCCATTCCCCTGCAGTGCATGCAGAGCTATTCCGTGATCCCATTCAAACAGGTCAGGAGCTTCGACTTGCTTAATGGATCTCGAGACAGTCCCCAAGAACACTGTCACCAGTCTAGACGGACCCTGAGGTCACCCCAGCAACGCAAAGCAGCTCCATGTGCCCCAAATCAACTCGAGATGAGGCCCGATTCCCCTGCATTGACTCCAGAGCCATTCCCCGTTCCCCATTCAACACGACCGGTGGCTCGACTTCCTTCAGGCAACTCCAGAGATGCCCCGAGAACACTGTCCCAAGTCTAGAGGAACACCAACTTCAGCACAGCAAGTCGAGGAATGCTCCGTGTACCCCAAATCGTCTCGAGATGCGAGCTGATTCCCTGGCTTAGGCTCAAGACGTATGCCAACTTCCCAGAAGCACCTCAGGAGGAGGCTTCTCTCAGCAATAGGTATGTGGGAGGGACCCCGAGTTTGCTGCCTCAAGGGGAATATACAGCGAGAAGCCCTAACTTGAAAGGAGTCCGGATTTCCTTGCAGTGGCTTGAATACAGGCTCGTCTTTCATCTCACAACATGAAGGGATGTCTGAATCCCCTGTGGAGACCTTAGAGAAAGCCCTAGGTCCCTGCCTCATTTTGACGGAATGCCTCACATCCCGCTCACACCTCGAGAGGCACGCGGAGTTCATTGCTTCAAAAGGTGACGATGCCTGACTCCTCTTGAATACTGATAGGAATCCCAAAATCCCTGTGGCTACTGGAAAGGGTCCTTGGGTGCCCTGCCTCACCTCGAGAAGCGTCCCTTTGGCCCTGCCAAGCCTCGAAGAGATTCCTGAGGTGTCCCTCGTTACTAGACAGGAGTCCTGACGTCACTGAAGAAACTCGTGTTTTGAAGGGCCATCCCCGCCGTAAGTCGAGAACATACCCCAGGTCCCCGCCGCAACTCGAGAAAAACCATGAGACTTCCCCCTAGAGGCGAGATGAGGCCCCATTCCCCTGCAGTGCATGCAGAGCTATTCCGTGATCCCATTCAAACAAGGCAGGAGCTTCGACTTGCTTAATGGATCTCGAGACAGTCCCCAAGAACACTGTCACCAGTCTAGACGGACCCTGAGGTCACCCCAGCAACGCAAAGCAGCTCCATGTGCCCCAAATCAACTCGAGATGAGGCCCGATTCCCCTGCATTGACTCCAGAGCCATTCCCCGTTCCCCATTCAACACGACCGGTGGCTCGACTTCCTTCAGGCAACTCCAGAGATGCCCCGAGAACACTGTCCCAAGTCTAGAGGAACACCACCTTCAGCACAGGAACTCGAGGAATGCTCCGTGTACCCCAAATCGTCTCGAGATGCGAGCTGATTCCCTGGCTTAGGCTCAAGACGTATGCCAACTTCCCAGAAGCACCTCAGGAGGAGGCTTCTCTCAGCAATAGGTATGTGGGAGGGACCCCGAGTTTGCTGCCTCAAGGGGAATATACAGCGAGAAGCCCTAACTTGAAAGGAGGCCGGATTTCCTTGCAGTGGCTTGAATACAGGCTCGTCTTTCATCTCACAACATGAAGGGATGTCTGAATCCCCTGTGGAGACCTTAGAGAAAGCCCTAGGTCCCTGCCTCATTTTGACGGAATGCCTCACATCCCGCTGACACCTCGAGAGGCACGCGGAGTTCATTGCTTCAAAAGGTGACGATGCCTGACTCCTCTTGAATACTGATAGGAATCCCAAAATCCCTGTGGCTACTGGAAAGGGTCCTTGGGTGCCCTGCCTCACCTCGAGAAGCGTCCCTTTGGCCCTGCCAAGCCTCGAAGAGATTCCTGAGGTGTCCCTCGTTACTAGACAGGAGTCCTGACGTCACTGAAGAAACTCGTGTTTTGAAGGGCCATCCCCGCCGTAAGTCGAGAACATACCCCAGGTCCCCGCCGCAACTCGAGAAAAACCATGAGACTTCCCCCTAGAGGCGAGATGAGGCCCCATTCCCCTGCAGTGCATGCAGAGCTATTCCGTGATCCCATTCAAACAAGGCAGGAGCTTCGACTTGCTTAATGGATCTCGAGACAGTCCCCAAGAACACGGTCACCAGTCTAGACGGACCCTGAGGTCACCCCAGCAACGCAAAGCAGCTCCATGTGCCCCAAATCAACTCGAGATGAGGCCCGATTCCCCTGCATTGACTCCAGAGCCATTCCCCGTTCCCCATTCAACACGACCGGTGGCTCGACTTCCTTCAGGCAACTCCAGAGATGCCCCGAGAACACTGTCCCAAGGCTAGAGGAACACCAACTTCAGCACAGCAACTCGAGGAATGCTCCGTGTACCCCAAATCGTCTCGAGATGCGAGCTGATTCCCTGGCTTAGGCTCAAGACGTATGCCAACTTCCCAGAAGCACCTCAGGAGGAGGCTTCTCTCAGCAATAGGTATGTGGGAGGGACCCCGAGTTTGCTGCCTCAAGGGGAATATACAGCGAGAAGCCCTAACTTGAAAGGAGGCCGGATTTCCTTGCAGTGGCTTGAATACAGGCTCGTCTTTCATCTCACAACATGAAGGGATGTCTGAATCCCCTGTGGAGACCTTAGAGAAAGCCCTAGGTCCCTGCCTCATTTTGACGGAATGCCTCACATCGTGCTGACACCTCGAGAGGCACGCGGAGTTCATTGCTTCAAAAGGTGACGATGCCTGACTCCTCTTGAATACTGATAGGAATCCCAAAATCCCTGTGGCTACTGGAAAGGGTCCTTGGGTGCCCTGCCTCACCTCGAGAAGCGTCCCTTTGGCCCTGCCAAGCCTCGAAGAGATTCCTGAGGTGTCCGTCGTTACTAGACAGGAGTCCTGACGTCACTGAAGAAACTCGTGTTTTGAAGGGCCATCCCCGCCGTAAGTCGAGAACATACCCCAGGTCCCCGCCGCAACTCGAGAAAAACCATGAGACTTCCCCCTAGAGGCGAGATGAGGCCCCATTCCCCTGCAGTGCATGCAGAGCTATTCCGTGATCCCATTCAAACAAGGCAGGAGCTTCGACTTGCTTAATGGATCTCGAGACAGTCCCCAAGAACACTGTCACCAGTCTAGACGGACCCTGAGGTCACCCCAGCAACGCAAAGCAGCTCCATGTGCCCCAAATCAACTCGAGATGAGGCCCGATTCCCCTGCATTGACTCCAGAGCCATTCCCCGTTCCCCATTCAACACGACCGGTGGCTCGACTTCCTTCAGGCAACTCCAGAGATGCCCCGAGAACACTGTCCCAAGTCTAGAGGAACACCAACTTCAGCACAGCAAGTCGAGGAATGCTCCGTGTACCCCAAATCGTCTCGAGATGCGATCTGATTCCCTGGCTTAGGCTCAAGACGTATGCCAACTTCCCAGAAGCACCTCAGGAGGAGGCTTCTCTCAGCAATAGGTATGTGGGAGGGACCCCGAGTTTGCTGCCTCAAGGGGAATATACAGCGAGAAGCCCTAACTTGAAAGGAGTCCGGATTTCCTTGCAGTGGCTTGAATACAGGCTCGTCTTTCATCTCACAACATGAAGGGATGTCTGAATCCCCTGTGGAGACCTTAGAGAAAGCCCTAGGTCCCTGCCTCATTTTGACGGAATGCCTCACATCCCGCTGACACGTCGAGAGGCACGCGGAGTTCATTGCTTCAAAAGGTGACGATGCCTGACTCCTCTTGAATACTGATAGGAATCCCAAAATCCCTGTGGCTACTGGAAAGGGTCCTTGGGTGCCCTGCCTCACCTCGAGAAGCGTCTCTTTGGCCCTGCCAAGCCTCGAAGAGATTCCTGAGGTGTCCCTCGTTACTAGACAGGAGTCCTGACGTCACTGAAGAAACTCGTGTTTTGAAGGGCCATCCCCGCCGTAAGTCGAGAACATACCCCAGGTCCCCGCCGCAACTCGAGAAAAACCATGAGACTTCCCCCTAGAGGCGAGATGAGGCCCCATTCCCCTGCAGTGCATGCAGAGCTATTCCGTGATCCCATTCAAACAAGGCAGGAGCTTCGACTTGCTTAATGGATCTCGAGACAGTCCCCAAGAACACTGTCACCAGTCTAGACGGACCCTGAGGTCACCCCAGCAACGCAAAGCAGCTCCATGTGCCCCAAATCAACTCGAGATGAGGCCCGATTCCCCTGCATTGACTCCAGAGCCATTCCCCGTTCCCCATTCAACACGACCGGTGGCTCGACTTCCTTCAGGCAACTCCAGAGATGCCCCGAGAACACTGTCCCAAGTCTAGAGGAACACCAACTTCAGCACAGCAACTCGAGGAATGCTCCGTGTACCCCAAATCGTCTTGAGATGCGAGCTGATTCCCTGGCTTAGGCTCAAGACGTATGCCAACTTCCCAGAAGCACCTCAGGAGGAGGCTTCTCTCAGCAATAGGTATGTGGGAGGGACCCCGAGTTTGCTGCCTCAAGGGGAATATACAGCGAGAAGCCCTAACTTGAAAGGAGGCCGGATTTCCTTGCAGTGGCTTGAATACAGGCTCGTCTTTCATCTCACAACATGAAGGGATGTCTGAATCCCCTGTGGAGACCTTAGAGAAAGCCCTAGGTCCCTGCCTCATTTTGACGGAATGCCTCACATCCCGCTGACACCTCGAGAGGCACGCGGAGTTCATTGCTTCAAAAGGTGACGATGCCTGACTCCTCTTGAATACTGATAGGAATCCCAAAATCCCTGTGGCTACTGGAAAGGGTCCTTGGGTGCCCTGCCTCACCTCGAAAAGCGTCCCTTTGGCCCTGCCAAGCCTCGAAGAGATTCCTGAGGTGTCCCTCGTTACTAGACAGGAGTCCTGACGTCACTGAAGAAACTCGTGTTTTGAAGGGCCATCCCCGCCGTAAGTCGAGAACATACCCCAGGTCCCCGCCGCAACTCGAGAAAAACCATGAGACTTCCCCCTAGAGGCGAGATGAGGCCCCATTCCCCTGCAGTGCATGCAGAGCTATTCCGTGATCCCATTCAAACAAGGCAGGAGCTTCGACTTGCTTAATGGATCTCGAGACAGTCCCCAAGAACACTGTCACCAGTCTAGACGGACCCTGAGGTCACCCCAGCAACGCAAAGCAGCTCCATGTGCCCCAAATCAACTCGAGATGAGGCCCGATTCCCCTGCATTGACTCCAGAGCCATTCCCCGTTCCCCATTCAACACGACCGGTGGCTCGACTTCCTTCAGGCAACTCCAGAGATGCCCCGAGAACACTGTCCCAAGTCTAGAGGAACACCAACTTCAGCACAGCAAGTCGAGGAATGCTCCGTGTACCCCAAATCGTCTCGAGATGCGAGCTGATTCCCTGGCTTAGGCTCAAGACGTATGCCAACTTCCCAGAAGCACCTCAGGAGGAGGCTTCTCTCAGCAATAGGTATGTGGGAGGGACCCCGAGTTTGCTGCCTCAAGGGGAATATACAGCGAGAAGCCCTAACTTGAAAGGAGGCCGGATTTCCTTGCAGTGGCTTGAATACAGGCTCGTCTTTCATCTCACAACATGAAGGGATGTCTGAATCCCCTGTGGAGACCTTAGAGAAAGCCCTAGGTCCCTGCCTCATTTTGACGGAATGCCTCACATCCCGCTCACACCTCGAGAGGCACGCGGAGTTCATTGCTTCAAAAGGTGACGATGCCTGACTCCTCTTGAATACTGATAGGAATCCCAAAATCCCTGTGGCTACTGGAAAGGGTCCTTGGGTGCCCTGCCTCACCTCGAGAAGCGTCCCTTTGGCCCTGCCAAGCCTCGAAGAGATTCCTGAGGTGTCCCTCGTTACTAGACAGGAGTCCTGACGTCACTGAAGAAACTCGTGTTTTGAAGGGCCATCCCCGCCATAAGTCGAGAACATACCCCAGGTCCCCGCCGCAACTCGAGAAAAACCATGAGACTTCCCCCTAGAGGCGAGATGAGGCCCCATTCCCCTGCAGTGCATGCAGAGCTATTCCGTGATCCCATTCAAACAAGGCAGGAGCTTCGACTTGCTTAATGGATCTCGAGACAGTCCCCAAGAACACTGTCACCAGTCTAGACGGACCCTGAGGTCACCCCAGCAACGCAAAGCAGCTCCATGTGCCCCAAATCAACTCGAGATGAGGCCCGATTCCCCTGCATTGACTCCAGAGCCATTCTCCGTTCCCCATTCAACACGACCGGTGGCTCGACTTCCTTCAGGCAACTCCAGAGATGCCCCGAGAACACTGTCCCAAGTCTAGAGGAACACCAACTTCAGCACAGCAACTCGAGGAATGCTCCGTGTACCCCAAATCGTCTCGAGATGCGAGCTGATTCCCTGGCTTAGGCTCAAGACGTATGCCAACTTCCCAGAAGCACCTCAGGAGGAGGCTTCTCTCAGCAATAGGTATGTGGGAGGGACCCCGAGTTTGCTGCCTCAAGGGGAATATACAGCGAGAAGCCCTAACTTGAAAGGAGGCCGGATTTCCTTGCAGTGGCTTGAATACAGGCTCGTCTTTCATTTCACAACATGAAGGGATGTCTGAATCCCCTGTGGAGACCTTAGAGAAAGCCCTAGGTCCCTGCCTCATTTTGACGGAATGCCTCACATCCCGCTGACACCTCGAGAGGCACGCGGAGTTCATTGCTTCAAAAGGTGACGATGCCTGACTCCTCTTGAATACTGATAGGAATCCCAAAATCCCTGTGGCTACTGGAAAGGGTCCTTGGGTGCCCTGCCTCACCTCGAGAAGCGTCCCTTTGGCCCTGCCAAGCCTCGAAGAGATTCCTGAGCTGTCCCTCGTTACTAGACAGGAGTCCTGACGTCACTGAAGAAACTCGTGTTTTGAAGGGCCATCCCCGCCGTAAGTCGAGAACATACCCCAGGTCCCCGCCGCAACTCGAGAAAAACCATGAGACTTCCCCCTAGAGGCGAGATGAGGCCCCATTCCCCTGTAGTGCATGCAGAGCTATTCCGTGATCCCATTCAAACAAGTCAGGAGCTTCGACTTGCTTAATGGATCTCGAGACAGTCCCCAAGAACACTGTCACCAGTCTAGACGGACCCTGAGGTCACCCCAGCAACGCAAAGCAGCTCCATGTGCCCCAAATCAACTCGAGATGAGGCCCGATTCCCCTGCATTGACTCCAGAGCCATTCCCCGTTCCCCATTCAACACGACCGGTGGCTCGACTTCCTTCAGGCAACTCCAGAGATGCCCCGAGAACACTGTCCCAAGTCTAGAGGAACACCAACTTCAGCACAGCAACTCGAGGAATGCTCCGTGTACCCCAAATCGTCTCGAGATGCGAGCTGATTCCCTGGCTTAGGCTCAAGACGTATGCCAACTTCCCAGAAGCACCTCAGGAGGAGGCTTCTCTCAGCAATAGGTATGTGGGAGGGACCCCGAGTTTGCTGCCTCAAGGGGAATATACAGCGAGAAGCCCTAACTTGAAAGGAGGCCGGATTTCCTTGCAGTGGCTTGAATACAGGCTCGTCTTTCATCTCACAACATGAAGGGATGTCTGAATCCCCTGTGGAGACCTTAGAGAAAGCCCTAGGTCCCTGCCTCATTTTGACGGAATGCCTCACATCCCGCTGACACCTCGAGAGGCACGCGGAGTTCATTGCTTCAAAAGGTGACGATGCCTGACTCCTCTTGAATACTGATAGGAATCCCAAAATCCCTGTGGCTACTGGAAAGGGTCCTTGGGTGCCCTGCCTCACCTCGAGAAGCGTCCCTTTGGCCCTGCCAAGCCTCGAAGAGATTCCTGAGGTGTCCCTCGTTACTAGACAGGAGTCCTGACGTCACTGAAGAAACTCGTGTTTTGAAGGGCCATCCCCGCCGTAAGTCGAGAACATACCCCAGGTCCCCGCCGCAACTCGAGAAAAACCATGAGACTTCCCCCTAGAGGCGAGATGAGGCCCCATTCCCCTGCAGTGCATGCAGAGCTATTCCGTGATCCCATTCAAACAAGGCAGGAGCTTCGACTTGCTTAATGGATCTCGAGACAGTCCCCAAGAACACTGTCACCAGTCTAGACGGACCCTGAGGTCACCCCAGCAACGCAAAGCAGCTCCATGTGCCCCAAATCAACTCGAGATGAGGCCCGATTCCCCTGCATTGACTCCAGAGCCATTCCCCGTTCCCCATTCAACACGACCGGTGGCTCGACTTCCTTCAGGCAACTCCAGAGATGCCCCGAGAACACTGTCCCAAGTCTAGAGGAACACCAACTTCAGCACAGCAACTCGAGGAATGCTCCGTGTACCCCAAATCGTCTCGAGATGCGAGCTGATTCCCTGGCTTAGGCTCAAGACGTATGCCAACTTCCCAGAAGCACCTCAGGAGGAGGCTTCTCTCAGCAATAGGTATGTGGGAGGGACCCCGAGTTTGCTGCCTCAAGGGGAATATACAGCGAGAAGCCCTAACTTGAAAGGAGGCCGGATTTCCTTGCAGTGGCTTGAATACAGGCTCGTCTTTCATCTCACAACATGAAGGGATGTCTGAATCCCCTGTGGAGACCTTAGAGAAAGCCCTAGGTCCCTGCCTCATTTTGACGGAATGCCTCACATCGTGCTGACACCTCGAGAGGCACGCGGAGTTCATTGCTTCAAAAGGTGACGATGCCTGACTCCTCTTGAATACTGATAGGAATCCCAAAATCCCTGTGGCTACTGGAAAGGGTCCTTGGGTGCCCTGCCTCACCTCGAGAAGCGTCCCTTTGGCCCTGCCAAGCCTCGAAGAGATTCCTGAGGTGTCCCTCGTTACTAGACAGGAGTCCTGACGTCACTGAAGAAACTCGTGTTTTGAAGGGCCATCCCCGCCGTAAGTCGAGAACATACCCCAGGTCCCCGCCGCAACTCGAGAAAAACCATGAGACTTCCCCCTAGAGGCGAGATGAGGCCCCATTCCCCTGCAGTGCATGCAGAGCTATTCCGTGATCCCATTCAAACAAGGCAGGAGCTTCGACTTGCTTAATGGATCTCGAGACAGTCCCCAAGAACACTGTCACCAGTCTAGACGGACCCTGAGGTCACCCCAGCAACGCAAAGCAGCTCCATGTGCCCCAAATCAACTCGAGATGAGGCCCGATTCCCCTGCATTGACTCCAGAGCCATTCCCCGTTCCCCATTCAACACGACCGGTGGCTCGACTTCCTTCAGGCAACTCCAGAGATGCCCCGAGAACACTGTCCCAAGTCTAGAGGAACACCAACTTCAGCACAGCAAGTCGAGGAATGCTCCGTGTACCCCAAATCGTCTCGAGATGCGATCTGATTCCCTGGCTTAGGCTCAAGACGTATGCCAACTTCCCAGAAGCACCTCAGGAGGAGGCTTCTCTCAGCAATAGGTATGTGGGAGGGACCCCGAGTTTGCTGCCTCAAGGGGAATATACAGCGAGAAGCCCTAACTTGAAAGGAGGCCGGATTTCCTTGCAGTGGCTTGAATACAGGCTCGTCTTTCATCTCACAACATGAAGGGATGTCTGAATCCCCTGTGGAGACCTTAGAGAAAGCCCTAGGTCCCTGCCTCATTTTGACGGAATGCCTCACATCCCGCTGACACCTCGAGAGGCACGCGGAGTTCATTGCTTCAAAAGGTGACGATGCCTGACTCCTCTTGAATACTGATAGGAATCCCAAAATCCCTGTGGCTACTGGAAAGGGTCCTTGGGTGCCCTGCCTCACCTCGAAAAGCGTCCCTTTGGCCCTGCCAAGCCTCGAAGAGATTCCTGAGGTGTCCCTCGTTACTAGACAGGAGTCCTGACGTCACTGAAGAAACTCGTGTTTTGAAGGGCCATCCCCGCCGTAAGTCGAGAACATACCCCAGGTCCCCGCCGCAACTCGAGAAAAACCATGAGACTTCCCCCTAGAGGCGAGATGAGGCCCCATTCCCCTGCAGTGCATGCAGAGCTATTCCGTGATCCCATTCAAACAAGGCAGGAGCTTCGACTTGCTTAATGGATCTCGAGACAGTCCCCAAGAACACTGTCACCAGTCTAGACGGACCCTGAGGTCACCCCAGCAACGCAAAGCAGCTCCATGTGCCCCAAATCAACTCGAGATGAGGCCCGATTCCCCTGCATTGACTCCAGAGCCATTCCCCGTTCCCCATTCAACACGACCGGTGGCTCGACTTCCTTCAGGCAACTCCAGAGATGCCCCGAGAACACTGTCCCAAGTCTAGAGGAACACCAACTTCAGCACAGCAAGTCGAGGAATGCTCCGTGTACCCCAAATCGTCTCGAGATGCGAGCTGATTCCCTGGCTTAGGCTCAAGACGTATGCCAACTTCCCAGAAGCACCTCAGGAGGAGGCTTCTCTCAGCAATAGGTATGTGGGAGGGACCCCGAGTTTGCTGCCTCAAGGGGAATATACAGCGAGAAGCCCTAACTTGAAAGGAGGCCGGATTTCCTTGCAGTGGCTTGAATACAGGCTCGTCTTTCATCTCACAACATGAAGGGATGTCTGAATCCCCTGTGGAGACCTTAGAGAAAGCCCTAGGTCCCTGCCTCATTTTGACGGAATGCCTCACATCCCGCTGACACCTCGAGAGGCACGCGGAGTTCATTGCTTCAAAAGGTGACGATGCCTGACTCCTCTTGAATACTGATAGGAATCCCAAAATCCCTGTGGCTACTGGAAAGGGTCCTTGGGTGCCCTGCCTCACCTCGAGAAGCGTCCCTTTGGCCCTGCCAAGCCTCGAAGAGATTCCTGAGGTGTCCCTCGTTACTAGACAGGAGTCCTGACGTCACTGAAGAAACTCGTGTTTTGAAGGGCCATCCCCGCCATAAGTCGAGAACATACCCCAGGTCCCCGCCGCAACTCGAGAAAAACCATGAGACTTCCCCCTAGAGGCGAGATGAGGCCCCATTCCCCTGCAGTGCATGCAGAGCTATTCCGTGATCCCATTCAAACAAGGCAGGAGCTTCGACTTGCTTAATGGATCTCGAGACAGTCCCCAAGAACACTGTCACCAGTCTAGACGGACCCTGAGGTCACCCCAGCAACGCAAAGCAGCTCCATGTGCCCCAAATCAACTCGAGATGAGGCCCGATTCCCCTGCATTGACTCCAGAGCCATTCTCCGTTCCCCATTCAACACGACCGGTGGCTCGACTTCCTTCAGGCAACTCCAGAGATGCCCCGAGAACACTGTCCCAAGTCTAGAGGAACACCAACTTCAGCACAGCAACTCGAGGAATGCTCCGTGTACCCCAAATCGTCTCGAGATGCGAGCTGATTCCCTGGCTTAGGCTCAAGACGTATGCCAACTTCCCAGAAGCACCTCAGGAGGAGGCTTCTCTCAGCAATAGGTATGTGGGAGGGACCCCGAGTTTGCTGCCTCAAGGGGAATATACAGCGAGAAGCCCTAACTTGAAAGGAGGCCGGATTTCCTTGCAGTGGCTTGAATACAGGCTCGTCTTTCATTTCACAACATGAAGGGATGTCTGAATCCCCTGTGGAGACCTTAGAGAAAGCCCTAGGTCCCTGCCTCATTTTGACGGAATGCCTCACATCCCGCTGACACCTCGAGAGGCACGCGGAGTTCATTTCTTCAAAAGGTGACGATGCCTGACTCCTCTTGAATACTGATAGGAATCCCAAAATCCCTGTGGCTACTGGAAAGGGTCCTTGGGTGCCCTGCCTCACCTCGAGAAGCGTCCCTTTGGCCCTGCCAAGCCTCGAAGAGATTCCTGAGGTGTCCCTCGTTACTAGACAGGAGTCCTGACGTCACTGAAGAAACTCGTGTTTTGAAGGGCCATCCCCGCCGTAAGTCGAGAACATACCCCAGGTCCCCGCCGCAACTCGAGAAAAACCATGAGACTTCCCCCTAGAGGCGAGATGAGGCTCCATTCCCCTGTAGTGCATGCAGAGCTATTCCGTGATCCCATTCAAACAAGTCAGGAGCTTCGACTTGCTTAATGGATCTCGAGACAGTCCCCAAGAACACTGTCACCAGTCTAGACGGACCCTGAGGTCACCCCAGCAACGCAAAGCAGCTCCATGTGCCCCAAATCAACTCGAGATGAGGCCCGATTCCCCTGCATTGACTCCAGAGCCATTCCCCGTTCCCCATTCAACACGACCGGTGGCTCGACTTCCTTCAGGCAACTCCAGAGATGCCCCGAGAACACTGTCCCAAGTCTAGAGGAACACCAACTTCAGCACAGCAACTCGAGGAATGCTCCGTGTACCCCAAATCGTCTCGAGATGCGAGCTGATTCCCTGGCTTAGGCTCAAGACGTATGCCAACTTCCCAGAAGCACCTCAGGAGGAGGCTTCTCTCAGCAATAGGTATGTGGGAGGGACCCCGAGTTTGCTGCCTCAAGGGGAATATACAGCGAGAAGCCCTAACTTGAAAGGAGGCCGGATTTCCTTGCAGTGGCTTGAATACAGGCTCGTCTTTCATCTCACAACATGAAGGGATGTCTGAATCCCCTGTGGAGACCTTAGAGAAAGCCCTAGGTCCCTGCCTCATTTTGACGGAATGCCTCACATCCCGCTGACACCTCGAGAGGCACGCGGAGTTCATTGCTTCAAAAGGTGAAGATGCCTGACTCCTCTTGAATACTGATAGGAATCCCAAAATCCCTGTGGCTACTGGAAAGGGTCCTTGGGTGCCCTGCCTCACCTCGAGAAGCGCCCCTTTGGCCCTGCCAAGCCTCGAAGAGATTCCTGAGGTGTCCCTCGTTACTAGACAGGAGTCCTGACGTCACTGAAGAAACTCGTGTTTTGAAGGGCCATCCCCGCCGTAAGTCGAGAACATACCCCAGGTCCCCGCCGCAACTCGAGAAAAACCATGAGACTTCCCCCTAGAGGCGAGATGAGGCCCCATTCCCCTGCAGTGCATGCAGAGCTATTCCGTGATCCCATTCAAACAAGGCAGGAGCTTCGACTTGCTTAATGGATCTCGAGACAGTCCCCAAGAACACTGTCACCAGTCTAGACGGACCCTGAGGTCACCCCAGCAACGCAAAGCAGCTCCATGTGCCCCAAATCAACTCGAGATGAGGCCCGATTCCCCTGCATTGACTCCAGAGCCATTCCCCGTTCCCCATTCAACACGACCGGTGGCTCGACTTCCTTCAGGCAACTCCAGAGATGCCCCGAGAACACTGTCCCAAGTCTAGAGGAACACCAACTTCAGCACAGCAACTCGAGGAATGCTCCGTGTACCCCAAATCGTCTCGAGATGCGAGCTGATTCCCTGGCTTAGGCTCAAGACGTATGCCAACTTCCCAGAAGCACCTCAGGAGGAGGCTTCTCTCAGCAATAGGTATGTGGGAGGGACCCCGAGTTTGCTGCCTCAAGGGGAATATACAGCGAGAAGCCCTAACTTGAAAGGAGGCCGGATTTCCTTGCAGTGGCTTGAATACAGGCTCGTCTTTCATCTCACAACATGAAGGGATGTCTGAATCCCCTGTGGAGACCTTAGCGAAAGCCCTAGGTCCCTGCCTCATTTTGACGGAATGCCTCACATCGTGCTGACACCTCGAGAGGCACGCGGAGTTCATTGCTTCAAAAGGTGACGATGCCTGACTCCTCTTGAATACTGATAGGAATCCCAAAATCCCTGTGGCTACTGGAAAGGGTCCTTGGGTGCCCTGCCTCACCTCGAGAAGCGTCCCTTTTGCCCTGCCAAGCCTCGAAGAGATTCCTGAGGTGTCTCTCGTTACTAGACAGGAGTCCTGACGTCACTGAAGAAACTCGTGTTTTGAAGGGCCATCCCCGCCGTAAGTCGAGAACATACCCCAGGTCCCCGCCGCAACTCGAGAAAAACCATGAGACTTCCCCTTAGAGGCGAGATGAGGCCCCATTCCCCTGCAGTGCATGCAGAGCTATTCCGTGATCCCATTCAAACAAGGCAGGAGCTTCGACTTGCTTAATGGATCTCGAGACAGTCCCCAAGAACACTGTCACCAGTCTAGACGGACCCTGAGGTCACCCCAGCAACGCAAAGCAGCTCCATGTGCCCCAAATCAACTCGAGATGAGGCCCGATTCCCCTGCATTGACTCCAGAGCCATTCCCCGTTCCCCATTCAACACGACCGGTGGCTCGACTTCCTTCAGGCAACTCCAGAGATGCCCCGAGAACACTGTCCCAAGTCTAGAGGAACACCAACTTCAGCACAGCAAGTCGAGGAATGCTCCGTGTACCCCAAATCGTCTCGAGATGCGAGCTGATTCCCTGGCTTAGGCTCAAGACGTATGCCAACTTCCCAGAAGCACCTCAGGAGGAGGCTTCTCTCAGCAATAGGTATGTGGGAGGGACCCCGAGTTTGCTGCCTCAAGGGGAATATACAGCGAGAAGCCCTAACTTGAAAGGAGGCCGGATTTCCTTGCAGTGGCTTGAATACAGGCTCGTCTTTCATCTCACAACATGAAGGGATGTCTGAATCCCCTGTGGAGACCTTAGAGAAAGCCCTAGGTCCCTGCCTCATTTTGACGGAATGCCTCACATCCCGCTGACACCTCGAGAGGCACGCGGAGTTCATTGCTTCAAAAGGTGACGATGCCTGACTCCTCTTGAATACTGATAGGAATCCCAAAATCCCTGTGGCTACTGGAAAGGGTCCTTGGGTGCCCTGCCTCACCTCGAGAAGCGTCCCTTTGGCCCTGCCAAGCCTCGAAGAGATTCCTGAGGTGTCCCTCGTTACTAGACAGGAGTCCTGACGTCACTGAAGAAACTCGTGTTTTGAAGGGCCATCCCCGCCGTAAGTCGAGAACATACCCCAGGTCCCCGCCGCAACTCGAGAAAAACCATGAGACTTCCCCCTAGAGGCGAGATGAGGCCCCATTCCCCTGCAGTGCATGCAGAGCTATTCCGTGATCCCATTCAAACAAGGCAGGAGCTTCGACTTGCTTAATGGATCTCGAGACAGTCCCCAAGAACACTGTCACCAGTCTAGACGGACCCTGAGGTCACCCCAGCAACGCAAAGCAGCTCCATGTGCCCCAAATCAACTCGAGATGAGGCCCGATTCCCCTGCATTGACTCCAGAGCCATTCCCCGTTCCCCTTTCAACACGACCGGTGGCTCGACTTCCTTCAGGCAACTCCAGAGATGCCCCGAGAACACTGTCCCAAGTCTAGAGGAACACCAACTTCAGCACAGCAAGTCGAGGAATGCTCCGTGTACCCCAAATCGTCTCGAGATGCGAGCTGATTCCCTGGCTTAGGCTCAAGACGTATGCCAACTTCCCAGAAGCACCTCAGGAGGAGGCTTCTCTCAGCAATAGGTATGTGGGAGGGACCCCGAGTTTGCTGCCTCAAGGGGAATATACAGCGAGAAGCCCTAACTTGAAAGGAGGCCGGATTTCCTTGCAGTGGCTTGAATACAGGCTCGTCTTTCATCTCACAACATCAAGGGATGTCTGAATCCCCTGTGGAGACCTTAGAGAAAGCCCTAGGTCCCTGCCTCATTTTGACGGAATGCCTCACATCCCGCTGACACCTCGAGAGGCACGCGGAGTTCATTGCTTCAAAAGGTGACGATGCCTGACTCCTCTTGAATACTGATAGGAATCCCAAAATCCCTGTGGCTACTGGAAAGGGTCCTTGGGTGCCCTGCCTCACCTCGAGAAGCGTCCCTTTGGCCCTGCCAAGCCTCGAAGAGATTCCTGAGGTGTCCCTCGTTACTAGACAGGAGTCCTGACGTCACTGAAGAAACTCGTGTTTTGAAGGGCCATCCCCGCCGTAAGTCGAGAACATACCCCAGGTCCCCGCCACAACTCGAGAAAAACCATGAGACTTCCCCCTAGAGGCGAGATGAGGCCCCATTCCCCTGCAGTGCATGCAGAGCTATTCCGTGATCCCATTCAAACAAGGCAGGAGCTTCGACTTGCTTAATGGATCTCGAGACAGTCCCCAAGAACACTGTCACCAGTCTAGACGGACCCTGAGGTCACCCCAGCAACGCAAAGCAGCTCCATGTGCCCCAAATCAACTCGAGATGAGGCCCGATTCCCCTGCATTGACTCCAGAGCCATTCCCCGTTCCCCATTCAACACGACCGGTGGCTCGACTTCCTTCAGGCAACTCCAGAGATGCCCCGAGAACACTGTCCCAAGTCTAGAGGAACACCAACTTCAGCACAGCAACTCGAGGAATGCTCCGTGTACCCCAAATCGTCTCGAGATGCGAGCTGATTCCCTGGCTTAGGCTCAAGACGTATGCCAACTTCCCAGAAGCACCTCAGGAGGAGGCTTCTCTCAGCAATAGGTATGTGGGAGGGACCCCGAGTTTGCTGCCTCAAGGGGAATATACAGCGAGAAGCCCTAACTTGAAAGGAGGCCGGATTTCCTTGCAGTGGCTTGAATACAGGCTCGTCTTTCATCTCACAACATGAAGGGATGTCTGAATCCCCTGTGGAGACCTTAGAGAAAGCCCTAGGTCCCTGCCTCATTTTGACGGAATGCCTCACATCCCGCTCACACCTCGAGAGGCACGCGGAGTTCATTGCTTCAAAAGGTGACGATGCCTGACTCCTCTTGAATACTGATAGGAATCCCAAAATCCCTGTGGCTACTGGAAAGGGTCCTTGGGTGCCCTGCCTCACCTCGAGAAGCGTCCCTTTGGCCCTGCCAAGCCTCGAAGAGATTCCTGAGGTGTCCCTCGTTACTAGACAGGAGTCCTGACGTCACTGAAGAAACTCGTGTTTTGAAGGGCCATCCCCGCCATAAGTCGAGAACATACCCCAGGTCCCCGCCGCAACTCGAGAAAAACCATGAGACTTCCCCCTAGAGGCGAGATGAGGCCCCATTCCCCTGCAGTGCATGCAGAGCTATTCCGTGATCCCATTCAAACAAGGCAGGAGCTTCGACTTGCTTAATGGATCTCGAGACAGTCCCCAAGAACACTGTCACCAGTCTAGACGGACCCTGAGGTCACCCCAGCAACGCAAAGCAGCTCCATGTGCCCCAAATCAACTCGAGATGAGGCCCGATTCCCCTGCATTGACTCCAGAGCCATTCTCCGTTCCCCATTCAACACGACCGGTGGCTCGACTTCCTTCAGGCAACTCCAGAGATGCCCCGAGAACACTGTCCCAAGTCTAGAGGAACACCAACTTCAGCACAGCAACTCGAGGAATGCTCCGTGTACCCCAAATCGTCTCGAGATGCGAGCTGATTCCCTGGCTTAGGCTCAAGACGTATGCCAACTTCCCAGAAGCACCTCAGGAGGAGGCTTCTCTCAGCAATAGGTATGTGGGAGGGACCCCGAGTTTGCTGCCTCAAGGGGAATATACAGCGAGAAGCCCTAACTTGAAAGGAGGCCGGATTTCCTTGCAGTGGCTTGAATACAGGCTCGTCTTTCATTTCACAACATGAAGGGATGTCTGAATCCCCTGTGGAGACCTTAGAGAAAGCCCTAGGTCCCTGCCTCATTTTGACGGAATGCCTCACATCCCGCTGACACCTCGAGAGGCACGCGGAGTTCATTGCTTCAAAAGGTGACGATGCCTGACTCCTCTTGAATACTGATAGGAATCCCAAAATCCCTGTGGCTACTGGAAAGGGTCCTTGGGTGCCCTGCCTCACCTCGAGAAGCGTCCCTTTGGCCCTGCCAAGCCTCGAAGAGATTCCTGAGCTGTCCCTCGTTACTAGACAGGAGTCCTGACGTCACTGAAGAAACTCGTGTTTTGAAGGGCCATCCCCGCCGTAAGTCGAGAACATACCCCAGGTCCCCGCCGCAACTCGAGAAAAACCATGAGACTTCCCCCTAGAGGCGAGATGAGGCCCCATTCCCCTGTAGTGCATGCAGAGCTATTCCGTGATCCCATTCAAACAAGTCAGGAGCTTCGACTTGCTTAATGGATCTCGAGACAGTCCCCAAGAACACTGTCACCAGTCTAGACGGACCCTGAGGTCACCCCAGCAACGCAAAGCAGCTCCATGTGCCCCAAATCAACTCGAGATGAGGCCCGATTCCCCTGCATTGACTCCAGAGCCATTCCCCGTTCCCCATTCAACACGACCGGTGGCTCGACTTCCTTCAGGCAACTCCAGAGATGCCCCGAGAACACTGTCCCAAGTCTAGAGGAACACCAACTTCAGCACAGCAACTCGAGGAATGCTCCGTGTACCCCAAATCGTCTCGAGATGCGAGCTGATTCCCTGGCTTAGGCTCAAGACGTATGCCAACTTCCCAGAAGCACCTCAGGAGGAGGCTTCTCTCAGCAATAGGTATGTGGGAGGGACCCCGAGTTTGCTGCCTCAAGGGGAATATACAGCGAGAAGCCCTAACTTGAAAGGAGGCCGGATTTCCTTGCAGTGGCTTGAATACAGGCTCGTCTTTCATCTCACAACATGAAGGGATGTCTGAATCCCCTGTGGAGACCTTAGAGAAAGCCCTAGGTCCCTGCCTCATTTTGACGGAATGCCTCACATCCCGCTGACACCTCGAGAGGCACGCGGAGTTCATTGCTTCAAAAGGTGACGATGCCTGACTCCTCTTGAATACTGATAGGAATCCCAAAATCCCTGTGGCTACTGGAAAGGGTCCTTGGGTGCCCTGCCTCACCTCGAGAAGCGTCCCTTTGGCCCTGCCAAGCCTCGAAGAGATTCCTGAGGTGTCCCTCGTTACTAGACAGGAGTCCTGACGTCACTGAAGAAACTCGTGTTTTGAAGGGCCATCCCCGCCGTAAGTCGAGAACATACCCCAGGTCCCCGCCGCAACTCGAGAAAAACCATGAGACTTCCCCCTAGAGGCGAGATGAGGCCCCATTCCCCTGCAGTGCATGCAGAGCTATTCCGTGATCCCATTCAAACAAGGCAGGAGCTTCGACTTGCTTAATGGATCTCGAGACAGTCCCCAAGAACACTGTCACCAGTCTAGACGGACCCTGAGGTCACCCCAGCAACGCAAAGCAGCTCCATGTGCCCCAAATCAACTCGAGATGAGGCCCGATTCCCCTGCATTGACTCCAGAGCCATTCCCCGTTCCCCATTCAACACGACCGGTGGCTCGACTTCCTTCAGGCAACTCCAGAGATGCCCCGAGAACACTGTCCCAAGTCTAGAGGAACACCAACTTCAGCACAGCAACTCGAGGAATGCTCCGTGTACCCCAAATCGTCTCGAGATGCGAGCTGATTCCCTGGCTTAGGCTCAAGACGTATGCCAACTTCCCAGAAGCACCTCAGGAGGAGGCTTCTCTCAGCAATAGGTATGTGGGAGGGACCCCGAGTTTGCTGCCTCAAGGGGAATATACAGCGAGAAGCCCTAACTTGAAAGGAGGCCGGATTTCCTTGCAGTGGCTTGAATACAGGCTCGTCTTTCATCTCACAACATGAAGGGATGTCTGAATCCCCTGTGGAGACCTTAGAGAAAGCCCTAGGTCCCTGCCTCATTTTGACGGAATGCCTCACATCGTGCTGACACCTCGAGAGGCACGCGGAGTTCATTGCTTCAAAAGGTGACGATGCCTGACTCCTCTTGAATACTGATAGGAATCCCAAAATCCCTGTGGCTACTGGAAAGGGTCCTTGGGTGCCCTGCCTCACCTCGAGAAGCGTCCCTTTGGCCCTGCCAAGCCTCGAAGAGATTCCTGAGGTGTCCCTCGTTACTAGACAGGAGTCCTGACGTCACTGAAGAAACTCGTGTTTTGAAGGGCCATCCCCGCCGTAAGTCGAGAACATACCCCAGGTCCCCGCCGCAACTCGAGAAAAACCATGAGACTTCCCCCTAGAGGCGAGATGAGGCCCCATTCCCCTGCAGTGCATGCAGAGCTATTCCGTGATCCCATTCAAACAAGGCAGGAGCTTCGACTTGCTTAATGGATCTCGAGACAGTCCCCAAGAACACTGTCACCAGTCTAGACGGACCCTGAGGTCACCCCAGCAACGCAAAGCAGCTCCATGTGCCCCAAATCAACTCGAGATGAGGCCCGATTCCCCTGCATTGACTCCAGAGCCATTCCCCGTTCCCCATTCAACACGACCGGTGGCTCGACTTCCTTCAGGCAACTCCAGAGATGCCCCGAGAACACTGTCCCAAGTCTAGAGGAACACCAACTTCAGCACAGCAAGTCGAGGAATGCTCCGTGTACCCCAAATCGTCTCGAGATGCGATCTGATTCCCTGGCTTAGGCTCAAGACGTATGCCAACTTCCCAGAAGCACCTCAGGAGGAGGCTTCTCTCAGCAATAGGTATGTGGGAGGGACCCCGAGTTTGCTGCCTCAAGGGGAATATACAGCGAGAAGCCCTAACTTGAAAGGAGGCCGGATTTCCTTGCAGTGGCTTGAATACAGGCTCGTCTTTCATCTCACAACATGAAGGGATGTCTGAATCCCCTGTGGAGACCTTAGAGAAAGCCCTAGGTCCCTGCCTCATTTTGACGGAATGCCTCACATCCCGCTGACACCTCGAGAGGCACGCGGAGTTCATTGCTTCAAAAGGTGACGATGCCTGACTCCTCTTGAATACTGATAGGAATCCCAAAATCCCTGTGGCTACTGGAAAGGGTCCTTGGGTGCCCTGCCTCACCTCGAAAAGCGTCCCTTTGGCCCTGCCAAGCCTCGAAGAGATTCCTGAGGTGTCCCTCGTTACTAGACAGGAGTCCTGACGTCACTGAAGAAACTCGTGTTTTGAAGGGCCATCCCCGCCGTAAGTCGAGAACATACCCCAGGTCCCCGCCGCAACTCGAGAAAAACCATGAGACTTCCCCCTAGAGGCGAGATGAGGCCCCATTCCCCTGCAGTGCATGCAGAGCTATTCCGTGATCCCATTCAAACAAGGCAGGAGCTTCGACTTGCTTAATGGATCTCGAGACAGTCCCCAAGAACACTGTCACCAGTCTAGACGGACCCTGAGGTCACCCCAGCAACGCAAAGCAGCTCCATGTGCCCCAAATCAACTCGAGATGAGGCCCGATTCCCCTGCATTGACTCCAGAGCCATTCCCCGTTCCCCATTCAACACGACCGGTGGCTCGACTTCCTTCAGGCAACTCCAGAGATGCCCCGAGAACACTGTCCCAAGTCTAGAGGAACACCAACTTCAGCACAGCAAGTCGAGGAATGCTCCGTGTACCCCAAATCGTCTCGAGATGCGAGCTGATTCCCTGGCTTAGGCTCAAGACGTATGCCAACTTCCCAGAAGCACCTCAGGAGGAGGCTTCTCTCAGCAATAGGTATGTGGGAGGGACCCCGAGTTTGCTGCCTCAAGGGGAATATACAGCGAGAAGCCCTAACTTGAAAGGAGGCCGGATTTCCTTGCAGTGGCTTGAATACAGGCTCGTCTTTCATCTCACAACATGAAGGGATGTCTGAATCCCCTGTGGAGACCTTAGAGAAAGCCCTAGGTCCCTGCCTCATTTTGACGGAATGCCTCACATCCCGCTGACACCTCGAGAGGCACGCGGAGTTCATTGCTTCAAAAGGTGACGATGCCTGACTCCTCTTGAATACTGATAGGAATCCCAAAATCCCTGTGGCTACTGGAAAGGGTCCTTGGGTGCCCTGCCTCACCTCGAGAAGCGTCCCTTTGGCCCTGCCAAGCCTCGAAGAGATTCCTGAGGTGTCCCTCGTTACTAGACAGGAGTCCTGACGTCACTGAAGAAACTCGTGTTTTGAAGGGCCATCCCCGCCATAAGTCGAGAACATACCCCAGGTCCCCGCCGCAACTCGAGAAAAACCATGAGACTTCCCCCTAGAGGCGAGATGAGGCCCCATTCCCCTGCAGTGCATGCAGAGCTATTCCGTGATCCCATTCAAACAAGGCAGGAGCTTCGACTTGCTTAATGGATCTCGAGACAGTCCCCAAGAACACTGTCACCAGTCTAGACGGACCCTGAGGTCACCCCAGCAACGCAAAGCAGCTCCATGTGCCCCAAATCAACTCGAGATGAGGCCCGATTCCCCTGCATTGACTCCAGAGCCATTCTCCGTTCCCCATTCAACACGACCGGTGGCTCGACTTCCTTCAGGCAACTCCAGAGATGCCCCGAGAACACTGTCCCAAGTCTAGAGGAACACCAACTTCAGCACAGCAACTCGAGGAATGCTCCGTGTACCCCAAATCGTCTCGAGATGCGAGCTGATTCCCTGGCTTAGGCTCAAGACGTATGCCAACTTCCCAGAAGCACCTCAGGAGGAGGCTTCTCTCAGCAATAGGTATGTGGGAGGGACCCCGAGTTTGCTGCCTCAAGGGGAATATACAGCGAGAAGCCCTAACTTGAAAGGAGGCCGGATTTCCTTGCAGTGGCTTGAATACAGGCTCGTCTTTCATTTCACAACATGAAGGGATGTCTGAATCCCCTGTGGAGACCTTAGAGAAAGCCCTAGGTCCCTGCCTCATTTTGACGGAATGCCTCACATCCCGCTGACACCTCGAGAGGCACGCGGAGTTCATTTCTTCAAAAGGTGACGATGCCTGACTCCTCTTGAATACTGATAGGAATCCCAAAATCCCTGTGGCTACTGGAAAGGGTCCTTGGGTGCCCTGCCTCACCTCGAGAAGCGTCCCTTTGGCCCTGCCAAGCCTCGAAGAGATTCCTGAGGTGTCCCTCGTTACTAGACAGGAGTCCTGACGTCACTGAAGAAACTCGTGTTTTGAAGGGCCATCCCCGCCGTAAGTCGAGAACATACCCCAGGTCCCCGCCGCAACTCGAGAAAAACCATGAGACTTCCCCCTAGAGGCGAGATGAGGCTCCATTCCCCTGTAGTGCATGCAGAGCTATTCCGTGATCCCATTCAAACAAGTCAGGAGCTTCGACTTGCTTAATGGATCTCGAGACAGTCCCCAAGAACACTGTCACCAGTCTAGACGGACCCTGAGGTCACCCCAGCAACGCAAAGCAGCTCCATGTGCCCCAAATCAACTCGAGATGAGGCCCGATTCCCCTGCATTGACTCCAGAGCCATTCCCCGTTCCCCATTCAACACGACCGGTGGCTCGACTTCCTTCAGGCAACTCCAGAGATGCCCCGAGAACACTGTCCCAAGTCTAGAGGAACACCAACTTCAGCACAGCAACTCGAGGAATGCTCCGTGTACCCCAAATCGTCTCGAGATGCGAGCTGATTCCCTGGCTTAGGCTCAAGACGTATGCCAACTTCCCAGAAGCACCTCAGGAGGAGGCTTCTCTCAGCAATAGGTATGTGGGAGGGACCCCGAGTTTGCTGCCTCAAGGGGAATATACAGCGAGAAGCCCTAACTTGAAAGGAGGCCGGATTTCCTTGCAGTGGCTTGAATACAGGCTCGTCTTTCATCTCACAACATGAAGGGATGTCTGAATCCCCTGTGGAGACCTTAGAGAAAGCCCTAGGTCCCTGCCTCATTTTGACGGAATGCCTCACATCCCGCTGACACCTCGAGAGGCACGCGGAGTTCATTGCTTCAAAAGGTGAAGATGCCTGACTCCTCTTGAATACTGATAGGAATCCCAAAATCCCTGTGGCTACTGGAAAGGGTCCTTGGGTGCCCTGCCTCACCTCGAGAAGCGCCCCTTTGGCCCTGCCAAGCCTCGAAGAGATTCCTGAGGTGTCCCTCGTTACTAGACAGGAGTCCTGACGTCACTGAAGAAACTCGTGTTTTGAAGGGCCATCCCCGCCGTAAGTCGAGAACATACCCCAGGTCCCCGCCGCAACTCGAGAAAAACCATGAGACTTCCCCCTAGAGGCGAGATGAGGCCCCATTCCCCTGCAGTGCATGCAGAGCTATTCCGTGATCCCATTCAAACAAGGCAGGAGCTTCGACTTGCTTAATGGATCTCGAGACAGTCCCCAAGAACACTGTCACCAGTCTAGACGGACCCTGAGGTCACCCCAGCAACGCAAAGCAGCTCCATGTGCCCCAAATCAACTCGAGATGAGGCCCGATTCCCCTGCATTGACTCCAGAGCCATTCCCCGTTCCCCATTCAACACGACCGGTGGCTCGACTTCCTTCAGGCAACTCCAGAGATGCCCCGAGAACACTGTCCCAAGTCTAGAGGAACACCAACTTCAGCACAGCAACTCGAGGAATGCTCCGTGTACCCCAAATCGTCTCGAGATGCGAGCTGATTCCCTGGCTTAGGCTCAAGACGTATGCCAACTTCCCAGAAGCACCTCAGGAGGAGGCTTCTCTCAGCAATAGGTATGTGGGAGGGACCCCGAGTTTGCTGCCTCAAGGGGAATATACAGCGAGAAGCCCTAACTTGAAAGGAGGCCGGATTTCCTTGCAGTGGCTTGAATACAGGCTCGTCTTTCATCTCACAACATGAAGGGATGTCTGAATCCCCTGTGGAGACCTTAGCGAAAGCCCTAGGTCCCTGCCTCATTTTGACGGAATGCCTCACATCGTGCTGACACCTCGAGAGGCACGCGGAGTTCATTGCTTCAAAAGGTGACGATGCCTGACTCCTCTTGAATACTGATAGGAATCCCAAAATCCCTGTGGCTACTGGAAAGGGTCCTTGGGTGCCCTGCCTCACCTCGAGAAGCGTCCCTTTTGCCCTGCCAAGCCTCGAAGAGATTCCTGAGGTGTCTCTCGTTACTAGACAGGAGTCCTGACGTCACTGAAGAAACTCGTGTTTTGAAGGGCCATCCCCGCCGTAAGTCGAGAACATACCCCAGGTCCCCGCCGCAACTCGAGAAAAACCATGAGACTTCCCCTTAGAGGCGAGATGAGGCCCCATTCCCCTGCAGTGCATGCAGAGCTATTCCGTGATCCCATTCAAACAAGGCAGGAGCTTCGACTTGCTTAATGGATCTCGAGACAGTCCCCAAGAACACTGTCACCAGTCTAGACGGACCCTGAGGTCACCCCAGCAACGCAAAGCAGCTCCATGTGCCCCAAATCAACTCGAGATGAGGCCCGATTCCCCTGCATTGACTCCAGAGCCATTCCCCGTTCCCCATTCAACACGACCGGTGGCTCGACTTCCTTCAGGCAACTCCAGAGATGCCCCGAGAACACTGTCCCAAGTCTAGAGGAACACCAACTTCAGCACAGCAAGTCGAGGAATGCTCCGTGTACCCCAAATCGTCTCGAGATGCGAGCTGATTCCCTGGCTTAGGCTCAAGACGTATGCCAACTTCCCAGAAGCACCTCAGGAGGAGGCTTCTCTCAGCAATAGGTATGTGGGAGGGACCCCGAGTTTGCTGCCTCAAGGGGAATATACAGCGAGAAGCCCTAACTTGAAAGGAGGCCGGATTTCCTTGCAGTGGCTTGAATACAGGCTCGTCTTTCATCTCACAACATGAAGGGATGTCTGAATCCCCTGTGGAGACCTTAGAGAAAGCCCTAGGTCCCTGCCTCATTTTGACGGAATGCCTCACATCCCGCTGACACCTCGAGAGGCACGCGGAGTTCATTGCTTCAAAAGGTGACGATGCCTGACTCCTCTTGAATACTGATAGGAATCCCAAAATCCCTGTGGCTACTGGAAAGGGTCCTTGGGTGCCCTGCCTCACCTCGAGAAGCGTCCCTTTGGCCCTGCCAAGCCTCGAAGAGATTCCTGAGGTGTCCCTCGTTACTAGACAGGAGTCCTGACGTCACTGAAGAAACTCGTGTTTTGAAGGGCCATCCCCGCCGTAAGTCGAGAACATACCCCAGGTCCCCGCCGCAACTCGAGAAAAACCATGAGACTTCCCCCTAGAGGCGAGATGAGGCCCCATTCCCCTGCAGTGCATGCAGAGCTATTCCGTGATCCCATTCAAACAAGGCAGGAGCTTCGACTTGCTTAATGGATCTCGAGACAGTCCCCAAGAACACTGTCACCAGTCTAGACGGACCCTGAGGTCACCCCAGCAACGCAAAGCAGCTCCATGTGCCCCAAATCAACTCGAGATGAGGCCCGATTCCCCTGCATTGACTCCAGAGCCATTCCCCGTTCCCCTTTCAACACGACCGGTGGCTCGACTTCCTTCAGGCAACTCCAGAGATGCCCCGAGAACACTGTCCCAAGTCTAGAGGAACACCAACTTCAGCACAGCAAGTCGAGGAATGCTCCGTGTACCCCAAATCGTCTCGAGATGCGAGCTGATTCCCTGGCTTAGGCTCAAGACGTATGCCAACTTCCCAGAAGCACCTCAGGAGGAGGCTTCTCTCAGCAATAGGTATGTGGGAGGGACCCCGAGTTTGCTGCCTCAAGGGGAATATACAGCGAGAAGCCCTAACTTGAAAGGAGGCCGGATTTCCTTGCAGTGGCTTGAATACAGGCTCGTCTTTCATCTCACAACATGAAGGGATGTCTGAATCCCCTGTGGAGACCTTAGAGAAAGCCCTAGGTCCCTGCCTCATTTTGACGGAATGCCTCACATCCCGCTGACACCTCGAGAGGCACGCGGAGTTCATTGCTTCAAAAGGTGACGATGCCTGACTCCTCTTGAATACTGATAGGAATCCCAAAATCCCTGTGGCTACTGGAAAGGGTCCTTGGGTGCCCTGCCTCACCTCGAGAAGCGTCCCTTTGGCCCTGCCAAGCCTCGAAGAGATTCCTGAGGTGTCCCTCGTTACTAGACAGGAGTCCTGACGTCACTGAAGAAACTCGTGTTTTGAAGGGCCATCCCCGCCGTAAGTCGAGAACATACCCCAGGTCCCCGCCACAACTCGAGAAAAACCATGAGACTTCCCCCTAGAGGCGAGATGAGGCCCCATTCCCCTGCAGTGCATGCAGAGCTATTCCGTGATCCCATTCAAACAAGGCAGGAGCTTCGACTTGCTTAATGGATCTCGAGACAGTCCCCAAGAACACTGTCACCAGTCTAGACGGACCCTGAGGTCACCCCAGCAACGCAAAGCAGCTCCATGTGCCCCAAATCAACTCGAGATGAGGCCCGATTCCCCTGCATTGACTCCAGAGCCATTCCCCGTTCCCCATTCAACACGACCGGTGGCTCGACTTCCTTCAGGCAACTCCAGAGATGCCCCGAGAACACTGTCCCAAGTCTAGAGGAACACCAACTTCAGCACAGCAACTCGAGGAATGCTCCGTGTACCCCAAATCGTCTCGAGATGCGAGCTGATTCCCTGGCTTAGGCTCAAGACGTATGCCAACTTCCCAGAAGCACCTCAGGAGGAGGCTTCTCTCAGCAATAGGTATGTGGGAGGGACCCCGAGTTTGCTGCCTCAAGGGGAATATACAGCGAGAAGCCCTAACTTGAAAGGAGGCCGGATTTCCTTGCAGTGGCTTGAATACAGGCTCGTCTTTCATCTCACAACATGAAGGGATGTCTGAATCCCCTGTGGAGACCTTAGAGAAAGCCCTAGGTCCCTGCCTCATTTTGACGGAATGCCTCACATCCCGCTGACACCTCGAGAGGCACGCGGAGTTCATTGCTTCAAAAGGTGACGATGCCTGACTCCTCTTGAATACTGATAGGAATCCCAAAATCCCTGTGGCTACTGGAAAGGGTCCTTGGGTGCCCTGCCTCACCTCGAGAAGCGTCCCTTTGGCCCTGCCAAGCCTCGAAGAGATTCCTGAGGTGTCCCTCGTTACTAGACAGGAGTCCTGACGTCACTGAAGAAACTCGTGTTTTGAAGGGCCATCCCCGCCGTAAGTCGAGAACATACCCCAGGTCCCCGCCGCAACTCGAGAAAAACCATGAGACTTCCCCCTAGAGGCGAGATGAGGCCCCATTCCCCTGCAGTGCATGCAGAGCTATTCCGTGATCCCATTCAAACAAGGCAGGAGCTTCGACTTGCTTAATGGATCTCGAGACAGTCCCCAAGAACACGGTCACCAGTCTAGACGGACCCTGAGGTCACCCCAGCAACGCAAAGCAGCTCCATGTGCCCCAAATCAACTCGAGATGAGGCCCGATTCCCCTGCATTGACTCCAGAGCCATTCCCCGTTCCCCATTCAACACGACCGGTGGCTCGACTTCCTTCAGGCAACTCCAGAGATGCCCCGAGAACACTGTCCCAAGGCTAGAGGAACACCAACTTCAGCACAGCAACTCGAGGAATGCTCCGTGTACCCCAAATCGTCTCGAGATGCGAGCTGATTCCCTGGCTTAGGCTCAAGACGTATGCCAACTTCCCAGAAGCACCTCAGGAGGAGGCTTCTCTCAGCAATAGGTATGTGGGAGGGACCCCGAGTTTGCTGCCTCAAGGGGAATATACAGCGAGAAGCCCTAACTTGAAAGGAGGCCGGATTTCCTTGCAGTGGCTTGAATACAGGCTCGTCTTTCATCTCACAACATGAAGGGATGTCTGAATCCCCTGTGCAGACCTTAGAGAAAGCCCTAGGTCCCTGCCTCATTTTGACGGAATGCCTCACATCGTGCTGACACCTCGAGAGGCACGCGGAGTTCATTGCTTCAAAAGGTGACGATGCCTGACTCCTCTTGAATACTGATAGGAATCCCAAAATCCCTGTGGCTACTGGAAAGGGTCCTTGGGTGCCCTGCCTCACCTCGAGAAGCGTCCCTTTGGCCCTGCCAAGCCTCGAAGAGATTCCTGAGGTGTCCCTCGTTACTAGACAGGAGTCCTGACGTCACTGAAGAAACTCGTGTTTTGAAGGGCCATCCCCGCCGTAAGTCGAGAACATACCCCAGGTCCCCGCCGCAACTCGAGAAAAACCATGAGACTTCCCCCTAGAGGCGAGATGAGGCCCCATTCCCCTGCAGTGCATGCAGAGCTATTCCGTGATCCCATTCAAACAAGGCAGGAGCTTCGACTTGCTTAATGGATCTCGAGACAGTCCCCAAGAACACTGTCACCAGTCTAGACGGACCCTGAGGTCACCCCAGCAACGCAAAGCAGCTCCATGTGCCCCAAATCAACTCGAGATGAGGCCCGATTCCCCTGCATTGACTCCAGAGCCATTCCCCGTTCCCCATTCAACACGACCGGTGGCTCGACTTCCTTCAGGCAACTCCAGAGATGCCCCGAGAACACTGTCCCAAGTCTAGAGGAACACCAACTTCAGCACAGCAAGTCGAGGAATGCTCCGTGTACCCCAAATCGTCTCGAGATGCGAGCTGATTCCCTGGCTTAGGCTCAAGACGTATGCCAACTTCCCAGAAGCACCTCAGGAGGAGGCTTCTCTCAGCAATAGGTATGTGGGAGGGACCCCGAGTTTGCTGCCTCAAGGGGAATATACAGCGAGAAGCCCTAACTTGAAAGGAGGCCGGATTTCCTTGCAGTGGCTTGAATACAGGCTCGTCTTTCATCTCACAACATGAAGGGATGTCTGAATCCCCTGTGGAGACCTTAGAGAAAGCCCTAGGTCCCTGCCTCATTTTGACGGAATGCCTCACATCCCGCTGACACCTCGAGAGGCACGCGGAGTTCATTGCTTCAAAAGGTGACGATGCCTGACTCCTCTTGAATACTGATAGGAATCCCAAAATCCCTGTGGCTACTGGAAAGGGTCCTTGGGTGCCCTGCCTCACCTCGAGAAGCGTCCCTTTGGCCCTGCCAAGCCTCGAAGAGATTCCTGAGGTGTCCCTCGTTACTAGACAGGAGTCCTGACGTCACTGAAGAAACTCGTGTTTTGAAGGGCCATCCCCGCCATAAGTCGAGAACATACCCCAGGTCCCCGCCGCAACTCGAGAAAAACCATGAGACTTCCCCCTAGAGGCGAGATGAGGCCCCATTCCCCTGCAGTGCATGCAGAGCTATTCCGTGATCCCATTCAAACAAGGCAGGAGCTTCGACTTGCTTAATGGATCTCGAGACAGTCCCCAAGAACACTGTCACCAGTCTAGACGGACCCTGAGGTCACCCCAGCAACGCAAAGCAGCTCCATGTGCCCCAAATCAACTCGAGATGAGGCCCGATTCCCCTGCATTGACTCCAGAGCCATTCTCCGTTCCCCATTCAACACGACCGGTGGCTCGACTTCCTTCAGGCAACTCCAGAGATGCCCCGAGAACACTGTCCCAAGTCTAGAGGAACACCAACTTCAGCACAGCAACTCGAGGAATGCTCCGTGTACCCCAAATCGTCTCGAGATGCGAGCTGATTCCCTGGCTTAGGCTCAAGACGTATGCCAACTTCCCAGAAGCACCTCAGGAGGAGGCTTCTCTCAGCAATAGGTATGTGGGAGGGACCCCGAGTTTGCTGCCTCAAGGGGAATATACAGCGAGAAGCCCTAACTTGAAAGGAGGCCGGATTTCCTTGCAGTGGCTTGAATACAGGCTCGTCTTTCATTTCACAACATGAAGGGATGTCTGAATCCCCTGTGGAGACCTTAGAGAAAGCCCTAGGTCCCTGCCTCATTTTGACGGAATGCCTCACATCCCGCTGACACCTCGAGAGGCACGCGGAGTTCATTTCTTCAAAAGGTGACGATGCCTGACTCCTCTTGAATACTGATAGGAATCCCAAAATCCCTGTGGCTACTGGAAAGGGTCCTTGGGTGCCCTGCCTCACCTCGAGAAGCGTCCCTTTGGCCCTGCCAAGCCTCGAAGAGATTCCTGAGGTGTCCCTCGTTACTAGACAGGAGTCCTGACGTCACTGAAGAAACTCGTGTTTTGAAGGGCCATCCCCGCCGTAAGTCGAGAACATACCCCAGGTCCCCGCCGCAACTCGAGAAAAACCATGAGACTTCCCCCTAGAGGCGAGATGAGGCCCCATTCCCCTGTAGTGCATGCAGAGCTATTCCGTGATCCCATTCAAACAAGTCAGGAGCTTCGACTTGCTTAATGGATCTCGAGACAGTCCCCAAGAACACTGTCACCAGTCTAGACGGACCCTGAGGTCACCCCAGCAACGCAAAGCAGCTCCATGTGCCCCAAATCAACTCGAGATGAGGCCCGATTCCCCTGCATTGACTCCAGAGCCATTCCCCGTTCCCCATTCAACACGACCGGTGGCTCGACTTCCTTCAGGCAACTCCAGAGATGCCCCGAGAACACTGTCCCAAGTCTAGAGGAACACCAACTTCAGCACAGCAACTCGAGGAATGCTCCGTGTACCCCAAATCGTCTCGAGATGCGAGCTGATTCCCTGGCTTAGGCTCAAGACGTATGCCAACTTCCCAGAAGCACCTCAGGAGGAGGCTTCTCTCAGCAATAGGTATGTGGGAGGGACCCCGAGTTTGCTGCCTCAAGGGGAATATACAGCGAGAAGCCCTAACTTGAAAGGAGGCCGGATTTCCTTGCAGTGGCTTGAATACAGGCTCGTCTTTCATCTCACAACATGAAGGGATGTCTGAATCCCCTGTGGAGACCTTAGAGAAAGCCCTAGGTCCCTGCCTCATTTTGACGGAATGCCTCACATCCCGCTGACACCTCGAGAGGCACGCGGAGTTCATTGCTTCAAAAGGTGACGATGCCTGACTCCTCTTGAATACTGATAGGAATCCCAAAATCCCTGTGGCTACTGGAAAGGGTCCTTGGGTGCCCTGCCTCACCTCGAGAAGCGTCCCTTTGGCCCTGCCAAGCCTCGAAGAGATTCCTGAGGTGTCCCTCGTTACTAGACAGGAGTCCTGACGTCACTGAAAAAACTCGTGTTTTGAAGGGCCATCCCCGCCGTAAGTCGAGAACATACCCCAGGTCCCCGCCGCAACTCGAGAAAAACCATGAGACTTCCCCCTAGAGGCGAGATGAGGCCCCATTCCCCTGCAGTGCATGCAGAGCTATTCCGTGATCCCATTCAAACAAGGCAGGAGCTTCGACTTGCTTAATGGATCTCGAGACAGTCCCCAAGAACACTGTCACCAGTCTAGACGGACCCTGAGGTCACCCCAGCAACGCAAAGCAGCTCCATGTGCCCCAAATCAACTCGAGATGAGGCCCGATTCCCCTGCATTGACTCCAGAGCCATTCCCCGTTCCCCATTCAACACGACCGGTGGCTCGACTTCCTTCAGGCAACTCCAGAGATGCCCCGAGAACACTGTCCCAAGTCTAGAGGAACACCAACTTCAGCACAGCAACTCGAGGAATGCTCCGTGTACCCCAAATCGTCTCGAGATGCGAGCTGATTCCCTGGCTTAGGCTCAAGACGTATGCCAACTTCCCAGAAGCACCTCAGGAGGAGGCTTCTCTCAGCAATAGGTATGTGGGAGGGACCCCGAGTTTGCTGCCTCAAGGGGAATATACAGCGAGAAGCCCTAACTTGAAAGGAGGCCGGATTTCCTTGCAGTGGCTTGAATACAGGCTCGTCTTTCATCTCACAACATGAAGGGATGTCTGAATCCCCTGTGGAGACCTTAGAGAAAGCCCTAGGTCCCTGCCTCATTTTGACGGAATGCCTCACATCCCGCTGACACCTCGAGAGGCACGCGGAGTTCATTGCTTCAAAAGGTGACGATGCCTGACTCCTCTTGAATACTGATAGGAATCCCAAAATCCCTGTGGCTACTGGAAAGGGTCCTTGGGTGCCCTGCCTCACCTCGAGAAGCGTCCCTTTGGCCCTGCCAAGCCTCGAAGAGATTCCTGAGGTGTCCCTCGTTACTAGACAGGAGTCCTGACGTCACTGAAGAAACTCGTGTTTTGAAGGGCCATCCCCGCCGTAAGTCGAGAACATACCCCAGGTCCCCGCCGCAACTCGAGAAAAACCATGAGACTTCCCCCTAGAGGCGAGATGAGGCCCCATTCCCCTGCAGTGCATGCAGAGCTATTCCGTGATCCCATTCAAACAAGGCAGGAGCTTCGACTTGCTTAATGGATCTCGAGACAGTCCCCAAGAACACTGTCACCAGTCTAGACGGACCCTGAGGTCACCCCAGCAACGCAAAGCAGCTCCATGTGCCCCAAATCAACTCGAGATGAGGCCCGATTCCCCTGCATTGACTCCAGAGCCATTCCCCGTTCCCCATTCAACACGACCGGTGGCTCGACTTCCTTCAGGCAACTCCAGAGATGCCCCGAGAACACTGTCCCAAGTCTAGAGGAACACCAACTTCAGCACAGCAACTCGAGGAATGCTCCGTCTACCCCAAATCGTCTCGAGATGCGAGCTGATTCCCTGGCTTAGGCTCAAGACGTATGCCAACTTCCCAGAAGCACCTCAGGAGGAGGCTTCTCTCAGCAATAGGTATGTGGGAGGGACCCCGAGTTTGCTGCCTCAAGGGGAATATACAGCGAGAAGCCCTAACTTGAAAGGAGGCCGGATTTCCTTGCAGTGGCTTGAATACAGGCTCGTCTTTCATCTCACAACATGAAGGGATGTCTGAATCCCCTGTGGAGACCTTAGAGAATGCCCTAGGTCCCTGCCTCATTTTGACGGAATGCCTCACATCGTGCTGACACCTCGAGAGGCACGCGGAGTTCATTGCTTCAAAAGGTGACGATGCCTGACTCCTCTTGAATACTGATAGGAATCCCAAAATCCCTGTGGCTACTGGAAAGGGTCCTTGGGTGCCCTGCCTCACCTCGAGAAGCGTCCCTTTGGCCCTGCCAAGCCTCGAAGAGATTCCTGAGGTGTCCCTCGTTACTAGACAGGAGTCCTGACGTCACTGAAGAAACTCGTGTTTTGAAGGGCCATCCCCGCCGTAAGTCGAGAACATACCCCAGGTCCCCGCCGCAACTCGAGAAAAACCATGAGACTTCCCCCTAGAGGCGAGATGAGGCCCCATTCCCCTGCAGTGCATGCAGAGCTATTCCGTGATCCCATTCAAACAAGGCAGGAGCTTCGACTTGCTTAATGGATCTCGAGACAGTCCCCAAGAACACTGTCACCAGTCTAGACGGACCCTGAGGTCACCCCAGCAACGCAAAGCAGCTCCATGTGCCCCAAATCAACTCGAGATGAGGCCCGATTCCCCTGCATTGACTCCAGAGCCATTCCCCGTTCCCCTTTCAACACGACCGGTGGCTCGACTTCCTTCAGGCAACTCCAGAGATGCCCCGAGAACACTGTCCCAAGTCTAGAGGAACACCAACTTCAGCACAGCAAGTCGAGGAATGCTCCGTGTACCCCAAATCGTCTCGAGATGCGAGCTGATTCCCTGGCTTAGGCTCAAGACGTATGCCAACTTCCCAGAAGCACCTCAGGAGGAGGCTTCTCTCAGCAATAGGTATGTGGGAGGGACCCCGAGTTTGCTGCCTCAAGGGGAATATACAGCGAGAAGCCCTAACTTGAAAGGAGGCCGGATTTCCTTGCAGTGGCTTGAATACAGGCTCGTCTTTCATCTCACAACATGAAGGGATGTCTGAATCCCCTGTGGAGACCTTAGAGAAAGCCCTAGGTCCCTGCCTCATTTTGACGGAATGCCTCACATCCCGCTGACACCTCGAGAGGCACGCGGAGTTCATTGCTTCAAAAGGTGACGATGCCTGACTCCTCTTGAATACTGATAGGAATCCCAAAATCCCTGTGGCTACTGGAAAGGGTCCTTGGGTGCCCTGCCTCACCTCGAGAAGCGTCCCTTTGGCCCTGCCAAGCCTCGAAGAGATTCCTGAGGTGTCCCTCGTTACTAGACAGGAGTCCTGACGTCACTGAAGAAACTCGTGTTTTGAAGGGCCATCCCCGCCGTAAGTCGAGAACATACCCCAGGTCCCCGCCGCAACTCGAGAAAAACCATGAGACTTCCCCCTAGAGGCGAGATGAGGCCCCATTCCCCTGCAGTGCATGCAGAGCTATTCCGTGATCCCATTCAAACAAGGCAGGAGCTTCGACTTGCTTAATGGATCTCGAGACAGTCCCCAAGAACACTGTCACCAGTCTAGACGGACCCTGAGGTCACCCCAGCAACGCAAAGCAGCTCCATGTGCCCCAAATCAACTCGAGATGAGGCCCGATTCCCCTGCATTGACTCCAGAGCCATTCCCCGTTCCCCATTCAACACGACCGGTGGCTCGACTTCCTTCAGGCAACTCCAGAGATGCCCCGAGAACACTGTCCCAAGTCTAGAGGAACACCAACTTCAGCACAGCAACTCGAGGAATGCTCCGTGTACCCCAAATCGTCTCGAGATGCGAGCTGATTCCCTGGCTTAGGCTCAAGACGTATGCCAACTTCCCAGAAGCACCTCAGGAGGAGGCTTCTCTCAGCAATAGGTATGTGGGAGGGACCCCGAGTTTGCTGCCTCAAGGGGAATATACAGCGAGAAGCCCTAACTTGAAAGGAGGCCGGATTTCCTTGCAGTGGCTTGAATACAGGCTCGTCTTTCATCTCACAACATGAAGGGATGTCTGAATCCCCTGTGGAGACCTTAGAGAAAGCCCTAGGTCCCTGCCTCATTTTGACGGAATGCCTCACATCCCGCTGACACCTCGAGAGGCACGCGGAGTTCATTGCTTCAAAAGGTGACGATGCCTGACTCCTCTTGAATACTGATAGGAATCCCAAAATCCCTGTGGCTACTGGAAAGGGTCCTTGGGTGCCCTGCCTCACCTCGAGAAGCGTCCCTTTGGCCCTGCCAAGCCTCGAAGAGATTCCTGAGGTGTCCCTCGTTACTAGACAGGAGTCCTGACGTCACTGAAGAAACTCGTGTTTTGAAGGGCCATCCCCGCCGTAAGTCGAGAACATACCCCAGGTCCCCGCCGCAACTCGAGAAAAACCATGAGACTTCCCCCTAGAGGCGAGATGAGGCCCCATTCCCCTGCAGTGCATGCAGAGCTATTCCGTGATCCCATTCAAACAAGGCAGGAGCTTCGACTTGCTTAATGGATCTCGAGACAGTCCCCAAGAACACTGTCACCAGTCTAGACGGACCCTGAGGTCACCCCAGCAACGCAAAGCAGCTCCATGTGCCCCAAATCAACTCGAGATGAGGCCCGATTCCCCTGCATTGACTCCAGAGCCATTCCCCGTTCCCCATTCAACACGACCGGTGGCTCGACTTCCTTCAGGCAATTCCAGAGATGCCCCGAGAACACTGTCCCAAGTCTAGAGGAACACCAACTTCAGCACAGCAAGTCGAGGAATGCTCCGTGTACCCCAAATCGTCTCGAGATGCGAGCTGATTCCCTGGCTTAGGCTCAAGACGTATGCCAACTTCCCAGAAGCACCTCAGGAGAAGGCTTCTCTCAGCAATAGGTATGTGGGAGGGACCCCGAGTTTGCTGCCTCAAGGGGAATATACAGCGAGAAGCCCTAACTTGAAAGGAGGCCGGATTTCCTTGCAGTGGCTTGAATACAGGCTCGTCTTTCATCTCACAACATGAAGGGATGTCTGAATCCCCTGTGCAGACCTTAGAGAAAGCCCTAGGTCCCTGCCTCATTTTGACGGAATGCCTCACATCGTGCTGACACCTCGAGAGGCACGCGGAGTTCATTGCTTCAAAAGGTGACGATGCCTGACTCCTCTTGAATACTGATAGGAATCCCAAAATCCCTGTGGCTACTGGAAAGGGTCCTTGGGTGCCCTGCCTCAACTCGAGAAGCGTCCCTTTTGCCCTGCCAAGCCTCGAAGAGATTCCTGAGGTGTCTCTCGTTACTAGACAGGAGTCCTGACGTCACTGAAGAAACTCGTGTTTTGAAGGGCCATCCCCGCCGTAAGTCGAGAACATACCCCAGGTCCCCGCCGCAACTCGAGAAAAACCATGAGACTTCCCCCTAGAGGCGAGATGAGGCCCCATTCCCCTGCAGTGCATGCAGAGCTATTCCGTGATCCCATTCAAACAAGGCAGGAGCTTCGACTTGCTTAATGGATCTCGAGACAGTCCCCAAGACACAGACACCAGTCTAGACGGACCCTGAGGTCACCCCAGCAACGCAAAGCAGCTCCATGTGCCCCAAATCAACTCGAGATGAGGCCCGATTCCCCTGCATTGACTCCAGAGCCATTCCCCGTTCCCCATTCAACACGACCGGTGGCTCGACTTCCTTCAGGCAACTCCAGAGATGCCCCGAGAACACTGTCCCAAGTCTAGAGGAAGACCAACTTCAGCACAGCAACTCGAGGAATACTCCGTGTACCCCAAATCGTCTCGAGATGCGAGCTGATTCCCTGGCTTAGGCTCAAGACGTATGCCAACTTCCCAGAAGCACCTCAGGAGGAGGCTTCTCTCAGCAATAGGTATGTGGGAGGGACCCCGAGTTTGCTGCCTCAAGGGGAATATACAGCGAGAAGCCCTAACTTGAAAGGAGGCCGGATTTCCTTGCAGTGGCTTGAATACAGGCTCGTCTTTCATCTCACAACATGAAGGGATGTCTGAATCCCCTGTGGAGACCTTAGAGAAAGCCCTAGGTCCCTGCCTCATTTTGACGGAATGCCTCACATCCCGCTGACACCTCGAGAGGCACGCGGAGTTCATTGCTTCAAAAGGTGACGATGCCTGACTCCTCTTGAATACTGATAGGAATCCCAAAATCCCTGTGGCTACTGGAAAGGGTCCTTGGGTGCCCTGCCTCACCTCGAGAAGCGTCCCTTTGGCCCTGCCAAGCCTCGAAGAGATTCCTGAGGTGTCCCTCGTTACTAGACAGGAGTCCTGACGTCACTGAAGAAACTCGTGTTTTGAAGGGCCATCCCCGCCGTAAGTCGAGAACATACCCCAGGTCCCCGCCGCAACTCGAGAAAAACCATGAGACTTCCCCCTAGAGGCGAGATGAGGCCCCATTCCCCTGTAGTGCATGCAGAGCTATTCCGTGATCCCATTCAAACAAGTCAGGAGCTTCGACTTGCTTAATGGATCTCGAGACATTCCCCAAGAACACTGTCACCAGTCTAGACGGACCCTGAGGTCACCCCAGCAACGCAAAGCAGCTCCATGTGCCCGAAATCAACTCGAGATGAGGCCCGATTCCCCTGCATTGACTCCAGAGCCATTCCCCGTTCCCCATTCAACACGACCGGTGGCTCGACTTCCTTCAGGCAACTCCAGAGATGCCCCGAGAACACTGTCCCAAGTCTAGAGGAACACCAACTTCAGCACAGCAACTCGAGGAATGCTCCGTGTACCCCAAATCGTCTCGAGATGCGAGCTGATTCCCTGGCTTAGGCTCAAGACGTATGCCAACTTCCCAGAAGCACCTCAGGAGGAGGCTTCTCTCAGCAATAGGTATGTGGGAGGGACCCCGAGTTTGCTGCCTCAAGGGGAATATACAGCGAGAAGCCCTAACTTGAAAGGAGGCCGGATTTCCTTGCAGTGGCTTGAATACAGGCTCGTCTTTCATCTCACAACATAAAGGGATGTCTGAATCCCCTGTGGAGACCTTAGAGAAAGCCCTAGGTCCCTGCCTCATTTTGACGGAATGCCTCACATCCCGCTGACACCTCGAGAGGCACGCGGAGTTCATTGCTTCAAAAGGTGACGATGCCTGACTCCTCTTGAATACTGATAGGAATCCCAAAATCCCTGTGGCTACTGGAAAGGGTCCTTGGGTGCCCTGCCTCACCTCGAGAAGCGTCCCTTTTGCCCTGCCAAGCCTCGAAGAGATTCCTGAGGTGTCTCTCGTTACTAGACAGGAGTCCTGACGTCACTGAAGAAACTCGTGTTTTGAAGGGCCATCCCCGCCGTAAGTCGAGAACATACCCCAGGTCCCCGCCGCAACTCGAGAAAAACCATGAGACTTCCCCCTAGAGGCGAGATGAGGCCCCATTCCCCTGCAGTGCATGCAGAGCTATTCCGTGATCCCATTCAAACAAGTCAGGAGCTTCGACTTGCTTAATGGATCTCGAGACAGTCCCCAAGAACACTGTCACCAGTCTAGACGGACCCTGAGGTCACCCAGGCAACGCAAAGCAGCTCCATGTGCCCCAAATCAACTCGAGATGAGGCCCGATTCCCCTGCATTGACTCCAGAGCCATTCCCCGTTCCCCATTCAACACGACCGGTGGCTCGACTTCCTTCAGGCAACTCCAGAGATGCCCCGAGAACACTGTCCCAAGTCTAGAGGAACACCAACTTCAGCACAGCAACTCGAGGAATGCTCCGTCTACCCCAAATCGTCTCGAGATGCGAGCTGATTCCCTGGCTTAGGCTCAAGACGTATGCCAACTTCCCAGAAGCACCTCAGGAGGAGGCTTCTCTCAGCAATAGGTATGTGGGAGGGACCCCGAGTTCGCTGCCTCAAGGGGAATATACAGCGAGAAGCCCTAACTTGAAAGGAGGCCGGATTTCCTTGCAGTGGCTTGAATACAGGCTCGTCTTTCATCTCACAACATGAAGGGATGTCTGAATCCCCTGTGGAGACCTTAGAGAAAGCCCTAGGTCCCTGCCTCATTTTGACGGAATGCCTCACATCCCGCTGACACCTCGAGAGGCACGCGGAGTTCATTGCTTCAAAAGGTGACGATGCCTGACTCCTCTTGAATACTGATAGGAATCCCAAAATCCCTGTGGCTACTGGAAAGGGTCCTTGGGTGCCCTGCCTCACCTCGAGAAGCGTCCCTTTGGCCCTGCCAAGCCTCGAAGAGATTCCTGAGGTGTCCCTCGTTACTAGACAGGAGTCCTGACGTCACTGAAGAAACTCGTGTTTTGAAGGGCCATCCCCGCCGTAAGTCGAGAACATACCCCAGGTCCCCGCCGCAACTCGAGAAAAACCATGAGACTTCCCCCTAGAGGCGAGATGAGGCCCCATTCCCCTGCAGTGCATGCAGAGCTATTCCGTGATCCCATTCAAACAAGGCAGGAGCTTCGACTTGCTTAATGGATCTCGAGACAGTCCCCAAGAACACTGTCACCAGTCTAGACGGACCCTGAGGTCACCCCAGCAACGCAAAGCAGCTCCATGTGCCCCAAATCAACTCGAGATGAGGCCCGATTCCCCTGCATTGACTCCAGAGCCATTCCCCGTTCCCCATTCAACACGACCGGTGGCTCGACTTCCTTCAGGCAACTCCAGAGATGCCCCGAGAACACTGTCCCAAGTCTAGAGGAACACCAACTTCAGCACAGAAACTCGAGGAATGCTCCGTGTACCCCAAATCGTCTCGAGATGCGAGCTGATTCCCTGGCTTAGGCTCAAGACGTATGCCAACTTCCCAGAAGCACCTCAGGAGGAGGCTTCTCTCAGCAATAGGTATGTGGGAGGGACCCCGAGTTTGCTGCCTCAAGGGGAATATACAGCGAGAAGCCCTAACTTGAAAGGAGGCCGGATTTCCTTGCAGTGGCTTGAATACAGGCTCGTCTTTCATCTCACAACATGAAGGGATGTCTGAATCCCCTGTGGAGACCTTAGAGAATGCCCTAGGTCCCTGCCTCATTTTGACGGAATGCCTCACATCGTGCTGACACCTCGAGAGGCACGCGGAGTTCATTGCTTCAAAAGGTGACGATGCCTGACTCCTCTTGAATACTGATAGGAATCCCAAAATCCCTGTGGCTACTGGAAAGGGTCCTTGGGTGCCCTGCCTCACCTCGAGAAGCGTCCCTTTTGCCCTGCCAAGCCTCGAAGAGATTCCTGAGGTGTCTCTCGTTACTAGACAGGAGTCCTGACGTCACTGAAGAAACTCGTGTTTTGAAGGGCCATCCCCGCCGTAAGTCGAGAACATACCCCAGGTCCCCGCCGCAACTCGAGAAAAACCATGAGACTTCCCCCTAGAGGCGAGATGAGGCCCCATTCCCCTGCAGTGCATGCAGAGCTATTCCGTGATCCCATTCAAACAAGGCAGGAGCTTCGACTTGCTTAATGGATCTCGAGACAGTCCCCAAGAACACTGTCACCAGTCTAGACGGACCCTGAGGTCACCCCAGCAACGCAAAGCAGCTCCATGTGCCCCAAATCAACTCGAGATGAGGCCCGATTCCCCTGCATTGACTCCAGAGCCATTCCCCGTTCCCCATTCAACACGACCGGTGGCTCGACTTCCTTCAGGCAACTCCAGAGATGCCCCGAGAACACTGTCGCAAGTCTAGAGGAACACCAACTTCAGCACAGCAAGTCGAGGAATGCTCCGTGTACCCCAAATCGTCTCGAGATGCGAGCTGATTCCCTGGCTTAGGCTCAAGACGTATGCCAACTTCCCAGAAGCACCTCAGGAGGAGGCTTCTCTCAGCAATAGGTATGTGGGAGGGACCCCGAGTTTGCTGCCTCAAGGGGAATATACAGCGAGAAGCCCTAACTTGAAAGGAGGCCGGATTTCCTTGCAGTGGCTTGAATACAGGCTCGTCTTTCATCTCACAACATGAAGGGATGTCTGAATCCCCTGTGGAGACCTTAGAGAAAGCCCTAGGTCCCTGCCTCATTTTGACGGAATGCCTCACATCCCGCTGACACCTCGAGAGGCACGCGGAGTTCATTGCTTCAAAAGGTGACGATGCCTGACTCCTCTTGAATACTGATAGGAATCCCAAAATCCCTGTGGCTACTGGAAAGGGTCCTTGGGTGCCCTGCCTCACCTCGAGAAGCGTCCCTTTGGCCCTGCCAAGCCTCGAAGAGATTCCTGAGGTGTCCCTCGTTACTAGACAGGAGTCCTGACGTCACTGAAGAAACTCGTGTTTTGAAGGGCCATCCCCGCCGTAAGTCGAGAACATACCCCAGGTCCCCGCCGCAACTCGAGAAAAACCATGAGACTTCCCCCTAGAGGCGAGATGAGGCCCCATTCCCCTGCAGTGCATGCAGAGCTATTCCGTGATCCCATTCAAACAAGGCAGGAGCTTCGACTTGCTTAATGGATCTCGAGACAGTCCCCAAGAACACTGTCACCAGTCTAGACGGACCCTGAGGTCACCCCAGCAACGCAAAGCAGCTCCATGTGCCCCAAATCAACTCGAGATGAGGCCCGATTCCCCTGCATTGACTCCAGAGCCATTCCCCGTTCCCCTTTCAACACGACCGGTGGCTCGACTTCCTTCAGGCAACTCCAGAGATGCCCCGAGAACACTGTCCCAAGTCTAGAGGAACACCAACTTCAGCACAGCAAGTCGAGGAATGCTCCGTGTACCCCAAATCGTCTCGAGATGCGAGCTGATTCCCTGGCTTAGGCTCAAGACGTATGCCAACTTCCCAGAAGCACCTCAGGAGGAGGCTTCTCTCAGCAATAGGTATGTGGGAGGGACCCCGAGTTTGCTGCCTCAAGGGGAATATACAGCGAGAAGCCCTAACTTGAAAGGAGGCCGGATTTCCTTGCAGTGGCTTGAATACAGGCTCGTCTTTCATCTCACAACATGAAGGGATGTCTGAATCCCCTGTGGAGACCTTAGAGAAAGCCCTAGGTCCCTGCCTCATTTTGACGGAATGCCTCACATCCCGCTGACACCTCGAGAGGCACGCGGAGTTCATTGCTTCAAAAGGTGACGATGCCTGACTCCTCTTGAATACTGATAGGAATCCCAAAATCCCTGTGGCTACTGGAAAGGGTCCTTGGGTGCCCTGCCTCACCTCGAGAAGCGTCCCTTTGGCCCTGCCAAGCCTCGAAGAGATTCCTGAGGTGTCCCTCGTTACTAGACAGGAGTCCTGACGTCACTGAAGAAACTCGTGTTTTGAAGGGCCATCCCCGCCGTAAGTCGAGAACATACCCCAGGTCCCCGCCGCAACTCGAGAAAAACCATGAGACTTCCCCCTAGAGGCGAGATGAGGCCCCATTCCCCTGCAGTGCATGCAGAGCTATTCCGTGATCCCATTCAAACAAGGCAGGAGCTTCGACTTGCTTAATGGATCTCGAGACAGTCCCCAAGAACACTGTCACCAGTCTAGACGGACCCTGAGGTCACCCCAGCAACGCAAAGCAGCTCCATGTGCCCCAAATCAACTCGAGATGAGGCCCGATTCCCCTGCATTGACTCCAGAGCCATTCCCCGTTCCCCATTCAACACGACCGGTGGCTCGACTTCCTTCAGGCAACTCCAGAGATGCCCCGAGAACACTGTCCCAAGTCTAGAGGAACACCAACTTCAGCACAGCAACTCGAGGAATGCTCCGTGTACCCCAAATCGTCTCGAGATGCGAGCTGATTCCCTGGCTTAGGCTCAAGACGTATGCCAACTTCCCAGAAGCACCTCAGGAGGAGGCTTCTCTCAGCAATAGGTATGTGGGAGGGACCCCGAGTTTGCTGCCTCAAGGGGAATATACAGCGAGAAGCCCTAACTTGAAAGGAGGCCGGATTTCCTTGCAGTGGCTTGAATACAGGCTCGTCTTTCATCTCACAACATGAAGGGATGTCTGAATCCCCTGTGGAGACCTTAGAGAAAGCCCTAGGTCCCTGCCTCATTTTGACGGAATGCCTCACATCCCGCTGACACCTCGAGAGGCACGCGGAGTTCATTGCTTCAAAAGGTGACGATGCCTGACTCCTCTTGAATACTGATAGGAATCCCAAAATCCCTGTGGCTACTGGAAAGGGTCCTTGGGTGCCCTGCCTCACCTCGAGAAGCGTCCCTTTGGCCCTGCCAAGCCTCGAAGAGATTCCTGAGGTGTCCCTCGTTACTAGACAGGAGTCCTGACGTCACTGAAGAAACTCGTGTTTTGAAGGGCCATCCCCGCCGTAAGTCGAGAACATACCCCAGGTCCCCGCCGCAACTCGAGAAAAACCATGAGACTTCCCCCTAGAGGCGAGATGAGGCCCCATTCCCCTGCAGTGCATGCAGAGCTATTCCGTGATCCCATTCAAACAAGGCAGGAGCTTCGACTTGCTTAATGGATCTCGAGACAGTCCCCAAGAACACTGTCACCAGTCTAGACGGACCCTGAGGTCACCCCAGCAACGCAAAGCAGCTCCATGTGCCCCAAATCAACTCGAGATGAGGCCCGATTCCCCTGCATTGACTCCAGAGCCATTCCCCGTTCCCCATTCAACACGACCGGTGGCTCGACTTCCTTCAGGCAATTCCAGAGATGCCCCGAGAACACTGTCCCAAGTCTAGAGGAACACCAACTTCAGCACAGCAAGTCGAGGAATGCTCCGTGTACCCCAAATCGTCTCGAGATGCGAGCTGATTCCCTGGCTTAGGCTCAAGACGTATGCCAACTTCCCAGAAGCACCTCAGGAGAAGGCTTCTCTCAGCAATAGGTATGTGGGAGGGACCCCGAGTTTGCTGCCTCAAGGGGAATATACAGCGAGAAGCCCTAACTTGAAAGGAGGCCGGATTTCCTTGCAGTGGCTTGAATACAGGCTCGTCTTTCATCTCACAACATGAAGGGATGTCTGAATCCCCTGTGGAGACCTTAGAGAAAGCCCTAGGTCCCTGCCTCATTTTGACGGAATGCCTCACATCGTGCTGACACCTCGAGAGGCACGCGGAGTTCATTGCTTCAAAAGGTGACGATGCCTGACTCCTCTTGAATACTGATAGGAATCCCAAAATCCCTGTGGCTACTGGAAAAGGTCCTTGGGTGCCCTGCCTCACCTCGAGAAGCGTCCCTTTTGCCCTGCCAAGCCTCGAAGAGATTCCTGAGGTGTCTCTCGTTACTAGACAGGAGTCCTGACGTCACTGAAGAAACTCGTGTTTTGAAGGGCCATCCCCGCCGTAAGTCGAGAACATACCCCAGGTCCCCGCCGCAACTCGAGAAAAACCATGAGACTTCCCCCTAGAGGCGAGATGAGGCCCCATTCCCCTGCAGTGCATGCAGAGCTATTCCGTGATCCCATTCAAACAAGGCAGGAGCTTCGACTTGCTTAATGGATCTCGAGACAGTCCCCAAGACACAGACACCAGTCTAGACGGACCCTGAGGTCACCCCAGCAACGCAAAGCAGCTCCATGTGCCCCAAATCAACTCGAGATGAGGCCCGATTCCCCTGCATTGACTCCAGAGCCATTCCCCGTTCCCCATTCAACACGACCGGTGGCTCGACTTCCTTCAGGCAACTCCAGAGATGCCCCGAGAACACTGTCCCAAGTCTAGAGGAAGACCAACTTCAGCACAGCAACTCGAGGAATGCTCCGTGTACCCCAAATCGTCTCGAGATGCGAGCTGATTCCCTGGCTTAGGCTCAAGACGTATGCCAACTTCCCAGAAGCACCTCAGGAGGAGGCTTCTCTCAGCAATAGGTATGTGGGAGGGACCCCGAGTTTGCTGCCTCAAGGGGAATATACAGCGAGAAGCCCTAACTTGAAAGGAGGCCGGATTTCCTTGCAGTGGCTTGAATACAGGCTCGTCTTTCATCTCACAACATGAAGGGATGTCTGAATCCCCTGTGGAGACCTTAGAGAAAGCCCTAGGTCCCTGCCTCATTTTGACGGAATGCCTCACATCCCGCTGACACCTCGAGAGGCACGCGGAGTTCATTGCTTCAAAAGGTGACGATGCCTGACTCCTCTTGAATACTGATAGGAATCCCAAAATCCCTGTGGCTACTGGAAAGGGTCCTGGGGTGCCCTGCCTCACCTCGAGAAGCGTCCCTTTGGCCCTGCCAAGCCTCGAAGAGATTCCTGAGGTGTCCCTCGTTACTAGACAGGAGTCCTGACGTCACTGAAGAAACTCGTGTTTTGAAGGGCCATCCCCGCCGTAAGTCGAGAACATACCCCAGGTCCCCGCCGCAACTCGAGAAAAACCATGAGACTTCCCCCTAGAGGCGAGATGAGGCCCCATTCCCCTGCAGTGCATGCAGAGCTATTCCGTGATCCCATTCAAACAAGGCAGGAGCTTCGACTTGCTTAATGGATCTCGAGACAGTCCCCAAGAACACTGTCACCAGTCTAGACGGACCCTGAGGTCACCCCAGCAACGCAAAGCAGCTCCATGTGCCCCAAATCAACTCGAGATGAGGCCCGATTCCCCTGCATTGACTCCAGAGCCATTCCCCGTTCCCCATTCAACACGACCGGTGGCTCGACTTCCTTCAGGCAACTCCAGAGATGCCCCGAGAACACTGTCCCAAGTCTAGAGGAACACCAACTTCAGCACAGCAACTCGAGGAATGCTCCGTGTACCCCAAATCGTCTCGAGATGCGAGCTGATTCCCTGGCTTAGGCTCAAGACGTATGCCAACTTCCCAGAAGCACCTCAGGAGGAGGCTTCTCTCAGCAATAGGTATGTGGGAGGGACCCCGAGTTTGCTGCCTCAAGGGGAATATACAGCGAGAAGCCCTAACTTGAAAGGAGGCCGGATTTCCTTGCAGTGGCTTGAATACAGGCTCGTCTTTCATCTCACAACATGAAGGGATGTCTGAATCCCCTGTGGAGACCTTAGAGAAAGCCCTAGGTCCCTGCCTCATTTTGACGGAATGCCTCACATCCCGCTGACACCTCGAGAGGCACGCGGAGTTCATTGCTTCAAAAGGTGACGATGCCTGACTCCTCTTGAATACTGATAGGAATCCCAAAATCCCTGTGGCTACTGGAAAGGGTCCTTGGGTGCCCTGCCTCACCTCGAGAAGCGTCCCTTTGGCCCTGCCAAGCCTCGAAGAGATTCCTGAGGTGTCCCTCGTTACTAGACAGGAGTCCTGACGTCACTGAAGAAACTCGTGTTTTGAAGGGCCATCCCCGCCGTAAGTCGAGAACATACCCCAGGTCCCCGCCGCAACTCGAGAAAAACCATGAGACTTCCCCCTAGAGGCGAGATGAGGCCCCATTCCCCTGCAGTGCATGCAGAGCTATTCCGTGATCCCATTCAAACAAGGCAGGAGCTTCGACTTGCTTAATGGATCTCGAGACAGTCCCCAAGAACACTGTCACCAGTCTAGACGGACCCTGAGGTCACCCCAGCAACGCAAAGCAGCTCCATGTGCCCCAAATCAACTCGAGATGAGGCCCGATTCCCCTGCATTGACTCCAGAGCCATTCCCCGTTCCCCATTCAACACGACCGGTGGCTCGACTTCCTTCAGGCAACTCCAGAGATGCCCCGAGAACACTGTCCCAAGTCTAGAGGAACACCAACTTCAGCACAGCAACTCGAGGAATGCTCCGTGTACCCCAAATCGTCTCGAGATGCGAGCTGATTCCCTGGCTTAGGCTCAAGACGTATGCCAACTTCCCAGAAGCACCTCAGGAGGAGGCTTCTCTCAGCAATAGGTATGTGGGAGGGACCCCGAGTTTGCTGCCTCAAGGGGAATATACAGCGAGAAGCCCTAACTTGAAAGGAGGCCGGATTTCCTTGCAGTGGCTTGAATACAGGCTCGTCTTTCATCTCACAACATGAAGGGATGTCTGAATCCCCTGTGGAGACCTTAGAGAAAGCCCTAGGTCCCTGCCTCATTTTGACGGAATGCCTCACATCCCGCTGACACCTCGAGAGGCACGCGGAGTTCATTGCTTCAAAAGGTGACGATGCCTGACTCCTCTTGAATACTGATAGGAATCCCAAAATCCCTGTGGCTACTGGAAAGGGTCCTTGGGTGCCCTGCCTCACCTCGAGAAGCGTCCCTTTGGCCCTGCCAAGCCTCGAAGAGATTCCTGAGGTGTCCCTCGTTACTAGACAGGAGTCCTGACGTCACTGAAGAAACTCGTGTTTTGAAGGGCCATCCCCGCCGTAAGTCGAGAACATACCCCAGGTCCCCGCCGCAACTCGAGAAAAACCATGAGACTTCCCCCTAGAGGCGAGATGAGGCCCCATTCCCCTGCAGTGCATGCAGAGCTATTCCGTGATCCCATTCAAACAAGTCAGGAGCTTCGACTTGCTTAATGGATCTCGAGACAGTCCCCAAGAACACTGTCACCAGTCTAGACGGACCCTGAGGTCACCCCAGCAACGCAAAGCAGCTCCATGTGCCCCAAATCAACTCGAGATGAGGCCCGATTCCCCTGCATTGACTCCAGAGCCATTCCCCGTTCCCCATTCAACACGACCGGTGGCTCGACTTCCTTCAGGCAACTCCAGAGATGCCCCGAGAACACTGTCCCAAGTCTAGAGGAACACCAACTTCAGCACAGCAACTCGAGGAATGCTCCGTGTACCCCAAATCGTCTCGAGATGCGAGCTGATTCCCTGGCTTAGGCTCAAGACGTATGCCAACTTCCCAGAAGCACCTCAGGAGGAGGCTTCTCTCAGCAATAGGTATGTGGGAGGGACCCCGAGTTTGCTGCCTCAAGGGGAATATACAGCGAGAAGCCCTAACTTGAAAGGAGGCCGGATTTCCTTGCAGTGGCTTGAATACAGGCTCGTCTTTCATCTCACAACATGAAGGGATGTCTGAATCCCCTGTGGAGACCTTAGAGAAAGCCCTAGGTCCCTGCCTCATTTTGACGGAATGCCTCACATCCCGCTGACACCTCGAGAGGCACGCGGAGTTCATTGCTTCAAAAGGTGACGATGCCTGACTCCTCTTGAATACTGATAGGAATCCCAAAATCCCTGTGGCTACTGGAAAGGGTCCTTGGGTGCCCTGCCTCACCTCGAGAAGCGTCCCTTTGGCCCTGCCAAGCCTCGAAGAGATTCCTGAGGTGTCCCTCGTTACTAGACAGGAGTCCTGACGTCACTGAAGAAACTCGTGTTTTGAAGGGCCATCCCCGCCGTAAGTCGAGAACATACCCCAGGTCCCCGCCGCAACTCGAGAAAAACCATGAGACTTCCCCCTAGAGGCGAGATGAGGCCCCATTCCCCTGCAGTGCATGCAGAGCTATTCCGTGATCCCATTCAAACAAGGCAGGAGCTTCGACTTGCTTAATGGATCTCGAGACAGTCCCCAAGAACACTGTCACCAGTCTAGACGGACCCTGAGGTCACCCCAGCAACGCAAAGCAGCTCCATGTGCCCCAAATCAACTCGAGATGAGGCCCGATTCCCCTGCATTGACTCCAGAGCCATTCCCCGTTCCCCATTCAACACGACCGGTGGCTCGACTTCCTTCAGGCAACTCCAGAGATGCCCCGAGAACACTGTCCCAAGTCTAGAGGAACACCAACTTCAGCACAGCAACTCGAGGAATGCTCCGTGTACCCCAAATCGTCTCGAGATGCGAGCTGATTCCCTGGCTTAGGCTCAAGACGTATGCCAACTTCCCAGAAGCACCTCAGGAGGAGGCTTCTCTCAGCAATAGGTATGTGGGAGGGACCCCGAGTTTGCTGCCTCAAGGGGAATATACAGCGAGAAGCCCTAACTTGAAAGGAGGCCGGATTTCCTTGCAGTGGCTTGAATACAGGCTCGTCTTTCATCTCACAACATGAAGGGATGTCTGAATCCCCTGTGGAGACCTTAGAGAAAGCCCTAGGTCCCTGCCTCATTTTGACGGAATGCCTCACATCCCGCTGACACCTCGAGAGGCACGCGGAGTTCATTGCTTCAAAAGGTGACGATGCCTGACTCCTCTTGAATACTGATAGGAATCCCAAAATCCCTGTGGCTACTGGAAAGGGTCCTTGGGTGCCCTGCCTCACCTCGAGAAGCGTCCCTTTGGCCCTGCCAAGCCTCGAAGAGATTCCTGAGGTGTCCCTCGTTACTAGACAGGAGTCCTGACGTCACTGAAGAAACTCGTGTTTTGAAGGGCCATCCCCGCCGTAAGTCGAGAACATACCCCAGGTCCCCGCCGCAACTCGAGAAAAACCATGAGACTTCCCCCTAGAGGCGAGATGAGGCCCCATTCCCCTGCAGTGCATGCAGAGCTATTCCGTGATCCCATTCAAACAAGGCAGGCGCTTCGACTTGCTTAATGGATCTCGAGACAGTCCCCAAGAACACTGTCACCAGTCTAGACGGACCCTGAGGTCACCCCAGCAACGCAAAGCAGCTCCATGTGCCCCAAATCAACTCGAGATGAGGCCCGATTCCCCTGCATTGACTCCAGAGCCATTCCCCGTTCCCCATTCAACACGACCGGTGGCTCGACTTCCTTCAGGCAACTCCAGAGATGCCCCGAGAACACTGTCCCAAGTCTAGAGGAACACCAACTTCAGCACAGCAAGTCGAGGAATGCTCCGTGTACCCCAAATCGTCTCGAGATGCGAGCTGATTCCCTGGCTTAGGCTCAAGACGTATGCCAACTTCCCAGAAGCACCTCAGGAGGAGGCTTCTCTCAGCAATAGGTATGTGGGAGGGACCCCGAGTTTGCTGCCTCAAGGGGAATATACAGCGAGAAGCCCTAACTTGAAAGGAGGCCGGATTTCCTTGCAGTGGCTTGAATACAGGCTCGTCTTTCATCTCACAACATGAAGGGATGTCTGAATCCCCTGTGGAGACCTTAGAGAAAGCCCTAGGTCCCTGCCTCATTTTGACGGAATGCCTCACATCCCGCTGACACCTCGAGAGGCACGCGGAGTTCATTGCTTCAAAAGGTGACGATGCCTGACTCCTCTTGAATACTGATAGGAATCCCAAAATCACTGTGGCTACTGGAAAGGGTCCTTGGGTGCCCTGCCTCACCTCGAGAAGCGTCCCTTTGGCCCTGCCAAGCCTCGAAGAGATTCCTGAGGTGTCCCTCGTTACTAGACAGGAGTCCTGACATCACTGAAGAAACTCGTGTTTTGAAGGGCCATCCCCGCCGTAAGTCGAGAACATACCCCAGGTCCCCGCCGCAACTCGAGAAAAACCATGAGACTTCCCCCTAGAGGCGAGATGAGGCCCCATTCCCCTGCAGTGCATGCAGAGCTATTCCGTGATCCCATTCAAACAAGTCAGGCGCTTCGACTTGCTTAATGGATCTCGAGACAGTCCCCAAGAACACTGTCACCAGTCTAGACGGACCCTGAGGTCACCCCAGCAACGCAAAGCAGCTCCATGTGCCCCAAATCAACTCGAGATGAGGCCCGATTCCCCTGCATTGACTCCAGAGCCATTCCCCGTTCCCCATTCAACACGACCGGTGGCTCGACTTCCTTCAGGCAACTCCAGAGATGCCCCGAGAACACTGTCCCAAGTCTAGAGGAACACCAACTTCAGCACAGCAAGTCGAGGAATGCTCCGTGTACCCCAAATCGTCTCGAGATGCGAGCTGATCCCCTGGCTTAGGCTCAAGACGTATGCCAACTTCCCAGAAGCACCTCAGGAGGAGGCTTCTCTCAGCAATAGGTATGTGGGAGGGACCCCGAGTTTGCTGCCTCAAGGGGAATATACAGCGAGAAGCCCTAACTTGAAAGGAGGCCGGATTTCCTTGCAGTGGCTTGAATACAGGCTCGTCTTTCATCTCACAACATGAAGGGATGTCTGAATCCCCTGTGGAGACCTTAGAGAAAGCCCTAGGTCCCTGCCTCATTTTGACGGAATGCCTCACATCCCGCTGACACCTCGAGAGGCACGCGGAGTTCATTGCTTCAAAAGGTGACGATGCCTGACTCCTCTTGAATACTGATAGGAATCCCAAAATCCCTGTGGCTACTGGAAAGGGTCCTTGGGTGCCCTGCCTCACCTCGAGAAGCGTCCCTTTGGCCCTGCCAAGCCTCGAAGAGATTCCTGAGGTGTCCCTCGTTACTAGACAGGAGTCCTGACGTCACTGAAGAAACTCGTGTTTTGAAGGGCCATCCCCGCCGTAAGTCGAGAACATACCCCAGGTCCCCGCCGCAACTCGAGAAAAACCATGAGACTTCCCCCTAGAGGCGAGATGAGGCCCCATTCCCCTGCAGTGCATGCAGAGCTATTCCGTGATCCCATTCAAACAAGGCAGGAGCTTCGACTTGCTTAATGGATCTCGAGACAGTCCCCAAGAACACTGTCACCAGTCTAGACGGACCCTGAGGTCACCCCAGCAACGCAAAGCAGCTCCATGTGCCCCAAATCAACTCGAGATGAGGCCCGATTCCCCTGCATTGACTCCAGAGCCATTCCCCGTTCCCCATTCAACACGACCGGTGGCTCGACTTCCTTCAGGCAACTCCAGAGATGCCCCGAGAACACTGTCCCAAGTCTAGAGGAACACCAACTTCAGCACAGCAACTCGAGGAATGCTCCGTGTACCCCAAATCGTCTCGAGATGCGAGCTGATTCCCTGGCTTAGGCTCAAGACGTATGCCAACTTCCCAGAAGCACCTCAGGAGGAGGCTTCTCTCAGCAATAGGTATGTGGGAGGGACCCCGAGTTTGCTGCCTCAAGGGGAATATACAGCGAGAAGCCCTAACTTGAAAGGAGGCCGGATTTCCTTGCAGTGGCTTGAATACAGGCTCGTCTTTCATCTCACAACATGAAGGGATGTCTGAATCCCCTGTGGAGACCTTAGAGAAAGCCCTAGGTCCCTGCCTCATTTTGACGGAATGCCTCACATCCCGCTGACACCTCGAGAGGCACGCGGAGTTCATTGCTTCAAAAGGTGACGATGCCTGACTCCTCTTGAATACTGATAGGAATCCCAAAATCCCTGTGGCTACTGGAAAGGGTCCTTGGGTGCCCTGCCTCACCTCGAGAAGCGTCCCTTTGGCCCTGCCAAGCCTCGAAGAGATTCCTGAGGTGTCCCTCGTTACTAGACAGGAGTCCTGACGTCACTGAAGAAACTCGTGTTTTGAAGGGCCATCCCCGCCGTAAGTCGAGAACATACCCCAGGTCCCCGCCGCAACTCGAGAAAAACCATGAGACTTCCCCCTAGAGGCGAGATGAGGCCCCATTCCCCTGCAGTGCATGCAGAGCTATTCCGTGATCCCATTCAAACAAGGCAGGAGCTTCGACTTGCTTAATGGATCTCGAGACAGTCCCCAAGAACACTGTCACCAGTCTAGACGGACCCTGAGGTCACCCCAGCAACGCAAAGCAGCTCCATGTGCCCCAAATCAACTCGAGATGAGGCCCGATTCCCCTGCATTGACTCCAGAGCCATTCCCCGTTCCCCATTCAACACGACCGGTGGCTCGACTTCCTTCAGGCAACTCCAGAGATGCCCCGAGAACACTGTCCCAAGTCTAGAGGAACACCAACTTCAGCACAGCAACTCGAGGAATGCTCCGTGTACCCCAAATCGTCTCGAGATGCGAGCTGATTCCCTGGCTTAGGCTCAAGACGTATGCCAACTTCCCAGAAGCACCTCAGGAGGAGGCTTCTCTCAGCAATAGGTATGTGGGAGGGACCCCGAGTTTGCTGCCTCAAGGGGAATATACAGCGAGAAGCCCTAACTTGAAAGGAGGCCGGATTTCCTTGCAGTGGCTTGAATACAGGCTCGTCTTTCATCTCACAACATGAAGGGATGTCTGAATCCCCTGTGGAGACCTTAGAGAAAGCCCTAGGTCCCTGCCTCATTTTGACGGAATGCCTCACATCCCGCTGACACCTCGAGAGGCACGCGGAGTTCATTGCTTCAAAAGGTGACGATGCCTGACTCCTCTTGAATACTGATAGGAATCCCAAAATCCCTGTGGCTACTGGAAAGGGTCCTTGGGTGCCCTGCCTCACCTCGAGAAGCGTCCCTTTGGCCCTGCCAAGCCTCGAAGAGATTCCTGAGGTGTCCCTCGTTACTAGACAGGAGTCCTGACGTCACTGAAGAAACTCGTGTTTTGAAGGGCCATCCCCGCCGTAAGTCGAGAACATACCCCAGGTCCCCGCCGCAACTCGAGAAAAACCATGAGACTTCCCCCTAGAGGCGAGATGAGGCCCCATTCCCCTGCAGTGCATGCAGAGCTATTCCGTGATCCCATTCAAACAAGGCAGGAGCTTCGACTTGCTTAATGGATCTCGAGACAGTCCCCAAGAACACTGTCACCAGTCTAGACGGACCCTGAGGTCACCCCAGCAACGCAAAGCAGCTCCATGTGCCCCAAATCAACTCGAGATGAGGCCCGATTCCCCTGCATTGACTCCAGAGCCATTCCCCGTTCCCCATTCAACACGACCGGTGGCTCGACTTCCTTCAGGCAACTCCAGAGATGCCCCGAGAACACTGTCCCAAGTCTAGAGGAACACCAACTTCAGCACAGCAAGTCGAGGAATGCTCCGTGTACCCCAAATCGTCTCGAGATGCGAGCTGATTCCCTGGCTTAGGCTCAAGACGTATGCCAACTTCCCAGAAGCACCTCAGGAGGAGGCTTCTCTCAGCAATAGGTATGTGGGAGGGACCCCGAGTTTGCTGCCTCAAGGGGAATATACAGCGAGAAGCCCTAACTTGAAAGGAGGCCGGATTTCCTTGCAGTGGCTTGAATACAGGCTCGTCTTTCATCTCACAACATGAAGGGATGTCTGAATCCCCTGTGGAGACCTTAGAGAAAGCCCTAGGTCCCTGCCTCATTTTGACGGAATGCCTCACATCGTGCTGACACCTCGAGAGGCACGCGGAGTTCATTGCTTCAAAAGGTGACGATGCCTGACTCCTCTTGAATACTGATAGGAATCCCAAAATCCCTGTGGCTACTGGAAAGGGTCCTTGGGTGCCCTGCCTCACCTCGAGAAGCGTCCCTTTTGCCCTGCCAAGCCTCGAAGAGATTCCTGAGGTGTCTCTCGTTACTAGACAGGAGTCCTGACGTCACTGAAGAAACTCGTGTTTTGAAGGGCCATCCCCGCCGTAAGTCGAGAACATACCCCAGGTCCCCGCCGCAACTCGAGAAAAACCATGAGACTTCCCCCTAGAGGCGAGATGAGGCCCCATTCCCCTGCAGTGCATGCAGAGCTATTCCGTGATCCCATTCAAACAAGGCAGGAGCTTCGACTTGCTTAATGGATCTCGAGACAGTCCCCAAGAACACTGTCACCAGTCTAGACGGACCCTGAGGTCACCCCAGCAACGCAAAGCAGCTCCATGTGCCCCAAATCAACTCGAGATGAGGCCCGATTCCCCTGCATTGACTCCAGAGCCATTCCCCGTTCCCCATTCAACACGACCGGTGGCTCGACTTCCTTCAGGCAACTCCAGAGATGCCCCGAGAACACTGTCCCAAGTCTAGAGGAACACCAACTTCAGCACAGCAACTCGAGGAATGCTCCGTGTACCCCAAGTCGTCTCGAGATGCGAGCTGATTCCCTGGCTTAGGCTCAAGACGTATGCCAACTTCCCAGAAGCACCTCAGGAGGAGGCTTCTCTCAGCAATAGGTATGTGGGAGGGACCCCGAGTTTGCTGCCTCAAGGGGAATATACAGCGAGAAGCCCTAACTTGAAAGGAGGCCGGATTTCCTTGCAGTGGCTTGAATACAGGCTCGTCTTTCATCTCACAACATGAAGGGATGTCTGAATCCCCTGTGGAGACCTTAGAGAAAGCCCTAGGTCCCTGCCTCATTTTGACGGAATGCCTCACATCGTGCTGACACCTCGAGAGGCACGCGGAGTTCATTGCTTCAAAAGGTGACGATGCCTGACTCCTCTTGAATACTGATAGGAATCCCAAAATCCCTGTGGCTACTGGAAAGGGTCCTTGGGTGCCCTGCCTCACCTCGAGAAGCGTCCCTTTGGCCCTGCCAAGCCTCGAAGAGATTCCTGAGGTGTCCCTCGTTACTAGACAGGAGTCCTGACGTCACTGAAGAAACTCGTGTTTTGAAGGGCCATCCCCGCCGTAAGTCGAGAACATACCCCAGGTCCCCGCCGCAACTCGAGAAAAACCATGAGACTTCCCCCTAGAGGCGAGATGAGGCCCCATTCCCCTGCAGTGCATGCAGAGCTATTCCGTGATCCCATTCAAACAAGGCAGGAGCTTCGACTTGCTTAATGGATCTCGAGACAGTCCCCAAGAACACTGTCACCAGTCTAGACGGACCCTGAGGTCACCCCGGAAAGGCAAAGCAGCTCCATGTGCCCCAAATCAACTCGAGATGAGGCCCGATTCCCCTGCATTGACTCCAGAGCCATTCCCCGTTCCCCATTCAACACGACCGGTGGCTCGACTTCCTTCAGGCAACTCCAGAGATGCCCCGAGAACACTGTCCCAAGTCTAGAGGAACACCAACTTCAGCACAGCAACTCGAGGAATGCTCCGTGTACCCCAAATCTTCTCGAGATGCGAGCTGATTCCCTGGCTTAGGCTCAAGACGTATGCCAACTTCCCAGAAGCACCTCAGGAGGAGGCTTCTCTCAGCAATAGGTATGTGGGAGGGACCCCGAGTTTGCTGCCTCAAGGGGAATATACAGCGAGAAGCCCTAACTTGAAAGGAGGCCGGATTTCCTTGCAGTGGCTTGAATACAGGCTCGTCTTTCATCTCACAACATGAAGGGATGTCTGAATCCCCTGTGGAGACCTTAGAGAAAGCCCTAGGTCCCTGCCTCATTTTGACGGAATGCCTCACATCCCGCTGACACCTCGAGAGGCACGCGGAGTTCATTGCTTCAAAAGGTGACGATGCCTGACTCCTCTTGAATACTGATAGGAATCCCAAAATCCCTGTGGCTACTGGAAAGGGTCCTTGGGTGCCCTGCCTCACCTCGAGAAGCGTCCCTTTGGCCCTGCCAAGCCTCGAAGAGATTCCTGAGGTGTCCCTCGTTACTAGACAGGAGTCCTGACGTCACTGAAGAAACTCGTGTTTTGAAGGGCCATCCCCGCCGTAAGTCGAGAACATACCCCAGGTCCCCGCCGCAACTCGAGAAAAACCATGAGACTTCCCCCTAGAGGCGAGATGAGGCCCCATTCCCCTGCAGTGCATGCAGAGCTATTCCGTGATCCCATTCAAACAAGTCAGGAGCTTCGACTTGCTTAATGGATCTCGAGACAGTCCCCAAGAACACTGTCACCAGTCTAGACGGACCCTGAGGTCACCCCAGCAACGCAAAGCAGCTCCATGTGCCCCAAATCAACTCGAGATGAGGCCCGATTCCCCTGCATTGACTCCAGAGCCATTCCCCGTTCCCCATTCAACACGACCGGTGGCTCGACTTCCTTCAGGCAACTCCAGAGATGCCCCGAGAACACTGTCCCAAGGCTAGAGGAACACCAACTTCAGCACAGCAACTCGAGGAATGCTCCGTCTACCCCAAATCGTCTCGAGATGCGAGCTGATTCCCTGGCTTAGGCTCAAGACGTATGCCAACTTCCCAGAAGCACCTCAGGAGGAGGCTTCTCTCAGCAATAGGTATGTGGGAGGGACCCCGAGTTTGCTGCCTCAAGGGGAATATACAGCGAGAAGCCCTAACTTGAAAGGAGGCCGGATTTCCTTGCAGTGGCTTGAATACAGGCTCGTCTTTCATCTCACAACATGAAGGGATGTCTGAATCCCCTGTGGAGACCTTAGAGAAAGCCCTAGGTCCCTGCCTCATTTTGACGGAATGCCTCACATCCCGCTGACACCTCGAGAGGCACGCGGAGTTCATTGCTTCAAAAGGTGACGATGCCTGACTCCTCTTGAATACTGATAGGAATCCCAAAATCCCTGTGGCTACTGGAAAGGGTCCTTGGGTGCCCTGCCTCACCTCGAGAAGCGTCCCTTTGGCCCTGCCAAGCCTCGAAGAGATTCCTGAGGTGTCCCTCGTTACTAGACAGGAGTCCTGACGTCACTGAAGAAACTCGTGTTTTGAAGGGCCATCCCCGCCGTAAGTCGAGAACATACCCCAGGTCCCCGCCGCAACTCGAGAAAAACCATGAGACTTCCCCCTAGAGGCGAGATGAGGCCCCATTCCCCTGCAGTGCATGCAGAGCTATTCCGTGATCCCATTCAAACAAGTCAGGAGCTTCGACTTGCTTAATGGATCTCGAGACAGTCCCCAAGAACACTGTCACCAGTCTAGACGGACCCTGAGGTCACCCCAGCAACGCAAAGCAGCTCCATGTGCCCCAAATCAACTCGAGATGAGGCCCGATTCCCCTGCATTGACTCCAGAGCCATTCCCCGTTCCCCATTCAACACGACCGGTGGCTCGACTTCCTTCAGGCAACTCCAGAGATGCCCCGAGAACACTGTCCCAAGGCTAGAGGAACACCAACTTCAGCACAGCAACTCGAGGAATGCTCCGTCTACCCCAAATCGTCTCGAGATGCGAGCTGATTCCCTGGCTTAGGCTCAAGACGTATGCCAACTTCCCAGAAGCACCTCAGGAGGAGGCTTCTCTCAGCAATAGGTATGTGGGAGGGACCCCGAGTTTGCTGCCTCAAGGGGAATATACAGCGAGAAGCCCTAACTTGAAAGGAGGCCGGATTTCCTTGCAGTGGCTTGAATACAGGCTCGTCTTTCATCTCACAACATGAAGGGATGTCTGAATCCCCTGTGGAGACCTTAGAGAAAGCCCTAGGTCCCTGCCTCATTTTGACGGAATGCCTCACATCCCGCTGACACCTCGAGAGGCACGCGGAGTTCATTGCTTCAAAAGGTGACGATGCCTGACTCCTCTTGAATACTGATAGGAATCCCAAAATCCCTGTGGCTACTGGAAAGGGTCCTTGGGTGCCCTGCCTCACCTCGAGAAGCGTCCCTTTGGCCCTGCCAAGCCTCGAAGAGATTCCTGAGGTGTCCCTCGTTACTAGACAGGAGTCCTGACGTCACTGAAGAAACTCGTGTTTTGAAGGGCCATCCCCGCCGTAAGTCGAGAACATACCCCAGGTCCCCGCCGCAACTCGAGAAAAACCATGAGACTTCCCCCTAGAGGCGAGATGAGGCCCCATTCCCCTGCAGTGCATGCAGAGCTATTCCGTGATCCCATTCAAACAAGGCAGGAGCTTCGACTTGCTTAATGGATCTCGAGACAGTCCCCAAGAACACTGTCACCAGTCTAGACGGACCCTGAGGTCACCCCAGCAACGCAAAGCAGCTCCATGTGCCCCAAATCAACTCGAGATGAGGCCCGATTCCCCTGCATTGACTCCAGAGCCATTCCCCGTTCCCCATTCAACACGACCGGTGGCTCGACTTCCTTCAGGCAACTCCAGAGATGCCCCGAGAACACTGTCCCAAGTCTAGAGGAACACCAACTTCAGCACAGCAACTCGAGGAATGCTCCGTGTACCCCAAATCGTCTCGAGATGCGAGCTGATTCCCTGGCTTAGGCTCAAGACGTATGCCAACTTCCCAGAAGCACCTCAGGAGGAGGCTTCTCTCAGCAATAGGTATGTGGGAGGGACCCCGAGTTTGCTGCCTCAAGGGGAATATACAGCGAGAAGCCCTAACTTGAAAGGAGGCCGGATTTCCTTGCAGTGGCTTGAATACAGGCTCGTCTTTCATCTCACAACATGAAGGGATGTCTGAATCCCCTGTGGAGACCTTAGAGAAAGCCCTAGGTCCCTGCCTCATTTTGACGGAATGCCTCACATCGTGCTGACACCTCGAGAGGCACGCGGAGTTCATTGCTTCAAAAGGTGACGATGCCTGACTCCTCTTGAATACTGATAGGAATCCCAAAATCCCTGTGGCTACTGGAAAGGGTCCTTGGGTGCCCTGCCTCACCTCGAGAAGCGTCCCTTTGGCCCTGCCAAGCCTCGAAGAGATTCCTGAGGTGTCTCTCGTTACTAGACAGGAGTCCTGACGTCACTGAAGAAACTCGTGTTTTGAAGGGCCATCCCCGCCGTAAGTCGAGAACATACCCCAGGTCCCCGCCGCAACTCGAGAAAAACCATGAGACTTCCCCCTAGAGGCGAGATGAGGCCCCATTCCCCTGCAGTGCATGCAGAGCTATTCCGTGATCCCATTCAAACAAGGCAGGAGCTTCGACTTGCTTAATGGATCTCGAGACAGTCCCCAAGAACACTGTCACCAGTCTAGACGGACCCTGAGGTCACCCCAGCAACGCAAAGCAGCTCCATGTGCCCCAAATCAACTCGAGATGAGGCCCGATTCCCCTGCATTGACTCCAGAGCCATTCCCCGTTCCCCATTCAACACGACCGGTGGCTCGACTTCCTTCAGGCAACTCCAGAGATGCCCCGAGAACACTGTCCCAAGTCTAGAGGAACACCAACTTCAGCACAGCAAGTCGAGGAATGCTCCGTGTACCCCAAATCGTCTCGAGATGCGAGCTGATTCCCTGGCTTAGGCTCAAGACGTATGCCAACTTCCCAGAAGCACCTCAGGAGGAGGCTTCTCTCAGCAATAGGTATGTGGGAGGGACCCCGAGTTTGCTGCCTCAAGGGGAATATACAGCGAGAAGCCCTAACTTGAAAGGAGGCCGGATTTCCTTGCAGTGGCTTGAATACAGGCTCGTCTTTCATCTCACAACATGAAGGGATGTCTGAATCCCCTGTGGAGACCTTAGAGAAAGCCCTAGGTCCCTGCCTCATTTTGACGGAATGCCTCACATCCCGCTGACACCTCGAGAGGCACGCGGAGTTCATTGCTTCAAAAGGTGACGATGCCTGACTCCTCTTAAATACTGATAGGAATCCCAAAATCCCTGTGGCTACTGGAAAGGGTCCTTGGGTGCCCTGCCTCACCTCGAGAAGCGTCCCTTTGGCCCTGCCAAGCCTCGAAGAGATTCCTGAGGTGTCCCTCGTTACTAGACAGGAGTCCTGACGTCACTGAAGAAACTCGTGTTTTGAAGGGCCATCCCCGCCGTAAGTCGAGAACATACCCCAGGTCCCCGCCGCAACTCGAGAAAAACCATGAGACTTCCCCCTAGAGGCGAGATGAGGCCCCATTCCCCTGCAGTGCATGCAGAGCTATTCCGTGATCCCATTCAAACAAGGCAGGAGCTTCGACTTGCTTAATGGATCTCGAGACAGTCCCCAAGAACACTGTCACCAGTCTAGACGGACCCTGAGGTCACCCCAGCAACGCAAAGCAGCTCCATGTGCCCCAAATCAACTCGAGATGAGGCCCGATTCCCCTGCATTGACTCCAGAGCCATTCCCCGTTCCCCATTCAACACGACCGGTGGCTCGACTTCCTTCAGGCAACTCCAGAGATGCCCCGAGAACACTGTCCCAAGTCTAGAGGAACACCAACTTCAGCACAGCAACTCGAGGAATGCTCCGTGTACCCCAAATCGTCTCGAGATGCGAGCTGATTCCCTGGCTTAGGCTCAAGACGTATGCCAACTTCCCAGAAGCACCTCAGGAGGAGGCTTCTCTCAGCAATAGGTATGTGGGAGGGACCCCGAGCTTGCTGCCTCAAGGGGAATATACAGCGAGAAGCCCTAACTTGAAAGGAGGCCGGATTTCCTTGCAGTGGCTTGAATACAGGCTCGTCTTTCATCTCACAACATGAAGGGATGTCTGAATCCCCTGTGGAGACCTTAGAGAAAGCCCTAGGTCCTTGCCTCATTTTGACGGAATGCCTCACATCCCGCTGACACCTCGAGAGGCACGCGGAGTTCATTGCTTCAAAAGGTGACGATGCCTGACTCCTCTTGAATACTGATAGGAATCCCAAAATCCCTGTGGCTACTGGAAAGGGTCCTTGGGTGCCCTGCCTCACCTCGAGAAGCGTCCCTTTGGCCCTGCCAAGCCTCGAAGAGATTCCTGAGGTGTCCCTCGTTACTAGACAGGAGTCCTGACGTCACTGAAGAAACTCGTGTTTTGAAGGGCCATCCCCGCCGTAAGTCGAGAACATACCCCAGGTCCCCGCCGCAACTCGAGAAAAACCATGAGACTTCCCCCTAGAGGCGAGATGAGGCCCCATTCCCCTGCAGTGCATGCAGAGCTATTCCGTGATCCCATTCAAACAAGGCAGGAGCTTCGACTTGCTTAATGGATCTCGAGACAGTCCCCAAGAACACTGTCACCAGTCTAGACGGACCCTGAGGTCACCCCAGCAACGCAAAGCAGCTCCATGTGCCCCAAATCAACTCGAGATGAGGCCCGATTCCCCTGCATTGACTCCAGAGCCATTCCCCGTTCCCCATTCAACACGACCGGTGGCTCGACTTCCTTCAGGCAACTCCAGAGATGCCCCGAGAACACTGTCCCAAGTCTAGAGGAACACCAACTTCAGCACAGCAACTCGAGGAATGCTCCGTGTACCCCAAATCGTCTCGAGATGCGAGCTGATTCCCTGGCTTAGGCTCAAGACGTATGCCAACTTCCCAGAAGCACCTCAGGAGGAGGCTTCTCTCAGCAATAGGTATGTGGGAGGGACCCCGAGTTTGCTGCCTCAAGGGGAATATACAGCGAGAAGCCCTAACTTGAAAGGAGGCCGGATTTCCTTGCAGTGGCTTGAATACAGGCTCGTCTTTCATCTCACAACATGAAGGGATGTCTGAATCCCCTGTGGAGACCTTAGAGAAAGCCCTAGGTCCCTGCCTCATTTTGACGGAATGCCTCACATCCCGCTGACACCTCGAGAGGCACGCGGAGTTCATTGCTTCAAAAGGTGACGATGCCTGACTCCTCTTGAATACTGATAGGAATCCCAAAATCCCTGTGGCTACTGGAAAGGGTCCTTGGGTGCCCTGCCTCACCTCGAGAAGCGTCCCTTTGGCCCTGCCAAGCCTCGAAGAGATTCCTGAGGTGTCCCTCGTTACTAGACAGGAGTCCTGACGTCACTGAAGAAACTCGTGTTTTGAAGGGCCATCCCCGCCGTAAGTCGAGAACATACCCCAGGTCCCCGCCGCAACTCGAGAAAAACCATGAGACTTCCCCCTAGAGGCGAGATGAGGCCCCATTCCCCTGCAGTGCATGCAGAGCTATTCCGTGATCCCATTCAAACAAGGCAGGAGCTTCGACTTGCTTAATGGATCTCGAGACAGTCCCCAAGAACACTGTCACCAGTCTAGACGGACCCTGAGGTCACCCCAGCAACGCAAAGCAGCTCCATGAGCCCCAAATCAACTCGAGATGAGGCCCGATTCCCCTGCATTGACTCCAGAGCCATTCCCCGTTCCCCATTCAACACGACCGGTGGCTCGACTTCCTTCAGGCAACTCCAGAGATGCCCCGAGAACACTGTCCCAAGTCTAGAGGAACACCAACTTCAGCACAGCAACTCGAGGAATGCTCCGTGTACCCCAAATCGTCTCGAGATGCGAGCTGATTCCCTGGCTTAGGCTCAAGACGTATGCCAACTTCCCAGAAGCACCTCAGGAGGAGGCTTCTCTCAGCAATAGGTATGTGGGAGGGACCCCGAGTTTGCTGCCTCAAGGGGAATATACAGCGAGAAGCCCTAACTTGAAAGGAGGCCGGATTTCCTTGCAGTGGCTTGAATACAGGCTCGTCTTTCATCTCACAACATGAAGGGATGTCTGAATCCCCTGTGGAGACCTTAGAGAAAGCCCTAGGTCCCTGCCTCATTTTGACGGAATGCCTCACATCGTGCTGACACCTCGAGAGGCACGCAGAGTTCATTGCTTCAAAAGGTGACGATGCCTGACTCCTCTTGAATACTGATAGGAATCCCAAAATCCCTGTGGCTACTGGAAATGGTCCTTGGGTGCCCTGCCTCACCTCGAGAAGCGTCCCTTTTGCCCTGCCAAGCCTCGAAGAGATTCCTGAGGTGTCTCTCGTTACTAGACAGGAGTCCTGACGTCACTGAAGAAACTCGTGTTTTGAAGGGCCATCCCCGCCGTAAGTCGAGAACATACCCCAGGTCCCCGCCGCAACTCGAGAAAAACCATGAGACATCCCCCTAGAGGCGAGATGAGGCCCCATTCCCCTGCAGTGCATGCAGAGCTATTCCGTGATCCCATTCAAACAAGGCAGGAGCTTCGACTTGCTTAATGGATCTCGAGACAGTCCCCAAGAACACTGTCACCAGTCTAGACGGACCCTGAGGTCACCCCAGCAACGCAAAGCAGCTCCATGTGCCCCAAATCAACTCGAGATGAGGCCCGATTCCCCTGCATTGACTCCAGAGCCATTCCCAGTTCCCCATTCAACACGACCGGTGGCTCGACTTCCTTCAGGCAACTCCAGAGATGCCCCGAGAACACTGTCCCAAGTCTAGAGGAACACCAACTTCAGCACAGCAACTCGAGGAATGCTCCGTGTACCCCAAATCGTCTCGAGATGCGAGCTGATTCCCTGGCTTAGGCTCAAGACGTATGCCAACTTCCCAGAAGCACCTCAGGAGGAGGCTTCTCTCAGCAATAGGTATGTGGGAGGGACCCCGAGTTTGCTGCCTCAAGGGGAATATACAGCGAGAAGCCCTAACTTGAAAGGAGGCCGGATTTCCTTGCAGTGGCTTGAATACAGGCTCGTCTTTCATCTCACAACATGAAGGGATGTCTGAATCCCCTGTGGAGACCTTAGAGAAAGCCCTAGGTCCCTGCCTCATTTTGACGGAATGCCTCACATCGTGCTGACAACTCGAGAGGCACGCGGAGTTCATTGTTTCAAAAGGTGACGATGCCTGACTCCTCTTGAATACTGATAGGAATCCCAAAATCCCTGTGGCTACTGGAAAGGGTCCTTGGGTGCCCTGCCTCACCCCGAGAAGCGTCCCTTTGGCCCTGCCAAGCCTCGAAGAGATTCCTGAGGTGTCCCTCGTTACTAGACAGGAGTCCTGACGTCACTGAAGAAACTCGTGTTTTGAAGGGCCATCCCCGCCGTAAGTCGAGAACATACCCCAGGTCCCCGCCGCAACTCGAGAAAAACCATGAGACTTCCCCCTAGAGGCGAGATGAGGCCCCATTCCCCTGCAGTGCATGCAGAGCTATTCCGTGATCCCATTCAAACAAGGCAGGAGCTTCGACTTGCTTAATGGATCTCGAGACAGTCCCGAAGAACACTGTCACCAGTCTAGACAGACCCTGAGGTCACCCCAGCAACGCAAAGCAGCTCCATGTGCCCCAAATCAACTCGAGATGAGGCCCGATTCCCCTGCATTGACTCCAGAGCCATTCCCCGTTCCCCATTCAACACGACCGGTGGCTCGACTTCCTTCAGGCAACTCCAGAGATGCCCCGAGAACACTGTCCCAAGTCTAGAGGAACACCAACTTCAGCACAGCAACGCGAGGAATGCTCCGTGTACCCCAAATCGTCTCGAGATGCGAGCTGATTCCCTGGCTTAGGCTCAAGACGTATGCCAACTTCCCAGAAGCACCTCAGGAGGAGGCTTCTCTCAGCAATAGGTATGTGGGAGGGACCCCGAGTTTGCTGCCTCAAGGGGAATATACAGCGAGAAGCCCTAACTTGAAAGGAGGCCGGATTTCCTTGAAGTGGCTTGAATACAGGCTCGTCTTTCATCTCACAACATGAAGGGATGTCTGAATCCCCTGTGGAGACCTTAGAGAAAGCCCTAGGTCCCTGCCTCATTTTGACGGAATGCCTCACATCCCGCTGACACCTCGAGAGGCACGCGGAGTTCATTGCTTCAAAAGGTGACGATGCCTGACTCCTCTTGAATACTGATAGGAATCCCAAAATCCCTGTGGCTACTGGAAAGGGTCCTTGGGTGCCCTGCCTCACCTCGAGAAGCGTCCCTTTTGCCCTGCCAAGCCTCGAAGAGATTCCTGAGGTGTCTCTCGTTACTAGACAGGAGTCCTGACGTCACTGAAGAAACTCGTGTTTTGAAGGGCCATCCCCGCCGTAAGTCGAGAACATACCCCAGGTCCCCGCCGCAACTCGAGAAAAACCATGAGACTTCCCCCTAGAGGCGAGATGAGGCCCCATTCCCCTGCAGTGCATGCAGAGCTATTCCGTGATCCCATTCAAACAAGGCAGGAGCTTCGACTTGCTTAATGGATCTCGAGACAGTCCCCAAGAACACTGTCACCAGTCTAGACGGACCCTGAGGTCACCCCAGCAACGCAAAGCAGCTCCATGTGCCCCAAATCAACTCGAGATGAGGCCCGATTCCCCTGCATTGACTCCAGAGCCATTCCCCGTTCCCCATTCAACACGACCGGTGGCTCGACTTCCTTCAGGCAACTCCAGAGATGCCCCGAGAACACTGTCCCAAGTCTAGAGGAACACCAACTTCAGCACAGCAAGTCGAGGAATGCTCCGTGTACCCCAAATCGTCTCGAGATGCGAGCTGATTCCCTGGCTTAGGCTCAAGACGTATGCCAACTTCCCAGAAGCACCTCAGGAGGAGGCTTCTCTCAGCAATAGGTATGTGGGAGGGACCCCGAGTTTGCTGCCTCAAGGGGAATATACAGCGAGAAGCCCTAACTTGAAAGGAGGCCGGATTTCCTTGCAGTGGCTTGAATACAGGCTCGTCTTTCATCTCACAACATGAAGGGATGTCTGAATCCCCTGTGGAGACCTTAGAGAAAGCCCTAGGTCCCTGCCTCATTTTGACGGAATGCCTCACATCCCGCTGACACCTCGAGAGGCACGCGGAGTTCATTGCTTCAAAAGGTGACGATGCCTGACTCCTCTTAAATACTGATAGGAATCCCAAAATCCCTGTGGCTACTGGAAAGGGTCCTTGGGTGCCCTGCCTCACCTCGAGAAGCGTCCCTTTGGCCCTGCCAAGCCTCGAAGAGATTCCTGAGGTGTCCCTCATTACTAGACAGGAGTCCTGACGTCACTGAAGAAACTCGTGTTTTGAAGGGCCATCCCCGCCGTAAGTCGAGAACATACCCCAGGTCCCCGCCGCAACTCGAGAAAAACCATGAGACTTCCCCCTAGAGGCGAGATGAGGCCCCATTCCCCTGCAGTGCATGCAGAGCTATTCCGTGATCCCATTCAAACAAGGCAGGAGCTTCGACTTGCTTAATGGATCTCGAGACAGTCCCCAAGAACACTGTCACCAGTCTAGACGGACCCTGAGGTCACCCCAGCAACGCAAAGCAGCTCCATGTGCCCCAAATCAACTCGAGATGAGGCCCGATTCCCCTGCATTGACTCCAGAGCCATTCCCCATTCCCCATTCAACACGACCGGTGGCTCGACTTCCTTCAGGCAACTCCAGAGATGCCCCGAGAACACTGTCCCAAGTCTAGAGGAACACCAACTTCAGCACAGCAACTCGAGGAATGCTCCGTGTACCCCAAATCGTCTCGAGATGCGAGCTGATTCCCTGGCTTAGGCTCAAGACGTATGCCAACTTCCCAGAAGCACCTCAGGAGGAGGCTTCTCTCAGCAATAGGTATGTGGGAGGGACCCCGAGCTTGCTGCCTCAAGGGGAATATACAGCGAGAAGCCCTAACTTGAAAGGAGGCCGGATTTCCTTGCAGTGGCTTGAATACAGGCTCGTCTTTCATCTCACAACATGAAGGGATGTCTGAATCCCCTGTGGAGACCTTAGAGAAAGCCCTAGGTCCTTGCCTCATTTTGACGGAATGCCTCACATCCCGCTGACACCTCGAGAGGCACGCGGAGTTCATTGCTTCAAAAGGTGACGATGCCTGACTCCTCTTGAATACTGATAGGAATCCCAAAATCCCTGTGGCTACTGGAAAGGGTCCTTGGGTGCCCTGCCTCACCTCGAGAAGCGTCCCTTTGGCCCTGCCAAGCCTCGAAGAGATTCCTGAGGTGTCCCTCGTTACTAGACAGGAGTCCTGACGTCACTGAAGAAACTCGTGTTTTGAAGGGCCATCCCCGCCGTAAGTCGAGAACATACCCCAGGTCCCCGCCGCAACTCGAGAAAAACCATGAGACTTCCCCCTAGAGGCGAGATGAGGCCCCATTCCCCTGCAGTGCATGCAGAGCTATTCCGTGATCCCATTCAAACAAGGCAGGAGCTTCGACTTGCTTAATGGATCTCGAGACAGTCCCCAAGAACACTGTCACCAGTCTAGACGGACCCTGAGGTCACCCCAGCAACGCAAAGCAGCTCCATGTGCCCCAAATCAACTCGAGATGAGGCCCGATTCCCCTGCATTGACTCCAGAGCCATTCCCCGTTCCCCATTCAACACGACCGGTGGCTCGACTTCCTTCAGGCAACTCCAGAGATGCCCCGAGAACACTGTCCCAAGTCTAGAGGAACACCAACTTCAGCACAGCAACTCGAGGAATGCTCCGTGTACCCCAAATCGTCTCGAGATGCGAGCTGATTCCCTGGCTTAGGCTCAAGACGTATGCCAACTTCCCAGAAGCACCTCAGGAGGAGGCTTCTCTCAGCAATAGGTATGTGGGAGGGACCCCGAGTTTGCTGCCTCAAGGGGAATATACAGCGAGAAGCCCTAACTTGAAAGGAGGCCGGATTTCCTTGCAGTGGCTTGAATACAGGCTCGTCTTTCATCTCACAACATGAAGGGATGTCTGAATCCCCTGTGGAGACCTTAGAGAAAGCCCTAGGTCCCTGCCTCATTTTGACGGAATGCCTCACATCCCGCTGACACCTCGAGAGGCACGCGGAGTTCATTGCTTCAAAAGGTGACGATGCCTGACTCCTCTTGAATACTGATAGGAATCCCAAAATCCCTGTGGCTACTGGAAAGGGTCCTTGGGTGCCCTGCCTCACCTCGAGAAGCGTCCCTTTTGCCCTGCCAAGCCTCGAAGAGATTCCTGAGGTGTCTCTCGTTACTAGACAGGAGTCCTGACGTCACTGAAGAAACTCGTGTTTTGAAGGGCCATCCCCGCCGTAAGTCGAGAACATACCCCAGGTCCCCGCCGCAACTCGAGAAAAACCATGAGACTTCCCCCTAGAGGCGAGATGAGGCCCCATTCCCCTGCAGTGCATGCAGAGCTATTCCGTGATCCCATTCAAACAAGGCAGGAGCTTCGACTTGCTTAATGGATCTCGAGACAGTCCCCAAGAACACTGTCACCAGTCTAGACGGACCCTGAGGTCACCCCAGCAACGCAAAGCAGCTCCATGTGCCCCAAATCAACTCGAGATGAGGCCCGATTCCCCTGCATTGACTCCAGAGCCATTCCCCGTTCCCCATTCAACACGACCGGTGGCTCGACTTCCTTCAGGCAACTCCAGAGATGCCCCGAGAACACTGTCCCAAGTCTAGAGGAACACCAACTTCAGCACAGCAAGTCGAGGAATGCTCCGTGTACCCCAAATCGTCTCGAGATGCGAGCTGATTCCCTGGCTTAGGCTCAAGACGTATGCCAACTTCCCAGAAGCACCTCAGGAGGAGGCTTCTCTCAGCAATAGGTATGTGGGAGGGACCCCGAGTTTGCTGCCTCAAGGGGAATATACAGCGAGAAGCCCTAACTTGAAAGGAGGCCGGATTTCCTTGCAGTGGCTTGAATACAGGCTCGTCTTTCATCTCACAACATGAAGGGATGTCTGAATCCCCTGTGGAGACCTTAGAGAAAGCCCTAGGTCCCTGCCTCATTTTGACGGAATGCCTCACATCCCGCTGACACCTCGAGAGGCACGCGGAGTTCATTGCTTCAAAAGGTGACGATGCCTGACTCCTCTTGAATACTGATAGGAATCCCAAAATCCCTGTGGCTACTGGAAAGGGTCCTTGGGTGCCCTGCCTCACCTCGAGAAGCGTCCCTTTGGCCCTGCCAAGCCTCGAAGAGATTCCTGAGGTGTCCCTCGTTACTAGACAGGAGTCCTGACGTCACTGAAGAAACTCGTGTTTTGAAGGGCCATCCCCGCCGTAAGTCGAGAACATACCCCAGGTCCCCGCCGCAACTCGAGAAAAACCATGAGACTTCCCCCTAGAGGCGAGATGAGGCCCCATTCCCCTGCAGTGCATGCAGAGCTATTCCGTGATCCCATTCAAACAAGGCAGGAGCTTCGACTTGCTTAATGGATCTCGAGACAGTCCCCAAGAACACTGTCACCAGTCTAGACGGACCCTGAGGTCACCCCAGCAACGCAAAGCAGCTCCATGAGCCCCAAATCAACTCGAGATGAGGCCCGATTCCCCTGCATTGACTCCAGAGCCATTCCCCGTTCCCCATTCAACACGACCGGTGGCTCGACTTCCTTCAGGCAACTCCAGAGATGCCCCGAGAACACTGTCCCAAGTCTAGAGGAACACCAACTTCAGCACAGCAACTCGAGGAATGCTCCGTGTACCCCAAATCGTCTCGAGATGCGAGCTGATTCCCTGGCTTAGGCTCAAGACGTATGCCAACTTCCCAGAAGCACCTCAGGAGGAGGCTTCTCTCAGCAATAGGTATGTGGGAGGGACCCCGAGTTTGCTGCCTCAAGGGGAATATACAGCGAGAAGCCCTAACTTGAAAGGAGGCCGGATTTCCTTGCAGTGGCTTGAATACAGGCTCGTCTTTCATCTCACAACATGAAGGGATGTCTGAATCCCCTGTGGAGACCTTAGAGAAAGCCCTAGGTCCCTGCCTCATTTTGACGGAATGCCTCACATCGTGCTGACACCTCGAGAGGCACGCAGAGTTCATTGCTTCAAAAGGTGACGATGCCTGACTCCTCTTGAATACTGATAGGAATCCCAAAATCCCTGTGGCTACTGGAAATGGTCCTTGGGTGCCCTGCCTCACCTCGAGAAGCGTCCCTTTTGCCCTGCCAAGCCTCGAAGAGATTCCTGAGGTGTCTCTCGTTACTAGACAGGAGTCCTGACGTCACTGAAGAAACTCGTGTTTTGAAGGGCCATCCCCGCCGTAAGTCGAGAACATACCCCAGGTCCCCGCCGCAACTCGAGAAAAACCATGAGACTTCCCCCTAGAGGCGAGATGAGGCCCCATTCCCCTGCAGTGCATGCAGAGCTATTCCGTGATCCCATTCAAACAAGGCAGGAGCTTCGACTTGCTTAATGGATCTCGAGACAGTCCCGAAGAACACTGTCACCAGTCTAGACAGACCCTGAGGTCACCCCAGCAACGCAAAGCAGCTCCATGTGCCCCAAATCAACTCGAGATGAGGCCCGATTCCCCTGCATTGACTCCAGAGCCATTCCCCGTTCCCCATTCAACACGACCGGTGGCTCGACTTCCTTCAGGCAACTCCAGAGATGCCCCGAGAACACTGTCCCAAGTCTAGAGGAACACCAACTTCAGCACAGCAACGCGAGGAATGCTCCGTGTACCCCAAATCGTCTCGAGATGCGAGCTGATTCCCTGGCTTAGGCTCAAGACGTATGCCAACTTCCCAGAAGCACCTCAGGAGGAGGCTTCTCTCAGCAATAGGTATGTGGGAGGGACCCCGAGTTTGCTGCCTCAAGGGGAATATACAGCGAGAAGCCCTAACTTGAAAGGAGGCCGGATTTCCTTGCAGTGGCTTGAATACAGGCTCGTCTTTCATCTCACAACATGAAGGGATGTCTGAATCCCCTGTGGAGACCTTAGAGAAAGCCCTAGGTCCCTGCCTCATTTTGACGGAATGCCTCACATCCCGCTGACACCTCGAGAGGCACGCGGAGTTCATTGCTTCAAAAGGTGACGATGCCTGACTCCTCTTGAATACTGATAGGAATCCCAAAATCCCTGTGGCTACTGGAAAGGGTCCTTGGGTGCCCTGCCTCACCTCGAGAAGCGTCCCTTTGGCCCTGCCAAGCCTCGAAGAGATTCCTGAGGTGTCCCTCGTTACTAGACAGGAGTCCTGACGTCACTGAAGAAACTCGTGTTTTGAAGGGCCATCCCCGCCGTAAGTCGAGAACATACCCCAGGTCCCCGCCGCAACTCGAGAAAAACCATGAGACTTCCCCCTAGAGGCGAGATGAGGCCCCATTCCCCTGCAGTGCATGCAGAGCTATTCCGTGATCCCATTCAAACAAGTCAGGAGCTTCGACTTGCTTAATGGATCTCGAGACAGTCCCCAAGAACACTGTCACCAGTCTAGACGGACCCTGAGGTCACCCCAGCAACGCAAAGCAGCTCCATGTGCCCCAAATCAACTCGAGATGAGGCCCGATTCCCCTGCATTGACTCCAGAGCCATTCCCCGTTCCCCATTCAACACGACCGGTGGCTCGACTTCCTTCAGGCAACTCCAGAGATGCCCCAAGAACACTGTCCCAAGTCTAGAGGAACACCAACTTCAGCACAGCAACTCGAGGAATGCTCCGTGTACCCCAAATCGTCTCGAGATGCGAGCTGATTCCCTGGCTTAGGCTCAAGACGTATGCCAACTTCCCAGAAGCACCTCAGGAGGAGGCTTCTCTCAGCAATAGGTATGTGGGAGGGACCCCGAGTTTGCTGCCTCAAGGGGAATATACAGCGAGAAGCCCTAACTTGAAAGGAGGCCGGATTTCCTTGCAGTGGCTTGAATACAGGCTCGTCTTTCATCTCACAACATGAAGGGATGTCTGAATCCCCTGTGGAGACCTTAGAGAAAGCCCTAGGTCCCTGCCTCATTTTGACGGAATGCCTCACATCCCGCTGACACCTTGAGAGGCACGCGGAGTTCATTGCTTCAAAAGGTGACGATGCCTGACTCCTCTTGAATACTGATAGCAATCCCAAAATCCCTGTGGCTACTGGAAAGGGTCCTTGGGTGCCCTGCCTCACCTCGAGAAGCGTCCCTTTGGCCCTGCCAAGCCTCGAAGAGATTCCTGAGGTGTCCCTCGTTACTAGACAGGAGTCCTGACGTCACTGAAGAAACTCGTGTTTTGAAGGGCCATCCCCGCCGTAAGTCGAGAACATACCCCAGGTCCCCGCCGCAACTCGAGAAAAACCATGAGACTTCCCCCTAGAGGCGAGATGAGGCCCCATTCCCCTGCAGTGCATGCAGAGCTATTCCGTGATCCCATTCAAACAAGGCAGGAGCTTCGACTTGCTTAATGGATCTCGAGACAGTCCCCAAGAACACTGTCACCAGTCTAGACGGACCCTGAGGTCACCCCAGCAACGCAAAGCAGCTCCATGTGCCCCAAATCAACTCGAGATGAGGCCCGATTCCCCTGCATTGACTCCAGAGCCATTCCCCGTTCCCCATTCAACACGACCGGTGGCTCGACTTCCTTCAGGCAACTCCAGAGATGCCCCGAGAACACTGTCCCAAGTCTAGAGGAACACCAACTTCAGCACAGCAACTCGAGGAATGCTCCGTGTACGCCAAATCGTCTCGAGATGCGAGCTGATTCCCTGGCTTAGGCTCAAGACGTATGCCAACTTCCCAGAAGCACCTCAGGAGGAGGCTTCTCTCAGCAATAGGTATGTGGGAGGGACCCCGAGTTTGCTGCCTCAAGGGGAATATACAGCGAGAAGCCCTAACTTGAAAGGAGGCCGGATTTCCTTGCAGTGGCTTGAATACAGGCTCGTCTTTCATCTCACAACATGAAGGGATGTCTGAATCCCCTGTGGAGACCTTAGAGAAAGCCCTAGGTCCCTGCCTCATTTTGACGGAATGCCTCACATCCCGCTGACACCTCGAGAGGCACGCGGAGTTCATTGCTTCAAAAGGTGACGATGCCTGACTCCTCTTGAATACTGATAGGAATCCCAAAATCCCTGTGGCTACTGGAAAGGGTCCTTGGGTGCCCTGCCTCACCTCGAGAAGCGTCCCTTTTGCCCTGCCAAGCCTCGAAGAGATTCCTGAGGTGTCTCTCGTTACTAGACAGGAGTCCTGACGTCACTGAAGAAACTCGTGTTTTGAAGGGCCATCCCCGCCGTAAGTCGAGAACATACCCCAGGTCCCCGCCGCAACTCGAGAAAAACCATGAGACTTCCCCCTAGAGGCGAGATGAGGCCCCATTCCCCTGCAGTGCATGCAGAGCTATTCCGTGATCCCATTCAAACAAGGCAGGAGCTTCGACTTGCTTAATGGATCTCGAGACAGTCCCCAAGAACACTGTCACCAGTCTAGACGGACCCTGAGGTCACCCCAGCAACGCAAAGCAGCTCCATGTGCCCCAAATCAACTCGAGATGAGGCCCGATTCCCCTGCATTGACTCCAGAGCCATTCCCCGTTCCCCATTCAACACGACCGGTGGCTCGACTTCCTTCAGGCAACTCCAGAGATGCCCCGAGAACACTGTCCCAAGTCTAGAGGAACACCAACTTCAGCACAGCAACTCGAGGAATGCTCCGTCTACCCCAAATCGTCTCGAGATGCGAGCTGATTCCCTGGCTTAGGCTCAAGACGTATGCCAACTTCCCAGAAGCACCTCAGGAGGAGGCTTCTCTCAGCAATAGGTATGTGGGAGGGACCCCGAGTTTGCTGCCTCAAGGGGAATATACAGCGAGAAGCCCTAAATTGAAAGGAGGCCGGATTTCCTTGCAGTGGCTTGAATACAGGCTCGTCTTTCATCTCACAACATGAAGGGATGTCTGAATCCCCTGTGGAGACCTTAGAGAAAGCCCTAGGTCCCTGCCTCATTTTGACGGAATGCCTCACATCCCGCTGACACCTCGAGAGGCACGCGGAGTTCATTGCTTCAAAAGGTGACGATGCCTGACTCCTCTTGAATACTGATAGGAATCCCAAAATCCCTGTGGCTACTGGAAAGGGTCCTTGGGTGCCCTGCCTCACCTCGAGAAGCGTCCCTTTGGCCCTGCCAAGCCTCGAAGAGATTCCTGAGGTGTCCCACGTTACTAGACAGGAGTCCTGACGTCACTGAAGAAACTCGTGTTTTGAAGGGCCATCCCCGCCGTAAGTCGAGAACATACCCCAGGTCCCCGCCGCAACTCGAGAAAAACCATGAGACTTCCCCCTAGAGGCGAGATGAGGCCCCATTCCCCTGCAGTGCATGCAGAGCTATTCCGTGATCCCATTCAAACAAGGCAGGAGCTTCGACTTGCTTAATGGATCTCGAGACAGTCCCCAAGAACACTGTCACCAGTCTAGACGGACCCTGAGGTCACCCCAGCAACGCAAAGCAGCTCCATGTGCCCCAAATCAACTCGAGATGAGGCCCGATTCCCCTGCATTGACTCCAGAGCCATTCCCCGTTCCCCATTCAACACGACCGGTGGCTCGACTTCCTTCAGGCAACTCCAGAGATGCCCCGAGAACACTGTCCCAAGTCTAGAGGAACACCAACTTCAGCACAGCAACTCGAGGAATGCTCCGTGTACCCCAAATCGTCTCGAGATGCGAGCTGATTCCCTGGCTTAGGCTCAAGACGTATGCCAACTTCCCAGAAGCACCTCAGGAGGAGGCTTCTCTCAGCAATAGGTATGTGGGAGGGACCCCGAGTTTGCTGCCTCAAGGGGAATATACAGCGAGAAGCCCTAACTTGAAAGGAGGCCGGATTTCCTTGCAGTGGCTTGAATACAGGCTCGTCTTTCATCTCACAACATGAAGGGATGTCTGAATCCCCTGTGGAGACCTTAGAGAAAGCCCTAGGTCCCTGCCTCATTTTGACGGAATGCCTCACATCCCGCTGACACCTCGAGAGGCACGCGGAGTTCATTGCTTCAAAAGGTGACGATGCCTGACTCCTCTTGAATACTGATAGGAATCCCAAAATCCCTGTGGCTACTGGAAAGGGTCCTTGGGTGCCCTGCCTCACCTCGAGAAGCGTCCCTTTTGCCCTGCCAAGCCTCGAAGAGATTCCTGAGGTGTCTCTCGTTACTAGACAGGAGTCCTGACGTCACTGAAGAAACTCGTGTTTTGAAGGGCCATCCCCGCCGTAAGTCGAGAACATACCCCAGGTCCCCGCCGCAACTCGAGAAAAACCATGAGACTTCCCCCTAGAGGCGAGATGAGGCCCCATTCCCCTGCAGTGCATGCAGAGCTATTCCGTGATCCCATTCAAACAAGGCAGGAGCTTCGACTTGCTTAATGGATCTCGAGACAGTCCCCAAGAACACTGTCACCAGTCTAGACGGACCCTGAGGTCACCCCAGCAACGCAAAGCAGCTCCATGTGCCCCAAATCAACTCGAGATGAGGCCCGATTCCCCTGCATTGACTCCAGAGCCATTCCCCGTTCCCCATTCAACACGACCGGTGGCTCGACTTCCTTCAGGCAACTCCAGAGATGCCCCGAGAACACTGTCCCAAGTCTAGAGGAACACCAACTTCAGCACAGCAACTCGAGGAATGCTCCGTGTACCCCAAATCGTCTCGAGATGCGAGCTGATTCCCTGGCTTAGGCTCAAGACGTATGCCAACTTCCCAGAAGCACCTCAGGAGGAGGCTTCTCTCAGCAATAGGTATGTGGGAGGGACCCCGAGTTTGCTGCCTCAAGGGGAATATACAGCGAGAAGCCCTAACTTGAAAGGAGGCCGGATTTCCTTGCAGTGGCTTGAATACAGGCTCGTCTTTCATCTCACAACATGAAGGGATGTCTGAATCCCCTGTGGAGACCTTAGAGAAAGCCCTAGGTCCCTGCCTCATTTTGACGGAATGCCTCACATCGTGCTGACAACTCGAGAGGCACGCGGAGTTCATTGTTTCAAAAGGTGACGATGCCTGACTCCTCTTGAATACTGATAGGAATCCCAAAATCCCTGTGGCTACTGGAAAGGGTCCTTGGGTGCCCTGCCTCACCCCGAGAAGCGTCCCTTTGGCCCTGCCAAGCCTCGAAGAGATTCCTGAGGTGTCCCTCGTTACTAGACAGGAGTCCTGACGTCACTGAAGAAACTCGTGTTTTGAAGGGCCATCCCCGCCGTAAGTCGAGAACATACCCCAGGTCCCCGCCGCAACTCGAGAAAAACCATGAGACTTCCCCCTAGAGGCGAGATGAGGCCCCATTCCCCTGCAGTGCATGCAGAGCTATTCCGTGATCCCATTCAAACAAGGCAGGAGCTTCGACTTGCTTAATGGATCTCGAGACAGTCACCAAGAACACTGTCACCAGTCTAGACAGACCCTGAGGTCACCCCAGCAACGCAAAGCAGCTCCATGTGCCCCAAATCAACTCGAGATGAGGCCCGATTCCCCTGCATTGACTCCAGAGCCATTCCCCGTTCCCCATTCAACACGACCGGTGGCTCGACTTCCTTCAGGCAACTCCAGAGATGCCCCGAGAACACTGTCCCAAGTCTAGAGGAACACCAACTTCAGCACAGCAACGCGAGGAATGCTCCGTGTACCCCAAATCGTCTCGAGATGCGAGCTGATTCCCTGGCTTAGGCTCAAGACGTATGCCAACTTCCCAGAAGCACCTCAGGAGGAGGCTTCTCTCAGCAATAGGTATGTGGGAGGGACCCCGAGTTTGCTGCCTCAAGGGGAATATACAGCGAGAAGCCCTAACTTGAAAGGAGGCCGGATTTCCTTGCAGTGGCTTGAATACAGGCTCGTCTTTCATCTCACAACATGAAGGGATGTCTGAATCCCCTGTGGAGACCTTAGAGAAAGCCCTAGGTCCCTGCCTCATTTTGACGGAATGCCTCACATCCCGCTGACACCTCGAGAGGCACGCGGAGTTCATTGCTTCAAAAGGTGACGATGCCTGACTCCTCTTGAATACTGATAGGAATCCCAAAATCCCTGTGGCTACTGGAAAGGGTCCTTGGGTGCCCTGCCTCACCTCGAGAAGCGTCCCTTTGGCCCTGCCAAGCCTCGAAGAGATTCCTGAGGTGTCCCTCGTTACTAGACAGGAGTCCTGACGTCACTGAAGAAACTCGTGTTTTGAAGGGCCATCCCCGCCGTAAGTCGAGAACATACCCCAGGTCCCCGCCGCAACTCGAGAAAAACCATGAGATTTCCCCTAGAGGCGAGATGAGGCCCCATTCCCCTGCAGTGCATGCAGAGCTATTCCGAGATCCCATTCAAACAAGGCAGGAGCTTCGACTTGCTTAATGGATCTCGAGACAGTCCCAAAGAACACTGTCACCAGTCTAGACGGACCCTGAGGTCACCCCAGCAACGCAAAGCAGCTCCATGTGCCCCAAATCAACGCGAGATGAGGCCCGATTCCCCTGCATTGACTCCAGAGCCATTCCCCGTTCCCCATTCAACACGACCGGTGGCTCGACTTCCTTCAGGCAACTCCAGAGATGCCCCGAGAACACTGTCCCAAGTCTAGAGGAACACCAACTTCAGCACAGCAACTCGAGGAATGCTCCGTGTACCCCAAATCGTCTCGAGATGCGAGCTGATTCCCTGGCTTAGGATCAAGACGTATGCCAACTTCCCAGAAGCACCTCAGGAGGAGGCTTCTCTCAGCAATAGGTATGTGGGAGGGACCCCGAGTTTGCTGCCTCAAGGGGAATATACAGCGAGACGCCCTAACTTGAAAGGAGGCCGGATTTCCTTGCAGTGGCTTGAATACAGGCTCGTCTTTCATCTCACAACATGAAGGGATGTCTGAATCCCCTGTGGAGACCTTAGAGAAAGCCCTAGGTCCCTGCCTCATTTTGACGGAATGCCTCACATCCCGCTGACACCTCGAGAGGCACGCGGAGTTCATTGCTTCAAAAGGTGACGATGCCTGACTCCTCTTGAATACTGATAGGAATCCCAAAATCCCTGTGGCTACTGGAAAGGGTCCTTGGGTGCCCTGCCTCACCCCGAGAAGCGTCCCTTTGGCCCTGCCAAGCCTCGAAGAGATTCCTGAGGTGTCCCTCGTTACTAGACAGGAGTCCTGACGTCACTGAAGAAACTCGTGTTTTGAAGGGCCATCCCCGCCGTAAGTCGAGAACATACCCCAGGTCCCCGCCGCAACTCGAGAAAAACCATGAGACTTCCCCCTAGAGGCGAGATGAGGCCCCATTCCCCTGCAGTGCATGCAGAGCTATTCCGTGATCCCATTCAAACAAGTCAGGAGCTTCGACTTGCTTAATGGATCTCGAGACAGTCCCCAAGAACACTGTCACCAGTCTAGACGGACCCTGAGGTCACCCCAGCAACGCAAAGCAGCTCCATGTGCCCCAAATCAACTCGAGATGAGGCCCGATTCCCCTGCATTGACTCCAGAGCCATTCCCCGTTCCCCATTCAACACGACCGGTGGCTCGACTTCCTTCAGGCAACTCCAGAGATGCCCCGAGAACACTGTCCCAAGTCTAGAGGAACACCAACTTCAGCACAGCAACTCGAGGAATGCTCCGTGTACCCCAAATCGTCTCGAGATGCGAGCTGATTCCCTGGCTTAGGCTCAAGACGTATGCCAACTTCCCAGAAGCACCTCAGGAGGAGGCTTCTCTCAGCAATAGGTATGTGGGAGGGACCCCGAGTTTGCTGCCTCAAGGGGAATATACAGCGAGAAGCCCTAACTTGAAAGGAGGCCGGATTTCCTTGCAGTGGCTTGAATACAGGCTCGTCTTTCATCTCACAACATGAAGGGATGTCTGAATCCCCTGTGGAGACCTTAGAGAAAGCCCTAGGTCCCTGCCTCATTTTGACGGAATGCCTCACATCCCGCTGACACCTCGAGAGGCACGCGGAGTTCATTGCTTCAAAAGGTGACGATGCCTGACTCCTCTTGAATACTGATAGGAATCCCAAAATCCCTGTGGCTACTGGAAAGGGTCCTTGGGTGCCCTGCCTCACCTCGAGAAGCGTCCCTTTTGCCCTGCCAAGCCTCGAAGAGATTCCTGAGGTGTCCCTCGTTACTAGACAGGAGTCCTGACGTCACTGAAGAAACTCGTGTTTTGAAGGGCCATCCCCGCCGTAAGTCGAGAACATACCCCAGGTCCCCGCCGCAACTCGAGAAAAACCATGAGACTTCCCCCTAGAGGCGAGATGAGGCCCCATTCCCCTGCAGTGCATGCAGAGCTATTCCGTGATCCCATTCAAACAAGTCAGGAGCTTCGACTTGCTTAATGGATCTCGAGACAGTCCCCAAGAACACTGTCACCAGTCTAGACGGACCCTGAGGTCACCCCAGCAACGCAAAGCAGCTCCATGTGCCCCAAATCAACGCGAGATGAGGCCCGATTCCCCTGCATTGACTCCAGAGCCATTCCCCGTTCCCCATTCAACACGACCGGTGGCTCGACTTCCTTCAGGCAACTCCAGAGATGCCCCGAGAACACTGTCCCAAGTCTAGAGGAACACCAACTTTAGCACAGCAACTCGAGGAATGCTCCGTGTACCCCAAATCGTCTCGAGATGCGAGCTGATTCCCTGGCTTAGGATCAAGACGTATGCCAACTTCCCAGAAGCACCTCAGGAGGAGGCTTCTCTCAGCAATAGGTATGTGGGAGGGACCCCGAGTTTGCTGCCTCAAGGGGAATATACAGCGAGAAGCCCTAACTTGAAAGGAGGCCGGATTTCCTTGCAGTGGCTTGAATACAGGCTCGTCTTTCATCTCACAACATGAAGGGATGTCTGAATCCCCTGTGGAGACCTTAGAGAAAGCCCTAGGTCCCTGCCTCATTTTGACGGAATGCCTCACATCCCGCTGACACCTCGAGAGGCACGCGGAGTTCATTGCTTCAAAAGGTGACGATGCCTGACTCCTCTTGAATACTGATAGGAATCCCAAAATCCCTGTGGCTACTGGAAAGGGTCCTTGGGTGCCCTGCCTCACCTCGAGAAGCGTCCCTTTGGCCCTGCCAAGCCTCGAAGAGATTCCTGAGGTGTCCCTCGTTACTAGACAGGAGTCCTGACGTCACTGAAGAAACTCGTGTTTTGAAGGGCCATCCCCGCCGTAAGTCGAGAACATACCCCAGGTCCCCGCCGCAACTCGAGAAAAACCATGAGATTTCCCCTAGAGGCGAGATGAGGCCCCATTCCCCTGCAGTGCATGCAGAGCTATTCCGAGATCCCATTCAAACAAGGCAGGAGCTTCGACTTGCTTAATGGATCTCGAGACAGTCCCAAAGAACACTGTCACCAGTCTAGACGGACCCTGAGGTCACCCCAGCAACGCAAAGCAGCTCCATGTGCCCCAAATCAACGCGAGATGAGGCCCGATTCCCCTGCATTGACTCCAGAGCCATTCCCCGTTCCCCATTCAACACGACCGGTGGCTCGACTTCCTTCAGGCAACTCCAGAGATGCCCCGAGAACACTGTCCCAAGTCTAGAGGAACACCAACTTCAGCACAGCAACTCGAGGAATGCTCCGTGTACCCCAAATCGTCTCGAGATGCGAGCTGATTCCCTGGCTTAGGATCAAGACGTATGCCAACTTCCCAGAAGCACCTCAGGAGGAGGCTTCTCTCAGCAATAGGTATGTGGGAGGGACCCCGAGTTTGCTGCCTCAAGGGGAATATACAGCGAGACGCCCTAACTTGAAAGGAGGCCGGATTTCCTTGCAGTGGCTTGAATACAGGCTCGTCTTTCATCTCACAACATGAAGGGATGTCTGAATCCCCTGTGGAGACCTTAGAGAAAGCCCTAGGTCCCTGCCTCATTTTGACGGAATGCCTCACATCCCGCTGACACCTCGAGAGGCACGCGGAGTTCATTGCTTCAAAAGGTGACGATGCCTGACTCCTCTTGAATACTGATAGGAATCCCAAAATCCCTGTGGCTACTGGAAAGGGTCCTTGGGTGCCCTGCCTCACCCCGAGAAGCGTCCCTTTGGCCCTGCCAAGCCTCGAAGAGATTCCTGAGGTGTCCCTCGTTACTAGACAGGAGTCCTGACGTCACTGAAGAAACTCGTGTTTTGAAGGGCCATCCCCGCCGTAAGTCGAGAACATACCCCAGGTCCCCGCCGCAACTCGAGAAAAACCATGAGACTTCCCCCTAGAGGCGAGATGAGGCCCCATTCCCCTGCAGTGCATGCAGAGCTATTCCGTGATCCCATTCAAACAAGTCAGGAGCTTCGACTTGCTTAATGGATCTCGAGACAGTCCCCAAGAACACTGTCACCAGTCTAGACGGACCCTGAGGTCACCCCAGCAACGCAAAGCAGCTCCATGTGCCCCAAATCAACTCGAGATGAGGCCCGATTCCCCTGCATTGACTCCAGAGCCATTCCCCGTTCCCCATTCAACACGACCGGTGGCTCGACTTCCTTCAGGCAACTCCAGAGATGCCCCGAGAACACTGTCCCAAGTCTAGAGGAACACCAACTTCAGCACAGCAACTCGAGGAATGCTCCGTGTACCCCAAATCGTCTCGAGATGCGAGCTGATTCCCTGGCTTAGGCTCAAGACGTATGCCAACTTCCCAGAAGCACCTCAGGAGGAGGCTTCTCTCAGCAATAGGTATGTGGGAGGGACCCCGAGTTTGCTGCCTCAAGGGGAATATACAGCGAGAAGCCCTAACTTGAAAGGAGGCCGGATTTCCTTGCAGTGGCTTGAATACAGGCTCGTCTTTCATCTCACAACATGAAGGGATGTCTGAATCCCCTGTGGAGACCTTAGAGAAAGCCCTAGGTCCCTGCCTCATTTTGACGGAATGCCTCACATCCCGCTGACACCTCGAGAGGCACGCGGAGTTCATTGCTTCAAAAGGTGATGATGCCTGACTCCTCTTGAATACTGATAGGAATCCCAAAATCCCTGTGGCTACTGGAAAGGGTCCTTGGGTGCCCTGCCTCACCTCGAGAAGCGTCCCTTTTGCCCTGCCAAGCCTCGAAGAGATTCCTGAGGTGTCCCTCGTTACTAGACAGGAGTCCTGACGTCACTGAAGAAACTCGTGTTTTGAAGGGCCATCCCCGCCGTAAGTCGAGAACATACCCCAGGTCCCCGCCGCAACTCGAGAAAAACCATGAGACTTCCCCCTAGAGGCGAGATGAGGCCCCATTCCCCTGCAGTGCATGCAGAGCTATTCCGTGATCCCATTCAAACAAGTCAGGAGCTTCGACTTGCTTAATGGATCTCGAGACAGTCCCCAAGAACACTGTCACCAGTCTAGACGGACCCTGAGGTCACCCCAGCAACGCAAAGCAGCTCCATGTGCCCCAAATCAACGCGAGATGAGGCCCGATTCCCCTGCATTGACTCCAGAGCCATTCCCCGTTCCCCATTCAACACGACCGGTGGCTCGACTTCCTTCAGGCCACTCCAGAGATGCCCCGAGAACACTGTCCCAAGTCTAGAGGAACACCAACTTCAGCACAGCAACTCGAGGAATGCTCCGTGTACCCCAAATCGTCTCGAGATGCGAGCTGATTCCCTGGCTTAGGATCAAGACGTATGCCAACTTCCCAGAAGCACCTCAGGAGGAGGCTTCTCTCAGCAATAGGTATGTGGGAGGGACCCCGAGTTTGCTGCCTCAAGGGGAATATACAGCGAGAAGCCCTAACTTGAAAGGAGGCCGGATTTCCTTGCAGTGGCTTGAATACAGGCTCGTCTTTCATCTCACAACATGAAGGGATGTCTGAATCCCCTGTGGAGACCTTAGAGAAAGCCCTAGGTCCCTGCCTCATTTTGACGGAATGCCTCACATCCCGCTGACACCTCGAGAGGCACGCGGAGTTCATTGCTTCAAAAGGTGACGATGCCTGACTCCTCTTGAATACTGATAGGAATCCCAAAATCCCTGTGGCTACTGGAAAGGGTCCTGGGGTGCCCTGCCTCACCTCGAGAAGCGTCCCTTTTGCCCTGCCAAGCCTCGAAGAGATTCCTGAGGTGTCCCTCGTTACTAGACAGGAGTCCTGACGTCACTGAAGAAACTCGTGTTTTGAAGGGCCATCCCCGCCGTAAGTCGAGAACATACCCCAGGTCCCCGCCGCAACTCGAGAAAAACCATGAGACTTCCCCCTAGAGGCGAGATGAGGCCCCATTCCCCTGCAGTGCATGCAGAGCTATTCCGTGATCCCATTCAAACAAGGCAGGAGCTTCGACTTGCTTAATGGATCTCGAGACAGTCCCCAAGAACACTGTCACCAGTCTAGACGGACCCTGAGGTCACCCCAGCAACGCAAAGCAGCTCCATGTGCCCCAAATCAACGCGAGATGAGGCCCGATTCCCCTGCATTGACTCCAGAGCCATTCCCCGTTCCCCATTCAACACGACCGGTGGCTCGACTTCCTTCAGGCAACTCCAGAGATGCCCCGAGAACACTGTCCCAAGTCTAGAGGAACACCAACTTCAGCACAGCAACTCGAGGAATGCTCCGTGTACCCCAAATCGTCTCGAGATGCGAGCTGATTCCCTGGCTTAGGATCAAGACGTATGCCAACTTCCCAGAAGCACCTCAGGAGGAGGCTTCTCTCAGCAATAGGTATGTGGGAGGGACCCCGAGTTTGCTGCCTCAAGGGGAATATACAGCGAGAAGCCCTAACTTGAAAGGAGGCCGGATTTCCTTGCAGTGGCTTGAATACAGGCTCGTCTTTCATCTCACAACATGAAGGGATGTCTGAATCCCCTGTGGAGACCTTAGAGAAAGCCCTAGGTCCCTGCCTCATTTTGACGGAATGCCTCACATCCCACTGACACCTCGAGAGGCACGCGGAGTTCATTGCTTCAAAAGGTGACGATGCCTGACTCCTCTTGAATACTGATAGGAATCCCAAAATCCCTGTGGCTACTGGAAAGGGTCCTTGGGTGCCCTGCCTCACCTCGAGAAGCGTCCCTTTGGCCCTGCCAAGCCTCGAAGAGATTCCTGAGGTGTCCCTCGTTACTAGACAGGAGTCCTGACGTCACTGAAGAAACTCGTGTTTTGAAGGGCCATCCCCGCCGTAAGTCGAGAACATACCCCAGGTCCCCGCCGCAACTCGAGAAAAACCATGAGACTTCCCCCTAGAGGCGAGATGAGGCCCCATTCCCCTGCAGTGCATGCAGAGCTATTCCGTGATCCCATTCAAACAAGGCAGGAGCTTCGACTTGCTTAATGGATCTCGAGACAGTCCCCAAGAACACTGTCACCAGTCTAGACGGACCCTGAGGTCACCCCAGCAACGCAAAGCAGCTCCATGTGCCCCAAATCAACTCGAGATGAGGCCCGATTCCCCTGCATTGACTCCAGAGCCATTCCCCGTTCCCCATTCAACACGACCGGTGGCTCGACTTCCTTCAGGCCACTCCAGAGATGCCCCGAGAACACTGTCCCAAGTCTAGAGGAACACCAACTTCAGCACAGCAACTCGAGGAATGCTCCGTGTACCCCAAATCGTCTCGAGATGCGAGCTGATTCCCTGGCTTAGGATCAAGACGTATGCCAACTTCCCAGAAGCACCTCAGGAGGAGGCTTCTCTCAGCAATAGGTATGTGGGAGGGACCCCGAGTTTGCTGCCTCAAGGGGAATATACAGCGAGAAGCCCTAACTTGAAAGGAGGCCGGATTTCCTTGCAGTGGCTTGAATACAGGCTCGTCTTTCATCTCACAACATGAAGGGATGTCTGAATCCCCTGTGGAGACCTTAGAGAAAGCCCTAGGTCCCTGCCTCATTTTGACGGAATGCCTCACATCCCGCTGACACCTCGAGAGGCACGCGGAGTTCATTGCTTCAAAAGGTGACGATGCCTGACTCCTCTTGAATACTGATAGGAATCCCAAAATCCCTGTGGCTACTGGAAAGGGTCCTGGGGTGCCCTGCCTCACCTCGAGAAGCGTCCCTTTTGCCCTGCCAAGCCTCGAAGAGATTCCTGAGGTGTCCCTCGTTACTAGACAGGAGTCCTGACGTCACTGAAGAAACTCGTGTTTTGAAGGGCCATCCCCGCCGTAAGTCGAGAACATACCCCAGGTCCCCGCCGCAACTCGAGAAAAACCATGAGACTTCCCCCTAGAGGCGAGATGAGGCCCCATTCCCCTGCAGTGCATGCAGAGCTATTCCGTGATCCCATTCAAACAAGGCAGGAGCTTCGACTTGCTTAATGGATCTCGAGACAGTCCCCAAGAACACTGTCACCAGTCTAGACGGACCCTGAGGTCACCCCAGCAACGCAAAGCAGCTCCATGTGCCCCAAATCAACGCGAGATGAGGCCCGATTCCCCTGCATTGACTCCAGAGCCATTCCCCGTTCCCCATTCAACACGACCGGTGGCTCGACTTCCTTCAGGCAACTCCAGAGATGCCCCGAGAACACTGTCCCAAGTCTAGAGGAACACCAACTTCAGCACAGCAAGTCGAGGAATGCTCCGTGTACCCCAAATCGTCTCGAGATGCGAGCTGATTCCCTGGCTTAGGATCAAGACGTATGCCAACTTCCCAGAAGCACCTCAGGAGGAGGCTTCTCTCAGCAATAGGTATGTGGGAGGGACCCCGAGTTTGCTGCCTCAAGGGGAATATACAGCGAGAAGCCCTAACTTGAAAGGAGGCCGGATTTCCTTGCAGTGGCTTGAATACAGGCTCGTCTTTCATCTCACAACATGAAGGGATGTCTGAATCCCCTGTGGAGACCTTAGAGAAAGCCCTAGGTCCCTGCCTCATTTTGACGGAATGCCTCACATCCCGCTGACACCTCGAGAGGCACGCGGAGTTCATTGCTTCAAAAGGTGACGATGCCTGACTCCTCTTGAATACTGATAGGAATCCCAAAATCCCTGTGGCTACTGGAAAGGGTCCTTGGGTGCCCTGCCTCACCTCGAGAAGCGTCCCTTTGGCCCTGCCAAGCCTCGAAGAGATTCCTGAGGTGTCCCTCGTTACTAGACAGGAGTCCTGACGTCACTGAAGAAACTCGTGTTTTGAAGGGCCATCCCCGCCGTAAGTCGAGAACATACCCCAGGTCCCCGCCGCAACTCGAGAAAAACCATGAGACTTCCCCCTAGAGGCGAGATGAGGCCCCATTCCCCTGCAGTGCATGCAGAGCTATTCCGTGATCCCATTCAAACAAGGCAGGAGCTTCGACTTGCTTAATGGATCTCGAGACAGTCCCCAAGAACACTGTCACCAGTCTAGACGGACCCTGAGGTCACCCCAGCAACGCAAAGCAGCTCCATGTGCCCCAAATCAACTCGAGATGAGGCCCGATTCCCCTGCATTGACTCCAGAGCCATTCCCCGTTCCCCATTCAACACGACCGGTGGCTCGACTTCCTTCAGGCAACTCCAGAGATGCCCCGAGAACACTGTCCCAAGTCTAGAGGAACACCAACTTCAGCACAGCAACTCGAGGAATGCTCCGTGTACCCCAAATCGTCTCGAGATGCGAGCTGATTCCCTGGCTTAGGCTCAAGACGTATGCCAACTTCCCAGAAGCACCTCAGGAGGAGGCTTCTCTCAGCAATAGGTATGTGGGAGGGACCCCGAGTTTGCTGCCTCAAGGGGAATATACAGCGAGAAGCCCTAACTTGAAAGGAGGCCGGATTTCCTTGCAGTGGCTTGAATACAGGCTCGTCTTTCATCTCACAACATGAAGGGATGTCTGAATCCCCTGTGGAGACCTTAGAGAAAGCCCTAGGTCCCTGCCTCATTTTGACGGAATGCCTCACATCCCGCTGACACCTCGAGAGGCACGCGGAGTTCATTGCTTCAAAAGGTGACGATGCCTGACTCCTCTTGAATACTGATAGGAATCCCAAAATCCCTGTGGCTACTGGAAAGGGTCCTGGGGTGCCCTGCCTCACCTCGAGAAGCGTCCCTTTTGCCCTGCCAAGCCTCGAAGAGATTCCTGAGGTGTCCCTCGTTACTAGACAGGAGTCCTGACGTCACTGAAGAAACTCGTGTTTTGAAGGGCCATCCCCGCCGTAAGTCGAGAACATACCCCAGGTCCCCGCCGCAACTCGAGAAAAACCATGAGACTTCCCCCTAGAGGCGAGATGAGGCCCCATTCCCCTGCAGTGCATGCAGAGCTATTCCGTGATCCCATTCAAACAAGGCAGGAGCTTCGACTTGCTTAATGGATCTCGAGACAGTCCCCAAGAACACTGTCACCAGTCTAGACGGACCCTGAGGTCACCCCAGCAACGCAAAGCAGCTCCATGTGCCCCAAATCAACGCGAGATGAGGCCCGATTCCCCTGCATTGACTCCAGAGCCATTCCCCGTTCCCCATTCAACACGACCGGTGGCTCGACTTCCTTCAGGCAACTCCAGAGATGCCCCGAGAACACTGTCCCAAGTCTAGAGGAACACCAACTTCAGCACAGCAACTCGAGGAATGCTCCGTGTACCCCAAATCGTCTCGAGATGCGAGCTGATTCCCTGGCTTAGGATCAAGACGTATGCCAACTTCCCAGAAGCACCTCAGGAGGAGGCTTCTCTCAGCAATAGGTATGTGGGAGGGACCCCGAGTTTGCTGCCTCAAGGGGAATATACAGCGAGAAGCCCTAACTTGAAAGGAGGCCGGATTTCCTTGCAGTGGCTTGAATACAGGCTCGTCTTTCATCTCACAACATGAAGGGATGTCTGAATCCCCTGTGGAGACCTTAGAGAAAGCCCTAGGTCCCTGCCTCATTTTGACGGAATGCCTCACATCCCGCTGACACCTCGAGAGGCACGCGGAGTTCATTGCTTCAAAAGGTGACGATGCCTGACTCCTCTTGAATACTGATAGGAATCCCAAAATCCCTGTGGCTACTGGAAAGGGTCCTTGGGTGCCCTGCCTCACCCCGAGAAGCGTCCCTTTGGCCCTGCCAAGCCTCGAAGAGATTCCTGAGGTGTCCCTCGTTACTAGACAGGAGTCCTGACGTCACTGAAGAAACTCGTGTTTTGAAGGGCCATCCCCGCCGTAAGTCGAGAACATACCCCAGGTCCCCGCCGCAACTCGAGAAAAACCATGAGACTTCCCCCTAGAGGCGAGATGAGGCCCCATTCCCCTGCAGAGCATGCAGAGCTATTCCGTGATCCCATTCAAACAAGTCAGGAGCTTCGACTTGCTTAATGGATCTCGAGACAGTCCCCAAGAACACTGTCACCAGTCTAGACGGACCCTGAGGTCACCCCAGCAACGCAAAGCAGCTCCATGTGCCCCAAATCAACTCGAGATGAGGCCCGATTCCCCTGCATTGACTCCAGAGCCATTCCCCGTTCCCCATTCAACACGACCGGTGGCTCGACTTCCTTCAGGCAACTCCAGAGATGCCCCGAGAACACTGTCCCAAGTCTAGAGGAACACCACCTTCAGCACAGCAACAAGAGGAATGCTCCGTGTACCCCAAATCGTCTCGAGATGCGAGCTGATTCCCTGGCTTAGGCTCAAGACGTATGCCAACTTCCCAGAAGCACCTCAGGAGGAGGCTTCTCTCAGCAATAGGTATGTGGGAGGGACCCCGAGTTTGCTGCCTCAAGGGGAATATACAGCGAGAAGCCCTAACTTGAAAGGAGGCCGGATTTCCTTGCAGTGGCTTGAATACAGGCTCGTCTTTCATCTCACAACATGAAGGGATGTCTGAATCCCCTGTGGAGACCTTAGAGAAAGCCCTAGGTCCCTGCCTCATTTTGACGGAATGCCTCACATCCCGCTGACACCTCGAGAGGCACGCGGAGTTCATTGCTTCAAAAGGTGACGATGCCTGACTCCTCTTGAATACTGATAGGAATCCCAAAATCCCTGTGGCTACTGGAAAGGGTCCTTGGGTGCCCTGCCTCACCTCGAGAAGCGTCCCTTTTGCCCTGCCAAGCCTCGAAGAGATTCCTGAGGTGTCCCTCGTTACTAGACAGGAGTCCTGACGTCACTGAAGAAACTCGTGTTTTGAAGGGCCATCCCCGCCGTAAGTCGAGAACATACACCAGGTCCCCGCCGCAACTCGAGAAAAACCATGAGACTTCCCCCTAGAGGCGAGATGAGGCCCCATTCCCCTGCAGTGCATGCAGAGCTATTCCGTGATCCCATTCAAACAAGGCAGGAGCTTCGACTTGCTTAATGGATCTCGAGACAGTCCCCAAGAACACTGTCACCAGTCTAGACGGACCCTGAGGTCACCCCAGCAACGCAAAGCAGCTCCATGTGCCCCAAATCAACTCGAGATGAGGCCCGATTCCCCTGCATTGACTCCAGAGCCATTCCCCGTTCCCCATTCAACACGACCGGTGGCTCGACTTCCTTCAGGCAACTCCAGAGATGCCCCAAGAACACTGTCCCAAGTCTAGAGGAACACCAACTTCAGCACAGCAACTCGAGGAATGCTCCGTGTACCCCAAATCGTCTCGAGATGCGAGCTGATTCCCTGGCTTAGGATCAAGACGTATGCCAACTTCCCAGAAGCACCTCAGGAGGAGGCTTCTCTCAGCAATAGGTATGTGGGAGGGACCCCGAGTTTGCTGCCTCAAGGGGAATATACAGCGAGAAGCCCTAACTTGAAAGGAGGCCGGATTTCCTTGCAGTGGCTTGAATACAGGCTCGTCTTTCATCTCACAACATGAAGGGATGTCTGAATCCCCTGTGGAGACCTTAGAGAAAGCCCTAGGTCCCTGCCTCATTTTGACGGAATGCCTCACATCCCGCTGACACCTCGAGAGGCACGCGGAGTTCATTGCTTCAAAAGGTGACGATGCCTGACTCCTCTTGAATACTGATAGGAATCCCAAAATCCCTGTGGCTACTGGAAAGGGTCCTTGGGTGCCCTGCCTCACCCCGAGAAGCGTCCCTTTGGCCCTGCCAAGCCTCGAAGAGATTCCTGAGGTGTCCCTCGTTACTAGACAGGAGTCCTGACGTCACTGAAGAAACTCGTGTTTTGAAGGGCCATCCCCGCCGTAAGTCGAGAACATACCCCAGGTCCCCGCCGCAACTCGAGAAAAACCATGAGACTTCCCCCTAGAGGCGAGATGAGGCCCCATTCCCCTGCAGAGCATGCAGAGCTATTCCGTGATCCCATTCAAACAAGTCAGGAGCTTCGACTTGCTTAATGGATCTCGAGACAGTCCCCAAGAACACTGTCACCAGTCTAGACGGACCCTGAGGTCACCCCAGCAACGCAAAGCAGCTCCATGTGCCCCAAATCAACTCGAGATGAGGCCCGATTCCCCTGCATTGACTCCAGAGCCATTCCCCGTTCCCCATTCAACACGACCGGTGGCTCGACTTCCTTCAGGCAACTCCAGAGATGCCCCGAGAACACTGTCCCAAGTCTAGAGGAACACCACCTTCAGCACAGCAACAAGAGGAATGCTCCGTGTACCACAAATCGTCTCGAGATGCGAGCTGATTCCCTGGCTTAGGCTCAAGACGTATGCCAACTTCCCAGAAGCACCTCAGGAGGAGGCTTCTCTCAGCAATAGGTATGTGGGAGGGACCCCGAGTTTGCTGCCTCAAGGGGAATATACAGCGAGAAGCCCTATCTTGAAAGGAGGCCGGATTTCCTTGCAGTGGCTTGAATACAGGCTCGTCTTTCATCTCACAACATGAAGGGATGTCTGAATCCCCTGTGGAGACCTTAGAGAAAGCCCTAGGTCCCTGCCTCATTTTGACGGAATGCCTCACATCCCGCTGACACCTCGAGAGGCACGCGGAGTTCATTGCTTCAAAAGGTGACGATGCCTGACTCCTCTTGAATACTGATAGGAATCCCAAAATCCCTGTGGCTACTGGAAAGGGTCCTTGGGTGCCCTGCCTCACCCCGAGAAGCGTCCCTTTGGCCCTGCCAAGCCTCGAAGAGATTCCTGAGGTGTCCCTCGTTACTAGACAGGAGTCCTGACGTCACTGAAGAAACTCGTGTTTTGAAGGGCCATCCCCGCCGTAAGTCGAGAACATACCCCAGGTCCCCGCCACAACTCGAGAAAAACCATGAGACTTCCCCCTAGAGGCGAGATGAGGCCCCATTCCCCTGCAGTGCATGCAGAGCTATTCCGTGATCCCATTCAAACAAGTCAGGAGCTTCGACTTGCTTAATGGATCTCGAGACAGTCCCCAAGAACACTGTCACCAGTCTAGACGGACCCTGAGGTCACCCCAGCAACGCAAAGCAGCTCCATGTGCCCCAAATCAACTCGAGATGAGGCCCGATTCCCCTGCATTGACTCCAGAGCCATTCCCCGTTCCCCATTCAACACGACCGGTGGCTCGACTTCCTTCAGGCAACTCCAGAGATGCCCCGAGAACACTGTCCCAAGTCTAGAGGAACACCAACTTCAGCACAGCAACTCGAGGAATGCTCCGTGTACCCCAAATCGTCTCGAGATGCGAGCTGATTCCCTGGCTTAGGCTCAAGACGTATGCCAACTTCCCAGAAGCACCTCAGGAGGAGGCTTCTCTCAGCAATAGGTATGTGGGAGGGACCCCGAGTTTGCTGCCTCAAGGGGAATATACAGCGAGAAGCCCTAACTTGAAAGGAGGCCGGATTTCCTTGCAGTGGCTTGAATACAGGCTCGTCTTTCATCTCACAACATGAAGGGATGTCTGAATCCCCTGTGGAGACCTTAGAGAAAGCCCTAGGTCCCTGCCTCATTTTGACGGAATGCCTCACATCCCGCTGACACCTCGAGAGGCACGCGGAGTTCATTGCTTCAAAAGGTGACGATGCCTGACTCCTCTTGAATACTGATAGGAATCCCAAAATCCCTGTGGCTACTGGAAAGGGTCCTTGGGTGCCCTGCCTCACCTCGAGAAGCGTCCCTTTTGCCCTGCCAAGCCTCGAAGAGATTCCTGAGGTGTCCCTCGTTACTAGACAGGAGTCCTGACGTCACTGAAGAAACTCGTGTTTTGAAGGGCCATCCCCGCCGTAAGTCGAGAACATACACCAGGTCCCCGCCGCAACTCGAGAAAAACCATGAGACTTCCCCCTAGAGGCGAGATGAGGCCCCATTCCCCTGCAGTGCATGCAGAGCTATTCCGTGATCCCATTCAAACAAGGCAGGAGCTTCGACTTGCTTAATGGATCTCGAGACAGTCCCCAAGAACACTGTCACCAGTCTAGACGGACCCTGAGGTCACCCCAGCAACGCAAAGCAGCTCCATGTGCCCCAAATCAACTCGAGATGAGGCCCGATTCCCCTGCATTGACTCCAGAGCCATTCCCCGTTCCCCATTCAACACGACCGGTGGCTCGACTTCCTTCAGGCAACTCCAGAGATGCCCCAAGAACACTGTCCCAAGTCTAGAGGAACACCAACTTCAGCACAGCAACTCGAGGAATGCTCCGTGTACCCCAAATCGTCTCGAGATGCGAGCTGATTCCCTGGCTTAGGATCAAGACGTATGCCAACTTCCCAGAAGCACCTCAGGAGGAGGCTTCTCTCAGCAATAGGTATGTGGGAGGGACCCCGAGTTTGCTGCCTCAAGGGGAATATACAGCGAGAAGCCCTAACTTGAAAGGAGGCCGGATTTCCTTGCAGTGGCTTGAATACAGGCTCGTCTTTCATCTCACAACATGAAGGGATGTCTGAATCCCCTGTGGAGACCTTAGAGAAAGCCCTAGGTCCCTGCCTCATTTTGACGGAATGCCTCACATCCCGCTGACACCTCGAGAGGCACGCGGAGTTCATTGCTTCAAAAGGTGACGATGCCTGACTCCTCTTGAATACTGATAGGAATCCCAAAATCCCTGTGGCTACTGGAAAGGGTCCTTGGGTGCCCTGCCTCACCCCGAGAAGCGTCCCTTTGGCCCTGCCAAGCCTCGAAGAGATTCCTGAGGTGTCCCTCGTTACTAGACAGGAGTCCTGACGTCACTGAAGAAACTCGTGTTTTGAAGGGCCATCCCCGCCGTAAGTCGAGAACATACCCCAGGTCCCCGCCGCAACTCGAGAAAAACCATGAGACTTCCCCCTAGAGGCGAGATGAGGCCCCATTCCCCTGCAGAGCATGCAGAGCTATTCCGTGATCCCATTCAAACAAGTCAGGAGCTTCGACTTGCTTAATGGATCTCGAGACAGTCCCCAAGAACACTGTCACCAGTCTAGACGGACCCTGAGGTCACCCCAGCAACGCAAAGCAGCTCCATGTGCCCCAAATCAACTCGAGATGAGGCCCGATTCCCCTGCATTGACTCCAGAGCCATTCCCCGTTCCCCATTCAACACGACCGGTGGCTCGACTTCCTTCAGGCAACTCCAGAGATGCCCCGAGAACACTGTCCCAAGTCTAGAGGAACACCACCTTCAGCACAGCAACAAGAGGAATGCTCCGTGTACCACAAATCGTCTCGAGATGCGAGCTGATTCCCTGGCTTAGGCTCAAGACGTATGCCAACTTCCCAGAAGCACCTCAGGAGGAGGCTTCTCTCAGCAATAGGTATGTGGGAGGGACCCCGAGTTTGCTGCCTCAAGGGGAATATACAGCGAGAAGCCCTATCTTGAAAGGAGGCCGGATTTCCTTGCAGTGGCTTGAATACAGGCTCGTCTTTCATCTCACAACATGAAGGGATGTCTGAATCCCCTGTGGAGACCTTAGAGAAAGCCCTAGGTCCCTGCCTCATTTTGACGGAATGCCTCACATCCCGCTGACACCTCGAGAGGCACGCGGAGTTCATTGCTTCAAAAGGTGACGATGCCTGACTCCTCTTGAATACTGATAGGAATCCCAAAATCCCTGTGGCTACTGGAAAGGGTCCTTGGGTGCCCTGCCTCACCCCGAGAAGCGTCCCTTTGGCCCTGCCAAGCCTCGAAGAGATTCCTGAGGTGTCCCTCGTTACTAGACAGGAGTCCTGACGTCACTGAAGAAACTCGTGTTTTGAAGGGCCATCCCCGCCGTAAGTCGAGAACATACCCCAGGTCCCCGCCACAACTCGAGAAAAACCATGAGACTTCCCCCTAGAGGCGAGATGAGGCCCCATTCCCCTGCAGTGCATGCAGAGCTATTCCGTGATCCCATTCAAACAAGTCAGGAGCTTCGACTTGCTTAATGGATCTCGAGACAGTCCCCAAGAACACTGTCACCAGTCTAGACGGACCCTGAGGTCACCCCAGCAACGCAAAGCAGCTCCATGTGCCCCAAATCAACTCGAGATGAGGCCCGATTCCCCTGCATTGACTCCAGAGCCATTCCCCGTTCCCCATTCAACACGACCGGTGGCTCGACTTCCTTCAGGCAACTCCAGAGATGCCCCGAGAACACTGTCCCAAGTCTAGAGGAACACCAACTTCAGCACAGCAACTCGAGGAATGCTCCGTGTACCCCAAATCGTCTCGAGATGCGAGCTGATTCCCTGGCTTAGGCTCAAGACGTATGCCAACTTCCCAGAAGCACCTCAGGAGGAGGCTTCTCTCAGCAATAGGTATGTGGGAGGGACCCCGAGTTTGCTGCCTCAAGGGGAATATACAGCGAGAAGCCCTAACTTGAAAGGAGGCCGGATTTCCTTGCAGTGGCTTGAATACAGGCTCGTCTTTCATCTCACAACATGAAGGGATGTCTGAATCCCCTGTGGAGACCTTAGAGAAAGCCCTAGGTCCCTGCCTCATTTTGACGGAATGCCTCACATCCCGCTGACACCTCGAGAGGCACGCGGAGTTCATTGCTTCAAAAGGTGACGATGCCTGACTCCTCTTGAATACTGATAGGAATCCCAAAATCCCTGTGGCTACTGGAAAGGGTCCTTGGGTGCCCTGCCTCACCTCGAGAAGCGTCCCTTTTGCCCTGCCAAGCCTCGAAGAGATTCCTGAGGTGTCCCTCGTTACTAGACAGGAGTCCTGACGTCACTGAAGAAACTCGTGTTTTGAAGGGCCATCCCCGCCGTAAGTCGAGAACATACCCCAGGTCCCCGCCGCAACTCGAGAAAAACCATGAGACTTCCCCCTAGAGGCGAGATGAGGCCCCATTCCCCTGCAGTGCATGCAGAGCTATTCCGTGATCCCATTCAAACAACTCAGGAGCTTCGACTTGCTTAATGGATCTCGAGACAGTCCCCAAGAACACTGTCACCAGTCTAGACGGACCCTGAGGTCACCCCAGCAACGCAAAGCAGCTCCATGTGCCCCAAATCAACTCGAGATGAGGCCCGATTCCCCTGCATTGACTCCAGAGCCATTCCCCGTTCCCCATTCAACACGACCGGTGGCTCGACTTCCTTCAGGCAACTCCAGAGATGCCCCGAGAACACTGTCCCAAGTCTAGAGGAACACCAACTTCAGCACAGCAACTCGAGGAATGCTCCGTGTACCCCAAATCGTCTCGAGATTCGAGCTGATTCCCTGGCTTAGGCTCAAGACGTATGCCAACTTCCCAGAAGCACCTCAGGAGGAGGCTTCTCTCAGCAATAGGTATGTGGGAGGGACCCCGAGTTTGCTGCCTCAAGGGGAATATACAGCGAGAAGCCCTAACTTGAAAGGAGGCCGGATTTCCTTGCAGTGGCTTGAATACAGGCTCGTCTTTCATCTCACAACATGAAGGGATGTCTGAATCCCCTGTGGAGACCTTAGAGAAAGCCCTAGGTCCCTGCCTCATTTTGACGGAATGCCTCACATCCCGCTGACACCTCGAGAGGCACGCGGAGTTCATTGCTTCAAAAGGTGACGATGCCTGACTCCTCTTGAATACTGATAGGAATCCCAAAATCCCTGTGGCTACTGGAAAGGGTCCTTGGGTGCCCTGCCTCACCTCGAGAAGCGTCCCTTTGGCCCTGCCAAGCCTCGAAGAGATTCCTGAGGTGTCCCTCGTTACTAGACAGGAGTCCTGACGTCACTGAAGAAACTCGTGTTTTGAAGGGCCATCCCCGCCGTAAGTCGAGAACATACCCCAGGTCCCCGCCGCAACTCGAGAAAAACCATGAGACTTCCCCCTAGAGGCGAGATGAGGCCCCATTCCCCTGCAGTGCATGCAGAGCTATTCCGTGATCCCATTCAAACAAGTCAGGAGCTTCGACTTGCTTAATGGATCTCGAGACAGTCCCCAAGAACACTGTCACCAGTCTAGACGACCCTGAGGTCACCCCAGCAACGCAAAGCAGCTCCATGTGCCCCAAATCAACTCGAAATGAGGCCCGATTCCCCTGCATTGACTCCAGAGCCATTCCCCGTTCCCCATTCAACACGACCGGTGGCTCGACTTCCTTCAGGCAACTCCAGAGATGCCCCGAGAACACTGTCCCAAGTCAGGAGGAACAACAACTTCAGCACAGCAACTCGAGGAATGCTCCGTGTACCCCAAATCGTCTCGAGATGCGAGCTGATTCTCAAGACGTATGCCAACTTCCCAGAAGCACCTCAGGAGGAGGCTTCTCTCAGCAATAGGTATGTGGGAGGGACCCCGAGTTTGCTGCCTCAAGGGGAATATACAGCGAGAAGCCCTAACTTGAAAGGAGGCCGGATTTCCTTGCAGTGGCTTGAATACAGGCTCGTCTTTCATCTCACAACATGAAGGGATGTCTGAATCCCCTGTGGAGACCTTAGAGAAAGCCCTAGGTCCCTGCCTCATTTTGACGGAATGCCTCACATCCCGCTGACACCTCGAGAGGCACGCGGATTTCATTGCTTCAAAAGGTGACGATGCCTGACTCCTCTTGAATACTGATAGGAATCCCAAAATCCCTGTGGCTACTGGAAAGGGTCCTTGGGTGCCCTGCCTCACCTCGAGAAGCGTCCCTTTGGCCCTGCCAAGCCTCGAAGAGATTCCTGAGGTGTCCCTCGTTACTAGACAGGAGTCCTGACGTCACTGAAGAAACTCGTGTTTTGAAGGGCCATCCCCGCCGTAAGTCGAGAACATACCCCAGGTCCCCGCCGCAACTCGAGAAAAACCATGAGACTTCCCCCTAGAGGCGAGATGAGGCCCCATTCCCCTGCAGTGCATGCAGAGCTATTCCGTGATCCCATTCAAAAAAGTCAGGAGCTTCGACTTGCTTAATGGATCTCGAGACAGTCCCCAAGAACACTGTCACCAGTCTAGACGGACCCTGAGGTCACCCCAGCAACGCAAAGCAGCTCCATGTGCCCCAAATCAACACGAGATGAGGCCCGATTCCCCTGCATTGACTCCAGAGCCATTCCCCGTTCCCCATTCAACACGACCGGTGGCTCGACTTCCTTCAGGCAACTCCAGAGATGCCCCGAGAACACTGTCCCAAGTTTAGAGGAACACCAACTTCAGCACAGCAACTCGAGGAATGCTCCGTGTACCCCAAATCGTCTCGAGATGCGAGCTGATTCCCTGGCTTAGGCTCAAGACGTATGCCAACTTCCCAGAAACACCTCAGGAGGAGGCTTCTCTCAGCAATAGGTATGTGGGAGGGACCCCGAGTTTGCTGCCTCAAGGGGAATATACAGCGAGAAGTCCTAACTTGAAAGGAGGCCGGATTTCCTTGCAGTGGCTTGAATACAGGCTCGTCTTTCATCTCACAACATGAAGGGATGTCTGAATCCCCTGTGGAGACCTTAGAGAAAGCCCTAGGTCCCTGCCTCATTTTGACGGAATGCCTCACATCCCGCTGACACCTCGAGAGGCACGCAGAGTTCATTGCTTCAAAAGGTGACGATGCCTGACTCCTCTTGAATACTGATAGGAATCCCAAAATCCCTGTGGCTACTGGAAAGGGTCCTTGGGTGCCCTGCCTCACCTCGAGAAGCGTCCCTTTGGCCCTGCCAAGCCTCGAAGAGATTCCTGAGGTGTCCCTCGTTACTAGACAGGAGTCCTGACGTCACTGAAGAAACTCGTGTTTTGAAGGGCCATCCCCGCCGTAAGTCGAGAACATACCCCAGGTCCCCGCCGCAACTCGAGAAAAACCATGAGACTTCCCCCTAGAGGCGAGATGAGGCCCCATTCCCCTGCAGTGCATGCAGAGCTATTCCGTGATCCCATTCAAACAAGGCAGGAGCTTCGACTTGCTTAATGGATCTCGAGACAGTCCCCAAGAACACTGTCACCAGTCTAGACGGACCCTGAGGTCACCCCAGCAACGCAAAGCAGCTCCATGTGCCCCAAATCAACTCGAGATGAGGCCCGATTCCCCTGCATTGACTCCAGAGCCATTCCCCGTTCCCCATTCAACACGACCGGTGGCTCGACTTCCTTCAGGCAACTCCAGAGATGCCCCGAGAACACTGTCCCAAGTCTAGAGGAACACCAACTTCAGCACAGCAACTCGAGGAATGCTCCGTGTACCCCAAATCGTCTCGAGATGCGAGCTGATTCCCTGGCTTAGGCTCAAGACGTATGCCAACTTCCCAGAAGCACCTCAGGAGGAGGCTTCTCTCAGCAATAGGTATGTGGGAGGGACCCCGAGTTTGCTGCCTCAAGGGGAATATACAGCGAGAAGCCCTAACTTGAAAGGAGGCCGGATTTCCTTGCAGTGGCTTGAATACAGGCTCGTCTTTCATCTCACAACATGAAGGGATGTCTGAATCCCCTGTGGAGACCTTAGAGAAAGCCCTAGGTCCCTGCCTCATTTTGACGGAATGCCTCACATCCCGCTGACACCTCGAGAGGCACGCGGAGTTCGTTGCTTCAAAAGGTGACGATGCCTGACTCCTCTTGAATACTGATAGGAATCCCAAAATCCCTGTGGCTACTGGAAAGGGTCCTTGGGTGCCCTGCCTCACCTCGAGAAGCGTCCCTTTGGCCCTGCCAAGCCTCGAAGAGATTCCTGAGGTGTCCCTCGTTACTAGACAGGAGTCCTGACGTCACTGAAGAAACTCGTGTTTTGAAGGGCCATCCCCGCCGTAAGTCGAGAACATACCCCAGGTCCCCGCCGCAACTCGAGAAAAACCATGAGACTTCCCCCTAGAGGCGAGATGAGGCCCCATTCCCCTGCAGTGCATGCAGAGCTATTCCGTGATCCCATTCAAACAACTCAGGAGCTTCGACTTGCTTAATGGATCTCGAGACAGTCCCCAAGAACACTGTCACCAGTCTAGACGGACCCTGAGGTCACCCCAGCAACGCAAAGCAGCTCCATGTGCCCCAAATCAACTCGAGATGAGGCCCGATTCCCCTGCATTGACTCCAGAGCCATTCCCCGTTCCCCATTCAACACGACTGGTGGCTCGACTTCCTTCAGGCAACTCCAGAGATGCCCCGAGAACACTGTCCCAAGTCTAGAGGAACACCAACTTCAGCACAGCAACTCGAGGAATGCTCCGTGTACCCCAAATCGTCTCGAGATGCGAGCTGATTCCCTGGCTTAGGCTCAAGACGTATGCCAACTTCCCAGAAGCACCTCAGGAGGAGGCTTCTCTCAGCAATAGGTATGTGGGAGGGACCCCGAGTTTGCTGCCTCAAGGGGAATATACAGCGAGAAGCCCTAACTTGAAAGGAGGCCGGATTTCCTTGCAGTGGCTTGAATACAGGCTCGTCTTTCATCTCACAACATGAAGGGATGTCTGAATCCCCTGTGGAGACCTTAGAGAAAGCCCTAGGTCCCTGCCTCATTTTGACGGAATGCCTCACATCCCGCTGACACCTCGAGAGGCACGCGGAGTTCATTGCTTCAAAAGGTGACGATGCCTGACTCCTCTTGAATACTGATAGGAATCCCAAAATCCCTGTGGCTACTGGAAAGGGTCCTTGGGTGCCCTGCCTCACCTCGAGAAGCGTCCCTTTGGCCCTGCCAAGCCTCGAAGAGATTCCTGAGGTGTCCCTCGTTACTAGACAGGAGTCCTGACGTCACTGAAGAAACTCGTGTTTTGAAGGGCCATCCCCGCCGTAAGTCGAGAACATACCCCAGGTCCCCGCCGCAACTCGAGAAAAACCATGAGACTTCCCCCTAGAGGCGAGATGAGGCCCCATTCCCCTGCAGAGCATGCAGAGCTATTCCGTGATCCCATTCAAACAAGTCAGGAGCTTCGACTTGCTTAATGGATCTCGAGACAGTCCCCAAGAACACTGTCACCAGTCTAGACGGACCCTGAGGTCACCCCAGCAACGCAAAGCAGCTCCATGTGCCCCAAATCAACTCGAGATGAGGCCCGATTCCCCTGCATTGACTCCAGAGCCATTCCCCGTTCCCCATTCAACACGACCGGTGGCTCGACTTCCTTCAGGCAACTCCAGAGATGCCCCGAGAACACTGTCCCAAGTCTAGAGGAACACCACCTTCAGCACAGCAACTCGAGGAATGCTCCGTGTACCCCAAATCGTCTCGAGATGCGAGCTGATTCCCTGGCTTAGGCTCAAGACGTATGCCAACTTCCCAGAAGCACCTCAGGAGGAGGCTTCTCTCAGCAATAGGTATGTGGGAGGGACCCCGAGTTTGCTGCCTCAAGGGGAATATACAGCGAGAAGCCCTAACTTGAAAGGAGGCCGGATTTCCTTGCAGTGGCTTGAATACAGGCTCGTCTTTCATCTCACAACATGAAGGGATGTCTGAATCCCCTGTGGAGACCTTAGAGAAAGCCCTAGGTCCCTGCCTCATTTTGACGGAATGCCTCACATCCCGCTGACACCTCGAGAGGCACGCGGATTTCATTGCTTCAAAAGGTGACGATGCCTGACTCCTCTTGAATACTGATAGGAATCCCAAAATCCCTGTGGCTACTGGAAAGGGTCCTTGGGTGCCCTGCCTCACCTCGAGAAGCGTCCCTTTGGCCCTGCCAAGCCTCGAAGAGATTCCTGAGGTGTCCCTCGTTACTAGACAGGAGTCCTGACGTCACTGAAGAAACTCGTGTTTTGAAGGGCCATCCCCGCCGTAAGTCGAGAACATACCCCAGGTCCCCGCCGCAACTCGAGAAAAACTATGAGACTTCCCCCTAGAGGCGAGATGAGGCCCCATTCCCCTGCAGTGCATGCAGAGCTATTCCGTGATCCCATTCAAACAAGGCAGGAGCTTCGACTTGCTTAATGGATCTCGAGACAGTCCCCAAGAACACTGTCACCAGTCTAGACGGACCCTGAGGTCACCCCAGCAACGCAAAGCAGCTCCATGTGCCCCAAATCAACTCGAGATGAGGCCCGATTCCCCTGCATTGACTCCAGAGCCATTCCCCGTTCCCCATTCAACACGACCGGTGGCTCGACTTCCTTCAGGCAACTCCAGAGATGCCCCGAGAACACTGTCCCAAGTCTAGAGGAACACCAACTTCAGCACAGCAACTCGAGGAATGCTCCGTGTACCCCAAATCGTCTCGAGATGCGAGCTGATTCCCTGGCTTAGGCTCAAGACGTATGCCAACTTCCCAGAAGCACCTCAGGAGGAGGCTTCTCTCAGCAATAGGTATGTGGGAGGGACCCCGAGTTTGCTGCCTCAAGGGGAATATACAGCGAGAAGCCCTAACTTGAAAGGAGGCCGGATTTCCTTGCAGTGGCTTGAATACAGGCTCGTCTTTCATCTCACAACATGAAGGGATGTCTGAATCCCCTGTGGAGACCTTAGAGAAAGCCCTAGGTCCCTGCCTCATTTTGACGGAATGCCTCACATCCCGCTGACACCTCGAGAGGCACGCGGAGTTCATTGCTTCAAAAGGTGACGATGCCTGACTCCTCTTGAATACTGATAGGAATCCCAAAATCCCTGTGGCTACTGGAAAGGGTCCTTGGGTGCCCTGCCTCACCTCGAGAAGCGTCCCTTTGGCCCTGCCAAGCCTCGAAGAGATTCCTGAGGTGTCCCTCGTTACTAGACAGGAGTCCTGACGTCACTGAAGAAACTCGTGTTTTGAAGGGCCATCCCCGCCGTAAGTCGAGAACATACCCCAGGTCCCCGCCGCAACTCGAGAAAAACCATGAGACTTCCCCCTAGAGGCGAGATGAGGCCCCATTCCCCTGCAGTGCATGCAGAGCTATTCCGTGATCCCATTCAAACAAGGCAGGAGCTTCGACTTGCTTAATGGATCTCGAGACAGTCCCCAAGAACACTGTCACCAGTCTAGACGGACCCTGAGGTCACCCAGCAACGCAAAGCAGCTCCATGTGCCCCAAATCAACTTGAGATGAGGCCCGATTCCCCTGCATTGACTCCAGAGCCATTCCCCGTTCCCCATTCAACACGACCGGTGGCTCGACTTCCTTCAGGCAACTCCAGAGATGCCCCGAGAACACTGTCCCAAGTCTAGAGGAACACCACCTTCAGCACAGCAACTCGAGGAATGCTCCGTGTACCCCAAATCGTCTCGAGATGCGAGCTGATTCCCTGGCTTAGGCTCAAGACGTATGCCAACTTCCCAGAAGCACCTCAGGAGGAGGCTTCTCTCAGCAATAGGTATGTGGGAGGGACGCCGAGTTTGCTGCCTCAAGGGGAATATACAGCGAGAAGCCCTAACTTGAAAGGAGGCCGGATTTCCTTGCAGTGGCTTGAATACAGGCTCGTCTTTCATCTCACAACATGAAGGGATGTCTGAATCCCCTGTGGAGACCTTAGAGAAAGCCCTAGGTCCCTGCCTCATTTTGACGGAATGCCTCACATCCCGCTGACACCTCGAGAGGCACGCGGAGTTCATTGCTTCAAAAGGTGACGATGCCTGACTCCTCTTGAATACTGATAGGAATCCCAAAATCCCTGTGGCTACTGGAAAGGGTCCTTGGGTGCCCTGCCTCACCTCGAGAAGCGTCCCTTTGGCCCTGCCAAGCCTCGAAGAGATTCCTGAGGTGTCCCTCGTTACTAGACAGGAGTCCTGACGTCACTGAAGAAACTCGTGTTTTGAAGGGCCATCCCCGCCGTAAGTCGAGAACATACCCCAGGTCCCCGCCGCAACTCGAGAAAAACCATCAGACTTCCCCCTAGAGGCGAGATGAGGCCCCATTCCCCTGCAGTGCATGCAGAGCTATTCCGTGATCCCATTCAAACAAGTCAGGAGCTTCGACTTGCTTAATGGATCTCGAGACAGTCCCCAAGAACACTGTCACCAGTCTAGACGGACCCTGAGGTCACCCCAGCAACGCAAAGCAGCTCCATGTGCCCCAAATCAACTCGAGATGAGGCCCGATTCCCCTGCATTGACTCCAGAGCCATTCCCCGTTCCCCATTCAACACGACCGGTGGCTCGACTTCCTTCAGGCAACTCCAGAGATGCCCCGAGAACACTGTCCCAAGTCTAGAGGAACACCAACTTCAGCACAGCAACTCGAGGAATGCTCCGTGTACCCCAAATCGTCTCGAGATGCGAGCTGACTCCCTGGCTTAGGCTCAAGACGTATGCCAACTTCCCAGAAGCACCTCAGGAGGAGGCTTCTCTCAGCAATAGGTATGTGGGAGGGACCCCGAGTTTGCTGCCTCAAGGGGAATATACAGCGAGAAGCCCTAACTTGAAAGGAGGCCGGATTTCCTTGCAGTGGCTTGAATACAGGCTCGTCTTTCATCTCACAACATGAAGGGATGTCTGAATCCCCTGTGGAGACCTTAGAGAAAGCCCTAGGTCCCTGCCTCATTTTGACGGAATGCCTCACATCCCGCTGACACCTCGAGAGGCACGCGGAGTTCGTTGCGTCAAAAGGTGACGACGCCTGACTCCTCTTGAATACTGATAGGAATCCCAAAATCCCTGTGGCTACTGGAAAGGGTCCTTGGGTGCCCTGCCTCACCTCGAGAAGCGTCCCTTTGGCCCTGCCAAGCCTCGAAGAGATTCCTGAGGTGTCCCTCGTTACTAGACAGGAGTCCTGACGTCACTGAAGAAACTCGTGTTTTGAAGGGCCATCCCCGCCGTAAGTCGAGAACATACCCCAGGTCCCCGCCGCAACTCGAGAAAAACCATGAGACTTCCCCCTAGAGGCGAGATGAAGCCCCATTCCCCTGCAGTGCGTGCAGAGCTATTCCGTGATCCCATTCAAACAAGTCAGGAGCTTCGACTTGCTTAATGGATCTCGAGACAGTCCCCAAGAACACTGTCACCAGTCTAGACGGACCCTGAGGTCACCCCAGCAACGCAAAGCAGCTCCATGTGCCCCAAATCAACTCGAGATGAGGCCCGATTCCCCTGCATTGACTCCAGAGCCATTCCCCGTTCCCCATTCAACACGACCGGTGGCTCGACTTCCTTCAGGCAACTCCAGAGATGCCCCGAGAACACTGTCCCAAGTCTAGAGGAACACCAACTTCAGCACAGCAACTCGAGGAATGCTCCGTGTACCCCAAATCGTCTCGAGATGAGAGCTGATTCCCTGGCTTAGGCTCAAGACGTATGCCAACTTCCCAGAAGCACCTCAGGAGGAGGCTTCTCTCAGCAATAGGTATGTGGGAGGGACCCCGAGTTTGCTGCCTCAAGGGGAATATACAGCGAGAAGCCCTAACTTGAAAGGAGGTCGGATTTCCTTGCAGTGGCTTGAACACAGGCTCGTCTTTCATCTCACAACATGAAGGGATGTCTGAATCCCCTGTGGAGACCTTAGAGAAAGGCCTAGGTCCCTGCCTCATTTTGACGGAATGCTTCACATCCCGCTGACACCTCGAGAGGCACGCGGAGTTCATTGCTTCAAAAGGTGACGATGCCTGACTCCTCTTGAATACTGATAGGAATCCCAAAATCCCTGTGGCTACTGGAAAGGGTCCTTGGGTGCCCTGCCTCACCTCGAGAAGCGTCCCTTTGGCCCTGCCAAGCCTCGAAGAGATTCCTGAGGTGTCCCTCGTTACTAGACAGGAGTCCTGACGTCACTGAAGAAACTCGTGCTTTGAAGGGCCATCCCCGCCGTAAGTCCAGAACATACCCCAGGTCCCCGCCGCAACTCGAGAAAAACCATGAGACTACCCCCTAGAGGCGAGATGAGGCCCCATTCCCCTGCAGTGCATGCAGAGCTATTCCGTGATCCCATTCAAACAAGTCAGGAGCTTCGACTTGCTTAATGGATCTCGAGACAGTCCCCAAGAACACTGTCACCAGTCTAGACGGACCCTGAGGTCACCCCAGCAACGCAAAGCAGCTCCATGTGCCCCAAATCAACTCGAGATGAGGCCCGATTCCCCTGCATTGACTCCAGAGCCATTCCCCGTTCCCCATTCAACACGACCGGTGGCTCGACTTCCTTCAGGCAACTCCAGAGATGCCCCGAGAACACTGTCCCAAGTCTAGAGGAACACCAACTTCAGCACAGCAACTCGAGGAATGCTCCGTGTACCCCAAATCGTCTCGAGATGCGAGCTGATTCCCTGGCTTAGGCTCAAGACGTATGCCAACTTCCCAGAAGCACCTCAGGAGGAGGCTTCTCTCAGCAATAGGTATGTGGGAGGGACCCCGAGTTTGCTGCCTCAAGGGGAATATACAGCGAGAAGCCCTAACTTGAAAGGAGGCCGGATTTCCTTGCAGTGGCTTGAATACAGGCTCGTCTTTCATCTCACAACATGAAGGGATGTCTGAATCCCCTGTGGAGACCTTAGAGAAAGCCCTAGGTCCCTGCCTCATTTTGACGGAATGCCTCACATCCCGCTGACACCTCGAGAGGCACGCGGAGTTCGTTGCTTCAAAAGGTGACGATGCCTGACTCCTCTTGAATACTGATAGGAATCCCAAAATCCCTGTGGCTACTGGAAAGGGTCCTTGGGTGCCCTGCCTCACCTCGAGAAGCGTCCCTTTGGCCCTGCCAAGCCTCGAAGAGATTCCTGAGGTGTCCCTCGTTACTAGACAGGAGTCCTGACGTCACTGAAGAAACTCGTGTTTTGAAGGGCCATCCCCGCCGTAAGTCGAGAACATACCCCAGGTCCCCGCCGCAACTCGAGAACAACCATGAGACTTCCCCCTAGAGGCGAGATGAGGCCCCATTCCCCTGCAGTGCATGCAGAGCTATTCCGTGATCCCATTCAAACAAGTCAGGAGCTTCGACTTGCTTAATGGATCTCGAGACAGTCCCCAAGAACACTGTCACCAGTCTAGACGGACCCTGAGGTCACCCCAGCAACGCAAAGCAGCTCCATGTGCCCCAAATCAACTCGAGATGAGGCCCGATTCCCCTGCATTGACTCCAGAGCCATTCCCCGTTCCCCATTCAACACGACCGGTGGCTCGACTTCCTTCAGGCAACTCCAGAGATGCCCCGAGAACACTGTCCCAAGTCTAGAGGAACACCAACTTCAGCACAGCAACTCGAGGAATGCTCCGTCTACCCCAAATCGTCTCGAGATGCGAGCTGATTCCCTGGCTTAGGCTCAAGACGTATGCCAACTTCCCAGAAGCACCTCAGGAGGAGGCTTCTCTCAGCAATAGCTATGTGGGAGGGACCCCGAGTTTGCTGCCTCAAGGGGAATATACAGCGAGAAGCCCTAACTTGAAAGGAGGCCGGATTTCCTTGCAGTGGCTTGAATACAGGCTCGTCTTTCATCTCACAACATGAAGGGATGTCTGAATCCCCTGTGGAGACCTTAGAGAAAGCCCTAGGTCCCTGCCTCATTTTGACGGAATGCCTCACATCCCGCTGACACCTCGAGAGGCACGCGGAGTTCGTTGCGTCAAAAGGTGACGATGCCTGACTCCTCTTGAATACTGATAGGAATCCCAAAATCCCTGTGGCTACTGGAAAGGGTCCTTGGGTGCCCTGCCTCACCTCGAGAAGCGTCCCTTTGGCCCTGCCAAGCCTCGAAGAGATTCCTGAGGTGTCCCTCGTTACTAGACAGGAGTCCTGACGTCACTGAAGAAACTCGTGTTTTGAAGGGCCATCCCCGCCGTAAGTCGAGAACATACCCCAGGTCCCCGCCGCAACTCGAGAAAAACCATGAGACTTCCCCCTAGAGGCGAGATGAGGCCCCATTCCCCTGCAGTGCATGCAGAGCTATTCCGTGATCCCATTCAAACAAGGCAGGAGCTTCGACTTGCTTAATGGATCTCGAGACAGTCCCCAAGAACACTGTCACCAGTCTAGACGGACCCTGAGGTCACCCCAGCAACGCAAAGCAGCTCCATGTGCCCCAAATCAACTCGAGATGAGGCCCGATTCCCCTGCATTGACTCCAGAGCCATTCCCCGTTCCCCATTCAACACGACCGGTGGCTCGACTTCCTTCAGGCAACTCCAGAGATGCCCCGAGAACACTGTCCCAAGTCTAGAGGAACACCACCTTCAGCACAGCAACTCGAGGAATGCTCCGTGTACCCCAAATCGTCTCGAGATGCGAGCTGATTCCCTGGCTTAGGCTCAAGACGTATGCCAACTTCCCAGAAGCACCTCAGGAGGAGGCTTCTCTCAGCAATAGGTATGTGGGAGGGACCCCGAGTTTGCTGCCTCAAGGGGAATATACAGCGAGAAGCCCTAACTTGAAAGGAGGCCGGATTTCCTTGCAGTGGCTTGAATACAGGCTCGTCTTTCATCTCACAACATGAAGGGATGTCTGAATCCCCTGTGGAGACCTTAGAGAAAGCCCTAGGTCCCTGCCTCATTTTGACGGAATGCCTCACATCCCGCTGACACCTCGAGAGGCACGCGGAGTTCGTTGCGTCAAAAGGTGACGATGCCTGACTCCTCTTGAATACTGATAGGAATCCCAAAATCCCTGTGGCTACTGGAAAGGGTCCTTGGGTGCCCTGCCTCACCCCGAGAAGCGTCCCTTTGGCCCTGCCAAGCCTCGAAGAGATTCCTGAGGTGTCCCTCGTTACTAGACAGGAGTCCTGACGTCACTGAAGAAACTCGTGTTTTGAAGGGCCATCCCCGCCGTAAGTCGAGAACATACCCCAGGTCCCCGCCGCAACTCGAGAAAAACCATGAGACTTCCCCCTAGAGGCGAGATGAGGCCCCATTCCCCTGCAGTGCATGCAGAGCTATTCCGTGATCCCATTCAAACAAGGCAGGAGCTTCGACTTGCTTAATGGATCTCGAGACAGTCCCCAAGAACACTGTCACCAGTCTAGACGGACCCTGAGGTCACCCCAGCAACGCAAAGCAGCTCCATGTGCCCCAAATCAACTCGAGATGAGGCCCGATTCCCCTGCATTGACTCCAGAGCCATTCCCCGTTCCCCATTCAACACGAACGGTGGCTCGACTTACTTCACGCAACTCCAGAGATGCCCCGAGAACACTGTCCCAAGTCTAGAGGAACACCAACTTCAGCACAGCAACTCGAGGAATGCTCCGTGTACCCCAAATCGTCTCGAGATGCGAGCTGATTCCCTGGCTTAGGCTCAAGACGTATGCCAACTTCCCAGAAGCACCTCAGGAGGAGGCTTCTCTCAGCAATAGGTATGTGGGAGGGACCCCGAGTTTGCTGCCTCAAGGGGAATATACAGCGAGAAGCCCTAACTTGAAAGGAGGCCGGATTTCCTTGCAGTGGCTTGAATACAGGCTCGTCTTTCATCTCACAACATGAAGGGATGTCTGAATCCCCTGTGGAGACCTTAGAGAAAGCCCTAGGTCCCTGCCTCATTTTGACGGAATGCCTCACATCCCGCTGACACCTCGAGAGGCACGCGGAGTTCGTTGCGTCAAAAGGTGACGATGCCTGACTCCTCTTGAATACTGATAGGAATCCCAAAATCCCTGTGGCTACTGGAAAGGGTCCTTGGGTGCCCTGCCTCACCTCGAGAAGCGTCCCTTTGGCCCTGCCAAGCCTCGAAGAGATTCCTGAGGTGTCCCTCGTTACTAGACAGGAGTCCTGACGTCACTGAAGAAACTCGTGTTTTGAAGGGCCATCCCCTCCGTAAGTCGAGAACATACCCCAGGTCCCCGCCGCAACTCGAGAAAAACCATGAGACTTCCCCCTAGAGGCGAGATGAGGCCCCATTCCCCTGCAGTACGTGCAGAGCTATTCCGTGATCCCATTCAAACAAGTCAGGAGCTTCGACATGCTTAATGGATCTCGAGACAGTCCCCAAGAACACTGTCACCAGTCTAGACGGACCCTGAGGTCACCCCAGCAACGCAAAGCAGCTCCATGTGCCCCAAATCAACTCGAGATGAGGCCCGATTCCCCTGCATTGACTCCAGAGCCATTCCCCGTTCCCCATTCAACACGACCGGTGGCTCGACTTCCTTCAGGCAACTCCAGAGATGCCCCGAGAACACTGTCCCAAGTCTAGAGGAACACCAACTTCAGCACAGCAACTCGAGGAATGCTCCGTGTACCCCAAATCGTCTCGAGATGCGAGCTGATTCCCTGGCTTAGGCTCAAGACGTATGCCAACTTCCCAGAAGCACCTCAGGAGGAGGCTTCTCTCAGCAATAGGTATGTGGGAGGGACCCCGAGTTTGCTGCCTCAAGGGGAATATACAGCGAGAAGCCCTAACTTGAAAGGAGGCCGGATTTCCTTGCAGTGGCTTGAATACAGGCTCGTCTTTCATCTCACAACATGAAGGGATGTCTGAATCCCCTGTGGAGACCTTAGAGAAAGCCCTAGGTCCCTGCCTCATTTTGACGGAATGCCTCACATCCCGCTGACACCTCGAGAGGCACGCGGAGTTCGTTGCGTCAAAAGGTGACGATGCCTGACTCCTCTTGAATACTGATAGGAATCCCAAAATCCCTGTGGCTACTGGAAAGGGTCCTTGGGTGCCCTGCCTCACCTCGAGAAGCGTCCCTTTGGCCCTGCCAAGCCTCGAAGAGATTCCTGAGGTGTCCCTCGTTACTAGACAGGAGTCCTGACGTCACTGAAGAAACTCGTGTTTTGAAGGGCCATCCCCGCCGTAAGTCGAGAACATACCCCAGGTCCCCGCCGCAACTCGAGAAAAACCATGAGACTTCCCCCTAGAGGCGAGATGAGGCCCCATTCCCCTGCAGTGCATGCAGAGCTATTCCGTGATCCCATTCAAACAAGGCAGGAGCTTCGACTTGCTTAATGGATCTCGAGACAGTCCCCAAGAACACTGTCACCAGTCTAGACGGACCCTGAGGTCACCCCAGCAACGCAAAGCAGCTCCATGTGCCCCAAATCAACTCGAGATGAGGCCCGATTCCCCTGCATTGACTCCAGAGCCATTCCCCGTTCCCCATTCAACACGACCGGTGGCTCGACTTCCTTCAGGCAACTCCAGAGATGCCCCGAGAACACTGTCCCAAGTCTAGAGGAACACCACCTTCAGCACAGCAACTCGAGGAATGCTCCGTGTACCCCAAATCGTCTCGAGATGCGAGCTGATTCCCTGGCTTAGGCTCAAGACGTATGCCAACTTCCCAGAAGCACCTCAGGAGGAGGCTTCTCTCAGCAATAGGTATGTGGGAGGGACCCCGAGTTTGCTGCCTCAAGGGGAATATACAGCGAGAAGCCCTAACTTGAAAGGAGGCCGGATTTCCTTGCAGTGGCTTGAATACAGGCTCGTCTTTCATCTCACAACATGAAGGGATGTCTGAATCCCCTGTGGAGACCTTAGAGAAAGCCCTAGGTCCCTGCCTCATTTTGACGGAATGCCTCACATCCCGCTGACACCTCGAGAGGCACGCGGAGTTCGTTGCGTCAAAAGGTGACGATGCCTGACTCCTCTTGAATACTGATAGGAATCCCAAAATCCCTGTGGCTACTGGAAAGGGTCCTTGGGTGCCCTGCCTCACCCCGAGAAGCGTCCCTTTGGCCCTGCCAAGCCTCGAAGAGATTCCTGAGGTGTCCCTCGTTACTAGACAGGAGTCCTGACGTCACTGAAGAAACTCGTGTTTTGAAGGGCCATCCCCGCCGTAAGTCGAGAACATACCCCAGGTCCCCGCCGCAACTCGAGAAAAACCATGAGACTTCCCCCTAGAGGCGAGATGAGGCCCCATTCCCCTGCAGTGCATGCAGAGCTATTCCGTGATCCCATTCAAACAAGGCAGGAGCTTCGACTTGCTTAATGGATCTCGAGACAGTCCCCAAGAACACTGTCACCAGTCTAGACGGACCCTGAGGTCACCCCAGCAACGCAAAGCAGCTCCATGTGCCCCAAATCAACTCGAGATGAGGCCCGATTCCCCTGCATTGACTCCAGAGCCATTCCCCGTTCCCCATTCAACACGACCGGTGGCTCGACTTCCTTCAGGCAACTCCAGAGATGCCCCGAGAACACTGTCCCAAGTCTAGAGGAACACCAACTTCAGCACAGCAACTCGAGGAATGCTCCGTGTACCCCAAATTGTCTCGAGATGCGAGCTGATTCCCTGGCTTAGGCTCAAGACGTATGCCAACTTCCCAGAAGCACCTCAGGAGGAGGCTTCTCTCAGCAATAGGTATGTGGGAGGGACCCCGAGTTTGCTGCCTCAAGGGGAATATACAGCGAGAAGCCCTAACTTGAAAGGAGGCCGGATTTCCTTGCAGTGGCTTGAATACAGGCTCGTCTTTCATCTCACAACATGAAGGGATGTCTGAATCCCCTGTGGAGACCTTAGAGAAAGCCCTAGGTCCCTGCCTCATTTTGACGGAATGCCTCACATCCCGCTGACACCTCGAGAGGCACGCGGAGTTCGTTGCGTCAAAAGGTGACGATGCCTGACTCCTCTTGAATACTGATAGGAATCCCAAAATCCCTGTGGCTACTGGAAAGGGTCCTTGGGTGCCCTGCCTCACCTCGAGAAGCGTCCCTTTGGCCCTGCCAAGCCTCGAAGAGATTCCTGAGGTGTCCCTCGTTACTAGACAGGAGTCCTGACGTCACTGAAGAAACTCGTGTTTTGAAGGGCCATCCCCGCCGTAAGTCGAGAACATACCCCAGGTCCCCGCCGCAACTCGAGAAAAACCATGAGACTTCCCCCTAGAGGCAGGATGAGGCCCCATTCCCCTGCACTGCCTGCAGAGCTATTCCGTGATCCCATTCAAACAAGTCAGGAGCTTCGACTTGCTTAATGGATCTCGAGACAGTCCCCAAGAACACTGTCACCAGTCTAGACGGACCCTGAGGTCACCCCAGCAACGCAAAGCAGCTCCATGTGCCCCAAATCAACTCGAGATGAGGCCCGATTCCCCTGCATTGACTCCAGAGCCATTCCCCGTTCCCCATTCAACACGACCGGTGGCTCGACTTCCTTCAGGCAACTCCAGAGATGCCCCGAGAACACTGTCCCAAGTCTAGAGGAACACCACCTTCAGCACAGCAACTCGAGGAATGCTCCGTGTACCCCAAATCGTCTCGAGATGCGAGCTGATTCCCTGGCTTAGGCTCAAGACGTATGCCAACTTCCCAGAAGCACCTCAGGAGGAGGCTTCTCTCAGCAATAGGTATGTGGGAGGGACCCCGAGTTTGCTGCCTCAAGGGGAATATACAGCGAGAAGCCCTAACTTGAAAGGAGGCCGGATTTCCTTGCAGTGGCTTGAATACAGGCTCGTCTTTCATCTCACAACATGAAGGGATGTCTGAATCCCCTGTGGAGACCTTAGAGAAAGCCCTAGGTCCCTGCCTCATTTTGACGGAATGCCTCACATCCCGCTGACACCTCGAGAGGCACGCGGAGTTCGTTGCGTCAAAAGGTGACGATGCCTGACTCCTCTTGAATACTGATAGGAATCCCAAAATCCCTGTGGCTACTGGAAAGGGTCCTTGGGTGCCCTGCCTCACCTCGAGAAGCGTCCCTTTGGCCCTGCCAAGCCTCGAAGAGATTCCTGAGGTGTCCCTCGTTACTAGACAGGAGTCCTGACGTCACTGAAGAAACTCGTGTTTTGAAGGGCCATCCCCGCCGTAAGTCGAGAACATACCCCAGGTCCCCGCCGCAACTCGAGAAAAACCATGAGACTTCCCCCTAGAGGCGAGATGAGGCCCCATTCCCCTGCAGTACGTGCAGAGCTATTCCGTGATCCCATTCAAACAAGTCAGGAGCTTCGACTTGCTTAATGGATCTCGAGACAGTCCCCAAGAACACTGTCACCAGTCTAGACGGACCCTGAGGTCACCCCAGCAACGCAAAGCAGCTCCATGTGCCCCAAATCAACTCGAGATGAGGCCCGATTCCCCTGCATTGACTCCAGAGCCATTCCCCGTTCCCCATTCAACACGACCGGTGGCTCGACTTCCTTCAGGCAACTCCAGAGATGCCCCGAGAACACTGTCCCAAGTCTAGAGGAACACCAACTTCAGCACAGCAACTCGAGGAATGCTCCGTGTACCCCAAATCGTCTCGAGATGCGAGCTGATTCCCTGGCTTAGGCTCAAGACGTATGCCAACTTCCCAGAAGCACCTCAGGAGGAGGCTTCTCTCAGCAATAGGTATGTGGGAGGGACCCCGAGTTTGCTGCCTCAAGGGGAATATACAGCGAGAAGCCCTAACTTGAAAGGAGGCCGGATTTCCTTGCAGTGGCTTGAATACAGGCTCGTCTTTCATCTCACAACATGAAGGGATGTCTGAATCCCCTGTGGAGACCTTAGAGAAAGCCCTAGGTCCCTGCCTCATTTTGACGGAATGCCTCACATCCCGCTGACACCTCGAGAGGCACGCGGAGTTCGTTGCGTCAAAAGGTGACGATGCCTGACTCCTCTTGAATACTGATAGGAATCCCAAAATCCCTGTGGCTACTGGAAAGGGTCCTTGGGTGCCCTGCCTCACCCCGAGAAGCGTCCCTTTGGCCCTGCCAAGCCTCGAAGAGATTCCTGAGGTGTCCCTCGTTACTAGACAGGAGTCCTGACGTCACTGAAGAAACTCGTGTTTTGAAGGGCCATCCCCGCCGTAAGTCGAGAACATACCCCAGGTCCCCGCCGCAACTCGAGAAAAACCATGAGACTTCCCCCTAGAGGCGAGATGAGGCCCCATTCCCCTGCAGTGCATGCAGAGCTATTCCGTGATCCCATTCAAACAAGGCAGGAGCTTCGACTTGCTTAATGGATCTCGAGACAGTCCCCAAGAACACTGTCACCAGTCTAGACGGACCCTGAGGTCACCCCAGCAACGCAAAGCAGCTCCATGTGCCCCAAATCAACTCGAGATGAGGCCCGATTCCCCTGCATTGACTCCAGAGCCATTCCCCGTTCCCCATTCAACACGACCGGTGGCTCGACTTCCTTCAGGCAACTCCAGAGATGCCCCGAGAACACTGTCCCAAGTCTAGAGGAACACCAACTTCAGCACAGCAACTCGAGGAATGCTCCGTGTACCCCAAATTGTCTCGAGATGCGAGCTGATTCCCTGGCTTAGGCTCAAGACGTATGCCAACTTCCCAGAAGCACCTCAGGAGGAGGCTTCTCTCAGCAATAGGTATGTGGGAGGGACCCCGAGTTTGCTGCCTCAAGGGGAATATACAGCGAGAAGCCCTAACTTGAAAGGAGGCCGGATTTCCTTGCAGTGGCTTGAATACAGGCTCGTCTTTCATCTCACAACATGAAGGGATGTCTGAATCCCCTGTGGAGACCTTAGAGAAAGCCCTAGGTCCCTGCCTCATTTTGACGGAATGCCTCACATCCCGCTGACACCTCGAGAGGCACGCGGAGTTCGTTGCGTCAAAAGGTGACGATGCCTGACTCCTCTTGAATACTGATAGGAATCCCAAAATCCCTGTGGCTACTGGAAAGGGTCCTTGGGTGCCCTGCCTCACCTCGAGAAGCGTCCCTTTGGCCCTGCCAAGCCTCGAAGAGATTCCTGAGGTGTCCCTCGTTACTAGACAGGAGTCCTGACGTCACTGAAGAAACTCGTGTTTTGAAGGGCCATCCCCGCCGTAAGTCGAGAACATACCCCAGGTCCCCGCCGCAACTCGAGAAAAACCATGAGACTTCCCCCTAGAGGCAGGATGAGGCCCCATTCCGCTGCACTGCCTGCAGAGCTATTCCGTGATCCCATTCAAACAAGTCAGGAGCTTCGACTTGCTTAATGGATCTCGAGACAGTCCCCAAGAACACTGTCACCAGTCTAGACGGACCCTGAGGTCACCCCAGCAACGCAAAGCAGCTCCATGTGCCCCAAATCAACTCGAGATGAGGCCCGATTCCCCTGCATTGACTCCAGAGCCATTCCCCGTTCCCCATTCAACACGACCGGTGGCTCGACTTCCTTCAGGCAACTCCAGAGATGCCCCGAGAACACTGTCCCAAGTCTAGAGGAACACCACCTTCAGCACAGCAACTCGAGGAATGCTCCGTGTACCCCAAATCGTCTCGAGATGCGAGCTGATTCCCTGGCTTAGGCTCAAGACGTATGCCAACTTCCCAGAAGCACCTCAGGAGGAGGCTTCTCTCAGCAATAGGTATGTGGGAGGGACCCCGAGTTTGCTGCCTCAAGGGGAATATACAGCAAGAAGCCCTAACTTGAAAGGAGGCCGGATTTCCTTGCAGTGGCTTGAATACAGGCTCGTCTTTCATCTCACAACATGAAGGGATGTCTGAATCCCCTGTGGAGACCTTAGAGAAAGCCCTAGGTCCCTGCCTCATTTTGACGGAATGCCTCACATCCCGCTGACACCTCGAGAGGCACGCGGAGTTCGTTGCGTCAAAAGGTGACGATGCCTGACTCCTCTTGAATACTGATAGGAATCCCAAAATCCCTGTGGCTACTGGAAAGGGTCCTTGGGTGCCCTGCCTCACCTCGAGAAGCGTCCCTTTGGCCCTGCCAAGCCTCGAAGAGATTCCTGAGGTGTCCCTCGTTACTAGACAGGAGTCCTGACGTCACTGAAGAAACTCGTGTTTTGAAGGGCCATCCCCGCCGTAAGTCGAGAACATACCCCAGGTCCCCGCCGCAACTCGAGAAAAACCATGAGACTTCCCCCTAGAGGCGAGATGAGGCCCCATTCCCCTGCAGTACGTGCAGAGCTATTCCGTGATCCCATTCAAACAAGTCAGGAGCTTCGACTTGCTTAATGGATCTCGAGACAGTCCCCAAGAACACTGTCACCAGTCTAGACGGACCCTGAGGTCACCCCAGCAACGCAAAGCAGCTCCATGTGCCCCAAATCAACTCGAGATGAGGCCCGATTCCCCTGCATTGACTCCAGAGCCATTCCCCGTTCCCCATTCAACACGACCGGTGGCTCGACTTCCTTCAGGCAACTCCAGAGATGCCCCGAGAACACTGTCCCAAGTCTAGAGGAACACCAACTTCAGCACAGCAACTCGAGGAATGCTCCGTGTACCCCAAATCGTCTCGAGATGCGAGCTGATTCCCTGGCTTAGGCTCAAGACGTATGCCAACTTCCCAGAAGCACCTCAGGAGGAGGCTTCTCTCAGCAATAGGTATGTGGGAGGGACCCCGAGTTTGCTGCCTCAAGGGGAATATACAGCGAGAAGCCCTAACTTGAAAGGAGGCCGGATTTCCTTGCAGTGGCTTGAATACAGGCTCGTCTTTCATCTCACAACATGAAGGGATGTCTGAATCCCCTGTGGAGACCTTAGAGAAAGCCCTAGGTCCCTGCCTCATTTTGACGGAATGCCTCACATCCCGCTGACACCTCGAGAGAAACGCGGAGTTCGTTGCTTCAAAAGGTGACGATGCCTGACTCCTCTTGAATACTGATAGGAATCCCAAAATCCCTGTGGCTACTGGAAAGGGTCCTTGGGTGCCCTGCCTCACCTCGAGAAGCGTCCCTTTGGCCCTGCCAAGCCTCGAAGAGATTCCTGAGGTGTCCCTCGTTACTAGACAGGAGTCCTGACGTCACTGAAGAAACTCGTGTTTTGAAGGGCCATCCCCGCCGTAAGTCGAGAACATACCCCAGGTCCCCGCCGCAACTCGAGAAAAACCATGAGACTTCCCCCTAGAGGCGAGATGAGGCCCCATTCCCCTGCAGTGCATGCAGAGCTATTCCGTGATCCCATTCAAACAAGTCAGGAGCTTCGACTTGCTTAATGGATCTCGAGACAGTCCCCAAGAACACTGTCACCAGTCTAGACGGACCCTGAGGTCACCCCAGCAACGCAAAGCAGCTCCATGTGCCCCAAATCAACTCGAGATGAGGCCCGATTCCCCTGCATTGACTCCAGAGCCATTCCCCGTTCCCCATTCAACACGACCGGTGGCTCGACTTCCTTCAGGCAACTCCAGAGATGCCCCGAGAACACTGTCCCAAGTCTAGAGGAACACCAACTTCAGCACAGCAACTCGAGGAATGCTCCGTCTACCCCAAATCGTCTCGAGATGCGAGCTGATTCCCTGGCTTAGGCTCAAGACGTATGCCAACTTCCCAGAAGCACCTCAGGAGGAGGCTTCTCTCAGCAATAGGTATGTGGGAGGGACCCCGAGTTTGCTGCCTCAAGGGGAATATACAGCGAGAAGCCCTAACTTGAAAGGAGGCCGGATTTCCTTGCAGTGGCTTGAATACAGGCTCGTCTTTCATCTCACAACATGAAGGGATGTCTGAATCCCCTGTGGAGACCTTAGAGAAAGCCCTAGGTCCCTGCCTCATTTTGACGGAATGCCTCACATCCCGCTGACACCTCGAGAGGCACGCGGAGTTCGTTGCGTCAAAAGGTGACGATGCCTGACTCCTCTTGAATACTGATAGGAATCCCAAAATCCCTGTGGCTACTGGAAAGGGTCCTTGGGTGCCCTGCCTCACCCCGAGAAGCGTCCCTTTGGCCCTGCCAAGCCTCGAAGAGATTCCTGAGGTGTCCCTCGTTACTAGACAGGAGTCCTGACGTCACTGAAGAAACTCGTGTTTTGAAGGGCCATCCCCGCCGTAAGTCGAGAACATACCCCAGGTCCCCGCCGCAACTCGAGAAAAACCATGAGACTTCCCCCTAGAGGCGAGATGAGGCCCCATTCCCCTGCAGTGCATGCAGAGCTATTCCGTGATCCCATTCAAACAAGGCAGGAGCTTCGACTTGCTTAATGGATCTCGAGACAGTCCCCAAGAACACTGTCACCAGTCTAGACGGACCCTGAGGTCACCCCAGCAACGCAAAGCAGCTCCATGTGCCCCAAATCAACTCGAGATGAGGCCCGATTCCCCTGCATTGACTCCAGAGCCATTCCCCGTTCCCCATTCAACACGACCGGTGGCTCGACTTCCTTCAGGCAACTCCAGAGATGCCCCGAGAACACTGTCCCAAGTCTTGAGGAACACCAACTTCAGCACAGCAACTCGAGGAATGCTCCGTGTACCCCAAATCGTCTCGAGATGCGAGCTGATTCCCTGGCTTAGGCTCAAGACGTATGCCAACTTCCCAGAAGCACCTCAGGAGGAGGCTTCTCTCAGCAATAGGTATGTGGGAGGGACCCCGAGTTTGCTGCCTCAAGGGGAATATACAGCGAGAAGCCCTAACTTGAAAGGAGGCCGGATTTCCTTGCAGTGGCTTGAATACAGGCTCGTCTTTCATCTCACAACATGAAGGGATGTCTGAATCCCCTGTGGAGACCTTAGAGAAAGCCCTAGGTCCCTGCCTCATTTTGACGGAATGCCTCACATCCCGCTGACACCTCGAGAGGCACGCGGAGTTCGTTGCGTCAAAAGGTGACGATGCCTGACTCCTCTTGAATACTGATAGGAATCCCAAAATCCCTGTGGCTACTGGAAAGGGTCCTTGGGTGCCCTGCCTCACCTCGAGAAGCGTCCCTTTGGCCCTGCCAAGCCTCGAAGAGATTCCTGAGGTGTCCCTCGTTACTAGACAGGAGTCCTGACGTCACTGAAGAAACTCGTGTTTTGAAGGGCCATCCCCGCCGTAAGTCGAGAACATACCCCAGGTCCCCGCCGCAACTCGAGAAAAACCATGAGACTTCCCCCTAGAGGCGAGATGAGGCCCCATTCCCCTGCAGTACGTGCAGAGCTATTCCGTGATCCCATTCAAACAAGTCAGGAGCTTCGACTTGCTTAATGGATCTCGAGACAGTCCCCAAGAACACTGTCACCAGTCTAGACGGACCCTGAGGTCACCCCAGCAACGCAAAGCAGCTCCATGTGCCCCAAATCAACTCGAGATGAGGCCCGATTCCCCTGCATTGACTCCAGAGCCATTCCCCGTTCCCCATTCAACACGACCGGTGGCTCGACTTCCTTCAGGCAACTCCAGAGATGCCCCGAGAACACTGTCCCAAGTCTAGAGGAACACCAACTTCAGCACAGCAACTCGAGGAATGCTCCGTGTACCCCAAATCGTCTCGAGATGCGAGCTGATTCCCTGGCTTAGGCTCAAGACGTATGCCAACTTCCCAGAAGCACCTCAGGAGGAGGCTTCTCTCAGCAATAGGTATGTGGGAGGGACCCCGAGTTTGCTGCCTCAAGGGGAATATACAGCGAGAAGCCCTAACTTGAAAGGAGGCCGGATTTCCTTGCAGTGGCTTGAATACAGGCTCGTCTTTCATCTCACAACATGAAGGGATGTCTGAATCCCCTGTGGAGACCTTAGAGAAAGCCCTAGGTCCCTGCCTCATTTTGACGGAATGCCTCACATCCCGCTGACACCTCGAGAGGCACGCGGAGTTCGTTGCGTCAAAAGGTGACGATGCCTGACTCCTCTTGAATACTGATAGGAATCCCAAAATCCCTGTGGCTACTGGAAAGGGTCCTTGGGTGCCCTGCCTCACCCCGAGAAGCGTCCCTTTGGCCCTGCCAAGCCTCGAAGAGATTCCTGAGGTGTCCCTCGTTACTAGACAGGAGTCCTGACGTCACTGAAGAAACTCGTGTTTTGAAGGGCCATCCCCGCCGTAAGTCGAGAACATACCCCAGGTCCCCGCCGCAACTCGAGAAAAACCATGAGACTTCCCCCTAGAGGCGAGATGAGGCCCCATTCCCCTGCAGTGCATGCAGAGCTATTCCGTGATCCCATTCAAACAAGGCAGGAGCTTCGACTTGCTTAATGGATCTCGAGACAGTCCCCAAGAACACTGTCACCAGTCTAGACGGACCCTGAGGTCACCCCAGCAACGCAAAGCAGCTCCATGTGCCCCAAATCAACTCGAGATGAGGCCCGATTCCCCTGCATTGACTCCAGAGCCATTCCCCGTTCCCCATTCAACACGACCGGTGGCTCGACTTCCTTCAGGCAACTCCAGAGATGCCCCGAGAACACTGTCCCAAGTCTAGAGGAACACCAACTTCAGCACAGCAACTCGAGGAATGCTCCGTGTACCCCAAATTGTCTCGAGATGCGAGCTGATTCCCTGGCTTAGGCTCAAGACGTATGCCAACTTCCCAGAAGCACCTCAGGAGGAGGCTTCTCTCAGCAATAGGTATGTGGGAGGGACCCCGAGTTTGCTGCCTCAAGGGGAATATACAGCGAGAAGCCCTAACTTGAAAGGAGGCCGGATTTCCTTGCAGTGGCTTGAATACAGGCTCGTCTTTCATCTCACAACATGAAGGGATGTCTGAATCCCCTGTGGAGACCTTAGAGAAAGCCCTAGGTCCCTGCCTCATTTTGACGGAATGCCTCACATCCCGCTGACACCTCGAGAGGCACGCGGAGTTCGTTGCGTCAAAAGGTGACGATGCCTGACTCCTCTTGAATACTGATAGGAATCCCAAAATCCCTGTGGCTACTGGAAAGGGTCCTTGGGTGCCCTGCCTCACCTCGAGAAGCGTCCCTTTGGCCCTGCCAAGCCTCGAAGAGATTCCTGAGGTGTCCCTCGTTACTAGACAGGAGTCCTGACGTCACTGAAGAAACTCGTGTTTTGAAGGGCCATCCCCGCCGTAAGTCGAGAACATACCCCAGGTCCCCGCCGCAACTCGAGAAAAACCATGAGACTTCCCCCTAGAGGCAGGATGAGGCCCCATTCCCCTGCACTGCCTGCAGAGCTATTCCGTGATCCCATTCAAACAAGGCAGGAGCTTCGACTTGCTTAATGGATCTCGAGACAGTCCCCAAGAACACTGTCACCAGTCTAGACGGACCCTGAGGTCACCCCAGCAACGCAAAGCAGCTCCATGTGCCCCAAATCAACTCGAGATGAGGCCCGATTCCCCTGCATTGACTCCAGAGCCATTCCCCGTTCCCCATTCAACACGACCGGTGGCTCGACTTCCTTCAGGCAACTCCAGAGATGCCCCGAGAACACTGTCCCAAGTCTAGAGGAACACCACCTTCAGCACAGCAACTCGAGGAATGCTCCGTGTACCCCAAATCGTCTCGAGATGCGAGCTGATTCCCTGGCTTAGGCTCAAGACGTATGCCAACTTCCCAGAAGCACCTCAGGAGGAGGCTTCTCTCAGCAATAGGTATGTGGGAGGGACCCCGAGTTTGCTGCCTCAAGGGGAATATACAGCAAGAAGCCCTAACTTGAAAGGAGGCCGGATTTCCTTGCAGTGGCTTGAATACAGGCTCGTCTTTCATCTCACAACATGAAGGGATGTCTGAATCCCCTGTGGAGACCTTAGAGAAAGCCCTAGGTCCCTGCCTCATTTTGACGGAATGCCTCACATCCCGCTGACACCTCGAGAGGCACGCGGAGTTCGTTGCGTCAAAAGGTGACGATGCCTGACTCCTCTTGAATACTGATAGGAATCCCAAAATCCCTGTGGCTACTGGAAAGGGTCCTTGGGTGCCCTGCCTCACCTCGAGAAGCGTCCCTTTGGCCCTGCCAAGCCTCGAAGAGATTCCTGAGGTGTCCCTCGTTACTAGACAGGAGTCCTGACGTCACTGAAGAAACTCGTGTTTTGAAGGGCCATCCCCGCCGTAAGTCGAGAACATACCCCAGGTCCCCGCCGCAACTCGAGAAAAACCATGAGACTTCCCCCTAGAGGCGAGATGAGGCCCCATTCCCCTGCAGTACGTGCAGAGCTATTCCGTGATCCCATTCAAACAAGTCAGGAGCTTCGACTTGCTTAATGGATCTCGAGACAGTCCCCAAGAACACTGTCACCAGTCTAGACGGACCCTGAGGTCACCCCAGCAACGCAAAGCAGCTCCATGTGCCCCAAATCAACTCGAGATGAGGCCCGATTCCCCTGCATTGACTCCAGAGCCATTCCCCGTTCCCCATTCAACACGACCGGTGGCTCGACTTCCTTCAGGCAACTCCAGAGATGCCCCGAGAACACTGTCCCAAGTCTAGAGGAACACCAACTTCAGCACAGCAACTCGAGGAATGCTCCGTGTACCCCAAATCGTCTCGAGATGCGAGCTGATTCCCTGGCTTAGGCTCAAGACGTATGCCAACTTCCCAGAAGCACCTCAGGAGGAGGCTTCTCTCAGCAATAGGTATGTGGGAGGGACCCCGAGTTTGCTGCCTCAAGGGGAATATACAGCGAGAAGCCCTAACTTGAAAGGAGGCCGGATTTCCTTGCAGTGGCTTGAATACAGGCTCGTCTTTCATCTCACAACATGAAGGGATGTCTGAATCCCCTGTGGAGACCTTAGAGAAAGCCCTAGGTCCCTGCCTCATTTTGACGGAATGCCTCACATCCCGCTGACACCTCGAGAGAAACGCGGAGTTCGTTGCTTCAAAAGGTGACGATGCCTGACTCCTCTTGAATACTGATAGGAATCCCAAAATCCCTGTGGCTACTGGAAAGGGTCCTTGGGTGCCCTGCCTCACCTCGAGAAGCGTCCCTTTGGCCCTGCCAAGCCTCGAAGAGATTCCTGAGGTGTCCCTCGTTACTAGACAGGAGTCCTGACGTCACTGAAGAAACTCGTGTTTTGAAGGGCCATCCCCGCCGTAAGTCGAGAACATACCCCAGGTCCCCGCCGCAACTCGAGAAAAACCATGAGACTTCCCCCTAGAGGCGAGATGAGGCCCCATTCCCCTGCAGTGCATGCAGAGCTATTCCGTGATCCCATTCAAACAAGTCAGGAGCTTCGACTTGCTTAATGGATCTCGAGACAGTCCCCAAGAACACTGTCACCAGTCTAGACGGACCCTGAGGTCACCCCAGCAACGCAAAGCAGCTCCATGTGCCCCAAATCAACTCGAGATGAGGCCCGATTCCCCTGCATTGACTCCAGAGCCATTCCCCGTTCCCCATTCAACACGACCGGTGGCTCGACTTCCTTCAGGCAACTCCAGAGATGCCCCGAGAACACTGTCCCAAGTCTAGAGGAACACCAACTTCAGCACAGCAACTCGAGGAATGCTCCGTCTACCCCAAATCGTCTCGAGATGCGAGCTGATTCCCTGGCTTAGGCTCAAGACGTATGCCAACTTCCCAGAAGCACCTCAGGAGGAGGCTTCTCTCAGCAATAGGTATGTGGGAGGGACCCCGAGTTTGCTGCCTCAAGGGGAATATACAGCGAGAAGCCCTAACTTGAAAGGAGGCCGGATTTCCTTGCAGTGGCTTGAATACAGGCTCGTCTTTCATCTCACAACATGAAGGGATGTCTGAATCCCCTGTGGAGACCTTAGAGAAAGCCCTAGGTCCCTGCCTCATTTTGACGGAATGCCTCACATCCCGCTGACACCTCGAGAGGCACGCGGAGTTCGTTGCGTCAAAAGGTGACGATGCCTGACTCCTCTTGAATACTGATAGGAATCCCAAAATCCCTGTGGCTACTGGAAAGGGTCCTTGGGTGCCCTGCCTCACCCCGAGAAGCGTCCCTTTGGCCCTGCCAAGCCTCGAAGAGATTCCTGAGGTGTCCCTCGTTACTAGACAGGAGTCCTGACGTCACTGAAGAAACTCGTGTTTTGAAGGGCCATCCCCGCCGTAAGTCGAGAACATACCCCAGGTCCCCGCCGCAACTCGAGAAAAACCATGAGACTTCCCCCTAGAGGCGAGATGAGGCCCCATTCCCCTGCAGTGCATGCAGAGCTATTCCGTGATCCCATTCAAACAAGGCAGGAGCTTCGACTTGCTTAATGGATCTCGAGACAGTCCCCAAGAACACTGTCACCAGTCTAGACGGACCCTGAGGTCACCCCAGCAACGCAAAGCAGCTCCATGTGCCCCAAATCAACTCGAGATGAGGCCCGATTCCCCTGCATTGACTCCAGAGCCATTCCCCGTTCCCCATTCAACACGACCGGTGGCTCGACTTCCTTCAGGCAACTCCAGAGATGCCCCGAGAACACTGTCCCAAGTCTTGAGGAACACCAACTTCAGCACAGCAACTCGAGGAATGCTCCGTGTACCCCAAATCGTCTCGAGATGCGAGCTGATTCCCTGGCTTAGGCTCAAGACGTATGCCAACTTCCCAGAAGCACCTCAGGAGGAGGCTTCTCTCAGCAATAGGTATGTGGGAGGGACCCCGAGTTTGCTGCCTCAAGGGGAATATACAGCGAGAAGCCCTAACTTGAAAGGAGGCCGGATTTCCTTGCAGTGGCTTGAATACAGGCTCGTCTTTCATCTCACAACATGAAGGGATGTCTGAATCCCCTGTGGAGACCTTAGAGAAAGCCCTAGGTCCCTGCCTCATTTTGACGGAATGCCTCACATCCCGCTGACACCTCGAGAGGCACGCGGAGTTCGTTGCGTCAAAAGGTGACGATGCCTGACTCCTCTTGAATACTGATAGGAATCCCAAAATCCCTGTGGCTACTGGAAAGGGTCCTTGGGTGCCCTGCCTCACCTCGAGAAGCGTCCCTTTGGCCCTGCCAAGCCTCGAAGAGATTCCTGAGGTGTCCCTCGTTACTAGACAGGAGTCCTGACGTCACTGAAGAAACTCGTGTTTTGAAGGGCCATCCCCGCCGTAAGTCGAGAACATACCCCAGGTCCCCGCCGCAACTCGAGAAAAACCATGAGACTTCCCCCTAGAGGCGAGATGAGGCCCCATTCCCCTGCACTGCCTGCAGAGCTATTCCGTGATCCCATTCAAACAAGTCAGGAGCTTCGACTTGCTTAATGGATCTCGAGACAGTCCCCAAGAACACTGTCACCAGTCTAGACGGACCCTGAGGTCACCCCAGCAACGCAAAGCAGCTCCATGTGCCCCAAATCAACTCGAGATGAGGCCCGATTCCCCTGCATTGACTCCAGAGCCATTCCCCGTTCCCCATTCAACACGACCGGTGGCTCGACTTCCTTCAGGCAACTCCAGAGATGCCCCGAGAACACTGTCCCAAGTCTAGAGGAACACCACCTTCAGCACAGCAACTCGAGGAATGCTCCGTGTACCCCAAATCGTCTCGAGATGCGAGCTGATTCCCTGGCTTAGGCTCAAGACGTATGCCAACTTCCCAGAAGCACCTCAGGAGGAGGCTTCTCTCAGCAATAGGTATGTGGGAGGGACCCCGAGTTTGCTGCCTCAAGGGGAATATACAGCGAGAAGCCCTAACTTGAAAGGAGGCCGGATTTCCTTGCAGTGGCTTGAATACAGGCTCGTCTTTCATCTCACAACATGAAGGGATGTCTGAATCCCCTGTGGAGACCTTAGAGAAAGCCCTAGGTCCCTGCCTCATTTTGACGGAATGCCTCACATCCCGCTGACACCTCGAGAGGCACGCGGAGTTCATTGCTTCAAAAGGTGACGATGCCTGACTCCTCTTGAATACTGATAGGAATCCCAAAATACCTGTGGCTACTGGAAAGGGTCCTTGGGTGCCCTGCCTCACCTCGAGAAGCGTCCCTTTGGCCCTGCCAAGCCTCGAAGAGATTCCTGAGGTGTCCCTCGTTACTAGACAGGAGTCCTGACGTCACTGAAGAAACTCGTGTTTTGAAGGGCCATCCCCGCCGTAAGTCGAGAACATACCCCAGGTCCCCGCCGCAACTCGAGAAAAACCATGAGACTTCCCCCTAGAGGCGAGATGAGGCCCCATTCCCCTGCAGTGCATGCAGAGCTATTCCGTGATCCCATTCAAACAAGGCAGGAGCTTCGACTTGCTTAATGGATCTCGAGACAGTCCCCAAGAACACTGTCACCAGTCTAGACGGACCCTGAGGTCACCCCAGCAACGCAAAGCAGCTCCATGTGCCCCAAATCAACTCGAGATGAGGCCCGATTCCCCTGCATTGACTCCAGAGCCATTCCCCGTTCCCCATTCAACACGACCGGTGGCTCGACTTCCTTCAGGCAACTCCAGAGATGCCCCGAGAACACTGTCCCAAGTCTAGAGGAACACCAACTTCAGCACAGCAACTCGAGGAATGCTCCGTCTACACCAAATCGTCTCGAGATGCGAGCTGATTCCCTGGCTTAGGCTCAAGACGTATGCCAACTTCCCAGAAGCACCTCAGGAGGAGGCTTCTCTCAGCAATAGGTATGTGGGAGGGACCCCGAGTTTGCTGCCTCAAGGGGAATATACAGCGAGAAGCCCTAACTTGAAAGGAGGCCGGATTTCCTTGCAGTGGCTTGAATACAGGCTCGTCTTTCATCTCACAACATGAAGGGATGTCTGAATCCCCTGTGGAGACCTTAGAGAAAGCCCTAGGTCCCTGCCTCATTTTGACGGAATGCCTCACATCCCGCTGACACCTCGAGAGGCACGCGGAGTTCGTTGCGTCAAAAGGTGACGATGCCTGACTCCTCTTGAATACTGATAGGAATCCCAAAATCCCTGTGGCTACTGGAAAGTGTCCTTGGGTGCCCTGCCTCACCTCGAGAAGCGTCCCTTTGGCCCTGCCAAGCCTCGAAGAGATTCCTGAGGTGTCCCTCGTTACTAGACAGGAGTCCTGACGTCACTGAAGAAACTCGTGTTTTGAAGGGCCATCCCCGCCGTAAGTCGAGAACATACCCCAGGTCCCCGCCGCAACTCGAGAAAAACCATGAGACTTCCCCCTAGAGGCGAGATGAGGCCCCATTCCCCTGCAGTGCGTGCAGAGCTATTCCGTGATCCCATTCAAACAAGTCAGGAGCTTCGACTTGCTTAATGGATCTCGAGACAGTCCCCAAGAACACTGTCACCAGTCTAGACGGACCCTGAGGTCACCCCAGCAACGCAAAGCAGCTCCATGTGCCCCAAATCAACTCGAGATGAGGCTCGATTCCCCTGCATTGACTCCAGAGCCATTCCCAGTTCCCCATTCAACACGACCGGTGGCTCGACTTCCTTCATGCAACTCCAGAGATGCCCCGAGAACACTGTCCCAAGTCTAGAGGAACACCAACTTCAGCACAGCAACTCGAGGAATGCTCCGTGTACCCCAAATCGTCTCGAGATGCGAGCTGATTCCCTGGCTTAGGCTCAAGACGTATGCCAACTTCCCAGAAGCACCTCAGGAGGAGGCTTCTCTCAGCAATAGGTATGTGGGAGGGACCCCGAGTTTGCTGCCTCAAGGGGAATATACAGCGAGAAGCCCTAACTTGAAAGGAGGCCGGATTTCCTTGCAGTGGCTTGAATACAGGCTCGTCTTTCATCTCACAACATGAAGGGATGTCTGAATCCCCTGTGGAGACCTTAGAGAAAGCCCTAGGTCCCTGCCTCATTTTGACGGAATGCCTCACATCCCGCTGACACCTCGAGAGGCACGCGGAGTTCGTTGCGTCAAAAGGTGACGATGCCTGACTCCTCTTGAATACTGATAGGAATCCCAAAATCCCTGTGGCTACTGGAAAGGGTCCTTGGGTGCCCTGCCTCACCTCGAGAAGCGTCCCTTTGGCCCTGCCAAGCCTCGAAGAGATTCCTGAGGTGTCCCTCGTTACTAGACAGGAGTCCTGACGTCACTGAAGAAACTCGTGTTTTGAAGGGCCATCCCCGCCGTAAGTCGAGAACATACCCCAGGTCCCCGCCGCAACTCGAGAAAAACCATGAGACTTCCCCCTAGAGGCGAGATGAGGCCCCATTCCCCTGCAGTGCATGCAGAGCTATTCCGTGATCCCATTCAAACAAGGCAGGAGCTTCGACTTGCTTAATGGATCTCGAGACAGTCCCCAAGAACACTGTCACCAGTCTAGACGGACCCTGAGGTCACCCCAGCAACGCAAAGCAGCTCCATGTGCCCCAAATCAACTCGAGATGAGGCCCGATTCCCCTGCATTGACTCCAGAGCCATTCCCCGTTCCCCATTCAACACGACCGGTGGCTCGACTTCCTTCAGGCAACTCCAGAGATGCCCCGAGAACACTGTCCCAAGTCTAGAGGAACACCACCTTCAGCACAGCAACTCGAGGAATGCTCCGTGTACCCCAAATCGTCTCGAGATGCGAGCTGATTCCCTGGCTTAGGCTCAAGACGTATGCCAACTTCCCAGAAGCACCTCAGGAGGAGGCTTCTCTCAGCAATAGGTATGTGGGAGGGACCCCGAGTTTGCTGCCTCAAGGGGAATATACAGCGAGAAGCCCTAACTTGAAAGGAGGCCGGATTTCCTTGCAGTGGCTTGAATACAGGCTCGTCTTTCATCTCACAACATGAAGGGATGTCTGAATCCCCTGTGGAGACCTTAGAGAAAGCCCTAGGTCCCTGCCTCATTTTGACGGAATGCCTCACATCCCGCTGACACCTCGAGAGGCACGCGGAGTTCGTTGCGTCAAAAGGTGACGATGCCTGACTCCTCTTGAATACTGATAGGAATCCCAAAATCCCTGTGGCTACTGGAAAGGGTCCTTGAGTGCCCTGCCTCACCCCGAGAAGCGTCCCTTTGGCCCTGCCAAGCCTCGAAGAGATTCCTGAGGTGTCCCTCGTTACTAGACAGGAGTCCTGACGTCACTGAAGAAACTCGTGTTTTGAAGGGCCATCCCCGCCGTAAGTCGAGAACATACCCCAGGTCCCCGCCGCAACTCGAGAAAAACCATGAGACTTTCCCCTAGAGGCGAGATGAGGCCCCATTCCCCTGCAGTGCATGCAGAGCTATTCCGTGATCCCATTCAAACAAGGCAGGAGCTTCGACTTGCTTAATGGATCTCGAGACAGTCCCCAAGAACACTGTCACCAGTCTAGACGGACCCTGAGGTCACCCCAGCAACGCAAAGCAGCTCCATGTGCCCCAAATCAACTCGAGATGAGGCCCGATTCCCCTGCATTGACTCCAGAGCAATTCCCCGTTCCCCATTCAACACGACCGGTGGCTCGACTTCCTTCAGGCAACTCCAGAGATGCCCCGAGAACACTGTCCCAAGTCTAGAGGAACACCACCTTCAGCACAGCAACTCGAGGAATGCTCCGTGTACCCCAAATCGTCTCGAGATGCGAGCTGATTCCCTGGCTTAGGCTCAAGACGTATGCCAACTTCCCAGAAGCACCTCAGGAGGAGGCTTCTCTCAGCAATAGGTATGTGGGAGGGACCCCGAGTTTGCTGCCTCAAGGGGAATATACAGCGAGAAGCCCTAACTTGAAAGGAGGCCGGATTTCCTTGCAGTGGCTTGAATACAGGCTCGTCTTTCATCTCACAACATGAAGGGATGTCTGAATCCCCTGTGGAGACCTTAGAGAAAGCCCTAGGTCCCTGCCTCATTTTGACGGAATGCCTCACATCCCGCTGACACCTCGAGAGGCACGCGGAGTTCGTTGCGTCAAAAGGTGACGATGCCTGACTCCTCTTGAATACTGATAGGAATCCCAAAATCCCTGTGGCTACTGGAAAGGGTCCTTGGGTGCCCTGCCTCACCCCGAGAAGCGTCCCTTTGGCCCTGCCAAGCCTCGAAGAGATTCCTGAGGTGTCCCTCGTTACTAGACAGGAGTCCTGACGTCACTGAAGAAACTCGTGTTTTGAAGGGCCATCCCCGCCGTAAGTCGAGAACATACCCCAGGTCCCCGCCGCAACTCGAGAAAAACCATGAGACTTCCCCCTAGAGGCGAGATGAGGCCCCATTCCCCTGCAGTGCATGCAGAGCTATTCCGTGATCCCATTCAAACAAGGCAGGAGCTTCGACTTGCTTAATGGATCTCGAGACAGTCCCCAAGAACACTGTCACCAGTCTAGACGGACCCTGAGGTCACCCCAGCAACGCAAAGCAGCTCCATGTGCCCCAAATCAACTCGAGATGAGGCCCGATTCCCCTGCATTGACTCCAGAGCCATTCCCCGTTCCACATTCAACACGACCGGTGGCTCGACTTCCTTCAGGCAACTCCAGAGATGCCCCGAGAACACTGTCCCAAGTCTAGAGGAACACCAACTTCAGCACAGCAACTCGAGGAATGCTCCGTGTACCCCAAATCGTCTCGAGATGCGAGCTGATTCCCTGGCTTAGGCTCAAGACGTATGCCAACTTCCCAGAAGCACCTCAGGAGGAGGCTTCTCTCAGCAATAGGTATGTGGGAGGGACCCCGAGTTTGCTGCCTCAAGGGGAATATACAGCGAGAAGCCCTAACTTGAAAGGAGGCCGGATTTCCTTGCAGTGGCTTGAATACAGGCTCGTCTTTCATCTCACAACATGAAGGGATGTCTGAATCCCCTGTGGAGACCTTAGAGAAAGCCCTAGGTCCCTGCCTCATTTTGACGGAATGCCTCACATCCCGCTGACACCTCGAGAGGCACGCGGAGTTCGTTGCGTCAAAAGGTGACGATGCCTGACTCCTCTTGAATACTGATAGGAATCCCAAAATCCCTGTGGCTACTGGAAAGGGTCCTTGGGTGCCCTGCCTCACCTCGAGAAGCGTCCCTTTGGCCCTGCCAAGCCTCGAAGAGATTCCTGAGGTGTCCCTCGTTACTAGACAGGAGTCCTGACGTCACTGAAGAAACTCGTGTTTTGAAGGGCCATCCCCGCCGTAAGTCGAGAACATACCCCAGGTCCCCGCCGCAACTCGAGAAAAACCATGAGACTTCCCCCTAGAGGCAGGATGAGGCCCCATTCCCCTGCACTGCCTGCAGAGCTATTCCGTGATCCCATTCAAACAAGTCAGGAGCTTCGACTTGCTTAATGGATCTCGAGACAGTCCCCAAGAACACTGTCACCAGTCTAGACGGACCCTGAGGTCACCCCAGCAACGCAAAGCAGCTCCATGTGCCCCAAATCAACTCGAGATGAGGCCCGATTCCCCTGCATTGACTCCAGAGCCATTCCCCGTTCCCCATTCAACACGACCGGTGGCTCGACTTCCTTCAGGCAACTCCAGAGATGCCCCGAGAACACTGTCCCAAGTCTAGAGGAACACCAACTTCAGCACAGCAACTCGAGGAATGCTCCGTCTACACCAAATCGTCTCGAGATGCGAGCTGATTCCCTGGCTTAGGCTCAAGACGTATGCCAACTTCCCAGAAGCACCTCAGGAGGAGGCTTCTCTCAGCAATAGGTATGTGGGAGGGACCCCGAGTTTGCTGCCTCAAGGGGAATATACAGCGAGAAGCCCTAACTTGAAAGGAGGCCGGATTTCCTTGCAGTGGCTTGAATACAGGCTCGTCTTTCATCTCACAACATGAAGGGATGTCTGAATCCCCTGTGGAGACCTTAGAGAAAGCCCTAGGTCCCTGCCTCATTTTGACGGAATGCCTCACATCCCGCTGACACCTCGAGAGGCACGCGGAGTTCGTTGCGTCAAAAGGTGACGATGCCTGACTCCTCTTGAATACTGATAGGAATCCCAAAATCCCTGTGGCTACTGGAAAGTGTCCTTGGGTGCCCTGCCTCACCTCGAGAAGCGTCCCTTTGGCCCTGCCAAGCCTCGAAGAGATTCCTGAGGTGTCCCTCGTTACTAGACAGGAGTCCTGACGTCACTGAAGAAACTCGTGTTTTGAAGGGCCATCCCCGCCGTAAGTCGAGAACATACCCCAGGTCCCCGCCGCAACTCGAGAAAAACCATGAGACTTCCCCCTAGAGGCGAGATGAGGCCCCATTCCCCTGCAGTGCGTGCAGAGCTATTCCGTGATCCCATTCAAACAAGGCAGGAGCTTCGACTTGCTTAATGGATCTCGAGACAGTCCCCAAGAACACTGTCACCAGTCTAGACGGACCCTGAGGTCACCCCAGCAACGCAAAGCAGCTCCATGTGCCCCAAATCAACTCGAGATGAGGCTCGATTCCCCTGCATTGACTCCAGAGCCATTCCCAGTTCCCCATTCAACACGACCGGTGGCTCGACTTCCTTCAGGCAACTCCAGAGATGCCCCGAGAACACTGTCCCAAGTCTAGAGGAACACCAACTTCAGCACAGCAACTCGAGGAATGCTCCGTGTACCCCAAATCGTCTCGAGATGCGAGCTGATTCCCTGGCTTAGGCTCAAGACGTATGCCAACTTCCCAGAAGCACCTCAGGAGGAGGCTTCTCTCAGCAATAGGTATGTGGGAGGGACCCCGAGTTTGCTGCCTCAAGGGGAATATACAGCGAGAAGCCCTAACTTGAAAGGAGGCCGGATTTCCTTGCAGTGGCTTGAATACAGGCTCGTCTTTCATCTCACAACATGAAGGGATGTCTGAATCCCCTGTGGAGACCTTAGAGAAAGCCCTAGGTCCCTGCCTCATTTTGACGGAATGCCTCACATCCCGCTGACACCTCGAGAGGCACGCGGAGTTCATTGCTTCAAAAGGTGACGATGCCTGACTCCTCTTGAATACTGATAGGAATCCCAAAATCCCTGTGGCTACTGGAAAGGGTCCTTGGGTGCCCTGCCTCACCTCGAGAAGCGTCCCTTTGGCCCTGCCAAGCCTCGAAGAGATTCCTGAGGTGTCCCTCGTTACTAGACAGGAGTCCTGACGTCACTGAAGAAACTCGTGTTTTGAAGGGCCATCCCCGCCGTAAGTCGAGAACATACCCCAGGTCCCCGCCGCAACTCGAGAAAAACCATGAGACTTCCCCCTAGAGGCGAGATGAGGCCCCATTCCCCTGCAGTGCATGCAGAGCTATTCCGTGATCCCATTCAAACAAGGCAGGAGCTTCGACTTGCTTAATGGATCTCGAGACAGTCCCCAAGAACACTGTCACCAGTCTAGACGGACCCTGAGGTCACCCCAGCAACGCAAAGCAGCTCCATGTGCCCCAAATCAACTCGAGATGAGGCCCGATTCCCCTGCATTGACTCCAGAGCCATTCCCCGTTCCCCATTCAACACGACCGGTGGCTCGACTTCCTTCAGGCAACTCCAGAGATGCCCCGAGAACACTGTCCCAAGTCTAGAGGAACACCACCTTCAGCACAGCAACTCGAGGAATGCTCCGTGTACCCCAAATCGTCTCGAGATGCGAGCTGATTCCCTGGCTTAGGCTCAAGACGTATGCCAACTTCCCAGAAGCACCTCAGGAGGAGGCTTCTCTCAGCAATAGGTATGTGGGAGGGACCCCGAGTTTGCTGCCTCAAGGGGAATATACAGCGAGAAGCCCTAACTTGAAAGGAGGCCGGATTTCCTTGCAGTGGCTTGAATACAGGCTCGTCTTTCATCTCACAACATGAAGGGATGTCTGAATCCCCTGTGGAGACCTTAGAGAAAGCCCTAGGTCCCTGCCTCATTTTGACGGAATGCCTCACATCCCGCTGACACCTCGAGAGGCACGCGGAGTTCGTTGCGTCAAAAGGTGACGATGCCTGACTCCTCTTGAATACTGATAGGAATCCCAAAATCCCTGTGGCTACTGGAAAGGGTCCTTGGGTGCCCTGCCTCACCCCGAGAAGCGTCCCTTTGGCCCTGCCAAGCCTCGAAGAGATTCCTGAGGTGTCCCTCGTTACTAGACAGGAGTCCTGACGTCACTGAAGAAACTCGTGTTTTGAAGGGCCATCCCCGCCGTAAGTCGAGAACATACCCCAGGTCCCCGCCGCAACTCGAGAAAAACCATGAGACTTTCCCCTAGAGGCGAGATGAGGCCCCATTCCCCTGCAGTGCATGCAGAGCTATTCCGTGATCCCATTCAAACAAGGCAGGAGCTTCGACTTGCTTAATGGATCTCGAGACAGTCCCCAAGAACACTGTCACCAGTCTAGACGGACCCTGAGGTCACCCCAGCAACGCAAAGCAGCTCCATGTGCCCCAAATCAACTCGAGATGAGGCCCGATTCCCCTGCATTGACTCCAGAGCCATTCCCCGTTCCCCATTCAACACGACCGGTGGCTCGACTTCCTTCAGGCAACTCCAGAGATGCCCCGAGAACACTGTCCCAAGTCTAGAGGAACACCAACTTCAGCACAGCAACTCGAGGAATGCTCCGTGTACCCCAAATCGTCTCGAGATGCGAGCTGATTCCCTGGCTTAGGCTCAAGACGTATGCCAACTTCCCAGAAGCACCTCAGGAGGAGGCTTCTCTCAGCAATAGGTATGTGGGAGGGACCCCGAGTTTGCTGCCTCAAGGGGAATATACAGCGAGAAGCCCTAACTTGAAAGGAGGCCGGATTTCCTTGCAGTGGCTTGAATACAGGCTCGTCTTTCATCTCACAACATGAAGGGATGTCTGAATCCCCTGTGGAGACCTTAGAGAAAGCCCTAGGTCCCTGCCTCATTTTGACGGAATGCCTCACATCCCGCTGACACCTCGAGAGGCACGCGGAGTTCATTGCTTCAAAAGGTGACGATGCCTGACTCCTCTTGAATACTGATAGGAATCCCAAAATCCCTGTGGCTACTGGAAAGGGTCCTTGGGTGCCCTGCCTCACCTCGAGAAGCGTCCCTTTGGCCCTGCCAAGCCTCGAAGAGATTCCTGAGGTGTCCCTCGTTACTAGACAGGAGTCCTGACGTCACTGAAGAAACTCGTGTTTTGAAGGGCCATGCCCGCCGTAAGTCGAGAACATACCCCAGGTCCCCGCCGCAACTCGAGAAAAACCATGAGACTTCCCCCTAGAGGCGAGATGAGGCCCCATTCCCCTGCAGTGCATGCAGAGCTATTCCGTGATCCCATTCAAACAAGGCAGGAGCTTCGACTTGCTTAATGGATCTCGAGACAGTCCCCAAGAACACTGTCACCAGTCTAGACGGACCCTGAGGTCACCCCAGCAACGCAAAGCAGCTCCATGTGCCCCAAATCAACTCGAGTTGAGGCCCGATTCCCCTGCATTGACTCCAGAGCCATTCCCCGTTCCCCATTCAACACGACCGGTGGCTCGACTTCCTTCAGGCAACTCCAGAGATGCCCCGAGAACACTGTCCCAAGTCTAGAGGAACACCAACTTCAGCACAGCAACTCGAGGAATGCTCCGTGTACCCCAAATCGTCTCGAGATGCGAGCTGATTCCCTGGCTTAGGCTCAAGACGTATGCCAACTTCCCAGAAGCACCTCAGGAGGAGGCTTCTCTCAGCAATAGGTATGTGGGAGGGACCCCGAGTTTGCTGCCTCAAGGGGAATATACAGCGAGAAGCCCTAACTTGAAAGGAGGCCGGATTTCCTTGCAGTGGCTTGAATACAGGCTCGTCTTTCATCTCACAACATGAAGGGATGTCTGAATCCCCTGTGGAGACCTTAGAGAAAGCCCTAGGTCCCTGCCTCATTTTGACGGAATGCCTCACATCCCGCTGACACCTCGAGAGGCACGCGGAGTTCGTTGCGTCAAAAGGTGACGATGCCTGACTCCTCTTGAATACTGATAGGAATCCCAAAATCCCTGTGGCTACTGGAAAGGGTCCTTGGGTGCCCTGCCTCACCTCGAGAAGCGTCCCTTTGGCCCTGCCAAGCCTCGAAGAGATTCCTGAGGTGTCCCTCGTTACTAGACAGGAGTCCTGACGTCACTGAAGAAACTCGTGTTTTGAAGGGCCATCCCCGCCGTAAGTCGAGAACATACCCCAGGTCCCCGCCGCAACTCGAGAAAAACCATGAGACTTCCCCCTAGAGGCGAGATGAGGCCCCATTCCCCTGCAGTGCGTGCAGAGCTATTCCGTGATCCCATTCAAACAAGTCAGGAGCTTCGACTTGCTTAATGGATCTCGAGACAGTCCCCAAGAACACTGTCACCAGTCTAGACGGACCCTGAGGTCACCCCAGCAACGCAAAGCAGCTCCATGTGCCCCAAATCAACTCGAGATGAGGCCCGATTCCCCTGCATTGACTCCAGAGCCATTCCCCGTTCCCCATTCAACACGACCGGTGGCTCGACTTCCTTCAGGCAACTCCAGAGATGCCCCGAGAACACTGTCCCAAGTCTAGAGGAACACCAACTTCAGCACAGCAACTCGAGGAATGCTCCGTGTACCCCAAATCGTCTCGAGATGCGAGCTGATTCCCTGGCTTAGGCTCAAGACGTATGCCAACTTCCCAGAAGCACCTCAGGAGGAGGCTTCTCTCAGCAATAGGTATGTGGGAGGGACCCCGAGTTTGCTGCCTCAAGGGGAATATACAGCGAGAAGCCCTAACTTGAAAGGAGGCCGGATTTCCTTGCAGTGGCTTGAATACAGGCTCGTCTTTCATCTCACAACATGAAGGGATGTCTGAATCCCCTGTGGAGACCTTAGAGAAAGCCCTAGGTCCCTGCCTCATTTTGACGGAATGCCTCACATCCCGCTGACACCTCGAGAGGCACGCGGAGTTCGTTGCTTCAAAAGGTGACGATGCCTGACTCCTCTTGAATACTGATAGGAATCCCAAAATCCCTGTGGCTACTGGAAAGGGTCCTTGGGTGCCCTGCCTCACCTCGAGAAGCGTCCCTTTGGCCCTGCCAAGCCTCGAAGAGATTCCTGAGGTGTCCCTCGTTACTAGACAGGAGTCCTGACGTCACTGAAGAAACTCGTGTTTTGAAGGGCCATCCCCGCCGTAAGTCGAGAACATACCCCAGGTCCCCGCCGCAACTCGAGAAAAACCATGAGACTTCCCCCTAGAGGCGAGATGAGGCCCCATTCCCCTGCAGTGCATGCAGAGCTATTCCGTGATCCCATTCAAACAAGTCAGGAGCTTCGACTTGCTTAATGGATCTCGAGACAGTCCCCAAGAACACTGTCACCAGTCTAGACGGACCCTGAGGTCACCCCAGCAACGCAAAGCAGCTCCATGTGCCCCAAATCAACTCGAGATGAGGCCCGATTCCCCTGCATTGACTCCAGAGCCATTCCCCGTTCCCCATTCAACACGACCGGTGGCTCGACTTCCTTCAGGCAACTCCAGAGATGCCCCGAGAACACTGTCCCAAGTCTAGAGGAACACCAACTTCAGCACAGCAACTCGAGGAATGCTCCGTGTACCCCAAATCGTCTCGAGATGCGAGCTGATTCCCTGGCTTAGGCTCAAGACGTATGCCAACTTCCCAGAAGCACCTCAGGAGGAGGCTTCTCTCAGCAATAGGTATGTGGGAGGGACCCCGAGTTTGCTGCCTCAAGGGGAATATACAGCGAGAAGCCCTAACTTGAAAGGAGGCCGGATTTCCTTGCAGTGGCTTGAATACAGGCTCGTCTTTCATCTCACAACATGAAGGGATGTCTGAATCCCCTGTGGAGACCTTAGAGAAAGCCCTAGGTCCCTGCCTCATTTTGACGGAATGCCTCACATCCCGCTGACACCTCGAGAGGCACGCGGAGTTCGTTGCGTCAAAAGGTGACGATGCCTGACTCCTCTTGAATACTGATAGGAATCCCAAAATCCCTGTGGCTACTGGAAAGGGTCCTTGGGTGCCCTGCCTCACCTCGAGAAGCGTCCCTTTGGCCCTGCCAAGCCTCGAAGAGATTCCTGAGGTGTCCCTCGTTACTAGACAGGAGTCCTGACGTCACTGAAGAAACTCGTGTTTTGAAGGGCCATCCCCGCCGTAAGTCGAGAACATACCCCAGGTCCCCGCCGCAACTCGAGAAAAACCATGAGACTTCCCCCTAGAGGCGAGATGAGGCCCCATTCCCCTGCAGTGCGTGCAGAGCTATTCCGTGATCCCATTCAAACAAGTCAGGAGCTTCGACTTGCTTAATGGATCTCGAGACAGTCCCCAAGAACACTGTCACCAGTCTAGACGGACCCTGAGGTCACCCCAGCAACGCAAAGCAGCTCCATGTGCCCCAAATCAACTCGAGATGAGGCCCGATTCCCCTGCATTGACTCCAGAGCCATTCCCCGTTCCCCATTCAACACGACCGGTGGCTCGACTTCCTTCAGGCAACTCCAGAGATGCCCCGAGAACACTGTCCCAAGTCTAGAGGAACACCAACTTCAGCACAGCAACTCGAGGAATGCTCCGTGTACCCCAAATCGTCTCGAGATGCGAGCTGATTCCCTGGCTTAGGCTCAAGACGTATGCCAACTTCCCAGAAGCACCTCAGGAGGAGGCTTCTCTCAGCAATAGGTATGTGGGAGGGACCCCGAGTTTGCTGCCTCAAGGGGAATATACAGCGAGAAGCCCTAACTTGAAAGGAGGCCGGATTTCCTTGCAGTGGCTTGAATACAGGCTCGTCTTTCATCTCACAACATGAAGGGATGTCTGAATCCCCTGTGGAGACCTTAGAGAAAGCCCTAGGTCCCTGCCTCATTTTGACGGAATGCCTCACATCCCGCTGACACCTCGAGAGGCACGCGGAGTTCGTTGCTTCAAAAGGTGACGATGCCTGACTCCTCTTGAATACTGATAGGAATCCCAAAATCCCTGTGGCTACTGGAAAGGGTCCTTGGGTGCCCTGCCTCACCTCGAGAAGCGTCCCTTTGGCCCTGCCAAGCCTCGAAGAGATTCCTGAGGTGTCCCTCGTTACTAGACAGGAGTCCTGACGTCACTGAAGAAACTCATGTTTTGAAGGGCCATCCCCGCCGTAAGTCGAGAACATACCCCAGGTCCCCGCCGCAACTCGAGAAAAACCATGAGACTTCCCCCTAGAGGCGAGATGAGGCCCCATTCCCCTGCAGTGCATGCAGAGCTATTCCGTGATCCCATTCAAACAAGTCAGGAGCTTCGACTTGCTTAATGGATCTCGAGACAGTCCCCAAGAACACTGTCACCAGTCTAGACGGACCCTGAGGTCACCCCAGCAACGCAAAGCAGCTCCATGTGCCCCAAATCAACTCGAGATGAGGCCCGATTCCCCTGCATTGACTCCAGAGCCATTCCCCGTTCCCCATTCAACACGACCGGTGGCTCGACTTCCTTCAGGCAACTCCAGAGATGCCCCGAGAACACTGTCCCAAGTCTAGAGGAACACCAACTTCAGCACAGCAACTCGAGGAATGCTCCGTGTACCCCAAATCGTCTCGAGATGCGAGCTGATTCCCTGGCTTAGGCTCAAGACGTATGCCAACTTCCCAGAAGCACCTCAGGAGGAGGCTTCTCTCAGCAATAGGTATGTGGGAGGGACCCCGAGTTTGCTGCCTCAATGGGAATATACAGCGAGAAGCCCTAACTTGAAAGGAGGCCGGATTTCCTTGCAGTGGCTTGAATACAGGCTCGTCTTTCATCTCACAACATGAAGGGATGTCTGAATCCCCTGTGGAGACCTTAGAGAAAGCCCTAGGTCCCTGCCTCATTTTGACGGAATGCCTCACATCCCGCTGACACCTCGAGAGGCACGCGGAGTTCGTTGCGTCAAAAGGTGACGATGCCTGACTCCTCTTGAATACTGATAGGAATCCCAAAATCCCTGTGGCTACTGGAAAGGGTCCTTGGGTGCCCTGCCTCACCTCGAGAAGCGTCCCTTTGGCCCTGCCAAGCCTCGAAGAGATTCCTGAGGTGTCCCTCGTTACTAGACAGGAGTCCTGACGTCACTGAAGAAACTCGTGTTTTGAAGGGCCATCCCCGCCGTAAGTCGAGAACATACCCCAGGTCCCCGCCGCAACTCGAGAAAAACCATGAGACTTCCCTCTAGAGGCGAGATGAGGCCCCATTCCCCTGCAGTGCATGCAGAGCTATTCCGTGATCCCATTCAAACAAGGCAGGAGCTTCGACTTGCTTAATGGATCTCGAGACAGTCCCCAAGAACACTGTCACCAGTCTAGACGGACCCTAAGGTCACCCCAGCAACGCAAAGCAGCTCCATGTGCCCCAAATCAACTCGAGATGAGGCCCGATTCCCCTGCATTGACTCCAGAGCCATTCCCCGTTCCCCATTCAACACGACCGGTGGCTCGACTTCCTTCAGGCAACTCCAGAGATGCCCCGAGAACACTGTCCCAAGTCTAGAGGAACACCACCTTCAGCACAGGAACTCGAGGAATGCTCCGTGTACCCCAAATCGTCTCGAGATGCGAGCTGATTCCCTGGCTTAGGCTCAAGACGTATGCCAACTTCCCAGAAGCACCTCAGGAGGAGGCTTCTCTCAGCAATAGGTATGTGGGAGGGACCCCGAGTTTGCTGCCTCAAGGGGAATATACAGCGAGAAGACCTAACTTGAAAGGAGGCCGGATTTCCTTGCAGTGGCTTGAATACAGGCTCGTCTTTCATCTCACAACATGAAGGGATGTCTGAATCCCCTGTGGAGACCTTAGAGAAAGCCCTAGGTCCCTGCCTCATTTTGACGGAATGCCTCACATCCCGCTGACACCTCGAGAGGCACGCGGAGTTCGTTGCGTCAAAAGGTGACGATGCCTGACTCCTCTTGAATACTGATAGGAATCCCAAAATCCCTGTGGCTACTGGAAAGGGTCCTTGGGTGCCCTGCCTCACCCCGAGAAGCGTCCCTTTGGCCCTGCCAAGCCTCGAAGAGATTCCTGAGGTGTCCCTCGTTACTAGACAGGAGTCCTGACGTCACTGAAGAAACTCGTGTTTTGAAGGGCCATCCCCGCCGTAAGTCGAGAACATACCCCAGGTCCCCGCCGCAACTCGAGAAAAACCATGAGACTTCCCCCTAGAGGCGAGATGAGGCCCCATTCCCCTGCAGTGCATGCAGAGCTATTCCGTGATCCCATTCAAACAAGGCAGGAGCTTCGACTTGCTTAATGGATCTCGAGACAGTCCCCAAGAACACTGTCACCAGTCTAGACGGACCCTGAGGTCACCCCAGCAACGCAAAGCAGCTCCATGTGCCCCAAATCAACTCGAGATGAGGCCCGATTCCCCTGCATTGACTCCAGAGCCATTCCCCGTTCCCCATTCAACACGACCGGTGGCTCGACTTCCTTCAGGCAACTCCAGAGATGCCCCGAGAACACTGTCCCAAGTCTAGAGGAACACCAACTTCAGCACAGCAACTCGAGGAATGCTCCGTGTACCCCAAATCGTCTCGAGATGCGAGCTGATTCCCTGGCTTAGGCTCAAGACGTATGCCAACTTCCCAGAAGCACCTCAGGAGGAGGCTTCTCTCAGCAATAGGTATGTGGGAGGGACCCCGAGTTTGCTGCCTCAAGGGGAATATACAGCGAGAAGCCCTAACTTGAAAGGAGGCCGGATTTCCTTGCAGTGGCTTGAATACAGGCTCGTCTTTCATCTCACAACATGAAGGGATGTCTGAATCCCCTGTGGAGACCTTAGAGAAAGCCCTAGGTCCCTGCCTCATTTTGACGGAATGCCTCACATCCCGCTGACACCTCGAGAGGCACGCGGAGTTCATTGCTTCAAAAGGTGACGATGCCTGACTCCTCTTGAATACTGATAGGAATCCCAAAATCCCTGTGGCTACTGGAAAGGGTCCTTGGGTGCCCTGCCTCACCTCGAGAAGCGTCCCTTTGGCCCTGCCAAGCCTCGAAGAGATTCCTGAGGTGTCCCTCGTTACTAGACAGGAGTCCTGACGTCACTGAAGAAACTCGTGTTTTGAAGGGCCATCCCCGCCGTAAGTCGAGAACATACCCCAGGTCCCCGCCGCAACTCGAGAAAAACCATGAGACTTCCCCCTAGAGGCAGGATGAGGCCCCATTCCCCTGCACTGCCTGCAGAGCTATTCCGTGATCCCATTCAAACAAGTCAGGAGCTTCGACTTGCTTAATGGATCTTGAGACAGTCCCCAAGAACACAGTCACCAGTCTAGACGGACCCTGAGGTCACCCCAGCAACGCAAAGCAGCTCCATGTGCCCCAAATCAACTCGAGATGAGGCCCGATTCCCCTGCATTGACTCCAGAGCCATTCCCCGTTCCCCATTCAACACGACCGGTGGCTCGACTTCCTTCAGGCAACTTCAGAGATGCCCCGAGAACACTGTCCCAAGTCTAGAGGAACACCACCTTCAGCACAGCAACTCGAGGAATGCTCCGTGTACCCCAAATCGTCTCGAGATGCGAGCTGATTCCCTGGCTTAGGCTCAAGACGTATGCCAACTTCCCAGAAGCACCTCAGGAGGAGGCTTCTCTCAGCAATAGGTATGTGGGAGGGACCCCGAGTTTGCTGCCTCAAGGGGAATATACAGCGAGAAGCCCTAACTTGAAAGGAGGCCGGATTTCCTTGCAGTGGCTTGAATACAGGCTCGTCTTTCATCTCACAACATGAAGGGATGTCTGAATCCCCTGTGGAGACCTTAGAGAAAGCCCTAGGTCCCTGCCTCATTTTGACGGAATGCCTCACATCCCGCTGACACCTCGAGAGGCAGGCGGAGTTCATTGCTTCAAAAGGTGACGATGCCTGACTCCTCTTGAATACTGATAGGAATCCCAAAATACCTGTGGCTACTGGAAAGGGTCCTTGGGTGCCCTGCCTCACCTCGAGAAGCGTCCCTTTGGCCCTGCCAAGCCTCGAAGAGATTCCTGAGGTGTCCCTCGTTACTAGACAGGAGTCCTGACGTCACTGAAGAAACTCGTGTTTTGAAGGGCCATCCCCGCCGTAAGTCGAGAACATACCCCAGGTCCCCGCCGCAACTCGAGAAAAACCATGAGACTTCCCCCTAGAGGCGAGATGAGGCCCCATTCCCCTGCAGTGCATGCAGAGCTATTCCGTGATCCCATTCAAACAAGTCAGGAGCTTCGACTTGCTTAATGGATCTCGAGACAGTCCCCAAGAACACTGTCACCAGTCTAGATGGACCCTGAGGTCACCCCAGCAACGCAAAGCAGCTCCATGTGCCCCAAATCAACTCGAGATGAGGCCCGATTCCCCTGCATTGACTCCAGAGCCATTCCCCGTTCCCCATTCAACACGACCGGTGGCTCGACTTCCTTCAGGCAACTCCAGAGATGCCCCGAGAACACTGTCCCAAGTCTAGAGGAACACCAACTTCAGCACAGCAACTCGAGGAATGCTCCGTGTACCCCAAATCGTCTCGAGATGCGAGCTGATTCCCTGGCTTAGGCTCAAGACGTATGCCAACTTCCCAGAAGCACCTCAGGAGGAGGCTTCTCTCAGCAATAGGTATGTGGGAGGGACCCCGAGTTTGCTGCCTCAAGGGGAATATACAGCGAGAAGCCCTAACTTGAAAGGAGGCCGGATTTCCTTGCAGTGGCTTGAATACAGGCTCGTCTTTCATCTCACAACATGAAGGGATGTCTGAATCCCCTGTGGAGACCTTAGAGAAAGCCCTAGGTCCCTGCCTCATTTTGACGGAATGCCTCACATCCCGCTGACACCTCGAGAGGCACCCGGAGTTCGTTGCGTCAAAAGGTGACGATGCCTGACTCCTCTTGAATACTGATAGGAATCCCAAAATCCCTGTGGCTACTGGAAAGGGTCCTTGGGTGCCCTGCCTCACCTCGAGAAGCGTCCCTTTGGCCCTGCCAAGCCTCGAAGAGATTCCTGAGGTGTCCCTCGTTACTAGACAGGAGTCCTGACGTCACTGAAGAAACTCGTGTTTTGAAGGGCCATCCCCGCCGTAAGTCGAGAACATACCCCAGGTCCCCGCCGCAACTCGAGAAAAACCATGAGACTTCCCCCTAGAGGCGAGATGAGGCCCCATTCCCCTGCAGTGCGTGCAGAGCTATTCCGTGATCCCATTCAAACAAGTCAGGAGCTTCGACTTGCTTAATGGATCTCGAGACAGTCCCCAAGAACACTGTCACCAGTCTAGACGGACCCTGAGGTCACCCCAGCAACGCAAAGCAGCTCCATGTGCCCCAAATCAACTCGAGATGAGGCCCGATTCCCCTGCATTGACTCCAGAGCCATTCCCAGTTCCCCATTCAACACGACCGGTGGCTCGACTTCCTTCAGGCAACTCCAGAGATGCCCCGAGAACACTGTCCCAAGTCTAGAGGAACACCAACTTCAGCACAGCAACTCGAGGAATGCTCCGTGTACCCCAAATCGTCTCGAGATGCGAGCTGATTCCCTGGCTTAGGCTCAAGACGTATGCCAACTTCCCAGAAGCACCTCAGGAGGAGGCTTCTCTCAGCAATAGGTATGTGGGAGGGACCCCGAGTTTGCTGCCTCAAGGGGAATATACAGCGAGAAGCCCTAACTTGAAAGGAGGCCGGATTTCCTTGCAGTGGCTTGAATACAGGCTCGTCTTTCATCTCACAACATGAAGGGATGTCTGAATCCCCTGTGGAGACCTTAGAGAAAGCCCTAGGTCCCTGCCTCATTTTGACGGAATGCCTCACATCCCGCTGACACCTCGAGAGGCACGCGGAGTTCGTTGCGTCAAAAGGTGACGATGCCTGACTCCTCTTGAATACTGATAGGAATCCCAAAATCCCTGTGGCTACTGGAAAGGGTCCTTGGGTGCCCTGCCTCACCTCGAGAAGCGTCCCTTTGGCCCTGCCAAGCCTCGAAGAGATTCCTGAGGTGTCCCTCGTTACTAGACAGGAGTCCTGACGTCACTGAAGAAACTCGTGTTTTGAAGGGCCATCCCCGCCGTAAGTCGAGAACATACCCCAGGTCCCCGCCGCAACTCGAGAAAAACCATGAGACTTCCCCCTAGAGGCGAGATGAGGCCCCATTCCCCTGCAGTGCGTGCAGAGCTATTCCGTGATCCCATTCAAACAAGTCAGGAGCTTCGACTTGCTTAATGGATCTCGAGACAGTCCCCAAGAACACTGTCACCAGTCTAGACGGACCCTGAGGTCACCCCAGCAACGCAAAGCAGCTCCATGTGCCCCAAATCAACTCGAGATGAGGCCCGATTCCCCTGCATTGACTCCAGAGCCATTCCCCGTTCCCCATTCAACACGACCGGTGGCTCGACTTCCTTCAGGCAACTCCAGAGATGCCCCGAGAACACTGTCCCAAGTCTAGAGGAACACCAACTTCAGCACAGCAACTCGAGGAATGCTCCGTGTACCCCAAATCGTCTCGAGATGCGAGCTGATTCCCTGGCTTAGGCTCAAGACGTATGCCAACTTCCCAGAAGCACCTCAGGAGGAGGCTTCTCTCAGCAATAGGTATGTGGGAGGGACCCCGAGTTTGCTGCCTCAAGGGGAATATACAGCGAGAAGCCCTAACTTGAAAGGAGGCCGGATTTCCTTGCAGTGGCTTGAATACAGGCTCGTCTTTCATCTCACAACATGAAGGGATGTCTGAATCCCCTGTGGAGACCTTAGAGAAAGCCCTAGGTCCCTGCCTCATTTTGACGGAATGCCTCACATCCCGCTGACACCTCGAGAGGCACGCGGAGTTCGTTGCTTCAAAAGGTGACGATGCCTGACTCCTCTTGAATACTGATAGGAATCCCAAAATCCCTGTGGCTACTGGAAAGGGTCCTTGGGTGCCCTGCCTCACCTCGAGAAGCGTCCCTTTGGCCCTGCCAAGCCTCGAAGAGATTCCTGAGGTGTCCCTCGTTACTAGACAGGAGTCCTGACGTCACTGAAGAAACTCGTGTTTTGAAGGGCCATCCCCGCCGTAAGTCGAGAACATACCCCAGGTCCCCGCCGCAACTCGAGAAAAACCATGAGACTTCCCCCTAGAGGCGAGATGAGGCCCCATTCCCCTGCAGTGCATGCAGAGCTATTCCGTGATCCCATTCAAACAGGTCAGGAGCTTCGACTTGCTTAATGGATCTCGAGACAGTCCCCAAGAACACTGTCACCAGTCTAGACGGACCCTGAGGTCACCCCAGCAACGCAAAGCAGCTCCATGTGCCCCAAATCAACTCGAGATGAGGCCCGATTCCCCTGCATTGACTCCAGAGCCATTCCCCGTTCCCCATTCAACACGACCGGTGGCTCGACTTCCTTCAGGCAACTCCAGAGATGCCCCGAGAACACTGTCCCAAGTCTAGAGGAACACCAACTTCAGCACAGCAACTCGAGGAATGCTCCGTGTACCCCAAATCGTCTCGAGATGCGAGCTGATTCCCTGGCTTAGGCTCAAGACGTATGCCAACTTCCCAGAAGCACCTCAGGAGGAGGCTTCTCTCAGCAATAGGTATGTGGGAGGGACCCCGAGTTTGCTGCCTCAAGGGGAATATACAGCGAGAAGCCCTAACTTGAAAGGAGGCCGGATTTCCTTGCAGTGGCTTGAATACAGGCTCGTCTTTCATCTCACAACATGAAGGGATGTCTGAATCCCCTGTGGAGACCTTAGAGAAAGCCCTAGGTCCCTGCCTCATTTTGACGGAATGCCTCACATCCCGCTGACACCTCGAGAGGCACGCGGAGTTCGTTGCGTCAAAAGGTGACGATGCCTGACTCCTCTTGAATACTGATAGGAATCCCAAAATCCCTGTGGCTACTGGAAAGGGTCCTTGGGTGCCCTGCCTCACCTCGAGAAGCGTCCCTTTGGCCCTGCCAAGCCTCGAAGAGATTCCTGAGGTGTCCCTCGTTACTAGACAGGAGTCCTGACGTCACTGAAGAAACTCGTGTTTTGAAGGGCCATCCCCGCCGTAAGTCGAGAACATACCCCAGGTCCCCGCCGCAACTCGAGAAAAACCATGAGACTTCCCCCTAGAGGCGAGATGAGGCCCCATTCCCCTGCAGTGCGTGCAGAGCTATTCCGTGATCCCATTCAAACAAGTCAGGAGCTTCGACTTGCTTAATGGATCTCGAGACAGTCCCCAAGAACACTGTCACCAGTCTAGACGGACCCTGAGGTCACCCCAGCAACGCAAAGCAGCTCCATGTGCCCCAAATCAACTCGAGATGAGGCCCGATTCCCCTGCATTGACTCCAGAGCCATTCCCCGTTCCCCATTCAACACGACCGGTGGCTCGACTTCCTTCAGGCAACTCCAGAGATGCCCCGAGAACACTGTCCCAAGTCTAGAGGAACACCAACTTCAGCACAGCAACTCGAGGAATGCTCCGTGTACCCCAAATCGTCTCGAGATGCGAGCTGATTCCCTGGCTTAGGCTCAAGACGTATGCCAACTTCCCAGAAGCACCTCAGGAGGAGGCTTCTCTCAGCAATAGGTATGTGGGAGGGACCCCGAGTTTGCTGCCTCAAGGGGAATATACAGCGAGAAGCCCTAACTTGAAAGGAGGCCGGATTTCCTTGCAGTGGCTTGAATACAGGCTCGTCTTTCATCTCACAACATGAAGGGATGTCTGAATCCCCTGTGGAGACCTTAGAGAAAGCCCTAGGTCCCTGCCTCATTTTGACGGAATGCCTCACATCCCGCTGACACCTCGAGAGGCACGCGGAGTTCGTTGCTTCAAAAGGTGACGATGCCTGACTCCTCTTGAATACTGATAGGAATCCCAAAATCCCTGTGGCTACTGGAAAGGGTCCTTGGGTGCCCTGCCTCACCTCGAGAAGCGTCCCTTTGGCCCTGCCAAGCCTCGAAGAGATTCCTGAGGTGTCCCTCGTTACTAGACAGGAGTCCTGACGTCACTGAAGAAACTCGTGTTTTGAAGGGCCATCCCCGCCGTAAGTCGAGAACATACCCCAGGTCCCCGCCGCAACTCGAGAAAAACCATGAGACTTCCCCCTAGAGGCGAGATGAGGCCCCATTCCCCTGCAGTGCATGCAGAGCTATTCCGTGATCCCATTCAAACAAGTCAGGAGCTTCGACTTGCTTAATGGATCTCGAGACAGTCCCCAAGAACACTGTCACCAGTCTAGACGGACCCTGAGGTCACCCCAGCAACGCAAAGCAGCTCCATGTGCCCCAAATCAACTCGAGATGAGGCCCGATTCCCCTGCATTGACTCCAGAGCCATTCCCCGTTCCCCATTCAACACGACCGGTGGCTCGACTTCCTTCAGGCAACTCCAGAGATGCCCCGAGAACACTGTCCCAAGTCTAGAGGAACACCAACTTCAGCACAGCAACTCGAGGAATGCTCCGTGTACCCCAAATCGTCTCGAGATGCGAGCTGATTCCCTGGCTTAGGCTCAAGACGTATGCCAACTTCCCAGAAGCACCTCAGGAGGAGGCTTCTCTCAGCAATAGGTATGTGGGAGGGACCCCGAGTTTGCTGCCTCAAGGGGAATATACAGCGAGAAGCCCTAACTTGAAAGGAGGCCGGATTTCCTTGCAGTGGCTTGAATACAGGCTCGTCTTTCATCTCACAACATGAAGGGATGTCTGAATCCCCTGTGGAGACCTTAGAGAAAGCCCTAGGTCCCTGCCTCATTTTGACGGAATGCCTCACATCCCGCTGACACCTCGAGAGGCACGCGGAGTTCGTTGCGTCAAAAGGTGACGATGCCTGACTCCTCTTGAATACTGATAGGAATCCCAAAATCCCTGTGGCTACTGGAAAGGGTCCTTGGGTGCCCTGCCTCACCTCGAGAAGCGTCCCTTTGGCCCTGCCAAGCCTCGAAGAGATTCCTGAGGTGTCCCTCGTTACTAGACAGGAGTCCTGACGTCACTGAAGAAACTCGTGTTTTGAAGGGCCATCCCCGCCGTAAGTCGAGAACATACCCCAGGTCCCCGCCGCAACTCGAGAAAAACCATGAGACTTCCCCCTAGAGGCGAGATGAGGCCCCATTCCCCTGCAGTGCATGCAGAGCTATTCCGTGATCCCATTCAAACAAGGCAGGAGCTTCGACTTGCTTAATGGATCTCGAGACAGTCCCCAAGAACACTGTCACCAGTCTAGACGGACCCTGAGGTCACCCCAGCAACGCAAAGCAGCTCCATGTGCCCCAAATCAACTCGAGATGAGGCCCGATTCCCCTGCATTGACTCCAGAGCCATTCCCCGTTCCCCATTCAACACGACCGGTGGCTCGACTTCCTTCAGGCAACTCCAGAGATGCCCCGAGAACACTGTCCCAAGTCTAGAGGAACACCAACTTCAGCACAGCAACTCGAGGAATGCTCCGTGTACCCCAAATCGTCTCGAGATGCGAGCTGATTCCCTGGCTTAGGCTCAAGACGTATGCCAACTTCCCAGAAGCACCTCAGGAGGAGGCTTCTCTCAGCAATAGGTATGTGGGAGGGACCCCGAGTTTGCTGCCTCAAGGGGAATATACAGCGAGAAGACCTAACTTGAAAGGAGGCCGGATTTCCTTGCAGTGGCTTGAATACAGGCTCGTCTTTCATCTCACAACATGAAGGGATGTCTGAATCCCCTGTGGAGACCTTAGAGAAAGCCCTAGGTCCCTGCCTCATTTTGACGGAATGCCTCACATCCCGCTGACACCTCGAGAGGCACGCGGAGTTCGTTGCGTCAAAAGGTGACGATGCCTGACTCCTCTTGAATACTGATAGGAATCCCAAAATCCCTGTGGCTACTGGAAAGGGTCCTTGGGTGCCCTGCCTCACCCCGAGAAGCGTCCCTTTGGCCCTGCCAAGCCTCGAAGAGATTCCTGAGGTGTCCCTCGTTACTAGACAGGAGTCCTGACGTCACTGAAGAAACTCGTGTTTTGAAGGGCCATCCCCGCCGTAAGTCGAGAACATACCCCAGGTCCCCGCCGCAACTCGAGAAAAACCATGAGACTTCCCCCTAGAGGCGAGATGAGGCCCCATTCCCCTGCAGTGCATGCAGAGCTATTCCGTGATCCCATTCAAACAAGGCAGGAGCTTCGACTTGCTTAATGGATCTCGAGACAGTCCCCAAGAACACTGTCACCAGTCTAGACGGACCCTGAGGTCACCCCAGCAACGCAAAGCAGCTCCATGTGCCCCAAATCAACTCGAGATGAGGCCCGATTCCCCTGCATTGACTCCAGAGCCATTCCCCGTTCCCCATTCAACACGACCGGTGGCTCGACTTCCTTCAGGCAACTCCAGAGATGCCCCGAGAACACTGTCCCAAGTCTAGAGGAACACCAACTTCAGCACAGCAACTCGAGGAATGCTCCGTGTACCCCAAATCGTCTCGAGATGCGAGCTGATTCCCTGGCTTAGGCTCAAGACGTATGCCAACTTCCCAGAAGCACCTCAGGAGGAGGCTTCTCTCAGCAATAGGTATGTGGGAGGGACCCCGAGTTTGCTGCCTCAAGGGGAATATACAGCGAGAAGCCCTAACTTGAAAGGAGGCCGGATTTCCTTGCAGTGGCTTGAATACAGGCTCGTCTTTCATCTCACAACATGAAGGGATGTCTGAATCCCCTGTGGAGACCTTAGAGAAAGCCCTAGGTCCCTGCCTCATTTTGACGGAATGCCTCACATCCCGCTGACACCTCGAGAGGCACGCGGAGTTCATTGCTTCAAAAGGTGACGATGCCTGACTCCTCTTGAATACTGATAGGAATCCCAAAATCCCTGTGGCTACTGGAAAGGGTCCTTGGGTGCCCTGCCTCACCTCGAGAAGCGTCCCTTTGGCCCTGCCAAGCCTCGAAGAGATTCCTGAGGTGTCCCTCGTTACTAGACAGGAGTCCTGACGTCACTGAAGAAACTCGTGTTTTGAAGGGCCATCCCCGCCGTAAGTCGAGAACATACCCCAGGTCCCCGCCGCAACTCGAGAAAAACCATGAGACTTCCCCCTAGAGGCAGGATGAGGCCCCATTCCCCTGCACTGCCTGCAGAGCTATTCCGTGATCCCATTCAAACAAGTCAGGAGCTTCGACTTGCTTAATGGATCTCGAGACAGTCCCCAAGAACACTGTCACCAGTCTAGACGGACCCTGAGGTCACCCCAGCAACGCAAAGCAGCTCCATGTGCCCCAAATCAACTCGAGATGAGGCCCGATTCCCCTGCATTGACTCCAGAGCCATTCCCCGTTCCCCATTCAACACGACCGGTGGCTCGACTTCCTTCAGGCAACTTCAGAGATGCCCCGAGAACACTGTCCCAAGTCTAGAGGAACACCACCTTCAGCACAGCAACTCGAGGAATGCTCCGTGTACCCCAAATCGTCTCGAGATGCGAGCTGATTCCCTGGCTTAGGCTCAAGACGTATGCCAACTTCCCAGAAGCACCTCAGGAGGAGGCTTCTCTCAGCAATAGGTATGTGGGAGGGACCCCGAGTTTGCTGCCTCAAGGGGAATATACAGCGAGAAGCCCTAACTTGAAAGGAGGCCGGATTTCCTTGCAGTGGCTTGAATACAGGCTCGTCTTTCATCTCACAACATGAAGGGATGTCTGAATCCCCTGTGGAGACCTTAGAGAAAGCCCTAGGTCCCTGCCTCATTTTGACGGAATGCCTCACATCCCGCTGACACCTCGAGAGGCAGGCGGAGTTCATTGCTTCAAAAGGTGACGATGCCTGACTCCTCTTGAATACTGATAGGAATCCCAAAATACCTGTGGCTACTGGAAAGGGTCCTTGGGTGCCCTGCCTCACCTCGAGAAGCGTCCCTTTGGCCCTGCCAAGCCTCGAAGAGATTCCTGAGGTGTCCCTCGTTACTAGACAGGAGTCCTGACGTCACTGAAGAAACTCGTGTTTTGAAGGGCCATCCCCGCCGTAAGTCGAGAACATACCCCAGGTCCCCGCCGCAACTCGAGAAAAACCATGAGACTTCCCCCTAGAGGCGAGATGAGGCCCCATTCCCCTGCAGTGCATGCAGAGCTATTCCGTGATCCCATTCAAACAAGTCAGGAGCTTCGACTTGCTTAATGGATCTCGAGACAGTCCCCAAGAACACTGTCACCAGTCTAGACGGACCCTGAGGTCACCCCAGCAACGCAAAGCAGCTCCATGTGCCCCAAATCAACTCGAGATGAGGCCCGATTCCCCTGCATTGACTCCAGAGCCATTCCCCGTTCCCCATTCAACACGACCGGTGGCTCGACTTCCTTCAGGCAACTCCAGAGATTCCCCGAGAACACTGTCCCAAGTCTAGAGGAACACCAACTTCAGCACAGCAACTCGAGGAATGCTCCGTGTACCCCAAATCGTCTCGAGATGCGAGCTGATTCCCTGGCTTAGGCTCAAGACGTATGCCAACTTCCCAGAAGCACCTCAGGAGGAGGCTTCTCTCAGCAATAGGTATGTGGGAGGGACCCCGAGTTTGCTGCCTCAAGGGGAATATACAGCGAGAAGCCCTAACTTGAAAGGAGGCCGGATTTCCTTGCAGTGGCTTGAATACAGGCTCGTCTTTCATCTCACAACATGAAGGGATGTCTGAATCCCCTGTGGAGACCTTAGAGAAAGCCCTAGGTCCCTGCCTCATTTTGACGGAATGCCTCACATCCCGCTGACACCTCGAGAGGCACGCGGAGTTCGTTGCGTCAAAAGGTGACGATGCCTGACTCCTCTTGAATACTGATAGGAATCCCAAAATCCCTGTGGCTACTGGAAAGGGTCCTTGGGTGCCCTGCCTCACCTCGAGAAGCGTCCCTTTGGCCCTGCCAAGCCTCGAAGAGATTCCTGAGGTGTCCCTCGTTACTAGACAGGAGTCCTGACGTCACTGAAGAAACTCGTGTTTTGAAGGGCCATCCCCGCCGTAAGTCGAGAACATACCCCAGGTCCCCGCCGCAACTCGAGAAAAACCATGAGACTTCCCCCTAGAGGCGAGATGAGGCCCCATTCCCCTGCAGTGCGTGCAGAGCTATTCCGTGATCCCATTCAAACAAGTCAGGAGCTTCGACTTGCTTAATGGATCTCGAGACAGTCCCCAAGAACACTGTCACCAGTCTAGACGGACCCTGAGGTCACCCCAGCAACGCAAAGCAGCTCCATGTGCCCCAAATCAACTCGAGATGAGGCCCGATTCCCCTGCATTGACTCCAGAGCCATTCCCAGTTCCCCATTCAACACGACCGGTGGCTCGACTTCCTTCAGGCAACTCCAGAGATGCCCCGAGAACACTGTCCCAAGTCTAGAGGAACACCAACTTCAGCACAGCAACTCGAGGAATGCTCCGTGTACCCCAAATCGTCTCGAGATGCGAGCTGATTCCCTGGCTTAGGCTCAAGACGTATGCCAACTTCCCAGAAGCACCTCAGGAGGAGGCTTCTCTCAGCAATAGGTATGTGGGAGGGACCCCGAGTTTGCTGCCTCAAGGGGAATATACAGCGAGAAGCCCTAACTTGAAAGGAGGCCGGATTTCCTTGCAGTGGCTTGAATACAGGCTCGTCTTTCATCTCACAACATGAAGGGATGTCTGAATCCCCTGTGGAGACCTTAGAGAAAGCCCTAGGTCCCTGCCTCATTTTGACGGAATGCCTCACATCCCGCTGACACCTCGAGAGGCACGCGGAGTTCATTGCTTCAAAAGGTGACGATGCCTGACTCCTCTTGAATACTGATAGGAATCCCAAAATCCCTGTGGCTACTGGAAAGGGTCCTTGGGTGCCCTGCCTCACCTCGAGAAGCGTCCCTTTGGCCCTGCCAAGCCTCGAAGAGATTCCTGAGGTGTCCCTCGTTACTAGACAGGAGTCCTGACGTCACTGAAGAAACTCGTGTTTTGAAGGGCCATCCCCGCCGTAAGTCGAGAACATACCCCAGGTCCCCGCCGCAACTCGAGAAAAACCATGAGACTTCCCCCTAGAGGCGAGATGAGGCCCCATTCCCCTGCAGTGCATGCAGAGCTATTCCGTGATCCCATTCAAACAAGGCAGGAGCTTCGACTTGCTTAATGGATCTCGAGACAGTCCCCAAGAACACTGTCACCAGTCTAGACGGACCCTGAGGTCACCCCAGCAACGCAAAGCAGCTCCATGTGCCCCAAATCAACTCGAGATGAGGCCCGATTCCCCTGCATTGACTCCAGAGCCATTCCCCGTTCCCCATTCAACACGACCGGTGGCTCGACTTCCTTCAGGCAACTCCAGAGATGCCCCGAGAACACTGTCCCAAGTCTAGAGGAACACCACCTTCAGCACAGCAACTCGAGGAATGCTCCGTGTACCCCAAATCGTCTCGAGATGCGAGCTGATTCCCTGGCTTAGGCTCAAGACGTATGCCAACTTCCCAGAAGCACCTCAGGAGGAGGCTTCTCTCAGCAATAGGTATGTGGGAGGGACCCCGAGTTTGCTGCCTCAAGGGGAATATACAGCGAGAAGCCCTAACTTGAAAGGAGGCCGGATTTCCTTGCAGTGGCTTGAATACAGGCTCGTCTTTCATCTCACAACATGAAGGGATGTCTGAATCCCCTGTGGAGACCTTAGAGAAAGCCCTAGGTCCCTGCCTCATTTTGACGGAATGCCTCACATCCCGCTGACACCTCGAGAGGCACGCGGAGTTCATTGCTTCAAAAGGTGACGATGCCTGACTCCTCTTGAATACTGATAGGAATCCCAAAATCCCTGTGGCTACTGGAAAGGGTCCTTGGGTGCCCTGCCTCACCTCGAGAAGCGTCCCTTTGGCCCTGCCAAGCCTCGAAGAGATTCCTGAGGTGTCCCTCGTTACTAGACAGGAGTCCTGACGTCACTGAAGAAACTCGTGTTTTGAAGGGCCATCCCCGCCGTAAGTCGAGAACATACCCCAGGTCCCCGCCGCAACTCGAGAAAAACCATGAGACTTCCCCCTAGAGGCAGGATGAGGCCCCATTCCCCTGCACTGCCTGCAGAGCTATTCCGTGATCCCATTCAAACAAGTCAGGAGCTTCGACTTGCTTAATGGATCTCGAGACAGTCCCCAAGAACACTGTCACCAGTCTAGACGGACCCTGAGGTCACCCCAGCAACGCAAAGCAGCTCCATGTGCCCCAAATCAACTCGAGATGAGGCCCGATTCCCCTGCATTGACTCCAGAGCCATTCCCCGTTCCCCATTCAACACGACCGGTGGCTCGACTTCCTTCAGGCAACTCCAGAGATGCCCCGAGAACACTGTCCCAAGTCTAGAGGAACACCACCTTCAGCACAGCAACTCGAGGAATGCTCCGTGTACCCCAAATCGTCTCGAGATGCGAGCTGATTCCCTGGCTTAGGCTCAAGACGTATGCCAACTTCCCAGAAGCACCTCAGGAGGAGGCTTCTCTCAGCAATAGGTATGTGGGAGGGACCCCGAGTTTGCTGCCTCAAGGGGAATATACAGCGAGAAGCCCTAACTTGAAAGGAGGCCGGATTTCCTTGCAGTGGCTTGAATACAGGCTCGTCTTTCATCTCACAACATGAAGGGATGTCTGAATCCCCTGTGGAGAACTTAGATAAAGCCCTAGGTCCCTGCCTCATTTTGACGGAATGCCTCACATCCCGCTGACACCTCGAGAGGCACGCGGAGTTCATTGCTTCAAAAGGTGACGATGCCTGACTCCTCTTGAATACTGATAGGAATCCCAAAATACCTGTGGCTACTGGAAAGGGTCCTTGGGTGCCCTGCCTCACCTCGAGAAGCGTCCCTTTGGCCCTGCCAAGCCTCGAAGAGATTCCTGAGGTGTCCCTCGTTACTAGACAGGAGTCCTGACGTCACTGAAGAAACTCGTGTTTTGAAGGGCCATCCCCGCCGTAAGTCGAGAACATACCCCAGGTCCCCGCCGCAACTCGAGAAAAACCATGAGACTTCCCCCTAGAGGCGAGATGAGGCCCCATTCCCCTGCAGTGCATGCAGAGCTATTCCGTGATCCCATTCAAACAAGTCAGGAGCTTCGACTTGCTTAATGGATCTCGAGACAGTCCCCAAGAACACTGTCACCAGTCTAGACGGACCCTGAGGTCACCCCAGCAACGCAAAGCAGCTCCATGTGCCCCAAATCAACTCGAGATGAGGCCCGATTCCCCTGCATTGACTCCAGAGCCATTCCCCGTTCCCCATTCAACACGACCGGTGGCTCGACTTCCTTCAGGCAACTCCAGAGATGCCCCGAGAACACTGTCCCAAGTCTAGAGGAACACCAACTTCAGCACAGCAACTCGAGGAATGCTCCGTGTACCCCAAATCGTCTCGAGATGCGAGCTGATTCCCTGGCTTAGGCTCAAGACGTATGCCAACTTCCCAGAAGCACCTCAGGAGGAGGCTTCTCTCAGCAATAGGTATGTGGGAGGGACCCCGAGTTTGCTGCCTCAAGGGGAATATACAGCGAGAAGCACTAACTTGAAAGGAGGCCGGATTTCCTTGCAGTGGCTTGAATACAGGCTCGTCTTTCATCTCACAACATGAAGGGATGTCTGAATCCCCTGTGGAGACCTTAGAGAAAGCCCTAGGTCCCTGCCTCATTTTGACGGAATGCCTCACATCCCGCTGACAACTCGAGAGGCACGCGGAGTTCATTGCTTCAAAAGGTGACGATGCCTGACTCCTCTTGAATACTGATAGGAATCCCAAAATCCCTGTGGCTACTGGAAAGGGTCCTTGGGTGCCCTGCCTCACCTCGAGAAGCGTCCCTTTGGCCCTGCCAAGCCTCGAAGAGATTCCTGAGGTGTCCCTCGTTACTAGACAGGAGTCCTGACGTCACTGAAGAAACTCGTGTTTTGAAGGGCCATCCCCGCCGTAAGTCGAGAACATACCCCAGGTCCCCGCCGCAACTCGAGAAAAACCATGAGACTTCCCCCTAGAGGCAGGATGAGACCCCATTCCCCTGCACTGCCTGCAGAGCTATTCCGTGATCCCATTCAAACAAGTCAGGAGCTTCGACTTGCTTAATGGATCTCGAGACAGTCCCCAAGAACACTGTCACCAGTCTAGACGGACCCTGAGGTCACCCCAGCAACGCAAAGCAGCTCCATGTGCCCCAAATCAACTCGAGATGAGGCCCGATTCCCCTGCATTGACTCCAGAGCCATTCCCCGTTCCCCATTCAACACGACCGGTGGCTCGACTTCCTTCAGGCAACTTCAGAGATGCCCCGAGAACACTGTCCCAAGTCTAGAGGAACACCACCTTCAGCACAGCAACTCGAGGAATGCTCCGTGTACCCCAAATCGTCTCGAGATGCGAGCTGATTCCCTGGCTTAGGCTCAAGACGTATGCCAACTTCCCAGAAGCACCTCAGGAGGAGGCTTCTCTCAGCAATAGGTATGTGGGAGGGACCCCGAGTTTGCTGCCTCAAGGGGAATATACAGCGAGAAGCCCTAACTTGAAAGGAGGCCGGATTTCCTTGCAGTGGCTTGAATACAGGCTCGTCTTTCATCTCACAACATGAAGGGATGTCTGAATCCCCTGTGGAGACCTTAGAGAAAGCCCTAGGTCCCTGCCTCATTTTGACGGAATGCCTCACATCCCGCTGACACCTCGAGAGGCACGCGGAGTTCATTGCTTCAAAAGGTGACGATGCCTGACTCCTCTTGAATACTGATAGGAATCCCAAAATACCTGTGGCTACTGGAAAGGGTCCTTGGGTGCCCTGCCTCACCTCGAGAAGCGTCCCTTTGGCCCTGCCAAGCCTCGAAGAGATTCCTGAGGTGTCTCTCGTTACTAGACAGGAGTCCTGACGTCACTGAAGAAACTCGTGTTTTGAAGGGCCATCCCCGCCGTAAGTCGAGAACATACCCCAGGTCCCCGCCGCAACTCGAGAAAAACCATGAGACTTCCCCCTAGAGGCGAGATGAGGCCCCATTCCCCTGCAGTGCATGCAGAGCTATTCCGTGATCCCATTCAAACAAGTCAGGAGCTTCGACTTGCTTAATGGATCTCGAGACAGTCCCCAAGAACACTGTCACCAGTCTAGACGGACCCTGAGGTCACCCCAGCAACGCAAAGCAGCTCCATGTGCCCCAAATCAACTCGAGATGAGGCCCGATTCCCCTGCATTGACTCCAGAGCCATTCCCCGTTCCCCATTCAACACGACCGGTGGCTCGACTTCCTTCAGGCAACTCCAGAGGTGCCCCGAGAACACTGTCCCAAGTCTAGAGGAACACCAACTTCAGCACAGCAACTCGAGGAATGCTCTGTGTACCCCAAATCGTCTCGAGATGCGAGCTGATTCCCTGGCTTAGGCTCAAGACGTATGCCAACTTCCCAGAAGCACCTCAGGAGGAGGCTTCTCTCAGCAATAGGTATGTGGGAGGGACCCCGAGTTTGCTGCCTCAAGGGGAATATACAGCGAGAAGCCCTAACTTGAAAGGAGGCCGGATTTCCTTGCAGTGGCTTGAATACAGGCTCGTCTTTCATCTCACAACATGAAGGGATGTCTGAATCCCCTGTGGAGACCTTAGAGAAAGCCCTAGGTCCCTGCCTCATTTTGACGGAATGCCTCACATCCCGCTGACACCTCGAGAGGCACGCGGAGTTCGTTGCGTCAAAAGGTGACGATGCCTGACTCCTCTTGAATACTGATAGGAATCCCAAAATCCCTGTGGCTACTGGAAAGGGTCCTTGGGTGCCCTGCCTCACCTCGAGAAGCGTCCCTTTGGCCCTGCCAAGCCTCGAAGAGATTCCTGAGGTGTCCCTCGTTACTAGACAGGAGTCCTGACGTCACTGAAGAAACTCGTGTTTTGAAGGGCCATCCCCGCCGTAAGTCGAGAACATACCCCAGGTCCCCGCCGCAACTCGAGAAAAACCATGAGACTTCCCCCTAGAGGCGAGATGAGGCCCCATTCCCCTGCAGTGCGTGCAGAGCTATTCCGTGATCCCATTCAAACAAGTCAGGAGCTTCGACTTGCTTAATGGATCTCGAGACAGTCCCCAAGAACACTGTCACCAGTCTAGACGGACCCTGAGGTCACCCCAGCAACGCAAAGCAGCTCCATGTGCCCCAAATCAACTCGAGATGAGGCCCGATTCCCCTGCATTGACTCCAGAGCCATTCCCAGTTCCCCATTCAACACGACCGGTGGCTCGACTTCCTTCAGGCAACTCCAGAGATGCCCCGAGAACACTGTCCCAAGTCTAGAGGAACACCAACTTCAGCACAGCAACTCGAGGAATGCTCCGTGTACCCCAAATCGTCTCGAGATGCGAGCTGATTCCCTGGCTTAGGCTCAAGACGTATGCCAACTTCCCAGAAGCACCTCAGGAGGAGGCTTCTCTCAGCAATAGGTATGTGGCAGGGACCCCGAGTTTGCTGCCTCAAGGGGAATATACAGCGAGAAGCCCTAACTTGAAAGGAGGCCGGATTTCCTTGCAGTGGCTTGAATACAGGCTCGTCTTTCATCTCACAACATGAAGGGATGTCTGAATCCCCTGTGGAGACCTTAGAGAAAGCCCTAGGTCCCTGCATCATTTTGACGGAATGCCTCACATCCCGCTGACACCTCGAGAGGCACGCGGAGTTCATTGCTTCAAAAGGTGACGATGCCTGACTCCTCTTGAATACTGATAGGAATCCCAAAATCCCTGTGGCTACTGGAAAGGGTCCTTGGGTGCCCTGCCTCACCTCGAGAAGCGTCCCTTTGGCCCTGCCAAGCCTCGAAGAGATTCCTGAGGTGTCCCTCGTTACTAGACAGGAGTCCTGACGTCACTGAAGAAACTCGTGTTTTGAAGGGCCATCCCCGCCGTAAGTCGAGAACATACCCCAGGTCCCCGCCGCAACTCGAGAAAAACCATGAGACTTCCCCCTAGAGGCGAGATGAGGCCCCATTCCCCTGCAGTGCATGCAGAGCTATTCCGTGATCCCATTCAAACAAGGCAGGAGCTTCGACTTGCTTAATGGATCTCGAGACAGTCCCCAAGAACACTGTCACCAGTCTAGACGGACCCTGAGGTCACCCCAGCAATGCAAAGCAGCTCCATGTGCCCCAAATCAACTCGAGATGAGGCCCGATTCCCCTGCATTGACTCCAGAGCCATTCCCCGTTCCCCATTCAACACGACCGGTGGCTCGACTTCCTTCAGGCAACTCCAGAGATGCCCCGAGAACACTGTCCCAAGTCTAGAGGAACACCACCTTCAGCACAGCAACTCGAGGAATGCTCCGTGTACCCCAAATCGTCTCGAGATGCGAGCTGATTCCCTGGCTTAGGCTCAAGACGTATGCCAACTTCCCAGAAGCACCTCAGGAGGAGGCTTCTCTCAGCAATAGGTATGTGGGAGGGACCCCGAGTTTGCTGCCTCAAGGGGAATATACAGCGAGAAGCCCTAACTTGAAAGGAGGCCGGATTTCCTTGCAGTGGCTTGAATACAGGCTCGTCTTTCATCTCACAACATGAAGGGATGTCTGAATCCCCTGTGGAGACCTTAGAGAAAGCCCTAGGTCCCTGCCTCATTTTGACGGAATGCCTCACATCCCGCTGACACCTCGAGAGGCACGCGGAGTTCATTGCTTCAAAAGGTGACGATGCCTGACTCCTCTTGAATACTGATAGGAATCCCAAAATCCCTGTGGCTACTGGAAAGGGTCCTTGGGTGCCCTGCCTCACCTCGAGAAGCGTCCCTTTGGCCCTGCCAAGCCTCGAAGAGATTCCTGAGGTGTCCCTCGTTACTAGACAGGAGTCCTGACGTCACTGAAGAAACTCGTGTTTTGAAGGGCCATCCCCGCCGTAAGTCGAGAACATACCCCAGGTCCCCGCCGCAACTCGAGAAAAACCATGAGACTTCCCCCTAGAGGCGAGATGAGGCCCCATTCCCCTGTAGTGCGTGCAGAGCTATTCCGTGATCCCATTCAAACAAGTCAGGAGCTTCGACTTGCTTAATGGATCTCGAGACAGTCCCCAAGAACACTGTCACCAGTCTAGACGGACCCTGAGGTCACCCCAGCAACGCAAAGCAGCTCCATGTGCCCCAAATCAACTCGAGATGAGGCCCGATTCCCCTGCATTGACTCCAGAGCCATTCCCAGTTCCCCATTCAACACGACCGGTGGCTCGACTTCCTTCAGGCAACTCCAGAGATGCCCCGAGAACACTGTCCCAAGTCTAGAGGAACACCAACTTCAGCACAGCAACTCGAGGAATGCTCCGTGTACCCCAAATCGTCTCGAGATGCGAGCTGATTCCCTGGCTTAGGCTCAAGACGTATGCCAACTTCCCAGAAGCACCTCAGGAGGAGGCTTCTCTCAGCAGTAGGTATGTGGGAGGGACCCCGAGTTTGCTGCCTCAAGGGGAATATACAGCGAGAAGCCCTAACTTGAAAGGAGGCCGGATTTCCTTGCAGTGGCTTGAATACAGGCTCGTCTTTCATCTCACAACATGAAGGGATGTCTGAATCCCCTGTGGAGACCTTAGAGAAAGCCCTAGGTCCCTGCCTCATTTTGACGGAATGCCTCACATCCCGCTGACACCTCGAGAGGCACGCGGAGTTCGTTGCGTCAAAAGGTGACGATGCCTGACTCCTCTTGAATACTGATAGGAATCCCAAAATCCCTGTGGCTACTGGAAAGGGTCCTTGGGTGCCCTGCCTCACCTCGAGAAGCGTCCCTTTGGCCCTGCCAAGCCTCGAAGAGATTCCTGAGGTGTCCCTCGTTACTAGACAGGAGTCCTGACGTCACTGAAGAAACTCGTGTTTTGAAGGGCCATCCCCGCCGTAAGTCGAGAACATACCCCAGGTCCCCGCCGCAACTCGAGAAAAACCATGAGACTTCCCCCTAGAGGCGAGATGAGGCCCCATTCCCCTGCAGTGCATGCAGAGCTATTCCGTGATCCCATTCAAACAAGGCAGGAGCTTCGACTTGCTTAATGGATCTCGAGACAGTCCCCAAGAACACTGTCACCAGTCTAGACGGACCCTGAGGTCACCCCAGCAACGCAAAGCAGCTCCATGTGCCCCAAATCAACTCGAGATGAGGCCCGATTCCCCTGCATTGACTCCAGAGCCATTCCCCGTTCCCCATTCAACACGACCGGTGGCTCGACTTCCTTCAGGCAACTCCAGAGATGCCCCGAGAACACTGTCCCAAGTCTAGAGGAACACCACCTTCAGCACAGCAACTCGAGGAATGCTCCGTGTACCCCAAATCGTCTCGAGATGCGAGCTGATTCCCTGGCTTAGGCTCAAGACGTATGCCAACTTCCCAGAAGCACCTCAGGAGGAGGCTTCTCTCAGCAATAGGTATGTGGGAGGGACCCCGAGTTTGCTGCCTCAAGGGGAATATACAGCGAGAAGCCCTAACTTGAAAGGAGGCCGGATTTCCTTGCAGTGGCTTGAATACAGGCTCGTCTTTCATCTCACAACATGAAGGGATGTCTGAATCCCCTGTGGAGACCTTAGAGAAAGCCCTAGGTCCCTGCCTCATTTTGACGGAATGCCTCACATCCCGCTGACACCTCGAGAGGCACGCGGAGTTCGTTGCGTCAAAAGGTGACGATGCCTGACTCCTCTTGAATACTGATAGGAATCCCAAAATCCCTGTGGCTACTGGAAAGGGTCCTTGGGTGCCCTGCCTCACCTCGAGAAGCGTCCCTTTGGCCCTGCCAAGCCTCGAAGAGATTCCTGAGGTGTCCCTCGTTACTAGACAGGAGTCCTGACGTCACTGAAGAAACTCGTGTTTTGAAGGGCCATCCCCGCCGTAAGTCGAGAACATACCCCAGGTCCCCGCCGCAACTCGAGAAAAACCATGAGACTTCCCCCTAGAGGCAGGATGAGGCCCCATTCCCCTGCACTGCCTGCAGAGCTATTCCGTGATCCCATTCAAACAAGTCAGGAGCTTCGACTTGCTTAATGGATCTCGAGACAGTCCCCAAGAACACTGTCACCAGTCTAGACGGACCCTGAGGTCACCCCAGCAACGCAAAGCAGCTCCATGTGCCCCAAATCAACTCGAGATGAGGCCCGATTCCCCTGCATTGACTCCAGAGCCATTCCCCGTTCCCCATTCAACACGACCGGTGGCTCGACTTCCTTCAGGCAACTTCAGAGATGCCCCGAGAACACTGTCCCAAGTCTAGAGGAACACCACCTTCAGCACAGCAACTCGAGGAATGCTCCGTGTACCCCAAATCGTCTCGAGATGCGAGCTGATTCCCTGGCTTAGGCTCAAGACGTATGCCAACTTCCCAGAAGCACCTCAGGAGGAGGCTTCTCTCAGCAATAGGTATGTGGGAGGGACCCCGAGTTTGCTGCCTCAAGGGGAATATACAGCGAGAAGCCCTAACTTGAAAGGAGGCCGGATTTCCTTGCAGTGGCTTGAATACAGGCTCGTCTTTCATCTCACAACATGAAGGGATGTCTGAATCCCCTGTGGAGACCTTAGAGAAAGCCCTAGGTCCCTGCCTCATTTTGACGGAATGCCTCACATCCCGCTGACACCTCGAGAGGCACGCGGAGTTCATTGCTTCAAAAGGTGACGATGCCTGACTCCTCTTGAATACTGATAGGAATCCCAAAATACCTGTGGCTACTGGAAAGGGTCCTTGGGTGCCCTGCCTCACCTCGAGAAGCGTCCCTTTGGCCCTGCCAAGCCTCGAAGAGATTCCTGAGGTGTCCCTCGTTACTAGACAGGAGTCCTGACGTCACTGAAGAAACTCGTGTTTTGAAGGGCCATCCCCGCCGTAAGTCGAGAACATACCCCAGGTCCCCGCCGCAACTCGAGAAAAACCATGAGACTTCCCCCTAGAGGCGAGATGAGGCCCCATTCCCCTGCAGTGCATGCAGAGCTATTCCGTGATCCCATTCAAACAAGTCAGGAGCTTCGACTTGCTTAATGGATCTCGAGACAGTCCCCAAGAACACTGTCACCAGTCTAGACGGACCCTGAGGTCACCCCAGCAACGCAAAGCAGCTCCATGTGCCCCAAATCAACTCGAGATGAGGCCCGATTCCCCTGCATTGACTCCAGAGCCATTCCCCGTTCCCCATTCAACACGACCGGTGGCTCGACTTCCTTCAGGCAACTCCAGAGATGCCCCGAGAACACTGTCCCAAGTCTAGAGGAACACCAACTTCAGCACAGCAACTCGAGGAATGCTCCGTGTACCCCAAATCGTCTCGAGATGCGAGCTGATTCCCTGGCTTAGGCTCAAGACGTATGCCAACTTCCCAGAAGCACCTCAGGAGGAGGCTTCTCTCAGCAATAGGTATGTGGGAGGGACCCCGAGTTTGCTGCCTCAAGGGGAATATACAGCGAGAAGCCCTAACTTGAAAGGAGGCCGGATTTCCTTGCAGTGGCTTGAATACAGGCTCGTCTTTCATTTCACAACATGAAGGGATGTCTGAATCCCCTGTGGAGACCTTAGAGAAAGCCCTAGGTCCCTGCCTCATTTTGACGGAATGCCTCACATCCCGCTGACACCTCGAGAGGCACGCGGAGTTCGTTGCGTCAAAAGGTGACGATGCCTGACTCCTCTTGAATACTGATAGGAATCCCAAAATCCCTGTGGCTACTGGAAAGGGTCCTTGGGTGCCCTGCCTCACCTCGAGAAGCGTCCCTTTGGCCCTGCCAAGCCTCGAAGAGATTCCTGAGGTGTCCCTCGTTACTAGACAGGAGTCCTGACGTCACTGAAGAAACTCGTGTTTTGAAGGGCCATCCCCGCCGTAAGTCGAGAACATACCCCAGGTCCCCGCCGCAACTCGAGAAAAACCATGAGACTTCCCCCTAGAGGCAGGATGAGGCCCCATTCCCCTGCACTGCCTGCAGAGCTATTCCGTGATCCCATTCAAACAAGTCAGGAGCTTCGACTTGCTTAATGGATCTCGAGACAGTCCCCAAGAACACTGTCACCAGTCTAGACGGACCCTGAGGTCACCCCAGCAACGCAAAGCAGCTCCATGTGCCCCAAATCAACTCGAGATGAGGCCCGATTCCCCTGCATTGACTCCAGAGCCATTCCCCGTTCCCCATTCAACACGACCGGTGGCTCGACTTCCTTCAGGCAACTTCAGAGATGCCCCGAGAACACTGTCCCAAGTCTAGAGGAACACCACCTTCAGCACAGCAACTCGAGGAATGCTCCGTGTACCCCAAATCGTCTCGAGATGCGAGCTGATTCCCTGGCTTAGGCTCAAGACGTATGCCAACTTCCCAGAAGCACCTCAGGAGGAGGCTTCTCTCAGCAATAGGTATGTGGGAGGGACCCCGAGTTTGCTGCCTCAAGGGGAATATACAGCGAGAAGCCCTAACTTGAAAGGAGGCCGGATTTCCTTGCAGTGGCTTGAATACAGGCTCGTCTTTCATCTCACAACATGAAGGGATGTCTGAATCCCCTGTGGAGACCTTAGAGAAAGCCCTAGGTCCCTGCCTCATTTTGACGGAATGCCTCACATCCCGCTGACACCTCGAGAGGCACGCGGAGTTCATTGCTTCAAAAGGTGACGATGCCTGACTCCTCTTGAATACTGATAGGAATCCCAAAATACCTGTGGCTACTGGAAAGGGTCCTTGGGTGCCCTGCCTCACCTCGAGAAGCGTCCCTTTGGCCCTGCCAAGCCTCGAAGAGATTCCTGAGGTGTCCCTCGTTACTAGACAGGAGTCCTGACGTCACTGAAGAAACTCGTGTTTTGAAGGGCCATCCCCGCCGTAAGTCGAGAACATACCCCAGGTCCCCGCCGCAACTCGAGAAAAACCATGAGACTTCCCCCTAGAGGCGAGATGAGGCCCCATTCCCCTGCAGTGCATGCAGAGCTATTCCGTGATCCCATTCAAACAAGTCAGGAGCTTCGACTTGCTTAATGGATCTCGAGACAGTCCCCAAGAACACTGTCACCAGTCTAGACGGACCCTGAGGTCACCCCAGCAACGCAAAGCAGCTCCATGTGCCCCAAATCAACTCGAGATGAGGCCCGATTCCCCTGCATTGACTCCAGAGCCATTCCCCGTTCCCCATTCAACACGACCGGTGGCTCGACTTCCTTCAGGCAACTCCAGAGATGCCCCGAGAACACTGTCCCAAGTCTAGAGGAACACCAACTTCAGCACAGCAACTCGAGGAATGCTCCGTGTACCCCAAATCGTCTCGAGATGCGAGCTGATTCCCTGGCTTAGGCTCAAGACGTATGCCAACTTCCCAGAAGCACCTCAGGAGGAGGCTTCTCTCAGCAGTAGGTATGTGGGAGGGACCCCGAGTTTGCTGCCTCAAGGGGAATATACAGCGAGAAGCACTAACTTGAAAGGAGGCCGGATTTCCTTGCAGTGGCTTGAATACAGGCTCGTCTTTCATCTCACAACATGAAGGGATGTCTGAATCCCCTGTGGAGACCTTAGAGAAAGCCCTAGGTCCCTGCCTCATTTTGACGGAATGCCTCACATCCCGCTGACACCTCGAGAGGCACGCGGAGTTCATTGCTTCAAAAGGTGACGATGCCTGACTCCTCTTGAATACTGATAGGAATCCCAAAATCCCTGTGGCTACTGGAAAGGGTCCTTGGGTGCCCTGCCTCACCTCGAGAAGCGTCCCTTTTGCCCTGCCAAGCCTCGAAGAGATTCCTGAGGTGTCCCTCGTTACTAGACAGGAGTCCTGACGTCACTGAAGAAACTCGTGTTTTGAAGGGCCATCCCCGCCGTAAGTCGAGAACATACCCCAGGTCCCCGCCGCAACTCGAGAAAAACCATGAGACTTCCCCCTAGAGGCCAGATGAGTCCCCATTCCCCTGCAGTGCATGCAGAGCTATTCCGTGATCCCATTCAAACAAGTCAGGAGCTTCGACTTGCTTAATGGATCTCGAGACAGTCCCCAAGAACACTGTCACCAGTCTAGACGGACCCTGAGGTCACCCCAGCAACGCAAAGCAGCTCCATGTGCCCCAAATCAACTCGAGATGAGGCCCGATTCCCCTGCATTGACTCCAGAGCCATTCCCCGTTCCCCATTCAACACGACCGGTGGCTCAACTTCCTTCAGGCAACTCCAGAGATGCCCCGAGAACACTGTCCCAAGTCTAGAGGAACACCACCTTCAGCACAGCAACTCGAGGAATGCTCCGTGTACCCCAAATCGTCTCGAGATGCGAGCTGATTCCCTGGCTTAGGCTCAAGACGTATGCCAACTTCCCAGAAGCACCTCAGGAGGAGGCTTCTCTCAGCAGTAGGTATGTGGGAGGGACCCCGAGTTTGCTGCCTCAAGGGGAATATACAGCGAGAAGCCCTAACTTGAAAGGAGGCCGGATTTCCTTGCAGTGGCTTGAATACAGGCTCGTCTTTCATCTCACAACATGAAGGGATGTCTGAATCCCCTGTGGAGACCTTAGAGAAAGCCCTAGGTCCCTGCCTCATTTTGACGGAATGCCTCACATCCCGCTGACACCTCGAGAGGCACGCGGAGTTCATTGCTTCAAAAGGTGACGATGCCTGACTCCTCTTGAATACTGATAGGAATCCCAAAATCCCTGTGGCTACTGGAAAGGGTCCTTGGGTGCCCTGCCTCACCTCGAGAAGCGTCCCTTTGGCCCTGCCAAGCCTCGAAGAGATTCCTGAGGTGTCCCTCGTTACTAGACAGGAGTCCTGATGTCACTGAAGAAACTCGTGTTTTGAAGGGCCATCCCCGCCGTAAGTCGAGAACATACCCCAGGTCCCCGCCGCAACTCGAGAAAAACCATGAGACTTCCCCCTAGAGGCGAGATGAGGCCCCATTCCCCTGCAGTGCATGCAGAGCTATTCCGTGATCCCATTCAAACAAGTCAGGAGCTTCGACTTGCTTAATGGATCTCGAGACAGTCCCCAAGAACACTGTCACCAGTCTAGACGGACCCTGAGGTCACCCCAGCAACGCAAAGCAGCTCCATGTGCCCCAAATCAACTCGAGATGAGGCCCGATTCCCCTGCATTGACTCCAGAGCCATTCCCCGTTCCCCATTCAACACGACCGGTGGCTCGACTTCCTTCAGGCAACTCCAGAGATGCCCCGAGAACACTGTCCCAAGTCTAGAGGAACACCACCTTCAGCACAGCAACTCGAGGAATGCTCCGTGTACCCCAAATCGTCTCGAGATGCGAGCTGATTCCCTGGCTTAGGCTCAAGACGTATGCCAACTTCCCAGAAGCACCTCAGGAGGAGGCTTCTCTCAGCAATAGGTATGTGGGAGGGACCCCGAGTTTGCTGCCTCAAGGGGAATATACAGCGAGAAGCCCTAACTTGAAAGGAGGCCGGATTTCCTTGCAGTGGCTTGAATACAGGCTCGTCTTTCATCTCACAACATGAAGGGATGTCTGAATCCCCTGTGGAGACCTTAGAGAAAGCCCTAGGTCCCTGCCTCATTTTGACGGAATGCCTCACATCCCGCTGACACCTCGAGAGGCACGCGGAGTTCGTTGCGTCAAAAGGTGACGATGCCTGACTCCTCTTGAATACTGATAGGAATCCCAAAATCCCTGTGGCTACTGGAAAGGGTCCTTGGGTGCCCTGCCTCACCCCGAGAAGCGTCCCTTTGGCCCTGCCAAGCCTCGAAGAGATTCCTGAGGTGTCCCTCGTTACTAGACAGGAGTCCTGACGTCACTGAAGAAACTCGTGTTTTGAAGGGCCATCCCCGCCGTAAGTCGAGAACATACCCCAGGTCCCCGCCGCAACTCGAGAAAAACCATGAGACTTCCCCCTAGAGGCGAGATGAGGCCCCATTCCCCTGCAGTGCATGCAGAGCTATTCCGTGATCCCATTCAAACAAGGCAGGAGCTTCGACTTGCTTAATGGATCTCGAGACAGTCCCCAAGAACACTGTCACCAGTCTAGACGGACCCTGAGGTCACCCCAGCAACGCAAAGCAGCTCCATGTGCCCCAAATCAACTCGAGATGAGGCCCGATTCCCCTGCATTGACTCCAGAGCCATTCCCTGTTCCCCATTCAACACGACCGGTGGCTCGACTTCCTTCAGGCAACTCCAGAGATGCCCCGAGAACACTGTCCCAAGTCTAGAGGAACACCACCTTCAGCACAGCAACTCGAGGAATGCTCCGTGTACCCCAAATCGTCTCGAGATGCGAGCTGATTCCCTGGCTTAGGCTCAAGACGTATGCCAACTTCCCAGAAGCACCTCAGGAGGAGGCTTCTCTCAGCAATAGGTATGTGGGAGGGACCCCGAGTTTGCTGCCTCAAGGGGAATATACAGCGAGAAGCCCTAACTTGAAAGGAGGCCGGATTTCCTTGCAGTGGCTTGAATACAGGCTCGTCTTTCATCTCACAACATGAAGGGATGTCTGAATCCCCTGTGGAGACCTTAGAGAAAGCCCTAGGTCCCTGCCTCATTTTGACGGAATGCCTCACATCCCGCTGACACCTCGAGAGGCACGCGGAGTTCGTTGCGTCAAAAGGTGACGATGCCTGACTCCTCTTGAATACTGATAGGAATCCCAAAATCCCTGTGGCTACTGGAAAGGGTCCTTGGGTGCCCTGCCTCACCTCGAGAAGCGTCCCTTTGGCCCTGCCAAGCCTCGAAGAGATTCCTGAGGTGTCCCTCGTTACTAGACAGGAGTCCTGACGTCACTGAAGAAACTCGTGTTTTGAAGGGCCATCCCCGCCGTAAGTCGAGAACATACCCCAGGTCCCCGCCGCAACTCGAGAAAAACCATGAGACTTCCCCCTAGAGGCAGGATGAGGCCCCATTCCCCTGCACTGCCTGCAGAGCTATTCCGTGATCCCATTCAAACAAGTCAGGAGCTTCGACTTGCTTAATGGATCTCGAGACAGTCCCCAAGAACACTGTCACCAGTCTAGACGGACCCTGAGGTCACCCCAGCAACGCAAAGCAGCTCCATGTGCCCCAAATCAACTCGAGATGAGGCCCGATTCCCCTGCATTGACTCCAGAGCCATTCCCCATTCCCCATTCAACACGACCGGTGGCTCGACTTCCTTCAGGCAACTTCAGAGATGCCCCGAGAACACTGTCCCAAGTCTAGAGGAACACCACCTTCAGCACAGCAACTCGAGGAATGCTCCGTGTACCCCAAATCGTCTCGAGATGCGAGCTGATTCCCTGGCTTAGGCTCAAGACGTATGCCAGCTTCCCAGAAGCACCTCAGGAGGAGGCTTCTCTCAGCAATAGGTATGTGGGAGGGACCCCGAGTTTGCTGCCTCAAGGGGAATATACAGCGAGAAGCCCTAACTTGAAAGGAGGCCGGATTTCCTTGCAGTGGCTTGAATACAGGCTCGTCTTTCATCTCACAACATGAAGGGATGTCTGAATCCCCTGTGGAGACCTTAGAGAAAGCCCTAGGTCCCTGCCTCATTTTGACGGAATGCCTCACATCCCGCTGACACCTCGAGAGGCACGCGGAGTTCATTGCTTCAAAAGGTGACGATGCCTGACTCCTCTTGAATACTGATAGGAATCCCAAAATCCCTGTGGCTACTGGAAAGGGTCCTTGGGTGCCCTGCCTCACCTCGAGAAGCGTCCCTTTGGCCCTGCCAAGCCTCGAAGAGATTCCTGAGGTGTCCCTCGTTACTAGACAGGAGTCCTGACGTCACTGAAGAAACTCGTGTTTTGAAGGGCCATCCCCGCCGTAAGTCGAGAACATACCCCAGGTCCCCGCCGCAACTCGAGAAAAACCATGAGACTTCCCCCTAGAGGCAGGATGAGGCCCCATTCCCCTGCACTGCCTGCAGAGCTATTCCGTGATCCCATTCAAACAAGTCAGGAGCTTCGACTTGCTTAATGGATCTCGAGACAGTCCCCAAGAACACTGTCACCAGTCTAGACGGACCCTGAGGTCACCCCAGCAACGCAAAGCAGCTCCATGTGCCCCAAATCAACTCGAGATGAGGCCCGATTCCCCTGCATTGACTCCAGAGCCATTCCCCGTTCCCCATTCAACACGACCGGTGGCTCGACTTCCTTCAGGCAACTTCAGAGATGCCCCGAGAACACTGTCCCAAGTCTAGAGGAACACCACCTTCAGCACAGCAACTCGAGGAATGCTCCGTGTACCCCAAATCGTCTCGAGATGCGAGCTGATTCCCTGGCTTAGGCTCAAGACGTATGCCAACTTCCCAGAAGCACCTCAGGAGGAGGCTTCTCTCAGCAATAGGTATGTGGGAGGGACCCCGAGTTTGCTGCCTCAAGGGGAATATACAGCGAGAAGCCCTAACTTGAAAGGAGGCCGGATTTCCTTGCAGTGGCTTGAATACAGGCTCGTCTTTCATCTCACAACATGAAGGGATGTCTGAATCCCCTGTGGAGACCTTAGAGAAAGCCCTAGGTCCCTGCCTCATTTTGACGGAATGCCTCACATCCCGCTGACACCTCGAGAGGCACGCGGAGTTCATTGCTTCAAAAGGTGACGATGCCTGACTCCTCTTGAATACTGATAGGAATCCCAAAATACCTGTGGCTACTGGAAAGGGTCCTTGGGTGCCCTGCCTCACCTCGAGAAGCGTCCCTTTGGCCCTGCCAAGCCTCGAAGAGATTCCTGAGGTGTCCCTCGTTACTAGACAGGAGTCCTGACGTCACTGAAGAAACTCGTGTTTTGAAGGGCCATCCCCGCCGTAAGTCGAGAACATACCCCAGGTCCCCGCCGCAACTCGAGAAAAACCATGAGACTTCCCCCTAGAGGCGAGATGAGGCCCCATTCCCCTGCAGTGCATGCAGAGCTATTCCGTGATCCCATTCAAACAAGTCAGGAGCTTCGACTTGCTTAATGGATCTCGAGACAGTCCCCAAGAACACTGTCACCAGTCTAGACGGACCCTGAGGTCACCCCAGCAACGCAAAGCAGCTCCATGTGCCCCAAATCAACTCGAGATGAGGCCCGATTCCCCTGCATTGACTCCAGAGCCATTCCCCGTTCCCCATTCAACACGACCGGTGGCTCGACTTCCTTCAGGCAACTCCAGAGATGCCCCGAGAACACTGTCCCAAGTCTAGAGGAACACCAACTTCAGCACAGCAACTCGAGGAATGCTCCGTGTACCCCAAATCGTCTCGAGATGCGAGCTGATTCCCTGGCTTAGGCTCAAGACGTATGCCAACTTCCCAGAAGCACCTCAGGAGGAGGCTTCTCTCAGCAATAGGTATGTGGGAGGGACCCCGAGTTTGCTGCCTCAAGGGGAATATACAGCGAGAAGCCCTAACTTGAAAGGAGGCCGGATTTCCTTGCAGTGGCTTGAATACAGGCTCGTCTTTCATTTCACAACATGAAGGGATGTCTGAATCCCCTGTGGAGACCTTAGAGAAAGCCCTAGGTCCCTGCCTCATTTTGACGGAATGCCTCACATCCCGCTGACACCTCGAGAGGCACGCGGAGTTCGTTGCGTCAAAAGGTGACGATGCCTGACTCCTCTTGAATACTGATAGGAATCCCAAAATCCCTGTGGCTACTGGAAAGGGTCCTTGGGTGCCCTGCCTCACCTCGAGAAGCGTCCCTTTGGCCCTGCCAAGCCTCGAAGAGATTCCTGAGGTGTCCCTCGTTACTAGACAGGAGTCCTGACGTCACTGAAGAAACTCGTGTTTTGAAGGGCCATCCCCGCCGTAAGTCGAGAACATACCCCAGGTCCCCGCCGCAACTCGAGAAAAACCATGAGACTTCCCCCTAGAGGCAGGATGAGGCCCCATTCCCCTGCACTGCCTGCAGAGCTATTCCGTGATCCCATTCAAACAAGTCAGGAGCTTCGACTTGCTTAATGGATCTCGAGACAGTCCCCAAGAACACTGTCACCAGTCTAGACGGACCCTGAGGTCACCCCAGCAACGCAAAGCAGCTCCATGTGCCCCAAATCAACTCGAGATGAGGCCCGATTCCCCTGCATTGACTCCAGAGCCATTCCCCGTTCCCCATTCAACACGACCGGTGGCTCGACTTCCTTCAGGCAACTTCAGAGATGCCCCGAGAACACTGTCCCAAGTCTAGAGGAACACCACCTTCAGCACAGCAACTCGAGGAATGCTCCGTGTACCCCAAATCGTCTCGAGATGCGAGCTGATTCCCTGGCTTAGGCTCAAGACGTATGCCAACTTCCCAGAAGCACCTCAGGAGGAGGCTTCTCTCAGCAATAGGTATGTGGGAGGGACCCCGAGTTTGCTGCCTCAAGGGGAATATACAGCGAGAAGCCCTAACTTGAAAGGAGGCCGGATTTCCTTGCAGTGGCTTGAATACAGGCTCGTCTTTCATCTCACAACATGAAGGGATGTCTGAATCCCCTGTGGAGACCTTAGAGAAAGCCCTAGGTCCCTGCCTCATTTTGACGGAATGCCTCACATCCCGCTGACACCTCGAGAGGCACGCGGAGTTCATTGCTTCAAAAGGTGACGATGCCTGACTCCTCTTGAATACTGATAGGAATCCCAAAATACCTGTGGCTACTGGAAAGGGTCCTTGGGTGCCCTGCCTCACCTCGAGAAGCGTCCCTTTGGCCCTGCCAAGCCTCGAAGAGATTCCTGAGGTGTCCCTCGTTACTAGACAGGAGTCCTGACGTCACTGAAGAAACTCGTGTTTTGAAGGGCCATCCCCGCCGTAAGTCGAGAACATACCCCAGGTCCCCGCCGCAACTCGAGAAAAACCATGAGACTTCCCCCTAGAGGCGAGATGAGGCCCCATTCCCCTGCAGTGCATGCAGAGCTATTCCGTGATCCCATTCAAACAAGTCAGGAGCTTCGACTTGCTTAATGGATCTCGAGACAGTCCCCAAGAACACTGTCACCAGTCTAGACGGACCCTGAGGTCACCCCAGCAACGCAAAGCAGCTCCATGTGCCCCAAATCAACTCGAGATGAGGCCCGATTCCCCTGCATTGACTCCAGAGCCATTCCCCGTTCCCCATTCAACACGACCGGTGGCTCGACTTCCTTCAGGCAACTCCAGAGATGCCCCGAGAACACTGTCCCAAGTCTAGAGGAACACCAACTTCAGCACAGCAACTCGAGGAATGCTCCGTGTACCCCAAATCGTCTCGAGATGCGAGCTGATTCCCTGGCTTAGGCTCAAGACGTATGCCAACTTCCCAGAAGCACCTCAGGAGGAGGCTTCTCTCAGCAATAGGTATGTGGGAGGGACCCCGAGTTTGCTGCCTCAAGGGGAATATACAGCGAGAAGCCCTAACTTGAAAGGAGGCCGGATTTCCTTGCAGTGGCTTGAATACAGGCTCGTCTTTCATTTCACAACATGAAGGGATGTCTGAATCCCCTGTGGAGACCTTAGAGAAAGCCCTAGGTCCCTGCCTCATTTTGACGGAATGCCTCACATCCCGCTGACACCTCGAGAGGCACGCGGAGTTCGTTGCGTCAAAAGGTGACGATGCCTGACTCCTCTTGAATACTGATAGGAATCCCAAAATCCCTGTGGCTACTGGAAAGGGTCCTTGGGTGCCCTGCCTCACCTCGAGAAGCGTCCCTTTGGCCCTGCCAAGCCTCGAAGAGATTCCTGAGGTGTCCCTCGTTACTAGACAGGAGTCCTGACGTCACTGAAGAAACTCGTGTTTTGAAGGGCCATCCCCGCCGTAAGTCGAGAACATACCCCAGGTCCCCGCCGCAACTCGAGAAAAACCATGAGACTTCCCCCTAGAGGCGAGATGAGGCCCCATTCCCCTGCAGTGCGTGCAGAGCTATTCCGTGATCCCATTCAAACAAGGCAGGAGCTTCGACTTGCTTAATGGATCTCGAGACAGTCCCCAAGAACACTGTCACCAGTCTAGACGGACCCTGAGGTCACCCCAGCAACGCAAAGCAGCTCCATGTGCCCCAAATCAACTCGAGATGAGGCCCGATTCCCCTGCATTGACTCCAGAGCCATTCCCCGTTCCCCATTCAACACGACCGGTGGCTCGACTTCCTTCAGGCAACTCCAGAGATGCCCCGAGAACACTGTCCCAAGTCTAGAGGAACACCACCTTCAGCACAGCAACTCGAGGAATGCTCCGTGTACCCCAAATCGTCTCGAGATGCGAGCTGATTCCCTGGCTTAGGCTCAAGACGTATGCCAACTTCCCAGAAGCACCTCAGGAGGAGGCTTCTCTCAGCAATAGGTATGTGGGAGGGACCCCGAGTTTGCTGCCTCAAGGGGAATATACAGCGAGAAGCCCTAACTTGAAAGGAGGCCGGATTTCCTTGCAGTGGCTTGAATACAGGCTCGTCTTTCATCTCACAACATGAAGGGATGTCTGAATCCCCTGTGGAGACCTTAGAGAAAGCCCTAGGTCCCTGCCTCATTTTGACGGAATGCCTCACATCCCGCTGACACCTCGAGAGGCACGCGGAGTTCGTTGCGTCAAAAGGTGACGATGCCTGACTCCTCTTGAATACTGATAGGAATCCCAAAATCCCTGTGGCTACTGGAAAGGGTCCTTGGGTGCCCTGCCTCACCCCGAGAAGCGTCCCTTTGGCCCTGCCAAGCCTCGAAGAGATTCCTGAGGTGTCCCTCGTTACTAGACAGGAGTCCTGACGTCACTGAAGAAACTCGTGTTTTGAAGGGCCATCCCCGCCGTAAGTCGAGAACATACCCCAGGTCCCCGCCGCAACTCGAGAAAAACCATGAGACTTCCCCCTAGAGGCGAGATGAGGCCCCATTCCCCTGCAGTGCATGCAGAGCTATTCCGTGATCCCATTCAAACAAGGCAGGAGCTTCGACTTGCTTAATGGATCTCGAGACAGTCCCCAAGAACACTGTCACCAGTCTAGACGGACCCTGAGGTCACCCCAGCAACGCAAAGCAGCTCCATGTGCCCCAAATCAACTCGAGATGAGGCCCGATTCCCCTGCATTGACTCCAGAGCCATTCCCCGTTCCCCATTCAACACGACCGGTGGCTCGACTTCCTTCAGGCAACTCCAGAGATGCCCCGAGAACACTGTCCCAAGTCTAGAGGAACACCACCTTCAGCACAGCAACTCGAGGAATGCTCCGTGTACCCCAAATCGTCTCGAGATGCGAGCTGATTCCCTGGCTTAGGCTCAAGACGTATGCCAACTTCCCAGAAGCACCTCAGGAGGAGGCTTCTCTCAGCAATAGGTATGTGGGAGGGACCCCGAGTTTGCTGCCTCAAGGGGAATATACAGCGAGAAGCCCTAACTTGAAAGGAGGCCGGATTTCCTTGCAGTGGCTTGAATACAGGCTCGTCTTTCATCTCACAACATGAAGGGATGTCTGAATCCCCTGTGGAGACCTTAGAGAAAGCCCTAGGTCCCTGCCTCATTTTGACGGAATGCCTCACATCCCGCTGACACCTCGAGAGGCACGCGGAGTTCGTTGCGTCAAAAGGTGACGATGCCTGACTCCTCTTGAATACTGATAGGAATCCCAAAATCCCTGTGGCTACTGGAAAGGGTCCTTGGGTGCCCTGCCTCACCTCGAGAAGCGTCCCTTTGGCCCTGCCAAGCCTCGAAGAGATTCCTGAGGTGTCCCTCGTTACTAGACAGGAGTCCTGACGTCACTGAAGAAACTCGTGTTTTGAAGGGCCATCCCCGCCGTAAGTCGAGAACATACCCCAGGTCCCCGCCGCAACTCGAGAAAAACCATGAGACTTCCCCCTAGAGGCAGGATGAGGCCCCATTCCCCTGCACTGCCTGCAGAGCTATTCCGTGATCCCATTCAAACAAGTCAGGAGCTTCGACTTGCTTAATGGATCTCGAGACAGTCCCCAAGAACACTGTCACCAGTCTAGACGGACCCTGAGGTCACCCCAGCAACGCAAAGCAGCTCCATGTGCCGCAAATCAACTCGAGATGAGGCCCGATTCCCCTGCATTGACTCCAGAGCCATTCCCCATTCCCCATTCAACACGACCGGTGGCTCGACTTCCTTCAGGCAACTTCAGAGATGCCCCGAGAACACTGTCCCAAGTCTAGAGGAACACCACCTTCAGCACAGCAACTCGAGGAATGCTCCGTGTACCCCAAATCGTCTCGAGATGCGAGCTGATTCCCTGGCTTAGGCTCAAGACGTATGCCAGCTTCCCAGAAGCACCTCAGGAGGAGGCTTCTCTCAGCAATAGGTATGTGGGAGGGACCCCGAGTTTGCTGCCTCAAGGGGAATATACAGCGAGAAGCCCTAACTTGAAAGGAGGCCGGATTTCCTTGCAGTGGCTTGAATACAGGCTCGTCTTTCATCTCACAACATGAAGGGATGTCTGAATCCCCTGTGGAGACCTTAGAGAAAGCCCTAGGTCCCTGCCTCATTTTGACGGAATGCCTCACATCCCGCTGACACCTCGAGAGGCACGCGGAGTTCATTGCTTCAAAAGGTGACGATGCCTGACTCCTCTTGAATACTGATAGGAATCCCAAAATCCCTGTGGCTACTGGAAAGGGTCCTTGGGTGCCCTGCCTCACCTCGAGAAGCGTCCCTTTGGCCCTGCCAAGCCTCGAAGAGATTCCTGAGGTGTCCCTCGTTACTAGACAGGAGTCCTGACGTCACTGAAGAAACTCGTGTTTTGAAGGGCCATCCCCGCCGTAAGTCGAGAACATACCCCAGGTCCCCGCCGCAACTCGAGAAAAACCATGAGACTTCCCCCTAGAGGCGAGATGAGGCCCCATTCCCCTGCAGTGCATGCAGAGCTATTCCGTGATCCCATTCAAACAAGTCAGGAGCTTCGACTTGCTTAATGGATCTCGAGACAGTCCCCAAGAACACTGTCACCAGTCTAGACGGACCCTGAGGTCACCCCAGCAACGCAAAGCAGCTCCATGTGCCCCAAATCAACTCGAGATGAGGCCCGATTCCCCTGCATTGACTCCAGAGCCATTCCCCGTTCCCCATTCAACACGACCGGTGGCTCGACTTCCTTCAGGCAACTCCAGAGATGCCCCGAGAACACTGTCCCAAGTCTAGAGGAACACCAACTTCAGCACAGCAACTCGAGGAATGCTCCGTGTACCCCAAATCGTCTCGAGATGCGAGCTGATTCCCTGGCTTAGGCTCAAGACGTATGCCAACTTCCCAGAAGCACCTCAGGAGGAGGCTTCTCTCAGCAATAGGTATGTGGGAGGGACCCCGAGTTTGCTGCCTCAAGGGGAATATACAGCGAGAAGCCCTAACTTGAAAGGAGGCCGGATTTCCTTGCAGTGGCTTGAATACAGGCTCGTCTTTCATCTCACAACATGAAGGGATGTCTGAATCCCCTGTGGAGACCTTAGAGAAAGCCCTAGGTCCCTGCCTCATTTTGACGGAATGCCTCACATCCCGCTGACACCTCGAGAGGCACGCGGAGTTCGTTGCGTCAAAAGGTGACGATGCCTGACTCCTCTTGAATACTGATAGGAATCCCAAAATCCCTGTGGCTACTGGAAAGGGTCCTTGGGTGCCCTGCCTCACCTCGAGAAGCGTCCCTTTGGCCCTGCCAAGCCTCGAAGAGATTCCTGAGGTGTCCCTCGTTACTAGACAGGAGTCCTGACGTCACTGAAGAAACTCGTGTTTTGAAGGGCCATCCCCGCCGTAAGTCGAGAACATACCCCAGGTCCCCGCCGCAACTCGAGAAAAACCATGAGACTTCCCCCTAGAGGCGAGATGAGGCCCCATTCCCCTGCAGTGCGTGCAGAGCTATTCCGTGATCCCATTCAAACAAGTCAGGAGCTTCGACTTGCTTAATGGATCTCGAGACAGTCCCCAAGAACACTGTCTCCAGTCTAGACGGACCCTGAGGTCACCCCAGCAACGCAAAGCAGCTCCATGTGCCCCAAATCAACTCGAGATGAGGCCCGATTCCCCTGCATTGACTCCAGAGCCATTCCCAGTTCCCCATTCAACACGACCGGTGGCTCGACTTCCTTCAGGCAACTCCAGAGATGCCCCGAGAACACTCTCCCAAGTCTAGAGGAACACCACCTTCAGCACAGCAACTCGAGGAATGCTCCGTGTACCCCAAATCGTCTCGAGATGCGAGCTGATTCCCTGGCTTAGGCTCAAGACGTATGCCAACTTCCCAGAAGCACCTCAGGAGGAGGCTTCTCTCAGCAGTAGGTATGTGGGAGGGACCCCGAGTTTGCTGCCTCAAGGGGAATATACAGCGAGAAGCCCTAACTTGAAAGGAGGCCGGATTTCCTTGCAGTGGCTTGAATACAGGCTCGTCTTTCATCTCACAACATGAAGGGATGTCTGAATCCCCTGTGGAGACCTTAGAGAAAGCCCTAGGTCCCTGCCTCATTTTGACGGAATGCCTCACATCCCGCTGACACCTCGAGAGGCACGCGGAGTTCGTTGCGTCAAAAGGTGACGATGCCTGACTCCTCTTGAATACTGATAGGAATCCCAAAATCCCTGTGGCTACTGGAAAGGGTCCTTGGGTGCCCTGCCTCACCTCGAGAAGCGTCCCTTTGGCCCTGCCAAGCCTCGAAGAGATTCCTGAGGTGTCCCTCGTTACTAGACAGGAGTCCTGACGTCACTGAAGAAACTCGTGTTTTGAAGGGCCATCCCCGCCGTAAGTCGAGAACATATCCCAGGTCCCCGCCGCAACTCGAGAAAAACCATGAGACTTCCCCCTAGAGGCGAGATGAGGCCCCATTCCCCTGCAGTGCATGCAGAGCTATTCCGTGATCCCATTCAAACAAGGCAGGAGCTTCGACTTGCTTAATGGATCTCGAGACAGTCCCCAAGAACACTGTCACCAGTCTAGACGGACCCTGAGGTCACCCCAGCAACGCAAAGCAGCTCCATGTGCCCCAAATCAACTCGAGATGAGGCCCGATTCCCCTGCATTGACTCCAGAGCCATTCCCCGTTCCCCATTCAACACGACCGGTGGCTCGACTTCCTTCAGGCAACTCCAGAGATGCCCCGAGAACACTGTCCCAAGTCTAGAGGAACACCACCTTCAGCACAGCAACTCGAGGAATGCTCCGTGTACCCCAAATCGTCTCGAGATGCGAGCTGATTCCCTGGCTTAGGCTCAAGACGTATGCCAACTTCCCAGAAGCACCTCAGGAGGAGGCTTCTCTCAGCAATAGGTATGTGGGAGGGACCCCGAGTTTGCTGCCTCAAGGGGAATATACAGCGAGAAGCCCTAACTTGAAAGGAGGCCGGATTTCCTTGCAGTGGCTTGAATACAGGCTCGTCTTTCATCTCACAACATGAAGGGATGTCTGAATCCCCTGTGGAGACCTTAGAGAAAGCCCTAGGTCCCTGCCTCATTTTGACGGAATGCCTCACATCCCGCTGACACCTCGAGAGGCACGCGGAGTTCGTTGCGTCAAAAGGTGACGATGCCTGACTCCTCTTGAATACTGATAGGAATCCCAAAATCCCTGTGGCTACTGGAAAGGGTCCTTGGGTGCCCTGCCTCACCCCGAGAAGCGTCCCTTTGGCCCTGCCAAGCCTCGAAGAGATTCCTGAGGTGTCCCTCGTTACTAGACAGGAGTCCTGACGTCACTGAAGAAACTCGTGTTTTGAAGGGCCATCCCCGCCGTAAGTGGAGAACATACCCCAGGTCCCCGCCGCAACTCGAGAAAAACCATGAGACTTCCCCCTAGAGGCGAGATGAGGCCCCATTCCCCTGCAGTGCCTGCAGAGCTATTCCGTGATCCCATTCAAACAAGGCAGGAGCTTCGACTTGCTTAATGGATCTCGAGACAGTCCCCAAGAACACTGTCACCAGTCTAGACGGACCCTGAGGTCACCCCAGCAACGCAAAGCAGCTCCATGTGCCCCAAATCAACTCGAGATGAGGCCCGATTCCCCTGCATTGACTCCAGAGCCATTCCCCGTTCCCCATTCAACACGACCGGTGGCTCGACTTCCTTCAGGCAACTCCAGAGATGCCCCGAGAACACTGTCCCAAGTCTAGAGGAACACCACCTTCAGCACAGCAACTCGAGGAATGCTCCGTGTACCCCAAATCGTCTCGAGATGCGAGCTGATTCCCTGGCTTAGGCTCAAGACGTATGCCAACTTCCCAGAAGCACCTCAGGAGGAGGCTTCTCTCAGCAATAGGTATGTGGGAGGGACCCCGAGTTTGCTGCCTCAAGGGGAATATACAGCGAGAAGCCCTAACTTGAAAGGAGGCCGGATTTCCTTGCAGTGGCTTGAATACAGGCTCGTCTTTCATCTCACAACATGAAGGGATGTCTGAATCCCCTGTGGAGACCTTAGAGAAAGCCCTAGGTCCCTGCCTCATTTTGACGGAATGCCTCACATCCCGCTGACACCTCGAGAGGCACGCGGAGTTCGTTGCGTCAAAAGGTGACGATGCCTGACTCCTCTTGAATACTGATAGGAATCCCAAAATCCCTGTGGCTACTGGAAAGGGTCCTTGGGTGCCCTGCCTCACCTCGAGAAGCGTCCCTTTGGCCCTGCCAAGCCTCGAAGAGATTCCTGAGGTGTCCCTCGTTACTAGACAGGAGTCCTGACGTCACTGAAGAAACTCGTGTTTTGAAGGGCCATCCCCGCCGTAAGTCGAGAACATACCCCAGGTCCCCGCCGCAACTCGAGAAAAACCATGAGACTTCCCCCTAGAGGCGAGATGAGGCCCCATTCCCCTGCAGTGCGTGCAGAGCTATTCCGTGATCCCATTCAAACAAGGCAGGAGCTTCGACTTGCTTAATGGATCTCGAGACAGTCCCCAAGAACACTGTCACCAGTCTAGACGGACCCTGAGGTCACCCCAGCAACGCAAAGCAGCTCCATGTGCCCCAAATCAACTCGAGATGAGGCCCGATTCCCCTGCATTGACTCCAGAGCCATTCCCAGTTCCCCATTCAACACGACCGGTGGCTCGACTTCCTTCAGGCAACTCCAGAGATGCCCCGAGAACACTGTCCCAAGTCTAGAGGAACACCAACTTCAGCACAGCAACTCGAGGAATGCTCCGTGTACCCCAAATCGTCTCGAGATGCGAGCTGATTCCCTGGCTTAGGCTCAAGACGTATGCCAACTTCCCAGAAGCACCTCAGGAGGAGGCTTCTCTCAGCAATAGGTATGTGGGAGGGACCCCGAGTTTGCTGCCTCAAGGGGAATATACAGCGAGAAGCCCTAACTTGAAAGGAGGCCGGATTTCCTTGCAGTGGCTTGAATACAGGCTCGTCTTTCATCTCACAACATGAAGGGATGTCTGAATCCCCTGTGGAGACCTTAGAGAAAGCCCTAGGTCCCTGCCTCATTTTGACGGAATGCCTCACATCCTGCTGACACCTCGAGAGGCACGCGGAGTTCGTTGCGTCAAAAGGTGACGATGCCTGACTCCTCTTGAATACTGATAGGAATCCCAAAATCCCTGTGGCTACTGGAAAGGGTCCTTGGGTGCCCTGCCTCACCTCGAGAAGCGTCCCTTTGGCCCTGCCAAGCCTCGAAGAGATTCCTGAGGTGTCCCTCGTTACTAGACAGGAGTCCTGACGTCACTGAAGAAACTCGTGTTTTGAAGGGCCATCCCCGCCGTAAGTCGAGAACATACCCCAGGTCCCCGCCGCAACTCGAGAAAAACCATGAGACTTCCCCCTAGAGGCGAGATGAGGCCCCATTCCCCTGCAGTGCATGCAGAGCTATTACGTGATCCCATTCAAACAAGGCAGGAGCTTCGACTTGCTTAATGGATCTCGAGACAGTCCCCAAGAACACTGTCACCAGTCTAGACGGACCCTGAGGTCACCCCAGCAACGCAAAGCAGCTCCATGTGCCCCAAATCAACTCGAGATGAGGCCCGATTCCCCTGCATTGACTCCAGAGCCATTCCCCGTTCCCCATTCAACACGACCGGTGGCTCGACTTCCTTCAGGCAACTCCAGAGATGCCCCGAGAACACTGTCCCAAGTCTAGAGGAACACCACCTTCAGCACAGCAACTCGAGGAATGCTCCGTGTACCCCAAATCGTCTCGAGATGCGAGCTGATTCCCTGGCTTAGGCTCAAGACGTATGCCAACTTCCCAGAAGCACCTCAGGAGGAGGCTTCTCTCAGCAATAGGTATGTGGGAGGGACCCCGAGTTTGCTGCCTCAAGGGGAATATACAGCGAGAAGCCCTAACTTGAAAGGAGGCCGGATTTCCTTGCAGTGGCTTGAATACAGGCTCGTCTTTCATCTCACAACATGAAGGGATGTCTGAATCCCCTGTGGAGACCTTAGAGAAAGCCCTAGGTCCCTGCCTCATTTTGACGGAATGCCTCACATCCCGCTGACACCTCGAGAGGCACGCGGAGTTCGTTGCGTCAAAAGGTGACGATGCCTGACTCCTCTTGAATACTGATAGGAATCCCAAAATCCCTGTGGCTCCTGGAAAGGGTCCTTGGGTGCCCTGCCTCACCCCGAGAAGCGTCCCTTTGGCCCTGCCAAGCCTCGAAGAGATTCCTGAGGTGTCCCTCGTTACTAGACAGGAGTCCTGACGTCACTGAAGAAACTCGTGTTTTGAAGGGCCATCCCCGCCGTAAGTCGAGAACATACCCCAGGTCCCCGCCGCAACTCGAGAAAAACCATGAGACTTCCCCCTAGAGGCGAGATGAGGCCCCATTCCCCTGCAGTGCATGCAGAGCTATTCCGTGATCCCATTCAAACAAGGCAGGAGCTTCGACTTGCTTAATGGATCTCGAGACAGTCCCCAAGAACACTGTCACCAGTCTAGACGGACCCTGAGGTCACCCCAGCAACGCAAAGCAGCTCCATGTGCCCCAAATCAACTCGAGATGAGGCCCGATTCCCCTGCATTGACTCCAGAGCCATTCCCCGTTCCCCATTCAACACGACCGGTGGCTCGACTTCCTTCAGGCAACTCCAGAGATGCCCCGAGAACACTGTCCCAAGTCTAGAGGAACACCAACTTCAGCACAGCAACTCGAGGAATGCTCCGTGTACCCCAAATCGTCTCGAGATGCGAGCTGATTCCCTGGCTTAGGCTCAAGACGTATGCCAACTTCCCAGAAGCACCTCAGGAGGAGGCTTCTCTCAGCAATAGGTATGTGGGAGGGACCCCGAGTTTGCTGCCTCAAGGGGAATATACAGCGAGAAGCCCTAACTTGAAAGGAGGCCGGATTTCCTTGCAGTGGCTTGAATACAGGCTCGTCTTTCATCTCACAACATGAAGGGATGTCTGAATCCCCTGTGGAGACCTTAGAGAAAGCCCTAGGTCCCTGCCTCATTTTGACGGAATGCCTCACATCCCGCTGACACCTCGAGAGGCACGCGGAGTTCATTGCTTCAAAAGGTGACGATGCCTGACTCCTCTTGAATACTGATAGGAATCCCAAAATCCCTGTGGCTACTGGAAAGGGTCCTTGGGTGCCCTGCCTCACCTCGAGAAGCGTCCCTTTGGCCCTGCCAAGCCTCGAAGAGATTCCTGAGGTGTCCCTCGTTACTAGACAGGAGTCCTGACGTCACTGAAGAAACTCGTGTTTTGAAGGGCCATCCCCGCCGTAAGTCGAGAACATACCCCAGGTCCCCGCCGCAACTCGAGAAAAACCATGAGACTTCCCCCTAGAGGCGAGATGAGGCCCCATTCCCCTGCAGTGCATGCAGAGCTATTCCGTGATCCCATTCAAACAAGTCAGGAGCTTCGACTTGCTTAATGGATCTCGAGACAGTCCCCAAGAACACTGTCACCAGTCTAGACGGACCCTGAGGTCACCCCAGCAACGCAAAGCAGCTCCATGTGCCCCAAATCAACTCGAGATGAGGCCCGATTCCCCTGCATTGACTCCAGAGCCATTCCCCGTTCCCCATTCAACACGACCGGTGGCTCGACTTCCTTCAGGCAACTCCAGAGATGCCCCGAGAACACTGTCCCAAGTCTAGAGGAACACCACCTTCAGCACAGCAACTCGAGGAATGCTCCGTGTACCCCAAATCGTCTCGAGATGCGAGCTGATTCCCTGGCTTAGGCTCAAGACGTATGCCAACTTCCCAGAAGCACCTCAGGAGGAGGCTTCTCTCAGCAATAGGTATGTGGGAGGGGCCCCGAGTTTGCTGCCTCAAGGGGAATATACAGCGAGAAGCCCTAACTTGAAAGGAGGCCGGATTTCCTTGCAGTGGCTTGAATACAGGCTCGTCTTTCATCGCACAACATGAAGGGATGTCTGAATCCCCTGTGGAGACCTTAGAGAAAGCCCTAGGTCCCTGCCTCATTTTGACGGAATGCCTGACATCCCGCTGACACCTCGAGAGGCACGCGGAGTTCGTTGCGTCAAAAGGTGACGATGCCTGACTCCTCTTGAATACTGATAGGAATCCCAAAATCCCTGTGGCTACTGGAAAGGGTCCTTGGGTGCCCTGCCTCACCCCGAGAAGCGTCCCTTTGGCCCTGCCAAGCCTCGAAGAGATTCCTGAGGTGTCCCTCGTTACTAGACAGGAGTCCTGACGTCACTGAAGAAACTCGTGTTTTGAAGGGCCATCCCCGCCGTAAGTGGAGAACATACCCCAGGTCCCCGCCGCAACTCGAGAAAAACCATGAGACTTCCCCCTAGAGGCGAGATGAGGCCCCATTCCCCTGCAGTGCCTGCAGAGCTATTCCGTGATCCCATTCAAACAAGGCAGGAGCTTCGACTTGCTTAATGGATCTCGAGACAGTCCCCAAGAACACTGTCACCAGTCTAGACGGACCCTGAGGTCACCCCAGCAACGCAAAGCAGCTCCATGTGCCCCAAATCAACTCGAGATGAGGCCCGATTCCCCTGCATTGACTCCAGAGCCATTCCCAGTTCCCCATTCAACACGACCGGTGGCTCGACTTCCTTCAGGCAACTCCAGAGATGCCCCGAGAACACTGTCCCAAGTCTAGAGGAACACCAACTTCAGCACAGCAACTCGAGGAATGCTCCGTGTACCCCAAATCGTCTCGAGATGCGAGCTGATTCCCTGGCTTAGGCTCAAGACTTTGCCAACTTCCCAGAAGCACCTCAGGAGGAGGCTTCTCTCAGCAATAGGTATGTGGGAGGGACCCCGAGTTTGCTGCCTCAAGGGGAATATACAACGAGAAGCCCTAACTTGAAAGGAGGCCGGATTTCCTTGCAGTGGCTTGAATACAGGCTCGTCTTTCATCTCACAACATGAAGGGATGTCTGAATCCCCTGTGGAGACCTTAGAGAAAGCCCTAGGTCCCTGCCTCATTTTGACGGAATGCCTCACATCCCGCTGACACCTCGAGAGGCACGCGGAGTTCGTTGCGTCAAAAGGTGACGATGCCTGACTCCTCTTGAATACTGATAGGAATCCCAAAATCCCTGTGGCTACTGGAAAGGGTCCTTGGGTGCCCTGCCTCACCTCGAGAAGCGTCCCTTTGGCCCTGCCAAGCCTCGAAGAGATTCCTGAGGTGTCCCTCGTTACTAGACAGGAGTCCTGACGTCACTGAAGAAACTCGTGTTTTGAAGGGCCATCCCCGCCGTAAGTGGAGAACATACCCCAGGTCCCCGCCGCAACTCGAGAAAAACCATGAGACTTCCCCCTAGAGGCGAGATGAGGCCCCATTCCCCTGCAGTGCCTGCAGAGCTATTCCGTGATCCCATTCAAACAAGGCAGGAGCTTCGACTTGCTTAATGGATCTCGAGACAGTCCCCAAGAACACTGTCACCAGTCTAGACGGACCCTGAGGTCACCCCAGCAACGCAAAGCAGCTCCATGTGCCCCAAATCAACTCGAGATGAGGCCCGATTCCCCTGCATTGACTCCAGAGCCATTCCCCGTTCCCCATTCAACACGACCGGTGGCTCGACTTCCTTCAGGCAACTCCAGAGATGCCCCGAGAACACTGTCCCAAGTCTAGAGGAACACCAACTTCAGCACAGCAACTCGAGGAATGCTCCGTGTACCCCAAATCGTCTCGAGATGCGAGCTGATTCCCTGGCTTAGGCTCAAGACGTATGCCAACTTCCCAGAAGCACCTCAGGAGGAGGCTTCTCTCAGCAATAGGTATGTGGGAGGGACCCCGAGTTTGCTGCCTCAAGGGGAATATACAGCGAGAAGCCCTAACTTGAAAGGAGGCCGGATTTCCTTGCAGTGGCTTGAATACAGGCTCGTCTTTCATCTCACAACATGAAGGGATGTCTGAATCCCCTGTGGAGACCTTAGAGAAAGCCCTAGGTCCCTGCCTCATTTTGACGGAATGCCTCACATCCCGCTGACACCTCGAGAGGCACGCGGAGTTCGTTGCGTCAAAAGGTGACGATGCCTGACTCCTCTTGAATACTGATAGGAATCCCAAAATCCCTGTGGCTACTGGAAAGGGTCCTTGGGTGCCCTGCCTCACCCCGAGAAGCGTCCCTTTGGCCCTGCCAAGCCTCGAAGAGATTCCTGAGGTGTCCCTCGTTACTAGACAGGAGTCCTGACGTCACTGAAGAAACTCGTGTTTTGAAGGGCCATCCCCGCCGTAAGTCGAGAACATACCCCAGGTCCCCGCCGCAACTCGAGAAAAACCATGAGACTTCCCCCTAGAGGCGAGATGAGGCCCCATTCCCCTGCAGTGCATGCAGAGCTATTCCGTGATCCCATTCAAACAAGTCAGGAGCTTCGACTTGCTTAATGGATCTCGAGACAGTCCCCAAGAACACTGTCACCAGTCTAGACGGACCCTGAGGTCACCCCAGCAACGCAAAGCAGCTCCATGTGCCCCAAATCAACTCGAGATGAGGCCCGATTCCCCTGCATTGACTCCAGAGCCATTCCCCGTTCCCCATTCAACACGACCGGTGGCTCGACTTCCTTCAGGCAACTCCAGAGATGCCCCGAGAACACTGTCCCAAGTCTAGAGGAACACCACCTTCAGCACAGCAACTCGAGGAATGCTCCGTGTACCCCAAATCGTCTCGAGATGCGAGCTGATTCCCTGGCTTAGGCTCAAGACGTATGCCAACTTCCCAGAAGCACCTCAGGAGGAGGCTTCTCTCAGCAATAGGTATGTGGGAGGGACCCCGAGTTTGCTGCCTCAAGGGGAATATACAGCGAGAAGCCCTAACTTGAAAGGAGGCCGGATTTCCTTGCAGTGGCTTGAATACAGGCTCGTCTTTCATCTCACAACATGAAGGGATGTCTGAATCCCCTGTGGAGACCTTAGAGAAAGCCCTAGGTCCCTGCCTCATTTTGACGGAATGCCTCACATCCCGCTGACACCTCGAGAGGCACGCGGAGTTCGTTGCTTCAAAAGGTGACGATGCCTGACTCCTCTTGAATACTGATAGGAATCCCAAAATCCCTGTGGCTACTGGAAAGGGTCCTTGGGTGCCCTGCCTCACCTCGAGAAGCGTCCCTTTGGCCCTGCCAAGCCTCGAAGAGATTCCTGAGGTGTCCCTCGTTACTAGACAGGAGTCCTGACGTCACTGAAGAAACTCGTGTTTTGAAGGGCCATCCCCGCCGTAAGTCGAGAACATACCCCAGGTCCCCGCCGCAACTCGAGAAAAACCATGAGACTTCCCCCTAGAGGCGAGATGAGGCCCCATTCCCCTGCAGTGCATGCAGAGCTATTCCGTGATCCCATTCAAACAAGTCAGGAGCTTCGACTTGCTTAATGGATCTCGAGACAGTCCCCAAGAACACTGTCACCAGTCTAGACGGACCCTGAGGTCACCCCAGCAACGCAAAGCAGCTCCATGTGCCCCAAATCAACTCGAGATGAGGCCCGATTCCCCTGCATTGACTCCAGAGCCATTCCCCGTTCCCCATTCAACACGACCGGTGGCTCGACTTCCTTCAGGCAACTCCAGAGATGCCCCGAGAACACTGTCCCAAGTCTAGAGGAACACCAACTTCAGCACAGCAACTCGAGGAATGCTCCGTGTACCCCAAATCGTCTCGAGATGCGAGCTGATTCCCTGGCTTAGGCTCAAGACGTATGCCAACTTCCCAGAAGCACCTCAGGAGGAGGCTTCTCTCAGCAATAGGTATGTGGGAGGGACCCCGAGTTTGCTGCCTCAAGGGGAATATACAGCGAGAAGCCCTAACTTGAAAGGAGGCCGGATTTCCTTGCAGTGGCTTGAATACAGGCTCGTCTTTCATCTCACAACATGAAGGGATGTCTGAATCCCCTGTGGAGACCTTAGAGAAAGCCCTAGGTCCCTGCCTCATTTTGACGGAATGCCTCACATCCCGCTGACACCTCGAGAGGCACGCGGAGTTCATTGCTTCAAAAGGTGACGATGCCTGACTCCTCTTGAATACTGATAGGAATCCCAAAATCCCTGTGGCTACTGGAAAGGGTCCTTGGGTGCCCTGCCTCACCTCGAGAAGCGTCCCTTTGGCCCTGCCAAGCCTCGAAGAGATTCCTGAGGTGTCCCTCGTTACTAGACAGGAGTCCTGACGTCACTGAAGAAACTCGTGTTTTGAAGGGCCATCCCCGCCGTAAGTCGAGAACATACCCCAGGTCCCCGCCGCAACTCGAGAAAAACCATGAGACTTCCCCCTAGAGGCGAGATGAGGCCCCATTCCCCTGCAGTGCGTGCAGAGCTATTCCGTGATCCCATTCAAACAAGTCAGGAGCTTCGACTTGCTTAATGGATCTCGAGACAGTCCCCAAGAACACTGTCACCAGTCTAGACGGACCCTGAGGTCACCCCAGCAACGCAAAGCAGCTCCATGTGCCCCAAATCAACTCGAGATGAGGCCCGATTCCCCTGCATTGACTAAAGAGCCATTCCCAGTTCCCCATTCAACACGACCGGTGGCTCGACTTCCTTCAGGCAACTCCAGAGATGCCCCGAGAACACTGTCCCAAGTCTAGAGGAACACCAACTTCAGCACAGCAACTCGAGGAATGCTCCGTGTACCCCAAATCGTCTCGAGATGCGAGCTGATTCCCTGGCTTAGGCTCAAGACGTATGCCAACTTCCCAGAAGCACCTCAGGAGGAGGCTTCTCTCAGCAATAGGTATGTGGGAGGGACCCCGAGTTTGCTGCCTCAAGGGGAATATACAGCGAGAAGCCCTAACTTGAAAGGAGGCCGGATTTCCTTGCAGTGGCTTGAATACAGGCTCGTCTTTCATCTCACAACATGAAGGGATGTCTGAATCCCCTGTGGAGACCTTAGAGAAAGCCCTAGGTCCCTGCCTCATTTTGACAGAATGCCTCACATCCCGCTGACACCTCGAGAGGCACGCGGAGTTCATTGCTTCAAAAGGTGACGATGCCTGACTCCTCTTGAATACTGATAGGAATCCCAAAATCCCTGTGGCTACTGGAAAGGGTCCTTGGGTGCCCTGCCTCACCTCGAGAAGCGTCCCTTTTGCCCTGCCAAGCCTCGAAGAGATTCCTGAGGTGTCCCTCGTTACTAGACAGGAGTCCTGACGTCACTGAAGAAACTCGTGTTTTGAAGGGCCATCCCCGCCGTAAGTCGAGAACATACCCCAGGTCCCCGCCGCAACTCGAGAAAAACCATGAGACTTCCCCCTAGAGGCGAGATGAGGCCCCATTCCCCTGCAGTGCATGCAGAGCTATTCCGTGATCCCATTCAAACAAGGCAGGAGCTTCGACTTGCTTAATGGATCTCGAGACAGTCCCCAAGAACACTGTCACCAGTCTAGACGGACCCTGAGGTCACCCCAGCAACGCAAAGCAGCTCCATGTGCCCCAAATCAACTCGAGATGAGGCCCGATTCCCCTGCATTGACTCCAGAGCCATTCCCCGTTCCCCATTCAACACGACCGGTGGCTCGACTTCCTTCAGGCAACTCCAGAGATGCCCCGAGAACACTGTCCCAAGTCTAGAGGAACACCAACTTCAGCACAGCAACTCGAGGAATGCTCCGTGTACCCCAAATCGTCTCGAGATGCGAGCTGATTCCCTGGCTTAGGCTCAAGACGTATGCCAACTTCCCAGAAGCACCTCAGGAGGAGGCTTCTCTCAGCAATAGGTATGTGGGAGGGACCCCGAGTTTGCTGCCTCAAGGGGAATATACAGCGAGAAGCCCTAACTTGAAAGGAGGCCGGATTTCCTTGCAGTGGCTTGAATACAGGCTCGTCTTTCATCTCACAACATGAAGGGATGTCTGAATCCCCTGTGGAGACCTTAGAGAAAGCCCTAGGTCCCTGCCTCATTTTGACGGAATGCCTCACATCCCGCTGACACCTCGAGAGGCACGCGGAGTTCGTTGCGTCAAAAGGTGACGATGCCTGACTCCTCTTGAATACTGATAGGAATCCCAAAATCCCTGTGGCTACTGCAAAGGGTCCTTGGGTGCCCTGCCTCACCTCGAGAAGCGTCCCTTTGGCCCTGCCAAGCCTCGAAGAGATTCCTGAGGTGTCCCTCGTTACTAGACAGGAGTCCTGACGTCACTGAAGAAACTCGTGTTTTGAAGTTCCATCCCCGCCGTAAGTCGAGAACATACCCCAGGTCCCCGCCGCAACTCGAGAAAAACCATGAGACTTCCCCCTAGAGGCGAGATGAGGCCCCATTCCCCTGCAGTGCGTGCAGAGCTATTCCGTGATCCCATTCAAACAAGTCAGGAGCTTCGACTTGCTTAATGGATCTCGAGACAGTCCCCAAGAACACTGTCACCAGTCTAGACGGACCCTGAGGTCACCCCAGCAACGCAAAGCAGCTCCATGTGCCCCAAATCAACTCGAGATGAGGCCCGATTCCCCTGCATTGACTCCAGAGCCATTCCCAGTTCCCCATTCAACACGACCGGTGGCTCGACTTCCTTCAGGCAACTCCAGAGATGCCCCGAGAACACTGTCCCAAGTCTAGAGGAACACCACCTTCAGCACAGCAACTCGAGGAATGCTCCGTGTACCCCAAATGGTCTCGAGATGCGAGCTGATTCCCTGGCTTAGGCTCAAGATGTATGCCAACTTCCCAGAAGCACCTCAGGAGGAGGCTTCTCTCAGCAATAGGTATGTGGGAGGGACCCCGAGTTTGCTGCCTCAAGGGGAATATACAGCGAGAAGCCCTAACTTGAAAGGAGGCCGGATTTCCTTGCAGTGGCTTGAATACAGGCTCGTCTTTCATCTCACAACATGAAGGGATGTCTGAATCCCCTGTGGAGACCTTAGAGAAAGCCCTAGGTCCCTGCCTCATTTTGACGGAATGCCTCACATCCCGCTGACACCTCGAGAGGCACGCGGAGTTCATTGCTTCAAAAGGTGACGATGCCTGACTCCTCTTGAATACTGATAGGAATCCCAAAATCCCTGTGGCTACTGGAAAGGGTCCTTGGGTGCCCTGCCTCACCTCGAGAAGCGTCCCTTTGGCCCTGCCAAGCCTCGAAGAGATTCCTGAGGTGTCCCTCGTTACTAGACAGGAGTCCTGACGTCACTGAAGAAACTCGTGTTTTGAAGGGCCATCCCCGCCGTAAGTCGAGAACATACCCCAGGTCCCCGCCGCAACTCGAGAAAAACCATGAGACTTCCCCCTAGAGGCAGGATGAGGCCCCATTCCCCTGCACTGCCTGCAGAGCTATTCCGTGATCCCATTCAAACAAGTCAGGAGCTTCGACTTGCTTAATGGATCTCGAGACAGTCCCCAAGAACACTGTCACCAGTCTAGACGGACCCTGAGGTCACCCCAGCAACGCAAAGCAGCTCCATGTGCCCCAAATCAACTCGAGATGAGGCCCGATTCCCCTGCATTGACTCCAGAGCCATTCCCCGTTCCCCATTCAACACGACCGGTGGCTCGACTTCCTTCAGGCAACTCCAGAGATGCCCCGAGAACACTGTCCCAAGTCTAGAGGAACACCACCTTCAGCACAGCAACTCGAGGAATGCTCCGTGTACCCCAAATCGTCTCGAGATGCGAGCTGATTCCCTGGCTTAGGCTCAAGACGTATGCCAACTTCCCAGAAGCACCTCAGGAGGAGGCTTCTCTCAGCAATAGGTATGTGGGAGGGACCCCGAGTTTGCTGCCTCAAGGGGAATATACAGCGAGAAGCCCTAACTTGAAAGGAGGCCGGATTTCCTTGCAGTGGCTTGAATACAGGCTCGTCTTTCATCTCACAACATGAAGGGATGTCTGAATCCCCTGTGGAGACCTTAGAGAAAGCCCTAGGTCCCTGCCTCATTTTGACGGAATGCCTCACATCCCGCTGACACCTCGAGAGGCACGCGGAGTTCGTTGCGTCAAAAGGTGACGATGCCTGACTCCTCTTGAATACTGATAGGAATCCCAAAATACCTGTGGCTACTGGAAAGGGTCCTTGGGTGCCCTGCCTCACCTCGAGAAGCGTCCCTTTGGCCCTGCCAAGCCTCGAAGAGATTCCTGAGGTGTCCCTCGTTACTAGACAGGAGTCCTGACGTCACTGAAGAAACTCGTGTTTTGAAGGGCCATCCCCGCCGTAAGTCGAGAACATACCCCAGGTCCCCGCCGCAACTCGAGAAAAACCATGAGACTTCCCCCTAGAGGCGAGATGAGGCCCCATTCCCCTGCAGTGCATGCAGAGCTATTCCGTGATCCCATTCAAACAAGGCAGGAGCTTCGACTTGCTTAATGGATCTCGAGACAGTCCCCAAGAACACTGTCACCAGTCTAGACGGACCCTGAGGTCACCCCAGCAACGCAAAGCAGCTCCATGTGCCCCAAATCAACTCGAGATGAGGCCCGATTCCCCTGCATTGACTCCAGAGCCATTCCCCGTTCCCCATTCAACACGACCGGTGGCTCGACTTCCTTCAGGCAACTCCAGAGATGCCCCGAGAACACTGTCCCAAGTCTAGAGGAACACCACCTTCAGCACAGCAACTCGAGGAATGCTCCGTGTACCCCAAATCGTCTCGAGATGCGAGCTGATTCCCTGGCTTAGGCTCAAGACGTATGCCAACTTCCCAGAAGCACCTCAGGAGGAGGCTTCTCTCAGCAATAGGTATGTGGGAGGGACCCCGAGTTTGCTGCCTCAAGGGGAATATACAGCGAGAAGCCCTAACTTGAAAGGAGGCCGGATTTCCTTGCAGTGGCTTGAATACAGGCTCGTCTTTCATCTCACAACATGAAGGGATGTCTGAATCCCCTGTGGAGACCTTAGAGAAAGCCCTAGGTCCCTGCCTCATTTTGACGGAATGCCTCACATCCCGCTGACACCTCGAGAGGCACGCGGAGTTCGTTGCGTCAAAAGGTGACGATGCCTGACTCCTCTTGAATACTGATAGGAATCCCAAAATCCCTGTGGCTACTGGAAAGGGTCCTTGGGTGCCCTGCCTCACCTCGAGAAGCGTCCCTTTGGCCCTGCCAAGCCTCGAAGAGATTCCTGAGGTGTCCCTCGTTACTAGACAGGAGTCCTGACGTCACTGAAGAAACTCGTGTTTTGAAGGGCCATCCCCGCCGTAAGTCGAGAACATACCCCAGGTCCCCGCCGCAACTCGAGAAAAACCATGAGACTTCCCCCTAGAGGCGAGATGAGGCCCCATTCCCCTGCAGTGCGTGCAGAGCTATTCCGTGATCCCATTCAAACAAGTCAGGAGCTTCGACTTGCTTAATGGATCTCGAGACAGTCCCCAAGAACACTGTCACCAGTCTAGACGGACCCTGAGGTCACCCCAGCAACGCAAAGCAGCTCCATGTGCCCCAAATCAACTCGAGATGAGGCCCGATTCCCCTGCATTGACTCCAGAGCCATTCCCAGTTCCCCATTCAACACGACCGGTGGCTCGACTTCCTTCAGGCAACTCCAGAGATGCCCCGAGAACACTGTCCCAAGTCTAGAGGAACACCAACTTCAGCACAGCAACTCGAGGAATGCTCCGTGTACCCCAAATCGTCTCGAGATGCGAGCTGATTCCCTGGCTTAGGCTCAAGACGTATGCCAACTTCCCAGAAGCACCTCAGGAGGAGGCTTCTCTCAGCAATAGGTATGTGGGAGGGACCCCGAGTTTGCTGCCTCAAGGGGAATATACAGCGAGAAGCCCTAACTTGAAAGGAGGCCGGATTTCCTTGCAGTGGCTTGAATACAGGCTCGTCTTTCATCTCACAACATGAAGGGATGTCTGAATCCCCTGTGGAGACCTTAGAGAAAGCCCTAGGTCCCTGCCTCATTTTGACGGAATGCCTCACATCCCGCTGACACCTCGAGAGGCACGCGGAGTTCGTTGCGTCAAAAGGTGACGATGCCTGACTCCTCTTGAATACTGATAGGAATCCCAAAATCCCTGTGGCTACTGGAAAGGGTCCTTGGGTGCCCTGCCTCACCTCGAGAAGCGTCCCTTTGGCCCTGCCAAGCCTCGAAGAGATTCCTGAGGTGTCCCTCGTTACTAGACAGGAGTCCTGACGTCACTGAAGAAACTCGTGTTTTGAAGGGCCATCCCCGCCGTAAGTCGAGAACATACCCCAGGTCCCCGCCGCAACTCGAGAAAAACCATGAGACTTCCCCCTAGAGGCGAGATGAGGCCCCATTCCCCTGCAGTGCATGCAGAGCTATTCCGTGATCCCATTCAAACAAGGCAGGAGCTTCGACTTGCTTAATGGATCTCGAGACAGTCCCCAAGAACACTGTCACCAGTCTAGACGGACCCTGAGGTCACCCCAGCAACGCAAAGCAGCTCCATGTGCCCCAAATCAACTCGAGATGAGGCCCGATTCCCCTGCATTGACTCCAGACCCATTCCCCGTTCCCCATTCAACACGACCGGTGGCTCGACTTCCTTCAGGCAACTCCAGAGATGCCCCGAGAACACTGTCCCAAGTCTAGAGGAACACCACCTTCAGCACAGCAACTCGAGGAATGCTCCGTGTACCCCAAATCGTCTCGAGATGCGAGCTGATTCCCTGGCTTAGGCTCAAGACGTATGCCAACTTCCCAGAAGCACCTCAGGAGGAGGCTTCTCTCAGCAATAGGTATGTGGGAGGGACCCCGAGTTTGCTGCCTCAAGGGGAATATACAGCGAGAAGCCCTAACTTGAAAGGAGGCCGGATTTCCTTGCAGTGGCTTGAATACAGGCTCGTCTTTCATCTCACAACATGAAGGGATGTCTGAATCCCCTGTGGAGACCTTAGAGAAAGCCCTAGGTCCCTGCCTCATTTTGACGGAATGCCTCACATCCCGCTGACACCTCGAGAGGCACGCGGAGTTCGTTGCGTCAAAAGGTGACGATGCCTGACTCCTCTTGAATACTGATAGGAATCCCAAAATCCCTGTGGCTACTGGAAAGGGTCCTTGGGTGCCCTGCCTCACCCCGAGAAGCGTCCCTTTGGCCCTGCCAAGCCTCGAAGAGATTCCTGAGGTGTCCCTCGTTACTAGACAGGAGTCCTGACGTCACTGAAGAAACTCGTGTTTTGAAGGGCCATCCCCGCCGTAAGTCGAGAACATACCCCAGGTCCCCGCCGCAACTCGAGAAAAACCATGAGACTTCCCCCTAGAGGCGAGATGAGGCCCCATTCCCCTGCAGTGCATGCAGAGCTATTCCGTGATCCCATTCAAACAAGTCAGGAGCTTCGACTTGCTTAATGGATCTCGAGACAGTCCCCAAGAACACTGTCACCAGTCTAGACGGACCCTGAGGTCACCCCAGCAACGCAAAGCAGCTCCATGTGCCCCAAATCAACTCGAGATGAGGCCCGATTCCCCTGCATTGACTCCAGAGCCATTCCCCGTTCCCCATTCAACACGACCGGTGGCTCGACTTCCTTCAGGCAACTCCAGAGATGCCCCGAGAACACTGTCCCAAGTCTAGAGGAACACCACCTTCAGCACAGCAACTCGAGGAATGCTCCGTGTACCCCAAATCGTCTCGAGATGCGAGCTGATTCCCTGGCTTAGGCTCAAGACGTATGCCAACTTCCCAGAAGCACCTCAGGAGGAGGCTTCTCTCAGCAATAGGTATGTGGGAGGGACCCCGAGTTTGCTGCCTCAAGGGGAATATACAGCGAGAAGCCCTAACTTGAAAGGAGGCCGGATTTCCTTGCAGTGGCTTGAATACAGGCTCGTCTTTCATCTCACAACATGAAGGGATGTCTGAATCCCCTGTGGAGACCTTAGAGAAAGCCCTAGGTCCCTGCCTCATTTTGACGGAATGCCTCACATCCCGCTGACACCTCGAGAGGCACGCGGAGTTCGTTGCGTCAAAAGGTGACGATGCCTGACTCCTCTTGAATACTGATAGGAATCCCAAAATCCCTGTGGCTACTGGAAAGGGTCCTTGGGTGCCCTGCCTCACCTCGAGAAGCGTCCCTTTGGCCCTGCCAAGCCTCGAAGAGATTCCTGAGGTGTCCCTCGTTACTAGACAGGAGTCCTGACGTCACTGAAGAAACTCGTGTTTTGAAGGGCCATCCCCGCCGTAAGTCGAGAACATACCCCAGGTCCCCGCCGCAACTCGAGAAAAACCATGAGACTTCCCCCTAGAGGCGAGATGAGGCCCCATTCCCCTGCAGTGCGTGCAGAGCTATTCCGTGATCCCATTCAAACAAGTCAGGAGCTTCGACTTGCTTAATGGATCTCGAGACAGTCCCCAAGAACACTGTCACCAGTCTAGACGGACCCTGAGGTCACCCCAGCAACGCAAAGCAGCTCCATGTGCCCCAAATCAACTCGAGATGAGGCCCGATTCCCCTGCATTGACTCCAGAGCCATTCCCCGTTCCCCATTCAACACGACCGGTGGCTCGACTTCCTTCAGGCAACTCCAGAGATGCCCCGAGAACACTGTCCCAAGTCTAGAGGAACACCAACTTCAGCACAGCAACTCGAGGAATGCTCCGTGTACCCCAAATCGTCTCGAGATGCGAGCTGATTCCCTGGCTTAGGCTCAAGACGTATGCCAACTTCCCAGAAGCACCTCAGGAGGAGGCTTCTCTCAGCAATAGGTATGTGGGAGGGACCCCGAGTTTGCTGCCTCAAGGGGAATATACAGCGAGAAGCCCTAACTTGAAAGGAGGCCGGATTTCCTTGCAGTGGCTTGAATACAGGCTCGTCTTTCATCTCACAACATGAAGGGATGTCTGAATCCCCTGTGGAGACCTTAGAGAAAGCCCTAGGTCCCTGCCTCATTTTGACGGAATGCCTCACATCCCGCTGACACCTCGAGAGGCACGCGGAGTTCGTTGCGTCAAAAGGTGACGATGCCTGACTCCTCTTGAATACTGATAGGAATCCCAAAATCCCTGTGGCTACTGGAAAGGGTCCTTGGGTGCCCTGCCTCACCCCGAGAAGCGTCCCTTTGGCCCTGCCAAGCCTCGAAGAGATTCCTGAGGTGTCCCTCGTTACTAGACAGGAGTCCTGACGTCACTGAAGAAACTCGTGTTTTGAAGGGCCATCCCCGCCGTAAGTCGAGAACATACCCCAGGTCCCCGCCGCAACTCGAGAAAAACCATGAGACTTCCCCCTAGAGGCGAGATGAGGCCCCATTCCCCTGCAGTGCATGCAGAGCTATTCCGTGATCCCATTCAAACAAGGCAGGAGCTTCGACTTGCTTAATGGATCTCGAGACAGTCCCCAAGAACACTGTCACCAGTCTAGACGGACCCTGAGGTCACCCCAGCAACGCAAAGCAGCTCCATGTGCCCCAAATCAACTCGAGATGAGGCCCGATTCCCCTGCATTGACTCCAGAGCCATTCCCCGTTCCCCATTCAACACGACCGGTGGCTCGACTTCCTTCAGGCAACTCCAGAGATGCCCCGAGAACACTGTCCCAAGTCTAGAGGAACACCACCTTCAACACAGCAACTCGAGGAATGCTCCGTGTACCCCAAATCGTCTCGAGATGCGAGCTGATTCCCTGGCTTAGGCTCAAGACGTATGCCAACTTCCCAGAAGCACCTCAGGAGGAGGCTTCTCTCAGCAATAGGTATGTGGGAGGGACCCCGAGTTTGCTGCCTCAAGGGGAATATACAGCGAGAAGCCCTAACTTGAAAGGAGGCCGGATTTCCTTGCAGTGGCTTGAATACAGGCTCGTCTTTCATCTCACAACATGAAGGGATGTCTGAATCCCCTGTGGAGACCTTAGAGAAAGCCCTAGGTCCCTGCCTCATTTGACGGAATGCCTCACATCCCGCTGACACCTCGAGAGGCACGCGGAGTTCGTTGCGTCAAAAGGTGACGATGCCTGACTCCTCTTGAATACTGATAGGAATCCCAAAATCCCTGTGGCTACTGGAAAGGGTCCTTGGGTGCCCTGCCTCACCTCGAGAAGCGTCCCTTTGGCCCTGCCAAGCCTCGAAGAGATTCCTGAGGTGTCCCTCGTTACTAGACAGGAGTCCTGACGTCACTGAAGAAACTCGTGTTTTGAAGGGCCATCCCCGCCGTAAGTCGAGAACATACCCCAGGTCCCCGCCGCAACTCGAGAAAAACCATGAGACTTCCCCCTAGAGGCGAGATGAGGCCCCATTCCCCTGCAGTGCATGCAGAGCTATTCCGTGATCCCATTCAAACAAGGCAGGAGCTTCGACTTGCTTAATGGATCTCGAGACAGTCCCCAAGAACACTGTCACCAGTCTAGACGGACCCTGAGGTCACCCCAGCAACGCAAAGCAGCTCCATGTGCCCCAAATCAACGCGAGATGAGGCCCGATTCCCCTGCATTGACTCCAGAGCCATTCCCCGTTCCCCATTCAACACGACCGGTGGCTCGACTTCCTTCAGGCAACTCCAGAGATGCCCCGAGAACACTGTCCCAAGTCTAGAGGAACACCAACTTCAGCACAGCAACTCGAGGAATGCTCCGTGTACCCCAAATCGTCTCGAGATGCGAGCTGATTCCCTGGCTTAGGCTCAAGACGTATGCCAACTTCCCAGAAGCACCTCAGGAGGAGGCTTCTCTCAGCAATAGGTATGTGGGAGGGACCCCGAGTTTGCTGCCTCAAGGGGAATATACAGCGAGAAGCCCTAACTTGAAAGGAGGCCGGATTTCCTTGCAGTGGCTTGAATACAGGCTCGTCTTTCATCTCACAACATGAAGGGATGTCTGAATCCCCTGTGGAGACCTTAGAGAAAGCCCTAGGTCCCTGCCTCATTTTGACGGAATGCCTCACATCCCGCTGACACCTCGAGAGGCACGCGGAGTTCATTGCTTCAAAAGGTGACGATGCCTGACTCCTCTTGAATACTGATAGGAATCCCAAAATCCCTGTGGCTACTGGAAAGGGTCCTTGGGTGCCCTGCCTCACCTCGAGAAGCGTCCCTTTGGCCCTGCCAAGCCTCGAAGAGATTCCTGAGGTGTCCCTCGTTACTAGACAGGAGTCCTGACGTCACTGAAGAAACTCGTGTTTTGAAGGGTCATCCCCGCCGTAAGTCGAGAACATACCCCAGGTCCCCGCCGCAACTCGAGAAAAACCATGAGACTTCCCCCTAGAGGCGAGATGAGGCCCCATTCCCCTGCAGTGCATGCAGAGCTATTCCGTGATCCCATTCAAACAAGGCAGGAGCTTCGACTTGCTTAATGGATCTCGAGACAGTCCCCAAGAACACTGTCACCAGTCTAGACGGACCCTGAGGTCACCCCAGCAACGCAAAGCAGCTCCATGTGCCCCAAATCAACTCGAGATGAGGCCCGATTCCCCTGCATTGACTCCAGAGCCATTCCCCGTTCCCCATTCAACACGACCGGTGGCTCGACTTCCTTCAGGCAACTCCAGAGATGCCCCGAGAACACTGTCCCAAGTCTAGAGGAACACCACCTTCAGCACAGCAACTCGAGGAATGCTCCGTGTACCCCAAATCGTCTCGAGATGCGAGCTGATTCCCTGGCTTAGGCTCAAGACGTATGCCAACTTCCCAGAAGCACCTCAGGAGGAGGCTTCTCTCAGCAATAGGTATGTGGGAGGGACCCCGAGTTTGCTGCCTCAAGGGGAATATACAGCGAGAAGCCCTAACTTGAAAGGAGGCCGGATTTCCTTGCAGTGGCTTGAATACAGGCTCGTCTTTCATCTCACAACATGAAGGGATGTCTGAATCCCCTGTGGAGACCTTAGAGAAAGCCCTAGGTCCCTGCCTCATTTTGACGGAATGCCTCACATCCCGCTGACACCTCGAGAGGCACGCGGAGTTCGTTGCGTCAAAAGGTGACGATGCCTGACTCCTCTTGAATACTGATAGGAATCCCAAAATCCCTGTGGCTACTGGAAAGGGTCCTTGGGTGCCCTGCCTCACCCCGAGAAGCGTCCCTTTGGCCCTGCCAAGCCTCGAAGAGATTCCTGAGGTGTCCCTCGTTACTAGACAGGAGTCCTGACGTCACTGAAGAAACTCGTGTTTTGAAGGGCCATCCCCGCCGTAAGTCGAGAACATACCCCAGGTCCCCGCCGCAACTCGAGAAAAACCATGAGACTTCCCCCTAGAGGCGAGATGAGGCCCCATTCCCCTGCAGTGCATGCAGAGCTATTCCGTGATCCCATTCAAACAAGTCAGGAGCTTCGACTTGCTTAATGGATCTCGAGACAGTCCCCAAGAACACTGTCACCAGTCTAGACGGACCCTGAGGTCACCCCAGCAACGCAAAGCAGCTCCATGTGCCCCAAATCAACTCGAGATTAGGCCCGATTCCCCTGCATTGACTCCAGAGCCATTCCCCGTTCCCCATTCAACACGACCGGTGGCTCGACTTCCTTCAGGCAACTCCAGAGATGCCCCGAGAACACTGTCCCAAGTCTAGAGGAACACCACCTTTAGCACAGCAACTCGAGGAATGCTCCGTGTACCCCAAATCGTCTCGAGATGCGAGCTGATTCCCTGGCTTAGGCTCAAGACGTATGCCAACTTCCCAGAAGCACCTCAGGAGGAGGCATCTCTCAGCAGTAGGTATGTGGGAGGGACCCCGAGTTTGCTGCCTCAAGGGGAATATACAGCGAGAAGCCCTAACTTGAAAGGAGGCCGGATTTCCTTGCAGTGGCTTGAATACAGGCTCGTCTTTCATCTCACAACATGAAGGGATGTCTGAATCCCCTGTGGAGACCTTAGAGAAAGCCCTAGGTCCCTGCCTCATTTTGACGGAATGCCTCACATCCCGCTGACACCTCGAGAGGCACGCGGAGTTCATTGCTTCAAAAGGTGACGATGCCTGACTCCTCTTGAATACTGATAGGAATCCCAAAATCCCTGTGGCTACTGGAAAGGGTCCTTGGGTGCCCTGCCTCACCTCGAGAAGCGTCCCTTTGGCCCTGCCAAGCCTCGAAGAGATTCCTGAGGTGTCCCTCGTTACTAGACAGGAGTCCTGACGTCACTGAAGAAACTCGTGTTTTGAAGGGCCATCCCCGCCGTAAGTCGAGAACATACCCCAGGTCCCCGCCGCAACTCGAGAAAAACCATGAGACTTCCCCCTAGAGGCGAGATGAGGCCCCATTCCCCTGCAGTGCATGCAGAGCTATTCCGTGATCCCATTCAAACAAGGCAGGAGCTTCGACTTGCTTAATGGATCTCGAGACAGTCCCCAAGAACACTGTCACCAGTCTAGACGGACCCTGAGGTCACCCCAGCAACGCAAAGCAGCTCCATGTGCCCCAAATCAACTCGAGATGAGGCCCGATTCCCCTGCATTGACTCCAGAGCCATTCCCCGTTCCCCATTCAACACGACCGGTGGCTCGACTTCCTTCAGGCAACTCCAGAGATGCCCCGAGAACACTGTCCCAAGTCTAGAGGAACACCACCTTCAGCACAGCAACTCGAGGAATGCTCCGTGTACCCCAAATCGTCTCGAGATGCGAGCTGATTCCCTGGCTTAGGCTCAAGACGTATGCCAACTTCCCAGAAGCACCTCAGGAGGAGGCTTCTCTCAGCAATAGGTATGTGGGAGGGACCCCGAGTTTGCTGCCTCAAGGGGAATATACAGCGAGAAGCCCTAACTTGAAAGGAGGCCGGATTTCCTTGCAGTGGCTTGAATACAGGCTCGTCTTTCATCTCACAACATGAAGGGATGTCTGAATCCCCTGTGGAGACCTTAGAGAAAGCCCTAGGTCCCTGCCTCATTTGACGGAATGCCTCACATCCCGCTGACACCTCGAGAGGCACGCGGAGTTCGTTGCGTCAAAAGGTGACGATGCCTGACTCCTCTTGAATACTGATAGGAATCCCAAAATCCCTGTGGCTACTGGAAAGGGTCCTTGGGTGCCCTGCCTCACCTCGAGAAGCGTCCCTTTGGCCCTGCCAAGCCTCGAAGAGATTCCTGAGGTGTCCCTCGTTACTAGACAGGAGTCCTGACGTCACTGAAGAAACTCGTGTTTTGAAGGGCCATCCCCGCCGTAAGTCGAGAACATACCCCAGGTCCCCGCCGCAACTCGAGAAAAACCATGAGACTTCCCCCTAGAGGCGAGATGAGGCCTCATTCCCCTGCAGTGCGTGCAGAGCTATTCCGTGATCCCATTCAAACAAGTCAGGAGCTTCGACTTGCTTAATGGATCTCGAGACAGTCCCCAAGAACACTGTCACCAGTCTAGACGGACCCTGAGGTCACCCCAGCAACGCAAAGCAGCTCCATGTGCCCCAAATCAACTCGAGATGAGGCCCGATTCCCCTGCATTGACTCCAGAGCCATTCCCAGTTCCCCATTCAACACGACCGGTGGCTCGACTTCCTTCAGGCAACTCCAGAGATGCCCCGAGAACACTGTCCCAAGTCTAGAGGAACACCAACTTCAGCACAGCAACTCGAGGAATGCTCCGTGTACCCCAAATCGTCTCGAGATGCGAGCTGATTCCCTGGCTTAGGCTCAAGACGTATGCCAACTTCCCAGAAGCACCTCAGGAGGAGGCTTCTCTCAGCAATAGGTATGTGGGAGGGACCCCGAGTTTGCTGCCTCAAGGGGAATATACAGCGAGAAGCCCTAACTTGAAAGGAGGCCGGATTTCCTTGCAGTGGCTTGAATACAGGCTCGTCTTTCATCTCACAACATGAAGGGATGTCTGAATCCCCTGTGGAGACCTTAGAGAAAGCCCTAGGTCCCTGCCTCATTTTGACGGAATGCCTCACATCCCGCTGACACCTCGAGAGGCACGCGGAGTTCGTTGCGTCAAAAGGTGACGATGCCTGACTCCTCTTGAATACTGATAGGAATCCCAAAATCCCTGTGGCTACTGGAAAGGGTCCTTGGGTGCCCTGCCTCACCTCGAGAAGCGTCCCTTTGGCCCTGCCAAGCCTCGAAGAGATTCCTGAGGTGTCCCTCGTTACTAGACAGGAGTCCTGACGTCACTGAAGAAACTCGTGTTTTGAAGGGCCATCCCCGCCGTAAGTCGAGAACATACCCCAGGTCCCCGCCGCAACTCGAGAAAAACCATGAGACTTCCCCCTAGAGGCGAGATGAGGCCCCATTCCCCTGCAGTGCATGCAGAGCTATTCCGTGATCCCATTCAAACAAGGCAGGAGCTTCGACTTGCTTAATGGATCTCGAGACAGTCCCCAAGAACACTGTCACCAGTCTAGACGGACCCTGAGGTCACCCCAGCAACGCAAAGCAGCTCCATGTGCCCCAAATCAACTCGAGATGAGGCCCGATTCCCCTGCATTGACTCCAGAGCCATTCCCCGTTCCCCATTCAACACGACCGGTGGCTCGACTTCCTTCAGGCAACTCCAGAGATGCCCCGAGAACACTGTCCCAAGTCTAGAGGAACACCACCTTCAGCACAGCAACTCGAGGAATGCTCCGTGTACCCCAAATCGTCTCGAGATGCGAGCTGATTCCCTGGCTTAGGCTCAAGACGTATGCCAACTTCCCAGAAGCACCTCAGGAGGAGGCTTCTCTCAGCAATAGGTATGTGGGAGGGACCCCGAGTTTGCTGCCTCAAGGGGAATATACAGCGAGAAGCCCTAACTTGAAAGGAGGCCGGATTTCCTTGCAGTGGCTTGAATACAGGCTCGTCTTTCATCTCACAACATGAAGGGATGTCTGAATCCCCTGTGGAGACCTTAGAGAAAGCCCTAGGTCCCTGCCTCATTTTGACGGAATGCCTCACATCCCGCTGACACCTCGAGAGGCACGCGGAGTTCGTTGCGTCAAAAGGTGACGATGCCTGACTCCTCTTGAATACTGATAGGAATCCCAAAATCCCTGTGGCTACTGGAAAGGGTCCTTGGGTGCCCTGCCTCACCTCGAGAAGCGTCCCTTTGGCCCTGCCAAGCCTCGAAGAGATTCCTGAGGTGTCCCTCGTTACTAGACAGGAGTCCTGACGTCACTGAAGAAACTCGTGTTTTGAAGGGCCATCCCCGCCGTAAGTCGAGAACATACCCCAGGTCCCCGCCGCAACTCGAGAAAAACCATGAGACTTCCCCCTAGAGGCGAGATGAGGCCCCATTCCCCTGCAGTGCGTGCAGAGCTATTCCGTGATCCCATTCAAACAAGTCAGGAGCTTCGACTTGCTTAATGGATCTCGAGACAGTCCCCAAGAACACTGTCACCAGTCTAGACGGACCCTGAGGTCACCCCAGCAACGCAAAGCAGCTCCATGTGCCCCAAATCAACTCGAGATGAGGCCCGATTCCCCTGCATTGACTCCAGAGCCATTCCCCGTTCCCCATTCAACACGACCGGTGGCTCGACTTCCTTCAGGCAACTCCAGAGATGCCCCGAGAACACTGTCCCAAGTCTAGAGGAACACCAACTTCAGCACAGCAACTCGAGGAATGCTCCGTGTACCCCAAATCGTCTCGAGATGCGAGCTGATTCCCTGGCTTAGGCTCAAGACGTATGCCAACTTCCCAGAAGCACCTCAGGAGGAGGCTTCTCTCAGCAATAGGTATGTGGGAGGGACCCCGAGTTTGCTGCCTCAAGGGGAATATACAGCGAGAAGCCCTAACTTGAAAGGAGGCCGGATTTCCTTGCAGTGGCTTGAATACAGGCTCGTCTTTCATCTCACAACATGAAGGGATGTCTGAATCCCCTGTGGAGACCTTAGAGAAAGCCCTAGGTCCCTGCCTCATTTTGACGGAATGCCTCACATCCCGCTGACACCTCGAGAGGCACGCGGAGTTCGTTGCGTCAAAAGGTGACGATGCCTGACTCCTCTTGAATACTGATAGGAATCCCAAAATCCCTGTGGCTACTGGAAAGGGTCCTTGGGTGCCCTGCCTCACCCCGAGAAGCGTCCCTTTGGCCCTGCCAAGCCTCGAAGAGATTCCTGAGGTGTCCCTCGTTACTAGACAGGAGTCCTGACGTCACTGAAGAAACTCGTGTTTTGAAGGGCCATCCCCGCCGTAAGTCGAGAACATACCCCAGGTCCCCGCCGCAACTCGAGAAAAACCATGAGACTTCCCCCTAGAGGCGAGATGAGGCCCCATTCCCCTGCAGTGCATGCAGAGCTATTCCGTGATCCCATTCAAACAAGTCAGGAGCTTCGACTTGCTTAATGGATCTCGAGACAGTCCCCAAGAACACTGTCACCAGTCTAGACGGACCCTGAGGTCACCCCAGCAACGCAAAGCAGCTCCATGTGCCCCAAATCAACTCGAGATGAGGCCCGATTCCCCTGCATTGACTCCAGAGCCATTCCCCGTTCCCCATTCAACACGACCGGTGGCTCGACTTCCTTCAGGCAACTCCAGAGATGCCCCGAGAACACTGTCCCAAGTCTAGAGGAAAACCACCTTCAGCACAGCAACTCGAGGAATGCTCCGTGTACCCCAAATCGTCTCGAGATGCGAGCTGATTCCCTGGCTTAGGCTCAAGACGTATGCCAACTTCCCAGAAGCACCTCAGGAGGAGGCTTCTCTCAGCAATAGGTATGTGGGAGGGACCCCGAGTTTGCTGCCTCAAGGGGAATATACAGCGAGAAGCCCTAACTTGAAAGGAGGCCGGATTTCCTTGCAGTGGCTTGAATACAGGCTCGTCTTTCATCTCACAACATGAAGGGATGTCTGAATCCCCTGTGGAGACCTTAGAGAAAGCCCTAGGTCCCTGCCTCATTTTGACGGAATGCCTCACATCCCGCTGACACCTCGAGAGGCACGCGGAGTTCGTTGCGTCAAAAGGTGACGATGCCTGACTCCTCTTGAATACTGATAGGAATCCCAAAATCCCTGTGGCTACTGGAAAGGGTCCTTGGGTGCCCTGCCTCACCTCGAGAAGCGTCCCTTTGGCCCTGCCAAGCCTCGAAGAGATTCCTGAGGTGTCCCTCGTTACTAGACAGGAGTCCTGACGTCACTGAAGAAACTCGTGTTTTGAAGGGCCATCCCCGCGGTAAGTCGAGAACATACCCCAGGTCCCCGCCGCAACTCGAGAAAAACCATGAGACTTCCCCCTAGAGGCGAGATGAGGCCCCATTCCCCTGCAGTGCATGCAGAGCTATTCCGTGATCCCATTCAAACAAGGCAGGAGCTTCGACTTGCTTAATGGATCTCGAGACAGTCCCCAAGAACACTGTCACCAGTCTAGACGGACCCTGAGGTCACCCCAGCAACGCAAAGCAGCTCCATGTGCCCCAAATCAACTCGAGATGAGGCCCGATTCCCCTGCATTGACTCCAGAGCCATTCCCCGTTCCCCATTCAACACGACCGGTGGCTCGACTTCCTTCAGGCAACTCCAGAGATGCCCCGAGAACACTGTCCCAAGTCTAGAGGAACACCAACTTCAGCACAGCAACTCGAGGAATGCTCCGTGTACCCCAAATCGTCTCGAGATGCGAGCTGATTCCCTGGCTTAGGCTCAAGACGTATGCCAACTTCCCAGAAGCACCTCAGGAGGAGGCTTCTCTCAGCAATAGGTATGTGGGAGGGACCCCGAGTTTGCTGCCTCAAGGGGAATATACAGCGAGAAGCCCTGACTTGAAAGGAGGCCGGATTTCCTTGCAGTGGCTTGAATACAGGCTCGTCTTTCATCTCACAACATGAAGGGATGTCTGAATCCCCTGTGGAGACCTTAGAGAAAGCCCTAGGTCCCTGCCTCATTTTGACGGAATGCCTCACATCCCGCTGACACCTCGAGAGGCACGCGGAGTTCGTTGAATCAAAAGGTGACGATGCCTGACTCCTCTTGAATACTGATAGGAATCCCAAAATCCCTGTGGCTACTGGAAAGGGTCCTTGGGTGCCCTGCCTCACCTCGAGAAGCGTCCCTTTGGCCCTGCCAAGCCTCGAAGAGATTCCTGAGGTGTCCCTCGTTACTAGACAGGAGTCCTGACGTCACTGAAGAAACTCGTGTTTTGAAGGGCCATCCCCGCCGTAAGTCGAGAACATACCCCAGGTCCCCGCCGCAACTCGAGAAAAACCATGAGACTTCCCCCTAGAGGCGAGATGAGGCCCCTTTCCCCTGCAGTGCATGCAGAGCTATTCCGTGATCCCATTCAAACAAGTCAGGAGCTTCGACTTGCTTAATGGATCTCGAGACAGTCCCCAAGAACACTGTCACCAGTCTAGACGGACCCTGAGGTCACCCCAGCAACGCAAAGCAGCTCCATGTGCCCCAAATCAACTCGAGATGAGGCCCGATTCCCCTGCATTGACTCCAGAGCCATTCCCCGTTCCCCATTCAACACGACCGGTGGCTCGACTTCCTTCAGGCAACTCCAGAGATGCCCCGTGAACACTGTCCCAAGTCTAGAGGAACACCACCTTCAGCACAGCAACTCGAGGAATGCTCCGTGTACCCCAAATCGTCTCGAGATGCGAGCTGATTCCCTGGCTTAGGCTCAAGACGTATGCCAACTTCCCAGAAGCACCTCAGGAGGAGGCTTCTCTCAGCAATAGGTATGTGGGAGGGACCCCGAGTTTGCTGCCTCAAGGGGAATATACAGCAAGAAGCCCTAACTTGAAAGGAGGCCGGATTTCCTTGCAGTGGCTTGAATACAGGCTCGTCTTTCATCTCACAACATGAAGGGATGTCTGAATCCCCTGTGGAGACCTTAGAGAAAGCCCTAGGTCCCTGCCTCATTTTGACGGAATGCCTCACATCCCGCTGACACCTCGAGAGGCACGCGGAGTTCGTTGCGTCAAAAGGTGACGATGCCTGACTCCTCTTGAATACTGATAGGAATCCCAAAATCCCTGTGGCTACTGGAAAGGGTCCTTGGGTGCCCTGCCTCACCCCGAGAAGCGTCCCTTTGGCCCTGCCAAGCCTCGAAGAGATTCCTGAGGTGTCCCTCGTTACTAGACAGGAGTCCTGACGTCACTGAAGAAACTCGTGTTTTGAAGGGCCATCCCCGCCGTAAGTCGAGAACATACCCCAGGTCCCCGCCGCAACTCGAGAAAAACCATGAGACTTCCCCCTAGAGGCGAGATGAGGCCCCATTCCCCTGCAGTGCATGCAGAGCTATTCCGTGATCCCATTCAAACAAGGCAGGAGCTTCGACTTGCTTAATGGATCTCGAGACAGTCCCCAAGAACACTGTCACCAGTCTAGACGTACCCTGAGGTCACCCCAGCAATGCAAAGCAGCTCCATGTGCCCCAAATCAACTCGAGATGAGGCCCGATTCCCCTGCATTGACTCCAGAGCCATTCCCCGTTCCCCATTCAACACGACCGGTGGCTCGACTTCCTTCAGGCAACTCCAGAGATGCCCCGAGAACACTGTCCCAAGTCTAGAGGAACACCACCTTCAGCACAGCAACTCGAGGAATGCTCCGTGTACCCCAAATCGTCTCGAGATGCGAGCTGATTCCCTGGCTTAGGCTCAAGACGTATGCCAACTTCCCAGAAGCACCTCAGGAGGAGGCTTCTCTCAGCAATAGGTATGTGGGAGGGACCCCGAGTTTGCTGCCTCAAGGGGAATATACAGCGAGAAGCCCTAACTTGAAAGGAGGCCGGATTTCCTTGCAGTGGCTTGAATACAGGCTCGTCTTTCATCTCACAACATGAAGGGATGTCTGAATCCCCTGTGGAGACCTTAGAGAAAGCCCTAGGTCCCTGCCTCATTTTGACGGAATGCCTCACATCCCGCTGACACCTCGAGAGGCACGCGGAGTTCATTGCTTCAAAAGGTGACGATGCCTGACTCCTCTTGAATACTGATAGGAATCCCAAAATCCCTGTGGCTACTGGAAAGGGTCCTTGGGTGCCCTGCCTCACCTCGAGAAGCGTCCCTTTGGCCCTGCCAAGCCTCGAAGAGATTCCTGAAGTGTCCCTCGTTACTAGACAGGAGTCCTGACGTCACTGAAGAAACTCGTGTTTTGAAGGGCCATCCCCGCCGTAAGTCGAGAACATACCCCAGGTCCCCGCCGCAACTCGAGAAAAACCATGAGACTTCCCCCTAGAGGCGAGATGAGGCCCCATTCCCCTGCAGTGCATGCAGAGCTATTCCGTGATCCCATTCAAACAAGGCAGGAGCTTCGACTTGCTTAATGGATCTCGAGACAGTCCCCAAGAACACTGTCACCAGTCTAGACGGACCCTGAGGTCACCCCAGCAACGCAAAGCAGCTCCATGTGCCCCAAATCAACTCGAGATGAGGCCCGATTCCCCTGCATTGACTCCAGAGCCATTCCCCGTTCCCCATTCAACACGACCGGTGGCTCGACTTCCTTCAGGCAACTCCAGAGATGCCCCGAGAACACTGTCCCAAGTCTAGAGGAACACCAACTTCAGCACAGCAACTCGAGGAATGCTCCGTGTACCCCAAATCGTCTCGAGATGCGAGCTGATTCCCTGGCTTAGGCTCAAGACGTATGCCAACTTCCCAGAAGCACCTCAGGAGGAGGCTTCTCTCAGCAATAGGTATGTGGGAGGGACCCCGAGTTTGCTGCCTCAAGGGGAATATACAGCGAGAAGCCCTAACTTGAAAGGAGGCCGGATTTCCTTGCAGTGGCTTGAATACAGGCTCGTCTTTCATCTCACAACATGAAGGGATGTCTGAATCCCCTGTGGAGACCTTAGAGAAAGCCCTAGGTCCCTGCCTCATTTTGACGGAATGCCTCACATCCCGCTGACACCTCGAGAGGCACGCGGAGTTCGTTGCGTCAAAAGGTGACGATGCCTGACTCCTCTTGAATACTGATAGGAATCCCAAAATCCCTGTGGCTACTGGAAAGGGTCCTTGGGTGCCCTGCCTCACCCCGAGAAGCGTCCCTTTGGCCCTGCCAAGCCTCGAAGAGATTCCTGAGGTGTCCCTCGTTACTAGACAGGAGTCCTGACGTCACTGAAGAAACTCGTGTTTTGAAGGGCCATCCCCGCCGTAAGTCGAGAACATACCCCAGGTCCCCGCCGCAACTCGAGAAAAACCATGAGACTTCCCCCTAGAGGCGAGATGAGGCCCCATTCCCCTGCAGTGCGTGCAGAGCTATTCCGTGATCCCATTCAAACAAGTCAGGAGCTTCGACTTGCTTAATGGATCTCGAGACAGTCCCCAAGAACACTGTCACCAGTCTAGACGGACCCTGAGGTCACCCCAGCAACGCAAAGCAGCTCCATGTGCCCCAAATCAACTCGAGATGAGGCCCGATTCCCCTGCATTGACTCCAGAGCCATTCCCCGTTCCCCATTCAACACGACCGGTGGCTCGACTTCCTTCAGGCAACTCCAGAGATGCCCCGAGAACACTGTCCCAAGTCTAGAGGAACACCACCTTCAGCACAGCAACTCGAGGAATGCTCCGTGTACCCCAAATCGTCTCGAGATGCGAGCTGATTCCCTGGCTTAGGCTCAAGACGTATGCCAACTTCCCAGAAGCACCTCAGGAGGAGGCTTCTCTCAGCAATAGGTATGTGGGAGGGACCCCGAGTTTGCTGCCTCAAGGGGAATATACAGCGAGAAGCCCTAACTTGAAAGGAGGCCGGATTTCCTTGCAGTGGCTTGAATACAGGCTCGTCTTTCATCTCACAACATGAAGGGATGTCTGAATCCCCTGTGGAGACCTTAGAGAAAGCCCTAGGTCCCTGCCTCATTTTGACGGAATGCCTCACATCCCGCTGACACCTCGAGAGGCACGCGGAGTTCGATGCGTCAAAAGGTGACGATGCCTGACTCCTCTTGAATACTGATAGGAATCCCAAAATCCCTGTGGCTACTGGAAAGGGTCCTTGGGTGCCCTGCCTCACCTCGAGAAGCGTCCCTTTGGCCCTGCCAAGCCTCGAAGAGATTCCTGAGGTGTCCCTCGTTACTAGACAGGAGTCCTGACGTCACTGAAGAAACTCGTGTTTTGAAGGGCCATCCCCGCCGTAAGTCGAGAACATACCCCAGGTCCCCGCCGCAACTCGAGAAAAACCATGAGACTTCCCCCTAGAGGCGAGATGAGGCCCCATTCCCCTGCAGTGCGTGCAGAGCTATTCCGTGATCCCATTCAAACAAGTCAGGAGCTTCGACTTGCTTAATGGATCTCGAGACAGTCCCCAAGAACACTGTCACCAGTCTAGATGGACCCTGAGGTCACCGCAGCAACGCAAAGCAGCTCCATGTGCCCCAAATCAACTCGAGATGAGGCCCGATTCCCCTGCATTGACTCCAGAGCCATTCCCAGTTCCCCATTCAACACGACCGGTGGCTCGACTTCCTTCAGGCAACTCCAGAGATGCCCCGAGAACACTGTCCCAAGTCTAGAGGAACACCAACTTCAGCACAGCAACTCGAGGAATGCTCCGTGTACCCCAAATCGTCTCGAGATGCGAGCTGATTCCCTGGCTTAGGCTCAAGACGTATGCCAACTTCCCAGAAGCACCTCAGGAGGAGGCTTCTCTCAGCAATAGGTATGTGGGAGGGACCCCGAGTTTGCTGCCTCAAGGGGAATATACAGCGAGAAGCCCTAACTTGAAAGGAGGCCGGATTTCCTTGCAGTGGCTTGAATACAGGCTCGTCTTTCATCTCACAACATGAAGGGATGTCTGAATCCCCTGTGGAGACCTTAGAGAAAGCCCTAGGTCCCTGCCTCATTTTGACGGAATGCCTCACATCCCGCTGACACCTCGAGAGGCACGCGGAGTTCGTTGCGTCAAAAGGTGACGATGCCTGACTCCTCTTGAATACTGATAGGAATCCCAAAATCCCTGTGGCTACTGGAAAGGGTCCTTGGGTGCCCTGCCTCACCTCGAGAAGCGTCCCTTTGGCCCTGCCAAGCCTCGAAGAGATTCCTGAGGTGTCCCTCGTTACTAGACAGGAGTCCTGACGTCACTGAAGAAACTCGTGTTTTGAAGGGCCATCCCCGCCGTAAGTCGAGAACATACCCCAGGTCCCCGCCGCAACTCGAGAAAAACCATGAGACTTCCCCCTAGAGGCGAGATGAGGCCCCATTCCCCTGCAGTGCATGCAGAGCTATTCCGTGATCCCATTCAAACAAGGCAGGAGCTTCGACTTGCTTAATGGATCTCGAGACAGTCCCCAAGAACACTGTCACCAGTCTAGACGGACCCTGAGGTCACCCCAGCAACGCAAAGCAGCTCCATGTGCCCCAAATCAACTCGAGATGAGGCCCGATTCCCCTGCATTGACTCCAGAGCCATTCCCCGTTCCCCATTCAACACGACCGGTGGCTCGACTTCCTTCAGGCAACTCCAGAGATGCCCCGAGAACACTGTCCCAAGTCTAGAGGAACACCACCTTCAGCACAGCAACTCGAGGAATGCTCCGTGTACCCCAAATCGTCTCGAGATGCGAGCTGATTCCCTGGCTTAGGCTCAAGACGTATGCCAACTTCCCAGAAGCACCTCAGGAGGAGGCTTCTCTCAGCAATAGGTATGTGGGAGGGACCCCGAGTTTGCTGCCTCAAGGGGAATATACAGCGAGAAGCCCTAACTTGAAAGGAGGCCGGATTTCCTTGCAGTGGCTTGAATACAGGCTCGTCTTTCATCTCACAACATGAAGGGATGTCTGAATCCCCTGTGGAGACCTTAGAGAAAGCCCTAGGTCCCTGCCTCATTTTGATGGAATGCCTCACATCCCGCTGACACCTCGAGAGGCACGCGGAGTTCGTTGCGTCAAAAGGTGACGATGCCTGACTCCTCTTGAATACTGATAGGAATCCCAAAATCCCTGTGGCTACTGGAAAGGGTCCTTGGGTGCCCTGCCTCACCCCGAGAAGCGTCCCTTTGGCCCTGCCAAGCCTCGAAGAGATTCCTGAGGTGTCCCTCGTTACTAGACAGGAGTCCTGACGTCACTGAAGAAACTCGTGTTTTGAAGGGCCATCCCCGCCGTAAGTCGAGAACATACCCCAGGTCCCCGCCGCAACTCGAGAAAAACCATGAGACTTCCCCCTAGAGGCGAGATGAGGCCCCATTCCCCTGCAGTGCATGCAGAGCTATTCCGTGATCCCATTCAAACAAGTCAGGAGCTTCGACTTGCTTAATGGATCTCGAGACAGTCCCCAAGAACACTGTCACCAGTCTAGACGGACCCTGAGGTCACCCCAGCAACGCAAAGCAGCTCCATGTGCCCCAAATCAACTCGAGATGAGGCCCGATTCCCCTGCATTGACTCCAGAGCCATTCCCCGTTCCCCATTCAACACGACCGGTGGCTCGACTTCCTTCAGGCAACTCCAGAGATGCCCCGAGAACACTGTCCCAAGTCTAGAGGAACACCACCTTCAGCACAGCAACTCGAGGAATGCTCCGTGTACCCCAAATCGTCTCGAGATGCGAGCTGATTCCCTGGCTTAGGCTCAAGACGTATGCCAACTTCCCAGAAGCACCTCAGGAGGAGGCTTCTCTCAGCAATAGGTATGTGGGAGGGACCCCGAGTTTGCTGCCTCAAGGGGAATATACAGCGAGAAGCCCTAACTTGAAAGGAGGCCGGATTTCCTTGCAGTGGCTTGAATACAGGCTCGTCTTTCATCTCACAACATGAAGGGATGTCTGAATCCCCTGTGGAGACCTTAGAGAAAGCCCTAGGTCCCTGCCTCATTTTGACGGAATGCCTCACATCCCGCTGACACCTCGAGAGGCACGCGGAGTTCGTTGCGTCAAAAGGTGACGATGCCTGACTCCTCTTGAATACTGATAGGAATCCCAAAATCCCTGTGGCTACTGGAAAGGGTCCTTGGGTGCCCTGCCTCACCTCGAGAAGCGTCCCTTTGGCCCTGCCAAGCCTCGAAGAGATTCCTGAGGTGTCCCTCGTTACTAGACAGGAGTCCTGACGTCACTGAAGAAACTCGTGTTTTGAAGGGCCATCCCCGCCGTAAGTCGAGAACATACCCCAGGTCCCCGCCGCAACTCGAGAAAAACCATGAGACTTCCCCCTAGAGGCGAGATGAGGCCCCATTCCCCTGCAGTGCGTGCAGAGCTATTCCGTGATCCCATTCAAACAAGTCAGGAGCTTCGACTTGCTTAATGGATCTCGAGACAGTCCCCAAGAACACTGTCACCAGTCTAGACGGACCCTGAGGTCACCCCAGCAACGCAAAGCAGCTCCATGTGCCCCAAATCAACTCGAGATGAGGCCCGATTCCCCTGCATTGACTCCAGAGCCATTCCCCGTTCCCCATTCAACACGACCGGTGGCTCGACTTCCTTCAGGCAACTCCAGAGATGCCCCGAGAACACTGTCCCAAGTCTAGAGGAACACCAACTTCAGCACAGCAACTCGAGGAATGCTCCGTGTACCCCAAATCGTCTCGAGATGCGAGCTGATTCCCTGGCTTAGGCTCAAGACGTATGCCAACTTCCCAGAAGCACCTCAGGAGGAGGCTTCTCTCAGCAATAGGTATGTGGGAGGGACCCCGAGTTTGCTGCCTCAAGGGGAATATACAGCGAGAAGCCCTAACTTGAAAGGAGGCCGGATTTCCTTGCAGTGGCTTGAATACAGGCTCGTCTTTCATCTCACAACATGAAGGGATGTCTGAATCCCCTGTGGAGACCTTAGAGAAAGCCCTAGGTCCCTGCCTCATTTTGACGGAATGCCTCACATCCCGCTGACACCTCGAGAGGCACGCGGAGTTCGTTGCGTCAAAAGGTGACGATGCCTGACTCCTCTTGAATACTGATAGGAATCCCAAAATCCCTGTGGCTACTGGAAAGGGTCCTTGGGTGCCCTGCCTCACCCCGAGAAGCGTCCCTTTGGCCCTGCCAAGCCTCGAAGAGATTCCTGAGGTGTCCCTCGTTACTAGACAGGAGTCCTGACGTCACTGAAGAAACTCGTGTTTTGAAGGGCCATCCCCGCCGTAAGTCGAGAACATACCCCAGGTCCCCGCCGCAACTCGAGAAAAACCATGAGACTTCCCCCTAGAGGCGAGATGAGGCCCCATTCCCCTGCAGTGCATGCAGAGCTATTCCGTGATCCCATTCAAACAAGTCAGGAGCTTCGACTTGCTTAATGGATCTCGAGACAGTCCCCAAGAACACTGTCACCAGTCTAGACGGACCCTGAGGTCACCCCAGCAACGCAAAGCAGCTCCATGTGCCCCAAATCAACTCGAGATGAGGCCCGATTCCCCTGCATTGACTCCAGAGCCATTCCCCGTTCCCCATTCAACACGACCGGTGGCTCGACTTCCTTCAGGCAACTCCAGAGATGCCCCGAGAACACTGTCCCAAGTCTAGAGGAACACCACCTTCAGCACAGCAACTCGAGGAATGCTCCGTGTACCCCAAATCGTCTCGAGATGCGAGCTGATTCCCTGGCTTAGGCTCAAGACGTATGCCAACTTCCCAGAAGCACCTCAGGAGGAGGCTTCTCTCAGCAATAGGTATGTGGGAGGGACCCCGAGTTTGCTGCCTCAAGGGGAATATACAGCGAGAAGCCCTAACTTGAAAGGAGGCCGGATTTCCTTGCAGTGGCTTGAATACAGGCTCGTCTTTCATCTCACAACATGAAGGGATGTCTGAATCCCCTGTGGAGACCTTAGAGAAAGCCCTAGGTCCCTGCCTCATTTTGACGGAATGCCTCACATCCCGCTGACACCTCGAGAGGCACGCGGAGTTCGTTGCGTCAAAAGGTGACGATGCCTGACTCCTCTTGAATACTGATAGGAATCCCAAAATCCCTGTGGCTACTGGAAAGGGTCCTTGGGTGCCCTGCCTCACCTCGAGAAGCGTCCCTTTGGCCCTGCCAAGCCTCGAAGAGATTCCTGAGGTGTCCCTCGTTACTAGACAGGAGTCCTGACGTCACTGAAGAAACTCGTGTTTTGAAGGGCCATCCCCGCCGTAAGTCGAGAACATACCCCAGGTCCCCGCCGCAACTCGAGAAAAACCATGAGACTTCCCCCTAGAGGCGAGATGAGGCCCCATTCCCCTGCAGTGCATGCAGAGCTATTCCGTGATCCCATTCAAACAAGGCAGGAGCTTCGACTTGCTTAATGGATCTCGAGACAGTCCCCAAGAACACTGTCACCAGTCTAGACGGACCCTGAGGTCACCCCAGCAACGCAAAGCAGCTCCATGTGCCCCAAATCAACTCGAGATGAGGCCCGATTCCCCTGCATTGACTCCAGAGCCATTCCCCGTTCCCCATTCAACACGACCGGTGGCTCGACTTCCTTCAGGCAACTCCAGAGATGCCCCGAGAACACTGTCCCAAGTCTAGAGGAACACCAACTTCAGCACAGCAACTCGAGGAATGCTCCGTGTACCCCAAATCGTCTCGAGATGCGAGCTGATTCCCTGGCTTAGGCTCAAGACGTATGCCAACTTCCCAGAAGCACCTCAGGAGGAGGCTTCTCTCAGCAATAGGTATGTGGGAGGGACCCCGAGTTTGCTGCCTCAAGGGGAATATACAGCGAGAAGCCCTAACTTGAAAGGAGGCCGGATTTCCTTGCAGTGGCTTGAATACAGGCTCGTCTTTCATCTCACAACATGAAGGGATGTCTGAATCCCCTGTGGAGACCTTAGAGAAAGCCCTAGGTCCCTGCCTCATTTTGACGGAATGCCTCACATCCCGCTGACACCTCGAGAGGCACGCGGAGTTCGTTGCGTCAAAAGGTGACGATGCCTGACTCCTCTTGAATACTGATAGGAATCCCAAAATCCCTGTGGCTACTGGAAAGGGTCCTTGGGTGCCCTGCCTCACCTCGAGAAGCGTCCCTTTGGCCCTGCCAAGCCTCGAAGAGATTCCTGAGGTGTCCCTCGTTACTAGACAGGAGTCCTGACGTCACTGAAGAAACTCGTGTTTTGAAGGGCCATCCCCGCCGTAAGTCGAGAACATACCCCAGGTCCCCGCCGCAACTCGAGAAAAACCATGAGACTTCCCCCTAGAGGCGAGATGAGGCCCCATTCCCCTGCAGTGCATGCAGAGCTATTCCGTGATCCCATTCAAACAAGTCAGGAGCTTCGACTTGCTTAATGGATCTCGAGACAGTCCCCAAGAACACTGTCACCAGTCTAGACGGACCCTGAGGTCACCCCAGCAACGCAAAGCAGCTCCATGTGCCCCAAATCAACTCGAGATGAGGCCCGATTCCCCTGCATTGACTCCAGAGCCATTCCCCGTTCCCCATTCAACACGACCGGTGGCTCGACTTCCTTCAGGCAACTCCAGAGATGCCCCGTGAACACTGTCCCAAGTCTAGAGGAACACCACCTTCAGCACAGCAACTCGAGGAATGCTCCGTGTACCCCAAATCGTCTCGAGATGCGAGCTGATTCCCTGGCTTAGGCCCAAGACGTATGCCAACTTCCCAGAAGCACCTCAGGAGGAGGCTTCTCTCAGCAATAGGTATGTGGGAGGGACCCCGAGTTTGCTGCCTCAAGGGGAATATACAGCAAGAAGCCCTAACTTGAAAGGAGGCCGGATTTCCTTGCAGTGGCTTGAATACAGGCTCGTCTTTCATCTCACAACATGAAGGGATGTCTGAATCCCCTGTGGAGACCTTAGAGAAAGCCCTAGGTCCCTGCCTCATTTTGACGGAATGCCTCACATCCCGCTGACACCTCGAGAGGCACGCGGAGTTCGTTGCGTCAAAAGGTGACGATGCCTGACTCCTCTTGAATACTGATAGGAATCCCAAAATCCCTGTGGCTACTGGAAAGGGTCCTTGGGTGCCCTGCCTCACCCCGAGAAGCGTCCCTTTGGCCCTGCCAAGCCTCGAAGAGATTCCTGAGGTGTCCCTCGTTACTAGACAGGAGTCCTGACGTCACTGAAGAAACTCGTGTTTTGAAGGGCCATCCCCGCCGTAAGTCGAGAACATACCCCAGGTCCCCGCCGCAACTCGAGAAAAACCATGAGGCTTCCCCCTAGAGGCGAGATGAGGCCCCATTCCCCTGCAGTGCATGCAGAGCTATTCCGTGATCCCATTCAAACAAGGCAGGAGCTTCGACTTGCTTAATGGATCTCGAGACAGTCCCCAAGAACACTGTCACCAGTCTAGACGTACCCTGAGGTCACCCCAGCAATGCAAAGCAGCTCCATGTGCCCCAAATCAACTCGAGATGAGGCCCGATTCCCCTGCATTGACTCCAGAGCCATTCCCCGTTCCCCATTCAACACGACCGGTGGCTCGACTTCCTTCAGGCAACTCCAGAGATGCCCCGAGAACACTGTCCCAAGTCTAGAGGAACACCACCTTCAGCACAGCAACTCGAGGAATGCTCCGTGTACCCCAAATCGTCTCGAGATGCGAGCTGATTCCCTGGCTTAGGCTCAAGACGTATGCCAACTTCCCAGAAGCACCTCAGGAGGAGGCTTCTCTCAGCAATAGGTATGTGGGAGGGACCCCGAGTTTGCTGCCTCAAGGGGAATATACAGCGAGAAGCCCTAACTTGAAAGGAGGCCGGATTTCCTTGCAGTGGCTTGAATACAGGCTCGTCTTTCATCTCACAACATGAAGGGATGTCTGAATCCCCTGTGGAGACCTTAGAGAAAGCCCTAGGTCCCTGCCTCATTTTGACGGAATGCCTCACATCCCGCTGACACCTCGAGAGGCACGCGGAGTTCATTGCTTCAAAAGGTGACGATGCCTGACTCCTCTTGAATACTGATAGGAATCCCAAAATCCCTGTGGCTACTGGAAAGGGTCCTTGGGTGCCCTGCCTCACCTCGAGAAGCGTCCCTTTGGCCCTGCCAAGCCTCGAAGAGATTCCTGAGGTGTCCCTCGTTACTAGACAGGAGTCCTGACGTCACTGAAGAAACTCGTGTTTTGAAGGGCCATCCCCGCCGTAAGTCGAGAACATACCCCAGGTCCCCGCCGCAACTCGAGAAAAACCATGAGACTTCCCCCTAGAGGCGAGATGAGGCCCCATTCCCCTGCAGTGCGTGCAGAGCTATTCCGTGATCCCATTCAAACAAGTCAGGAGCTTCGACTTGCTTAATGGATCTCGAGACAGTCCCCAAGAACACTGTCACCAGTCTAGACGGACCCTGAGGTCACCCCAGCAACGCAAAGCAGCTCCATGTGCCCCAAATCAACTCGAGATGAGGCCCGATTCCCCTGCATTGACTCCAGAGCCATTCCCAGTTCCCCATTCAACACGACCGGTGGCTCGACTTCCTTCAGGCAACTCCAGAGATGCCCCGAGAACACTGTCCCAAGTCTAGAGGAACACCAACTTCAGCACAGCAACTCGAGGAATGCTCCGTGTACCCCAAATCGTCTCGAGATGCGAGCTGATTCCCTGGCTTAGGCTCAAGACGTATGCCAACTTCCCAGAAGCACCTCAGGAGGAGGCTTCTCTCAGCAATAGGTATGTGGGAGGGACCCCGAGTTTGCTGCCTCAAGGGGAATATACAGCGAGAAGCCCTAACTTGAAAGGAGGCCGGATTTCCTTGCAGTGGCTTGAATACAGGCTCGTCTTTCATCTCACAACATGAAGGGATGTCTGAATCCCCTGTGGAGACCTTAGAGAAAGCCCTAGGTCCCTGCCTCATTTTGACGGAATGCCTCACATCCCGCTGACACCTCGAGAGGCACGCGGAGTTCGTTGCGTCAAAAGGTGACGATGCCTGACTCCTCTTGAATACTGATAGGAATCCCAAAATCCCTGTGGCTACTGGAAAGGGTCCTTGGGTGCCCTGCCTCACCTCGAGAAGCGTCCCTTTGGCCCTGCCAAGCCTCGAAGAGATTCCTGAGGTGTCCCTCGTTACTAGACAGGAGTCCTGACGTCACTGAAGAAACTCGTGTTTTGAAGGGCCATCCCCGCCGTAAGTCGAGAACATACCCCAGGTCCCCGCCGCAACTCGAGAAAAACCATGAGACTTCCCCCTAGAGGCGAGATGAGGCCCCATTCCCCTGCAGTGCATGCAGAGCTATTCCGTGATCCCATTCAAACAAGGCAGGAGCTTCGACTTGCTTAATGGATCTCGAGACAGTCCCCAAGAACACTGTCACCAGTCTAGACGGACCCTGAGGTCACCCCAGCAACGCAAAGCAGCTCCATGTGCCCCAAATCAACTCGAGATGAGGCCCGATTCCCCTGCATTGACTCCAGAGCCATTCCCCGTTCCCCATTCAACACGACCGGTGGCTCGACTTCCTTCAGGCAACTCCAGAGATGCCCCGAGAACACTGTCCCAAGTCTAGAGGAACACCACCTTCAGCACAGCAACTCGAGGAATGCTCCGTGTACCCCAAATCGTCTCGAGATGCGAGCTGATTCCCTGGCTTAGGCTCAAGACGTATGCCAACTTCCCAGAAGCACCTCAGGAGGAGGCTTCTCTCAGCAATAGGTATGTGGGAGGGACCCCGAGTTTGCTGCCTCAAGGGGAATATACAGCGAGAAGCCCTAACTTGAAAGGAGGCCGGATTTCCTTGCAGTGGCTTGAATACAGGCTCGTCTTTCATCTCACAACATGAAGGGATGTCTGAATCCCCTGTGGAGACCTTAGAGAAAGCCCTAGGTCCCTGCCTCATTTTGACGGAATGCCTCACATCCCGCTGACACCTCGAGAGGCACGCGGAGTTCATTGCTTCAAAAGGTGACGATGCCTGACTCCTCTTGAATACTGATAGGAATCCCAAAATCCCTGTGGCTACTGGAAAGGGTCCTTGGGTGCCCTGCCTCACCCCGAGAAGCGTCCCTTTGGCCCTGCCAAGCCTCGAAGAGATTCCTGAGGTGTCCCTCGTTACTAGACAGGAGTCCTGACGTCACTGAAGAAACTCGTGTTTTGAAGGGCCATCCCCGCCGTAAGTCGAGAACATACCCCAGGTCCCCGCCGCAACTCGAGAAAAACCATGAGACTTCCCCCTAGAGGCGAGATGAGGCCCCATTCCCCTGCAGTGCATGCAGAGCTATTCCGTGATCCCATTCAAACAAGGCAGGAGCTTCGACTTGCTTAATGGATCTCGAGACAGTCCCCAAGAACACTGTCACCAGTCTAGACGTACCCTGAGGTCACCCCAGCAACGCAAAGCAGCTCCATGTGCCCCAAATCAACTCGAGATGAGGCCCGATTCCCCTGCATTGACTCCAGAGCCATTCCCCGTTCCCCATTCAACACGACCGGTGGCTCGACTTCCTTCAGGCAACTCCAGAGATGCCCCGAGAACACTGTCCCAAGTCTAGAGGAACACCAACTTCAGCACAGCAACTCGAGGAATGCTCCGTGTACCCCAAATCGTCTCGAGATGCGAGCTGATTCCCTGGCTTAGGCTCAAGACGTATGCCAACTTCCCAGAAGCACCTCAGGAGGAGGCTTCTCTCAGCAATAGGTATGTGGGAGGGACCCCGAGTTTGCTGCCTCAAGGGGAATATACAGCGAGAAGCCCTAACTTGAAAGGAGGCCGGATTTCCTTGCAGTGGCTTGAATACAGGCTCGTCTTTCATCTCACAACATGAAGGGATGTCTGAATCCCCTGTGGAGACCTTAGAGAAAGCCCTAGGTCCCTGCCTCATTTTGACGGAATGCCTCACATCCCGCTGACACCTCGAGAGGCACGCGGAGTTCATTGCTTCAAAAGGTGACGATGCCTGACTCCTCTTGAATACTGATAGGAATCCCAAAATCCCTGTGGCTACTGGAAAGGGTCCTTGGGTGCCCTGCCTCACCTCGAGAAGCGTCCCTTTGGCCCTGCCAAGCCTCGAAGAGATTCCTGAGGTGTCCCTCGTTACTAGACAGGAGTCCTGACGTCACTGAAGAAACTCGTGTTTTGAAGGGCCATCCCCGCCGTAAGTCGAGAACATACCCCAGGTCCCCGCCGCAACTCGAGAAAAACCATGAGACTTCCCCCTAGAGGCGAGATGAGGCCCCATTCCCCTGCAGTGCGTGCAGAGCTATTCCGTGATCCCATTCAAACAAGTCAGGAGCTTCGACTTGCTTAATGGATCTCGAGACAGTCCCCAAGAACACTGTCACCAGTCTAGACGGACCCTGAGGTCACCCCAGCAACGCAAAGCAGCTCCATGTGCCCCAAATCAACTCGAGATGAGGCCCGATTCCCCTGCATTGACTCCAGAGCCATTCCCCGTTCCCCATTCAACACGACCGGTGGCTCGACTTCCTTCAGGCAACTCCAGAGATGCCCCGAGAACACTGTCCCAAGTCTAGAGGAACACCAACTTCAGCACAGCAACTCGAGGAATGCTCCGTGTACCCCAAATCGTCTCGAGATGCGAGCTGATTCCCTGGCTTAGGCTCAAGACGTATGCCAACTTCCCAGAAGCACCTCAGGAGGAGGCTTCTCTCAGCAATAGGTATGTGGGAGGGACCCCGAGTTTGCTGCCTCAAGGGGAATATACAGCGAGAAGCCCTAACTTGAAAGGAGGCCGGATTTCCTTGCAGTGGCTTGAATACAGGCTCGTCTTTCATCTCACAACATGAAGGGATGTCTGAATCCCCTGTGGAGACCTTAGAGAAAGCCCTAGGTCCCTGCATCATTTTGACGGAATGCCTCACATCCCGCTGACACCTCGAGAGGCACGCGGAGTTCATTGCTTCAAAAGGTGACGATGCCTGACTCCTCTTGAATACTGATAGGAATCCCAAAATCCCTGTGGCTACTGGAAAGGGTCCTTGGGTGCCCTGCCTCACCTCGAGAAGCGTCCCTTTGGCCCTGCCAAGCCTCGAAGAGATTCCTGAGGTGTCCCTCGTTACTAGACAGGAGTCCTGACGTCACTGAAGAAACTCGTGTTTTGAAGGGCCATCCCCGCCGTAAGTCGAGAACATACCCCAGGTCCCCGCCGCAACTCGAGAAAAACCATGAGACTTCCCCCTAGAGGCGAGATGAGGCCCCATTCCCCTGCAGTGCATGCAGAGCTATTCCGTGATCCCATTCAAACAAGGCAGGAGCTTCGACTTGCTTAATGGATCTCGAGACAGTCCCCAAGAACACTGTCACCAGTCTAGACGGACCCTGAGGTCACCCCAGCAACGCAAAGCAGCTCCATGTGCCCCAAATCAACTCGAGATGAGGCCCGATTCCCCTGCATTGACTCCAGAGCCATTCCCCGTTCCCCATTCAACACGACCGGTGGCTCGACTTCCTTCAGGCAACTCCAGAGATGCCCCGAGAACACTGTCCCAAGTCTAGAGGAACACCACCTTCAGCACAGCAACTCGAGGAATGCTCCGTGTACCCCAAATCGTCTCGAGATGCGAGCTGATTCCCTGGCTTAGGCTCAAGACGTATGCCAACTTCCCAGAAGCACCTCAGGAGGAGGCTTCTCTCAGCAATAGGTATGTGGGAGGGACCCCGAGTTTGCTGCCTCAAGGGGAATATACAGCGAGAAGCCCTAACTTGAAAGGAGGCCGGATTTCCTTGCAGTGGCTTGAATACAGGCTCGTCTTTCATCTCACAACATGAAGGGATGTCTGAATCCCCTGTGGAGACCTTAGAGAAAGCCCTAGGTCCCTGCCTCATTTTGACGGAATGCCTCACATCCCGCTGACACCTCGAGAGGCACGCGGAGTTCATTGCTTCAAAAGGTGACGATGCCTGACTCCTCTTGAATACTGATAGGAATCCCAAAATCCCTGTGGCTACTGGAAAGGGTCCTTGGGTGCCCTGCCTCACCTCGAGAAGCGTCCCTTTGGCCCTGCCAAGCCTCGAAGAGATTCCTGAGGTGTCCCTCGTTACTAGACAGGAGTCCTGACGTCACTGAAGAAACTCGTGTTTTGAAGGGCCATCCCCGCCGTAAGTCGAGAACATACCCCAGGTCCCCGCCGCAACTCGAGAAAAACCATGAGACTTCCCCCTAGAGGCGAGATGAGGCCTCATTCCCCTGCAGTGCGTGCAGAGCTATTCCGTGATCCCATTCAAACAAGTCAGGAGCTTCGACTTGCTTAATGGATCTCGAGACAGTCCCCAAGAACACTGTCACCAGTCTAGACGGACCCTGAGGTCACCCCAGCAACGCAAAGCAGCTCCATGTGCCCCAAATCAACTCGAGATGAGGCCCGATTCCCCTGCATTGACTCCAGAGCCATTCCCCGTTCCCCATTCAACACGACCGGTGGCTCGACTTCCTTCAGGCAACTCCAGAGATGCCCCGAGAACACTGTCCCAAGTCTAGAGGAACACCAACTTCAGCACAGCAACTCGAGGAATGCTCCGTGTACCCCAAATCGTCTCGAGATGCGAGCTGATTCCCTGGCTTAGGCTCAAGACGTATGCCAACTTCCCAGAAGCACCTCAGGAGGAGGCTTCTCTCAGCAATAGGTATGTGGGAGGGACCCCGAGTTTGCTGCCTCAAGGGGAATATACAGCGAGAAGCCCTAACTTGAAAGGAGGCCGGATTTCCTTGCAGTGGCTTGAATACAGGCTCGTCTTTCATCTCACAACATGAAGGGATGTCTGAATCCCCTGTGGAGACCTTAGAGAAAGCCCTAGGTCCCTGCATCATTTTGACGGAATGCCTCACATCCCGCTGACACCTCGAGAGGCACGCGGAGTTCATTGCTTCAAAAGGTGACAATGCCTGACTCCTCTTGAATACTGATAGGAATCCCAAAATCCCTGTGGCTACTGGAAAGGGTCCTTGGGTGCCCTGCCTCACCTCGAGAAGCGTCCCTTTGGCCCTGCCAAGCCTCGAAGAGATTCCTGAGGTGTCCCTCGTTACTAGACAGGAGTCCTGACGTCACTGAAGAAACTCGTGTTTTGAAGGGCCATCCCCGCCGTAAGTCGAGAACATACCCCAGGTCCCCGCCGCAACTCGAGAAAAACCATGAGACTTCCCCCTAGAGGCGAGATGAGGCCCCATTCCCCTGCAGTGCATGCAGAGCTATTCCGTGATCCCATTCAAACAAGGCAGGAGCTTCGACTTGCTTAATGGATCTCGAGACAGTCCCCAAGAACACTGTCACCAGTCTAGACGGACCCTGAGGTCACCCCAGCAACGCAAAGCAGCTCCATGTGCCCCAAATCAACTCGAGATGAGGCCCGATTCCCCTGCATTGACTCCAGAGCCATTCCCCGTTCCCCATTCAACACGACCGGTGGCTCGACTTCCTTCAGGCAACTCCAGAGATGCCCCGAGAACACTGTCCCAAGTCTAGAGGAACACCACCTTCAGCACAGCAACTCGAGGAATGCTCCGTGTACCCCAAATCGTCTCGAGATGCGAGCTGATTCCCTGGCTTAGGCTCAAGACGTATGCCAACTTCCCAGAAGCACCTCAGGAGGAGGCTTCTCTCAGCAATAGGTATGTGGGAGGGACCCCGAGTTTGCTGCCTCAAGGGGAATATACAGCGAGAAGCCCTAACTTGAAAGGAGGCCGGATTTCCTTGCAGTGGCTTGAATACAGGCTCGTCTTTCATCTCACAACATGAAGGGATGTCTGAATCCCCTGTGGAGACCTTAGAGAAAGCCCTAGGTCCCTGCCTCATTTTGACGGAATGCCTCACATCCCGCTGACACCTCGAGAGGCACGCGGAGTTCATTGCTTCAAAAGGTGACGATGCCTGACTCCTCTTGAATACTGATAGGAATCCCAAAATCCCTGTGGCTACTGGAAAGGGTCCTTGGGTGCCCTGCCTCACCTCGAGAAGCGTCCCTTTGGCCCTGCCAAGCCTCGAAGAGATTCCTGAGGTGTCCCTCGTTACTAGACAGGAGTCCTGACGTCACTGAAGAAACTCGTGTTTTGAAGGGCCATCCCCGCCGTAAGTCGAGAACATACCCCAGGTCCCCGCCGCAACTCGAGAAAAACCATGAGACTTCCCCCTAGAGGCAGGATGAGGCCCCATTCCCCTGCACTGCCTGCAGAGCTATTCCGTGATCCCATTCAAACAAGTCAGGAGCTTCGACTTGCTTAATGGATCTCGAGACAGTCCCCAAGAACACTGTCACCAGTCTAGACGGACCCTGAGGTCACCCCAGCAACGCAAAGCAGCTCCATGTGCCCCAAATCAACTCGAGATGAGGCCCGATTCCCCTGCATTGACTCCAGAGCCATTCCCCGTTCCCCATTCAACACGACCGGTGGCTCGACTTCCTTCAGGCAACTCCAGAGATGCCCCGAGAACACTGTCCCAAGTCTAGAGGAACACCACCTTCAGCACAGCAACTCGAGGAATGCTCCGTGTACCCCAAATCGTCTCGAGATGCGAGCTGATTCCCTGGCTTAGGCTCAAGACGTATGCCAACTTCCCAGAAGCACCTCAGGAGGAGGCTTCTCTCAGCAATAGGTATGTGGGAGGGACCCCGAGTTTGCTGCCTCAAGGGGAATATACAGCGAGAAGCCCTAACTTGAAAGGAGGCCGGATTTCCTTGCAGTGGCTTGAATACAGGCTCGTCTTTCATCTCACAACATGAAGGGATGTCTGAATCCCCTGTGGAGACCTTAGAGAAAGCCCTAGGTCCCTGCCTCATTTTGACGGAATGCCTCACATCCCGCTGACACCTCGAGAGGCACGCGGAGTTCATTGCTTCAAAAGGTGACGATGCCTGACTCCTCTTGAATACTGATAGGAATCCCAAAATACCTGTGGCTACTGGAAAGGGTCCTTGGGTGCCCTGCCTCACCTCGAGAAGCGTCCCTTTGGCCCTGCCAAGCCTCGAAGAGATTCCTGAGGTGTCCCTCGTTACTAGACAGGAGTCCTGACGTCACTGAAGAAACTCGTGTTTTGAAGGGCCATCCCCGCCGTAAGTCGAGAACATACCCCAGGTCCCCGCCGCAACTCGAGAAAAACCATGAGACTTCCCCCTAGAGGCGAGATGAGGCCCCATTCCCCTGCAGTGCATGCAGAGCTATTCCGTGATCCCATTCAAACAAGGCAGGAGCTTCGACTTGCTTAATGGATCTCGAGACAGTCCCCAAGAACACTGTCACCAGTCTAGACGGACCCTGAGGTCACCCCAGCAACGCAAAGCAGCTCCATGTGCCCCAAATCAACTCGAGATGAGGCCCGATTCCCCTGCATTGACTCCAGAGCCATTCCCCGTTCCCCATTCAACACGACCGGTGGCTCGACTTCCTTCAGGCAACTCCAGAGATGCCCCGAGAACACTGTCCCAAGTCTAGAGGAACACCAACTTCAGCACAGCAACTCGAGGAATGCTCCGTGTACCCCAAATCGTCTCGAGATGCGAGCTGATTCCCTGGCTTAGGCTCAAGACGTATGCCAACTTCCCAGAAGCACCTCAGGAGGAGGCTTCTCTCAGCAATAGGTATGTGGGAGGGACCCCGAGTTTGCTGCCTCAAGGGGAATATACAGCGAGAAGCCCTAACTTGAAAGGAGGCCGGATTTCCTTGCAGTGGCTTGAATACAGGCTCGTCTTTCATCTCACAACATGAAGGGATGTCTGAATCCCCTGTGGAGACCTTAGAGAAAGCCCTAGGTCCCTGCCTCATTTTGACGGAATGCCTCACATCCCGCTGACACCTCGAGAGGCACGCGGAGTTCGTTGCGTCAAAAGGTGACGATGCCTGACTCCTCTTGAATACTGATAGGAATCCCAAAATCCCTGTGGCTACTGGAAAGGGTCCTTGGGTGCCCTGCCTCACCTCGAGAAGCGTCCCTTTGGCCCTGCCAAGCCTCGAAGAGATTCCTGAGGTGTCCCTCGTTACTAGACAGGAGTCCTGACGTCACTGAAGAAACTCGTGTTTTGAAGGGCCATCCCCACCGTAAGTCGAGAACATACCCCAGGTCCCCGCCGCAACTCGAGAAAAACCATGAGACTTCCCCCTAGAGGCGAGATGAGGCCCCATTCCCCTGCAGTGCATGCAGAGCTATTCCGTGATCCCATTCAAACAAGGCAGGAGCTTCGACTTGCTTAATGGATCTCGAGACAGTCCCCAAGAACACTGTCACCAGTCTAGACGGACCCTGAGGTCACCCCAGCAACGCAAAGCAGCTCCATGTGCCCCAAATCAACTCGAGATGAGGCCCGATTCCCCTGCATTGACTCCAGAGCCATTCCCCGTTCCCCATTCAACACGACCGGTGGCTCGACTTCCTTCAGGCAACTCCAGAGATGCCCCGAGAACACTGTCCCAAGTCTAGAGGAACACCACCTTCAGCACAGCAACTCGAGGAATGCTCCGTGTACCCCAAATCGTCTCGAGATGCGAGCTGATTCCCTGGCTTAGGCTCAAGACGTATGCCAACTTCCCAGAAGCACCTCAGGAGGAGGCTTCTCTCAGCAATAGGTATGTGGGAGGGACCCCGAGTTTGCTGCCTCAAGGGGAATATACAGCGAGAAGCCCTAACTTGAAAGGAGGCCGGATTTCCTTGCAGTGGCTTGAATACAGGCTCGTCTTTCATCTCACAACATGAAGGGATGTCTGAATCCCCTGTGGAGACCTTAGAGAAAGCCCTAGGTCCCTGCCTCATTTTGACGGAATGCCTCACATCCCGCTGACACCTCGAGAGGCACGCGGAGTTCGTTGCGTCAAAAGGTGACGATGCCTGACTCCTCTTGAATACTGATAGGAATCCCAAAATCCCTGTGGCTACTGGAAAGGGTCCTTAGGTGCCCTGCCTCACCCCGAGAAGCGTCCCTTTGGCCCTGCCAAGCCTCGAAGAGATTCCTGAGGTGTCCCTCGTTACTAGACAGGAGTCCTGACGTCACTGAAGAAACTCGTGTTTTGAAGGGCCAACCCCGCCGTAAGTCGAGAACATACCCCAGGTCCCCGCCGCAACTCGAGAAAAACCATGAGACTTCCCCCTAGAGGCGAGATGAGGCCCCATTCCCCTGCAGTGCATGCAGAGCTATTCCGTGATCCCATTCAAACAAGTCAGGAGGTTCGACTTGCTTAATGGATCTCGAGACAGTCCCCAAGAACACTGTCACCAGTCTAGACGGACCCTGAGGTCACCCCAGCAACGCAAAGCAGCTCCATGTGCCCCAAATCAACTCGAGATGAGGCCCGATTCCCCTGCATTGACTCCAGAGCCATTCCCAGTTCCCCATTCAACACGACCGGTGGCTCGACTTCCTTCAGGCAACTCCAGAGATGCCCCGAGAACACTGTCCCAAGTCTAGAGGAACACCAACTTCAGCACAGCAACTCGAGGAATGCTCCGTGTACCCCAAATCGTCTCGAGATGCGAGCTGATTCCCTGGCTTAGGCTCAAGACGTATGCCAACTTCCCAGAAGCACCTCAGGAGGAGGCTTCTCTCAGAAATAGGTATGTGGGAGGGACCCCGAGTTTGCTGCCTCAAGGAGAATATACAGCGAGAAGCCCTAACTTGAAAGGAGGCCGGATTTCCTTGCAGTGGCTTGAATACAGGCTCGTCTTTCATCTCACAACATGAAGGGATGTCTGAATCCCCTGTGGAGACCTTAGAGAAAGCCCTAGGTCCCTGCCTCATTTTGACGGAATGCCTCACATCCCGCTGACACCTCGAGAGGCACGCGGAGTTCGTTGCGTCAAAAGGTGACGATGCCTGACTCCTCTTGAATACTGATAGGAATCCCAAAATCCCTGTGGCTACTGGAAAGGGTCCTTGGGTGCCCTGCCTCACCTCGAGAAGCGTCCCTTTGGCCCTGCCAAGCCTCGAAGAGATTCCTGAGGTGTCCCTCGTTACTAGACAGGAGTCCTGACGTCACTGAAGAAACTCGTGTTTTGAAGGGCCATCCCCGCCGTAAGTCGAGAACATACCCCAGGTCCCCGCCGCAACTCGAGAAAAACCATGAGACTTCCCCCTAGAGGCGAGATGAGGCCCCATTCCCCTGCAGTGCATGCAGAGCTATTCCGTGATCCCATTCAAACAAGGCAGGAGCTTCGACTTGCTTAATGGATCTCGAGACAGTCCCCAAGAACACTGTCACCAGTCTAGACGGACCCTGAGGTCACCCCAGCAACGCAAAGCAGCTCCATGTGCCCCAAATCAACTCGAGATGAGGCCCGATTCCCCTGCATTGACTCCAGAGCCATTCCCCGTTCCCCATTCAACACGACCGGTGGCTCGACTTCCTTCAGGCAACTCCAGAGATGCCCCGAGAACACTGTCCCAAGTCTAGAGGAACACCACCTTCAGCACAGCAACTCGAGGAATGCTCCGTGTACCCCAAATCGTCTCGAGATGCGAGCTGATTCCCTGGCTTAGGCTCAAGACGTATGCCAACTTCCCAGAAGCACCTCAGGAGGAGGCTTCTCTCAGCAATAGGTATGTGGGAGGGACCCCGAGTTTGCTGCCTCAAGGGGAATATACAGCGAGAAGCCCTAACTTGAAAGGAGGCCGGATTTCCTTGCAGTGGCTTGAATACAGGCTCGTCTTTCATCTCACAACATGAAGGGATGTCTGAATCCCCTGTGGAGACCTTAGAGAAAGCCCTAGGTCCCTGCCTCATTTTGACGGAATGCCTCACATCCCGCTGACACCTCGAGAGGCACGCGGAGTTCGTTGCGTCAAAAGGTGACGATGCCTGACTCCTCTTGAATACTGATAGGAATCCCAAAATCCCTGTGGCTACTGGAAAGGGTCCTTGGGTGCCCTGCCTCACCCCGAGAAGCGTCCCTTTGGCCCTGCCAAGCCTCGAAGAGATTCCTGAGGTGTCCCTCGTTACTAGACAGGAGTCCTGACGTCACTGAAGAAACTCGTGTTTTGAAGGGCCATCCCCGCCGTAAGTCGAGAACATACCCCAGGTCCCCGCCGCAACTCGAGAAAAACCATGAGACTTCCCCCAAAGGGCGAGATGAGGCCCCATTCCCCTGCAGTGCGTGCAGAGCTATTCCGTGATCCCATTCAAACAAGTCAGGAGCTTCGACTTGCTTAATGGATCTCGAGACAGTCCCCAAGAACACTGTCACCAGTCTAGACGGACCCTGAGGTCACCCCAGCAACGCAAAGCAGCTCCATGTGCCCCAAATCAACTCGAGATGAGGCCCGATTCCCCTGCATTGACTCCAGAGCCATTCCCCGTTCCCCATTCAACACGACCGGTGGCTCGACTTCCTTCAGGCAACTCCAGAGATGCCCCGAGAACACTGTCCCAAGTCTAGAGGAACACCACCTTCAGCACAGCAACTCGAGGAATGCTCCGTGTACCCCAAATCGTCTCGAGATGCGAGCTGATTCCCTGGCTTAGGCTCAAGACGTATGCCAACTTCCCAGAAGCACCTCAGGAGGAGGCTTCTCTCAGCAATAGGTATGTGGGAGGGACCCCGAGTTTGCTGCCTCAAGGGGAATATACAGCGAGAAGCCCTAACTTGAAAGGAGGCCGGATTTCCTTGCAGTGGCTTGAATACAGGCTCGTCTTTCATCTCACAACATGAAGGGATGTCTGAATCCCCTGTGGAGACCTTAGAGAAAGCCCTAGGTCCCTGCCTCATTTTGACGGAATGCCTCACATCCCGCTGACACCTCGAGAGGCACGCGGAGTTCGTTGCGTCAAAAGGTGACGATGCCTGACTCCTCTTGAATACTGATAGGAATCCCAAAATCCCTGTGGCTACTGGAAAGGGTCCTTGGGTGCCCTGCCTCACCTCGAGAAGCGTCCCTTTGGCCCTGCCAAGCCTCGAAGAGATTCCTGAGGTGTCCCTCGTTACTAGACAGGAGTCCTGACGTCACTGAAGAAACTCGTGTTTTGAAGGGCCATCCCCGCCGTAAGTCGAGAACATACCCCAGGTCCCCGCCGCAACTCGAGAAAAACCATGAGACTTCCCCCTAGAGGCGAGATGAGGCCCCATTCCCCTGCAGTGCATGCAGAGCTATTCCGTGATCCCATTCAAACAAGGCAGGAGCTTCGACTTGCTTAATGGATCTCGAGACAGTCCCCAAGAACACTGTCACCAGTCTAGACGGACCCTGAGGTCACCCCAGCAACGCAAAGCAGCTCCATGTGCCCCAAATCAACTCGAGATGAGGCCCGATTCCCCTGCATTGACTCCAGAGCCATTCCCCGTTCCCCATTCAACACGACCGGTGGCTCGACTTCCTTCAGGCAACTCCAGAGATGCCCCGAGAACACTGTCCCAAGTCTAGAGGAACACCACCTTCAGCACAGCAACTCGAGGAATGCTCCGTGTACCCCAAATCGTCTCGAGATGCGAGCTGATTCCCTGGCTTAGGCTCAAGACGTATGCCAACTTCCCAGAAGCACCTCAGGAGGAGGCTTCTCTCAGCAATAGGTATGTGGGAGGGACCCCGAGTTTGCTGCCTCAAGGGGAATATACAGCGAGAAGCCCTAACTTGAAAGGAGGCCGGATTTCCTTGCAGTGGCTTGAATACAGGCTCGTCTTTCATCTCACAACATGAAGGGATGTCTGAATCCCCTGTGGAGACCTTAGAGAAAGCCCTAGGTCCCTGCCTCATTTTGACGGAATGCCTCACATCCCGCTGACACCTCGAGAGGCACGCGGAGTTCGTTGCGTCAAAAGGTGACGATGCCTGACTCCTCTTGAATACTGATAGGAATCCCAAAATCCCTGTGGCTACTGGAAAGGGTCCTTGGGTGCCCTGCCTCACCCCGAGAAGCGTCCCTTTGGCCCTGCCAAGCCTCGAAGAGATTCCTGAGGTGTCCCTCGTTACTAGACAGGAGTCCTGACGTCACTGAAGAAACTCGTGTTTTGAAGGGCCATCCCCGCCGTAAGTCGAGAACATACCCCAGGTCCCCGCCGCAACTCGAGAAAAACCATGAGACTTCCCCCTAGAGGCGAGATGAGGCCCCATTCCCCTGCAGTGCATGCAGAGCTATTCCGTGATCCCATTCAAACAAGGCAGGAGCTTCGACTTGCTTAATGGATCTCGAGACAGTCCCCAAGAACACTGTCACCAGTCTAGACGTACCCTGAGGTCACCCCAGCAACGCAAAGCAGCTCCATGTGCCCCAAATCAACTCGAGATGAGGCCCGATTCCCCTGCATTGACTCCAGAGCCATTCCCCGTTCCCCATTCAACACGACCGGTGGCTCGACTTCCTTCAGGCAACTCCAGAGATGCCCCGAGAACACTGTCCCAAGTCTAGAGGAACACCAACTTCAGCACAGCAACTCGAGGAATGCTCCGTGTACCCCAAATCGTCTCGAGATGCGAGCTGATTCCCTGGCTTAGGCTCAAGACGTATGCCAACTTCCCAGAAGCACCTCAGGAGGAGGCTTCTCTCAGCAATAGGTATGTGGGAGGGACCCCGAGTTTGCTGCCTCAAGGGGAATATACAGCGAGAAGCCCTAACTTGAAAGGAGGCCGGATTTAATTGCAGTGGCTTGAATACAGGCTCGTCTTTCATCTCACAACATGAAGGGATGTCTGAATCCCCTGTGGAGACCTTAGAGAAAGCCCTAGGTCCCTGCCTCATTTTGACGGAATGCCTCACATCCCGCTGACACCTCGAGAGGCACGCGGAGTTCATTGCTTCAAAAGGTGACGATGCCTGACTCCTCTTGAATACTGATAGGAATCCCAAAATCCCTGTGGCTACTGGAAAGGGTCCTTGGGTGCCCTGCCTCACCTCGAGAAGCGTCCCTTTGGCCCTGCCAAGCCTCGAAGAGATTCCTGAGGTGTCCCTCGTTACTAGACAGGAGTCCTGACGTCACTGAAGAAACTCGTGTTTTGAAGGGCCATCCCCGCCGTAAGTCGAGAACATACCCCAGGTCCCCGCCGCAACTCGAGAAAAACCATGAGACTTCCCACTAGAGGCGAGATGAGGCCCCATTCCCCTGCAGTGCATGCAGAGCTATTCCGTGATCCCATTCAAACAAGGCAGGAGCTTCGACTTGCTTAATGGATCTCGAGACAGTCCCCAAGAACACTGTCACCAGTCTAGACGGACCCTGAGGTCACCCCAGCAACGCAAAGCAGCTCCATGTGCCCCAAATCAACTCGAGATGAGGCCCGATTCCCCTGCATTGACTCCAGAGCCATTCCCCGTTCCCCATTCAACACGACCGGTGGCTCGACTTCCTTCAGGCAACTCCAGAGATGCCCCGAGAACACTGTCCCAAGTCTAGAGGAACACCAACTTCAGCACAGCAACTCGAGGAATGCTCCGTGTACCCCAAATCGTCTCGAGATGCGAGCTGATTCCCTGGCTTAGGCTCAAGACGTATGCCAACTTCCCAGAAGCACCTCAGGAGGAGGCTTCTCTCAGCAATAGGTATGTGGGAGGGACCCCGAGTTTGCTGCCTCAAGGGGAATATACAGCGAGAAGCCCTAACTTGAAAGGAGGCCGGATTTCCTTGCAGTGGCTTGAATACAGGCTCGTCTTTCATCTCACAACATGAAGGGATGTCTGAATCCCCTGTGGAGACCTTAGAGAAAGCCCTAGGTCCCTGCCTCATTTTGACGGAATGCCTCACATCCCGCTGACACCTCGAGAGGCACGCGGAGTTCGTTGCGTCAAAAGGTGACGATGCCTGACTCCTCTTGAATACTGATAGGAATCCCAAAATCCCTGTGGCTACTGGAAAGGGTCCTTGGGTGCCCTGCCTCACCCCGAGAAGCGTCCCTTTGGCCCTGCCAAGCCTCGAAGAGATTCCTGAGGTGTCCCTCGTTACTAGACAGGAGTCCTGACGTCACTGAAGAAACTCGTGTTTTGAAGGGCCATCCCCGCCGTAAGTCGAGAACATACCCCAGGTCCCCGCCGCAACTCGAGAAAAACCATGAGACTTCCCCCTAGAGGCGAGATGAGGCCCCATTCCCCTGCAGTGCGTGCAGAGCTATTCCGTGATCCCATTCAAACAAGTCAGGAGCTTCGACTTGCTTAATGGATCTCGAGACAGTCCCCAAGAACACTGTCACCAGTCTAGACGGACCCTGAGGTCACCCCAGCAACGCAAAGCAGCTCCATGTGCCCCAAATCAACTCGAGATGAGGCCCGATTCCCCTGCATTGACTCCAGAGCCATTCCCAGTTCCCCATTCAACACGACCGGTGGCTCGACTTCCTTCAGGCAACTCCAGAGATGCCCCGAGAACACTGTCCCAAGTCTAGAGGAACACCAACTTCAGCACAGCAACACGAGGAATGCTCCGTGTACCCCAAATCGTCTCGAGATGCGAGCTGATTCCCTGGCTTAGGCTCAAGACGTATGCCAACTTCCCAGAAGCACCTCAGGAGGAGGCTTCTCTCAGCAATAGGTATGTGGGAGGGACCCCGAGTTTGCTGCCTCAAGGGGAATATACAGCGAGAAGCCCTAACTTGAAAGGAGGCCGGATTTCCTTGCAGTGGCTTGAATACAGGCTCGTCTTTCATCTCACAACATGAAGGGATGTCTGAATCCCCTGTGGAGACCTTAGAGAAAGCCCTAGGTCCCTGCCTCATTTTGACGGAATGCCTCACATCCCGCTGACACCTCGAGAGGCACGCGGAGTTCGTTGCGTCAAAAGGTGACGATGCCTGACTCCTCTTGAATACTGATAGGAATCCCAAAATCCCTGTGGCTACTGGAAAGGGTCCTTGGGTGCCCTGCCTCACCTCGAGAAGCGTCCCTTTGGCCCTGCCAAGCCTCGAAGAGATTCCTGAGGTGTCCCTCGTTACTAGACAGGAGTCCTGACGTCACTGAAGAAACTCGTGTTTTGAAGGGCCATCCCCGCCGTAAGTCGAGAACATACCCCAGGTCCCCGCCGAAACTCGAGAAAAACCATGAGACTTCCCCCTAGAGGCGAGATGAGGCCCCATTCCCCTGCAGTGCATGCAGAGCTATTCCGTGATCCCATTCAAACAAGGCAGGAGCTTCGACTTGCTTAATGGATCTCGAGACAGTCCCCAAGAACACTGTCACCAGTCTAGACGGACCCTGAGGTCACCCCAGCAACGCAAAGCAGCTCCATGTGCCCCAAATCAACTCGAGATGAGGCCCGATTCCCCTGCATTGACTCCAGAGCCATTCCCCGTTCCCCATTCAACACGACCGGTGGCTCGACTTCCTTCAGGCAACTCCAGAGATGCCCCGAGAACACTGTCCCAAGTCTAGAGGAACACCACCTTCAGCACAGCAACTCGAGGAATGCTCCGTGTACCCCAAATCGTCTCGAGATGCGAGCTGATTCCCTGGCTTAGGCTCAAGACGTATGCCAACTTCCCAGAAGCACCTCAGGAGGAGGCTTCTCTCAGCAATAGGTATGTGGGAGGGACCCCGAGTTTGCTGCCTCAAGGGGAATATACAGCGAGAAGCCCTAACTTGAAAGGAGGCCGGATTTCCTTGCAGTGGCTTGAATACAGGCTCGTCTTTCATCTCACAACATGAAGGGATGTCTGAATCCCCTGTGGAGACCTTAGAGAAAGCCCTAGGTCCCTGCCTCATTTTGACGGAATGCCTCACATCCCGCTGACACCTCGAGAGGCACGCGGAGTTCGTTGCGTCAAAAGGTGACGATGCCTGACTCCTCTTGAATACTGATAGCAATCCCAAAATCCCTGTGGCTACTGGAAAGGGTCCTTGGGTGCCCTGCCTCACCTCGAGAAGCGTCCCTTTGGCCCTGCCAAGCCTCGAAGAGATTCCTGAGGTGTCCCTCGTTACTAGACAGGAGTCCTGACGTCACTGAAGAAACTCGTGTTTTGAAGGGCCATCCCCGCCGTAAGTCGAGAACATACCCCAGGTCCCCGCCGCAACTCGAGAAAAACCATGAGACTTCCCCCTAGAGGCGAGATGAGGCCCCATTCCCCTGCAGTGCATGCAGAGCTATTCCGTGATCCCATTCAAACAAGGCAGGAGCTTCGACTTGCTTAATGGATCTCGAGACAGTCCCCAAGAACACTGTCACCAGTCTAGACGGACCCTGAGGTCACCCCAGCAACGCAAAGCAGCTCCATGTGCCCCAAATCAACTCGAGATGAGGCCCGATTCCCCTGCATTGACTCCAGAGCCATTCCCCGTTCCCCATTCAACACGACCGGTGGCTCGACTTCCTTCAGGCAACTCCAGAGATGCCCCGAGAACACTGTCCCAAGTCTAGAGGAACACCACCTTCAGCACAGCAACTCGAGGAATGCTCCGTGTACCCCAAATCGTCTCGAGATGCGAGCTGATTCCCTGGCTTAGGCTCAAGACGTATGCCAACTTCCCAGAAGCACCTCAGGAGGAGGCTTCTCTCAGCAATAGGTATGTGGGAGGGACCCCGAGTTTGCTGCCTCAAGGGGAATATACAGCGAGAAGCCCTAACTTGAAAGGAGGCCGGATTTCCTTGCAGTGGCTTGAATACAGGCTCGTCTTTCATCTCACAACATGAAGGGATGTCTGAATCCCCTGTGGAGACCTTAGAGAAAGCCCTAGGTCCCTGCCTCATTTTGACGGAATGCCTCACATCCCGCTGACACCTCGAGAGGCACGCGGAGTTCGTTGCGTCAAAAGGTGACGATGCCTGACTCCTCTTGAATACTGATAGGAATCCCAAAATCCCTGTGGCTACTGGAAAGGGTCCTTGGGTGCCCTGCCTCACCCCGAGAAGCGTCCCTTTGGCCCTGCCAAGCCTCGAAGAGATTCCTGAGGTGTCCCTCGTTACTAGACAGGAGTCCTGACGTCACTGAAGAAACTCGTGTTTTGAAGGGCCATCCCCGCCGTAAGTCGAGAACATACCCCAGGTCCCCGCCGCAACTCGAGAAAAACCATGAGACTTCCCCCTAGAGGCGAGATGAGGCCCCATTCCCCTGCAGTGCGTGCAGAGCTATTCCGTGATCCCATTCAAACAAGGCAGGAGCTTCGACTTGCTTAATGGATCTCGAGACAGTCCCCAAGAACACTGTCACCAGTCTAGACGTACCCTGAGGTCACCCCAGCAACGCAAAGCAGCTCCATGTGCCCCAAATCAACTCGAGATGAGGCCCGATTCCCCTGCATTGACTCCAGAGCCATTCCCCGTTCCCCATTCAACACGACCGGTGGCTCGACTTCCTTCAGGCAACTCCAGAGATGCCCCGAGAACACTGTCCCAAGTCTAGAGGAACACCAACTTCAGCACAGCAACTCGAGGAATGCTCCGTGTACCCCAAATCGTCTCGAGATGCGAGCTGATTCCCTGGCTTAGGCTCAAGACGTATGCCAACTTCCCAGAAGCACCTCAGGAGGAGGCTTCTCTCAGCAATAGGTATGTGGGAGGGACCCCGAGTTTGCTGCCTCAAGGGGAATATACAGCGAGAAGCCCTAACTTGAAAGGAGGCCGGATTTCCTTGCAGTGGCTTGAATACAGGCTCGTCTTTCATCTCACAACATGAAGGGATGTCTGAATCCCCTGTGGAGACCTTAGAGAAAGCCCTAGGTCCCTGCCTCATTTTGACGGAATGCCTCACATCCCGCTGACACCTCGAGAGGCACGCGGAGTTCGTTGCGTCAAAAGGTGACGATGCCTGACTCCTCTTGAATACTGATAGGAATCCCAAAATCCCTGTGGCTACTGGAAAGGGTCCTTGGGTGCCCTGCCTCACCCCGAGAAGCGTCCCTTTGGCCCTGCCAAGCCTCGAAGAGATTCCTGAGGTGTCCCTCGTTACTAGACAGGAGTCCTGACGTCACTGAAGAAACTCGTGTTTTGAAGGGCCATCCCCGCCGTAAGTCGAGAACATACCCCAGGTCCCCGCCGCAACTCGAGAAAAACCATGAGACTTCCCCCTAGAGGCGAGATGAGGCCCCATTCCCCTGCAGTGCGTGCAGAGCTATTCCGTGATCCCATTCAAACAAGGCAGGAGCTTCGACTTGCTTAATGGATCTCGAGACAGTCCCCAAGAACACTGTCACCAGTCTAGACGTACCCTGAGGTCACCCCAGCAACGCAAAGCAGCTCCATGTGCCCCAAATCAACTCGAGATGAGGCCCGATTCCCCTGCATTGACTCCAGAGCCATTCCCCGTTCCCCATTCAACACGACCGGTGGCTCGACTTCCTTCAGGCAACTCCAGAGATGCCCCGAGAACACTGTCCCAAGTCTAGAGGGACACCAACTTCAGCACAGCAACTCGAGGAATGCTCCGTGTACCCCAAATCGTCTCGAGATGCGAGCTGATTCCCTGGCTTAGGCTCAAGACGTATGCCAACTTCCCAGAAGCACCTCAGGAGGAGGCTTCTCTCAGCAATAGGTATGTGGGAGGGACCCCGAGTTTGCTGCCTCAAGGGGAATATACAGCGAGAAGCCCTAACTTGAAAGGAGGCCGGATTTCCTTGCAGTGGCTTGAATACAGGCTCGTCTTTCATCTCACAACATGAAGGGATGTCTGAATCCCCTGTGGAGACCTTAGAGAAAGCCCTAGGTCCCTGCCTCATTTTGACGGAATGCCTCACATCCCGCTGACACCTCGAGAGGCACGCGGAGTTCGTTGCGTCAAAAGGTGACGATGCCTGACTCCTCTTGAATACTGATAGGAATCCCAAAATCCCTGTGGCTACTGGAAAGGGTCCTTGGGTGCCCTGCCTCACCTCGAGAAGCGTCCCTTTGGCCCTGCCAAGCCTCGAAGAGATTCCTGAGGTGTCCCTCGTTACTAGACAGGAGTCCTGACGTCACTGAAGAAACTCGTGTTTTGAAGGGCCATCCCCGACGTAAGTCGAGAACATACCCCAGGTCCCCGCCGCAACTCGAGAAAAACCATGAGACTTCCCCCTAGAGGCGAGATGAGGCCCCATTCCCCTGCAGTGCATGCAGAGCTATTCCGTGATCCCATTCAAACAAGGCAGGAGCTTCGACTTGCTTAATGGATCTCGAGACAGTCCCCAAGAACACTGTCACCAGTCTAGACGGACCCTGAGGTCACCCCAGCAACGCAAAGCAGCTCCATGTGCCCCAAATCAACTCGAGATGAGGCCCGATTCCCCTGCATTGACTCCAGAGCCATTCCCCGTTCCCCATTCAACACGACCGGTGGCTCGACTTCCTTCAGGCAACTCCAGAGATGCCCCGAGAACACTGTCCCAAGTCTAGAGGAACACCACCTTCAGCACAGCAACTCGAGGAATGCTCCGTGTACCCCAAATCGTCCCGAGATGCGAGCTGATTCCCTGGCTTAGGCTCAAGACGTATGCCAACTTCCCAGAAGCATCTCAGGAGGAGGCTTCTCTCAGCAATAGGTATGTGGGAGGGACCCCGAGTTTGCTGCCTCAAGGGGAATATACAGCGAGAAGCCCTAACTTGAAAGGAGGCCGGATTTCCTTGCAGTGGCTTGAATACAGGCTCGTCTTTCATCTCACAACATGAAGGGATGTCTGAATCCCCTGTGGAGACCTTAGAGAAAGCCCTAGGTCCCTGCCTCATTTTGACGGAATGCCTCACATCCCGCTGACACCTCGAGAGGCACGCGGAGTTCGTTGCGTCAAAAGGTGACGATGCCTGACTCCTCTTGAATACTGATAGGAATCCCAAAATCCCTGTGGCTACTGGAAAGGGTCCTTGGGTGCCCTGCCTCACCCCGAGAAGCGTCCCTTTGGCCCTGCCAAGCCTCGAAGAGATTCCTGAGGTGTCCCTCGTTACTAGACAGGAGTCCTGACGTCACTGAAGAAACTCGTGTTTTGAAGGGCCATCCCCGCCGTAAGTCGAGAACATACCCCAGGTCCCCGCCGCAACTCGAGAAAAACCATGAGACTTCCCCCTAGAGGCGAGATGAGGCCCCATTCCCCTGCAGTGCATGCAGAGCTATTCCGTGATCCCATTCAAACAAGGCAGGAGCTTCGACTTGCTTAATGGATCTCGAGACAGTCCCCAAGAACACTGTCACCAGTCTAGACGGACCCTGAGGTCACCCCAGCAACGCAAAGCAGCTCCATGTGCCCCAAATCAACTCGAGATGAGGCCCGATTCCCCTGCATTGACTCCAGAGCCATTCCCCGTTCCCCATTCAACACGACCGGTGGCTCGACTTCCTTCAGGCAACTCCAGAGATGCCCCGAGAACACTGTCCCAAGTCTAGAGGAACACCAACTTCAGCACAGCAACTCGAGGAATGCTCCGTGTACCCCAAATCGTCTCGAGATGCGAGCTGATTCCCTGGCTTAGGCTCAAGACGTATGCCAACTTCCCAGAAGCACCTCAGGAGGAGGCTTCTCTCAGCAATAGGTATGTGGGAGGGACCCCGAGTTTGCTGCCTCAAGGGGAATATACAGCGAGAAGCCCTAACTTGAAAGGAGGCCGGATTTCCTTGCAGTGGCTTGAATACAGGCTCGTCTTTCATCTCACAACATGAAGGGATGTCTGAATCCCCTGTGGAGACCTTAGAGAAAGCCCTAGGTCCCTGCCTCATTTTGACGGAATGCCTCACATCCCGCTGACACCTCGAGAGGCACGCGGAGTTCGTTGCGTCAAAAGGTGACGATGCCTGACTCCTCTTGAATACTGATAGGAATCCCAAAATCCCTGTGGCTACTGGAAAGGGTCCTTGGGTGCCCTGCCTCACCTCGAGAAGCGTCCCTTTTGCCCTGCCAAGCCTCGAAGAGATTCCTGAGGTGTCCCTCGTTACTAGACAGGAGTCCTGACGTCACTGAAGAAACTCGTGTTTTGAAGGGCCATCCCCGCCGTAAGTCGAGAACATACCCCAGGTCCCCGCCGCAACTCGAGAAAAACCATGAGACTTCCCCCTAGAGGCGAGATGAGGCCCCATTCCCCTGCAGTGCATGCAGAGCTATTCCGTGATCCCATTCAAACAAGGCAGGAGCTTCGACTTGCTTAATGGATCTCGAGACAGTCCCCAAGAACACTGTCACCAGTCTAGACGGACCCTGAGGTCACCCCAGCAACGCAAAGCAGCTCCATGTGCCCCAAATCAACTCGAGATGAGGCCCGATTCCCCTGCATTGACTCCAGAGCCATTCCCCGTTCCCCATTCAACACGACCGGTGGCTCGACTTCCTTCAGGCAACTCCAGAGATGCCCCGAGAACACTGTCCCAAGTCTAGAGGAACACCACCTTCAGCACAGCAACTCGAGGAATGCTCCGTGTACCCCAAATCGTCTCGAGATGCGAGCTGATTCCCTGGCTTAGGCTCAAGACGTATGCCAACTTCCCAGAAGCACCTCAGGAGGAGGCTTCTCTCAGCAATAGGTATGTGGGAGGGACCCCGAGTTTGCTGCCTCAAGGGGAATATACAGCGAGAAGCCCTAACTTGAAAGGAGGCCGGATTTCCTTGCAGTGGCTTGAATACAGGCTCGTCTTTCATCTCACAACATGAAGGGATGTCTGAATCCCCTGTGGAGACCTTAGAGAAAGCCCTAGGTCCCTGCCTCATTTTGACGGAATGCCTCACATCCCGCTGACACCTCGAGAGGCACGCGGAGTTCGTTGCTTCAAAAGGTGACGATGCCTGACTCCTCTTGAATACTGATAGGAATCCCAAAATCCCTGTGGCTACTGGAAAGGGTCCTTGGGTGCCCTGCCTCACCTCGAGAAGCGTCCCTTTGGCCCTGCCAAGCCTCGAAGAGATTCCTGAGGTGTCCCTCGTTACTAGACAGGAGTCCTGACGTCACTGAAGAAACTCGTGTTTTGAAGGGCCATCCCCGCCGTAAGTCGAGAACATACCCCAGGTCCCCGCCGCAACTCGAGAAAAACCATGAGACTTCCCCCTAGAGGCGAGATGAGGCCCCATTCCCCTGCAGTGCATGCAGAGCTATTCCGTGATCCCATTCAAACAAGTCAGGAGCTTCGACTTGCTTAATGGATCTCGAGACAGTCCCCAAGAACACTGTCACCAGTCTAGACGGACCCTGAGGTCACCCCAGCAACGCAAAGCAGCTCCATGTGCCCCAAATCAACTCGAGATGAGGCCCGATTCCCCTGCATTGACTCCAGAGCCATTCCCCGTTCCCCATTCAACACGACCGGTGGCTCGACTTCCTTCAGGCAACTCCAGAGATGCCCCGAGAACACTGTCCCAAGTCTAGAGGAACACCAACTTCAGCACAGCAACTCGAGGAATGCTCCGTCTACCCCAAATCGTCTCGAGATGCGAGCTGATTCCCTGGCTTAGGCTCAAGACGTATGCCAACTTCCCAGAAGCACCTCAGGAGGAGGCTTCTCTCAGCAATAGGTATGTGGGAGGGACCCCGAGTTTGCTGCCTCAAGGGGAATATACAGCGAGAAGCCCTAACTTGAAAGGAGGCCGGATTTCCTTGCAGTGGCTTGAATACAGGCTCGTCTTTCATCTCACAACATGAAGGGATGTCTGAATCCCCTGTGGAGACCTTAGAGAAAGCCCTAGGTCCCTGCCTCATTTTGACGGAATGCCTCACATCCCGCTGACACCTCGAGAGGCACGCGGAGTTCGTTGCGTCAAAAGGTGACGATGCCTGACTCCTCTTGAATACTGATAGGAATCCCAAAATCCCTGTGGCTACTGGAAAGGGTCCTTGGGTGCCCTGCCTCACCTCGAGAAGCGTCCCTTTGGCCCTGCCAAGCCTCGAAGAGATTCCTGAGGTGTCCCTCGTTACTAGACAGGAGTCCTCACGTCACTGAAGAAACTCGTGTTTTGAAGGGCCATCCCCGCCGTAAGTCGAGAACATACCCCAGGTCCCCGCCGCAACTCGAGAAAAACCATGAGACTTCCCCCTAGAGGCGAGATGAGGCCCCATTCCCCTGCAGTGCATGCAGAGCTATTCCGTGATCCCATTCAAACAAGGCAGGAGCTTCGACTTGCTTAATGGATCTCGAGACAGTCCCCAAGAACACTGTCACCAGTCTAGACGGACCCTGAGGTCACCCCAGCAACGCAAAGCAGCTCCATGTGCCCCAAATCAACTCGAGATGAGGCCCGATTCCCCTGCATTGACTCCAGAGCCATTCCCCGTTCCCCATTCAACACGACCGGTGGCTCGACTTCCTTCAGGCAACTCCAGAGATGCCCCGAGAACACTGTCCCAAGTCTAGAGGAACACCAACTTCAGCACAGCAACTCGAGGAATGCTCCGTGTACCCCAAATCGTCTCGAGATGCGAGCTGATTCCCTGGCTTAGGCTCAAGACGTATGCCAACTTCCCAGAAGCACCTCAGGAGGAGGCTTCTCTCAGCAATAGGTATGTGGGAGGGACCCCGAGTTTGCTGCCTCAAGGGGAATATACAGCGAGAAGCCCTAACTTGAAAGGAGGCCGGATTTCCTTGCAGTGGCTTGAATACAGGCTCGTCTTTCATCTCACAACATGAAGGGATGTCTGAATCCCCTGTGGAGACCTTAGAGAAAGCCCTAGGTCCCTGCCTCATTTTGACGGAATGCCTCACATCCCGCTGACACCTCGAGAGGCACGCGGAGTTCGTTGCGTCAAAAGGTGACGATGCCTGACTCCTCTTGAATACTGATAGGAATCCCAAAATCCCTGTGGCTACTGGAAAGGGTCCTTGGGTGCCCTGCCTCACCCCGAGAAGCGTCCCTTTGGCGCTGCCAAGCCTCGAAGAGATTCCTGAGGTGTCCCTCGTTACTAGACAGGAGTCCTGACGTCACTGAAGAAACTCGTGTTTTGAAGGGCCATCCCCGCCGTAAGTCGAGAACATACCCCAGGTCCCCGCCGCAACTCGAGAAAAACCATGAGACTTCCCCCTAGAGGCGAGATGAGGCCCCATTCCCCTGCAGTGCATGCAGAGCTATTCCGTGATCCCATTCAAACAAGGCAGGAGCTTCGACTTGCTTAATGGATCTCGAGACAGTCCCCAAGAACACTGTCACCAGTCTAGACGGACCCTGAGGTCACCCCAGCAACGCAAAGCAGCTCCATGTGCCCCAAATCAACTCGAGATGAGGCCCGATTCCCCTGCATTGACTCCAGAGCCATTCCCCGTTCCCCATTCAACACGACCGGTGGCTCGACTTCCTTCAGGCAACTCCAGAGATGCCCCGAGAACACTGTCCCAAGTCTAGAGGAACACCACCTTCAGCACAGCAACTCGAGGAATGCTCCGTGTACCCCAAATCGTTTCGAGATGCGAGCTGATTCCCTGGCTTAGGCTCAAGACGTATGCCAACTTCCCAGAAGCACCTCAGGAGGAGGCTTCTCTCAGCAATAGGTATGTGGGAGGGACCCCGAGTTTGCTGCCTCAAGGGGAATATACAGCGAGAAGCCCTAACTTGAAAGGAGGCCGGATTTCCTTGCAGTGGCTTGAATACAGGCTCGTCTTTCATCTCACAACATGAAGGGATGTCTGAATCCCCTGTGGAGACCTTAGAGAAAGCCCTAGGTCCCTGCCTCATTTTGACGGAATGCCTCACATCCCGCTGACACCTCGAGAGGCACGCGGAGTTCATTGCTTCAAAAGGTGACGATGCCTGACTCCTCTTCAATACTGATAGGAATCCCAAAATCCCTGTGGCTACTGGAAAGGGTCCTTGGGTGCCCTGCCTCACCTCGAGAAGCGTCCCTTTGGCCCTGCCAAGCCTCGAAGAGATTCCTGAGGTGTCCCTCGTTACTAGACAGGAGTCCTGACGTCACTGAAGAAACTCGTGTTTTGAAGGGCCATCCCCGCCGTAAGTCGAGAACATACCCCAGGTCCCCGCCGCAACTCGAGAAAAACCATGAGACTTCCCCCTAGAGGCAGGATGAGGCCCCATTCCCCTGAACTGCCTGCAGAGCTATTCCGTGATCCCATTCAAACAAGTCAGGAGCTTCGACTTGCTTAATGGATCTCGAGACAGTCCCCAAGAACACTGTCACCAGTCTAGACGGACCCTGAGGTCACCCCAGCAACGCAAAGCAGCTCCATGTGCCCCAAATCAACTCGAGATGAGGCCCGATTCCCCTGCATTGACTCCAGAGCCATTCCCCGTTCCCCATTCAACACGACCGGTGGCTCGCCTTCCTTCAGGCAACTCCAGAGATGCCCCGAGAACACTGTCCCAAGTCTAGAGGAACACCACCTTCAGCACAGCAACTCGAGGAATGCTCCGTGTACCCCAAATCATCTCGAGATGCGAGCTGATTCCCTGGCTTAGGCTCAAGACGTATGCCAACTTCCCAGAAGCACCTCAGGAGGAGGCTTCTCTCAGCAATAGGTATGTGGGAGGGACCCCGAGTTTGCTGCCTCAAGGGGAATATACAGCGAGAAGCCCTAACTTGAAAGGAGGCCGGATTTCCTTGCAGTGGCTTGAATACAGGCTCGTCTTTCATCTCACAACATGAAGGGATGTCTGAATCCCCTGTGGAGACCTTAGAGAAAGCCCTAGGTCCCTGCCTCATTTTGACGGAATGCCTCACATCCCGCTGACACCTCGAGAGGCACGCGGAGTTCATTGCTTCAAAAGGTGACGATGCCTGACTCCTCTTGAATACTGATAGGAATCCCAAAATCCCTGTGGCTACTGGAAAGGGTCCTTGGGTGCCCTGCCTCACCTCGAGAAGCGTCCCTTTGGCCCTGCCAAGCCTCGAAGAGATTCCTGAGGTGTCCCTCGTTACTAGACAGGAGTCCTGACGTCACTGAAGAAACTCGTGTTTTGAAGGGCCATCCCCGCCGTAAGTCGAGAACATACCCCAGGTCCCCGCCTCAACTCGAGAAAAACCATGAGACTTCCCCCTAGAGGCGAGATGAGGCCCCATTCCCCTGCAGTGCCTGCAGAGCTATTCCGTGATCCCATTCAAACAAGTCAGGAGCTTCGACTTGCTTAATGGATCTCGAGACAGTCCCCAAGAACACTGTCACCAGTCTAGACGGACCCTGAGGTCACCCCAGCAACGCAAAGCAGCTCCATGTGCCCCAAATCAACTCGAGATGAGGCCCGATTCCCCTGCATTGACTCCAGAGCCATTCCCCGTTCCCCATTCAACACGACCGGTGGCTCGACTTCCTTCAGGCAACTCCAGAGATGCCCCGAGAACACTGTCCCAAGTCTAGAGGAACACCACCTTCAGCACAGCAACTCGAGGAATGCTCCGTGTACCCCAAATCGTCTCGAGATGCGAGCTGATTCCCTGGCTTAGGCTCAAGACGTATGCCAACTTCCCAGAAGCACCTCAGGAGGAGGCTTCTCTCAGCAATAGGTATGTGGGAGGGACCCCGAGTTTGCTGCCTCAAGGGAAATATACAGCGAGAAGCCCTGACTTGAAAGGAGGCCGGATTTCCTTGCAGTGGCTTGAATACAGGCTCGTCTTTCATCTCACAACATGAAGGGATGTCTGAATCCCCTGTGGAGACCTTAGAGAAAGCCCTAGGTCCCTGCCTCATTTTGACGGAATGCCTCACATCCCGCTGACACCTCGAGAGGCACGCGGAGTTCATTGCTTCAAAAGGTGACGATGCCTGACTCCTCTTGAATACTGATAGGAATCCCAAAATCCCTGTGGCTACTGGAAAGGGTCCTTGGGTGCCCTGCCTCACCTCGAGAAGCGTCCCTTTGGCCCTGCCAAGCCTCGAAGAGATTCCTGAGGTGTCCCTCGTTACTAGACAGGAGTCCTGACGTCACTGAAGAAACTCGTGTTTTGAAGGGCCATCCCCGCCGTAAGTCGAGAACATACCCCAGGTCCCCGCCGCAACTCGAGAAAAACCATGAGACTTCCCCCTAGAGGCAGGATGAGGCCCCATTCCCCTGCACTGCCTGCAGAGCTATTCCGTGATCCCATTCAAACAAATCAGGAGCTTCGACTTGCTTAATGGATCTCGAGACAGTCCCCAAGAACACTGTCACCAGTCTAGACGGACCCTGAGGTCACCCCAGCAACGCAAAGCAGCTTCATGTGCCCCAAATCAACTCGAGATGAGGCCCGATTCCCCTGCATTGACTCCAGAGCCATTCCCCGTTCCCCATTCAACACGACCGGTGGCTCGACTTCCTTCAGGCAACTCCAGAGATGCCCCGAGAACACTGTCCCAAGTCTAGAGGAACACCACCTTCAGCACAGCAACTCGAGGAATGCTCCGTGTACCCCAAATCGTCTCGAGATGCGAGCTGATTCCCTGGCTTAGGCTCAAGACGTATGCCAACTTCCCAGAAGCACCTCAGGAGGAGGCTTCTCTCAGCAATAGGTATGTGGGAGGGACCCCGAGTTTGCTGCCTCAAGGGGAATATACAGCGAGAAGCCCTGACTTTAAAGGAGGCCGGATTTCCTTGCAGTGGCTTGAATACAGGCTCGTCTTTCATCTCACAACATGAAGGGATGTCTGAATCCCCTGTGGAGACCTTAGAGAAAGCCCTAGGTCCCTGCCTCATTTTGACGGAATGCCTCACATCCCGCTGACACCTCGAGAGGCACGCGGAGTTCATTGCTTCAAAAGGTGACGATGCCTGACTCCTCTTGAATACTGATAGGAATCCCAAAATCCCTGTGGCTACTGGAAAGGGTCCTTGGGTGCCCTGCCTCACCTCGAGAAGCGTCCCTTTGGCCCTGCCAAGCCTCGAAGAGATTCCTGAGGTGTCCCTCGTTACTAGACAGGAGTCCTGACGTCACTGAAGAAACTCGTGTTTTGAAGGGCCATCCCCGCCGTAAGTCGAGAACATACCCCAGGTCCCCGCCGCAACTCGAGAAAAACCATGAGACTTCCCCCTAGAGGCGAGATGAGGCCCCATTCCCCTGCAGTGCATGCAGAGCTATTCCGTGATCCCATTCAAACAAGTCAGGAGCTTCGACTTGCTTAATGGATCTCGAGACAGTCCCCAAGAACACTGTCACCAGTCTAGACGGACCCTGAGGTCACCCCAGCAACGCAAAGCAGCTCCATGTGCCCCAAATCAACTCGAGATGAGGCCCGATTCCCCTGCATTGACTCCAGAGCCATTCCCCGTTCCCCATTCAACACGACCGGTGGCTCGACTTCCTTCAGGCAACTCCAGAGATGCCCCGAGAACACTGTCCCAAGTCTAGAGGAACACCACCTTCAGCACAGCAACTCGAGGAATGCTCCGTGTACCCCAAATCGTCTCGAGATGCGAGCTGATTCCCTGGCTTAGGCTCAAGACGTATGCCAACTTCCCAGAAGCACCTCAGGAGGAGGCTTCTCTCAGCAATAGGTATGTGGGAGGGACCCCGAGTTTGCTGCCTCAAGGGGAATATACAGCGAGAAGCCCTGACTTGAAAGGAGGCCGGATTTCCTTGCAGTGGCTTGAATACAGGCTCGTCTTTCATCTCACAACATGAAGGGATGTCTGAATCCCCTGTGGAAACCTTAGAGAAAGCCCTAGGTCCCTGCCTCATTTTGACGGAATGCCTCACATCCCGCTGACACCTCGAGAGGCACGCGGAGTTCGTTGCTTCAAAAGGTGACGATGCCTGACTCTTCTTGAATACTGATAGGAATCCCAAAATCCCTGTGGCTACTGGAAAGGGTCCTTGGGTGCCCTGCCTCACCTCGAGAAGCGTCCCTTTGGCCCTGCCAAGCCTCGAAGAGATTCCTGAGGTGTCCCTCGTTACTAGACAGGAGTCCTGACGTCACTGAAGAAACTCGTGTTTTGAAGGGCCATCCCCGCCGTAAGTCGAGAACATACCCCAGGTCCCCGCCGCAACTCGAGAAAAACCATGAGACTTCCCCCTAGAGGCGAGATGAGGCCCCATTCCCCTGCAGTGCATGCAGAGCTATTCCGTGATCCCATTCAAACAAGGCAGGAGCTTCGACTTGCTTAATGGATCTCGAGACAGTCCCCAAGAACACTGTCACCAGTCTAGACGGACCCTGAGGTCACCCCAGCAACGCAAAGCAGCTCCATGTGCCCCAAATCAACTCGAGATGAGGCCCGATTCCCCTGCATTGACTCCAGAGCCATTCCCCGTTCCCCATTCAACACGACCGGTGGCTCGACTTCCTTCAGGCAACTCCAGAGATGCCCCGAGAACACTGTCCCAAGTCTAGAGGAACACCACCTTCAGCACAGCAACTCGAGGAATGCTCCGTGTACCCCAAATCGTCTCGAGATGCGAGCTGATTCCCTGGCTTAGGCTCAAGACGTATGCCAACTTCCCAGAAGCACCTCAGGAGGAGGCTTCTCTCAGCAATAGGTATGTGGGAGGGACCCCGAGTTTGCTGCCTCAAGGGGAATATACAGCGAGAAGCCCTGACTTGAAAGGAGGCCGGATTTCCTTGCAGTGGCTTGAATACAGGCTCGTCTTTCATCTCACAACATGAAGGGATGTCTGAATCCCCTGTGGAGACCTTAGAGAAAGCCCTAGGTCCCTGCCTCATTTTGACGGAATGCCTCACATCCCGCTGACACCTCGAGAGGCACGCGGAGTTCATTGCTTCAAAAGGTGACGATGCCTGACTCCTCTTGAATACTGATAGGAATCCCAAAATCCCTGTGGCTACTGGAAAGGGTCCTTGGGTGCCCTGCCTCACCTCGAGAAGCGTCCCTTTGGCCCTGCCAAGCCTCGAAGAGATTCCTGAGGTGTCCCTCGTTACTAGACAGGAGTCCTGACGTCACTGAAGAAACTCGTGTTTTGAAGGGCCATCCCCGCCGTAAGTCGAGAACATACCCCAGGTCCCCGCCGCAACTCGAGAAAAACCATGAGACTTCCCCCTAGAGGCGAGATGAGGCCCCATTCCCCTGCAGTGCATGCAGAGCTATTCCGTGATCCCATTCAAACAAGTCAGGAGCTTCGACTTGCTTAATGGATCTCGAGACAGTCCCCAAGAACACTGTCACCAGTCTAGACGGACCCTGAGGTCACCCCAGCAACGCAAAGCAGCTCCATGTGCCCCAAATCAACTCGAGATGAGGCCCGATTCCCCTGCATTGACTCCAGAGCCATTCCCCGTTCCCCATTCAACACGACCGGTGGCTCGACTTCCTTCAGGCAACTCCAGAGATGCCCCGAGAACACTGTCCCAAGTCTAGAGGAACACCACCTTCAGCACAGCAACTCGAGGAATGCTCCGTGTACCCCAAATCGTCTCGAGATGCGAGCTGATTCCCTGGCTTAGGCTCAAGACGTATGCCAACTTCCCAGAAGCACCTCAGGAGGAGGCTTCTCTCAGCAATAGGTATGTGGGAGGGACCCCGAGTTTGCTGCCTCAAGGGGAATATACAGCGAGAAGCCCTGACTTGAAAGGAGGCCGGATTTCCTTGCAGTGGCTTGAATACAGGCTCGTCTTTCATCTCACAACATGAAGGGATGTCTGAATCCCCTGTGGAGACCTTAGAGAAAGCCCTAGGTCCCTGCCTCATTTTGACGGAATGCCTCACATCCCGCTGACACCTCGAGAGGCACGCGGAGTTCGTTGCTTCAAAAGGTGACGATGCCTGACTCCTCTTGAATACTGATAGGAATCCCAAAATCCCTGTGGCTACTGGAAAGGGTCCTTGGGTGCCCTGCCTCACCTCGAGAAGCGTCCCTTTGGCCCTGCCAAGCCTCGAAGAGATTCCTGAGGTGTCCCTCGTTACTAGACAGGAGTCCTGACGTCACTGAAGAAACTCGTGTTTTGAAGGGCCATCCCCGCCGTAAGTCGAGAACATACCCCAGGTCCCCGCCGCAACTCGAGAAAAACCATGAGACTTCCCCCTAGAGGCGAGATGAGGCCCCATTCCCCTGCAGTGCATGCAGAGCTATTCCGTGATCCCATTCAAACAAGTCAGGAGCTTCGACTTGCTTAATGGATCTCGAGACAGTCCCCAAGAACACTGTCACCAGTCTAGACGGACCCTGAGGTCACCCCAGCAACGCAAAGCAGCTCCATGTGCCCCAAATCAACTCGAGATGAGGCCCGATTCCCCTGCATTGACTCCAGAGCCATTCCCCGTTCCCCATTCAACACGACCGGTGGCTCGACTTCCTTCAGGCAACTCCAGAGATGCCCCGAGAACACTGTCCCAAGTCTAGAGGAACACCACCTTCAGCACAGCAACTCGAGGAATGCTCCGTGTACCCCAAATCGTCTCGAGATGCGAGCTGATTCCCTGGCTTAGGCTCAAGACGTATGCCAACTTCCCAGAAGCACCTCAGGAGGAGGCTTCTCTCAGCAATAGGTATGTGGGAGGGACCCCGAGTTTGCTGCCTCAAGGGGAATATACAGCGAGAAGCCCTGACTTGAAAGGAGGCCGGATTTCCTTGCAGTGGCTTGAATACAGGCTCGTCTTTCATCTCACAACATGAAGGGATGTCTGAATCCCCTGTGGAGACCTTAGAGAAAGCCCTAGGTCCCTGCCTCATTTTGACGGAATGCCTCACATCCCGCTGACACCTCGAGAGGCACGCGGAGTTCATTGCTTCAAAAGGTGACGATGCCTGACTCCTCTTGAATACTGATAGGAATCCCAAAATCCCTGTGGCTACTGGAAAGGGTCCTTGGGTGCCCTGCCTCACCTCCAGAAGCGTCCCTTTGGCCCTGCCAAGCCTCGAAGAGATTCCTGAGGTGTCCCTCGTTACTAGACAGGAGTCCTGACGTCACTGAAGAAACTCGTGTTTTGAAGGGCCATCCCCGCCGTAAGTCGAGAACATACCCCAGGTCCCCGCCGCAACTCGAGAAAAACCATGAGACTTCCCCCTAGAGGCGAGATGAGGCCCCATTCCCCTGCAGTGCATGCAGAGCTATTCCGTGATCCCATTCAAACAAGTCAGGAGCTTCGACTTGCTTAATGGATCTCGAGACAGTCCCCAAGAACACTGTCACCAGTCTAGACGGACCCTGAGGTCACCCCAGCAACGCAAAGCAGCTCCATGTGCCCCAAATCAACTCGAGATGAGGCCCGATTCCCCTGCATTGACTCCAGAGCCATTCCCCGTTCCCCATTCAACACGACCGGTGGCTCGACTTCCTTCAGGCAACTCCAGAGATGCCCCGAGAACACTGTCCCAAGTCTAGAGGAACACCACCTTCAGCACAGCAACTCGAGGAATGCTCCGTGTACCCCAAATCGTCTCGAGATGCGAGCTGATTCCCTGGCTTAGGCTCAAGACGTATGCCAACTTCCCAGAAGCACCTCAGGAGGAGGCTTCTCTCAGCAATAGGTATGTGGGAGGGACCCCGAGTTTGCTGCCTCAAGGGGAATATACAGCGAGAAGCCCTGACTTGAAAGGAGGCCGGATTTCCTTGCTGTGGCTTGAATACAGGCTCGTCTTTCATCTCACAACATGAAGGGATGTCTGAATCCCCTGTGGAGACCTTAGAGAAAGCCCTAGGTCCCTGCCTCATTTTGACGGAATGCCTCACATCCCGCTGACACCTCGAGAGGCACGCGGAGTTCATTGCTTCAAAAGGTGACGATGCCTGACTCCTCTTGAATACTGATAGGAATCCCAAAATCCCTGTGGCTACTGGAAAGGGTCCTTGGGTGCCCTGCCTCACCTCGAGAAGCGTCCCTTTGGCCCTGCCAAGCCTCGAAGAGATTCCTTAGGTGTCCCTCGTTACTAGACAGGAGTCCTGACGTCACTGAAGAAACTCGTGTTTTGAAGGGCCATCCCCGCCGTAAGTCGAGAACATACCCCAGGTCCCCGCCGCAACTCGAGAAAAACCATGAGACTTCCCCCTAGAGGCGAGATGAGGCCCCATTCCCCTGCAGTGCATGCAGAGCTATTCCGTGATCCCATTCAAAGAAGTCAGGAGCTTCGACTTGCTTAATGGATCTCGAGACAGTCCCCAAGAACACTGTCACCAGTCTAGACGGACCCTGAGGTCACCCCAGCAACGCAAAGCAGCTCCATGTGCCCCAAATCAACTCGAGATGAGGCCCGATTCCCCTGCATTGACTCCAGAGCCATTCCCCGTTCCCCATTCAACACGACCGGTGGCTCGACTTCCTTCAGGCAACTCCAGAGATGCCCCGAGAACACTGTCCCAAGTCTAGAGGAACACCAACTTCAGCACAGCAACTCGAGGAATGCTCCGTGTACCCCAAATCGTCTCGAGATGCGAGCTGATTCCTTGGCTTAGGCTCAAGACGTATGCCAACTTCCCAGAAGCACCTCAGGAGGAGGCTTCTCTCAGCAATAGGTATGTGGGAGGGACCCCGAGTTTGCTGCCTCAAGGGGAATATACAGCGAGAAGCCCTGACTTGAAAGGAGGCCGGATTTCCTTGCAGTGGCTTGAATACAGGCTCGTCTTTCATCTCACAACATGAAGGGATGTCTGAATCCCCTGTGGAGACCTTAGAGAAAGCCCTAGGTCCCTGCCTCATTTTGACGGAATGCCTCACATCCCGCTGACACCTCGAGAGGCACGCGGAGTTCATTGCTTCAAAAGGTGACGATGCCTGACTCCTCTTGAATACTGATAGGAATCCCAAAATCCCTGTGGCTACTGGAAAGGGTCCTTGGGTGCCCTGCCTCACCCCGAGAAGCGTCCCTTTGGCGCTGCCAAGCCTCGAAGAGATTCCTGAGGTGTCCCTCGTTACTAGACAGGAGTCCTGACGTCACTGAAGAAACTCGTGTTTTGAAGGGCCATCCCCGCCGTAAGTCGAGAACATACCCCAGGTCCCCGCCGCAACTCGAGAAAAACCATGAGACTTCCCCCTAGAGGCGAGATGAGGCCCCATTCCCCTGCAGTGCATGCAGAGCTATTCCGTGATCCCATTCAAACAAGGCAGGAGCTTCGACTTGCTTAATGGATCTCGAGACAGTCCCCAAGAACACTGTCACCAGTCTAGACGGACCCTGAGGTCACCCCAGCAACGCAAAGCAGCTCCATGTGCCCCAAATCAACTCGAGATGAGGCCCGATTCCCCTGCATTGATTCCAGAGCCATTCCCCGTTCCCCATTCAACACGACCGGTGGCTCGACTTCCTTCAGGCAACTCCAGAGATGCCCCGAGAACACTGTCCCAAGTCTAGAGGAACACCAACTTCAGCACAGCAACTCGAGGAATGCTCCGTGTACCCCAAATCGTCTCGAGATGCGAGCTGATTCCCTGGCTTAGGCTCAAGACGTATGCCAACTTCCCAGAAGCACCTCAGGAGGAGGCTTCTCTCAGCAATAGGTATGTGGGAGGGACCCCGAGTTTGCTGCCTCAAGGGGAATATACAGCGAGAAGCCCTGACTTGAAAGGAGGCCGGATTTCCTTGCAGTGGCTTGAATACAGGCTCGTCTTTCATCTCACAACATGAAGGGATGTCTGAATCCCCTGTGGAGACCTTAGAGAAAGCCCTAGGTCCCTGCCTCATTTTGACGGAATGCCTCACATCCCGCTGACACCTCGAGAGGCACGCGGAGTTCATTGCTTCAAAAGGTGACGATGCCTGTCTCCTCTTGAATACTGATAGGAATCCCAAAATCCCTGTGGCTACTGGAAAGGGTCCTTGGGTGCCCTGCCTCACCTCGAGAAGCGTCCCTTTTGCCTTGCCAAGCCTCGAAGAGATTCCTGAGGTGTCCCTCGTTACTAGACAGGAGTCCTGACGTCACTGAAGAAACTCGTGTTTTGAAGGGCCATCCCTGCCGTAAGTCGAGAACATACCCCAGGTCCCCGCCGCAACTCGAGAAAAACAATGAGACTTCCCCCTAGAGGCGAGATGAGGCCCCATTCCCCTGCAGTGCATGCAGAGCTATTCCGTGATCCCATTCAAACAAGTCAGGAGCTTCGACTTGCTTAATGGATCTCGAGACAGTCCCCAAGAACACTGTCACCAGTCTAGACGGACCCTGAGGTCACCCCAGCAACACAAAGCAGCTCCATGTGCCCCAAATCAACTCGAGATGAGGCCCGATTCCCCTGCATTGACTCCAGAGCCATTCCCCGTTCCCCATTCAACACGACCGGTGGCTCGACTTCCTTCAGGCAACTCCAGAGATGCCCCGAGAACACTGTCCCAAGTCTAGAGGAACACCAACTTCAGCACAGCAACTCGAGGAATGCTCCGTGTACCCCAAATCATCTCGAGATGCGAGCTGATTCCCTGGCTTAGGCTCAAGACGTATGCCAACTTCCCAGAAGCACCTCAGGAGGAGGCTTCTCTCAGCAATAGGTATGTGGGAGGGACCCCGAGTTTGCTGCCTCAAGGGGAATATACAGCGAGAAGCCCTAACTTGAAAGGAGGCCGGATTTCCTTGCAGTGGCTTGAATACAGGCTCGTCTTTCATCTCACAACATGAAGGGATGTCTGAATCCCCTGTGGAGACCTTAGAGAAAGCCCTAGGTCCCTGCCTCATTTTGACGGAATGCCTCACATCCCGCTGACACCTCGAGAGGCACGCGGAGTTCATTGCTTCAAAAGGTGACGATGCCTGACTCCTCTTGAATACTGATAGGAATCCCAAAATCCCTGTGGCTACTGGAAAGGGTCCTTGGGTGCCCTGCCTCACCTCGAGAAGCGTCCCTTTTGCCCTGCCAAGCCTCGAAGAGATTCCTGAGGTGTCCCTCGTTACTAGACAGGAGTCCTGACGTCACTGAAGAAACTCGTGTTTTGAAGGGTCATCACCGCCGTAAGTCGAGAACATACCCCAGGTCCCCGCCGCAACTCGAGAAAAACCATGAGACTTCCCCCTAGAGGCGAGATGAGGCCCCATTCCCCTGCAGTGCATGCAGAGCTATTCCGTGATCCCATTCAAACAAGTCAGGAGCTTCGACTTGCTTAATGGATCTCGAGACAGTCCCCAAGAACACTGTCACCAGTCTAGACGGACCCTGAGGTCACCCCAGCAACGCAAAGCAGCTCCATGTGCCCCAAATCAACTCGAGATGAGGCCCGATTCCCCTGCATTGACTCCAGAGCCATTCCCCGTTCCCCATTCAACACGACCGGTGGCTCGACTTCCTTCAGGCAACTCCAGAGATGCCCCGAGAACACTGTCCCAAGTCTAGAGGAACACCAACTTCAGCACAGCAACTCGAGGAATGCTCCGTGTACCCCAAATCATCTCGAGATGCGAGCTGATTCCCTGGCTTAGGCTCAAGACGTATGCCAACTTCCCAGAAGCACCTCAGGAGGAGGCTTCTCTCAGCAATAGGTATGTGGGAGGGACCCCGAGTTTGCTGCCTCAAGGGGAATATACAGCGAGAAGCCCTAACTTGAAAGGAGGCCGGATTTCCTTGCAGTGGCTTGAATACAGGCTCGTCTTTCATCTCACAACATGAAGGGATGTCTGAATCCCCTGTGGAGACCTTAGAGAAAGCCCTAGGTCCCTGCCTCATTTTGACGGAATGCCTCACATCCCGCTGACACCTCGAGAGGCACGCGGAGTTCATTGCTTCAAAAGGTGACGATGCCTGACTCCTCTTGAATACTGATAGGAATCCCAAAATCCCTGTGGCTACTGGAAAGGGTCCTCGGGTGCCCTGCCTCACCTCGAGAAGCGTCCCTTTGGCCCTGCCAAGCCTCGAAGAGATTCCTGAGGTGTCCCTCGTTACTAGACAGGAGTCCTGACGTCACTGAAGAAACTCGTGTTTTGAAGGGTCATCCCCGCCGTAAGTCGAGAACATACCCCAGGTCCCCGCCGCAACTCGAGAAAAACCATGAGACTTCCCCCTAGAGGCGAGATGAGGCCCCATTCCCCTGCAGTGCATGCAGAGCTATTCCGTGATCCCATTCAAACAAGGCAGGAGCTTCGACTTGCTTAATGGATCTCGAGACAGTCCCCAAGAACACTGTCACCAGTCTAGACGGACCCTGAGGTCACCCCAGCAACGCAAAGCAGCTCCATGTGCCCCAAATCAACTCGAGATGAGGCCCGATTCCCCTGCATTGACTCCAGAGCCATTCCCCGTTCCCCATTCAACACGACCGGTGGCTCGACTTCCTTCAGGCAACTCCAGAGATGCCCCGAGAACACTGTCCCAAGTCTAGAGGAGCACCAACTTCAGCACAGCAACTCGAGGAATGCTCCGTGTACCCCAAATCGTCTCGAGATGCGAGCTGATTCCCTGGCTTAGGCTCAAGACGTATGCCAACTTCCCAGAAGCACCTCAGGAGGAGGCTTCTCTCAGCAATAGGTATGTGGGAGGGACCCCGAGTTTGCTGCCTCAAGGGGAATATACAGCGAGAAGCCCTAACTTGAAAGGAGGCCGGATTTCCTTGCAGTGGCTTGAATACAGGCTCGTCTTTCATCTCACAACATGAAGGGATGTCTGAATCCCCTGTGGAGACCTTAGAGAAAGCCCTAGGTCCCTGCCTCATTTTGACGGAATGCCTCACATCCCGCTGACACCTCGAGAGGCACGCGGAGTTCATTGCTTCAAAAGGTGACGATGCCTGTCTCCTCTTGAATACTGATAGGAATCCCAAAATCCCTGTGGCTACTGGAAAGGGTCCTTGGGTGCCCTGCCTCACCTCGAGAAGCGTCCCTTTTGCCCTGCCAAGCCTCGAAGAGATTCCTGAGGTGTCCCTCGTTACTAGACAGGAGTCCTGACGTCACTGAAGAAACTCGTGTTTTGAAGGGCCATCCCCGCCGTAAGTCGAGAACATACCCCAGGTCCCCGCCGCAACTCGAGAAAAACCATGAGACTTCCCCCTAGAGGCGAGATGAGGCCCCATTCCCCTGCAGTGCATGCAGAGCTATTCCGTGATCCCATTCAAACAAGTCAGGAGCCTCGACTTGCTTAATGGATCTCGAGACAGTCCCCAAGAACACTGTCACCAGTCTAGACGGACCCTGAGGTCACCCCAGCAACGCAAAGCAGCTCCATGTGCCCCAAATCAACTCGAGATGAGGCCCGATTCCCCTGCATTGACTCCAGAGCCATTCCCCGTTCCCCATTCAACACGACCGGTGGCTCGACTTCCTTCAGGCAACTCCAGAGATGCCCCGAGAACACTGTCCCAAGTCTAGAGGAACACCAACTTCAGCACAGCAACTCGAGGAATGCTCCGTGTACCCCAAATCGTCTCGAGATGCGAGCTGATTCCCTGGCTTAGGCTCAAGACGTATGCCAACTTCCCAGAAGCACCTCAGGAGGAGGCTTCTCTCAGCAATAGGTATGTGGGAGGGACCCCGAGTTTGCTGCCTCAAGGGGAATATACAGCGAGAAGCCCTGACTTGAAAGGAGGCCGGATTTCCTTGCAGTGGCTTGAATACAGGCTCGTCTTTCATCTCACAACATGAAGGGATGTCTGAATCCCCTGTGGAGACCTTAGAGAAAGCCCTAGGTCCCTGCCTCATTTTGACGGAATGCCTCACATCCCGCTGACACCTCGAGAGGCACGCGGAGTTCATTGCTTCAAAAGGTGACGATGCCTGACTCCTCTTGAATACTGATAGGAATCCCAAAATCCCTGTGGCTACTGGAAAGGGTCCTTGGGTGCCCTGCCTCACCTCGAGAAGCGTCCCTTTTGCCCTGCCAAGCCTCGAAGAGATTCCTGAGGTGTCCCTCGTTACTAGACAGGAGTCCTGACGTCACTGAAGAAACTCGTGTTTTGAAGGGTCATCCCCGCCGTAAGTCGAGAACATACCCCAGGTCCCCGCCGCAACTCGAGAAAAACCATGAGACTTCACCCTAGAGGCGAGATGAGGCCCCATTCCCCTGCAGTGCATGCAGAGCTATTCCGTGATCCCATTCAAACAAGGCAGGAGCTTCGACTTGCTTAATGGATCTCGAGACAGTCCCCAAGAACACTGTCACCAGTCTAGACGGACCCTGAGGTCACGCCAGCAACGCAAAGCAGCTCCATGTGCCCCAAATCAACTCGAGATGAGGCCCGATTCCCCTGCATTGACTCCAGAGCCATTCCCCGTTCCCCATTCAACACGACCGGTGGCTCGACTTCCTTCAGGCAACTCCAGAGATGCCCCGAGAACACTGTCCCAAGTCTAGAGGAACACCAACTTCAGCACAGCAACTCGAGGAATGCTCCGTGTACCCCAAATCGTCTCGAGATGCGAGCTGATGCCCTGGCTTAGGCTCAAGACGTATGCCAACTTCCCAGAAGCACCTCAGGAGGAGGCTTCTCTCAGCAATAGGTATGTGGGAGGGACCCCGAGTTTGCTGCCTCAAGGGGAATATACAGCGAGAAGCCCTGACTTGAAAGGAGGCCGGATTTCCTTGCAGTGGCTTGAATACAGGCTCGTCTTTCATCTCACAACATGAAGGGATGTCTGAATCCCCTGTGGAGACCTTAGAGAAAGCCCTAGGTCCCTGCCTCATTTTGACGGAATGCCTCACATCCCGCTGACACCTCGAGAGGCACGCGGAGTTCATTGCTTCAAAAGGTGACGATGCCTGACTCCTCTTGAATACTGATAGGAATCCCAAAATCCCTGTGGCTACTGGAAAGGGTCCTTGGGTGCCCTGCCTCACCTCGAGAAGCGTCCCTTTTGCCCTGCCAAGCCTCGAAGAGATTCCTGAGGTGTCCCTCGTTACTAGACAGGAGTCCTGACGTCACTGAAGAAACTCGTGTTTTGAAGGGTCATCCCCGCCGTAAGTCGAGAACATACCCCAGGTCCCCGCCGCAACTCGAGAAAAACCATGAGACTTCCCCCTAGAGGCGAGATGAGGCCCCATTCCCCTGCAGTGCATGCAGAGCTATTCCGTGATCCCATTCAAACAAGGCAGGAGCTTCGACTTGCTTAATGGATCTCGAGACAGTCCCCAAGAACACTGTCACCAGTCTAGACGGACCCTGAGGTCACCCCAGCAACGCAAAGCAGCTCCATGTGCCCCAAATCAACTCGAGATGAGGCCCGATTCCCCTGCATTGACTCCAGAGCCATTCCCCGTTCCCCATTCAACACGACCGGTGGCTCGACTTCCTTCAGGCAACTCCAGAGATGCCCCGAGAACACTGTCCCAAGTCTAGAGGAACACCAACTTCAGCACAGCAACTCGAGGAATGCTCCGTGTACCCCAAATCGTCTCGAGATGCGAGCTGATTCCCTGGCTTAGGCTCAAGACGTATGCCAACTTCCCAGAAGCACCTCAGGAGGAGGCTTCTCTCAGCAATAGGTATGTGGGAGGGACCCCGAGTTTGCTGCCTCAAGGGGAATATACAGCGAGAAGCCCTGACTTGAAAGGAGGCCGGATTTCCTTGCAGTGGCTTGAATACAGGCTCGTCTTTCATCTCACAACATGAAGGGATGTCTGAATCCCCTGTGGAGACCTTAGAGAAAGCCCTAGGTCCCTGCCTCATTTTGACGGAATGCCTCACATCCCGCTGACACCTCGAGAGGCACGCGGAGTTCATTGCTTCAAAAGGTGACGATGCCTGACTCCTCTTGAATACTGATAGGAATCCCAAAATCCCTGTGGCTACTGGAAAGGGTCCTTGGGTGCCCTGCCTCACCTCGAGAAGCGTCCCTTTTGCCCTGCCAAGCCTCGAAGAGATTCCTGAGGTGTCCCTCGTTACTAGACAGGAGTCCTGACGTCACTGAAGAAACTCGTGTTTTGAAGGGTCATCCCCGCCGTAAGTCGAGAACATACCCCAGGTCCCCGCCGCAACTCGAGAAAAACCATGAGACTTCCCCCTAGAGGCGAGATGAGGCCCCATTCCCCTGCAGTGCATGCAGAGCTATTCCGTGATCCCATTCAAACAAGGCAGGAGCTTCGACTTGCTTAATGGGTCTCGAGACAGTCCCCAAGAACACTGCCACCAGTCTAGACGGACCCTGAGGTCACCCCAGCAACGCAAAGCAGCTCCATGTGCCCCAAATCAACTCGAGATGAGGCCCGATTCCCCTGCATTGACTCCAGAGCCATTCCCCGTTCCCCATTCAACACGACCGGTGGCTCGACTTCCTTCAGGCAACTCCAGAGATGCCCTGAGAACACTGTCCCAAGTCTAGAGGAACACCAACTTCAGCACAGCAAGTCGAGGAATGCTCCGTGTACCCCAAATCGTCTCGAGATGCGAGCTGATTCCCTGGCTTAGGCTCAAGACGTATGCCAACTTCCCAGAAGCACCTCAGGAGGAGGCTTCTCTCAGCAATAGGTATGTGGGAGGGACCCCGAGTTTGCTGCCTCAAGGGGAATATACAGCGAGAAGCCCTAACTTGAAAGGAGGCCGGATTTCCTTGCAGTGGCTTGAATACAGGCTCGTCTTTCATCTCACAACATGAAGGGATGTCTGAATCCCCTGTGGAGACCTTAGAGAAAGCCCTAGGTCCCTGCCTCATTTTGACGGAATGCCTCACATCCCGCTGACACCTCGAGAGGCACGCGGAGTTCATTGCTTCAAAAGGTGACGATGCCTGACTCCTCTTGAATACTGATAGGAATCCCAAAATCCCTGTGGCTACTGGAAAGGGTCCTTGGGTGCCCTGCCTCACCTCGAGAAGCGTCCCTTTTGCCCTGCCAAGCCTCGAAGAGATTCCTGAGGTGTCCCTCGTTACTAGACAGGAGTCCTGACGTCACTGAAGAAACTCGTGTTTTGAAGGGTCATCCCCGCCGTAAGTCGAGAACATACCCCAGGTCCCCGCCGCAACTCGAGAAAAACCATGAGACTTCACCCTAGAGGCGAGATGAGGCCCCATTCCCCTGCAGTGCATGCAGAGCTATTCCGTGATCCCATTCAAACAAGGCAGGAGCTTCGACTTGCTTAATGGATCTCGAGACAGTCCCCAAGAACACTGTCACCAGTCTAGACGGACCCTGAGGTCACGCCAGCAACGCAAAGCAGCTCCATGTGCCCCAAATCAACTCGAGATGAGGCCCGATTCCCCTGCATTGACTCCAGAGCCATTCCCCGTTCCCCATTCAACACGACCGGTGGCTCGACTTCCTTCAGGCAACTCCAGAGATGCCCCGAGAACACTGTCCCAAGTCTAGAGGAACACCAACTTCAGCACAGCAACTCGAGGAATGCTCCGTGTACCCCAAATCGTCTCGAGATGCGAGCTGATGCCCTGGCTTAGGCTCAAGACGTATGCCAACTTCCCAGAAGCACCTCAGGAGGAGGCTTCTCTCAGCAATAGGTATGTGGGAGGGACCCCGAGTTTGCTGCCTCAAGGGGAATATACAGCGAGAAGCCCTGACTTGAAAGGAGGCCGGATTTCCTTGCAGTGGCTTGAATACAGGCTCGTCTTTCATCTCACAACATGAAGGGATGTCTGAATCCCCTGTGGAGACCTTAGAGAAAGCCCTAGGTCCCTGCCTCATTTTGACGGAATGCCTCACATCCCGCTGACACCTCGAGAGGCACGCGGAGTTCATTGCTTCAAAAGGTGACGATGCCTGACTCCTCTTGAATACTGATAGGAATCCCAAAATCCCTGTGGCTACTGGAAAGGGTCCTTGGGTGCCCTGCCTCACCTCGAGAAGCGTCCCTTTTGCCCTGCCAAGCCTCGAAGAGATTCCTGAGGTGTCCCTCGTTACTAGACAGGAGTCCTGACGTCACTGAAGAAACTCGTGTTTTGAAGGGTCATCCCCGCCGTAAGTCGAGAACATACCCCAGGTCCCCGCCGCAACTCGAGAAAAACCATGAGACTTCCCCCTAGAGGCGAGATGAGGCCCCATTCCCCTGCAGTGCATGCAGAGCTATTCCGTGATCCCATTCAAACAAGGCAGGAGCTTCGACTTGCTTAATGGATCTCGAGACAGTCCCCAAGAACACTGTCACCAGTCTAGACGGACCCTGAGGTCACCCCAGCAACGCAAAGCAGCTCCATGTGCCCCAAATCAACTCGAGATGAGGCCCGATTCCCCTGCATTGACTCCAGAGCCATTCCCCGTTCCCCATTCAACACGACCGGTGGCTCGACTTCCTTCAGGCAACTCCAGAGATGCCCCGAGAACACTGTCCCAAGTCTAGAGGAACACCAACTTCAGCACAGCAACTCGAGGAATGCTCCGTGTACCCCAAATCGTCTCGAGATGCGAGCTGATTCCCTGGCTTAGGCTCAAGACGTATGCCAACTTCCCAGAAGCACCTCAGGAGGAGGCTTCTCTCAGCAATAGGTATGTGGGAGGGACCCCGAGTTTGCTGCCTCAAGGGGAATATACAGCGAGAAGCCCTGACTTGAAAGGAGGCCGGATTTCCTTGCAGTGGCTTGAATACAGGCTCGTCTTTCATCTCACAACATGAAGGGATGTCTGAATCCCCTGTGGAGACCTTAGAGAAAGCCCTAGGTCCCTGCCTCATTTTGACGGAATGCCTCACATCCCGCTGACACCTCGAGAGGCACGCGGAGTTCATTGCTTCAAAAGGTGACGATGCCTGACTCCTCTTGAATACTGATAGGAATCCCAAAATCCCTGTGGCTACTGGAAAGGGTCCTTGGGTGCCCTGCCTCACCTCGAGAAGCGTCCCTTTTGCCCTGCCAAGCCTCGAAGAGATTCCTGAGGTGTCCCTCGTTACTAGACAGGAGTCCTGACGTCACTGAAGAAACTCGTGTTTTGAAGGGTCATCCCCGCCGTAAGTCGAGAACATACCCCAGGTCCCCGCCGCAACTCGAGAAAAACCATGAGACTTCCCCCTAGAGGCGAGATGAGGCCCCATTCCCCTGCAGTGCATGCAGAGCTATTCCGTGATCCCATTCAAACAAGGCAGGAGCTTCGACTTGCTTAATGGATCTCGAGACAGTCCCCAAGAACACTGCCACCAGTCTAGACGGACCCTGAGGTCACCCCAGCAACGCAAAGCAGCTCCATGTGCCCCAAATCAACTCGAGATGAGGCCCGATTCCCCTGCATTGACTCCAGAGCCATTCCCCGTTCCCCATTCAACACGACCGGTGGCTCGACTTCCTTCAGGCAACTCCAGAGATGCCCTGAGAACACTGTCCCAAGTCTAGAGGAACACCAACTTCAGCACAGCAAGTCGAGGAATGCTCCGTGTACCCCAAATCGTCTCGAGATGCGAGCTGATTCCCTGGCTTAGGCTCAAGACGTATGCCAACTTCCCAGAAGCACCTCAGGAGGAGGCTTCTCTCAGCAATAGGTATGTGGGAGGGACCCCGAGTTTGCTGCCTCAAGGGGAATATACAGCGAGAAGCCCTAACTTGAAAGGAGGCCGGATTTCCTTGCAGTGGCTTGAATACAGGCTCGTCTTTCATCTCACAACATGAAGGGATGTCTGAATCCCCTGTGGAGACCTTAGAGAAAGCCCTAGGTCCCTGCCTCATTTTGACGGAATGCCTCACATCCCGCTGACACCTCGAGAGGCACGCGGAGTTCATTGCTTCAAAAGGTGACGATGCCTGACTCCTCTTGAATACTGATAGGAATCCCAAAATCCCTGTGGCTACTGGAAAGGGTCCTTGGGTGCCCTGCCTCACCTCGAGAAGCGTCCCTTTGGCCCTGCCAAGCCTCGAAGAGATTCCTGAGGTGTCCCTCGTTACTAGACAGGAGTCCTGACGTCACTGAAGAAACTCGTGTTTTGAAGGGCCATCCCCGCCGTAAGTCGAGAACATACCCCAGGTCCCCGCCGCAACTCGAGAAAAACCATGAGACTTCCCCCTAGAGGCGAGATGAGGCCCCATTCCCCTGCAGTGCATGCAGAGCTATTCCGTGATCCCATTCAAACAAGGCAGGAGCTTCGACTTGCTTAATGGATCTCGAGACAGTCCCCAAGAACACTGTCACCAGTCTAGACGGACCCTGAGGTCACCCCAGCAACGCAAAGCAGCTCCATGTGCCCCAAATCAACTCGAGATGAGGCCCGATTCCCCTGCATTGACTCCAGAGCCATTCCCCGTTCCCCATTCAACACGACCGGTGGCTCGACTTCCTTCAGGCAACTCCAGAGATGCCCCGAGAACACTGTCCCAAGTCTAGATGAACACCAACTTCAGCACAGCAACTCGAGGAATGCTCCGTGTACCCCAAATCGTCTCGAGATGCGAGCTGATTCCCTGGCTTAGGCTCAAGACGTATGCCAACTTCCCAGAAGCACCTCAGGAGGAGGCTTCTCTCAGCAATAGGTATGTGGGAGGGACCCCGATTTTGCTGCCTCAAGGGGAATATACAGCGAGAAGCCCTAACTTGAAAGGAGGCCGGATTTCCTTGCAGTGGCTTGAATACAGGCTCGTCTTTCATCTCACAACATGAAGGGATGTCTGAATCCCCTGTGGAGACCTTAGAGAAAGCCCTAGGTCCCTGCCTCATTTTGACGGAATGCCTCACATCCCGCTGACACCTCGAGAGGCACGCGGAGTTCATTGCTTCAAAAGGTGACGATGCCTGACTCCTCTTGAATACTGATAGGAATCCCAAAATCCCTGTGGCTACTGGAAAGGGTCCTTGGGTGCCCTGCCTCACCTCGAGAAGCGTCCCTTTGGCCCTGCCAAGCCTCGAAGAGATTCCTGAGGTGTCCCTCGTTACTAGACAGGAGTCCTGACGTCACTGAAGAAACTCGTGTTTTGAAGGGCCATCCCCGCCGTAAGTCGAGAACATACCCCAGGTCCCCGCCGCAACTCGAGAAAAACCATGAGACTTCCCCCTAGAGGCGAGATGAGGCCCCATTCCCCTGCAGTGCATGCAGAGCTATTCCGTGATCCCATTCAAACAAGGCAGGAGCTTCGACTTGCTTAATGGATCTCGAGACAGTCCCCAAGAACACTGTCACCAGTCTAGACGGACCCTGAGGTCACCCCAGCAACGCAAAGCAGCTCCATGTGCCCCAAATCAACTCGAGATGAGGCCCGATTCCCCTGCATTGACTCCAGAGCCATTCCCCGTTCCCCATTCAACACGACCGGTGGCTCGACTTCCTTCAGGCAACTCCAGAGATGCCCCGAGAACACTGTCCCAAGTCTAGAGGAACACCAACTTCAGCACAGCAACTCGAGGAATGCTCCGTGTACCCCAAATCGTCTCGAGATGCGAGCTGATTCCCTGGCTTAGGCTCAAGACGTATGCCAACTTCCCAGAAGCACCTCAGGAGGAGGCTTCTCTCAGCAATAGGTATGTGGGAGGGACCCCGAGTTTGCTGCCTCAAGGGGAATATACAGCGAGAAGCCCTAACTTGAAAGGAGGCCGGATTTCCTTGCAGTGGCTTGAATACAGGCTCGTCTTTCATCTCACAACATGAAGGGATGTCTGAATCCCCTGTGGAGACCTTAGAGAAAGCCCTAGGTCCCTGCCTCATTTTGACGGAATGCCTCACATCCCGCTGACACCTCGAGAGGCACGCGGAGTTCATTGCTTCAAAAGGTGACGATGCCTGACTCCTCTTGAATACTGATAGGAATCCCAAAATCCCTGTGGCTACTGGAAAGGGTCCTTGGGTGCCCTGCCTCACCTCGAGAAGCGTCCCTTTGGCCCTGCCAAGCCTCGAAGAGATTCCTGAGGTGTCCCTCGTTACTAGACAGGAGTCCTGACGTCACTGAAGAAACTCGTGTTTTGAAGGGCCATCCCCGCCGTAAGTCGAGAACATACCCCAGGTCCCCGCCGCAACTCGAGAAAAACCATGAGACTTCCCCCTAGAGGCGAGATGAGGCCCCATTCCCCTGCAGTGCATGCAGAGCTATTCCGTGATCCCATTCAAACAAGGCAGGAGCTTCGACTTGCTTAATGGATCTCGAGACAGTCCCCAAGAACACTGTCACCAGTCTAGACGGACCCTGAGGTCACCCCAGCAACGCAAAGCAGCTCCATGTGCCCCAAATCAACTCGAGATGAGGCCCGATTCCCCTGCATTGACTCCAGAGCCATTCCCCGTTCCCCATTCAACACGACCGGTGGCTCGACTTCCTTCAGGCAACTCCAGAGATGCCCCGAGAACACTGTCCCAAGTCTAGAGGAACACCAACTTCAGCACAGCAACTCGAGGAATGCTCCGTGTACCCCAAATCGTCTCGAGATGCGAGCTGATTCCCTGGCTTAGGCTCAAGACGTATGCCAACTTCCCAGAAGCACCTCAGGAGGAGGCTTCTCTCAGCAATAGGTATGTGGGAGGGACCCCGAGTTTGCTGCCTCAAGGGGAATATACAGCGAGAAGCCCTAACTTGAAAGGAGGCCGGATTTCCTTGCAGTGGCTTGAATACAGGCTCGTCTTTCATCTCACAACATGAAGGGATGTCTGAATCCCCTGTGGAGACCTTAGAGAAAGCCCTAGGTCCCTGCCTCATTTTGACGGAATGCCTCACATCCCGCTGACACCTCGAGAGGCACGCGGAGTTCATTGCTTCAAAAGGTGACGATGCCTGACTCCTCTTGAATACTGATAGGAATCCCAAAATCCCTGTGGCTACTGGAAAGGGTCCTTGGGTGCCCTGCCTCACCTCGAGAAGCGTCCCTTTGGCCCTGCCAAGCCTCGAAGAGATTCCTGAGGTGTCCCTCGTTACTAGACAGGAGTCCTGACGTCACTGAAGAAACTCGTGTTTTGAAGGGCCATCCCCGCCGTAAGTCGAGAACATACCCCAGGTCCCCGCCGCAACTCGAGAAAAACCATGAGACTTCCCCCTAGAGGCGAGATGAGGCCCCATTCCCCTGCAGTGCATGCAGAGCTATTCCGTGATCCCATTCAAACAAGTCAGGAGCTTCGACTTGCTTAATGGATCTCGAGACAGTCCCCAAGAACACTGTCACCAGTCTAGACGGACCCTGAGGTCACCCCAGCAACGCAAAGCAGCTCCATGTGCCCCAAATCAACTCGAGATGAGGCCCGATTCCCCTGCATTGACTCCAGAGCCATTCCCCGTTCCCCATTCAACACGACCGGTGGCTCGACTTCCTTCAGGCAACTCCAGAGATGCCCCGAGAACACTGTCCCAAGTCTAGAGGAACACCAACTTCAGCACAGCAACTCGAGGAATGCTCCGTGTACCCCAAATCGTCTAGAGATGCGAGCTGATTCCCTGGCTTAGGCTCAAGACGTATGCCAACTTCCCAGAAGCACCTCAGGAGGAGGCTTCTCTCAGCAATAGGTATGTGGGAGGGACCCCGAGTTTGCTGCCTCAAGGGGAATATACAGCGAGAAGCCCTAACTTGAAAGGAGGCCGGATTTCCTTGCAGTGGCTTGAATACAGGCTCGTCTTTCATCTCACAACATGAAGGGATGTCTGAATCCCCTGTGGAGACCTTAGAGAAAGCCCTAGGTCCCTGCCTCATTTTGACGGAATGCCTCACATCCCGCTGACACCTCGAGAGGCACGCGGAGTTCATTGCTTCAAAAGGTGACGATGCCTGACTCCTCTTGAATACTGATAGGAATCCCAAAATCCCTGTGGCTACTGGAAAGGGTCCTTGGGTGCCCTGCCTCACCTCGAGAAGCGTCCCTTTGGCCCTGCCAAGCCTCGAAGAGATTCCTGAGGTGTCCCTCGTTACTAGACAGGAGTCCTGACGTCACTGAAGAAACTCGTGTTTTGAAGGGCCATCCCCGCCGTAAGTCGAGAACATACCCCAGGTCCCCGCCGCAACTCGAGAAAAACCATGAGACTTCCCCCTAGAGGCGAGATGAGGCCCCATTCCCCTGCAGTGCATGCAGAGCTATTCCGTGATCCCATTCAAACAAGTCAGGAGCTTCGACTTGCTTAATGGATCTCGAGACAGTCCCCAAGAACACTGTCACCAGTCTAGACGGACCCTGAGGTCACCCCAGCAACGCAAAGCAGCTCCATGTGCCCCAAATCAACTCGAGATGAGGCCCGATTCCCCTGCATTGACTCCAGAGCCATTCCCCGTTCCCCATTCAACACGACCGGTGGCTCGACTTCCTTCAGGCAACTCCAGAGATGCCCCGAGAACACTGTCCCAAGTCTAGAGGAACACCAACTTCAGCACAGCAACTCGAGGAATGCTCCGTGTACCCCAAATCGTCTAGAGATGCGAGCTGATTCCCTGGCTTAGGCTCAAGACGTATGCCAACTTCCCAGAAGCACCTCAGGAGGAGGCTTCTCTCAGCAATAGGTATGTGGGAGGGACCCCGAGTTTGCTGCCTCAAGGGGAATATACAGCGAGAAGCCCTAACTTGAAAGGAGGCCGGATTTCCTTGCAGTGGCTTGAATACAGGCTCGTCTTTCATCTCACAACATGAAGGGATGTCTGAATCCCCTGTGGAGACCTTAGAGAAAGCCCTAGGTCCCTGCCTCATTTTGACGGAATGCCTCACATCCCGCTGACACCTCGAGAGGCACGCGGAGTTCATTGCTTCAAAAGGTGACGATGCCTGACTCCTCTTGAATACTGATAGGAATCCCAAAATCCCTGTGGCTACTGGAAAGGGTCCTTGGGTGCCCTGCCTCACCTCGAGAAGCGTCCCTTTGGCCCTGCCAAGCCTCGAAGAGATTCCTGAGGTGTCCGTCGTTACTAGACAGGAGTCCTGACGTCACTGAAGAAACTCGTGTTTTGAGGGGCCATCCCCGCCGTAAGTCGAGAACATACCCCAGGTCCCCGCCGCAACTCGAGAAAAACCATGAGACTTCCCCCTAGAGGCGAGATGAGGCCCCATTCCCCTGCAGTGCATGCAGAGCTATTCCGTGATCCCATTCAAACAAGTCAGGAGCTTCGACTTGCTTAATGGATCTCGAGACAGTCCCCAAGAACACTGTCACCAGTCTAGACGGACCCTGAGGTCACCCCAGCAACGCAAAGCAGCTCCATGTGCCCCAAATCAACTCGAGATGAGGCCCGATTCCCCTGCATTGACTCCAGAGCCATTCCCCGTTCCCCATTCAACACGACCGGTGGCTCGACTTCCTTCAGGCAACTCCAGAGATGCCCCGAGAACACTGTCCCAAGTCTAGAGGAACACCAACTTCAGCACAGCAACTCGAGGAATGCTCCGTGTACCCCAAATCGTCTCGAGATGCGAGCTGATTCCCTGGCTTAGGCTCAAGACGTATGCCAACTTCCCAGAAGCACCTCAGGAGGAGGCTTCTCTCAGCAATAGGTATGTGGGAGGGACCCCGAGTTTGCTGCCTCAAGGGGAATATACAGCGAGAAGCCCTAACTTGAAAGGAGGCCGGATTTCCTTGCAGTGGCTTGAATACAGGCTCGTCTTTCATCTCACAACATGAAGGGATGTCTGAATCCCCTGTGGAGACCTTAGAGAAAGCCCTAGGTCCCTGCCTCATTTTGACGGAATGCCTCACATCCCGCTGACACCTCGAGAGGCACGCGGAGTTCATTGCTTCAAAAGGTGACGATGCCTGACTCCTCTTGAATACTGATAGGAATCCCAAAATCCCTGTGGCTACTGGAAAGGGTCCTTGGGTGCCCTGCCTCACCTCGAGAAGCGTCCCTTTGGCCCTGCCAAGCCTCGAAGAGATTCCTGAGGTGTCCCTCGTTACTAGACAGGAGTCCTGACGTCACTGAAGAAACTCGTGTTTTGAAGGGCCATCCCCGCCGTAAGTCGAGAACATACCCCAGGTCCCCGCCGCAACTCGAGAAAAACCATGAGACTTCCCCCTAGAGGCGAGATGAGGCCCCATTCCCCTGCAGTGCATGCAGAGCTATTCCGTGATCCCATTCAAACAAGTCAGGAGCTTCGACTTGCTTAATGGATCTCGAGACAGTCCCCAAGAACACTGTCACCAGTCTAGACGGACCCTGAGGTCACCCCAGCAACGCAAAGCAGCTCCATGTGCCCCAAATCAACTCGAGATGAGGCCCGATTCCCCTGCATTGACTCCAGAGCCATTCCCCGTTCCCCATTCAACACGACCGGTGGCTCGACTTCCTTCAGGCAACTCCAGAGATGCCCCGAGAACACTGTCCCAAGTCTAGAGGAACACCAACTTCAGCACAGCAACTCGAGGAATGCTCCGTGTACCCCAAATCGTCTCGAGATGCGAGCTGATTCCCTGGCTTAGGCTCAAGACGTATGCCAACTTCCCAGAAGCACCTCAGGAGGAGGCTTCTCTCAGCAATAGGTATGTGGGAGGGACCCCGAGTTTGCTGCCTCAAGGGGAATATACAGCGAGAAGCCCTAACTTGAAAGGAGGCCGGATTTCCTTGCAGTGGCTTGAATACAGGCTCGTCTTTCATCTCACAACATGAAGGGATGTCTGAATCCCCTGTGGAGACCTTAGAGAAAGCCCTAGGTCCCTGCCTCATTTTGACGGAATGCCTCACATCCCGCTGACACCTCGAGAGGCACGCGGAGTTCATTGCTTCAAAAGGTGACGATGCCTGACTCCTCTTGAATACTGATAGGAATCCCAAAATCCCTGTGGCTACTGGAAAGGGTCCTTGGGTGCCCTGCCTCACCTCGAGAAGCGTCCCTTTGGCCCTGCCAAGCCTCGAAGAGATTCCTGAGGTGTCCCTCGTTACTAGACAGGAGTCCTGACGTCACTGAAGAAACTCGTGTTTTGAAGGGCCATCCCCGCCGTAAGTCGAGAACATACCCCAGGTCCCCGCCGCAACTCGAGAAAAACCATGAGACTTCCCCCTAGAGGCGAGATGAGGCCCCATTCCCCTGCAGTGCATGCAGAGCTATTCCGTGATCCCATTCAAACAAGTCAGGAGCTTCGACTTGCTTAATGGATCTCGAGACAGTCCCCAAGAACACTGTCACCAGTCTAGACGGACCCTGAGGTCACCCCAGCAACGCAAAGCAGCTCCATGTGCCCCAAATCAACTCGAGATGAGGCCCGATTCCCCTGCATTGACTCCAGAGCCATTCCCCGTTCCCCATTCAACACGACCGGTGGCTCGACTTCCTTCAGGCAACTCCAGAGATGCCCCGAGAACACTGTCCCAAGTCTAGAGGAACACCAACTTCAGCACAGCAACTCGAGGAATGCTCCGTGTACCCCAAATCGTCTCGAGATGCGAGCTGATTCCCTGGCTTAGGCTCAAGACGTATGCCAACTTCCCAGAAGCACCTCAGGAGGAGGCTTCTCTCAGCAATAGGTATGTGGGAGGGACCCCGAGTTTGCTGCCTCAAGGGGAATATACAGCGAGAAGCCCTAACTTGAAAGGAGGCCGGATTTCCTTGCAGTGGCTTGAATACAGGCTCGTCTTTCATCTCACAACATGAAGGGATGTCTGAATCCCCTGTGGAGACCTTAGAGAAAGCCCTAGGTCCCTGCCTCATTTTGACGGAATGCCTCACATCCCGCTGACACCTCGAGAGGCACGCGGAGTTCATTGCTTCAAAAGGTGACGATGCCTGACTCCTCTTGAATACTGATAGGAATCCCAAAATCCCTGTGGCTACTGGAAAGGGTCCTTGGGTGCCCTGCCTCACCTCGAGAAGCGTCCCTTTGGCCCTGCCAAGCCTCGAAGAGATTCCTGAGGTGTCCCTCGTTACTAGACAGGAGTCCTGACGTCACTGAAGAAACTCGTGTTTTGAAGGGCCATCCCCGCCGTAAGTCGAGAACATACCCCAGGTCCCCGCCGCAACTCGAGAAAAACCATGAGACTTCCCCCTAGAGGCGAGATGAGGCCCCATTCCCCTGCAGTGCATGCAGAGCTATTCCGTGATCCCATTCAAACAAGTCAGGAGCTTCGACTTGCTTAATGGATCTCGAGACAGTCCCCAAGAACACTGTCACCAGTCTAGACGGACCCTGAGGTCACCCCAGCAACGCAAAGCAGCTCCATGTGCCCCAAATCAACTCGAGATGAGGCCCGATTCCCCTGCATTCACTCCAGAGCCATTCCCCGTTCCCCATTCAACACGACCGGTGGCTCGACTTCCTTCAGGCAACTCCAGAGATGCCCCGAGAACACTGTCCCAAGTCTAGAGGAACACCAACTTCAGCACAGCAACTCGAGGAATGCTCCGTGTACCCCAAATCGTCTCGAGATGCGAGCTGATTCCCTGGCTTAGGCTCAAGACGTATGCCAACTTCCCAGAAGCACCTCAGGAGGAGGCTTCTCTCAGCAATAGGTATGTGGGAGGGACCCCGAGTTTGCTGCCTCAAGGGGAATATACAGCGAGAAGCCCTAACTTGAAAGGAGGCCGGATTTCCTTGCAGTGGCTTGAATACAGGCTCGTCTTTCATCTCACAACATGAAGGGATGTCTGAATCCCCTGTGGAGACCTTAGAGAAAGCCCTAGGTCCCTGCCTCATTTTGACGGAATGCCTCACATCCCGCTGACACCTCGAGAGGCACGCGGAGTTCATTGCTTCAAAAGGTGACGATGCCTGACTCCTCTTGAATACTGATAGGAATCCCAAAATCCCTGTGGCTACTGGAAAGGGTCCTTGGGTGCCCTGCCTCACCTCGAGAAGCGTCCCTTTGGCCCTGCCAAGCCTCGAAGAGATTCCTGAGGTGTCCCTCGTTACTAGACAGGAGTCCTGACGTCACTGAAGAAACTCGTGTTTTGAAGGGCCATCCCCGCCGTAAGTCGAGAACATACCCCAGGTCCCCGCCGCAACTCGAGAAAAACCATGAGACTTCCCCCTAGAGGCGAGATGAGGCCCCATTCCCCTGCAGTGCATGCAGAGCTATTCCGTGATCCCATTCAAACAAGTCAGGAGCTTCGACTTGCTTAATGGATCTCGAGACAGTCCCCAAGAACACTGTCACCAGTCTAGACGGACCCTGAGGTCACCCCAGCAACGCAAAGCAGCTCCATGTGCCCCAAATCAACTCGAGATGAGGCCCGATTCCCCTGCATTGACTCCAGAGCCATTCCCCGTTCCCCATTCAACACGACCGGTGGCTCGACTTCCTTCAGGCAACTCCAGAGATGCCCCGAGAACACTGTCCCAAGTCTAGAGGAACACCACCTTCAGCACAGCAACTCGAGGAATGCTCCGTGTACCCCAAGTCGTCTCGAGATGCGAGCTGATTCCCTGGCTTAGGCTCAAGACGTATGCCAACTTCCCAGAAGCACCTCAGGAGGAGGCTTCTCTCAGCAATAGGTATGTGGGAGGGACCCCGAGTTTGCTGCCTCAAGGGGAATATACAGCGAGAAGCCCTAACTTGAAAGGAGGCCGGATTTCCTTGCAGTGGCTTGAATACAGGCTCGTCTTTCATCTCACAACATGAAGGGATGTCTGAATCCCCTGTGGAGACCTTAGAGAAAGCCCTAGGTCCCTGCCTCATTTTGACGGAATGCCTCACATCCCGCTGACACCTCGAGAGGCACGCGGAGTTCATTGCTTCAAAAGGTGACGATGCCTGACTCCTCTTGAATACTGATAGGAATCCCAAAATCCCTGTGGCTACTGGAAAGGGTCCTTGGGTGCCCTGCCTCACCTCGAGAAGCGTCCCTTTGGCCCTGCCAAGCCTCGAAGAGATTCCTGAGGTGTCCCTCGTTACTAGACAGGAGTCCTGACGTCACTGAAGAAACTCGTGTTTTGAAGGGCCATCCCCGCCGTAAGTCGAGAACATACCCCAGGTCCCCGCCACAACTCGAGAAAAACCATGAGACTTCCCCCTAGAGGCGAGATGAGGCCCCATTCCCCTGCAGTGCATGCAGAGCTATTCCGTGATCCCATTCAAACAAGTCAGGAGCTTCGACTTGCTTAATGGATCTCGAGACAGTCCCCAAGAACACTGTCACCAGTCTAGACGGACCCTGAGGTCACCCCAGCAACGCAAAGCAGCTCCATGTGCCCCAAATCAACTCGAGATGAGGCCCGATTCCCCTGCATTGACTCCAGAGCCATTCCCCGTTCCCCATTCAACACGACCGGTGGCTCGACTTCCTTCAGGCAACTCCAGAGATGCCCCGAGAACACTGTCCCAAGTCTAGAGGAACACCAACTTCAGCACAGCAACTCGAGGAATGCTCCGTGTACCCCAAATCGTCTCGAGATGCGAGCTGATTCCCTGGCTTAGGCTCAAGACGTATGCCAACTTCCCAGAAGCACCTCAGGAGGAGGCTTCTCTCAGCAATAGGTATGTGGGAGGGACCCCGAGTTTGCTGCCTCAAGGGGAATATACAGCGAGAAGCCCTAACTTGAAAGGAGGCCGGATTTCCTTGCAGTGGCTTGAATACAGGCTCGTCTTTCATCTCACAACATGAAGGGATGTCTGAATCCCCTGTGGAGACCTTAGAGAAAGCCCTAGGTCCCTGCCTCATTTTGACGGAATGCCTCACATCCCGCTGACACCTCGAGAGGCACGCGGAGTTCATTGCTTCAAAAGGTGACGATGCCTGACTCCTCTTGAATACTGATAGGAATCCCAAAATCCCTGTGGCTACTGGAAAGGGTCCTTGGGTGCCCTGCCTCACCTCGAGAAGCGTCCCTTTGGCCCTGCCAAGCCTCGAAGAGATTCCTGAGGTGTCCCTCGTTACTAGACAGGAGTCCTGACGTCACTGAAGAAACTCGTGTTTTGAAGGGCCATCCCCGCCGTAAGTCGAGAACATACCCCAGGTCCCCGCCGCAACTCGAGAAAAACCATGAGACTTCCCCCTAGAGGCGAGATGAGGCCCCATTCCCCTGCAGTGCATGCAGAGCTATTCCGTGATCCCATTCAAACAAGTCAGGAGCTTCGACTTGCTTAATGGATCTCGAGACAGTCCCCAAGAACACTGTCACCAGTCTAGACGGACCCTGAGGTCACCCCAGCAACGCAAAGCAGCTCCATGTGCCCCAAATCAACTCGAGATGAGGCCCGATTCCCCTGCATTGACTCCAGAGCCATTCCCCGTTCCCCATTCAACACGACCGGTGGCTCGACTTCCTTCAGGCAACTCCAGAGATGCCCCGAGAACACTGTCCCAAGTCTAGAGGAACACCAACTTCAGAACAGCAACTCGAGGAATGCTCCGTGTACCCCAAATCGTCTCGAGATGCGAGCTGATTCCCTGGCTTAGGCTCAAGACGTATGCCAACTTCCCAGAAGCACCTCAGGAGGAGGCTCCTCTCAGCAATAGGTATGTGGGAGGGACCCCGAGTTTGCTGCCTCAAGGGGAATATACAGCGAGAAGCCCTAACTTGAAAGGAGGCCGGATTTCCTTGCAGTGGCTTGAATACAGGCTCGTCTTTCATGTCACAACATGAAGGGATGTCTGAATCCCCTGTGGAGACCTTAGAGAAAGCCCTAGGTCCCTGCCTCATTTTGACGGAATGCCTCACATCCCGCTGACACCTCGAGAGGCACGCGGAGTTCATTGCTTCAAAAGGTGACGATGCCTGACTCCTCTTAAATACTGATAGGAATCCCAAAATCCCTGTGGCTACTGGAAAGGGTCCTTGGGTGCCCTGCCTCACCTCGAGAAGCGTCCCTTTGGCCCTGCCAAGCCTCGAAGAGATTCCTGAGGTGTCCCTCGTTACTAGACAGGAGTCCTGACGTCACTGAAGAAACTCGTGTTTTGAAGGGCCATCCCCGCCGTAAGTCGAGAACATACCCCAGGTCCCCGCCGCAACTCGAGAAAAACCATGAGACTTCCCCCTAGAGGCGAGATGAGGCCCCATTCCCCTGCAGTGCATGCAGAGCTATTCCGTGATCCCATTCAAACAAGGCAGGAGCTTCGACTTGCTTAATGGATCTCGAGACAGTCCCCAAGAACACTGTCACCAGTCTAGACGGACCCTGAGGTCACCCCAGCAACGCAAAGCAGCTCCATGTGCCCCAAATCAACTCGAGATGAGGCCCGATTCCCCTGCATTGACTCCAGAGCCATTCCCCGTTCCCCATTCAACACGACCGGTGGCTCGACTTCCTTCAGGCAACTCCAGAGATGCCCCGAGAACACTGTCCCAAGTCTAGAGGAACACCAACTTCAGCACAGCAACTCGAGGAATGCTCCGTGTACCCCAAATCGTCTCGAGATGCGAGCTGATTCCCTGGCTTAGGCTCAAGACGTATGCCAACTTCCCAGAAGCACCTCAGGAGGAGGCTTCTCTCAGCAATAGGTATGTGGGAGGGACCCCGAGTTTGCTGCCTCAAGGGGAATATACAGCGAGAAGCCCTAACTTGAAAGGAGGCCGGATTTCCTTGCAGTGGCTTGAATACAGGCTCGTCTTTCATCTCACAACATGAAGGGATGTCTGAATCCCCTGTGGAGACCTTAGAGAAAGCCCTAGGTCCCTGCCTCATTTTGACGGAATGCCTCACATCCCGCTGACACCTCGAGAGGCACGCGGAGTTCATTGCTTCAAAAGGTGACGATGCCTGACTCCTCTTGAATACTGATAGGAATCCCAAAATCCCTGTGGCTACTGGAAAGGGTCCTTGGGTGCCCTGCCTCACCTCGAGAAGCGTCCCTTTGGCCCTGCCAAGCCTCGAAGAGATTCCTGAGGTGTCCCTCGTTACTAGACAGGAGTCCTGACGTCACTGAAGAAACTCGTGTTTTGAAGGGCCATCCCCGCCGTAAGTAGAGAACATACCCCAGGTCCCCGCCGCAACTCGAGAAAAACCATGAGACTTCCCCCTAGAGGCGAGATGAGGCCCCATTCCCCTGCAGTGCATGCAGAGCTATTCCGTGATCCCATTCAAACAAGTCAGGAGCTTCGACTTGCTTAATGGATCTCGAGACAGTCCCCAAGAACACTGTCACCAGTCTAGACGGACCCTGAGGTCACCCCAGCAACGCAAAGCAGCTCCATGTGCCCCAAATCAACTCGAGATGAGGCCCGATTCCCCTGCATTGACTCCAGAGCCATTCCCCGTTCCCCATTCAACACGACCGGTGGCTCGACTTCCTTCAGGCAACTCCAGAGATGCCCCGAGAACACTGTCCCAAGTCTAGAGGAACACCAACTTCAGCACAGCAACTCGAGGAATGCTCCGTGTACCCCAAATCGTCTCGAGATGCGAGCTGATTCCCTGGCTTAGGCTCAAGACGTATGCCAACTTCCCAGAAGCACCTCAGGAGGAGGCTCCTCTCAGCAATAGGTATGTGGGAGGGACCCCGAGTTTGCTGCCTCAAGGGGAATATACAGCGAGAAGCCCTAACTTGAAAGGAGGCCGGATTTCCTTGCAGTGGCTTGAATACAGGCTCGTCTTTCATCTCACAACATGAAGGGATGTCTGAATCCCCTGTGGAGACCTTAGAGAAAGCCCTAGGTCCCTGCCTCATTTTGACGGAATGCCTCACATCCCGCTGACACCTCGAGAGGCAGGCGGAGTTCATTGCTTCAAAAGGTGACGATGCCTGACTCCTCTTAAATACTGATAGGAATCCCAAAATCCCTGTGGCTACTGGAAAGGGTCCTTGGGTGCCCTGCCTCACCTCGAGAAGCGTCCCTTTGGCCCTGCCAAGCCTCGAAGAGATTCCTGAGGTGTCCCTCGTTACTAGACAGGAGTCCTGACGTCACTGAAGAAACTCGTGTTTTGAAGGGCCATCCCCGCCGTAAGTCGAGAACATACCCCAGGTCCCCGCCGCAACTCGAGAAAAACCA